AAAGAAAAAGAAGTTTTTTATTAAAAAAAAATTAAAATATTTTATTATAATAAAATTATAGAATAAAAAGAGATACTTAATTATTCTTACTTTAATAATCTAAATAATTATAAAGATTTATAGATAAATCCCTTATTCTTATTAAGTAGATAAGTTATATCTTATATAGAGATCTTCTATATAGCAAAGTATAAAAAAAAAGAAATTAAGTTATTAGATAATAAATAAGATACTAAAAAATTATATTAAGTAATATTTATATTAAATCTTCTATCTTTAGATATTAATATAGATTAGGAGAAATATATAAAATAAGTATTAAATACTATAATAGCAATATATATAGTAAAAAAATATATTCTAATCTTAAACTTATATTATGCTATAATTAATAATCCTATTTAAGATAAATTATAGCGGAGTATATTTAAAGCTAAAATAGATATACTCTAAATAAATAAAATTTTTAAAGTAATTATATTATTATTAGGAGCTAATATTATAATTAGCTATTAGATATTAGCTATAAAGTATAATTTAAATAGTTCTTTTTAAAAGCTTAAGATATATTTTATTATCTAAGGGTTTACTTAAAAATATAGTATTAATTTTAAGTATATCTTTACTTCTATCTTATAATATAATATATTATAAGTATTTCTAGCTATTATTATAATAAAAGATTATAAATATTATATTATAGATATTAATAATACCTTTATAAAATTAATATTAAAGGAGAAGATTTATATAATACTTTTATTAGGAATAAATATATTATTAGAAATAGTATTAAAAGTTCTTTAATCTTTATATAGTTTAAAGCAGGCTATAAGAGATTAGAATTAAACTTATATAAAAATATTCTAAAAAATAGGTTTTATATAAACTAATATTAATCTATTATTATAGGAAGATGTATTAAAACTTAATATAGAGTCTTTAAGCAAGTAAGTATTAAGAAGGAAAAGAAAGATATTTAGCTTTAGAGCTTAGAATAGAGCTAGAGGAAAAGCTCTAGCTATAAACTAATATAATAAACCAATAATAATCTAATACTAAACTAATACTAAATAATAATAAAAAAGAAAAGCTAATTATTTTATTTTAAATAACTAAAAAATATCTCCTTACTACTTCTTCTCTTCTCTTACTTTACTTATAAACTTTTTAAAAACTTTAAATAAAAGTATATAATCTCTTAATTAATTACATTCTTTATACTAATTCTTCTTACTATATAGCCTCCCCTTTTTTAAGAATAAATACCTCTATTTACCTTCCTTAATTATTATAGTCTATACTATCTCCTCCTTTTAATATTATAAATTATTCTTAAAGTAAGAATGCTCTAGTTTCTAATATTATATATATCTTAAAACCCCTAACTTATAAAGCTAAATTCCTTTCCTTTATAAATAATCTTAGACTAATAATATATCTTACTTTAATATAAAATATAACTCTACTTTAATTTCTAAATAATCTTAGTTTAACTAATTAAATATTGCTCTATTTATAACTATAACTCTATTTACTTAAATATTAAAAGGCCTAGATTCTTCTTAGTTAAATCTTATCTTATCTTATTCCTTATAATTAAAATAGCAGATATTATTAAAATTTATTCTCTAATTCTCTAATATTAGCTAATATAAATTATTAATAAAGATTATTTTTCCCTATTTAAATATAATATCTCTTAAGCTTATAATTTCCTTAAACTTATCTCTAATAATTAGTCTAATCCTTAAGATTATAAAACTCTAGCCTATTTCTCTCTTAAGGATTATAATCTCTATATTTAATACTCTTAGCTTATATTCCCTAAAATATTAGACCTATAATCTATATTTATTATAACTATATAGTACTAACTAGATTAAATAAACCTAGATATTTTATGCAATAACCTTCTAAAAAATATTTTTAAATAAGTTCTTAAGCTCTATTAATCTTTTACTTTCTTTTTTATAATAAAGGGCTATTTTTACTTCTATAATAATATATTATAGCATCTCTTCTACTAGTTTCTTTTTAAAGGATATAATTTAAAAAACCCTATTTACTTTCTAATAGTTAAAATTCTCCCTTATTATAATATCTAACTAGATATATTAGTCCTATATCTTATTTAAAGTAAAGTCTTCTTTACTTAGATTAAAATATTTTCTGTCTTTATATTTAGATTTAGGATTCTAATATAGCTTAATATTCTTAATTATACTCCTTTAAGTCCTTAAAGCTATTATATTTTATATTTTTAAACCTTTCTAGCTATTAGATATTATATTTCCTTTAATACTTATTATAATAAATATACTCTTATTTAATTGCTTCTGCCAGTTTTAAGTAATTCTTTTCTTTATATTTAAGTTAAATATTTATCTATAATAATATTAATAGACTATAATAATCTATAAACTATTTAATTTTTTTCTCTTCTAGGAGTTAATTTATCTTATATAGCCTTTTAAAAAGCCTTAAATAATAAGTAATATTATTCTCTTTAAAATATAGTGCCTTAAGATTTCTAGGCATTAGCATCTATAAAGCTAATATAACCTAGATTAGCTATACTATTAGTAGTCCTATATTTTTAAATACCTAAGTTATTTATATCTTTAGACCTAATAATATTAAAAAACTAAGAGTCCTTCTATTTTAACTAATATTAAAAAAATTAGTGCTTTTCTCTATATTTTTTTAAAAGAATAGTAATAAAGATAATAATAAAAAATTCTTCTACTTTTTAATAAATAATTCTTATTTAATAATTTTTTATTTTTTTTAAATTTTTACTTCTCTTTTATACTTGCTAAGCTTTTCCTTATATTTAATAGTCTTTTCTTTTTCTTATTATTAATATATATTTTTACCTTATATTATATTTACTGTCTCTGCTAATTTAAAAAATATATTTATCTCTTTCTATTTATAGTAGTAATCTTCCTTAATTATTTTATTTATTTTTTTATTACTTCTTATCCCTTTTTTTAACTTTAGCCTTAACCTTAGTTTTTAATTCTCCTTTCTCCTTTCTCCCTTATTTCTATTTAATATTTTAATACCCCCTATATTTAGCTCTAATTTATTATAAGAAAATATATTAAAACTTAATATAGAGTCTTTAAGTGAGTAAATATTAAAAAAGAAGAGAAAGATATTTAGCTTTAGAGCTTAAAGTAGAGCTAAAAAAAAAGCTTTAGCTATAAACTAATATAATAAACTAATAATAATTTAATACTAAACTAATACTAAATAATAATAAAAAAAAAGCTAATTATTTTATTCTGAATAATTAAAAGGTATCTCCTTACTACTTCTCCCCCTCTCTTGCTTTACTTATAGACTTTTTAAAGACTTTAAATAAAAGTACATAACCTCTTAACTAATTACATTCTTTATACTAATTCTCCCTACTATACTATACTTATTATAATATTTAAAAAAAGAGATCTTATTTTTAGTATATATTAATAATATCTTAATTAATATAAAATAAATAGAGAATATTTACTAGTTTAAATAAGAGTTTAGATTAATATATAAAATAAAAAACTTAAAAGAAGTAAAGAAGATTTTTAGTATTTAAATTACTTAGAATAAGAAGAATTAAATATTAATAATAAACTAATCTTATTATATTAAAAAACTCTTATTATAATATAGAATAAATAAGGAGAAGATATACTTAGTTAATATCTTATTAAACAGATATAACTCTTTAAAACTATTTAGCTTTTAAAATAAAAGAATAGATTAAAAAAAGTATTAAAAGATTATTAATAGCTTAATTTATTTAATAATTTTAATAAGACTAGATATTATATTTATAATAGGTAGATTAAGTTAATATTTATTAAATCTATTTAAAAGATATTTTAAGATATTAAAGTCTCTTATAAAATACTTATAATTAATTATATACCTTAGTCTTAAATTTAATATAAACTAAGACTAATAATTTATTAGGTATTTAGACTTAGATTATATAATAGATAAGATTAATTAGATATTAATCTTAAAGAATATTTTTATTTTAATTAGCAGTTTAATAAGTTAATTAAATAAGAAATAAAAGTTTATTATAACTTTAATTATAAAGACTAAATATATAGCTATATATTAAATAATAAAATAGTTCTAATAATTAGCCTTTTTTTTAAGAGATATAGGATATAGATACTATATTAGTCTAAATAAATTTAAGCTAATAATAAGAGAAGAGTAAGCTTTTATTATTAGCTCTTTAATTAAGGTCTATAGAGATAATTAAGTATTATTATTATTAATTAGAGATGCCTATATTTATAAGAGGTTAAAATATATTAATATTATATATTACTATATATATAATTTATATTAAAAAAATAAGATTAATATTAAGTTTATTAGAATATAGGATATAATAATAAATAATTTTACTAAATTATTACTGAAGGTAAACTTCTTAAGATTTTTAAATTAATTAAGATTAACTAATTTAATAAATTTAGACTAAGAAAAAGTATTATAAAATAGTAGTTAGGACTAATAATTTTTTATATAACTAAAATTTTATTCTAAAAAAATCTTTAAGAATAATTTTATTATAGTAAAATTAGGTAGCTTAAAGAAATTATTTCTTAGGCCTTTATAAAAAAAAACTATTACTCTAACTAAGAATATATAGATATATTTTATATTTATTATATGTGCCAATACTCTTTCTCCCTAAGTATTATTAGCCTTTTAAGCCATTAGATTAGTCTAGGAATTCTATCTGAACCTATTCTTTTTAACTTACTATAGCTTTATAAGATCTCTATAAAATCTAGTTTTAAGGACAAAATACTATTATAGCTATATAAAGTTCAATATATAGACTATGATATTAAAATACTTAATAATTAGTACCCGATATTAGTGTTTTTTTTTTTTAGGGAGTTTTTTTCTAACCACGTGATTTATAATACTTCCCTATAACTTATCGACAACTTATCAACACAATTCAGGTACCCGATTACTGCCCACATTAACGGCTTATACGATCAGAATATCCCCAAGGCCAATCTAATCTATTCCTATCCCGAGGTCGCTATAACTATATACCTGCCGGTCGAAAATGTTATCGAGAACTAGAAGTGTATCTTAGACTCCCTCACGAATGCGAGGGATCCAGTCTCAGATGCCACGAACTACCAGCCGCCAGGTGAGAGAAATACGAGGTGCTCTCATCAATATTGGATCTAAGAATTATATACTAATCAATAAAAAAACAAAAATACAGAGAACTACGCAAAAATTCCAGAATCCACTTGTATGACCCGGAGTACCACATATGTTCCATTTCTCACATTCAAAATCCAATAGGGTATTATATATATCCTCTCGCCGTTCGTTTTTGCACTTCTTCTAGCTGTGCCTCGACTCAAGTTATGGGCGACACCGCTAGGATTCCTGATCATGTGTCTTGCTCTCGCATTGAGCTCTTTCTCGACGACCACTACACATCTATTGGTCTCTCAGGGAATCGCATATGCCATTGGAGCTAGTCTGGCATACTCGCCCAGTATTCTTTTCATAGAGGAGTGGTTTGTGAATAGGAGAGGTCTGGCATATGGAATCCAATGGGTCTGTCCACCCTTCTGAACATTGTTCATCGGAATCGCCTAAATAAAATACAAAAACCAGAAATACTAACACAACTACAAACCATACAGGCCGGAACAAGCGTATCTGGCGTCGTCCTCCCCATATTCCTTCAATGGCTCCTAAACGCCCACGGCTTCCGCACAACTCTACGCATATGGTCTATCATTCTATTCATATCAATCGCCCCCCTCCTCTTCTTCTTCAAACCACGTCTCCCCATCGCCCAATCCGCCAGCATGCGTCCTTTCAACATCCGCTTCCTCGCCAACCGCACCTTCCTCATCTTCCAACTAGGAAACGTTTTCGAAGCACTAGGCTACTTCCTCCCCACGATCTACCTACCCACCTACGCCCGTCGCACTCTGGGCGTCAGCAACCTCATCGCCACATTGACCGTCATTCTCGTGAACCGCGCCTCTGTCTTCGGCTGCGTCCTCATGGGCACCTTAGTCGACCGCTACCACGCCACGACATGTATCCTCATCTCCACCGTCGGGACCACCATCGCTGTATTTCTGCTCTGGGGCTTCTCGCTATCGCTCGCCCCGCTACTCATTTTCTGCATCGCATACGGTATCTTCGCGGGCTCGTTCTCATCCACCTGGCCCGCGGTCATGAAGGAGGTTCAGAAGACGAATAGTCTAGCTGAGCCGACGATCGTCTTCGCTTTTCTGGCTGCTGGAAGGGGGATCGGGAACGTGGTCAGTGGGCCATTGAGCGAGAGGCTTCTGCACGGGTTACCCTGGCAGAATGCTGCTGGGGGTGCGTATGGAAGTGGTTATGGCATTTTGATCGTCTTCACAGGTGTCACTGCCTTTTTGGGAGGATTGAGCGTTCTGGCGCGGCCGTTCAAATTGGTGTAGGTGTGAAGTCTAATCGGTCGAGTATACGGAGTGAAGCTATATTTGACAATAAATAGTTATGGGTTGATAAGGGATCCTGATAATTTTAGAAAAAAGTGGCTTGATTTTTCGTCCTTGTTTTTGCTAATATAATAGTAGATATATCAGGCTCTATATAATCAGCGTCAATGCAAATTGTCGATCATCTCTTGTTTCGTCCTTTAGAATTTTCATTTTGAGAATGACCTCTAAACCCCAACTTTCTTAGGAGTTTATTAGTGAGCACATAGATCGATCTCTTTCACTTCGCATATATAAGTTGGAGGTATTACATTTGTTCACAGTACCCTCAATAGCTTGCAAATCTATAACTTAGCTAGACATACATACATAATAAAAAATAATATAATACAAGGAAACAGTCTCCCATAGATAAGCCTAAAATTAAGCTTATCACAACCAATATATGTATTACAACATCACGAAAGTCCCTACCCCGCTCAGAAGGAGATCTAATCTACTGCGCATACTACCTTATCACCCTTTTTATCGGTGGACCAATAATAAATACCTGTTTGGAAACTTTACCATCCTATCCATTACATCATATTACCCGCTCAAATCGCTGTATATACCTATATATCTATCCCATAAAAACAATACCAGGAGTAAATTCATATCACCCCCCCCCAAAGAGGAAACTATACCCCAGACAGAAACTGATAAAGATAAAGGTGTGGAGAATGCGCCTTTTTTTTTCCCCCCTCGCTGATGGATCACTGGAGTGTAAGGCGTAGGGCCGCAGTAGTTAGTTAGTAAGTAAGTACTACTGGAAGCTGCTTTGCAGCATACATTAGATGGGCTCATTGTCCCCTCCTTGATATGTCTTGCTTCATCTATAGGTCACTAAGTAAGTTAATTTGAATTACTCGTTTCTTAGTCTTACTTGGTTAGCTTTGTTTACCTTTTGGGGATCGACAGATCGATTCCACGTGACCTGCAGATCCGCTCGTATTCAATTCAAAAAGTTCCCGAGATTTTCGATCGGGAGGCCGATGACTTTTGCAGTTCCCGAATATATCAGTCCAGTATCTACTATGTAGGACATAGAAATAAATTAATTTGGGTATCTTGCATTGTGATTCTCCTATAACGCAATGCGTGCCAGTATGGATTCGACTGCTCACACTTTTCAGCGCAAGCAAGAATCTCGGACGGTGCGCTGACCGGCGCATGCAATGCACGTGATGCTGCGCGTTCTTCACCGCCGCCGGTCATTGGAAAACAAAAAGGCTTCTCCAAGACAGTCCAAGTTCCCCATCCCGACGTGGATAATCACCATTGGGTGCTCGTCTCGGCACATGGCGGCTTCGATGTGATATACATGGGTTAACTAGTTTATCTGCCCATTCTTATTATTTTATCATGGCTTACCGTGCTATATCTCCCCACGTCGCTGCAACCCCAGAACAAGGTTCAGCTAGGATTTGTGATTTTTAAGGCAATATGCCCGCTGCCTAGTACAGTACATACTACTATTGGGAGCGTCTGCAAAGACATCTGCACTGTCAGTCCTTGCCGTTATTGTGGTTTCATCCCCAGGATCCTGTGACCATGCCTGCTATCTATCTGTTCTCTGCAATCAGCGATGTGCCTGAAAGGGCTTCCTCGGTGCTGAGGCGAAGTGCCAGTTGTCAAGGCTCTAGTCAGGCACCAGTCGAACCCAAAGCTAGGCCAACCTCGACCGTGGAGGGCGAGGATATTGAGTGATCGGTCGGCAAACAGGAAACGGTGGATTGAGGGACTTGAACGTGTCCATTTCGACCTCGAGGGGTGGGATTAATTATCAGCATGAGCATATCGTGGAGGATCGGCTTCGACCTCTGGCGTCCAAGAGCTCGATCGTATAGATATACCTCGTGCGTCATGGAGTTCCAAGTGCATGCAACCCTTCAACCAATAGCTATCACACCAAGGCACCTGGAGACGCGAGGATGGTAATACTGCAGAGGGCTCCAGAGAGGCTACCAAAAAACAATGATGACCACTGCAGGATTCAGTGCGTTCGCGATGAAACGGGCCTCTTGCGTCGATAGAGCTTGCCCCTGACGCAGTCATGCATTCTGGTGTTGTGACGCCGGTCCTCCATGATCCCAACTCCGCATTCGCCGATAGATAGACACCTTGCTGTCGACCGCTGGGTTGAGTCTACCAAAGCATTAATATGACTCATCGCATTTTGCACCAAAGTCCCTCGAGTCGAGGGCGCGTGCTCATCAGTGGATTGTCAATCCCTGAGCAGGACTCGCACGCACGAATTCGAAGTAGACTGAGAAGGATGGCTCTTTAGTATCTCAATAGAAACACAATGGGGCGAGCTATCGACCCGGCCATCCGCACATTACTACTGAGGACGCGTGCTCCACCAACCAGGTTCGCCTCAATTTCAGTCTGGGGCGAGCATCGAGGAGGCATGGATGATGTTGGTCATATCAAGGACGACCTCGGATGCCTTGCTGCAGGAAACATACTTTCTACCTTAGTGAGCCATGCATCTGGCTTGCAGGCGCAAGATGGAAACCCATCATGACTCCATTCGCGGCTATCATGAGAGCTCGAAGAGTGCAGCCATGGTGGGGAGCTGCTAACCAACTAGTTATAGTGTGGTAGACGAGAAGCGCCGGTCTGGTCCACCGACCCGGATGGCTCCAAAAGTCTGAATTTTTTTTTTCTTTTGTTTTGGTCTTTCCAAAGCGGGTGCTGGTAATTATTACTACTATTCCTCAGGCAATTTCAGCAAAACATCGGGGATTTTCCATCAGCAAGTCTCTATCTAGAACCAGCGTAGAACGGACTCTCACCGCATCTTGACTCTCTCTCCTCATCTAGAAGCAGGCGATAAGATGATCTGCATAGGCCCTAGGCAGCATGGAGGGGAAAGCTCGCGACCACCAGCGCCGCCCAACGACCGATCTTTTCGGCACAGCTCGTCCACTAGATGGAAATATCGAGCCCGTCCTGGATACCAACGGCCATCCGTTAATTCCGCCGTTTGGACTGCTCCAGGATGCTAGACCAGACTCTGCTAAGCGGCGCAATTACTCTGACAACAGACCCCCCCGCTAGTCAACATTCACTTGCTCTTCTGGGACCTACTATTATGGTCCTACTCGGTTCCGCGGCCATTTTCTCTCTGTCTTCCCCCCCCCTCGCGCGGTGCCTGAATTATTTTCTCATCTTCACCTTTTTTTTCTAATCATATCGAAAAGAAATACCCTGACTGTCAATTGTATCTGAGGCTATCTACTACTTGTCTTTGTATGCGCGTGTTGAGCTTAGGGCGGTTTCCTTGTTCTTGTACATTTAGCAAACTGTAGTCGCCGTGCTCCCCCACCTTATCGCGCAAAATATCTGCAAGAAGCAAGTCCTCGTTGCGCACGAGGTCTGGTATTCGCTGACGCGCTTCAACTTCAATTGTTTGTTTTTTGACGACTGTTACGATTATCACGACCATTATGGCAAATGAAAGTGGAGAAACCATCACTATTTCAATCCGCCGTCCAACCGACACGCCTGCAGTTTTCGTGGCCGGATCCTTTTCTGATCCTGCCTGGGAGCCCGTGGAACTGAATCCCAAGCCTACAGAAGCAAGTGGCGAGGAGGGAGAGGCATCAGAATATGTCTTCTCCCATGATTTCAAGATTCCAGAGGGAAAGTATGAGTACAGATTCCGTCTTGGGTCTGACGGACCTTGGATCCACGACGAAGGTCTGCAGACAGGTGCGTATCGATGCGCTTTCTGAATTGCTGCAATGTATGGGGTCGGATAACCAGCTGACATAGCTTTTTCTTTTGTAGTGACTGACGATGAGGGCCACAAGAATCATGTGCTCACAGTCAGTGCGCCTGCAGCTGCAGAGGCAGAAGCCAAGGATGAAGAGCCTTCGAACGAGGCCAATGGCGAGACAGCATCTGAAAGTTCCGACGGGACAAAGGAAAATGACGAAACGGAAGGCACTGTTGCAAGCACAGTAGAGACTTTCGAGGAGGAGAACCAGACCGTGGAAACTAAGGAGGAGCCATCAGCCGAAAACGATGTCCCAGAAAATTCTGAAATCGCAGAGCCGGAGAAGGACGCTGAGCCAGCCCCTGATGCAGTAGAGGGTAGCGAAGAGTCAGCTGCAGAGGTCGCAGCCGTTCATGATGACACCAAGGAAGCGTCGACTGAAGAGGCCAACCCGGAAACCAGCAATGAGGAAGCCCCTGCCGCCGAAGAACCTGCTGCTGAAGCTCCCGCTACCGAAGAAACCCCAGCCGTTGCTGAAGAACCTACCGCCGAGATTGCAGAACAGCCAGAAGCTAAGGAGGAGCTTGCTGGGGAAGAGACTACTGCATCCGAAGAGGCCCCCGCTGCCGAGGAAAAGACAGCTACTGAGGCTGCCGTTGTGGAAGAGCCAGCTGCTGAGGAAGAACAGGCTGCTGAAAAGGAGGCCCCTGCTGTGGAAGAGCCGGCTGCTGAAGAAAAACAGGCTGCTGAAGAGGAACCGGCTGTTGAAGAGGCCCCCGTTGCTGAGGAAAAGACGGCTACTGAGGCCCCTGTTGTAGAACAGCCAGCTGCTGAAGAAAAACCGGCTGCTGAAGAAGAACAGGCTACGGAAGAGGAACCGGCTGCTGAAGAAGAACCGGCTGTTGAGGAAAAGACAGCTACTGAGGCTGCCGTTATGGAAGAGCCAGCTGCTGAGGAAGAACAGGCTGCTGAAAAGGAGGCCCCTGCCGCTGAGGTAAAGACAGATGCCGAGGCCCCTGTTGTAGAAGAGCCAGCTGCTGAAGAGAAACCGGCTGCTGAACAGGAACAGGCTAGGGAAGAGGAACCGGCTGCATCAGAAGAGGCCCCCGCTGCTGAGGAAGAGATAGCTACCGAGGCCCCTGTTGTGGAAGAGTCTGCTGCTGCTGAAGAACTGGCCCCCGCTGCCGAGGAAAAGACAGCTGTGGAAGAGCCTGCTGCTGAAGAGGCCTCTGCCGAAGAGCCCGCTACTGAAGCACTTGCTGCAGCAGAAACCTCCACGGAAGAACCAGCACCTGAAGCCCCCGCCGCTGCAGAAGAGACACCCGCCACTGAAACGCCAGCTGTTGAAGAACAAGCTACCGAAGAGGCTCCTGTTATAGAAGAGGCTGCTACTACCGATGCGACCCCAGCCAGTGAAGATCCAGCCGAGAAAGAACCAGTTTCTGAAGAAGTACCAGCTGCCGAAGAGGCTTCTAGTGAAGAGCCTGCTGGTGAAAACTCTACGGCTGAGGAGACCGTTGCTGAGGAGCCTGTTGCCGAAGAATCAGTTGCTGAAGAAGCTCCTGTTGAAGAGCCTGTCGCTAAGGAGCCTGCTACGGAAGAACATGCGACGGAGGAGCCTGCTGCTGTCGAGGAGGTCGCTGCTGTTGAAGAGCCTGCCGCTACGGAAGAACCAGCCGCTGAGGAGCCCGTTGCTGAGGAACCTATTGCTGCTGCAGAGACTACTGCAGAGGAGCCTGCCGCTGAGGAGGCTGTCGCTGAAGAGCCTGCTACGGAAGAACCAGCTGTTGAGGAGGCTGTCGCTGCTGAAGAACCAGGTGCTCAGGAGATCACTGCTGAAGAGCCTGCTGCTGAGGAGGCATCAGTTGCGGAAGAGCCAGTTACCGAAGAACCAGCAGTCACGGAGGAAACAACACCTGCTGTTGAACAGGCCCCTGCCAGCGAAGAGCCAGTTGCTGTTGAAGAAAAAGCAGAAGAAGCAGCTCCTGTGCCCGAAGAACCTGCCGCTGAAGATGCAGTAGCAAAGGAAGTCTCTACCGGGGAAGTCCCTGTTGAAGAAACTGCCGCCGTCGAAGTCCCGGCTGAGGAAGCTCCTGTCTCCGCGGAAGCCCCTACTGCTGAAGCTCCTGCCGAGGAAGTTGCCACCGTTGAGGAAGCTGATGAACAAGTTCCTGTTGCTGAAGAAAAAGTAGCCGAGGACCCAGCAGCCGAGGAGGTCTCCTTGGTAGAAGAGACTGCCCATGTTGAGGAGACTACCGTTATAGAAGAAGCCCCGGAGGAAGCTGCTACGGAAGAGGTCCCCGCCGTTGAGGACGCTCCAGCCCCGGTAGAAGCCGTCGCTGAGGTTCCAGCCACTGAAGAGCCGGCTGTTGAGGAAGCGCCTATCAAGGAAGCTCCTGTCGAAGAGGCACCTGTTGAAGAAGCGCCTGTGGAAGAGGCTCCCGCTGAGGAGGCACCGGCTGAGGAAGCTCCTATCGAGGAGGCACCGGCTGAGGAAGCGCCTGTCGAGGAGGCTCCCGCTGAGGAAGCTCCTGTTGAAGGAACAGCTGTGGAAGAGACACCTGTTGAGGAGGCACCCGTTGAGGAAGCGCCTGTCGAGGAGGCTCGCGCCGAGGAAGCTCCGGTTGAAGGAACAGCTGTGGAAGAGGCACCTGAAGTCGACACAGAACACAAGGAGGAAATAGCAGCGTCAGTAGCGGCGGCTGTGGCTGCAGGAGCTGCAGTCATTGGTGTTAATGGTATCCATCATGCTTTCGAGCAGGAAAAGGCGGTTGAAGAGCCTGCTGAAGTCAAGGCCGTACCGGCGGAGCATGCTACCGTTGCGAAGGATGAACCTATCCAGGAACTCAAAGAGAAGGTCATTACACCGGAGTCTGCTGAGAACACCGAGGCTGTTGCTGTTGTCCTCGATGCGGCACCGGCTTCATCTTCCGAGGCAAAACCTGCCGTTGCTGAGATAGTCGAGAACGGAATCACTCCATCTAGTAAAGCTGTGGAACTTGAGACTAAGGTCACACCTGACTCTGCTAACCTCGCCCCCGTTGCAGAAACAACCGTCAATGGAACTAAGCAACAAGAGCCATATATGGCTGCAGAGCCACCGACCCCTGAGCCCGAGGCTGACCCCGCTCTCAAAGCGCTCCTCCAGGAACGCGAGGCTCTTCTCAGGAAACTCGATCAGCCCTCCACTGATCAGCTATCCAGACTATCTGTTGCAGGAGAATCAATCAAACCTTCTGAAGAACCAGCAGATGCTGCTCCGTCTACCGAGACGGCGCCGGCAGCTCAGCAGCAGTCGACAGGCCAGAATTTGGAGGCTCCTTCTGCAGACAATGCTAAATCTAGGTCTCCTAGCGCTGACCGATCTGTTGCTGCCGTCTCATTTACTAAGAGCGATAGCTGGCTGAAGGCGATCTTGAGATCGATCGTTTTCAACTTCTTTGGTACTATCTTCGCGCCGTTCCGCCGGCGTCGAGGAAATGCCTCCCAGTAAGGATTGCCGTCTTAGGTTTTTTCCTCTGGACAGCCAGCTTCTCCTAGAGAACCTCTTGTCTGTTGCCTGCCAACACTGACTTGAATCAGGATGTCCCTATTAGTTGTGGCTATTATCTCTGTTGCTGTCCCCTTGACAGCAGTTGTGTGGCGAGCATACCTGTGATGAGTATTCGACGTCGCACAAGTTGTATTAACCCCCTCAAATTCCCCTGTATTGAGTACGTGCTCTATTTATTTTTCATTTTGTGTGTTTTCTTTTGTCAATAATCCAGAATGATACCTCAGAACATAGCGGAATGCCTCCTCTCTCAATCTGGAATATAATATAATGATACCATAGCTCATTCATTTTCAAGACATCCCCGTTTCAATGAACCCATTCAGAATAGAGATAGCTCGGCGCTATTAGTCCTGATGCTGAGCTCCCTCGAATTGTGGTTGCTGATCTCCGTACCCAGAGGCCCATAATTCTGCTTGATATCGGGACCTCCCGGTATAGTTCGCCCATACTTTGATATTGGTTGCAGTCCAACAGCCTCTGCAGAATCAGATATTAATGTCTATATGCTGTCGTGCAATACTTATATGATCTCTGATACAGCGCCAAGGTGCTGCCCCCCTGTTTGCAATGATGTCTATAGATAGACCTGTTCTCTTGGAACGTCAGAGCGATATCCTTTTTGGTTTTTCTTTGTGCTTTCACGTTTCCTCATGCATCCAGATGCTGCCACACACAGCTCCATGGCGGTGAACACTGTATCTATCCCTCTTGAGGATATATCAGACGGTTCAGTCGACATGGCGTCCCTCCATGGCAACACTTCTCCTGGTTACTCCCACAACAAATCTCACTCCTCGCCTTTCATCTTCCATCTCTCCATCGTCTTCCTGTCTCCCTATCCCTGGTGCCCACCTTCAACGCGTCGTATCACGTCCAAGAGTTACACACCTGATACACTCTCGTTCCTGTTCGTGAGGATATCATTCTCTCTATCCTGATAGCACTGAAACTGTTATAACCTCACTGCACGCGTCTGTCAAGTCATGGACAGTGACAAGCCACAGGCCTCAACGGCCCAAGGCTCTGACGACCTGTTCCCAGGCGCGCCTGTTAACGTTCGTCTTCCCTTCATAGGTCCTAGTGCGAATGCATGGGCTCAGCAGAAGGAAAACGAGCGTCGACAGAGGATGCAACAGCAGTCTTCCCACTACAAAGAGGAAAAAGAGAATGAGCCTCTCCATCACAAGCAGTCAAACACTGAGCGCTTTAATGATGCTGTCGCGATCCCACTCGTGGGCCCGACTATGCCTGCATCGCAGAAGCCTGGGGCAAGGTCTTCGGGACTTGACTATGATGAAGAGCTTGCTCTTCCTATGCCAAAACCTCGTACATTGTCCAGGCCAACTCCACCTCCTCCGGTTCCCACACTCATGCAGCCTCCTACCAGGCGTGGTAGGAAGGGAAAGGATCGTTCTGTGACTGATCCTGGAAAGCCAACTGTGCCTCAGACCGTTGTCTCGATGCCAGAAATCACTTTCGAAGAAAAGAAAGTCACGGAGAAGAAGTCCAAAGTTGCAACGCTGAAGTCGAAGTTCAGTCTTAAGGACATGATAAGGGAAAGCAACAAGGATGTCTCCAAGGCTAATACACACAACGTCAAGAAAGATACCGTCGAGCAGTCGAAGTCTTCTTTCGAATCTGAGAAGTCTGTCGACTCAACGGACGAGCCTAAGCTATACGTCCCGAAACCAAAGGAGCCAGGGGTTGTTCCCTCTTCGGCTCCCCCTACCTCAGTCCCAGATAGGTTCAGGGACTCGTACAGTTCGGCTGAAGAACCACGCATCAGAACGGTTCGCTCCACTCCAGCAGCTGCTGTTGAGTCTCTCGCTGAGGGTTCAAGAAGGGCTTCTGTTGGGAGCACTGCAAATGCAGAAACACCTCAGTCGAAGTATGTGAGTTCCCAGGAAAAGATTGAAGGTATTATCATGGGCGACCCTTCACTTTCACCCACTCGTACGGGAACATACGCCAAAAGCGGAACCCCTGAGGTCATTGCATCGCAGTCACGCATTGTGAGTATGCAAGCTGAAGTGGAGACGCATAGACAGGCATCTGGAGAAAGTTCAAGCTCTCAGGTACAGATGTTTGAATCGCCCATGGAGGTGTTGTACTCCCCATCGGTGTACGGTCCTTCTGGAAGCGGCGCTTGGGAACAATTGCAACATGCTCATCCGGACACTATGCCGATGTTTTCACCGGGTCATCGAGCGATAGAGCAGAACGGCTATGGTGCCTTGAGACGTGCCTCGGACATGTCGATTCCTCCCAATATTTCAACTGAACATCGTTCTGCCATCCAGAATCCTGTCAGCAGCCAGGGACGCTCTGGCAATTTGGTGATCTCTGCTCCTGGTCCTATTCCTGTTCAATATGCATCTGCGCCACAGCAATCTCAGTATCCAAACACTCCCATCGAAGACGTGTCGCTCTTTACTGGCGTGACCAGCCACGGAGGATACGCACCTCCACCGCCAGACCCAGAATATCAGAGCACGGCCAATTTGGAGCAGCAGCTCTGGACACATGCTAGCACACTTCATCACCACATGAACAGCATGACGACCAGACTCACCAAAGTCATTGGAGATACGCACAACTGGCACATGGATCAAGTGATGCGCAACGTCGATAACCTCGGTGATGTGGCTCGCATTCTCACGAACCGGGCAGTGGGCCATTCTCAGATCGCCGATGAGACCAAAGGTCTGCTGACTGAAGTGCGAGGAGAACTTCAAGCATTGAGAAGGGAATCAAGCATCACAGATCGTCGTCTGACAGAGACGGTCCACAATATACATCGAGAGATTGCCCCATTGCGCCAGAAGGTCGACGCGTTGTATGCTGAGTTCATGTCCCGCCCTTCAGAAGCAAAGGGGAAACAGAGAGTGCAGCGTGTGCCCAGCGCAGAGGAGATTTCAGCGCGGTTGAGTAACATATCCGTAGCCTCTCAAAGCACACGGGGCAGAAGTAATACGAGACGCAGGAAGGCGAAGGAACCATCTGCTGCCACTGAAGAGTGCCCGAGTGATGTTCCGACTCCAACGGCTGCATTTAGAACACCGAATCAAGCTGGCAGTGCAGCTGGTGATGACAATGACCAAACGGTCAAGGGAGACACGGGGAAGCAGCCTCAGGGCGTTTCTGAGGCGACCACTGGAGGGCCTGACTGGAAAGCAGGCTCATTGTGTTCTGAGTCTGACCACGCTTCTGTCTCTTCCACCCTTCCTGGTCCAGAAGTTGCCTCTTTGAGCGAGAAGAATACCAGTGCTGGTGGTGAAAAGAAGAAGAATAAGACTCCGCGGAAGAAGAACGTCTTTGGTCTTGGAAAACGACAGGACGGTGAGCAGAGCAAGCACCCCAAGACTCCCAAGCATAACGGAGTCCCGGAACAAAGTCTTCCTCAGGTTTTGTCTGAAGCTGGCACCCATTCACCTCATATTCCACAGACCCCATCTCGCGCGTCGTTGGAATCATCTGCTGGTTCTGCCTCTCATATCAGTCCAAGCTTGGTGCACCCTGCACTCCGCAACCCCCGCCAGCAGGAGATTATGCGTCAGAGAGAGCAACAGAACCGCCAGCAGAGACCGCGTGGACCTTACAGACGCAACCAGCAGCAGACGCAGGGCGGTTTTCAGCAGCACCACCACCACAGCCAGCTTATCAGTCCGTCGTTCACTCCCAATCCGGCTGCTATCAACGCGTACATGAGCTATCCGCCCATGTTGAGCTCTCCGACAATACCTCCCACGCCGGGCTATCCTCCCCCTCCTCCGCCTCCGATGCCACCGCGCAATGCTCCCGGTCCTCATTACGGACCTCCCCCTTCCCCTGCCTGGGTGACTGGCGCTCCTGCTCCCGCCATGCTGACCCCGTCTGTCTCTGAACCATGGGGTCCCTCCCACTGGTATCAGGAGGCGTACGGTGGCGAGCGTGCTGGCAGCAACCAGTCGTATCAGAAGTGATACGACTGGCGTGAAAACGCTCATTCACTTGTAACGAGTCTCCTTGGTCTCTAGTCCCGTTTTGTTTCCCCCCTTCTTAATGAAAAAAAAAAAAAAAAAAAAAAAAAAAAAATGAATGAATCTGCTTGGTCTTTGTTGTGTTTGTTCACCATGGCGTTGGCCACATCTAATCTTCTGGAGGACCCCAGGGGCAGATTGGACTTCTGGTTTGTCTCCCGCTGGGTGCTTTTCCTTGGTTCCCTCCTGTTGGTCGTTGTTTCGAGTCTCTTTGGTTTTAAATCCTGTATGTTAGATGTAATGGAATTGCCTATTTTTATGTACTAGTAAAAGTGATGGTGCCCTCCTGGTAGTCATATGGTTCGGATATTTGTCTAGGATTAAAGGATCTAAAGATCGATGAAAAGAGAATTGAACGAAGAGCCCGGGTATCTTTACTACATTTCAGGGTAGTAATGGTACGTACAAGAAAGATTGTTCGATCCTCGAGCACGAGAGGATCCTATTTTGGTAACGGAAAGAAAAATCAACAGTAATATTGAAAGGCTAATCATTTCACCCCTGCGATCATCTTTTCAACATCCAGCGCGGCCTCCCTCACCTGAGGACAGTAGTGAATCCTCAGTAATTCACCTTCCCAGACGGTAGCAGCGAATACGTTGCTCTGTTCCACGTCCGGAGCAAGGGGTTTGAAGACTCCGTCGCCTTTCCGCTCCTCGGTGTTCCACAAGGGAGCTATCTTGCGTCCATGATGTTTAGTGACATTCGTCAGAAGTGAGAGAGCCGCGAGGGAAGACTTCTCTGGCAGCTGAAGAGATGCAGTCATCAGACGTTTGGAGAAACCGGCAAGGCGGATAGGAGGGGGCATGCCGTGGGAGCGGGATAACAGGATCGAATTCAAACAGCGAAGGAGAAGTACGGTCGGAGTCTGGAAATTCACTTTGGTTCTCCGCTTCTGTCCCAGTTCAGATGGATCCCTCTGGGACTCTCTCGAACCGGGGTCGGGTAGCCGCAGGGATACACTGGGGTTGAACTCAATGTCGGGATGTGTCGAGAGAGGATACAAGGCGCGATAAATATGTGTGATGAAGAAGCTGAGATCAAGGTGTAGTGACGCAGCAGCTTTGCTTGCGTCCTGTCCTTCTAGAAGTGCAAAGGCAGTGATCGTGCAGAGAAGGGTCTCACGGAGAGCATTCCGAGTGGTGGGAACATCGGTATCCTGGGATTCGTCTTCTTCTTCCTCCTCGCCTTTACCGACCTCAGCTTGTGCTATCAGTTCTTTGAGAGCCTCAAGCAGGTCACCAAAGAAGTCCTGGTTGATCAGATGAGCGTACTTTGCGAGACCCTCTAGCACAGCTCCCATGAGGTTTGGAATGCGCTGCTTCAGGATGCGGAAATAGACACCGAATACAAGCTTCAAGGTTTCCGCCTGGTTTTTGTCCCTCTGTTCATGGCTGACAAGGGCATCCGCTTCCTTCATATCCTTTTCCACCGCCTTGCGCTCTTTTAGCAATTTGCGCTGCTTCTTGTTCCTGAACTCTTTCTTTTCCTTCTTCTTGCCTCGCACAGGCTCCTCCTCAGCTTCGTGCGTGATGCGATCCCTCGAGCCCTTGGCCGAAAATTCAGACAGCAACCGGAGATGAAGAAAGGTATCCAAAACGCTTTCGTGAATTCTGAATTCTTTAGCTTTCATCATCTTCGAAAGAAGACCGACAGCTTCGAGGGAGACCATCCCATCGCTGTCTTTCTCAAATATCTCCTCCATGGTCTCTCGACACTTAATGAAGTCAGCATCGACCGGCCTCTTCGCGAGCCGGTTGACGAGAATCTTCAACAACTCTCCTCGAAAGTTGAAATGCGGAACAGCAAGTAGAAGGCTACAGGCACAGTTGATGGCGACAGTTTTCAGGCCGGGATCAACCTCTTGCTGTTGTCCTTTCTGTCTTCCTGCGAAGGACGCTAGGTGCTGGACGTAGCTCTTGTAACCGGAGAGCAACGCCTGCTCGTAGTTACGCACCTTCCGTATCTCCTTTGAGATCTTCGCAGACATGTCTTCCTCACTCAGAGGGCGAATCCTGTATCCGGGAATCACATCCCTGTAGATTGCAGCCTGCGCAGCAAGAGCTAGCTTTTTAATCGTCGTGTGGGAGGCGTTGTCCACCATATCGGTCAGCTTCTTGAAGGAGCTGACGTGCTCCTCAGGGTCTTCATTGATCAACCCAGCCAATCTCGCAAGCTCTTCCTTCGTTTGTATAATCTGAAGCTTCAGGGGAATCTTTGGCAGCTCAGGGACCTTTTCAGGCTCGGGCTCCGCAGTCGCGGCCTGCACATCTCCATCCTCGTCGCTGTCAAAAAAACTGTCCGAGTCCTCTTCCGGCGCTTCAGTCTTTACATGCTCGATGGAGCCTTCCGCAGTCTTGATGGGCAATCGCGATTGCTCTTTATCTTTCTTCGCCTTGCGTGGTCGTCGTTCGTAGTCTTGTTCAAGATCCCACTCCGCAGCTCGACTGTAGAAGTCGTTCACTGATGCCTTTTTGGAATTTTGTTTTGACGACACTTCATCATCCGGTGGACTCAAGCGTCTCCGCTTGACTGTCCGGCCTGGCGCCATTTTGCGTGTGTTTGGGGATTGTCGAGGGGTGTGCTTGATGATGAACCATCTGCTGGTCTCCGAACTTTTTTTCGGTCTCGCCGTGCGGGAAACGCCAAGATTTCACGCTAAGCGGATCTTTTGCTCCACCGCCTAGATTTTTATCTCGCGGAGCTTCATATTGATAACTGCGCCTATTCATTCCTGCGATCAAGCCAAAATGCGTCCGCTTACAGAGGAAGAGACAAAAACACTGTTTTCGAAGCTTGCCAACTACACTGGCCGCTCCTTGAACAACCTCATTGCGCCTTCAGCTGGGTCCGACGAAGCTGAAGCAAATGACCGCTACGTTTTCCGTCTGCACGGCTCCAGAGTGTACTATGTTCGCCTACAGATAGCAAACCTCGCGACCTCGATCCCCCGTGCGAACCTCCTGACGCTCGGAACCTGCATCGGCAAATTCACCAAGACCGGCAAGTTCAGAATCCACATCACCGCTCTGGATGTGATCGCGCCGCATGCGAGATACAAGGTCTGGATCAAGCCCAACGGAGAGATGCCGTTCCTTTATGGAGGCAACATTGTCAAGGCACATGTTGGCCGATGGAGCGAGGACTGTCCGGAGCACCAGGGTGTGGTTGTGATGTCTATGGATGATACCCCTCTCGTACGACTAATTTTCCCATGTTCTTTTCAGGCAATTACTGACCAGATACCAGGGCTTTGGAGTAACTGCTCGATCGACCGCCGAAGCACGCAGACTTGAACCCACTGCGATCACAGTTTTCAGACAAGCAGATGCCGGAGAGTACCTGAGAGAGGTATGTGCTTTCGTTTGCGGCTGGCATATAACTTTACTAATACCGTCTAGGAGGACAACCTCTTCGCCACATAGCGACTCCCGGTCTATTCTTAAACAATCCAAAATACGGCGTTCGCATATTTGGCAGTGTGGAGTTCTGGGAGTGTCTTTTATCTGGCTAGACCTCGGCTTCAGCTCGAGAAAAAGTTTTGACGATTTGTCCCATATTTGGTCCTGATGCACATATGCATCTTGTCTGATATCCAATGTCAGAGTTACATACCCATAATAGACAGATTTTCGCAGGAATTGTCTCAAGAGGATTTGACCAGTAGCGCTGATCTGTAGCTACACAATTGTAAAAATTCCGCTAGTATCGATCTCTCAAACATAAGCTGTATGGTACCCAAAAACAGCTTCACAGGAACAAGTCTTCAGCATAGTCACTTGATGTGTTCTCAGCGGAGACAGTGCTCCATTGACTTGAGTCCTTCTGAGAAATTGCCCTTTCCCAGTAAAGCATCGTTCTACTTCCTATAAAACAAAAAGGTATGAGCCCATAAAGTCACCTGACCAAGTACACGTGAGCGCGGTGGGCCGATCTTGGCGGGATGGGCAGTAGCAGCATCATTTGTAACCGCATACAGAAACACAACCTTGTTGTCGCGCAATCAGCACCAGCAGACACTTATTAGCGGAAACTTCTCTCCCTGATATTCTCCTTTGTCCACATTACACCTAGTATTCGATCCCACACTCTCATTGTTTTATTTCCAGTTTTCAACTCTTCTCAACGCGGGCTTTGCGGGCCGACATTTGTCCCACCATGCCCGCATATACCACTTCCCAAAAACAATATATTGCGCAATTTGTGAACTTTACCCAGGCGAAGGATGCTACTGCTGCAAAGGTATTTAAAACATCTAGCTACCGCATATATTTGCAATATTTTCGAATACGACTTGCTTCGGCAAGTCCTCGTTCAAATCACAATACAGAACAATGACATCTATCACAGACACTAACCGGTTCTAGTTCCTCAGAGCACACGGGTGGAAAGTAGACGAAGCAGTTGATGCGTACGTACTCTCATTTCATTTTTTTCCCCTGCTGCTTCCCTGGCATATCTGCTGTTTCTTGTTGCGATGCCCATTTGCATTTCATCTCCTTCTTTTCCGGGACTAGATTATCGATAAGGAGGCTCGACCATCCTAGTGGCTAGAACTCCAGGCTCAGTTATATGATGTTCAGCGCGATGTTTATGACTGCAAAGCTGCGATGGAATTGAAAATCAAGCTTCGTGGCTCGAGATAACCTCGAGGTCTCATACTATACAGGGGTGCCATGTACTCTGGGATACATTACCCCGTGGACCATCTATAGTCTGCAAGCACTTCGACTCTGCCCACCCAATCACCTCAGGAGATCACATCTTTTTTCTTGGACGTACGATATCTACGACTCCTTTATTTCCTGTCGGACAAGGACCGGTGCGACTGTAGCACCTCAAAGGCTACTGTATGAGCCCAAGACACATCCATCATGTCCGAAATAATCTCCAGTGCCTGAATTGCAATTTTCAGAGCGATGGCTATGTCTCCTATGGAGTATTAGGACATCGAAGCAGTGAGGACACTTGTTCCAATTACCAGGATGCGTCTGAGCATTGAACCCTTGACACCAGAGCCTCTCTCATAGCAAGGGGCGCAAAGCTCCACGGCTCTGATGTCTAGAGGCAGGCACAGTCTGTTCATCTATCTTTCGAGCCGCACAGTTTTTTTTCAGCGTTCGAGACGACTACTTTGCTTCCTTTCCATATTTTAAAGTCCCATTGCACTTTCCCCTGGCACTATCATTTAGTCATTCCATTGTCAACATTGTCAAGGATCTTTTAGCTCCAATCAGACCTAACAATATGATTGCAGTTATTTTCAGAGTCCGGCCGGAGCAAGTGCCGCTGGCAATACAGCTGCCCTGAACAAGATCTTTGACAGTTACCGAGGTTTGACTACCCTGGACACGAAATGGCCTTCTATTGTTGCTTACATGATTATAGATGCTCCCGAAGAGAACCCAGACAGCATCGGTATTGAAGGCGCCATGAAATATCTCGGCGATATCCAAGTCGATTTGGACGAGGTGTGCTGTTTTGGTATCGCAGAGCTCTTGAAGTCACCTTCCATGGGTGAATTCACACGAGAAGGTTTCATAGAAGGCTGGCGGACTGCTGGGTAGGCCCCCTTTTCATCTCCAAGATGAGTCCCCGAATAGCATACAAGCGGAAGCTAATGGACGGAGACAGGTGTGACTCCATTCCCAAGATGATCGCCCATGCTGCCACACTCCGCACTCGCATCACCTCTCAGCCCGATGTTTTCCGTCGGGTTTACCGCTACGCTTTCCCTCTTAGTAGACTTCCCGGTCAGCGCAGCCTACAGCTCGAAATCGCGACAGAGCAGTGGCGTCTTTTCTTCACCCCGGACAAGGGAGGTATTCAGTGGAACACTCCGAATACGCCCTGGCTTGACTGGTGGATTGAGTACATGGAAGGGAAAGTGAAGAGGCCCGTCAATAAGGATCTCTGGGAGCAGGTCGAAGTCTTCATGCGGAAGACGACAGAGGATGAGAACTTTGGCTGGTGGAGCGCCGATGGAGCTTGGCCCGGTGCTCTGGACGAGTTCGTCGCATACGTCCAGGCAAAGAGAGGAAAGGGTTCAGAAGCCATGGAGGTCGAGTAGGATGTGTAGACCACGGAGCTCATTACATATACCGTCCGGAAAATCTCTCACACGTTCTCCTTGTCGCCCCTTTATTGGAAACCCTCCATGTCCGGCATTAGGTGGGCAGATGAACGCCGCTATGTTTCAGTCTGAAATATGTCACGAGAGAGAGAGAGAACGAGTATAACTCAACAGCCTTCCATCTCACCGTTGCATATGTCCAACTATCAGCAGCAGAAGTAGAAATACGATGCATGAATGAACGTATGATACTACGCTTCCAATAATATGTAGCACACCTCCTAAAACTCAATTAACTCAACCCACTAAATAACAGATCATCAAATCAATCATCACCATTATAATACGAAAAATCCAATCCAATACCTACTTACATCCGAGGATGAAAAGATGAATCAACAGATATCAGACGAAGAAGCGTATCATATTTACACGTTTGATTAGTTAGTTAAGGGTCCTATGTATAAAAGTATGGTATGGGGCTGTAGGCTGTAGTTACATATTACTAAATTGTGGGGATGGGGGAGTCGGGGGAGTCGGGTGGTTCCATGGAACAACCGCGGAGGAATGTTTATGAGACGGGATGTTTTCCCGGAGGGGGAGGAGAGGATGGGATATTTCCCGAGGCTCGGGGATAATAGCATACGGTGCACGCATTTAGGTGTAGGTGGCTGATGAGTTGGATTTGGCGGATCATTTTTTGTTCATTCCTATACATCCAATTGATACCGCTAGAGAAAAAGAGACATATTGAAATCAAATCAAACAGGAAGGTACAAATATGACCGAGACACAAGTAAAGCATATCTCTAGACGGAATAGAAGTATAAACATAAACATCGCGGAATCCATTGGATCATCTCAAGACCAGAGTCAAACAAGATGGCTCGTGAGGATTGGAAACAGATCATCGTATTAGACATCAATAAAAGTTAACTCGTCATCGCTTTCGCTCACTAGCTGTAAGGACACGGCAGTGAGGTTAGTAATCGCTCTGGATATTTCGCAATAGCATCTGATTTTCGCATTGCAAACGTAAGAGTGTCCATGTCTGACCCTCGAGCTGAGGTCTGTCCTAGTATATTCTTGAAGGAAACCTCTACAGGTCACGGCGGGGAGGAGGATAATCGGGGCCACCGCGTCGCTGGTCGTAGTGCTGGTAAAGACCCGTTAGCAACTTTCTCTATTTAAGATAATAGGAGGATTGATAACATACCTTTCTGAGAGCCTCCAGGCGCTTCTTCTTGGTGTGAGTGTTGACATAAGTGCCGATGACGAAGCCGATCATATTGAAGAAGGGCACCCAGGCGTGTTCCGGCAGGAACTTCTGCGCGAAGGCGAGAGCGATCGGAGAAGTGCACCAGCTGACCTTCATGACCGGCATGAAACCGGCCTTGACAGTGGCACGAACCTGGTGAATCGTGCGGGCACCCGTAATGATGGCCAGCGACGAGAGATAGACTACGTTTTGGATGGGGGAGATCTGGGAGGTTTCTCGTCAGTCGATCTTGCACTCAATTGAAGTCAGAAGACCGGGAAGCACATACAACCAAGTTGCTGACAAGAATCTGTAAGATCTTGGCCTTCAGACTGGTCCTTCCAGCGAAGATCTTCTGTAGGATGCCGACGAGCAGATGGCCCAACGGCGCACTGATGAAAGATCCGTAGAGGGCCATCTTAGGCACGCGCGAGCTGAAGTAATGGCCATGCTTGCTGATATCGTGGGCGATCCATGATGAGAGTAGTTCTTGTACAGCCGACAGGAAACCGGAAGTGATCATCTTCGTGCGCAGCGGGTTCGACTGCAGCTGGCGCAGATAGGCCTGCAATCATCCATCTTGATTAGTACCTGCCCATCGTATCATCGTGAAGACGAGCAATTAAACATACCGCCAGATAGCCGTTGGGGGCATTGCCGCCTGTCAGACGCTCGCCGATTCTGTGCGCCAGGTGCTCCTTGTGGTGCTGGGGCGCCTGGGTCGCCAGACGGACGGTCTCTTCCTGGAACTTCACCGACATGTTGACTCTGTGGAGTTGCGGAGTCCGGCTTCAGGAGTGGGAATGCGGGGGATAAGGCTGGAGGATCTGATCAATGGCTGTCCACCACGACAGAGCACAAGGTCAGCAATGTGTCTTTATTCAAGAGTCTGAAGATCGTGTTGCGCCGTGCGATGGGGGATGGGGGACTGTTTGTTTATGGGTTTATGATTGGCGCGGTCGGCTCCTCGGGGGGAAGCTCACGGCAAGGTTTCGAGTTACTGCGTCGCTTCGAACCCAGCCGGTTGCTAGGTCGCACTCACCAGGATGGACAGACGCCTCGCAGAAGGCTTGTTAGGCTCGAGGAAATGATAAATGATAAAAGGGGTGACTGATGAGATTTAAGAGGGTTGAGACTGACTTGAGCTGAACAGGGTGCTCTGCGCGGCTGGGGTTAACTTCGAGATGCCGCCCGCATTTGCCCCGAGTGGACGCCCACGCCAGAGACTGCACTGAGCTGGCGCCGGGTAGAATCCGACATGAATTATTATTGCGATACAGAAACCCTCCAGTAGTATAGTTAAGTCTTGCTACACTTTCGAATCGATACTAGGATTAGGATAACCTAAGTTATTCTTTTTTAGTTACAGTACATACGTCCTGTACAGCAATTAACCTCCCTGCTGAGAGCAGAAACGGGGACTCTGCAAGTCATAACAACAACCGCAGCTGAGCCGGAGCTGGTTTCTCTCTCTGCGCACCTCACCAGCCAGTTCTGGCCCTTCTCCAGGTTCCAGCCTTTCCTGTCGGGGAATAATTAATGAACACTGGAGTTTCTTAGCGGGCGTTGGTGGGGGTTTGGTTGGCTGGTCCATGTGGCTCTCTCTCCTGACAGTTCCGACTGGCGGTGCAGGAGAGATCATACCCGATGTAAGATTTAATTGCTTGCTCTACTCGGCGGTGTATCTAGTTACCCCAGATCTGGTGGATCAGGTTGAGCTCAGGAACTATAAAAGTGGCATGTTCCAAGCACCAGCCGCTTTGGATATGCTTACAGTTTATGCCTCAGGTCCCACGTCTTCAGACAGTTTGCTCCAGGTTCTACTCAAGTATTACTTATCGATCAAGCAAACTGACAACTTGACTACTTAGTAGTGCACACAGTACAGTACATGCGCATCTTCTTAACAACATGAAAATTGTTGCAGTGGCAAGCGCTATGCGTTGTCCTTTATTAGATGGGTCTTGTAAAGCAAGAATATCCCTTCCTATTCAGCGGCTTTCTTGATGTTTGTTTCTTTGTATGTATGACAGAGGCCCCAGGGCGTCGAGCAAGCTCTCCATTGCTGGATCCCGCCCAACAGGACGACTGCCTATGTGCGAATTCTTCCTCAAAATAACCGGTGGTCACGCACCACAGTCCATCTTGGACAAACAGAAACAGTAACTATTGCTCCTCCTCATCTTCTTATTATTATGCGTGGATTCCAACTCTTGAACCACGGTACTCATTGCCTTGGAACCCCTGCTACCTTCCCGCTCATAGATGGATGAGGATGAAATTGCATCAGTGCAGAAGTCTGTCCTCTGATGCGATTCTCGTCTCTACTGAGAGAATCACTCTCTCATAGTGCTTCCCCGGACGATGGGCAACAAGCAACGTGAGACTCTGGCTCAGCCAGCGGCTACGCTCCTGCCCATCATGGCTACAAGATCACGTCCCCATTCTCCCTATCATGACCGTGCCAGGACTGGAACAGAATCACTACCTAATTTGAATTCTCCTCGCCTGACCTCCATCTCTGATGCTCCAGACACCCTACCAAGACACTTGGAGTATCCTTCTGGCTGGCTGTCGAGCAGATTCGGCAGCGATCCCCTTCCACCTATCCGACCAGCAGCTGTACCTGCAAGCGTGCAACATCCCGCTTGCACGCATTGTACTATGACGCGCAAATTCGACGATGACAGCAACGAGACCTGCGACATATGCCACCGCAAGTCCGCCTTCGGGTGGCTCTACGTTTGTACAGAGGACCACGATGGTTTCATCCCGGCAGATAACGAATACTCGTCTACTCTATGCCGCGAGAGTTGTGATTCCGATACGGCAGGTGAGATATCTCTCAGTCCCTGGATAAAGAAGGCCATCGAGCACGGCCAGTATACAACAGACCAAATCGAGATCCTGAAGCTGCAGAGAGCCAAAGTCGAAGAGGCTGTCTCAATTGCCAGGAATCCCACCCCTACTTCCTCAGTCACCCATATTTCTGAATCATCCTACATAGAAGACACAGACGATGAAGCGTGGACTGAGACTGTAGAAGATACCAGCCAACCCGATACCGAATCAGAGCCAGAAGATAGCATGCCCGGTATCTCTGGCCCGCAGGTTGATCACATCAGACCACGAGCACATCCTGTCTGTCGACTTATGTGCTGCCACGCTTGTCGTCCAGCCTGCCGTGACCGTTCATGGGCGAGTCTCAATGCTGTTTGCAATGAAACACACGTGAAGCCGCCTCCGCCATGGGACGTCTCGAACAGACGAGTCTCAAATACCAATGTCGTGCGGCACTTAGGTCTCGATAAAGCAGAGAGCAATGGTCCACTGCCGTCGGACGGATCACCTAGATCCAATGAATCGTTGAAACAGAATAATTCTCATGGTCGCGGAGCCACGAATACAGAACACACCAACGAGAAATTGCTAGCTGTTACGCCGTCTGCACGCGGCAAATTCGAGAAAATTAGACGATCAACAGAGAAGAAAGCGAGCCGCCAAGGTGGAAGGTCGCAGATCCAGTCGACAGATCCAGTTGCTCCGGGATCAGCCAGACGAGGGATCGACCTTATCAGAAAGAACAGACCTCTAAGGTCAACCTCAGATCAACAGCCCACTGCTTCCGGAGGGGAGCCTACGGATATAGGACATAATGCTGAGTTACAGACTGGACCAACCTCCAGCAAAAGCCGCCGTCCCAGTCTCGACTCTGAATCCGACAGCGAAGTCGATGTGCCCGGCGGAGTCGCGTTGACGGAGGAAGGAGTAACTACCGAAAAGGCAGATTTGGTCACGGATAAGGAGCTAGACGTTTAGATGATGGCGGGTCCCATTTATCGTATGGCAAACATCCCGACATATGAATTATGTACTACTGGCCATCATTGTATTGTCTGCGAAGGTGAGGGGAAGAGACCGGGTTACTGTTCAATCATTTCTAGTTTCTGATACCAAGTGATACCAATTGACTTCTATGTTCTGAAGCTGGAACTGCCTTTCTACTGTTGATGACTGCTATGAAAACACATTAGTTCTTGCACAAATAGTCCCCTGTACGTAGTAGAATTGTAGCATAGTAGAAAAAGTATTACTAGTACTACTACAACCACACGTGACGTCAGGACGGGTGTTTTCCCCAGGCCGAGCCTCGGCTCCGTTTCACCGGTTAATCAAATGCAGCGCCGATGCGACTCTAGCTTAGATAAATCGATACGGGCGCGATTGGAATCACTCCATCCCGCAAAGTGCTTGATTTCTGATATGCCACCATGGTGGATTCAGCGGAACCCCTAGAGCGTCTGGATGGAACTCCTGATACTCAAGCAGACCATGCGGGGAAGTCAAATCACCCCGCGGGGGAATCTAAACATTCGGCGCTATCAGGCGCAGCAACGGCACGGCAGCAAGTGGTCAAGGTGCTGTCCCAGACAGACACAACTATTGAGCGGATCAATACGTGAGTCGATCTTCCGTGGACCTATCTTCAGCTGAACGATGATCGTTTCTTGCAAGTATAACCTGTTGACGCTGTGATATGTAGTCTACTATCCACCTCCGGAGGCCAAGAGAGCGTTCTCGCTTCAATAAACTATTCTTCGCATGCTCTACATTACCTTCTTTTTTCTGCCCCTTCTGTTGCACTGAGGAATCATTTGCGACTTCTTTTGTGGCGGAAATTCAACCGCAACCATGCTGTCGCTTCATCGGAATCGAAAACATCCTCACCATCCTCATCCCCTCTTCTCGCCCTGTCCTCTCTGATGTCCGAAACCCGATACAACCTGCGATTATTCGGTCTGATACCTCTCTGGGCCTGGGGCTCGGCAGTCCTCAAAGCTCCTCCCTCTGACCCTGTCCTCCGTGCTGTGGCCTTCCTCCAGGTCTTCGTGAACGTGGTTTATCAGGCGCTGGAGAACGTCGCATACCTTGCTTCCAAGGGCATCTTTCCAAAGAGCTTTGTGGAGCGGCGCGGTGGAATCGACAAGTGGTATATATGGAGTACACGTGCATGGCTGGGCCATGTGCTGCTGGAATTTGTTCGGCTGGGAAGAGAGACGGTTTTGAGGAAGGCGAAATACGCAGAATTGGAGAAAGCCAAGACTGAACTGGATGACAAGGCAGCGCTAGCAGCTGTGATGCAGCAGGAAGAGACTCGCAGGCAGGAAATCAGAGCATTCCGCAAGAGTCTCGTGAACAACCTTGCCTGGGCACCGCTGTGTATCCACTGGAGCGTGGAACAGGGAATTGGCATCCCACCCAGCTTGACTGGATTCATAAGTTTCATCGCTGGTGCTTGGGGCCTGTACGATCGGTGGCAGGCGACAGCACACACATAAGCCCTTCCGTGGTTTGTAGGCTGGTTCCTCAATTTTACGTTCCTGATTCCAGGATGACGATTATTATGGTCCGAAAAGACCGTTTACGCTTGCAGTCAAATCAGTCATTCTTTGATGGATGTCTGTGTTTTGCTTATATCATACCCACTTTCTCTTCTTGCTGATGTGCTGGTCAGGATCATAGATTCATAGAGTTATAGACCTTTTCTGTCGAATGTGGAACATTGGGCCCTGGTATCTCTCGTACCCAGCTGCGTTTGTCCTCATAATTCGCTGCAAATATTACAATTAAATTCAATTGCTAACAATATAAACAACCCTCCTTAATTATCAAGCGCACAACTCGCCGCATCCACATAATTATCCACCGGCGCATCATCCTTCACAACCTTCCAAATAGCATCAATTCTCTTAACCACCCACTCCTCCAACGGACCCTCCCTAACCGCCTCCAACATCTCCCTCAACTGCTCCGGCCTCCTCGCACCCATAATCATCCCGTCCGCAAACCTCTCCCCATCCAGCGCCGAATGAAACGCCACCCACCGATTCGCCAACGCAGCCTTACTAATCCCAGCTTCCTTCGAAATCGCATCCCACTCCCCCAAAATACCCTTCAAAGCGGGCCTATTATACATTATATCATACATCTGCCCAATAGCCGTCGAGGTATCAAACCGTCCGCCCTTATCTGCCGCAGCACGAGCCATGTCCTCGGGGGATTTGGCTAGAAACCCACCCGCGAGGGGCGAGTAGGCGCGGAAGGATATGCGCAGTTTTCTGAGAAGGGGAAAAAGTTCGGTTTCGGAGTGCCGGGCGATGGGGTTATAGTTGCCTTCGTAGATGGTGGGGAGGATGTAGGATTTTGAAGAGGCGTAGGTGTATAAGGAGGTGAGTTCTTGGGTGGTGAAATTGGATATGCCGAACTTTTGGGAGCGTGGGTTTGTTTAGTTAAGGTTTTTTGTTTGAAGGGGTTTCGAGGGGTCTGATAATATATGGGTTTTATGGTATAGGGGATGATTGATAACTTACGCGTTTGAACTTTCCTGCTTCATAGAGCTCTTGGATCGTATCCATGATTTCTGATACGGGCGTTACAGGGTCGGGACTGTGGAGGTAGTATGTATCGACCTGTCCGGTTCATTCTTAATAAACCGAAGCAAAAAGGAAAAACATCAGGAAAAGGTCAAAAAAAGGAAAGAAAAGACGTACGCAATCAACCTTCAAATCCCGCAACGACTTCTCCATCCCCGCAAGGAGATTCTCCCTCTTCAATTTCCCAGGCCGGAACCCAGGCGCCTTTGTATGAATGGTGAATCTCCCTGGAGCGTCTAGTTCTCCTAGGATTTTCTCTGAATCTACCTGCAAGATGTGTTAGTTTAGTTTATATTCGTACGTTTGGCTCTTCTACGAGCCGTCAAGAGGAGGTATGTATGTGTAACACTCACGTAGCTATATGCTGTATCAATAGCCTTGACATCGTATTCTTCAAGTAATTTCAGAAATTCTTCACGTATCTCTGGGGTGTATGTGTTCATGGTGAAAGCCCCGAATATGAGTTCGATTGGGGGAGACATTGTGGTTGTTTCTAGAGGGGGGCACTTGTCCCCTTGAAGATTAGGAGGTAGGTAGGTTAACTATAGACGGAATGTGAATTCTCGAAGAGTAATAATCTATGAAGGGTAGTTATAGGTCTCGGTATATATTATTATTCTTCATATATCCAGGGGAGTAGATCTCGGGTCGGAAATACCCCCCCCTTTTCATTAGCTGCTACACTGGTGATTTAGAACCTGATCTCTGTGTCTATTAAGTGATTCGGCCGAGGTGCGACTTTTCCAGACATGTCTGTATCAGCGCGTCTAAGAGATCTAGGAAATCCTATATAATTCTTTGCTAGTAGCATAGTTAACGCACAACGATCATATTTCTATTATAGTGATAATGATATCCCTATTACCATACAGGATCCGAATTGCGTGTCGTTGTAAAGTTCACCACACTGGCCCCGCCGAATATTGAAACCCCAGACGGGCCCCGCTAACTACCACCTGCACTACTATATTAGATCTAACATGTACCGTCGTTAGAGAGTATCAGATGTGGGGAGCTCTGGGGAAGAGGAGAGGCAGGCGCCACACTCCACTGTGGGTGATGAAAAAGAGAATGTTCTGGCTCGGAATATGGGATAGACTATATTGAGTACCTAGGTAGTTAGAACCATCCCATGTTTGCTGGATTGCCTGAGGTGGTGGTCCTGTTTGGGTTGTTGGGGAAGCGGTTAGACTTTGATTGCTTTACTTGTGAGCAAACATATCCAAGGTATTAACTAGCATGGTAAAGTTGTCAATATTAAGGGAGTTTGTTTTACCAATTCTCAGGAGCAGTGCGGCAAGCCACGCTGCAAAGATGTCGTGCTGCGTGTGAAGAAAAAAAAGAACATGCAGTTTAATGAGTAGCAAACTTCTCAGGCCGGATGGGGCATCGAAAGAGGGCATTCATATGCCTCATGCCACCCGTTCTCGGATATAAATAGGTGGATTTCGTTTGATTTTTAGATACCTAGGCTCGGATACGGCCAACTCCCATTTGAGATTTCGATTGCGACATGCTTATATATATACTGAAGCACAGAGACAAGCAAAATTCCCAGTTTCGTTCAACAATAAGTTACTATAAAATTATGTCAAATTATTATAAAGCGCGTTTCTGCAATGACAATGGATCAGCCGTGGAAGATTACCACGGTGGAGATTACAGCTAATCCAATCCATTGAGTGAAGTAGGTCCCCTCTGCCAATTTGGCCGCTTGAAGTTGCTTCCTTTATTAACCATAAACCATCTAGCTTATATTATCTCGGAGACTTCCTACCGGGTGGGATTCTCCTCACCTTTGTCTCCGCAAGCTCATGATGGTTGTTGTGATGGCCCTTGCTATCAGATTTGCCGAAGATGGACGAGCCCAGTTTCTCCTGCCATTCAGGTCGGTCGTACTAGATGAACGCGGGATGTGCAGAAACCCATGGGGGTAAAAATAGCCCGAGCTTGCTAGGGAATCATGGCATCTGGCAGTTTCAGCCTGCTAAGATGTTGTTTGTCTCGTTGTATGGAGCCCTGGTCGGCTCTATGACGAGTATGATAACAATAAGGAAGCTCCCTGTGGGTAGGAGATCTCCAAGAATTTTATCTAACAACAAAGCATTGTCGCGTGAAAGAGAAGTAGTCATACAATGACTTCTTCACACACAATGGATTCCTCACGGACTCTTAAAGGCACAGGGAGGCCTATCATTCCGTTCCTGCACTTTCGATATATTTATTCATTCGAAGAACCACAGTATTGAAAGATATATAATGCACCGAGTCTTGTCTTGTCTTTGCTTTCCCCCTAGTATATCAGACGATTCGCACTCCGATACTATGCCAGAGGATACCGAGACGCGGGACGCTAGCGATCACGGCAGTCATGAAAGTCATGGTGATAACGCTAGCATTGAGCCTGTGGAAGACGAGGAATCAGCTGATTCTCAGGGAGAGTCCAGGTACGTATATTCTCGGATATGTTAACACCTTCCACAAACTTTGCAACTAACAGGACAAAGACAAACGCAAAGCACCTTCTTCTCCCTGCCATTGGAGATCCGCCAGAGAATATACTCTGACTTGTTGAGCCGCCACAAGAACAGAGAAAGGACCCCAAATATAAACTGGGAAATAACCCGGTTCGGCCGCGAGTGTGGCTGCTGGGAAGGCGGGACATGGGACTGTGGGAGAAATCTTCGGCGCCTGCTCGATGGCGACTATAACAGGCATGTCAGACTCGCTCCCGCTTGGACAGTCAGATACCGCCTCAGCGTACAGATCCTCAGAACCTGTATGCGGGTCTATGAGGAAGCGCGAGAGTTTCTATACGAAAGGAATCAGTGGATAGACGTTAGCTTCTGCTCGAATGCGCTACGTCAAGCGATATGTTTACTTGGAATTCGACCGGTCACCAGGCATACTCCAGTCTTCAGACAACCCAACAAATTCGCCTCAACTGTTTTCAAACTTCACATATGCCCTGCCCATTCTCGCTGTCGTCAGAGTTTCCTCAGCATGCGCACTGTCTTCTTAGTAGGTCTAGATGATCTGTCTGACCTTGTTCCTTGCATCACCAACTGCGTGTATAACGGTATCGAGCCATTATCCAGGCTTGGTATGCGATTCTTTCCAAACAATATATGGCCCCGTGGAGCAGGAAGAGAGTTGACTGAAAAAGAATTCCAAGTTCGAGTCCTCGGCGTCCTGAGCCGTATCAGGATGACACCTCATCCTAGGCTTCAAGGGCCTCTACCGGAGATAGACAGATGGGCGGAATATACATTGGATTATGTGGAACCAAATAAACTCGAAAGACGATTCGCTTCAAAACTAACCAGATACATGCCTGTTCATGAGTTCCTCGTATACTTCACGAAGAGAATGACCAGCTACGTGACATACCGCTGGGATCCAAGGTTCGAATCAGAAGAGGACAATGTACGCGATCTCGCCTTCCAGTGGTATAATGGCTTTCTGCGGTACAACGAACAGATAAACTCCGTGTCACGTTATTGCAGGAGAGCTCGAACCATCACTGTACAGCTTCAATTGCGCTATCAGATCGTTCAGCTCCACCGCGGGACCTACTGTCGTCACACCAACGCTCTCCAACATTTACTGGACGAGGGAGAGCTGAAAGAGAATCAACGGATTATTCAACACTTCTGGACCGGGGCAGAGTGGTGCCTGGGCGAGCTAGAGTGGGAGCCCTCATCAACGGAGTACCAGCTCATTTTGAACATTGGATGGTTATTCACGTGGAACCATATTCCGTCGTGGTGGGATGAGCTATGGGAATTCGTCAATTCAGAAGACTTCAGCCATGAGCGTGCGCGATATTATCTCTCCATGAACGCTTCTAGGATATCTAAGATGGGTGACTATGGCAGCTCCAGTGGTTGCAGAGACCCAGAAGGTCTGAGCAGGGAAGTCGAGAAGGCTCTTGCTCAGTTCTATAGTGATCCAGAATCGCCCAACCTGACAATTGAGGGGAATATATGACTGTTTTCGGTCCTTCTAAAGATAGTTATGGATTATTTGCATTACGTTCGTCCCTCTTACACGCACTCAATATAGCTCTTGGTACTAGATTCTAAACCGAAAATAGCTCTAGATGATACTAGTACAGAATGAAGTCGAATAGAGACCATAACCAAGACAAATAAACAAAACAGAGGTATCATAATGCATAAAGTTGAAGGATTCTAAGAAAAAAAAAAACATGAAAACAAGACTCCAGGCGCCGATTTTCGCGATTGTGTTCTGAAATGGCTGAAAATAGGCCCGTTTCAGGTCTCCTTCTGCTCTATTGTGGTGAACAAGAAAGGTAGTCAGTGTCTCATAACCCAAACGCGGAGGTCGTTAGTAACTCATGCGACCAGATAATAGAGGAGCACATACATATCAACTCGACGAGGGACGATCAAATCTACATCTCTGGAATATCCTCCAGCGACGAGCGAATCCGGTTACGATTCCTCCCGGGACTCAAACGTTGCTCTGGTGAAACGTGCAAATCAGACATTTCCTCAACCTGATCAGCAGAGGAAAACTGTGCCTCAGCCTCAACGGCCATTTGTGAGCGCCATATATGGTCATAAAAGGCGCTGTCCAAGAAAGCGTCAACGGACCAAGACGTCTTTTCCAACGGAGTCACGTCTTCAGCGGACGAGTTCCACAGGAACGTGCCAACTCCATCAACTGTGCGCACACTCCGCGTATATTCGTCGTCCCACTGCCATATATCGACCTGCACGCTGCATAGGTCCGTTAGACCTGCTTCGAAGTGGTATATCAAATTCCGTTGTTCATTGTTCAAGTTGAATATCAGCATTCCTTGGACCACGGACCGTGGATCTGTGGAACGGATGATGACTGGCGGGCTTGAATCTGCAAATGTACAGAGTCTATAGCCATGGAGAGTTGCTTGGGTCATGTTCTTGGAGATATCAACCTGTTGGCCCATGTGGATATGGTATTTCAGGACGGTGGGGATCATCAGTGGGCCATAGACGAAACGTGGGCCGCAGTCTGCCTTGCTCAAGAAATGGTCCACTTCACTGACAGTCAGGATATTTCCCAGAGCATGACGATAGTCAGCTGGATACCAGGGTTTCGGCTCCATCTGGTAAATGATTTTCGGATAGATAAATGAGGATTGTATCTGGAACCAGGGACTTTCTTGGGTAATGTATGATATGTTGGGTATGCTAAGTGGAAGCGAAGGAATCTCTTCAAATAAAGGGTAGATATACTAAGGTGCACACACAGATTTCATGAAAGGACCATGTATATGCGTCAGTGTCTCCATGACGATTGTATAAACGACATATAGTTTGTGTATGTCGTTTGCTAGAATCCTTCACAGGATACAGGTTCTGCAGGTAATTCTGACATTGTATATAAAGAGGAACAAATGATTGATATGTTCTCTATATGCTGGTAGGGGTATATAAAACTCAATATAGAAGATATAAAGAAGAATATTCAACCTCTGACGGTGGCTTCCTTCTGAAGGAAGCACAGGAGATTTTATGGGTGTCATGGATGAATAGGCAGGAACAATAACAAGGTACATACATCCAATGAATACTGTTTTCCAACAGTGATATGCATCCTACAGTGATATCTTGGGGCAGTCTACAGGGCGATTCCCCTCCTGAGGGATTTGCAGTGCCCATCTAAGTGTAGGCACCAGCCAGGACTGGAGCCTCATGCCCTGTGAATGGGTATGTGCACTACCAACAGACAACAGACATCACTCAGCTTCAGTCATGGCAGCAGAGTACTCGTTCCAGCAGATCTGGCAGCATCAGATTGTAAGAATTTCAACTACATATAGCTACGATGCGATAATAAGAGTATATATGACAAGATGGTCAAAGCAGACTGGAAGCGGGCCTGGTCCGAGCTGCCCTTCCGCACGTAAGGGACCCATGGCGGCGCGACTCCAGTTGGCGGGAAGAGCTAGAGTAAAGGAGCTTGGGTTTGCCCCCGCAGCGAAGTTGCTCCGAACCGCTCGAAGGATCCTTAGGAGACAGCCCATATCTACCATACCGTAGGCAACAGAGGATGTCGTAGTACAGTACAATAAGGTACTCAGTTAGCTGCTCACTAAGATCACTAAAGATCACTAAGAATCGAGCGGCTTCCACAGGCTTCTTTTATGCAGCTGGGCGGGCAGTGGCGGCAAAATGATTACATAGGCTGAGCCTGTCAGACCGCCTGCGGACAGCTCAGCACACGCCGCACAGCGCCTCTGCCCTTTTGCTAAGTCATCAGTCAACCGCCGCGTCTATCGTCACCTCATAACTGGAGCTGTCTCTGCCAACCTCCAGACCTCCTCCAACTCTCCATCTGTCATCTCTCTACCCCCCCTCTACATCCCACCCCAGGCATCTCTGCTTTCCTGCGAGATCCTGTCTCTTCTTTACCTGTTCGTCTCCTTTCAGACTGTTCCTTTTTCCCTCCGTCTCTTTCCCCTTCGTTGTCATTTAGTGACGTTCCCCGGCATTTCAGCCTGCGTCGCTCTCGCAGCTTGAGATACGTATAGCACAGTCTACAGCGTCGCTCAAGATGTCTCAGGAACCAGACCACGTTCACAGCAAGCAGAGGGTGCACCTCAAGTATGTCTTTTCTTCGTCTGGTGGTTGATTTGAGTCCTGCTAACAGCTTTGATAGCGACCCCTCTGGCGCTGAGAAGAAAGAGGTAAGCTTAGGAACATCAAATACCGCCACAGAAGCGCAAAATTCTGACAGCTGGCCGCAGGAGCTCGACACCTCAACGGCTATCCTCAAGAAGAAGAAGAAGCCCAACTCGTTGATGTAAGTAGTGTCTACCCCCTCCGTCTGTTGAGGAGAGTGGCGCTGACAAAGGGTCAAACAGTGTGACAGACGCCGTCAACGATGACAACTCCATCATCGCCCTCTCCAACAACACCATGGAGACGCTCCAGCTCTTCAGAGGTGACACTGTGTTGGTAAAGGGAAAGAAGCGCAAGGACACCGTCCTTATCGTGCTGGCAGATGATGATCTGGATGACGGAAGCGCTCGCATCAACCGTGTCGTAAGACACAACCTTCGTGTTAAGCACGGTGACATTATCACGGTGCACCCGTGCCCCGACATCAAATATGTAAGTTCAGCGAGTTTTTCCCCATTATATGGGCTATGCTAAACATTTCCTCTGCAGGCCAAGCGTATTGCTGTCCTCCCCATCGCTGATACCGTCGAGGGTATCACTGGCTCCCTCTTCGACGTTTTCCTCGCCCCCTACTTCCGTGAGGCCTACAGACCCGTCCGCCAGGGTGACCTGTTCACAGTACGTGGTGGTATGAGGCAAGTAGAATTCAAGGTTGTCGAGGTGGATCCCCCAGAGTACGGTATTGTAGCGCAGGACACCGTCATCCACTGCGAGGGCGAGCCCATTCAGCGCGAGGATGAGGAAAACAACCTCAACGAGGTCGGTTACGATGACATTGGTGGTTGCCGGAAACAGATGGCTCAGATCCGTGAGCTTGTCGAACTGCCCCTTCGCCACCCCCAGCTCTTCAAGTCCATTGGTATCAAGCCTCCCCGTGGTATCCTCATGTACGGCCCTCCCGGTACGGGTAAGACTCTGATGGCTCGTGCCGTGGCCAACGAGACCGGTGCTTTCTTCTTCCTGATCAACGGTCCCGAAATCATGTCCAAGATGGCCGGTGAGTCCGAGTCGAACCTGCGCAAGGCCTTCGAGGAAGCCGAGAAGAACTCTCCTTCCATCATCTTCATCGATGAGATCGACTCGATCGCGCCCAAGCGTGAGAAGACCAACGGAGAAGTCGAGCGTCGTGTTGTTTCCCAACTCCTTACCCTCATGGACGGCATGAAGGCTCGCTCCAACATTGTCGTTATGGCGGCCACTAACCGCCCCAATTCCATCGACCCTGCTCTCCGTCGTTTCGGACGTTTCGACCGTGAGGTCGACATCGGTATCCCCGACCCTACGGGCCGTCTGGAGATCCTGCAGATCCACACCAAGAACATGAAGCTTGCGGAGGACGTCGACCTGGAGGCCATTGCTGCCGAGACTCACGGTTACGTCGGATCTGATCTCGCCTCTCTGTGCTCTGAGGCTGCCATGCAGCAGATCCGTGAGAAGATGGATCTCATTGACCTCGACGAAGACACCATCGATGCCGAAGTTCTCGACTCCCTTGGTGTCACCATGGAGAACTTCCGCTTTGCTCTGGGTGTCTCTAACCCTTCAGCTCTGCGCGAGGTTGCCGTTGTCGAGGTCCCCAACGTCCGTTGGGAAGACATTGGTGGTCTGGAAGAAGTCAAGCGCGAACTCATCGAGAGCGTCCAGTACCCTGTCGATCACCCCGAAAAGTTCCTCAAGTTCGGTCTGTCGCCATCTCGCGGTGTTTTGTTCTATGGTCCTCCTGGTACTGGTAAGACCATGCTTGCCAAGGCCGTTGCCAATGAGTGTGCCGCAAACTTCATTTCCGTCAAGGGCCCTGAACTGCTGAGTATGTGGTTCGGTGAGTCCGAGAGCAACATCCGTGACATCTTCGACAAGGCTCGTGCTGCCGCACCTTGCGTTGTCTTCCTGGATGAGTTGGATTCGATCGCCAAGGCTCGTGGTGGCTCCGTTGGAGACGCTGGCGGTGCCTCTGACCGTGTCGTCAACCAGCTCCTGACTGGTAAGCATTTTTGTTGGTCTTTACGTTTACATATGAATCTGTACTAACGGTTCCGTAGAAATGGATGGTATGACCTCGAAGAAGAACGTCTTTGTCATTGGTGCCACCAACCGTCCCGAGCAGCTCGACCCTGCTCTGTGCCGACCTGGCCGTCTCGATACCCTTGTCTACGTTCCTCTGCCCGACCAGGCCTCGCGTGAGAGCATTCTCCGGGCTCAGCTCCGCAAGACTCCCGTTGCACCTGACGTGGATATCCCCTACATCGCCAGCAAGACCCACGGTTTCTCTGGTGCCGATCTTGGCTTCGTCACCCAGCGTGCCGTCAAGCTTGCTATCAAGCAGTCTATTGCTGCCGATATCGAGCGCCAAAAGGAGCGTGAGGCCGCCGGCGAGGATGTCAAGATGGAGGAAGAGGAGGAGGCTGAAGACCCTGTTCCCGAGCTCACCCGTGCCCACTTCGAGGAGGCCATGCAGTCCGCTCGTCGGTCCGTCAGCGATGTCGAAATCCGAAGATACGAGGCGTTTGCTCAGAGCATGAAGAACTCTGGTGGCAGCAGCTTCTTCCGCTTCCCCACGGCGGAGGAAGTCACGAATAACAACCAGAACGGTTTCGGTGAGGCCGGCAACGACGACAGCCTCTACGACTAGACGGTTTCCTTTATGCTTGACACTTGTCCGACCTGCGATCAGCGGTTTGGTGGAGCAACTGGTGTGGACCTTGTTTTCTTTGAGATTGATTGGCTTTTTAATGTCTTCCCTTCTGTTTAACATCTCCCGCTTGTCTTCTGTGATGTATCTCATGTGGCATAGTCGACGTGCAAGTGAACAGACAGACTGTTCGCGTTGATTCTCGGGTCGAGCCCGGTTTCACGGATCGACTACGGAGAAAATGGAATCTGACAGGCGGGTTACTGAAGCTCAGCCAAGTGGATCTAACTCTCTGACTGTATTCTACATTCCTCCCATAGATGTCCATTTCAAGACCACAAAGCTCTTGTTGTGTTCTGATAGGGAAGCTTTCCACGTAGCCAAACGAATCATGGTGTCCAAACAGGTATCATGGGCGAACAGTAATCCAGCCTCCTCAACTAGACTCCCAAGACTCCCCAGTCCGAATGTGTAAATAGAAAAAAAAAAAAAAAAAGGAAAACGCCTCTGTCCAGGATCTATGACCTGGATATGCCATGTAAATAAAAAACAGAACGATTACGTCTTGCAGCAGCGTCGGCAAAGACCAAGGAAGGTCCTTAGAGTGTCCTGTCCTCTCATCATGTCTATCTTCCCAGGGTATCCCATCCGGCCGAATCCTTCCTAGCATGATAAGTCAGAAAAGACACCCAAGTACCATCATCACGATTTGACACCCTTTCCAGCCTTTGCTTTCTTGTCTTTGACCGTCTTCTTGACGGGACTAGGCGTGCCGTTCTTCAGCGGCACTTTTCCAGCTTTGTCCGCCGTCCCATTCGTCTCTTTGCCGTCTCTCTCTTTCTTGATAGGTGGCGATTTCTTCGTCACACGAGGATTCCCATTTCCATTTTGAATGTCCTCCCCTTCTGACTCCGAGTCGTAGTCGTCATCGTCTATCTCTGCGCCTTCGATCATCACCACCTCGCGCAACGCTTCCTTAACGGCCCTGACGCCCTGGTGGACGACTCCACGCGGGATGCGCACGTCCACGTTCTCGAAGAAAGCAAGCGTGTCCGGATGTAGGTCCGCGTCTGGATCTCCATCAGCGTCGGCATCCGCAGCCTCTTCCTCACCGTTCGCTTTCTTTGTCCCGTTCCCGTTCTTGTTCCCATTCCCATTACTATGATGACCATTCTGAGCCGACGACGAGACGGCCGGGTGGGACTTGCCCTCCGCCAGCGCGACAATCGCCTCGACTACGTCGTCGAATCGCTCGCAGCGGCCTGCGCGGAGGAGTTCGAGGGAGAGGGCGCGGATGCGATCCGTCCAGCCGGCGCGCTGGAGAGAGGCGAGGAGCGTCGCGTGGAGTTCTTCGAGCGCGGACGTCGACGCCAGATGGGAGATGATGTCTGCTTCAATCGTGGGTGGCGGAGGAGGGCTGGTACCGCCGGCGGTAGAGGAAGATGAGACGTCCGCAGCGGAGGGCATGGTGTGACTTTGGTCTTTCCTTTCTTTCCTTTCCTTCTCTCCTTTTCCGTAACTGTCTGTTTTGTATGTAGTGTAGAGAGTTGGAAGTTGAAGTCGTAGTTGGGGGCGCCTTGATCAGAGATTCAAATTTCTCTAGATCAGAATCTGAACACAATGTTTCCGCAAAACTGTGTTTTTCTTTTTGCTTTCCTCCCCCTTCTCTTTTCAATGGTTCATTAGTTGTAATTTAAGAAGAGGATTATGGTCGTTCGTTCGTTCGTTCGTATCGTCAAAAGTTCCTTTCTTGCAAAGAGAAGCTAATTACCTATCGATGATGCGATCCCCAAATCCGATCGGTCGATAAACGGCGCGCAGAGAGAGAGAGAGAGAGAGAGAGATAGATAGAGGGATCGAAGAAAAAACAAGAAAAAAAGGAGGTTCCTGCCCTCCTTTCTGGAATTTTGCAGTGTTATGAAAGGAGGGATTTCGCTATCTGGGCAGTGAGTTTTTTGGGTGAAGGATAGGTAATTATTAAGTGCCGTGCGCAGGTAGATAGGTAAGGTTGGTAGTAGTAAGGTAAGTAGAGTCTGGAGGTTTTCCTCCGGTATTTGGTATTTATCCTAGGTACTGTATGTATAATTGAGCTAAATGGCGATCAATGCAGCAAATAAATTCTAACTGGCCTTTTGTGTGCTATAGGAACAATAGGTGAATAAGCTCCCAATCAATAATAAAATCTGGTGAATGTGATGATCTACAATAAAGAAATTCTTTTTTTTTTCTCAAGGCTAGAGCTTGTATAACTGTTGTGTTCTTCAATTCCAACCAAGGTGTTCCGTTACGGTAACTAACTTAACTTAATTCATGGAGGCTGGATGCATCTCTTTTTTTTTTCGCTCGCTTACTCCGAGAAGGCGGCAAGAACTTGAATTTGAACCTGTTCCGAATATGGAGATGGGGTATTATATATTGGAATCGTTGATGTGATAGAGAAGATATCCATCTACTTAATTGGATGTATTCTATTTTCTCCTGGCTAGTTATTTCTGGTTTTTGAGAAGGGTATAACTATACCCTACCATGATATATAGGAGAACTTCCATAATTCGGTTATCTGTGATAGGAATACAATATCTTTATCCTAATACACGTTATAATGGGCAGTCAGTGCTTGAATGCACGTCATCTGATGGCGCCTAGATATGTCTAGCATGGACCGAAAGCTTGCCGAGGAGACCCTGGGCCGCGGAAGATTGGGGGGCCGGCGATGCTCTGGCAGTATCTTTACTTGGAAATGCCGTCTCTACCTATCTATGGCATGCTATCTGATGCAGCGGATTCTTATGAGTTGACCAATTACTATCATCCAGACCGACCTCTGCAAGCAATGTTTACCCAGTCAACGCGGCTGGGGTGAAACCCGAAGCTGCTAAGAACGGCAGAAACAGCCACGTCCATTTAGACTTAACTGCGAACTGTTCCGGAAGAACGAAAATATATCATGAACAGGGTTCTGAACCCTGAAAAGACAGACTGAAACAGTGGCATAACACTCGCCCCCACGGCACGGGAACTGACTTGGACTGCGATTGGTGGTCGAATCTGTATATAGCAACCAGGTTTCTATTCTCGGAGGTCCTTCGAACAGGAGTTCTTCCACGTGTACGAAGTATCACTCTCTATCGGCATCCATTATTGAGCTAGAACGGTTGTTTCCTCATGACCGTGCATCTCAGGGCCCTTTAGCTCCCCAGACGCTCCGGGCGATGACCGATCAACCCTGGTCCGGGGTTTCGGGTGACTGCCGGTAAATCTGGATCTGAAGCTCTGTTCTCCCAGATAGGAACATGAGAACGGGAACAGCGCAAGTCTAACGTTGCAAAGCAAAAAATATATTCTCGAAACTAAGTAGCATGCAGTGCCCCTGACAGCGCCATTGCCATGCCAATGCCATCATCCTAGCCATGACATTCCGCGTCAGCCTTGAAAATCTCTAAGCGAGGAAATATTGGCAATATTCACATCCACAGGATCATATTGCATTATTGACTTTGCAGATTTCAATAATGAACTCACGGATACCGGACCGACGTGTGATCGCGTAGCTAAACCCCTGGTCCAATCGACGGCCCACTAGTTAGTGTTCCTAGTTCAACGGCGCGGTGGAAAAGAAGGAGATGTTGCCCGCTGGAGACAAGACTGCCCCGTCGCCCACCAGTAGGGCAGGAAATAGACTTGGCTGCTAGAGATTCTTTCTCCGGCACTATTGGAAGTATGACAGCACCACACCACTAGCTTCATCGGTCGTTGTCCCTCAAGAGTCTACCATGGAGAAGATCATGGATGGCCATCCGTCGAACTACTCAAGGGTTGACCGTAACTATTTTTGTTTCTATCACTTGCCTTGTTGGTTGTTTAGTTCGTTCTTCCACTACGAACTCGATCTCGAGGGGCAGAGCGGGTGTTATGATCGAAGGAATTAGATATGGAGCACCTGGAAGACTATCGTGATTCCGTAGACACCTAAGTATTGCTGTTGAAATTAATGTCCGGGTCATGCCCACGTTCTCTGAGCTGTAAGGGGTTAATCATGATTAGTCTACACAGACGCCCCGATCGCGTCCACCAGGGCATTAATAATATACAAGGGAGCTTCTAGTTATCTATCTAGAGCAGCTTCCTACTTCCTGATCAATTGCTGCCATAGATCCCTTTTCTACCTCCAAAAGCACGTCCAGTATAAATGATCAGGTACGCGTGGCCGATGAGACTATCGCTCTATCCCTGGCATCCGGTCTTGTGCAGAGTCTGCGTAAGACTTCATGGCTTATCGACACAAAGCCAGCCAGCCAGCCGCCCGCTAAAGTAGCTCCTTGCGAGAGATCCGGGAAATCATCTTTCGTAGCCGAAGCGGAGCGGACCCAAGGTGAGGAGGCCACTGCCACCATGAACGTAGGCTATTATTATTAGAATCAGAATAGTTTACCCTTCTCCAGCCGCCATGTTCCGTGAAAGGGGCGCATAGATATCTAACTAGAAGATGGACAGTTGTCATCATATAAACAGTGAGAGAGATTGGAGAAGCTAGGACATACTAGTAATGCTGTTTTCGGTTCTTCTGAATCCAAATGGAGTAGATTATTATTAAGTATTATTATGATGGCAGAGCTTAGCTTCCCCTATAGCACTAGAGAGTACGGAGTAGAGTATCTATGGAGTAGTATAGCCGTATTGCAGCGTTAAACTAACAATTAATTTATTATTATTATTATTATTGTTATTATTATTATTAACTCCTGCCCATCGCGCCTTCTCCTTCCGCAAAGTCCAGACCCCTGGAGGGGCGCGCCTTCCCCGGATGGGCTAAGGGCCCCTCGCACCGCAAACAGCTTAGCGCCGCGGCAGACGGGGGGCTGGTCACGTGCTGTGCCCGCACCAGGTGCGACTGCGGTTCGACTCCATCTCCCCAGCTCTCCTGCTTCAGATCTCGGGCAGCGCTTTCTCTTGCAACTTCTCTTCTCTTCTCTTCTCTTCCCTCTCTCCTCATCTCCTTCTTCCTCTCTCCCATCTGTCGGGCTGCTTCGCTGATCCCTCCTGTCGTTGCATTCCGTCTTCCCCACTCTCCTGGTTCATCCGTCCCCGACCTTATATGCCACGGAAAGATAACGGCCGCCGACACCTCTCGTTCACATAGCTTCCACAAGAATATTCTCCCTGCTTTCACGGCTCTTGAATCGCATCCAGTACTTACGACTGCTGAAGAGCATTACTGGATCAACACTTGGTTCTACAACCGTCTTGATCTGACGCATATTAGTCACGTTGCCGGCTCCGGAATAGACGAGGGAAGAGAAGGGCCGGCTGATGTTCACACTCGGATCGTGGACTTGCATTTGACATTCGTGGATCGGATCTACGATCATTTCGTGGCTTCTGAAGCTTCCTGGGCCCGGTTGGTGACGCCGTGTTGTGTTCCAAAGGAGTCTGCTGGCAACTCGAGGAGACGAATCGGAGTTGGTCTACAAGAACGATTGTTGAAGACCAATCATCGCTCGTCAATTAACTTGGAGGAAGAGGTCAATTCCAGATCAACCCATTCGAAATGTCTTTCCAAGGGACCGCATACCATGCGGACTCGGACGCAGACGACGAATATGAGCGGAGTGTCATGACATCGCCCCATCTGCCAACCGATTCTGAAACCTCTCCCACCGATTCAGAGCCTCCGTCAGCGGAGCAGACCCCGACAACATACGGAGCTCCAGAGAAGGATCATCACTTGCCCAAGACAATCATCACAGAATGGACCGCAGAGGAGTCTGCAGATTTTGTGGCTGGACTCGGTCTCCGCCAGTACTGTGATACGTTCATAGGTCAGTGAAAATGAAGGTGAAAGATAAGGGCGTGTTTGTCTGACGCTAATTCAACACTACAGAAAACGAAATCGTTGGAGAGGCTCTCGTTGCCTTGAAACACGACGAGTTGAAGGAGATGGGGATCAACAGTGTTGGTCATCGTTTGACCATCCTGAAAAGTGTGTACGAGATGAAGATCAAACAGGACATCCCATTAGATCCGGATCATTACATCCCTCTCTGTTAGTTTCCCATCTCCAATTTCTTCTGTCGACATGATGCTGACTAGCTCTATAGCGGCGGATCAGAGCTTGAACGAGAATGCAACACAGGAGGACATCGCTCGTATCATCCAGTCGATACAGCTTCGTGATGAGAGGATTGTTGCAGCTGAAGCAGAACTCCGCAGGCTGACAGAAGACTACCGACGTCTACGCGAAGAATTGCTTCCTGTCTTCAAAATGGCCAAGGATCGGTCGCAACCGTTACCCTACCAGCCGAGTCCCGAATTGTACGACCACGAGAACCAACCTATTACAACTCCCACCATTACACATCCACCAGAGCAGCAGAAGTCATCGTCCGGGATCTCACGGAGCTTCTCCAAGAGAATTTTCACCGGTGGCTCTGGCTCCAAGAATAACTCGCCCACGCATATCCCGCCGTCTGTCAATGATGGCTCAGTGCTCAACCCGTCTGCTGCAGCTGTTGCTGCTTCTACTCACCTCAGTGCAGGCATGAATGGACAGCCCTCTCCGAAATCCGTCAACATGCCTTCTCCAACGTCTCCGTCGCATTATCCTCAGACCCTCGCGTCGCGGTCCTATGCCCCTGAAGGCGTCTCGAATTCCAACCGTACTCATGACCACTCCGAAGATACATCTGCCGGCCAGTCTCGACCAGATAGAAATACTTCCACTCCTGGTTCACAGTCGCGACAGGGACAATCAACGTCCAGCTCTCGGGCAGAGTCAAGAGGCGGGGATGGTGCGCCACCAAGTGTGGAAATATTCAAGTCTTTCCGTGTGTCTATGGATGATCCATGTCACAAGGTCCTTCCAGCTGCTCTAAAGAAATACAACATCAATGCGGACTGGCGACAATACGCACTCTACATCGTGTATGGGGACCAGGAACGGTGTCTGGGTCTCGACGAGAAACCGTTGATTCTGTTTAAGCAGCTTGATAAGGAAGGACGCAAACCAATGTTCATGTTGCGGAAACATACGCAGCCGGCAGAAGGGCATACATCAAGCATATACTCGGCTACCGGTTCAGCACCGAACAGCGCAGGCTATGACAGCAGTGGGCGACCTCAGATCCAACTGCCTGGTGGCGTGCTGTAGCAAATTCTCACCCACCTTCACCACGCGTAATATTCTGAGAGTATTTGCTTCCCTCGAGAACTCTTCGCTGGTCGCGGTTATCCTTTTCTATTTTATCTACATCAGAGGCGACAATGGCAAGTTCCTCAATTTCCCAGGACTTTTTGAGCAGCTGAACTGGTTGCTGCATCAGGCGGCGGGAGTCTGGACTGTTTAATGATCTTTACCGGGCCACGACGGGATATTTATATTGATGCATATTCATCCTTTTCACTCTTACTTTTTTTTTTCTACCCTTCTATCTCTGGTTCTGATCACTCCAGCTTATTCAGCGCTTCGCATTTTATTTCATCTTTGTTTCAACTAGGTATTCCCCTTTGCGCCTTCAACATCTTGTTTTTATTTCTACAATGGGCAGATGAAATCTGGGAATAAGGAGCACGCTATGGACATGTCTACTTTTTTTTAACATTTCTTTTTCCTATTCTATTTCCATTTGACAATGTTCCTCCCTATGTGTGAACTCGGATGGGATTGATTGTGTTCTTGATATGGTTGTCTAAAAGCTTAGACGAGCAATTGGCGGGCGAAATGAAGATGGAAGACAAAATATGAATGAAAATTATATACAAAAGAACACCCGTCCGTACTTTTACCTTCATTTAGAAGCCGCGATGATCACCTTGGAGTTGATCATATCGAAATGGCCACGGCAAACTTGTATGTATGTACATACCTCGAGTATTATCTACTTCTTGCTCTATATCTTAAAAGTAAACATGATCATTACATCATGAAGTTTTATTGACTAGGTAGCAAATGGCTATAGGTCATAACGTCTCCCGGTGGAAATGGAACTAGCAAAATCATGTCTTTATGTATGTACATACATTTGCAGAAGATAAATTCCACGTCCACTCCCCACCGTTGTTTTCCAGCTAAGAGCTAGAATAACAAGTGATCTTTTGTGATACTTTTTCTTTCTTCCCCCATTCCCCACCAGAGCTTTCTTTTAGGCCTCAGCATCCAGGTTTCGGAGCTGTTGAGCGAACGTCTTCCGGATCCATTCCATGTATGACTTCCACTTGTGATGTTCAGGAGACGACTCCGCTATCGGGAAGGCTTTGTCGAGATCTCGACTGATCTTGAGGACGCCGAGAGAAGCTTCCTGTGCCTTTTCGAGCTCCTGCTTCACTGCGTTCTCCTTGGGCTTGAAAGAGAGGACGGCTCGGTAGCGATCTGAGAGGGCGTCGAGTTGGCGCTGGGTTTCTTCCGGAGCCAGGTGGATCAGTTTCGCGGTCATGAGGTTGCAGATTGTGCGGATGTCTTGTTCGTCGTCGATACCGGCCAGGATGCGGTCGAAGAATTCGGAGACATTGATGCGGGAGAAAGCGGTATCCAGACAGGCGTAAAGAGTTTCGTAGGCGCTCTATGCTATGGTTAGACACTTCTGTGGCTTTGGATTTCGTACGATATGAGTTTCTGATACTAACCTTTCGCAGCTCAAGACCGTCATCAACCTTGTGTTTGAACGGGCCCATTTGTACCTCGCGCATCAGCTCAGGTTTGATATGGGTGTCGCCAATGACGGCTGGTAACAACTCGTTGAGATGGGGAAGAATGATGTTCATCTTGTTATGTATGGCAGAGTTCAACGTCGTCAAGGCAAGACGGTGGTTTCCCAGGTCGCGATCGCTGAGCATGGTCACGAGCAGAGGGACGATCAACGGTCGAAGGACATCGTTGTATGCTCTGCTCGAGTCAGAAAGCGTGTAACGGAATGCTGATATCACGGTGCCGCGAATAGTTGGGTTAGAGTTGGTTAGATGGTCCTGGAGAAGAAGCGTTAGCAACAAGGCACCAACTCGGGGAAGGAAGTTGTAGTACCTGGAGGTGTGGAATATAAGCAACGGGATCAATCAGGGCTAGACGCCCAATACACTCCGCGCCTACAGCTCGGTTGTCTTCGTCTTCGGACACAATAAGGAGAATCTCCCAGAGCTTGACAGCAAATGGTGCAAGATCTTGCCGCACGGCCTCGGGGTGCTGAAGAAGCTCCTTGACCGAGTGAAGGAGCAGATAGTTCGAAGAGCTGGACTTATCCAACCCTTCAAGTATAACAGGCATGTATATTTTGACATTGCTGGCTGCGGCATTTCCGAGTGCCGCGGCAGCAGCCAAACGAACCTTATCTGATTTGGATGAGAAGTTGGAGATGAAGAGATCAGGCTTGAGCGGGGAATCAGTCCCCATCCGAAGACCAACCTCGCCCAATATGGCCAGAGCGAGACACTTGCGGCGGTCGTCCTGGGCAGTACGCAATTCCGTCAGGAAGTCTTCCATCTTTACATCCAACTTGGGACCACCGAACACCAGCAGGGTTCCAATAGCCCTGCCAACGACAGACGGGTCTCCATTGATGCCAACATCCCGCAAGAACCGTTTCATCAGGTCGGCACCAGCTCCCTGTTCTCCAATGACCCTCACCAAGAACAGCAGTGCCTTCAGAACAGTGCCGACCAGGGGCGCTACCACAACAGAACAGAGAGCAGAGATAAGACGGTCGTTAACAAGGAGGTCGCCATTCTTGGGAAGAATTCTAGAAAGGATGATGAGGGCAGGAGTGAGAAGATGGAAGTCGTCCGGAGTGAGGAGCGGAAGAAGGAAGTTCTCCAGATCCTGTAGTGTCTTCTGGTCATAATGGACCCTGGTGTGAGGGTTCATAGCCAGACTCCGAAGAGCCTCCAAACAGGAGCCTCGAAGACTACGGTCCGACTTCCGCAGTTGGGCAGCCAACTCCATAGTTGCTTCACAGACCCAGGCAGATGTGACATCTTGATCACTGCTAGCAAGGACAGCCACGTCGTCAATTGCACGGGCTGCTGCAAGTCGGGTCGTCTCGTTCTTCAGACGATCCAAGAGAACGGCGAGGCCCTTCGTGCGTTGAACAGGCGAGACAAATTTGGCCCCCTGGTCTCCGGATGTGCGAGCAAGCAGAACGCCAAATACGTGGATAGCTCTCTGGCGGACCTCCAGGTCTGCTGTCGTATCAGTAATCCGACCTAGGATCACATCGTAGAGCTTCTCCAGCTGCGGTGCAAGGTCTTGTTCCTCGGGCGATACGCGGGGCGGCGTGAGTGCCTTGACAATCTGCTCAATTGCACCCAGGGCTTCGCTGCTTACCTTATAGTTCTTATCGTTCACGCATCCCACAACGCCGGGGATTAAAGCAATCAGGAACGGCAGCAGTGCCTCTGAAATATGAGTCTCCGCAATTGCCGCAATCAGACTCAGCGTCTCTATTTGCAGGCTGCCGGCGCTGATCGCGGCTCCAGAAGAGACAACAGCACCGCTCGAAAGAGCCGATGCTTTCAAGGCGTCTGCGATGGGATCCTCGATCCGCTGCAAGAAATCGGCCAGACCGCCGTAGCGTACGAGGGCGAGGTTTTTCAGCAGAACGATTGCGGCCTGCTTCAGAGGCGCCGAAGCCTTTCTCCACATCTTGACCAGGCTTTGAACGATAGAGGGAACGAGGCGCGCCAGATCAGCCTGTGGACCGGATTTTGGCGTCGCCGGCAACATCACCGGCGAGCTGACGGCGGAAGAAGTTCCCATGCTTGGTTCAAAATCGATCATGCTGGCATCGCTATCCTGCCGCCTTCTCTTCCTCGTGTTCTTTGAGCCACCCACTGAGTCGAGGAAACCATTGGAAGATATGATCATGGCACCTTCACCGGTCTTCCGAACGAGCGCAGTGACGGTTGACACGACTTCCAGCTTAACACTCTCTTCTCTTTCCTTTCCAAATCTCGAGATTAATGCCGGAGCCACCTGTTGGTACAGCGTTGCGTCTTCCAGGACACGATTGCCACCGTACGAAGCCACAACCGTATACAGCACTTTCGCGGCACATCGTCGAACCTTCCAGCTCATATCATCAATATCACTGTAACCGCCCTCCTCTTCGAAGTCATCGAACTCGTCGTCACCGTCGTCGGGTTCTTCCGTGGCTCCATCCTCACTCCCTTCGTTCGTGCCCCCCATTTCCTCATCATCTTCAAACTCCGCCACATTCGGATCATATTTGAGATACCTAAGCGCAGCGTTGATTGAATCCGCGAGGTATGGCTGCATCTCTTGGCTACAGGCATCCAGCAAGGCCTCCAGTGTCACCAAGGCTGTCTCCCGAAGTTCGTCTGCTTGAGGATCGTGCTCCCCGCTGTCTGAATCGTCGTCATTCATTTCTTCCAGTTCTTGCTCACTGAGTGCGGACAAAACAAACGGCGCCAGAGTTATAAGATAAGGGCCGAACTTGGCTGGTGCAGCCCTCGCCATGGCGCCTATAGTGGCAATGAGATGGCGACGGTGAACGGTGGTCAGATGCGATGAGCGGAAGCTTTCGATGAGTTCCGATATCAGGGCACTCAGTTGCGCATCTGACAGGTGAAGTAGGAGCGCTGAGATAGCCGTCAATGCACGTTTTGTAACGACGGTACCAGCCGAATCGTTCTCGATGATTGACATGATCGACTTCTGCAGGGCAACGAGCTCCGTATCTTTCAGCAACGGTCCGAAGCAGGTGATAACCTCTATGACAACATCAATCGCATCACTGCTAAAACCCTTGGATGGGTCCTTTTCCAGCATTCCCTTGGTGACCGAACCCCTTCTCGATGTCGATGGCGTAGGGCCAGTTAGTCGTGGGATAAGCACCCGTGAGATGGCTGAGAAGGCCGAAATGGCCTCCTGACTAGGAGGCACACCTGGTTGTGGCCGTGGGAGGGCAGAGATGATAACTCGCAACGCTGTGTTCGGGACCGAAGTATCGATCGACTGAGATGCAGTCAAGGAACTCAGTTTGTCGACGAGAGGACTCAGACTCTCAGACGGTAGGCGGCTGACGAGGGGACCGAGGCTGTTTGACAGGAATCGTTAGATATGTGGTTTCCGTTGACAGCATTTCGTCTTACCATTTCAAAGCCTGATTCTGGACTTCTCCATGTTGATCATCCAGCGCTTTCAGAAGGCCGTCCACCAGTCTGCCTGCAGAGCTCTGGTCCTGTGCAAGATATGCGGAGCTAGGACTGTTCAGTATCCCCAGCAGGTCATCCAAGGACATGTATCTGATATCTGGATCAGGGTCATCGAGCTTTCCCAGCAGACCGTTGAGGTTCTGCTGGGTGGCTTGTCGGTCAACCATGGCTGCCTGTATGCTGGTGGAACGGATGCAAGATCGACTCAGAAGCAGGGGGAATAGCTCTCCCGGACTTTTAAAATGCCTGAATACAAAAATAGAAAGAACAGAGTCCAGCAGTAGTCTTGAAATCAGCCGCGTGAAATGGTCGTGAGTCGTCAACGTGGGGCAGCTTGTTCGAATGAGGGGAAGGTTAAACTGTTCCGAGACACAGTGCAGCCAGGCGGGAGGAACGTAGATGAAGGGCAGATATCTTCAGAATTGAGGATGAAGGGAAGTCCTCCTTTGTCAAAAGAACAGGATACTGAGGGGCATGCAGGATAAAGAAAGTGCAGTTCACCGGTGGTCAATAAATCGATAACGAAGTAATTCGATGGTAATTCCACGGTACAGAAGTCATAGAACGGGAACTCTAAGCTGCTGTGATTACAGGCTTGATACAGGTAATGTTACGAGGGAACTGTATCGCTGGTGGCAGCCTGAAGCACACCGCCTTGCAGCCTGACAGATGAGGCGACAAACAGGTACCTGGGTTCCCCGCCAAAATGGGTGAGGACGCAAGTATATTATTGATGACTGCCGGTGACATCACTTCGGGCCAACCACAACCAACTTGGACGGGCCCGTCTTTTCCCGCTGCGGAAGCTCTTGGAGTGCCAGGATGAGAAACCACCTGATCTTCGTTTCTCTTCTTTTCCTTCTCTCCCCCCTTCTACGATCCTAATCTCTAATCCAATTCCTCGTAATCAGTCCTCCGCGACACTCTCCAGCTTCACATTCATCACACACAATGGTTCTCCCACGCACTGCTGCCTTCCGCACCCTCTTCGCCTCCCGATCCGCCCGGGCTGGAGCCCGCGCTAGCTCCCGGGTGAGCTCACGATGCCAGCAGCTGGGACGACGATCCTACGCCTCCCAGGGTGGCCACGGCGGCGAACAGAAGAGCAGTGACCTCCCATGGTGTGTCTCCTGTTGATATTCCCTTGATTCAGCTCAATTGAGCTTGTAGATCCTGCGATAATGGTGCAACAGCGTGCTAACAGTCTTCTGTAGGGCTGTGGGTGCCGTTGCCATCACAGTCCCTTCCGCCTACCTCCTGCTCAGCTCTGGTCCTGAGCTTCCTCACGGTCATGAGAAGGAGCAGGTTCCCAAGAGTATAGCAGAGCCCGAGGAGCCGAGGGAGGAGGCCAAGGAGGAGGCCGAGCCCGAAGCCCCCAAGGAAGAAGCCAAGGAGGAAGCCCCCGAGGGAGCCAAGGAGGAGGAGAAAGAGAAGCCCGCTGAGGACGAGAAGCCTTCTCAATACGACCAGGTAAGTTGATCAGCGTTTGTCGCCATATTCTGCTTCGTTCGCGTTGCTGGGAGCTGGCTTGATAAGAGATCAGTCGAGAGACAAACCTCTACAAGCATGGCCCGGCTGATGTTACGCACCAATGTCTTTTTCTTTAAAAAAAAGAGAGAAAAAGAAGTATGGAATTGCGTTCATAGCTGACTCTTCGCAGCCCGGGGCCGTTAAGATGATTGATGGCGCGGGCAAGACTCCTGGCTCCATTTCTGGAAAGCAGGAAGGCCTCGACAACGCAAACACCTCCAACCCTTTTACGACCGCTCCTGGCAAGAGTGAGAAGGTAGAGGGCGATGTCGAGACTGCCAAGCTCAAGGGCTCCGTCGACCCCCAGCGCCCTGAGAAATAAAGAAATCAAGTCGGAGAAGACTAGACTAGCTAGCCTCCTGGCAAAAAACATGAACGAGATTAAACGTCTGGTTTACACCTCGCCTGAAATGACCAGTCGACTGCACATGTTCACGTCTAATGTTTTAAGATGATGCATATCCTTGAGCTTGGTGTGGATTGGAGCAATTCGGCCGTGCAATGTTTCTTTCCTTTTCCTCCTATCTCCCCGTCGCGTGACGTGATGTAATATACAAAGCTCGTTTTGTAGAAGTTGAAGAATATATAGCGTCAAAAGAGGGTTTCTTTCGCCTGGATATCCCCCGCACATACTTCCATAATCGACACAAACTACCAAGTAGACACAGGTCTTTTATTTGATATGAACTATTATAATTATCACACCATACATAATTGACAGACTGATATATGCAATCGACTCGATCTCAAAAAGCAAGTCTCGAAAGCAACACCTTGCCCCAAATCCCATCCCATCCCATGCCATCCACTTCGCTCATTCATGCATTATCTCGTCCCTTTTTTTTTTCTTCTTCTCTATCTATTCTTTCTTGGGCATTCCAGCTTCAGTAATCATTGCTCATTTCCTCTCTCTTTCTTTCAATTTTTCTTTTCTCCGTGAAAAAGAAAAAGAATTATAATGGCCCTATCCCCCACCCCCGCGTGTCGTGACGACGAGGGAAATAAAAAGTCTCGCTGAAACTACGGGAGGGGGAAGGGGGCCAATAATATACATAGTTCGAGGATGAAAACAAGATATCTGAATGAATGAAACCCATCAATTGCATCAATCGATTCATGGTCATGAGGAAACGAAATGTGACAGATCAGGGGTCATTAATTAAAAAAGAATAAAAAAAAAAGCATGTTCTGTTAAAATAGAACAACGTGCAAAGGGGGAAAAAAGACTACAAATCGAAAGATGGCCTTCGAAATGTAGAACCCCATTGAGCAAAAAGAAAGCAAAGAAAACAAACAAAACGCCTTCCAGCCAGAATAGCGAACGACACGCCATGATGATACAGATTTTCGCCGTTGAAAACATTGCCAGGAGTATTCAACGTCGATTCGAATCAGCCGTACACGTCAGCTAGCGCCGGCCACCTTTTTGAGGCGAGCAACCGCGAAGACTCGACACGAACGAATCGGATATCTCCAACAAAGTATGATGCAAGGCTCAGCTTCAGATAAACTCATATACAATACTAGACAGTAGGCGTGAACGACGTAGCATCCCCTTTTTCTAACGACATGCCTTCAGTGCTGATACTCAGCGATTCCGGGTTCATGAAAGACTATGCGGTATTATTCACCGGCTCTTCTTGGTGCCATTGGTCTTCGTGGCGCTGTTGTCGACGGGTTCATCATTAACCAGAACTTGGGGCGCATGGTTCTCCTGACCGACATTGCGACGAGTCACGGAAGCTTTCTCATCGCCGTTGGGCAGAGTGGCGGTCCCGTTGGTCTCCTTAGGCGCGACTTCATCCTCTTCTCCTTCATCTTCGTTGTCGCTTCTCTCGTCCTTCTTGACGTTGTCAAACAGGTAGTTCTTCAAGATCCTCAGGATAAGGAAGAGCCAGAACAAATTCACCGCCTGCAAGGATGCAAGCAGAGCAAATGTGATGTACTGACTGATCCAACACTTGTACTGTTGTGTCTCCCAGTTCAACTCGAAAGGACCCACGGTGCGGAATTCCGTCAAGGTAGCCCACAAGATCTTGAGGTTGATGTAGTGGCGCAAGTATATCCACACTCCGACGAAGAGGCCAAAGTAAGGCCCAATGACGATAGAGTCCAGGTAGTTCAATGTCTTCGACGTCTACATGCCAAAGAGAATAACAAGTCAGTTCCTGTAATCTTCCATGATACAAGTGGGGACACCTACCGCGAGGAAAAAGTCCGAGATATCATGTGTGATATAGACCGCCAGGCCCATATACGTAAAGTGGAATCTGTAGCTCAGTCCGATAAGCGAAAGGGTGATGATATGGTGACCAACGAGCTCCTTGAAGTCCTTGCGCGGCTTCTCCAGCTGCAACATCAGAACAATGGCCTGCTGCGCCCAGTAACTCGCCTGGAGAAGATAATAGGCCTTGAAGATAGCGGTGTGTTCCCGGTGAGGAAAGCCCTCAAACATGGCCGTGGTGTTGAAGTACCAGATATCCGTCTTGCTCATGACATAGAGACCAAACGGGCCGAAAACCGCAAAGTACATGGCCGTGTAGACCTGCTCCATGAAGCGGGACATCTTGCTCTTGCCGCGGATCCCACACCATTGTCCCCAGGGGCGAATCAGACGCTGCATGAGGAACTCCCGAGTGAAGGACAGCACAACGGTATAGAAAGCTACGAACGCGATATCCTTCTTTCCCTTGCCATACATGATCGGGCCGCCAGGGTACTTGGGGTCTTGCGGGTAGGACAAGAAGATGGCACTGTGGATTGGGTTCGACGGAGTGGGATTGACCGCATATCCGGCCAGCAGAACGAGCACGATGAGCAAAGGCATCAGCCATGTGTGCTTGCCGCAGAGACTTCTGAAGCGGCCCAGTGCGGATCGGGACCTGCGGCGCTTCGAGTGCGATTTCCCAGTCTTATCGGTCGCTGGACGTGAAACCTACACCCTGCGATAAGTATAACCATTCCCTCGAGATGACGGGAGCTATCGATACTCGTACCTGTTGATCCGGCGTGTCGTAGCGAGACGCTTGGTAGTTGTTCATTGTTGACATGGCCGGGGCACTGGTGTCGCCTCTGATATCCGCGCCGAGAGTGCTGGACTTTCTCCGTAACCGTGCCATCGTGGGCGGAAGTAATATGCGTTTGCTACCCGGTGGTTCAACCTATCACTCTTGCGCAGAATGGGCTGTCCCGAACGGCAGTGTTCGAGGAAACCCAGGCTTTTTGTCTCTCGCACTGGGAGGTGGAAGTCCGCCAGTGAGAGTATCACGAAAGCGGAGTGGCCGCCCGGAAACCTCGGATGCAAAGGAGGGGGAGGAACTGGAGCCTTCAAGAAGGCCCCGGAAAGAAGTCCTTTCTTTTTTTTTTTTTTTTTCCAACACGAAATGCCCGTCTCTGTCACGCACAGCAGATGCGAAGGTTGAACAGACTTTTCGAACAAATTTCCGCATCATCCAGGGGTTCTTCTACTTCAATCGGTGAGCGGGTTCCTCCGCGGCCGAACCGGCGCTAAATGCGTTAAGTGGCTCTCCGTTGCAGCGGAGGGCCTTGGCGGGGGAAGCTGGGTTAACTAACCGTCTTAACCGTGGATTCCAGTGGGAAATTATTATTATTTATTTATTTTAATGAAATTTAATGCTGGAGACTAAGTATACATCTGCCGAGTTCCTTGCTACGGTCACCAAGAACTATTATCCCGTCGTTGCACACGTGTCATTTATTTTATACAAGTACACAGTGAGTACATCAGCACAGCTTCGAAAACTGCTTTCTATCTGATCTTTCATCCCGCCAGTAAGTAAACACGAAAGGGAAAAGCTCCTGCAGCTCCTCAAGATCAAGCGGCGCCATGACGAACTGTCCTCCGTCGTTGGGGAACGCTCGTGTCAACGGAGATGCTGCCGCGCGTCTCGCGGTTTCAATCGTTCCGTTCAGTTATTCCAAGGCTGCTTAGGCCCTAGGGTGATTCCGAATCCCCCACGGCATCATATCCGATCTCGACGGTTACGCCAACTGCCTTTATAGCGCCCAGTAGTCGTTGAATTAAGTCAACTGCAATTGGATGCAGTAGGAGAGGCTGAGGCCTCTAGTAAGTTATTTCAGATGCTTTGGAAGCGATGTCCACCTTGACCTCAGCATCTAATTACTTATGAGACAAGGTAGACCGGATACCGGTCTCTCCTCAGCTTCAATCCGACAGGACCTATTCATTATTAGTATTCATGGAACTAACGAATGTTCTTTGTTGAAGATCCAACTAGACCAACAAGGAGTTCTCCTTTTTGGTCGACTGACATAAAGCCATCATTCTTCTTTGTACGGGCGCTTATCTCCGAACAGCCTCGACTCTCTCTGCATCCTGTGAGCATAATCGCATAGAAATACATTTCGATCTGATCTGTTGTCATTGATCACCTTTTAAGGCTTCATATCCCCATAATCTTGCTGCAAGCTCCATCTCAAAGCGTTCTTTCGGCATTGGGCCCTCTCCGATTTCTCCGACCATGTCGGTCCCCGGAGGAAAGTCATGCTCAAACAAAGGCTCTCCAGCTGCTCTCATATTCCCAAGAATGCACTGTCGAAAGTGCCATCTGAGCAGCTTGTCCGATACGCGATTGGGATCTGCAGGATTCCGACATACGGGGTCAAGGACCCTGCCATCGATACCCAGAGTATCAGGGCCGAATAATGTGATCTTATATCCGTCCTGCGAATATCAGATTAGGAAGTGATGACAATGTTTCGACAGAATCACTCCCATCGGGGTTATCGCGATAAGGTGGCTGTCGAATATAGTATGGATATTCCCCCGCATAAGTAGGCCGTTCTGGCAAGAGTTTATCTTGGAGACTCCTGTCGTGTCGTCCATATCCGTAACGTATCAGAGAGCCTCCTTCTCTAGGGGAAAGATATGAGCGCCCTCGAAGCCTCCCCACCGGTCAGCATCTCTCAATGAGTTCACTTGGCCAGACAAGACACACTTCCCATTGCGGCTACGTCGCGGAAACTGTCGTCTCGCCCACTAATTGTAAGGGGATTAAAGGCCTCAAGCCTCTAGACCCGTAAACCACTCGCCCAAAAAGACTAGACACAGTAATAGCCGACAGGCTATTACGGGCTCTGGCACCCCTTATATAGTTATAAAGCCCCGTGGGTTAGTTATGCTTTACACTGATAGTATGTGACATAATCCGTGAGACCTAACTATGGCTCATTCGTGAGTTCAAATAGTGCTTATTCTCGTCAGTGTAATGATTATGTAGAATTGAATTATAGAACTCATACTGTCAGAGTAATTCACATATAGGATAGAATACCGTCGGTCAGGATTGTGAATGCAAATGATATTCTTCGCAAGGGAGATTCTGCTGGGAATAGCCATGGAATACTTCACCGTAACCAGTTTGTCGAAATACCATAACTAAGAATGATATCCAGCTACCGTCTAGCATTGCTTTACGTTATTCACTAAGAGCATTGAATCCCATTCCCTCGACTGGTGGCTAATAACGCCCTGGTGTGTTTCACCACAGTATTGGCGGTCCTCCGTGTCACAGGTCGCTGTTGTGGTCCTTGCGAGCCTGTCTGTGACGATCTGATATATGGATCTAAAGCGCCAGTCTTCAGTACAGTAGTGGCTGCCATCGCCACGTTGAAGCACGCCGCTAGAGTGACGGTCATGCAAACCCTTCGTCTGACGGTTGTTGATAAGATAGGTCGAAAAGTATACTAGGATCTAGAGAGCGTGAAACTTAGCATAGATTAAGAATAGAACATCGCGGTAGAACTCGTCGATCCGCTGGCGAGAAATCAGATCGTACCTGCGTTCCTATTCCCATGTGGCATCCATTCTGACACATTCCAATGCATCATGACGGTCTGCTAATTTATCCGCACAAATTACCACGGCTAATCCCATATATACTATTTACTGTACAGGATCGGTTGTCTGCTGTCCACCTGGAGTTCTGGTTGGGTACTGGAAGTTGTGCCGGTAGCGTCAATGCTTCTGTTTTTCGTACAACTGAAAGAATCCGACTTTTATATCATTCTTTTATGACACTTCTTATACCCGAGTCCCTCGAGTCTCGACTACATGATTTGCGCAAGTGGCAGACTAAATCCCCTCCATTGTTACCTCACGCGGGAAGAGGCTCGTTTCGAGCAAGGAGTTGTTTGCAGGGGCAGCCAACAGAACCACCAACCCAACAGCGAAACGAAGGAAGAGACAGAGGAGTGCGATGGATATCAACGATCGCACTTGTTTCAAATATCCGAGCCATGTGCTCGTCTCGAGATCTCCACATCAACTCTGTGGTGCCTTGCAAATCTGCAAGAGTAGGGAGAACGGGGGCCCGTCTGCTGCAAGGAGCACGAAATGACCAGCTTATGTGGACGGATGCTGTTAACAGTAAGCAAAATCTATCTTTCCACGATACTCAAATCTCAGCCATTTTGCGCCTCCCGGAGGGCAAAGTCCAATAGAGCCCTGCAAGTGGTCGACACGCTAGCGAGATAAGCCCCTAGACAAGGTACTGATGGTTTCTTGTTTCTCCCCGGCTTCTGCCAGTGAATTCTCCGCGCGCTCCGCGTTACGACTTATTTATTCACCTGCGCGAGACCTCAACATCCGCGTAGACTGTTCGTCAGGAGGGAAGGTCCATCGTTGCTGTCGCCGTGGAAAGCTACGGATATGTGGTAGGCGAAGCATTGGAGCAATTCATTCGTTACATTTACGCTCTCTGTCCACTCGTTTGCCTATCTCGTACTTGGAGCGTGCCCATCCAGCAAGATGTACATCAGTCGATCCTCGCTCGTTGCCGTTCTCGCAGCTCTGTCCGCTAAGCTAGCATTGGCCGCCACGGATGAATCTCTAACAAAGAGAGCGTCGGATCTCGAGTTCTTTATCTCATCAGAATCGACCACAGCGTTGAACGGCGTTCTCGCCAACATTGGCCCAGACGGTGATCGCGTGCCCGGAGCGGCGTCTGGAGTTGTCGTAGCCAGTCCGTCCAAGCAGGATCCTGACTGTAAGCGGCATTGAATACACATGAGATGTCGTTGATGAGTTCCTAACAAATGGACTAGATTGGTATACCTGGACCAGAGATGCTGCATTGACGTTTAAGTGTCTGGTCGACAAGTTTGTCAATGGCAACCACTCGCTGCAAGGCCAGATCCAGAATTATATCTCCGCCCAGGCAAAGATACAGGCCATCCAGAATCCCTCCGGAGATCTCTCGTCGGGGGCTGGACTGGCTGAGCCGAAATTCTACATCAATGAGACTGCTTTCACTGGAGACTGGGGCCGGCCACAGCGAGATGGTCCAGCATTACGAGCCACAGCTCTGATCGGATACGCCCAATGGCTGATCGACAATGATCACACAGATGTTGCGCTTTCCAATGTCTGGCCCGTCGTGACCAATGACCTTTCCTACGTCACTCAGTATTGGAACAAGACCGGGTATGATCTGTGGGAAGAGGTCGATGGATCGTCTTTCTTCACTATCGCTGTCTCTTCCCGAGCCCTAATTGAAGGTTCAGCGTTGGCAAAGCAACTAAACAAGACCTGCGAAAGCTGTGATGAGATATCTGCGGATATTGCCTGCTTCCAGCAGAGTTTCTGGACGGGAGAGTATATCAAATCGAACATCAATCTGGTCTATGAGAACAACAGAACTGGAAAGGATGCCAATTCCATCATCGCTTCCATCCACTTGTTCGATCCCAAGGCGAGCTGTGACGACTCGACATTTCAGCCCTGCTCCCCACAGGCCTTGGCGAATCATAAGGCTGTTGTCGATTCCTTCAGAGATCTATACACTGTCAACAAAGGGATAAAGCAAGGTTCCGCTGTCGCTATTGGCCGCTACGCTGAGGACGTTTACTACGACGGCAACCCATGGTATATAATACTTGATTCCACTTGGTGATCTTTCTTCTGTATATCACAGCTCACTGACCAATTCTGCAGGTACCTATGCACTCTAGCAGCGGCTGAACAGCTTTACGACGCCCTATATCAATGGAGCAAACAAGGCTCCATCGTAATCACTGACCAGTCATTGCATTTCTTCCGCGACTTCGACTCATCCGTCAATAGCGGAACCTACTCCTCCTCTTCTGATACTTACACCTTCCTCACGAAAGCCATCAGAACCTACGCAGACGGGTTCATGTCCATTGTACAAAAATACACCCCCACCAACGGCTCGCTTTCTGAACAATTCTCCAAAGATGACGGGAAGCAGACGTCCGCCATCGACCTGACCTGGTCATACGCAGCCTTCTTAACGGCCGTTGAACGACGCAACGGCACAGTCCCTCCAAGCTGGGGCGCATCTGAGAATGGCAAGCTTCCCACCACATGCGCCTCGACCACTGTCAACGGAACCTATCACGAAGCATCAGTCACCTCGTGGCCAAAGGGATTGACCGGAAGCAGTATCGCCAGCAGCAGCTCCAACGATACTTCCGCATCTGGCACCTCGACCGGTTCTGCTGCAACGTCCAGCAAGAGCAGTGGCGCCTCAAAGGCCCTCATGAGCTCTTCCATGGGACGCACGAAGACCTTTGCATCTGCTTTTCTTTCAGCATTGGCCATGTTAATATACACCTAAGGAACTATTTTTGCACATCTAGTGGTTTTTTTTTTTTTTTTTGGATCTGAAAGTTGGGTTCAAGGAGAACCTGCTCTCTGGACTATTTTATCTAATATTCTCTTCTTCAGGTTTTGGTATATGCTGTTGTTTGGATATAATTAATCATTGACTCATGACATACTGGACGCTGTGGCAGATCCTTCTTTTTTGAAATCAAATCATGAGTGAATCTGTTACGAGGGATGTTACTTACGCGTACACGCATGGACATGAGAACAAGAGGAATTAAATAATAATTTCGAACGGACCATATCAAAAGCTCTTAATCCAACATTATGACTTTCGATTTTTTTTTCATTTGAATGCATCGGTAATCCTAATGATAATGATAATAACAATAGACGAGGCGGTTATTAGCTTATTCGTATGTATGTACCATTCCGAAAGTGTATTAGATGTATGCGCAAGTTTCGAAGAACACGAACACTTGATGTGAAAACAAACAGGGTATTATCAACGAGAGAAAAAAAAAAGGGAACTCCAGAATCATATGAAAAAAAAGGGGGCGGGGCATATAACAAAATAGATGCTCCCCCCTTCTTCTATCTCTCCCACCTGGTTAGTAATTAAACAACCAATTCCCACTCCGCAATAAACGCAAACGCCATTCCAACCCGACCTTGCTTCTCTCGGAATTCCTGAACAGTCAATCCATGCGCATCCTGCAGGTCTCCGAAACTAGTCACAGAAGCAATTTGTAGTTTTTGGCCTGGCGCACCCAGTATTCGCGGGTCAGGAATATCTAGATACCAGACATCTCCGCCTCCGTTGGGATTAGAGCCGCGGACGTGCTCGAAGGGTAGTTGTTGGTCTTCGCGGCCGTCGATTCCGTGGATCATAAGGACGAAAACGTAGGGGCCTGGCTGCTTGCTGTGTTGTGTGACGCTCCAGTGTGGACAGAGAAGGTTGAATTGGAAGCGGAGGGGACCGGGTTGGTAGATTGATATCTGCTTTGTTGCGGGTAGAAACGACTGTTCGTTGATGTGGTTTTTGCCCGTGTCGGACCAGAGATGAGGCTGTTGGAATCCGTTGCCGAAGATATATTCCTCCCAGCTCATAATGCGGCCATCGTCGCGGAAGAAGTGCTCTTTATTCTCGGGATAATGGCGAAGGCCGAATTCGTCATTCGACATGGTAAACTGGGACGGGTTGAATAGCGGGGTATACGGCTGATTTCTGCCGTTTACTACTCCAGCTCCCCAGCATGGGTCAATAAGCTTCCATTTGCCGCCATCAATCTTCACAGCGTTCCATGCATGACTTGATCTGAATGGGGGTAAAGCAGATCCAGGGGCTATGTTCTGGAAACCAAAGCCCTTGCCATGACCTCCAACCACGATCGCTTCCAGTCCTGCGTATGTTGCAAGAGTGGAGAACAGACCGGCATAACCCTCGCAGACGGCCAGTCCTGTAGCCAATGTATTTGCCGGGGTGGATGGCTTCACGCGGTCATTGAAGAAAGCATCTACATCGTATGCTATGTTGTGGTGAAGCCAGGTGAAAATCACTCTCGCTTTGTCGGTGGCAGAAGGGAATGGCGCCGTCAGCTCCCTAGCCAGCCATGCAAGATCTTGCGTCGGGAGTGAATGACGAGGATATTGAGCGGCACGTGTGTCAGGCCCAGAGTAGTCGCGGCATATTAGACAGCCTGTACTCTGCGAGGTATATACACCGTTCGAACCAAGACGAGGCTTTGTCGCCTGTATCTTGGAAAGATCTGGAACTGGTGGAGGGGTGCCATTGGAGACGGAACCGGGTCTCGGGGGTATATTTGGTCCCTGAGTCTGCTTGTTTAGCCCGGCGAAAGAAGATTGCCGGATCTTATCGAGCTCAGACGATGATGGAGCCGGAGGAGGAAGATTCCTAGGTGGTGGTCTAACGCCATGCTCGTCCGCAGCATTCGCCGATTTCGAGAACCCATTCACATTGGGTCTGCGCGGCGGTAGTTTTGGGACTGGCGGTTGTTCATTATCGTTCGATGGCTGTCGGGATGGCAGTCGTGGAGGTGGTCGCGGAGGCAAGCTGCGTTCGCTCACAGCAGACCTAGGCCTGGGTCGAGATGGAAGAGCTGGTTTTGGTCCCTCCGACTCACTCCTTTTGGGAGGCAGAGGTGGTAACTGTGTCTCACCCCATGCTGGCGCGCGGACCGTTCGTGGGGCCGATTCCAAAGTCGACGAGGTCCTGGACGTGCCGGTTGAAGCGATGGTCGAAATCGACAAGCCAGATGCCGTAGACTCTAGAGAGTCTCGACGTGATGACGGACGGCGCGGGGGAAGCGCTGGGGACTTCCGCGCGGGGAGCGGAGGGGTTTTAGCAGTAGTACCACTATTATTATTATTGTCTGGTTTCTGTCCAGTCCTTCTGATCGTGGGCGGCGGCAACAGTCCGTCCTGACGAAGGCCTGCTGGCTCGTTGCCAATTTTTGGAAGAGATGCAGCAGCACCGTTGACTTGATGCGGCGGAATGCTGACTGTCTTGATATTTCTCGTCACCGCTGGCCGTGAGGGCTGGGATGCTGGTGCTCCGCTCGGATTCCTCCCAACTTGCGCATTGTTTAGCGCTGCAATCCGCTGCTGAAGCGTTTGCAGCTGCGGTTCTTCTGCCATTGCCATGGGCTCAGGTACTTGAAAGACCTAAGGAAGAGGAGCGACAGCAACGAACCGAGGTTCAAATCCTGATGTAAAGTCTGAAGGCCTGTTGCGCGTCCGTTTAAATAACGCGGCGTCGAACAAGCTGAAAGGGGACTAATTGTCCTTCTGTCGTTTGAAATGACCAGGGGAAATGAGCGTTTTGAGGCTGTGAGCTGCAGGTATCCGATCCTCGAAACCTGGACGTAAGTACAGTAGATAAGTTTGTATGACCAGATGATCAGCCCCTCACAATAACTCCCATCGCAAGAAATAATGCAATAACAGTAGCCATCCAGGCTTCTCCCAGGAGCCGTCCGTCCGCTCTCGGGTGTCGACTTTCCTTTTTAAAAAGAAAAACAGCAATGACTCCTCGATGCAGAGAGTTTCAGAGCAAGCCTGGCGCTGCGGGGCTCTCTGCTTGGGTCATCTACCTAGGTCTTGGAGTCGCTAAAATAGGCCCCTAAAGTGCTTGGGGGCAGAAAGTTTCATTTAGATCGAAGAGCCTCACGATTGCTCGCCAACGCTGCCTTCTGAGTGGACGGGGCGATCTAGCTATCAAGTCCGTGATAAGCTGCCTAGCATGATAGATGCTGGCCATCACTAGCACTCTGGATTCCTAGCCTGTGCGGTGGCGATGCAATCCAGGAACGATTTGGTGGCTGAACAAGTCGAGGTTCCAACCGAGAAGAGGCCGAAGAGTGACAGCGCGGGCCGATGCCTTAACTTACTCGTCTCTCCACGCTCTGTCTATAAATAACTGAACTAAAGGATGGTGGAAGATCAAATAGATAATACTAATCACAGAATAATTCCTGACAGGATGGATACCTAGACGCCTAACGGCGACGGTGTAGAGCTTATTTGAACAGAACAGGATTATGACCTTGCAGAAAGAAAATGGGAAAAGACGAGAACATAATCCACAAGAGCCGATTCCGTCTCCCAGCACCCAGTTCCAAACGGATGGCCTCCCAGAGACGCGACTGAAGGAGCACCTCGCCATACAAATAATCACACGAAGGGAAAGAGAGAGTCGACAATGAGAAACAGAAGACCTCGAACGCAGCCCAATGCTCAAAAAAAGAAAAAGAAAAGAAGAAAACACCCTCCGGAGAATGGAAAGCAATCAGGACCGGTCGAGTGCTCGGGGCAATGAAGCACCCGTCGGTTCGTCCCAACAGCATCAAGCATCATCAGAAACCATCACTTCATCCAGTTGTACATGTCCCATCGGCACCAATGGCCTCCAATCGGCCAATGGCGCATTCTCGTCGCTAGTATGTCGTCACACGTCGCGGTAGAGCAGCAGCGGCTCACCGACATTTTCAACCTCCGGAATGGTACACTTTAGATCAAACGCTTTGCTCAGGACGATCTTGAAGATCTGCTTTGTTGGTCAGTGATAGCGCAAGACAGGAGAACGGTGTGGAGCTGGATCTGTGACCTTCTGGACGTTGATGCTATGGCTGGTGCTGCTGAAGATCAGGCTTGCTCGCATGGCCTTCGCGAACCGTTTGGCCTAGTCGCTAGTTAATAACCGCACTAAGAGACAAGTTTCTTGCTTCATGAACCTACCTGCAGAGTGATCTCTTCTTGATCTGCCCGGGGTAAGTTTGCGAAATGGTCGTACTTTGTGCCCACCAGGAATGGAATGGCGGTCTTGTTGAAGCCGCGACCCTGACGATACCATTCCTTGATGGAGTTGAGCGTGCTCTTCCGGGTCAGGTCAAACATGAAGAGAATAGCAACTGCATCATTGCAGACCAGCGGAAGCATGTTGACGAATTCTCGTTGGCCGCCCAGGTCCCAGATGGAAAATGTGATTTCGGTATTTCGAATAGAAATGGTCTTCTCCATGAAATTGACGCCTTCTCCTGTTCAGTCATCGACGCTCGATACTGGAGGGATCACGCAGCCTTACCCAATGTCTGAATGTAGTCCTCGTCCCAACTGCCTTCCACGTACTTGACCATCAGACTAGTCTTGCCTATCTGCGCATCTCCCACCATTCCAACCTTGATCACCACGCTGTTCTTGGCCGGCTGCTGCGACGACGACTGCGGCCGTTGCTGTTGTTCCTGGAACGGCTGAGAGTATCCGTATCGATCCCCACCACTGGACAGCCCCGAACCCGGCCGCGAGATGGGCTGCGGCGGCTGTTGATAGGTCATTGTGGGAGAGGAATTCCACCGCGAGGATTGGTCTGTGTCGTGAGCGTAGTGTTGAGAAGGAGGAGAGGGAACGTAGTCCGGTGCAGAGTGCGAGGAGAGATGACCGCTCTGCCCGTTGCTGTACGCAGGAGAGCCGACGAGCACTTCGGAGCCCGCCTGCTCAGGGTCAGAGGGCGCAACGACCTGCTCAGGACTCTGCTGCGGTTGTTGCGACAGTTCCATGACAGCGGCAGGCTCCACCTCAGGCGGTTGTGGCCCGTCCATGGTAGGAATGTAGGGATACGACGGTCGAGGATCTCTTCACGATAGACGCAGTGTCAACACGAGCCAACGCAGACGGGCGCCAGCACGAACGGACGTACGAACACCCAAGGAGAAAAGAGCTGTGGCACAGTGCTATGAGCACCGCATGAGATGCGATTGGGCGACAGGAACTCGAGGGGGAGTGAGCGAGGACTCGAGAAGCACAGATGGGGAGCAGCAGCTGGATCCGCAAGCTAACTAACAGATGCAATCTAAGACACGTGGGGATGGGAGACTCGGGCAGCAGAGACGCGCACAACAGCAACTGGGGCAAGCGAAATGAAACGACCGTAAAGGGACTTGCAGGCCGGGACAACAACGAGGACGACGAGAGAGCAGCAATAATAACAATGAGAGCCTGGATGAGACGAGAGACCCTCACGGCGGGCAATCAATCGTCGACCTTCAGCCCAGCGAGAGCGGGCGGAATCAGATCACGCGCTAGTGACTTTCCGGGCTAGTGGATTTCCGCCGTCAAAAAAGTTCACGGCGCTCCAAGAGGCATCTCGATAAGTTGATCGCTCTCGCGATTCCACCACCTGCGCGCTGAGGCTGTCTGCTTCTTGTTACGTCTGGACGGAGGCATCTTTCACCATGTCCAAGCGCACAGCTGATGCCGTTGAAGAGCACTCCGCCGCCCTCAAGGCGGGCGAGCGTCCCGTCGCCGATGCCCCTCCAGATGAGGTGGGGGAGTTCGAGGACGAGTTTGAAGACGAGTTTGAGAGCGAAGATGAGATCCTAGAGGCAGGAGTGGATGGCCGACCAGATGCAGAGCGGGAAGCAGAAGAACAGAAGGGTACGTGGCTGTCCTAGGCCCCAACGCGCAGTGGTCACGATATAACGTCTATGGAATGCATTGTATTGACTATTTGCATTATTGCACAGATGCTATGGACGTCGATAAGCAGACTTTTATCCCTGGTCGGACAAAGCTGGCACCGGGAGAGACGCTGTCGCCAGATCCTACCACATATCACATGCTGCACACGCTCAGTGCGCCATGGCCATGTCTGTCGTTTGACATCGTCCGTGACAGTCTGGGTGACAACCGAACGACATATCCTGCGACGGTCTATGCGGTTGCAGGTACACAGGCCGAGGGTAGCCGTGCGAAAGACAATGAGCTCATGGTGCTCAAGCTGAGCGGGCTTAGCAGGATGGAACGGGACAACGAAACCGACTCGGAGAGCGACTCGGATGATGATGAGTCTGGAGATCCCATTTTGGAGCACAAGTCGATTCCACTGAACTCGACGACAAACCGGATCCGCGCCCATCAGACACCAGCTCCCTCGGGAGACTACTCCAAACCGCCTCAGACCATCACTGCCACTATGCTGGAGAACTCCCAGGTTCTCATCCACGATGTGACCGCTCACCTCGCCAGCTTCGATACCCCCGGCGCAGTTCTTCCTCCGTCCGCCTCCAAGCCTCTCTCCACTCTCCGGATGCACAAGTCTGAAGGATACGCATTGGACTGGTCTCCTTTGCAGCCGCTGGGCAAACTTCTGACTGGTGACAACGACGGCTTGATCTACGTGACCACTCGCACAGAGGGAGGCGGCTGGGTGACCGACTCGCGGCCATTCATCGGCCACACATCGTCTGTGGAGGAGTTACAGTGGTCTCCCAACGAGAGAAACGTGTTCGCCTCCGCAAGCAGCGACGGAAGCGTCAAGGTGTGGGATGTCCGGTCCAAGTCGAGGAAGCCTGCTGTGGATGTGAAGATATCGAACACCGACATCAACGTGATGAGCTGGTCCAAGCAGACCTTCCACCTTCTGGCCACTGGTGCGGATGACGGACAATGGGGGGTCTGGGATCTGCGACACTGGAAGCCCAATGCTTCATCGCCGTCTTCGCAGCTGCGGCCATCTCCAGTTGCTTCGTTCGACTTCCACAAGGAACCTATCACCAGCATCGAATGGCACCCGTCCGACGACAGTGTTGTCGCCGTTGGTTCTGCAGACAACACCCTGACCCTGTGGGATCTGGCCGTCGAACTGGATGACGAGGAGAGTCGCGATGCCGGCATGGCGGATGTACCACCGCAGCTGCTGTTTGTGCACTACATGGAGTCCGTCAAGGAGCTTCACTGGCAGGCCCAGATGCCCGGTACGGTCATGGCGACGGGCAGTAACGGATTCGGGTATGTTACTTCTCCCCCTCGCTCTTCTAGCCATGATTCGGAGCTAACCTTTCGATACAGAATCTTCAAGACTATCAGCGTCTAGTCTATTCTTACAATTATTTATCCGCCCAGCCCAGCATCGGGACCTGAGGGCTTGTTCAATGCACAGAACCAAGTACATAAGCAAAACCTCGCCATCTATCCCACCACCCACCATCTTCAACCGATCATCACCATTGTCACCATATACCAACAGAGTCGATAACCATCAGGATATCTACGTGATTAACTCGACCAGGTACATACAGATGACGTACTACAGAGCATCAACAAAAAGGCAAGGCCAAAAAAGTCAAGATTCCACCTGAACGATCGTCATGTCATGAAATGTAATGACATTGCATGTCCTTTTCTTCTTTTTAACGCTTTCCTATTCAATGTCTAGATATTGGCAGTTCTATACAAAAAAAGAAAAGTTTCAATGGGATTGGATTATTCATTCATTCATCACTTATCGTTCAGCATTCAGCATTCAATCTTCAAGATTTAGTATTCAGTATTCAGTATTCAGTATTCGACGGTTCTCATCGAATCCACGTCTGATCTATTATTTATTATCTAAGTTCATCCATACATCCACGCTCAGCTAGAATTAGGACTCCAAGTCTAAATAACACTATCTATCAAGGGATCCATCTATCTATCAGAGACACGCAATGATAAAAAAAAAAAATTATCTCGCAGTGTCTGTCTCGATTGAAAATATCCATAGTTTCCACTTTTACCATCAGTATGTACAGTACGTGCCCCCTTCTAGGATTATCTGAGATAATACAACGCCCGCATAGGTAACAAATAGCTATGTTATACTACGATAATACTTAAGTTAACTATTACCATTCCCAGACCATTTCTCAAGCAGTGTAGATTGGTTGGTGATGTCTCTTGAGAGTACTGTAATAACCATAACCCCCACGCTTCCCCACGCCAACGTACAGTAACTATGTATGTACACATCGTATTATATATCAGGCAGCTAACTAACTACCAGGCATTATTACATAACATATCTCTTATGACTAATTACCTGTTTTTTGCTGTTTGGAATCATTTGAATACCTTCACGCGGATTGGGGGATGGGGGATAAGATTCACGTGATCGGGGAATTTCGGTCTTTGGTGGGAGGAGGGGGGTGGATTATTTAGAATAGAAAGGGGGCCAAAAAAACAAAAGTTGACGCCCGGATCGCTGGGTGACTACTGTAGTTATCCTATCGCTATCACGCTTCGTTATCGGCAAGGAGGGGGAGGGGCACGACGGCGCAGCTCTCAATCTCCTTGATTGAAACTGCGCAAAATAATTACGCGCCGCTCCACTAAGTTAGGTATGGTATGTACTTGAGTAGGGCGCGACGCTTTGGTGGGGAATACCTAATTAGACTGTTAGAATAGGTAGGTATGGTAGTTTGACTCTGGTCTGTGAGTCGGTCTTCTTCCCGTCTGCTGCTGCAGGGTAAATCATCGATTGCCTGCCTGCCTGCCTGCACGTTTGAACGGTTGGCTTGTCTCGTTACCGGGGAGAATGCTCTTTTTTTTTTTTTTTTTCTTTTTCCAAGGTACAGGACAGGGCAAGAATGGTTCGTCTTTTTTGATACAGAGAAAATAAAATAGATAAAATGTGAAAAAGGCCAGCAAAAGCCGTAGCCGAATTTACATACTAGGGATCCACATCGCAGGGTGTCGAGACTACCTATGGTATGCCCAGAGGACAAATAGAAGCCAGATGTCGCCCACAAGTCACGGACTGCCGGATGATCCTGAAACCCTGCGCTGGCCAGCTGTGGACAAGCTAGACTGTGGTTGGGCAATACTGGACAAGAGGCCACTGCGCTGGCCACTTTGAGAGCTTCACGATCATCTTACTATCCGACTAGACTGTGGTCTGTCCGCATCGCATGCATGAATAGTAGCCGAATGGCCTCAAGGCTGGCCCAGTCCGTCTCATGCATGTCACTTGGGGCCATCTAGAGTACGTCCACGGCCGCACGGCGATTCGGAATGGCCCATCAACTGGACCCGCTGTCAGGAATGAAATTGAGAAGTGATGTTTGCGCGGCGATCGGATACTGCAAAGGGAGAGGTGCCACTGTTGTAGTGGAATAATAAGGCCGTGGATGATGATAATACATGGCTCGCACGAGGGACGACTTTAGTCGGCCGTCTGGTCTGTATGGGGTGCAGGAACCAGAATAGTCGCTCGTGCTCCCTAGGCGGCACAACGTTGCAACTTGCTCAGCAGTTTTGATTCATTGGACAAGTATTATAGACGCTAGAGTACTGGCCATGGCCCACGATGCGAAGGTATCTCATATTTTCATGTCGCGATGATCTGTACATGTGTGGTGCTGTGAGCCATGGGGCATGCTGCAAAACATCGGATAGAGTGTGGAAGTATGTATATCTTAGATCGTTACCACGTAGCAAGACAAGGGAGGATCTAGTCAAATCGATGATATTGTCGTCAAATGTATTCCATATCTGGCAGTTGATCCCATAGGGCCTGTTCAGTCAGTGCTTCTCGAGTAACTAACTCGTATGAGCGTTGGCGCTTGGACGGACAAGAGATGAAATAGAAGAGTTCAAGATGAGAATCTTCGATCCCTTCCCGGGGTAGTGCCGATTAATACATTGATGCGGCAAATGTCTGTCACGCAGCGACCGATCCAGGCGTTGGTGAAGGTAGTTGGGGTCTAAAGACACCCAGACGTTGGACTGCGGTCGGTCATCAGTAAAGCATCGTTGATCCTCCCGGAAACGGCATGCACTGTCATGTCCTTCTGGGATGAACTGCGTTTCTATGCGTGGCAAAGTCTGCCAGCTTGTCTTTGTCTTACGGAGAGTGTTTTCATCGGAGGATTGGTTCTTCAGGATTGTTGTTGTCTGTGACAAGCCAGAGAGAAACGAAGAGTCTTGGGATTTGCAATGGTCGCGGACGATCTAGAGTCACTGGACCAATGGTCATTCGTGACAGTATCTAGCACCCATGTGTCTCGGGCTTGCAAACTGCAAGATGCATGTTCTCAAAGCGAGGCAGGTAGAAGTGCGTTGATCTGGCAGTCGCCACAAGAGACATGGCAGGTATGCTTGCAAAAGAGAAGATCTCCTAGCATCTGCCTGATGCCCTGGGACAGCAATTGGGTGATGTACTCTGAGCCATTACCAATCGTAGCAGCACTGATCCGCATCAGCGAAATATACCGCGCACAGTAACCATCGCCGTGTGTCTCAACGTGTCTCGACTGCTATGGCAAGACCATGACGTCTCACAGGACTAGGAACTGACTACCATACGCACGGTTCCAGAGCTCATCTGGAAGGACGGCAGAAGGAGCTCTGCGATGGTTGGGTGGCTGGACACTGAGCGCTTACTACGGAGTACATTGGACCTGCATCTTTCAGCTCCAACCTCGAGCCATACTCTAGTGCTTGGAACGCAATAGCCAAGATGTCGAATGAGAGTCGCTCGAATGAGCCACTAGGGAACACAGGTTGGCGGCCTGAGGTGCTGGAGGACATTTTGGCCGAGTGCGAGCCACGGATGATCGGCGCCCGCAGAAGTCGTTGAAGATGCGATTTGGAAGCGCCCTACGAGATTGACCATGACCATGACTATGAGCATGTCCATGAGCATGTCCATGAACATTCAAACACAGTTACTACTCCGTAGTGACCATCGATCTTCCGCCCATAGCCGTGTCCGGACACCGGATGCAGGACGATGCCCGGAACGAGGGAAGCCCCGAGACCGAGCAGCTGACTGCTTTATCCAGGGTTCAGCGCTCTGGCCGTGTCCGGGCGAGACTAGAACTGCTAGTCAGTTACAACAGCTTCATCCGGGGTTCTGCGGCGGCTGGTCATGTGGCCGCGGTTTCATGGGTCGAGCTTTGCTTTCCCAGTCGACACGAGGTCCCTGCGCGGACATCGTATCGGAGATCTCGACGGGGACGCTATTATTATTATGGATTGTTGGGAACTGTTGATGCTCGAGGTAAGAATCTTCTACATAATCCAACGATTGATTAATTAATTAACTAGCAGTCGATTCCAGACTGCCTTTCCTCCTTGAGGTCATTTCTCGCCTGGGACGAACCGACCCATCGACTGTTGCCCTGTGGCTGTGAAGCGCGCGACTAGTTAACCAGAGGTATTTACTCTACCAACTTCGAGAGTTATGCACAGCTCGATGAAATATCTTGCTCTCCCAGCAGAACCTCGTCTCATGACCATCGTGACCCGCAACCCCGGGTTTTAGACCCTTTGGAGTTTGGACGAGCCAAGTTAAGCAGGATCGCGGGACCCCGTACCTTTTCACCCACGGATCCCATCGAACGGCCAGCTAGCTTCCATGGACCCGCTACCCCAACCACAAAGATCTGGTCTTTTTTAAATTTTTTCTTTTCGTGTCTGTCCATCACACTATGTGCAGGATGGCGGTCTGTTCCAGTGGTGGCAGAGACACAGAAAGCCAGAGAGGGCGTGGAGGAACACAACAACATCATCGAGGCCGTCGGCACTCGGTTCGACCATGGGAAAGCTCCTGAATGCGGTTTTCGGTCTCCTGCAGAACAGCTATTCGACTTCTGGGTCGCCATGCTTCCTCCCCGGCGGATGAAGACAGAGGGCGAATACTCCGTCGATCGCCGACGCTGGTTGGTTTCTAGAATTTAGCATTCCTGGGGAACGTTCAGGGGGAGCACGGCGGATCTGGAGAAGCCAAGACCACACGGGCCAGTTGCTAAACCTTTTACCTTGTTCGTACTCGACCTTACTCGACTACCAACGAACTGCTGGCCTATGGAGAGAGGTCGAGCCTGTCAGCATACAGAAGACCACGAAGGAAATCAATCACAAGCACCACCAAAATACGGGGACAAAAAAAAGGACTCGAGCTAGGAGAATAATCATACGAAGAAAACCATCTACGTACAGTACCAGTACATACTCTAGAGTTAGAATAACTCAACACTTCTGGGGTCACCGCTCGGCCCTCCACAAAAAAATCCCCCACCGGCGAGCGATGGCGCATGCTCCTGCTAAATTCGGCCGGGGTGGGCCCTTCCGCCACCACCTGATTTCGCCTGGCCGTCTCCAGTAACAGCTTGAGCCAAGGTTGGTTCAACATCGACAGCGCCGCCAGCACACACGGGCCATGTTCTGCCCCTGGTCGTCTGTACCGATGACACCGTTATGGTACCGTATCATCCGTGCACAGTTATCCGCTACCTGCACTTACTATTCTAGAGTAGATAACTACTACTGTAGTTAGTTCGTTTTACTCCGGATTTCCTCTCTGCGAATTTCGAAGCCTCGTCCATGATTATCATCATTATTATTAATCTGCTTCCCGTGACAAGCGCAATCTCCTTACACGGTCACCCGTATCGGAAAGCGAGTTCGGATCTCATTCCAGTAGCCTGAAACGGCAACTGCTTGCTTCTGGTCAATAACAATGCTTTCTCTTCGGGACGCCAGAAATCAACAGCCAGTCAGCAGAAGCACTGACCTCCCATGCCAACTTAGCGCAGGCTGTGGTTGGCCAGCGCTCTGCACAGCTCCGTCATCAAACAGAAGAATGGCGACCATTGTCTAGGACTCAGTTACCGTCCAATGTCTTTGGTTCCAGAATCTCCCGGGGAGGAGCTTTGGAAATCCTTTTTTTTTTTTTTTTTTGGTTTTATTTGGGTATCGTAAGGTGGTTCGAGTAGCATGTGGTCGTGACAGTAAGCTATTATAATCAAGAAGAAACAATAACGCGAGTGACAATGAAGACGGAAGACAGCTGGGTGGCCAAAAAGACAAGGGTAGACAACTAGCACTGCGCGAGCACTGGGAGCGGTGCGTGGTTCTTAGGGCGAAATATCGTGGCATCGATACGTCGGGACTGGCCGGTCATGACGTTGTTCGGCAGTTGTTCAGCACTTTGTCCAGCGGGGCGTGGAAAGAGAGATCCAGGTCGCGTGCACCGAGGGTCTGGGGTGGAGGGGGGCCGCATCCCAGGTGGGCATCTCGGTGATCGCGTCGAGATTAGTTTGCGGGCCGTACTGGAGACGGACACTGGGGGCGGTCACAATGGTCACGGCCGTTACCAGCGGTCCTGGCGATAACTTACCAGCGTCGAGCCAGCGACGGCGCACACGCAAGCGGTGATTGGCGGAGCAGCGCAGGCAGCGTCTGACCTGGGGGATATTCCAGGCTCCTGAGTGGCTGTCGGCAGCAGGTACGCCGTGGAGCCGATGGATCGAGGCTGTGGCGCTCCCCATTGGCTGTGGCCGCGGTCCATGCTCGGGTTAGCGCCCCCCTCGAGTAACTCTACTGACGTTGGTTCGTGCTGGCCGCCGCCGCCGTCCTCGTTCCTCTGCTTCTGCCAGAAGAGTAGTAGAACTACTACTACTACTAGGCGTAGGTACGAAGGCGAGATCTCGCCGCCAGGCACTTTCTATCTATCTGCTCCATCTTCCATCCTGAAACCCCCCCCCTTCATTCTCCGTAAAGCGAGACACATCGTCCCTTTCTGCAATTTCTCGTCGCAATTGAGGTCGTCGCTCCGCTTACTGCCCTTATCGCCTCGTTCGCCAGTTCCCCGCCTACCCACCAGTGAAACCCACTAGTTAGACGAATGCTCGCGGCACGAAGCATCAGCCCTTGCGGAAGAAGTCGAACTGTTGACCGGGACTGGGCCCTCCGGGACTCGACGGTAGAGAGGTGAATACAGTCGTTGATCTGAAGAACAATAACAATACCTCATCCGTGGTCTCCATTTTCATTGACCGTCCAATTCCCACCGACGGGTCGACCAACGTGGGATCCGATCTTTGTCCAACCCAGCCTTGCGCTTCCCATCCTCGCGCCACAACGTAGGTTGACGAAGACAGAAGAAGAAGAAACAGCAGCGGCACAGACGGTCCCGTGGGAAAATCCATACATCTCACCAGGTGACCTGCGGATTCACCGGTGTCGAGAAACTCGGTAGGTTGTCGCCTTGTGTCGGTTGTGGTCTGTCAGCCCGGCCCTTCGCTATCCGCCGACCTTGGATCAGTTCGATAGCCCCCGTCTGGCTGCCTCCAGGCATCATAACATCCCAAATGCTGACTTGATGTCATCAGTGTCCTTGACCTCGAATCTGCTGGTAGCTGCTGATCGATCCAACCCCGAAGAGAGCTCTCTCTCTCTCGGTGACGCTCACGTTGCAGCACAACTGCGTGGACGATCCAGAGGCGCTCCATAGTTGCCTCCCCCCCGAAATATAACTCACTTCCTCGTGAGTTCTTCTCGAGAGAAGCTCTGTGTTCAGTCACGGAGCTACGTCAAGAGATAGGAAAGATGTTCTCGGATACCATGGTGGCCCAGGACGGCAATCATAGCCCCAAGACGGAGGATCTCGCCTCCATCAGCGAGGTCCCTGTAAATGCAACGGGTATGTTTAGATGCTGTCCTCTGTGATGTCCTCAGGAGCCCACGACTAATTGATAATGCGGTCACAGCTATGATTGGACTGGACGAGAACAACAAGCAGTCCCCGTCGAGTACCCAGAACGGGTCGACGAACGGACCTGCCCCAAAATCAGACAAGCCTCGACCTCATGTCTGCAACACTTGTGGCCGCTCCTTTGCGCGGTTGGAGCATCTGAAACGTCATGAGCGCTCTCATACCAAGGAGAAGCCCTTCGAGTGCCCGGATTGTGCTCGTTGTTTTGCACGTCGTGATCTGCTGCTCCGGCATCAGCAGAAGCTGCACATGACAACAACACCTTCGTCTCGTCCGAGAAATGGCAGGAGAGAGAGCATCGGTGCCGCTTCGACCGCCACCAACCGCGTCCGCAAGAACTCCACGGCCAGTACGACGACAAGTGCCGCCATGAGGCCGAGAGCCAACACCATCAGTCATATCGATGGCTCGTCTTTGGGGGTGGTCAACAACAACGTGAACCCTCCAGCTCCCGGGCTGGGACATTCCGGCCACACTTATCATCCCAGTCTTAGTTCAGTGTCTGGAGGCCCCAACTTCGACGGCAGAGGATTCAGCTCGGGACATCCTCCAGTCAATGGTCTGAAGGTGGAGACGTCGGGAATCCCTATGGATATGTCTGGTGGACTTCGCACTGCGCCCGTGTACGGGAGCTTTGCCTCGGACTTTGGCTTGGGTGAGATGCTGCTAGGCCAAGGGAGCACGATTAACCCTGCCCAGCTACATTTTGCAGGCTCTCCCCAGGCCTTTGGCAACGACTCGGAATCCTCGCCTTTCAACCATGCAATGCAGGGATTCCACTCTGTTACGGACCCTGCGCTGGACGACGACGGCAACTTCGACTGGATCAATGGATTTGACACTACGGTGCCGCTGGGAAACACCGATTCGGTCATTGACGAGTCATCGCCATCGGCCATGAGCACTGGCAGCCAGAGCGGAATCAGTGAGCCGTTGCTGGACGGATCGACTCAAATGTCCATGTCCTCAGCCGGCTGGCACAATGCCTTCCCTCCGCACACGGCAGCACCTTCAGCGCCCTTCGCGATGGACTTCTCCTCTTCGTTTCCTGACCTCGGTATCCCGCCAGAGACCATTTCGCCAAAGTCGCTCATGGCGCAGAATCAATTCACGGATCCTTCTTTTGCATCGCCTCCGCCTATGGCGCCTATGGGCCCCTCAGTGTTGGGAGGGCACTCGCAGAGTATGTTTTCATCCTCAATGGTAACCAACGGAGAATCTCCTAATCCTCTCAACGTACCTTTCGCAAATAGTCCCCTTCGAAAACCCGTATCTGCCAGTCCAACAGATCCTTTCGCCGACACGGCCCGACAGGCTGTATTAGCCAATATGACCTTACCGAACGGGTCAGCACAACGCCGGTATTCTCAATCGACAAATGGAAGCCCATACACCCGCGATTTCACACCACGCCCGACTAGCTACAACAACAATAACACCAGCAATAGCTCATATCTGCTCCCCAGCACCTTCGACCTGCAGCGATACGTTTCCGCATACATAAATTATTTCCACCCTCATCTTCCATTCCTCCACATTCCGACTCTCGACTTCCAGAGCCCTGACTGTGCAAACAACTTGCGGACGCCCAGTGGACATTTAGACCTGAACCAGAACTTGAATTCGCCTGGAAGCGGCGCTGGGTGTTTGATCCTTTCGATGGCGGCTATCGGCGCGCTTTATGAATTCGACACGGCTGTCTCGAAAGATCTCAACGAATGTTCGAAGAAGTTGATCCAGATCTATCTCGAAGGAAGGAGAAAGGCGGACATGTCAGCAGCCTTCAGCCGTGTCAACACCGCCAAGTCAGAACGCGACAATTCTGTTCTCAATACGCCCTTGTGGTTGGTGCAAGCGATGTTGCTGAATGTCATCTACGGGCATACCTGCGGAAACAAGATCTCCGCAGATATCGCCAGCACCCACTGCGCCGCATTAGTTAGCCTTGCCCGAGCGGCAGAACTAACCCGTCATATCGAGCCAGAAAATCTCCCTCAAGACTATCTGGGCAGCGGTACCGTTAACAGTGAAGCTGAACTGCAGACTTCCGGCCCACTCAAGGAGAGAAAGGACTGGCTCGACTGGAAGATAGTGGAAGAGCGCAAACGAACCCTCTATGCCATCTTCACCCTGTCTAGTTTGCTGGTCTCCACCTACAATCATGCGCCTGCCCTAACGAATTCCGAGATCCGACTCGACCTGCCATGTGAGGAAGACTTGTGGGCTGCGGAATCGCCTCAGGCTTGGAAGAAGATGGGAGGGAAGTCTGCAAAGAAGTCATGTTCCTTCTCATCTGCGCTCGCTACCCTTCTTACTGCCAGCCAACGGCAGCAGCAACCGTCCAACCCGGCCTTTGGTGGCAACCATCAGTCAGGGGATCTAGGAGAGACCGATCTGAAGCCAAGCACTTTCGGTTGCATGATACTGATCCAGGCCCTGCACAACTATATCTGGGAGACGCGCCAGAGACACATGGGACGCCAATGGACTGCGCAGGAGACCGAAGCCATGCAGGCACATATCGAGCCTGCTCTCAGGGCATGGCAGACTGCCTGGGCAAGCAACCCTCTTCACAGTCTGGAGCGGCCGAACCCGTTTGGGGCAGGCCCTCTGTCCGCTGACAGTATTCCTCTTCTGGATCTTGCCTACGTTCGGTTATTTGTCAACTTGGGCAGAACCAAGGAAGCGTTCTGGCAAAGAGATTGGAATGCCATGGCAGACGAGCTTGCGCGCGGCGTAGACATCATTCCGCAAGGCGATGAGAATGGCGCTGACGGTCAGAGAGATGAACTTGATTCTATGCGGTTTCACAGGGACTCGATTGCCGATCTGGGGGTGGAAGATCTCAACCTCTCCAAGACCCCGACGCAAGATCAACCTATGCACGGCTATTCAGCGGGCCACCAACGGTCAGGTGACTCGAGACGCGAGAAGCATTTGCGGAAGGCTGCTTTCTATGCAGCAGACTCCATTTGCATGTCGGACAGACTGGGAAATACGTTTGCTGAGTTCACTTCGAGAGAAATTCCCCTTCAGTGCGCAATGTGTTTGTTCGACTGTGCCCAGATCCTGGCTGAATGGATCACCACCGTGCAAGAACGTGTGGGACCATATTTGGGAGTTCTTGGAAGGGATGAAGTGGACTTGACCCAGGTTCCTGGTATAATGCTTCTGGAGGACGAAGACTGCAAGCTCATCGAAAAGATCAAAGAGATACTTTCTAGTATGGAAGGGAAAATGCAGCGCGAAGCCCAGACTCCTGGCTCTGTGCACGCTATGAGTGCTTTGCAGCGTATGCCGAGCGCTGTCGAGGGAGGATACGGCAGTAAGATCCTGATGGTTGCAGCCTATCTGTTCGATCGGGCTGCAGTTTGGCCAGTCCTCAAGCTTGTCGCTCGATCTCTTGAGACACAAGCCGTGATGATGAAAGAGCGTGCTCAGAGTTCCGTCGCAATTGGTCACTAGCTTTGTCGATACTTCTCGTCTTATTTGCGCCGTTCTCCTCCACTTTATTTCATCCTTGGTTTTGAGACACCGCCTGGATGTCACCAGCGATACCCCGACAGATACCCATAGACGAAACGATCGGAATATTTTTTTCTGCTGTTATCAAGAAAAGAAAATCTGAATAAAACTTCAGTCGGAATGCGAGGATACGGTTCACCATTCCGTGTACGAGCGTCTGCTTTCGATTGGGAACTTTCCCTTCACTCTTCCCACGGGTGGGTATGGATTTTGTATATGCGAATATTGTTTTCTGCACATGCGGTTACGACGTCACGGCCCGAAATTGAGTTTTATCTTCGCGATGTGTGGAGCAAAAGGCAAGATAAATGCAGGGTCGAAGACAACCACAAACACGGCCTCTCTTGCCATTCCCCTAGTCGACCTTGATCCCTTCAACAGGCCATCGACTCTCACAGTCGCCCTTTGTCTTCCTGCCATTTACCTATGCGCTGTTCGATTCCGCTGAATCGGCGCAGATTTCCAAAAATTTCCACTCTTCCTGATCATATAAGGTGTTATTCTCCTTTCACTTTTTCTTCAACGAGACAGATCTGATAAATCGAACTCTGTCCTTGTTTTACTTTTCCACCAGAGAAAGAAAGGGCTTCGAGAAGTTGCTCCAACTCGGCGCTTAGAATACCACTAAGCGTTTTTGCCTCATTGGCTTGTTTTGGCTCTCTGGATTTGTTTCCATTTATTTCCTTTTTTATCTTATTTTTCTTTTGACAATGATGCGTCATGATACATGTACTTGCAATTGCATGTCTTGTTTTTTTGTATCTAGGGAAATGGAATGGAACGGACTGTGGAATCTAGTGTATTGTGTATTGTGTATTGTGCACTGTATATAGTAGACATCCTGCCTAGGCGTAGCATCTAACTATGTTGTTTTGACGGGTGTGATTGATTGAATAACTTCGCTGAGTAGTTCCTAACGAAGGTTCTGGTAGTTCTAGATTGGAGAAAGTTGGTCTCTGCGTCATAATTAAAGCATGCTAGCAAGCATTCAGAAAATGTAAATATCGTGGCTGGTTTATTTTTCTTTTTTTGTTTACAATATACATATGTATAGTACACAATATAGTTACTAGTTTATAACAATTACTTTTTTTTTCGTGACAAAAAGCTCCCTATATAACACCGATGGGACTTGTTGGTTCTCGTACCCCGTTCCCTTTTCGGAAAGAAAAAATAAATAAATCCAACATGGAATGAGACGAAGGTGAACTCCCTTTTGTTCAGAATGGACATGAATGTAGAAGTAGAAGTATGTATGTATGTAATAAGTAGCATTGTTCTGCTTTCTTCTTTGCCTCTTTCGACCTAGATTTATTTTAACTTACACAAGCAATCTCTCAAAAGCATACTTGCCCATAGCTTTGCGGCGCAAGTAGCCGATCTCACGACTACTCCGCGTCTTGACCTCGCCAGTGGATTTCTTGACTTTCTTACGACTGACGTCGCCGTGTCGGGTGGCTTTGAGGGATAAGGGAAGCATCTTGCCGCCAGCTTCGGGGTCGAGGAGGTCATCTTCGTCGGGAGGAGCGTAGGTGATGAGCTCGGCGCCGTTGAGGCGTTCGTGCTTCTCGCGCGGTGCGGGAGTTGGGGGGATTTCTTCGCCGGCGAGGTTGGTGGGGACGCTGGGGGTGACGACCGTGGAGGCGTAGCGGAGGAATTCGCGCAGGATGCCTTTCAGGTAGCTGGCTTCTTCGACGCCGGCGAGGGCGAAGGAGATTTCGGTCTTCATGTCGCCGATGAGGTCGAGTTCGTTGGCGAAGCCGGCGGCGGAGACCCAGCCGGATGGCCCGATGGCGTCCACGCAAGCGGATAGGAGGTCGATGATGGAGTCGAGGGTGAGGGAGGGAGAGACTTGGTGCGTGGCGAGCGGGATGGGAGGAGACTCGGTGAAGCGTGTGGTGTAACCGCCTGTCGCGAGGGAGATGCGAAGATGCTGGATCACGGAGAGGGTCTCCGTGTTGGAGAGAGTGGAACGGATAGATTTGATGACGTCGGGGATAGCGTGGAGATGGAGTTTGATGAGGGTGAGATTCAGACCCGTGAAGGCGTCCGTCAGAGCAGATTCGGGGCTGCGGGTGACTTGTTGAGAGGTAGAAGCACCTTCAACGCCTTCCATCTCATCGGCTTCGTCCCGTGGTCCGTTCGTGATAGCTCGGGCTGGCTCATCAAGAGCGGCGAAGCGGGTGCGTACGACTTCGATGAACATCTTCAGCGCGGCTGCCAACTCGTCGGTGCTCAGCTTCACCGGTCCTTGGAGGACTGATAGGAGAAGCTTGAGAGAGGGATCAAAGTCCACCAGAGAACGAACGAATGAACCGCTCGGGAATGGTGGAAGGATACGCGGCTTTGCGCACCGGCGGACGGCGATCTCGACGTTGTTCATCGATAGACGGCCCGAGTCGATTAGCCATTTGCATGTTTCGCTGGGCCAGAATGAAACTGCGAGTTTGGTGGTATCTTCACTCTCGCCAGAACGAGCGAAGAATAGTTTTGACAAGACAAGCAATATCTTTTCCGGGTTGATGAAGCGATCCACCGGAGCGGTAAGATCAAAATATGACTTGACAGCCTTATCGAAGGCCTTTGTGTCCTTGTTCTGCGATGCGAGATCCAAGCTCTTTCTTAGTTTGTTCCACTTGTCGACCTCTTCTTGTCCATCCAGACCCAACAGCTCGAGATGCTCTTCTTGGTGTGCCCCCGTAGTATCCCACACCGTAGCAGAGGATTTGAGACCGCGGCCAATGGCATCAATCAGCAGTCCATCTCTCTGGCGTTTGAGAGACTGTGCTGGAGCAGTGTGGGCCGAGCTCAGGTCGAAAGCAAGCAGATTATTTCCCTTGGTAGCAACCGCGATTCCCAGTTTCGCAAAGTAGCTCACGAAGGCCACCGGGGACTTGTTAATGTCGATTTTCGATGAGCCCTCAGACAAGACATCACCAATCGCAATGCTTCGCTGTATGGACTGGTACTGCGTATCGTACAGGGCGACCATCGACTGGCTGGCGCCAATCACACTATGCGGAGATATGCGAGTGACGGACGAGAATCTCTCATCTTCCAGAATGAACTGGGATGTCACAGTGGGCGTGTACTGGGACAGATCAACGCTCAGGAAGCCCCTCTGGAATGAGAGGTTGAGACCCGCAGAGCCAGAGTGGAAGTTCCACTGCAAATTCTCCACGGCAAGTCCTTCGAGACCTTCGACCGCAGGGAGACTGGCGGTCGTGAGGTGTCGCAACTTCTGGCTTTCGTCCAGACTTAGGGCATCCGAACGGATACGGGCTGGCACTGAGAATATCTGGATTTTTACATCTTCCAGCGACAGCGTGTTGGTCCCAGCGGGGTATGAAACCAGGAGCAGCACGGAGGGTTCTTCAACCCCGTTACCCACTATATCACCGGACGCTAAAGCGGCCAGATCAGGGCGTCTCTTCAGAAGAGATTTCTTTGCATCCCCAAATTCGATCAGGAAGCCTGCACACACTTCACGAGCCGCGGAAGACTTGGCAATCTCGCTATGCTTGATGCTCCAGCGTTCCGTCTTGAGATCCGGCGAAAGTCTCCGCACACGTCCATCTTTGTGTACGGCCAGAACATCGAACGAGTCTTCCTCTTCACTTCCTTCGTCTGAAGCTGCTGGAAAAATGCCCAGGAATACTGTGGGGCTCTTCGAATCTTTCAGAGTGAACGAGGACGAAGAGATGTTAGGCGCGCTCGTCGCTGTGGCTCCCGACTCCTCGAAGAAAGCCTTGATCTGCTTCTCCGGACGTTCTACTGCACAGTAAGTCTGTCTGATGACTGTGGACTTGTGCGTGAGCTTCCTGCGCACGGAGCATGGGCGACAAGAAAACGACGACTGCGGCGGGACTGCGTAGGAAGTAACGAGCTTGGGTGTTTGGACCTGTAGACTCTGTTCAGCACTAGTCGCATTACAGATACGAATACCATACGCACATTATAGATGTTCAGCGCTTCGCCATCCACAGCCACGGCCACCTCATATCTCTTTCTTTTCCTCGCGTCGGACAAGCTATAGACCTCACCGATCTGGGTTTTGCCTGTCGAACCCTGCAGCGGACGAGGCAATTGCGCCAGCACAGAGGGGGCCTGCAACTCCATGGTGAATGCGGATGACCGTGGAACACAATAAGGTCAACTCCGATCTTCCCAAGTTGATGTGCTGGAGTGCAGACTGTACTGCAAGATGTCGACTGCCGTCGATAAAAAGCCCGCTGTATGCCTCTGAACAATGTTCTATCTCGAAAAAATTCGCGGGTATACATTACGCCGATATCCGGCGCCAAACTAGATCGGGAGTGACAATACGCTAGTGCGGTTACAGCCGTGACGTAACTTACACGCCCGGAGGCTGCAAACCGCGGGTGGACGCGCTCACTTCGCGTCTCCCCGAGACATGTTCATTGATTTCCTGTTCATGGACGAAGCACCTGCCACTTGCTGTTGTATAACAATTTGCAGTTATATGCGTGAGGCATTTGCCTATATACTTGTCTTCTGATTCAGATGATCGCCTCCAAACTCTCATTTACACGTCAACGGTAACGGGGACTGAGCATGCGCTCACTCCATGGCTTCTATAGCTGCAACTAGTAGGGTCATGGGTGAAGGAGAGCAGCGCACTATACACCCCTTTTTCACAAAGAGTTAGAGATCTCTAGGACTGCTGGCCGTCTTGTATACTGATTCGTGACAGATTATAATGCTGGCAGTCATCAATCCCAAAGCACAAACAGTTCAACATCGGGAGAAGAACCGCACATTGTTGGAAACGCTACGACGAGCGGCAGCCCCGGCCAAACAACGCAGAATGGACCGGATACTTCAGGGCATCATGTCTATGGAGAAGGAAGTGCCAACCATGAAAGCTCCAATGAGATACGCAAGGAACAATCCTCACTTCAGCAAATGCTACCCGTTGTACGCCCGATAGCCCCGCAAGGCACCACACTTGACGAAGATCCAAACTCGAGTCGAAGGAAGCGGAGGAAGACGGAGCCTTTGGAAGACTCGGTCTCCGTGCAGCCAGGGCTGGAACAATCCGGTCAGCTGGGGTTCGACAGCACGGACTCCAGAATCATCGCTGGGGCTGTCCACCATTCTGATCAAGGCCTGGGTCTGACCAATACCATCTCAGACTTGGAGAATAATGCTGGAACGTCTGCATCACATAAGTCTGTATCGGGAGTTCCCAACGTATCGGGTTCCACGAAGGATGAACCATCGACAACAACTACCAGCTTGCCGACTACCCCTCCCAAGAAGACCTTGAAGCTCAATGCCAATGGAAAGTTACTCAGCTCTCCTGCAGAAAATACGGAGGTGAAAGGCCAGAAAAAAGGAGCTGGGAAACGCAAATCAATGTCTAAGAACAAAAAGAAGGGTCAGGAATCGAAGGTTGTGGTGATGAAATATGGTGCGGCCAAGAGTTCAAAGGAGGTGGTAGGCAATCTGATCAATACGATCTTGGCTGGTGACCACAGGCACGTAACTTCTCACCACGTCAATGCCCCTACGAGCAAGGAGAAGCCTCAAAAGCCTACACACCCCTTCTTCCTCAGCAGATCGGTTCGCAAAACAGAACAATCGCCTGGGCCTACGTCCACGCAGCAGTCTTCGCGAACCGGTTCTCCTAGTGTCTCAGCGGATCGCCAACCAGAGAGACCCCAGAAACTGTTCCCTCTATCCTCAAAGTCACCTTTCATAAAGGTCCCAGATCCTGTTGAGTCTCTATGGCCTCCTCAGCATTTCGCGCATGTTAGAGGTCTCGAAGGGGATATAAGTGAGCTGTTCAGCGACCGTTTAGACCCACAGTCAGACCGGAGGAAGGCAAAAACATCTGTTGTAAGCATCGATGATTCGGATAATGTCCTCCTGCGTAGGCTACGCAAGGCTCATAGATCGCCAACTGCCGTTGATCGAGCTGCTTTGCGGATACCGAAAAGACACATCGCGAGTGGTACGGTTTTACAGAAAGCGATACAGAGCCAACTATCAGACTCTACTTCATCAACCCCTGGTCAGGTCAGAAACACACCGCCAAAAGCATGCCATCCCGCCATCAGCAGACTGAAGTCATCGATACGATCTACAATGACTCCCTTCGACAGAGGAGAGTGCGAGACTTTACCATGGACCCAGAAACATGCTCCAGTTTGCGCAGAAGATGTCCTCCAGGTCGGACCAGAGGCGGTTATGCTGCGGGATTGGCTACGAAGACTCACGATCTCTGCGGTTGACAGGGGGCAGTCAGGTAGGGAGAACCAGAAGCCGAAGCAGGGGAAGGGAGAATCTGGTGGGAAGCGAGTAAAGCGGCGCAAACGGGCGGAAAAGCTAGACGGGTTCATTGTCTCGAGTAGCGATGAGGCATCGGAGATGGACGAGGTGACCGACCCTGAAGAGGACGAACTTGCCGGTGGTGTGACAGTCAATTCAAAGAGGACCGTTATTAGAGCTGGAGATGTTCAGGGCCGTCCAAGAGACAAGACACGGTTGACGAACGCGATATTGCTCAGCGGCCCGTCGGGATGTGGAAAGACGGCTTCTGTGTATGCCGTTGCGAAGGAACTAGATTTCGAGGTCTTCGAAATCAACGCCTCCAGCCGCAGAAGCGCACGAGACATGGTTGAAAGGGTTGGAGATATGACTCAAAACCACCTAGTTCATCGCCTCCATGAAGCAGAGGACGCGACCCAGCATGCCGAATTGGAAAGTGCAAAACAAAACAAAGTGAACAGTTTCTTCAAAGCCACTGCTACAAAAGCCAAGAAGACCAGTGAACGGGCAAAGGGAGACAAGAAGCGTGCAACAGAGACGCCTCCGAGGACTACTCGCAGCCAGAAGCAGTCGTTGATCCTCTTGGAAGAAGCCGATCTCCTTTTCGAAGAGGACAAGCAATTCTGGACCGGAGTTATAACTCTCATCAGCCAGTCGAAGCGTCCTATCATCATTACCTGCAACGATGAAAAGCTCATACCTCTCGAGGATCTTTCCTTACACGCCATTCTGCGATATCGCATGCCTCCTCGGTCCCTTGCGGTAGACTACTTGCTCTTGGTGGCTGCGAACGAAGGCCACATGCTGAGCCGCGACGCCGTTGCAGACCTGTATTCCGTTTCCAAGCAGGACCTCCGAAGGTCTTTAACAGAGCTTGATTTCTGGTGTCAGATGGCGGTGGGCAGTGAGAAATCTGGACTTGACTGGATAGTCGATCGATACCCCCCCGGACGTGATGTGGATTCCCGTGGCGATACTGTCCGGGCGATCAGTCTGAACACCTATCAGCGTTTCATGGGCTGGTTCAATCGCGATATGATCCTCGAGAAGGACGAGCCTGATACGGAAATCGAATTGATGGCGGAAAGTCAAGCATGGTGGCAGCTCAGTATACAGGACTCGGAAGAAATGGTCGATCCGTCGTCCTTCCAACTGGAGGACACCGGGATGCAAGATGCGGAGGGCAAGGCCAGCTTGATCTCCCTCGAATCGTTGCGTCGCATAGATGACGCAATAGAGATGAGGAGCGCCCTTGATATCCTCTGCTACCATAGCTCCTTGCAACCAAATGAGGACCATCTTGACACTTCCTGTCCGCCCATCACGGAAAAACAACGGACTGGTTACATCGAAGGTTACCCGCTATTGCAGGCAGACACCATGCCCGACTACACATGGCTTTCGACTAGTATTGGATCGACGCTTGACGTGCTCACGAGGAGGATCTACTACGGAGCGAGTTCCGACAGTGAAGACCTGACCGCGCGCAAGGTGTTGAAGAAAACCAGCCAAGTTCGGCCACCTTGTAGATCGAGGCCAGAGCTTCTCGCGGCGTTCGAACCCATCATGCGGGCAGATAATATCTTTCCTGCACCGACTGGACGTCTAGCGCCCTCCTTTGAGAACGGCACGGCCATCATCTACGAGGATCTGGCGCCATATGTTCGCGGAATTGTGGCCTTTGACCTCCGCCTGGAGCGGTATCGATTGAAGCTCAGCGGTCTTCTGTCCCAAGGAGGCAGTGGCGCGAAGAGGATGAGGAAGACGAGAGCCAGTAGAGCTGCGCTCGAAGGCGGCGACAAGGCGAATACGCGCAAAGAGCGATGGTTTCCGGCGGACGTGCAGCCCAGCCGGATTCTTGCCACTGGAAATGAAGAGTGGCAGAGCGTGCTGGTCCAAAGCGGGCATTTCAACGTCGCGCCCATGGCAGCCGTGGGAGAAAGCAGGGAGTCTGTCGACACTGCATCTGAGAGTTCGGGCGATGGTGGTTTCTAGATATCTAATACCATATGAAGAAGAGCTGGGTCTATAGGCGTTGGATGTTGGTGCAATCTACGGCGTGAATTAGCGGGCTATGTGTATATTCAGCGGTGATATAATATAAGTATGCGACGATAGCCTCTTGAGTGTACCATGTAGTAGCGTGGCTCATCTCTGTTTCCCATGAATATGAAACTATTTCAATAATCCCCAGGAATCAGAAACCACCATTGTAGGTCAAGCAGTATCAGCGTTCTTAGTTACCTTTTAGCGCCCCCTTGCTCGGCACTGCCGACGAACCCCAAAGCTTGCCGTCACTCATTCCAGCCTCTCTCGCTGTCATCGAAGCTGCCTGGCACCGCGTTCCATGCGTCCAATATCGGTCTGGACGGTTGGAGAATCTGCTCCATCATCCGCATTCTTCCTGCTTGCAGCATTGATCTGTTATCGCGCAGCTGGTGGTTAGGTTGAGCTCCAGCTCGCGGCGTCGTTATTCCAAGGCATCTATCTCCACCCGTGACGCCAACAACAAGCTCTCTATCTCTCTATCTCCCTCGCCTTCCTGCGATCCTGCCCTCGCACGATCGCAATCCTCTCCAGCCAGCTACACTCGTCTCTTTTCTTTTCCCAAATGTCCTTATTCGGGACATCCCCGGAGGAGTCTTCCCCCGGTAATTCCGTGCTCCGATCGAAATCCTCCCTGTTTGCTGACGACGCGGGCTTCGGCGCGGGGTCCGGATCGTCTCTCTTCGCTGATGACGCCGGCGACGATTCGCCCTGGAGCAACAATACCATCCCCAAACGAGCGGCGCGGCGGGACCTGGTGAAGACGCTGCTGCCGGCGACGGATGTGCCGGAGAGCTATATCGATGCCTACGATCTCATCCTGAATTCGGGGCCCAGGGTCGGTGCCGGCGTGGGCCTGACGGGCGTAAGGGAGATATTGGCCAGCAGCGGGCTGAATGCGACGGATCAGGCGCGCATTTTGAATCTCGTCGTGCCGGGGGAGCAGGAGAATGAGAATGGGTTGGAGCGCAACGAATTCAACGTTCTGTTGGCGTTGGTGGGATTGGCTCAGGAAGGGGAGGATATTACGTTGGATTCGGTGGATGAGCGGAGAAACAGTATGTTTTTCGATTTATTAATTTACTCCTCTTTTGGATTCTGTCGCGTGGCTATTTCTTTCTTTATCTATTTGGGGGAGGAGTTACAGACTAACTCCGTGATGCTACAGAGCTGCCGCAACCCAAAATCACTTATCTTGATCGGTTGAGAGATCAAGGCGATCATAACAATCAGTCCCAGCCGACTCCACAGCGAGTGATCGCTCCGCAGGAGCCAGGTTCCTCTCGTTCTCAACGTCCGCGGGGGCCTTCTCTAGGAGGCCTGGAATCTGATCCCTGGGGTAGCCCAGATCTGCACCGGAATCATAATCATGCTCAGGGGAGTGAGAATGCGCCGGCAGTGAACGGTTACGGGAGCTTGCGGTCCGCTGGCGATCGCTGGGTGAACCAGGGAGCGGGTTACAATGATCAGACGGGGTCTACAAATGGTGCTGGAGTGAACGGTCAAGCAGATACTGCGCCTCCCAGCACCTCGGGATCCAGCTGGGGAGGTGCAGGCGATGGCTTCCCTCATCCTGAACAATCGGGACTGGGCGAGTTCGGTCAACTGGGAGATGAACAAGGAGGATCAAACCCTCCGCGACGGTCAATTGGGGGAGGTCGCGTGAAAGGGACTGGACCGGAGGAAGTGATCACAGTTACTCTGCTCCCAGAGAAAGAAGGCCTGTTCATGTTCCAGCACCGGAATTACGAGGTCAAGTCGGCACGGAGAGGAAGCTCTGTGGTGCGGAGATACAGTGATTTTGTCTGGCTTCTGGATTGTTTGCACAAGCGGTATCCGTTTCGCCAGCTTCCCCTTCTTCCTCCTAAGAGAGTTGCAGGTACGTTCAAGGCTTGCGGAAGCTCCACCTACTCTTTTGCTCACTTCTTTGGTTCTAAATAAAAGTCAATGGGACTCACCTTGCAGCGGATTCATCCTCCTTCCTTGAGAAACGCCGTCGGGGACTCGTCCGCTTCGCAAACGCCCTCGTCCGTCATCCGGTGCTCAGCCAGGAGCAATTGGTGGTTATGTTTTTGACGGTTCCTACAGTAGGTTTCTCCGATCAGGATATTATCTAGTCTACCGTCTAATATAGATTTACCTCTAGGAACTGTCCGTCTGGCGCAAGCAGGCGACCATTTCCGTGCAGGACGAGTTTGCCGGCAAGGCTCTTCCACCCGACTTGGAGGACTCGCTGCCTCCCAACCTGACGGAATTGTTCGACACCGTGCGAGCAGGCGTCAAGCGATCGGCGGAAATCTATATCAACCTTTGCACCTTACTTGAGCGTCTCGCGAAGCGCAATGAGGGGCTCGCGGCGGATCATCTCCGCTTTTCGCTGGCGTTGCAGTCCTTGACTGAAGTGACGAAAGACACTTATGCTGTCGACACGGACGATGTCCCGCTGCTGAATGAAGGAATCAGCGCTACCGCCAGACACCTGTCCGCAAGTCAGACTTTGCTAGAAGATGAGGCCAAAGCCTGGCACGACGGTGTTCTGGAGGACCTGAAGCGACAACGGGACTGTCTAGTCAGCATGCGCGAATTGTTCGATCGTCGAGACCGATATGCCCGCGACAACATCCCTCAGCTGGAGCGGCGTATCCAAAACAACGAGCGGAAACTGCAGGATTTGCGAAATCGGCCAACAGAGCGACAGGGGAAGCCAGGAGAATTGGAAAAGATTGAGGACGCAATCTTCAAGGTCAGTAGCTTCTTTTTCTCTTTCTTTTTTTGCGGAAATTATACCCTATTTTTTTCTTGCGACAATTCTTTCGGGTCCAATTGCTAACGCCATGTCCGGTATTGCAGGATAAGGAATCGATTGTGCAACAGCATGCGCGCGGGGTGTTTATCAAGGAGTGCATCCGGGACGAGCTCATCTACTTCCAGTCGAGCCAGTACCATATCAGCCATCTGCATCAGGACTGGAGCCAGGAGCGAGTCAAGTACGCGGAGCTGCAGGCGGACAACTGGCGGACGCTGGGCGAGGAAGTCGACAGCATGCCCACGGGGGAGTGAAGCTGTCTGATTGCATAGCTTGTTGCTTTTTTTTGTCTTCTCTCGCTCGTTCATTATATCTCTGCCCTCTCGTGGTTCCATTGACATACCCCCCCATGCATCATCGTCATCATCGCCATCATCATCATATCTACTCTGCGTCTGTTCTCCCGCGTTGATATTTGCTTTTTGTGCCCCTGAATGGAACCCCACGTTCTGTGTAACCATTTCCCCCGTGTTGTCTGGCCTATCCGGGGCATCTTTTGTTCTCTTTTTCCTATTCGCCGCCTTCCTGTACGATTTGCAGCGGTCAGCAACGAGTGCACATGACGACGATACCTCGTGTTCCCCGTTTTCTTTTCTTTTCTTTTTCTTTTTCTTTTTTCTTTTTTGCTTTGGAGGTTAACTAGTTCGAATGGTGATACATACGCCCATCCCCCGTATTATTTCCGGCTGCTTTCTTGCCCAAAGTGCTGGCTCACCGTCTCGCGCTGCCGATCCGGCCGCCTCGTTGGAGTAGATAGACAGGGGGCCGCAGGTTGATGCGGCGTCGGGGCCACGCGAGCAGATGCTTGATTCGACTCGTTATTTGAGTGGGCGTCGCCCTGTGCAGGTGCTCATTTGCTTGATTAGTTCGTTGCCTTGGTCCATCTGGGGTCGGAGAGCCGCCGTCAGGAACGCGTAGAGGACATTGCTCTGGATGCTAGTTACGACTGGTGGAGGCAGTTAGTTTCTGATCTCCGCACGACTAGATATGTATGGTATGGTATATCTATCTGCTATCATTTCTTCTCCACCGGTGAGGCGAGTAGAGTATACTGGCCCTTGCCATACGTACGGAGGAATATAATCGACAGTACCTAGTAACCGCAACTGATGTTCTGGAAAATCGAATTCATTTCGCTAATATCCCACTCTCTGGATCGATGATTCCCCAAGAATGGTAACTACGATACTATTCCAGTATCTTCTCCCTAGATACATAGAATCATAGATAGTCGAGCTTCTCTACTGGCCGCTTCGGCATGTTCCCGGTGGCGTCGATCTCCGGTTTTAGTCTCGTTTAGCCTCATCCACTTGTCGATTCTCGGTCTAGGGAATGTTGGAACTTATACGGAGTATGTACTAGTAGTATCTTAGGTGAGCCGTAGGAAGAACAAGTGGAGTTCTCTCACCGTTTTCTTTCTCCCTCTCGTGATCCATGATTCATCTCGTGGGTCTTAACTAGACTAACTAACTAACTAGACTCGACTAAGCTGGATGGATCATGGAACGGAGGATTTCTTAGCAGCGCATCGTGGCAGAGGCTGATAATGACGGCAGCGGCGTTGGAGTAGTCACTTCGTATGTATTTTGGTATGTATTGGTTAAAGTCTTGATGTTGGGATATGCTGGGTTATAATAGTAATGATGATAATTGCTTTTTTATCAAAGAGAGCAACTTCTGTAGATAGACATCTGGATTGCGGGGAAGAATATTCTATTTTCTTTCATTCTTTCTTTCTATATTTCTCTTTCTTGTTTCTTCCTGTTCCTATTCTTCCCGGTCGATAAACTCTGGCTTCATCTCGCCAAGGGCTCGGCAGCGGAGATTTACTCGTCAACGTGGTTTTTTTTTTCTCGTATTGTTAAACGAGCTGGCTGTGAGAGATAGATAGATAATTATTAACTAATTAATTCCCTAGAGCAGATGCGGAGAGAAAAAGTAAGCAATTAATTAATTAATTAATCAATCAACTAATAATTCTGTCAAGACTTTCTTCCTGCTCTCACTTCCGCCCGCGGCGATCGAGATCCGCGTCTCTGGGCCAATTGACCTGACCTGACGCTCTTCTTCCTCTCCTCTCTCTCTCTCTCTCTCTCTCTCTCTCTCTCACTTACTCAACTGCTGCTCACTCGCAGTCTTCTTTCTTCTCTCTTTTTTTCTTTTCCCCTCTCCCTTCCCTATCTTGGAAATCCGTCGCGCACACAGACCTTCGTGCACTTATCGCTCCCCGCACGACCGTCCCCAACTCGCGCCACCCAACCATCTTTAACCCAGCCCGACTCCCCCTCAGGAAAGCCGTCCATGCATCGGAGGGAGAGCCGGGCATCAATCCGCTAAAGCTTCGTCTCGCGACGTGAGTCCGTGTGGGAACAAAATCAAGAGGAGGACTTGCAGACACGCCGGAAGGAGCTAGCTCTGCGGTCGTTTCTCCCCCGTTGGGAGATCAAGAGGAGGAAAGGACGTCGAACGGTCGACGAGAGGAAAGAGTTTCGTCGCTGCGAAAAGAAGAGAAGGATTTTTGCGATTTGGAGATTCGGGGGAGGGTTTGGAGATTTGAAGCTTCATCACAGGGCCAGATCACAGCAAATCACCATGGCCTGGGAGCATCTGTCGATCGATAAGCCGCATGTGGCCTACATCATCCTCGGAGGCTTCACCTCCCTGTTCATGCTGTGCTCGCTGTTTGTCAAGGAGAAGCTCTACATTGGCGAAGCAACGGTCGCCACGCTCTGTGGGATCATCTTCGGTCCCCATGCCGCCAACCTCTTCGATCCCGCGTCCTGGGGCAATGTCGACAAGATCACCCTCGAGTGCTCCCGCATCGTCCTGGTCGTCCAATGTTTCGCCGTCGGAGTCGAGTTGCCCAAGGCCTACATGGAGCGCCACTGGCGCTCCGTCGTCCTGCTGCTGCTCCCCGTCATGACCTGGGGCTGGTTCGCGACCAGTCTCTTCATCTGGTGGATGATACCGCCGCTCAACTGGTTGGAGAGCCTGGCCTGCGCCGCCTGCGTGACGGCCACCGATCCCGTGTTGGCTTCGTCAGTCGTGGGAAAAGGGAAATTCGCCAAACGAGTGCCCAAGCATCTACGCGATCTGCTGTCTGCCGAATCGGGCTGCAACGATGGCATGGCCTTTCCGTTCATCTACCTATCCGTCTACCTCATCAAGTTCCACCGGAACGCCGGCGAAGTCACGATGCACTGGATCTGCGTGACCATCCTCTACGAATGTATCTTCGGTGCTGTCTACGGCTTCATTATCGGTTACATCGCGCGACATGCCATCAAGTTCGCAGAGCGCAACAACCTCATCGACCGGGAGAGTTTCCTGGTGTTCTACTTCGTGCTGGCGCTCTTCTGTGCAGGTACCGGCAGTCTGCTGGGCATGGACGATCTCCTGATCGGTTTCGCCGCCGGCGTCGGCTTCAGTAACGACGGCTGGTTCACCGCGAAGACCGAGGAGGCACACGTCTCCAACGTTATTGATCTACTGCTCAACTTGGCCTACTTTGTTTACTTTGGTTCCATTGTGCCGTGGGAGTACTACAACGCCCCCGAACTCGGCGTGGTCCCATGGAGGCTGGTCGTCATTGCCATCTTCGTCATTCTGTTCCGTCGGATCCCCGCCATGCTGATGCTCAAACCGCTCATCCCAGATATAAAGACCTGGCGCGAGGCCTTATTCGCGGGCCATTTCGGTCCCATCGGTGTCGGTGCCGTCTTCGCCGCCATTCTGGCCCGTTCAGAGCTGGAGGGCGCGGAGGGCGAGCCGCTGCCCCAGAAGGATCTGCCTCATCCCGGCGCGTCGAACTACTATGTCGTGCAGCTGATTTGGCCTATTACCAGCTTCCTGATCATCTCGTCCATCCTGGTGCATGGTTCGTCCATCGCCGTTTTCACCCTGGGAAAGCGCATCAACACCTTGACCATCACCATGTCCTACACCACCGCCAACGATGAGGGGCCATCTTGGATGAACCGCCTGCCCCGCGTCCAGTCGATGAGCAAAAGCTCCATGTCACTGCGGAAGGCGGACTCGACTGAAGTGTCCGGGGATGAGAAGGAGCCCGAATATCCTCCTGGCACCCTGCCGCCTATCGGTTTCCCTGGTAACTTCCTCCGCCGTGTTCGCGAGGAAGACCAAGACTCAGAGGCTCGTATGGCCAATCTGCGGCCATTGAGACGGAGAAAGCGCAGAAAACGCACGACTGCCGGCGGCCCTATCAGTGACACTGCAATTGCGCCTCGGAGACGACCGGAGAACGACGATACCGAGACTGAGGAGCAGCCGGAGGGAGAGAATGGACGCGAATCAGAAGAAGAGGAAGAAGATGGAGTCCGTCGGCAGGAGAAGGAGGAACGTGATAATATCGAGCGGGAAAGCTCTCCTCCCGGAAGGGAACGGGACAGGTTCGGACGGGAACCGGAGATGGAGGTCTACCAGGAAGGCTCCAAGATGCTGCTCGAGGACGAGGAAGGAAATGTTCTGAGGACAGAGGATGTTAGCCATGAATCCCCTCAGCAGCAGCGGCAGGCCATCCTAGAGGAACATAAGAAGCTCCAGCAAGACAAGTCTGGTGAGTATTCCAAGGCCAGAGGTCAGCCGCATGAAAAGACAGAAGGCGAAGAAATCGAGGAGAAGGTGGCCGAAGAGACTGGCCACCCATATGAGAAAATCAAGAAGCGCCTCCTCCCTTGGGTTGGCCGCGACAAGGGGGAGAAGAAGAAGAAGGAGGAGGAGGAGGAGGAGAAGAAGAAGAAGGAGAAGGATGAGGATGTCGCGCGCAAGACCAAACGCAAAGAAGAAAAGGCACCGGCGGGTCGCCGCTCCGGTCATGCCTATCAATTTGGTAACACTATCATCGTTGAAGATGAGGATGGAGAAGTTATCAGGAAGTACACAATTCCAGCCGGCGACAAGAGGAAAAAGAAGGAGGAACAAACACCGGCTGGTACTGCCGAGGGCCCTGTGAAACGGGGCCTGACCCGGATGGGAACGTGGCTCGCCGAAAAGGAGGGTGGCGAGTCTTCGAAAGACGCGCAAAGGAAGGCCAAGAAGCAAGAGGAAGAAGATGACACCCGACTCCGCTTCACGCTGGCCAACGATGATCAGGTTGAGGAGAAAGGTATCGACCACAAGGGCCGTCGCATGACCAAGGAGGACTTCATCAAGCAGATCCAGAGACTGGACCCGAAGGCTCGTCACGAGATCGTCCAGGATAGCGATGCGCCCGACCATGTCAAGAAGGCAGCCCGCAGGGATGCGCATGTGGATATGCGAAAGCGCCGCGACAGTGAAAGTCGGAGTCCTGAAAAGCAACCAGCCCGTGGCCCTATGAAAGAGGAAGCAACACAGATCCCCGAAGATTACGAGAGCGGCGATGAGTCTGGCGAGAGCGTGCTCACTGACGAAGAATCGGATGAACCGAGCCCCCCAGCAACCGACGTGATGGCCTCGTTAGCCAAATACTCGCGCGGTTCAGCCGCGCACGCCCGCCGACGTGTCTTCACTGGTGATGAGTCTTCTTCCTCTTCTCCATCTATCTCCGGACGTCGACGACGCGATTCCGAAGACGATGGAACCGCGCGTGTCCCGCCGGCTCAGCGACGACTGGCTGCTGGCTTACCTCCAGCGGCTGCTCCTCGTCCAGAGGACGTCGAAGACAACGGGGAGACTCCCGCAGAGCGCAAGCGTCGTCTTGCTGCGTTGGGTGAGATCCACGATCCTGCGGACGATGTTGAGGAGGAAATCGACAGCGAAGACAACGGCGGCTTCCGCAAGGTCAAGGGCAAGGTCCAGTTTGCCGATGGTACTCGGCCTTCTCGCCGAAAGGAGGGCGCTGGCACGGCGGACTTGAGAATCAGTTCTAGCCCTAGTCCCCATGCCACGGCCTCTGGTGCCCTCAGTGATGACAACGGCAGCCCAGATAGTAGCAGCAACGGTAATGGTGATAGCAGCAATGGCTCGCCATCGTCACCTCGGCCCAGTCATCAACGACACCGTCCACGTGTGTCGTGGGGAGGTGAAATGGGTCGAGAATAAGCCTGGTCTCCCTTCTTTCAGCATTTTCAGAATCCATCAGATCTGTTAGGACGTCTAATGGGAGACCATCTTGCCATAAAGCAACGCCAGCTTGTCCGGTCAGGCTCTCACCTGGTTGTGTTGTCCAACCCCTCCTGTATAGTACAGAAGAACACGAAAGAAGAAGATAGGAAGAAGGAAAAGCCCAAAGTCAATCAACCAATCAAACTGGGTCAAAGGGGGAACTAAAAAGCAACCACGGCCAGATATCTAATCAGATCGCTATTGCTCTCATCCATCTCCGCATATTCGCACGTCTAACTGGGCTAGGCTGGGCTGGACTGGATCGGATTGTTACGCTCTGCGCTGGTTCTTGTATCACATCATCGGCGCTTCTCGCTTTTCTCCAGTCGGAGAGTTGATTGGATTGGATTCGATTCGATTCGCAGTACATACATACCGTCCAAACGATTAGAGTACATAAATACCCTTGGCTTTTTGCTCCTACCTCAGAATGTTAGGATTCTGCACCTTTTCTCTCGTCTCGAGAGAGGAAGATCCTATATGTTCCGAGTACGCATTCTTGTTTTCCTTGTTAAGTTTGGCTTCATATTGTTTGTTACGGCTATCAATGCTTGCTAGTCCTTTTTCTTTTATCTGTCTTGTTTTCTATTTTGTTTTGAATTACTAAGATGATACCTCGTCTTGCTTTTTTGCTACTGTCTCTGGTCGAATTGAGTTGCATTCATGTGTTCCACGTGTGATGGTGCGATGTACCATTGATGTGCATGATACTTGTACTGGTTTCTCTCCCTCGCCTAGTTACTTACTTCCTGCTGTTGGTTTTTGACCGTGTGTATGAGAGAAAGAGCAATGGTCTGGTCTTATGCGTCTGTATATTGTGTAATGTGCATAGATGTTCTGAATAGCCGCCGATCAATGATGAAAAGGTAGTTATGAGATTTGATTTGCGGCTTATAGTTATTGATTTCTCTATAGTTAACTATTGATTTGATTTATAAGGATAGAGAGCGTAGTAACTAGAAGTAAAGTACTAAGCAGTCTTGAGTAATAAAATAAGAAGCCGGAACTTCAGCTCACCTATATATAGCGTGATTTCTAACTATGGTAATATAATATTAAGTACTATCTATCTATTATCTATCTATCTATCTATCTATCTATCTATCTATCTATAATTACTTTCTAGGCTATTTGATTTACTAGTTAATATGTCTGGAACCTCTATGATAAAATAAAAACCTATTATTGTATCGCTTAATACCTAAACTTAAGCCCTAAGATTCCTAAGATCGCGCGTAAATATAATTATAGCATTCATTCTGAAGTTACATTAAACACTGCAAAAACGCATTGAAAACAATTACACAAGCTCATATATATAACTAGGACACTAAGTAAGTGGTTAATAAAATCTGTCGACTTGAACACCTTGAATTGCTTGCTTGCTTGCTTGCTTCTAGCAATGGTGCAATATGATATTGTCCCGTGCCTGGTTCTCTAAGCGCGTTGTTTTCCTCTCATTATGTACGATGTAGTACTAACGTTCTTTACACGAGGCAAGAATGCAGACGGTAATTGTATATATGCAAAACAGCGCAAGATCCGCAATAAGATCATTGCTCTTTCCAATTGTATACTTGGAGAATCGTGGTCCTCCTGGAATCATAACTGCCAAAAAAGTCCCCATCCCATCATGACAATGACATGAGCAGAGGGGGAAAAACATCCAACATGATGACATAGCATAATACACAGACCCCCATATGGGCGGACGTAGACCGCATAATACAGACCAGACGGAAAAAAAAATCATCTCAAAAAAAACAATGCCGTTCGCTCAAATGTAGAAGAACCCCCGAGAACTCCGGATCAGAAAAGGAGAGAAACACCGCCCTATGCAACGACTTCTTTCTTCTTGAGCACACCCAGTTCTTCTAGTCGAGTCAAGACACGGCACACATCCGAGTTATTCTCGGATACTTCCTCCCCTATGGAGGACCGCAGCTCCAGCCCGTCAAGAACCTTGATAGCACCACCTGTGGCAGCGTACAGCATGAGCTCCACGACTCTCCGTCGCAATTTTGTCGACTCATCAAGGCAGGCCACGTATTTGCGGTCAGCTTCCACATCTGCGGGGGGCAGGGTGTACGGGTCATCGATCTCATGGCTTTGTTCAAGCTCACCCCCGTTTTCCCTCCAAGGGACCACTCGAGCAACATCTTGGTGCCCACCCAGATTGGCGCGAGCTGTAAATCCATCCTCATCAAGGCCCTTCTCTCTCCGGACTGGCTCTTCTTTGTCCTTCAGTCTACCGACTTCACTTCGTCCACTGCCGGACAGAGAGGGAGGGTAAAATCCAACCGTGAGAGGATTTCCGCGGAGATCAACTCTTTTCAGAGAGCTACGGTTCCCGCTCGAATCTTTGCCAACATGGGCCAGGACCTGACAAAGTCTTCTCAGTCTCGTAAAGCGATTGCCCACCAGCGTCAATCGTCCAAGACACTTCATGCCCACTATTCCACCTGCATCTGACAATGCATTGAAGTTGAGATTCAATACTTTGACGTTCGGAAAACTCATTGCAAAGTCCTCAGGAAGACTGGGGAGTGCACATGATGCAATATCCAATAGCTGCACGCTTCTCATTGGTACAGAAGGAGACAATGTGCGTGGCGACAGTCTGTTTGACGACAGGAATATCTTGCGGACATCCTGCAGCAGACCAAGGTCAAGATCAAGAGACAGTGGCTTGTCTACTTCCTGAAAACTCTGCTCTCGTGCAGAAAGGATCTCAAGCTCGTGGCATTTGCCAATCCCGGCGATAGTCGACAACGAATTTCTGTCTACGTAGAGTAGGCTAAGCGATGGGAAAGAACTGACGTCCAAGGTGCTAATGCGGTTATCTGAAAGCTTGAGTGAACGCAGTCTGCGCAGCTTGACGTTGCAAGGCAGATCGCTGAGATGATTCGAACTCAGATCTAGGTCTTCGAGAGACGGCAAGTAAGCCACATTTTCAACGGAAGTCAGCCGATTGTGGCTCAAGTCGATTTCCGTCAACCGCGTCCTATTGAAAGTAGGTCAGTATCACGCATAGTTGAGAGATTTTGATATACTCACAGCTCGGATCCTTCGAAATCCACTGCTGTCAGCTCGTTGTTCTTAAGTTTCAAGCTCAGTAGCCCGTCTAGATCTAGAATGCCGTCTATATTGCGGATCTTGTTATTATTTGCCTTCAGCTCCCTTAGATGAATTAAGCCCGAGAAGCCATCCAGGTTCTCCAACTCGTTTCCGGACACATCCAAGTACTGGAGGTTGATAAGATGGCCCCATGCCGTGAGGCTGGAAAGACAGTTGCGTTGGATCCTCAAGTGTCGGAGGGTGGGAGGAACGCCACTCAGCTGCCCGATATCATTATCCGAAGCATCCAGCTCCTCAAGCCTGGGGCAGAACTCATTGAGCCTGTGAAGAGTGATTAATCCCTTTTTGCTCAGATCCAGACGTCGTATATCCTCCCAGTATGGCTCATACGGCTCAACATCCGTAATGTGCTTGATCAAATCCTCTGCTGCCAATGCGAAGGTGCCATGAACTTGACGCAAAGACGTGTGGTGGGCCCGCTGCGCAACATAACTGAGTTCAAGCTGAAGAGGGTCATCGATCTGATTGACAGTGAAATCGGGCAAAGGGCTAAGATGGAAACTATACGAGGTGTCATTGCCGATGGACGAATACGACAAAGATCTCCGCCGGTCATTCGAAAGCGGAGTAGTTATCGAATCCTCGGCAGTGCGCTGTTGGATGACACTCAGGTTGTTTGTTGACTCTTCGCTCTGTTCATCTATGCGCGAAACTGACCGCCCAACGAAAGGCTTCCCCTCAAGAGACCTCCTGCGAGAAGAGTTCTTGACGTTCCGCAGCAATCTACCGGGATGAGGTCCATCCCGCGCTGTTTCTCTTGTACCGCCAGCGCCAGGGCTGGAGGCGTCATGCTCCGATGCCTGCGGGCTGGAATTCTCAGGATAAGCGACGTGAGACACCAGAGGAGAAGAGAAGCTGATCGTAACAACGCGCGGTTGACGAGTGGGACCGTCAGACTGAGGTGCAGCCGAGGTATGTCCATCATGGAGATGAATTTCGTGCTGGACCTCCTTCAAACGTTCGTCCGTCTGAGCATCTTTGTCGCGGGTTCGGTTCACGTCCAGTTCAGGCGTGCCCCATGATGTCGCCCTTGTATCCGTCTTTGGACCGCTAGAGTCAAATGGAGTAGCTTTCGATTGGACAGAACTGGCATTCACCGAAGGTTCCCCGTCCTTGCTCTGTGGCCGTGTCTCTAGCGACTGACCATCTTGGGACTCGACCGAATGGACACCATTCTTTGATTTGTGGGAAGCTTCGAGCTCCCGGATCCGCATCAGTTCTTGAATCTCATCCACGCTGAGATCTGAAATATCCTGAAACGGGTCGCCTTCGCTGTCATCGGTCCTTGATCTGTTTATAGATTCCACCCTACTCTTCTTTACCCACATGTGGGTTGCACGATCATAGCTCATCCCATTGACCAGCTCTGGGATCAAATGAGAAACCATATCCGAAGGGATCATTCCCTTCGCATTGGAACCATTTGAGGAACGAGTAGGAATCGAGCGACCACCAAGGCTGTTAGACGAGTCCTGCGTATTCATCGTGGTGCCATCCTGAGACTTGGGCTCTGAATGCTTTCGTTTGCGTTGCATGAAAGGGTTCCCACGTATGCGGATATTTTGCGGGCTACTTTCTTCATCGATGTCCTTCTGACCGCGTTCCGCGAGACGCAAGGAAATCGTCGAACCGCTCATAGTAAGCTCCTGTTCATCTCGCTCTTCGAACTTCTTCAAGTGACTGGCAACTCGTGGGTTGTGGGGACGGATTTCTCTTAATCTGCGTAGATCCAAGCCGTCACGACTAGGCGGTCTGGAGAATTCCTCTTGGGTGGACTCGTCTCCAGAGGCTTCTTCACCGTCTGGGTTTATCATTCTGGACTCCTCCACACTCTCCAGGCCGTTAATCGTTTTACCCTTTGCTCTGATAATATTCATAACCTTCGTAGCCTCGTCTAGGAAATCCTGTGTGGTAATGGAGCCTTTTCGGACGTCTGTATTCATGGGATGACTGCCGGTTTTTCTTTGACCAGGCTTGGTGTTTTCGTCTTGAGAAGGCAGGTCTCTCTCGCCATTCTGTTGATCCTGCGTTGGCGTCTTTGGCGGTTGCAAATGCCCATTCTTTTCCAAGTCATACTCTATACCCTGCCGCGCCAGACTTTTCTGGAGCAGTGACATACTTCCCATGGTATCCGTGACGATATCTAACGTTTCGTCGAAGCTCTGAGGGTATTGGCCCGGTTTCTGCAACGTTCGACGTCTCTTGGGGGTCGACGTCCTTGCAGGAGTATTGAGGGCCCGTTTAATTTCAGAGTTATCCTGATAGAGAAGCACATCCTTGCTTGGGGGGTGTGACCTCGCCCACGAAAGTATTCTGGAGTGACGGCGGCTGTTTCGGCGCGATCCCGTACCTTTGAGGCTTCGCTGGTTTTCTTGCTGCTGAACAGGTGAACTGAATGCTGCAGGCGATGAATTGTGCGTAGGACTGACCAGGGAATCGTCGAATATGCCTTTAGGTATAGCTTGCATGTTTGGAGACGTGTCCGAGAAGTCGAACCTATCCAGCTGTCCCACTCCGAAGCGGTTCATGCGAGATTCCAAAGCACCCTGTGACCTCGGACGCGGAGACGATTGCGGAGAGCCATTGCCCTGGGGCTCGCGCCTCGAGTTTGGACGACTACGATTTCTGCCTCTCCGTCTAGAGCTCTCGCTGGGGGAAGGGGGTTCATCCTCCTCGGAAATGTCGGCAAACGTCTCTTCGAACTGGCTCATCCTCCGCAACAACTTATTGTTGGTAAAGGTATCATGGTTTCCAAATAGCTTCAGAGGGCTCACGGACGGTTTCATCGCGGCGGAGGAATCTCGAGCTGGAGTGACCGTGACAGCAGGAGGCGTAGGTGCGTCAGAGGGGATCTCGAACTGCTGGCGCGAAGGCCTGAACAGCTCGAATTGCGGCGGTGAACTGCGGATCTTGGAGTTGGCGAGGAAAGAGGGAGAGCGGAACTGCGAGGGAAAGGACGAAGGAGTCAACTGGCGAGCCTGGAAGGAAGCATCATCGGCCGAGTATCCTCCCCGGCGCAAATTCACAAATGCACCGCGGGATGCGAAGTCCAGTGTGCCCATGGACAGGTCCTTGGGCAGAGAATGGCTGGTCACGTCGAGCAGATCGTCTTCGGGGGACCCATCATCCTCGTCGTCACTGTTTTGATACATGATCCCACTGTCGCTAGCCCGTGAACTGGGCCGGTACCTCCCCTTTAACGACATCTTTTCGAGCTTGGTGTTCAGTTTCTGCAATGCAGATTCGATTATATCCGACGGCCCCTTCCCTTCCAGCGTATTGTTCCTCGATAAGAAAATGGGCGTCAGACCCTCATTCCGCAATTCCTCCATACCACTGACCGTCCTCGAGCGCATGTCCTGGTTTGGCCCACTGCGGTGGTAGCTGGGACTTGGCGACTCGCCCCTTGCGTCGTCCCGGGGCCGGTTTTCTTTGTCTGAATCTGGAGTGAAATCGAACGTTTTGTCGTCAGGTTCCTCCGCAGCTTTTGAGGCTTCCGCTGCCGCTTCCTTTGTTTCATGATGTACCTGGCTATCCTCTGCCCCCGTAGCGCCCTCCGTATCCTCCCCCTGTTTTCCCGACCCATTCTCTGTAAAGGCCCAAAAGGAGTCTGTCTGGCTGGGGAGCGCCAGTGTTTCCTGTCGCACTGCTCCTGAGCCCGGCGTAGGCGGTTTAAAAACACTCTCCAGACCTATTGGCGCAAAGAGGTCGCACTGTTCACCGGCTGGAACCTCTCCGCGCACCAGTCTCTTGCGCCATTCCGGAGTCCCGTCTCCTCCGCTGCCTTTCTTCGACATGCGCTGGACGGTTGAATTATGCTGTACCGTCTGGTTCGATGCGCTCGAGACCGCACGCGACGGTGGTTTCTTCGAGGGCGTGGAGGCCTGTCTGCGATGCGCGGCCGAGCTCCGGGTCGGCCGCTTCGGGTCTGTTTTGGCAGCGTCCGAAGCAGGCGTCTTCTTCTCAATTGGCGTCTTTTTCACGGGCGTCTTCACCAGGCGCGGCGTGAACTTGTTGGGGGTCTTTGGGGTAGGTGGTTCGCGTCTGATGGAATGACATGGGCGCGGAATCTTCTTCTTGTCGTCGTGCAGCGGCTGCTTCTTCTTCGGTGTCGTCGTCGAGTTGCGAACGGGGATGCGACTGGGGGTTGGCGAGTTGTGAATATTAATACTCGAGCGTCGCGACAGATCCGCAGGACTGGCAACTCCAGGAGAATCCCTGGGCTGGGAGACCCAGTCATCCGAAAGCGAATCCAGCCACGGTTGGTTGCCCATCTTGCTTCAACCACGGTTGTTTGGCGGTTCACAATGCGCGGCGCGAGATGCTAATTGCGCGCAAGGGCTCTATCATAACATGGTGGCATCCGCTATCGTTGCAATCAGCGCAGCAGAATCGAAGAGGGTATGTCGAGTAGAATCAGTAATATCGAGTAGTTTTGTCGGGGGGAGAATAATATAAGAACTGACAACAAGAACAAGAACAAGAATAATAAGAACAAGCGCTTGTTGTGATGATGGGGGATGCTGACTTGTCCAGCGCCTGAAACACTTCCCAGTGGACCGAGCAAATGGCCCAAGCAACGGTTTAATGCAGCCACTCCTCTCTCTCAGGGCGATGCGCGGTACATGCGCTGCGTGCTAAAATAATAATCATCAAGGCTGCTAACTAACTAGTACTGAACTGGATAGTCTAGTCATCATTAATTAATTAATTAATTAATTCTCCTCGTCGACGATGCTTGCATTCAAAGTTGAAGCTAACTAAGGATGGTGGGCTGCGGCAAAATATCCCGTTGTCAATACTTAATCCAGTCGAAATGTAAACAATCATCAATGCCTCAAATAATCTTATCCCGCCACAGTCGCCCTTCTCATCTTTACTTTTATTTTCCAGACGGCCATTCGCAGAAGCCACTTGCACGTATATTATTACCTTTCGCAAGCAGCGCTGGAGACAAAATCACAGCACAGACCAGAAAAGAACGGTTCGCTCAATCAATAATGCTCTTATAACTCAAGAATGGATCTCTTGCGGCCCTTCATTCCCACAGTGGGTTAAATATCTATAGACCCAATTCCATTTGCGAACAGTCGGAATGGGTCCGTCGTCCGGGAAGATTGGATTCGAGCTGCAGGTGAAGTATTTATTTGCTGGTTTTTTTGGTCGACAGCCTCACTCGTACTTTGGGCTGCTATTTCCTTCCATCCGAAGAGATAGGTTACAGGACCTGTTGCAACAGTTATCTTTCTTTCTTTGTTTCTTTCTTTCTTCTTACTTTCGATTAGAATAGGAAATATGTGGTCATACTAAGTGCTCTCAATAGAGTTGGTCTCTACTACATCTAATGCCGAGTACCTGTGAACCTGGGTAGCTTTCCATCAGAAGATATTAGAGGCATAGTTCAGTGTGAGACGTGCACATGTTGTATATTGTTAGACTCGTCCTTCGAGGAGGAGACAGATCTGTTGGGAGTATTTGAAATGGCGGGGCTTGGAGGTCGACTATCGATATATATATTTCGCGGATCTACACAGCCCAGGGAGAGATCAATTTGGTGGACAACCTTAGAGATCTTCCGTATTTATTTTATTTTATTCCACCTTACCCTTTTTTTTTAACTCACAAGAAAATTAATCTTCTAACTACAAACATTGTAATTACCTATTTACCCCAAGGCAATAGTGAATAATATGATGGCCGTCGTTAATCAAGTCACCCTAAGTAATTAAGCGACGCGTTGCCGGGGAAGCCAGACGCCCTTTTGACGCGTTAAGTGCTTTCCACGAGATCGGATGAGGCAACCTAGCTTGTAGTTACTTAGTGAATGCACCCACGCCATGGAGAGATCGAGTGAAGCTCAGCTGCCAGCCATGCGATAACTAACTCGTCGCTGATCATCTCAAAGGCTTCAGCTATGCAGACATCCTCCATCGGTTCTCTCCCTCCGTCTCTGCTGCCCAAGCAGTTGTCCGCTGCGGCAGCTCATCCCCTCCGATCCGACAAACCTCCTATCCGCCTAGATGCCATTCCGGCGACCCATCTCGCCGCTCTCGCTCGAAACAGTCCCTACGCTGGAAGCAGAAGCCGGTGATCTTCTCGGGTCAGACGATGAGTTGGACGAGCCCGCCCGTGCGGCCAAACGCCGCAGAATCGAGCAGCTGGGGGAATCGTATCTGACGGGCCAGCCGTTGTTCATACTGTCGGCCTCGCTCAGAGGCCCGTTCGATGATGGCTGGAATAATCCGTGGACGAAGACGAGGAAACAGGAAAAGAGCGCCAAAGAGACCCATCTTTTAGAAGAGACCGCGATTCCAGAGACAGATCCCAAAAGACGGAAGCTCCCAAATGCCCCAGGCTCAAAGGAGGGTAGACCCCGCAGTCATGGCCCTGCTGCCTATTCCAGTCCTCCTGTACCAGAGATAAATACCGGCCGCTTCACCAGGAGGGAAAACGGGAGAAGTGCACGTCACAGAAAGGGCGATCAAACTAGTCAAGCTCGGCTACAATCAGAACCAACACCAAGCTGCGTACCTCGATCAAGCGAGCCAGCAGCCGGTATCGAGCTCACGAGTTTTGTGGAGGAACCGGTCTCCAAGTCGTGGCTGAAGAGAGACCGTAGAAGAATGGAAATCTCGGACATACGCACACCTAATTCTCCTACCAGGCGCAGAGCCCGGAAACGTGATAGCTCGGACGTGATGGCCAGGACGAAGCCATCGGGGCCAAGCATGGAGGAAATCACTCGTCTACGTCCTGCTATTTATACATGTTCCGGGGCTCTTCAACCCAACGAACCAAATGCTGCCTCGAAACTCGCCCGAAACGAATACTGGCAATCCCAGTCAGTTCAAAGCATTCGGCACCATTCGACGCCGGCTTTTGGAGGAGGGACCCAGAATTCATCCACGACGATTCAACAAGAGGGCACGGCAGAGCGAATCCCAGATACTTTCAAAAGACCACGGCTGTTTGAATATCGCGAAGAGGATAGTCCACCTGACTTGGACCGCATCGAATCACAAGCAGACGCTGCTCGAAAGGATAGTACTGACAAGCACGGTAAACGACTATCTCTTCATGTTGTCCCGCCATCCTCCCATCTACCCGAATTCGAATATCGTCGACTCAAGAATAACAAACATATCAAGTGGTCGTCTTCAAGACTCGCATCCCCAGCAGAGACCGGCAGTGAACGAGAGGACGACAGCGGTGCGTCCGCAGTGCAAGCTTCTTCGAACAATAACACCTCATCTTCGAGACGGTCGTCCGTTCATTCAAATCGACAAAAGGATTCCAGTGAACCCCCGGTTCATTCCACTCTGAAGGACAGTGAAGGTAGCGCTGGCAACGAGCCAGGAGCCCGCTCCCCAGGCCTCGTCGCGATATCTGCGGTGACTACATCGACCAGCCGGAATGTTGAGGTCACGTCGACTGAAGGCATTCAATCGGCACAGGTGGTGCCAGGTATTGCTGGTTCCCGCGATCACCTTGTATCACTGCAATCAACCAATATTTCTGAACATAACACCGCCGAAGACGATCATCATGCTGATCATCAGCTTTCGACACAAGCTGCGTTACTCCTCGCGCAGAGATCGTTCCAGGATGACCTTGCAACGCCGAAGACAGAGGTCGACGCAGAACTTGCAAGTGGCTCCTCAAGCCCCCGGTCCCATGAAGAGGACGATTCGCGGGTCTCAGTCGGAATTACCCCCTTTAATCAGGTCACTACTCCTCTCAAAGACCATCGTGGAGAGGGCCCAGTGACGGCCCGGAGAGAAGAGTTTCATGCGATCAGCACCCAATACATGATCGATGCAATCACTCCTTTCACTTTCAGTTCTTCGACGAAGTCGTACGATCAATCTGGTTCCTCCAAACGGACCAAAACGAGTGCCCAATCCAAGAGGGCCAGCTTTGCGATGTCTCCTCCAGGTTCACCTAACTGCGTATCGCCGTCGTTGACAAAAGACTCTAGAGCGCAGAGTGGGCCTCCGACCGAAGAGCCGAAAGCCGAGTCTCATCGCGAGACAGAAATGGAACAAGTGACGTGTATTGGGCCCCGAAATAACCAGTCTGAGAGTCAGTCTACAGCCTTGCCCTTCACACTTTCCGGATCGACGCCTACTACGGCCCAACAGGATGGACAAGGGCCGGTTATGGAAGTGGGCACATTTGACCTCAGCCAAGCTATTGAGGACGCAGGCAGCTGGCTCCAACAAAGCTGGGATGTGAATCGAGATATCCAACAGTACAGCAGCAAGAGCGCCACGTCCGCTTCCAGTCAGGCACATAGAACGGCTGTGGGTATTGATACTGTCAGATAGAGCTGTTGGCTTTCAGGATTATTTCACTTAAGGCGAACGCCGGTCTTGGGAGGAGGGTTTGGATTATGGAGTCGTCAGTTGGAGTACCTGAGGGGTGCCTGAGGAGTAGCTTATCTCTCATTTACTATTTTCATAAGCATAGGCGTTGTATATAATTGGATGCATACATAGAGGAGTTAGCGATGTAAATAGGTCTCCATATCTACATTGAGCGCTTTATGTTTTTCTTCAATGTTAGGTTGAAACTAAAATATAATGCCCTGTCCCTATATATTATTGCTTTTGAGATAGTCCGATTTTAAAAGAGACTCTTGAATATCTAATTTGTTCTACTTCCATCTGGTACTCTAGACTACCATAGTTAGTGGCAGCCATAGTGGATCCAATGAGCGGCCGCTAGTGAGTCGCCTGGAGCTCCGCGCGTGCCAACATCATCTCCGCGCATACCCATTATCGTCGCCTCATGGGCACGATTCGAAGAAGCAAATGGCTCTGACTTCGGTGAGGGAAAATCCAACCTATAACCACAAAATTACAGGAACATGTTTCACTGACTCCGACTACCTCGAAATATATAGTGGAAAACGTTTAATTTCTTCGAAGTCTCGCAGGTGAAGCTGCCCGAGGAGAGCTCCTCGGTCTTCGACGTACGTATCGCCATCTCTCCCTCCCCCTCTCACCTGTTTCTATACGCGGGCTTTGTTTTTTCCCCCTTGGCTAATGCATAGTGTGGTGGTTGCGATAGAATGATGTTTCTTCCATATGTACCGGCTCAGCGAACCTGTTCCTAGGCACCACTAATGGTATCGTCCATATCGTCTCGTCGGCGTTCAAGCTAGTGCGATCATTCAAGGCGCATGATGCGGGTTCTATTACGCATATGAAACAGGTCGAAGGGACGTCGTTATTGGTGACTATAGCGGAGGATCTGCTGAATGAGCCCGTGTTGAAGGTGTGGGCGCTGGATAAGTCGGAGAAGAAGACTGGGGCGCCGCGGTGTCTTTCGTCGCTGTCTGTGCAGAATCAGAGGAGGCAGTTTCCGGTATGTGATGGGATCGATCGTTTTTGCGGGTGTCTGAGCTAATTGGTATTGGTAAAAGGTTTCGGCGTTTACTGCCTTACCCGACTTATCTCAGCTGGCGGTTGGTTTCGCGAATGGAGCGGTGACGGTTATTCGAGGGGATCTGATCAATGATCGCGGGGCTAGACAAAGGATAGTTTTCGAGTCAGAGGAGCCGATTACTGGATTGGAGGTGCAGGTTGGAGGGATCACGAATCTTTACATTGCGACGACGAGTCGTATTCTCACGCTTGTGATCGCGGGTAGAGGCCAGGGACAGCCTGCGCGGGTGCTCGAAGATGCAGGTTGTGGACTGGGTTGCATGACGCTGGACAAGCAGACTGGAGATGTCCTCATTGCACGAGAGGATGCCATATACACTTATGATGCTCGGGGAAGGGGCCCAAGTTATGCTTTCGAGAGTCCAAAAACCTCAATCGACACGTTCAGTGATTATGTGGTCCTGGTCTGTCCGCCGAAGACGACAAAGTCGGATCCTTTGCGGAGGCTCGGTCAGATGGATGACCTTTTGAGTACATCGACGTTCACGCTGCTGGATACTGATCTTAAGTTCATTGCTCATACGGAATCGCTGGCGTCGAGGCCGAAGAGCATTTTCATGGAATGGGGGGATCTTTTCCTTCTCACGACGGACGGAAAGGTGAGCATCCGGGACCGAACGTGCGTTAAGCAAGCTGTCTAATGATAATTTAGGTCTACCGCTACCATGAAAAGTCTCTACAGCAGAAGCTAGAGATTCTCTATCAGCGCAACCTTTACATTCTGGCAATCAACCTAGCGCAGAAGGCTGGTGTTGACGTTTACCAGCAGAACGTCATCTTCCGGAAATATGGTGATTACCTTTACCAGAAAGGGGACTACGATACGGCAATGCAGCAATATCTCAGGGCGATCGATAACACGGAACCTTCTCAAGTCATTAGAAAGGTTGGTTCAGTTTATTTATTTCGTCAAATCGTGTGAGGTATATTCAGTGGCTGATAAAGACGCAGTTCCTGGATACGCAGCGGATACATAACTTGATCGAGTATTTGGAGGAGCTTCACGAGCATGATCGTGCGACGGCAGATCATACGACGCTGCTCCTGAATTGTTATGCCAAGCTAAAGGACACAGGCAAGCTGGACTCCTTTATAAAAGCTCCTGGCGAGCTTAAGTTCGATCTCGAGACAGCCATAGCTATGTGTCGACAAGGCGGGTATTTCGAGCAGGCAGCGTATTTGGCTACGAAGCACGGAGAGAATGAGATGGTCGTCGACATTCTCATTGAAGACTCGAAGAAGTATGCGGAAGCAGTTGAATTCATCTGGCGACTGGAGCCCGAGGAGGTGCGTATTACCGCGGATGTTCATCTTATCTTTAGAAGCTCAAACCTGACTTGTTCTAGGCCTATCCTAATCTCATTAAATACGCGCGGGTGCTGCTATCGCACTGCCCGCAAGAGACGACGCAGTTGTTCATAGACTACTACACGGGCAAATACCGACCGAAGAAGGAGATTGAGGCTCCCGCAAAACCAGAGGAGCAACCTGGCAGCGCAGTTTCAAACCTGGCCGCTTTAATACCTCTCCCTTACATGAGCGTCGGTGGTGGTCACAAGTCTCGACCCAGCGAACCTGAGGTTTCCACAGAAGATAAGACGGCTGAGACGCCAGTTGAATACGACATTCCCAAGCCTAGGACCGCGTTTTCCTCGTTTGTGGACCACCCACAGGAGTTTATCAGATTCCTGGAAGCGCTTATCCAGCAAGAAGACCTGAAGAAAGAGGATAAAATCGATCTATACACCACTCTTTTTGAAATGTATCTTGACACGGCGAACGGAAAGAAGGATAATACGGAGAAACAGGAATGGCAGGACAGAGCCAAGAAGTTGATTGAGGGCAAAGACGTAAGGATAATGAAAACCATCACAGGGTGCATGGCTAATCCCGTCGACAGATACCTATCTCAACCTCAAACGTCCTGCTTCTTTCGGATTTGGCCAACTTCCGAGAGGGCACAACTCTGGTGCGCGAGCAAGAGGGACTTCGAGCGGATATCTTTCGGTCCTACACCGCTGCGAAGGATACGCAAGGCGTGATAAGAGCTTTGAGGAAGTATGGCCCCCAGGAGCCACAGTTATATATCGATGCGTTGGCGTACTTTGCCTCTAGCCCGAAGATACTGGAAGAAGCAGGCGACGAACTAGATGTCGTTCTCAGAAAGATCGACGAGGATGGCCTCATGGCGCCACTCCAGGTCATTCAGTCTCTCAGCAATAACGCTGTCGTCACAATGGGTATGGTAAAGAGGTATCTTAGCAGCAATATTGAGCGGGAGCGGAAGGAGATCACAACGGTGAGTTTGACACCTTCATCAACCACCTTTTTCTGTCTTTTAACACTGACTCTCGATGTAGAATCGCCGCCTCATATCCAGCTACAATGCTGAAACCGAGAGCCGAAAGAAGGAGATCGAGGAGCTGGGCAACAAGCCCGTCATCTTCCAATCCCGTCGCTGCATGTATTGTCGTGACCCACTAGACCTCCCAACCGTCCACTTCCTCTGCAAGCACTCATTCCACCAGCGATGTCTCGACAAACCCGACGAGAATCCAGAATGTCCAGTGTGCGCGCCACAAAATGCCACGATCAAGGAGATCCGCAAGAGACAAGTAGACTGGGCAGACCAGCACGATCTTTTCGCTGGGGAACTTCAGCGCAGTCGAGATCGGTTCGGTCTCATCAGCGAGTTCTTTGGAAGAGGAGTCATGCGACCGCAGAGTACGGAGTGAAATGAAGTTAAAGAGGGGAAGAAGATTTCTGTTTAATGCTGTGTTGAACGTCTTGATACCTCCTTGTAGACTATATATGCATATTAGCAATATATCTATGATCTGTTCACAATGCACTATTGAAATGCCAAATCAAAGAATCGAAATGACTCATTCAAGCTCAATATACCCTACGGTCGCGTGGAGGAGTCCCCTGTATTCTCATCAGTGACGCGACGCGCGCAGAATAACTTCACCCAGTCAGTACCAGCACCACCAGAAAAAAGCCCCTCATATAACCCAGACCCTCCAAAAAACTCCTCACATAAATACCCCCAGAAAAAAAGAATTACAAAAATCCTCCTAGAGTTACGCAGCAAAAAATAAAAAAAAAAGAAAGTGACCTGATACCGCGGGTTTACCTGGATGACCCCCTCCATCATCAACCCGATAAACCGCCCAGGCCGGGACTCGAACCTCGGCGCTCATGTATGGCGTATGTCCACAGGACCGCTGCGCTATGAAACCCGGGTCTCGGTCAAAGGGACCTTCTTACAGTGAATTATATGCGTTGTGTTGTTGTTGTGCTGGAGTAGAGGGCGGTAAGTATGGGGTGGATGTTATTTTGTATGTAGATCTGGGGGCGGATCTTATCTTATCAGTCACGTGATGGCGCGTTGTGCGGCGTTTGGGCTTGGCGCGTGGACGGAACGCGCGCGGAAGAGTAAGTTGGGTTGGGGATTTGTTCTAGACCCCCTCCTCCTACCTAATTAGAAAGTGGATAGCTGTATCGAGAAGAGAGGTGGGATTCTATCATCGATATGCATCCAGGAAGGGTGATTCAGGATTCGGATGATGAAGATGATGCTCTGTCTGATGTCGCGACGTCGATTGATCCGTTACAGGAGCAGGAGCAGGAGCAGCATGATGATGACTATGGCAATGCCGAGGGTCAGGCGGAGGAGCATGAAGAGCGACATTCCGAGAAAGAGGTGGAATATACTACAGAGCGTGCTATTACTGGATCGCAGCTCGGTGTCAATTTTGATGATTTTCTACAATCTCAGCCTCAGACGACGACTGGTCTTTCATCTTCCCAGCAGAGGAGGGAGGAAAGATGGATTCCGACAGAGAGTGGTAATGAGTCTATTGGTGAGTGTATGCGTGTGTTGTTTTCAGTGGTGGGATTTTCATCAGCTAGGGATTTTACTGAGATGTTTCCTGTCTGTCTAGGTGCTACGATGAGCGAAATCGGTCGCGCTCAGAGGTTGCTAGTTGATGATGTGACGCCTCTCAATTATCCACTGCTTCCCTCGATGGACCAGTCGGCAGATCCACTGCTGTGTACATATCAGTCTTCTGATGGAGCTGGCGGGGTGAAACGTCCACAGTCTGTGGTTGATGCCGTGAGTGGAGAAGATCAGGATACGGGATACTGGTCAGAGCAACAAGCGAAGAGATGCAAGATCTCGGAACACGGAAATGGCGAAGATGAGGTCGTGGAGTTGCCTCAAAAGGGCAATGAACATCAGCTGCAGGACCTTCTGCAGCAATCAGCAGCTATGGATGAGCAGTCCCACAGCCACCCTGGGCCGGACGATCCAGAGAAGAAGACCAGCACAAACGACAACGAGGCGTCTGTTACGGCCTCATACAACTACTTCGACTCGTCACTGAAGCTGAGAGAGTATACGGAAGTTAGCACTGTGCCTATTGCTAGCCCAGGAGAGGAACGCGATGAGCTAGTGGAGACCATTCGTCGAACGCCTGGCCGATCGAAGTCGATGCAGATGCCCCCCGTGGACTCGCCTCACGACACTGAACCCTTTTCCTCATTGATATCTCCGCATGTAAAGCGGGCAAAAAGTGACATGCCAGTGAAAGGTGTATCCCCGAAAGCGTCGATAGACACGCCAGACGAACTGTCTCTCCCCGTTACGGTGGAAGCCCCGTTGGCTCAAAAGAAGAAACGAGGAAGGAAGAAGAAGCAGCTGGCAGAGGATGGCACTGATGGGGAGCCAGACGAGCTTAACGCCGATGCCACACATGGAATCCCTGACGAACCGAAGAAACGCGGACGCGGCAGGCCTAGAAAAATACAAGTCGAAGGCGTGCAATCACCTAAACCCCAATTCGACGAAGATCTTGTCATGGCTGTTGCACAAGAGACCATTGCAGACCCGGATCAACCTAACAAGTTCGAGGAAGACTCTAGGTTCGTTATGCACGATGAAAAACCAGACTATGACACCTTTGATCCTGCAAAAGCAGACGTAGGACTGCCACAAGAACAATATATACCTCGACCAAGTCGTTCACGAGCTCAACCAATTGAAAATTATGAATCTCCCGATTCGATATCGGGACTATCCATAGAGAAGACCAAGAAGAGGAAGATCAAGCGGGGCAAAACCACTTCGATCATGATCAAGAAATCCTACGAGTCAGACGTCGAAGACGACGTGATATGGATTGACGAGAAGCCCGCGAAGGAGCCCTTCAAAGCCAAGGAAGAGACAGTAGCAGCAGTGGCACAAAGGCCTGATACCGTTGCTAACGACTTCGCGGAAGACAATCAGTGCGACATCAAGGACATAAAGCCCACTGACGCAATTGAAGATCCAACTAAACAAGAAGCCATCGACCCAGCTCGTTCCGATGAACCTCCTGGTCCGAAGAAGCGCGGACGCAAGAGAAAGAAGACCGCAGAACTCGTGATCGCAGATCCTCCAGCTCAACAAGATATCTCTGAAGACGCAGAGACCGACGAACACACTACTCCTCAAAACATCCCAAACAATATTAACCCCCCAATCACCACCGAGGAGGGACAATCAACCACTCACGAGGATACAATCCAAAAACCAGCCGAACCTCACGACATAACACCAGAACCCGAGATTCCAACTCCCAAAACGCCAACCGCAAAGCCCCACGATCCGACCGCCTGTACGTCTCAGAACACGAAGACGAAAGGCCCCGATAAACATAGCCCGATCACTTCCACAAGCAAGGTCCCATACCGCGTAGGTCTGAGTCGTAGAGCGCGAATCGCACCACTGTTGAAAATAGTGAGGAAGTGATGGGCGTGAATGTGTGTACTGAAACCGCCTATTGCGAAATGGGAGATGACATCGCCTTATGTGCTTCTTCTTCTTCTCCTTCTCTGACTGTTCTTTTTATTCCTAGCGCCATATTATGGCTTTATGATTTCTGATACTCGAGATATGATACATGTACATGCATATATACCCATGGAGCACAAATGATGTCTGGTTGTTCACAGACATGGTTGAGAGGATATCTATGTATTATCAATTCTATAAATAATAGGAATAAATAGTCACTATTACAGACTAGCTGGCCATCGTAGTGAACTTCGGATATGAATATCCAGCTAGTTTCTACGCGTATTACTATGCATAAGTGACGACCAGAAAGATACGAATGCTATTAGTAGCCTAGTCACTTTTTATTTACAAGCTTTCTGCGGTAAACGAGCGAAGGAGCGACCCGAACAATATCATTGCAGCAAGGGAAACGTGACCGCTTCCGTGTAAACATTTCGAGGCGTATTCAGTCTTGTCAGCTTTATTGCCGTGACTTCATACTCTGGTTCCCCGAATCGAATAAAACTGCGTCGTGATCCCAACGATACCAGTTATCTCGAGGATCGCCCAGGCATTCTCCGACGGTAACTGCACGGTAGCCATTCTGACGCGCCTTCTCCAGTATGTAGGCCGTCAGGTTATAGACAGTTTGTTCATGCACATCGTGGGAAATGACCAAAAACGGCTTATCAGGTCTATCCCGCCGAGCCATGGCTTGATCGAACGCATCTTTGGAGCGCTGGATAAGGTCGGGGCTATCATTGTTGTAGTCGTTGGTATCCAGATCGAAATATATGATATGATAACCGAGCTCCTCGACAGCATCCTGACACCCAGACTCAAGACTGCAGCTGGAATAAGGAGGACGCATATATGTTGGAAAACCGCCCATGATATTACGCAAGGCTGCCTCGTTCTTGAGGATCTGATCCTGGCGTACTGACGGAGTAACCTTGCTGAGATCCTGATGAGACCACGAATGGCTACCGATCTGGTGTCCGCTCCAATGCATACGTTGGATTAACTTGCCCCAAGGCAGGTTGAAATCGTCAATCTGGCCTTTACCAGAGTTGACACCTGTGACAAAGAACGTTGCTTTCGCGTCGTACGAATCTAAGAGATCGAGAAGATCGTTGGTGTAGCGGTTGGGCCCGTCATCGAATGTCAGTGCGAGTGTCTTTGGGACTGTGCATGAGTAGATAGCACGGCGCCCATATGCCACATTTCCAACATGAGGTCTAGGAAGGTTTGTAGTCGGTCGCCCCTGGGGAGTTCTATTGGCGTCGCAGCCGTTGCTGTAGTCTAACTGGCAATCAGGGGACCGGCAATGATTGATTGTAGCGCCGCACCATCCTGAATGACATATGAGTTGGGCTTCAATCGACAACTGACACGACGTACACTAACCTGAAGGTGAACAACATAAGTTATCTGCACAAACGCCCGCCCCGGGACCGCATCTAGTGTTAAAATGAGATCCAGCAAGCCCTGATAGAGGAAGGTTTCGCTGAACGAGGTTCTGGGACTCTCCAGAGCCAAGGTTATCGATGCTGTGTCCATAAGCTGTCATAATCCCAAGCCAAGTGCTGAATAGCCTGTGAGTGGGTGTTTTCATTGTGAAGGACTTCTAGTTCGATAAAGAGAGAGACCGTTGAAATATGGGACAGAAGCATATGTTAGTCGATAATGAGAGTTTGATACAACGAGCGTGGTGCGAGAAATATTGAAGCGCGACTCAGATTCATACAGTTGACCATCCCTGGAGCTACTGTTGGCCGTAATTTATACAACAACGGGCTGGCTCCGTTAGGAAAGGGCTATCCTTGGGAAGGAACTTTCAGACGCCAAACAACATGCCCTTCGATTCAAGTAACTGCCAGTTCATCGCTACATGGCACCTAAGATGGATCTGTACCCAGATTGATAAGAATGATGAAGTATTACCAGACAGGTTTTCTCATTGTTTGCAAGATCGATCTATAGTATTCAAACCCAATATGAACGTGCTTGCGACCATGCATACATCTTCTGCGAGGGAACTAATCTCTGGGTCAGAGCTCGATGTTGGTGGATCTGCTCTAGGTAGTTAGCCAAGAAACACACCGGGGGGGTTGAGAGACTTATAAAAGAGTTGGTGCCGCTCCCTGAAAGAGGGAACGGCCGTCTCTCTGCATCTTCCACATCGCTGCTACCGCGTTCCTACAAATGTCGTCGGCAAGTGGCATACTCGACGCATCCACTGGAACTCCCTGTCAAAGGGCAGTCATGACCTGCCGTCATAGAAGACTCCAGGCGAATTCCCTTAGGTGTCATTCCCATCACGATATGTCAAGTAATCACCCTACACTCGGAATGACACAGACCGACGAAGGACAACATAACAAGCTTGCTAGAGCAGACAAACCGAAGTTTTGATCCTCCCGCGAGAGAGGTCCCACCCAAGCGGCCGTTGTGTCAGATCGATTCGCCGTCGACATAGCCGAGGAAGGTTGACAATGACAAAGAGCGCCCGGAGATAGTGTTATGACATTGAAGGAACCGCCAGTCGAGCTTCAAGCAGGCCATTTTACACCTTTCACATATGGAGCCCCATAGAATGGCGCCGATTTGCGACACTGATCGGACACAAGCAACGAAGCATGGGCAGTCTGTGAAAGTGGCTCGAGAAACATGAGCAAGGAGCGATCGAGCCCTCATTGCCTGTGATCGCGAAGGAGAGCGAACGGCCTCCATACCTCTCGGATTTCTCTTCCAAATCACGCCGAGAATTTTCTGTCTCCCAAACACTGTCTGACAGGTAGGAGTCATCCGTATCCTACCATGTCAACCTCTCGAGCTCCAGACCCCGTAAGCTCCTTCCGGGCATCGGGACTGTTGGACTCTCTTGTTTGTAATACAGTACCTCTAGAGACTAGTTTTTGTTTCCTCTCCCGTAACATGGTCGTTTCCGGGAGGGCATCTTGAAGCGGACAAAAAACATCCTCAAAAACCGCTTCCTTCTCCCCGAAGGGAGGGGTGAATGCGAGAATTCACAATCACCGATATCTGCGCCCGTCGATCAATCCACAAGCTGAACTTGCGAAGAGACGGTTAACACGGCTGATCTGGGCCTCTGATTGAGTTCAAGTCTGTGGCTGGTGCCGTGACTCGAAGTTGGCTGGCGAGCTTACATCACAGATGTCTCCATTAAGAGGACGAGGTGGAGCAGAGGGACGAAGAACCCAGCTTCCTCGAGGTCGGAAACATGCACGGGATAGCAAACAACTACTAGCAGGCTGCTAGAGGCAGGAGGAGAATCACAAGACCGCCAGAGGACATTTCTGCCCACTGGTGCTTGCATCATCGACGAATAAAGTAGCGACTGGAACTGACAACAAGCCAAAAAAATCGACGGCATTCCATAGAGACTACCAGTCGACAAACCGTACCTCAAGGTACGAACACAGAGACCTCGCTACAACTCCCAATTGTAGGCAGCTGGGTACTAACAATATGAAGAGTTGATTCCGGCGAGTGGATCTCCATCGCGCATTGAGGCCACGATTGTGTGTGGGCAACTATCCAAGAAGGTAAGTGTTTGTTGTGTTCAACGCTTCAATAGTCGCGAAGACGAAGCTGGCATTTAGACCTTGGATCCTAGTGCCTTCGGTAGGAAGATATTGGAAAGCTCCCAAAGGCGACCTCCAAGTTTAGAGGTGCTCGGCATGCTTCACCTCTGCTCTCTCAGTCATCTCTCAACTTGCAAGCGCATACCAAACGCCCCTGATGATCACTTTCTAATGTCCAGCTACAGTAAACCGACGCGTGTCTCCTCAGAGACTTAGAACGCATGGTAGACCTTCTTCGAATGCCTATGGTAGGCTCTGGACGCCAAACACCTTTCGCCCCCAGCAAGGTCCCGGAGGATCTGGCGGTTGCTAGTCGGACATTTGACATATAGACCGCGAAGCTTGTGCCATTTCTGACAGCGGACAGATGAAGTAATTAGGGTTAGGTGTCCAGACTTTGCCCACCTCGAAAAACCAAGCTCGCACCGTAGGCTTCAAGCGCAGTAGAGACAGGGCTTATTCGAGGTGTATTGATAGTATGACTACCAATGTAACAGAGACTGGAGATTTGGGAAGGTGAAACTGTATAAATCGCGCCATCAAGGCAAGAGAGTGGTGGAACAAGAGAGGTTGTTGACATGGTGGAAACGGCCGCGTCCGACCGTGTCTTCAAGAGAATGAGTCCAACTGAGAATTGCAACTGGCAGTGATCGATAAAGATTGAGAAGTTCGAGGCAAGAGGCAGTTCGGCCTCTGTCACGTACGTGTGCTGAGGGCTGTCGTGTGCTGAAGCTCATAAGAAGTCGAGGACAATAGCAGGAGACGAGAAGTAAATATGTACGCGACGCGTAGTCACGTGATAAAGACACCGATAGCATCACGTGGAGATAACCTGCTCGAAGATTCTTTGTCAGCAGATTCGCCTTATGACCGCAGAATAGAATGAAGAACGCGGCCAGTTAGAAGACACTGGCGTAAAGATATGTCGCCTTGGTACTGATATCCATTAGTTAGGTTATAAGCATGGCAGGTTCACGGAGGATTAGAGAAGCTTTCGAATCCGCGAATGAGTTCCTCTCACCTGTCTTAAATAGAGGCATGTATTCTTGGCAGCCCGCATAAGATCATGGTCAAAGAGCTAACAGTCTATAAGAGGAGATACAAAAGTCACGCGGCGACTCTCTGGTGCAGATATTGAGCGTAAAGCTATCTGTGGCTCCTGAAGAGGAGAATCAAAGAAAAGCAGTCATTAACGAGGCTCTATCGCTCCTGGGGCAAATCCATACAGCATTTGCTACTTCCATAGGGGACGATGAACCCGAAACGACAACCGAGACTGAAGATGTGGCCTTGGAAGATGCAAAACGCCGTAGATTACTTCATGCATTGCTAGATCTCATTTCTCTTGAGGGTGTTTATCCCTCTTTGTCAGGAGGAGTCGGTATTCCTCTTGAGAAAAGGGTCATTTCTGTCCTTCCTGCAGGGGTGATCGCTAAACAGACTGAGATTCCCGCGGACAGTAAGCCCAGAGATGAAGCACTACTACGCCAGATCCTGAAAGTCTTGCGCGACCTGCTTTTTGATGAACGGCCCAGCATACAGCCGATCATCCGGGGTCGTATCTTGAGTGACATAATAAGCGGTTCTGCTGATCTTGCCTTCAACGCAAGAACGTTGCCTTTACAGGAAAAAGAAGAATTTAGGGATATGTTCCAGAAGGTTATTGACCAGTAAGTTTCTGTCCCTAAATTTCTCATGACAGCACGTTAATTATAGCGGTAGAACTCCAACGCAGGTCTTGTTGCCAACTTTGACTGCTTTTCTAAGAACGGATACCGCTCCATGGTTCAAATCCACAATCTCTAGTCATCTATCTGTCATACCTCTGCGGCCGGATGGGGTTCTTCAGACTATGATATTCGTTGCATCTCAGTTTGCGCCTTCACTTGGCCACGATGCTCAGACGCCATCCTCCGATGGACCTCCCATCACAGTGCAGGCAATCATGCAGACCTCGAAGCTTCTTTCTTCTGTACCACAGGGTATGGACCCGGTGGTCTACTTTGAGAACGTTTCGCCAAAGCTGTTGGCGTTGTTGGACGGTGAAGATCTGGATTTGAAAAGAACCGCTGCGTACGTCGTGGGTAGCGGAATCTTAGGGAAAAGAGCATATGGTGCCCCTGGAACCATTGGACATTCAATATTCGCGGAGCCGATTTTCAAGGCTCTCACAGCCGAACTTGATGAGGCATCACAGCGATGGATGAGACGTTTCACGGGCCTTGGCGAAGCTTTACCTTGGGACCGAGAACACGAGTCGCCGCGGAAAGTTATTGTTGGAGAGTCTCAGATATTCCTAGGTATCGAGAGACTAAGGAGCCTGACGTTGCAACATCCGAATCCTGGTCTTGTGAAGAGACTTCTTCATCCGATTCTGCTGCCTCTCTGGGGTATGGCATGCTATGCACGGGAGCAAGGAAAGACCGCCTGGCACGAAAAGATCCTGACACTCCTACAAACATTCTTTGGTATGTCCGTGGGTGTCCTGCCATTGAAAAAGCTCGTCGATAACCTGCTTTGGGACGGTAAACCTACATGGAGCTACGGACCTGGTGAAAATGAAGGCATATCGTTGCAACAGCGAGGAAAGAGCAACACGCAAGGACTAAATCTAGTCCAATTAGTCGACTCATTAGACTTACGAGCAGACGAATTCGTCAAGCTCTTGGGTTCAGATCCTCAAAGTGAGGAGAGAACGGCGGACATTTTCTTGTATGTCAGTGAGAGATGGCTGGTGCAACCGTCTACCCACCAGCCGTCTTTGAATCGACTGAAGCTCCCTCATGAACAAGATGACCCTGAAGCCATAACACAGAAGCTAGTCAGTGCCAAAATAGCTGAGAAGCTACTTGAGAATTTCAAGGACACCCTATCTCGCCATCCTTTGCGTGTGCTTGAGCTTGTCAAGCAGCTTATTGAAGGCGAACTTCGAGAATACGAAGCCAAGGAGAACAGAAGGAGAGATACAGATAGTGCAAAAGCCACACTGGCATCGCTCTCTAACATCGTCGCTAGAGACCAATCGGCTTCAGACGCGAGCCCGGAGCAAGCAGAAGCTGGAGAATCATTATCAGCCGCATTCAGCTTATTATCTACAATTCTCGCGTCGCCTGAATTCTCTGTATCCGAAGCTCTTGTTCCGACACTCCAGAGTATAAAAACACAATTAGATCGCCTCACCCCTCACCTACCAGCCTCTCTATCAAAACCGGGAACAACATCCTCCATGCTCTTGGAAATCCATCTATCCTCACCTGAAGAGTTAAAGGAGAATACGAAGGCGGCACCTTCTCACGTTTCTGATCTCGAAACTCATCGACAAGCCCTGAGCAATCTCAATTCCCCTCTTCCCCCAGTCCAGGCAGAAGGTCTTTCGTTACTGTCTAATCTCATAACCAAATCATCTCCAGTTCTGGATATTCCTTCAACGCTCTCCTTGCTTTTATCACTTATCATGGATACCTCCGAGTCAGCCGCAAATGAAGAATTCATTTATTTGAATGTCATAAAACTTATTGGAGAGCTTGCGTCGAGACACCCTCGAACGGTCGTCAAAACCCTCGTGGAGCGCTATGCTGATAGAGAGGAAGAGAGAACTCTCGACCAAAGACTCAAACTCGGAGAAGCGCTTCTACGCACAGTTCAGGATCTGGGAGACGCGCTAGCCGGAGAAACAGCAAAGATACTCGGCGAAGGCATGATATCTGTTGCCGGCAGACGAAGCCGGAAACCACAAGCTCATCAAGTGCGAAAATCCCAGTTAGAAAAGGAACGAAGGCAGAAGGAACGTGAAGCGCGAGAATCCGCTATGCCAGAAGGGTGGAGTATATCCACTCCGTTGTCTAACAAAGAATCCGGGCCATCCATTTCTGAACTTCAAGAAGACGACGACTCGGATATGGAGACACCAGAACAAGCTGCCCAGTCAGCTAATATCGTCTCTGCCTGGGCTGCCGGAGCAGCTGCAGATGAAGACCCAGATGACCTACGGGCGCGTGCCTCAGCAATATCTATCCTCGCGACCGCAATCCAAACAAACCTCCTTGGTCTAGGTCCTCAGGTCGCCTCTTCCGCTGTTGATCTCGCTTTATCCACTCTTTCTTTGGAGACAGAGCCCGAGAGCGCCATCCTCCGCCGCGGAAGCGTCGTCCTCCTACTTGACCTCATCAAAGCCATTGATGAGACGCGTGAGAACAAAGGCTCCAGCGCCCTCGGATTCGGTTTCTCACTTACAGACGACGCGGGTAGAGCAAGTGGCGCTGACCGCGGGAGGACGATAGGAAACATTCCTCAGATACTTCGTACGCTGCTATTCGTCGAGAGCAGAGAAACTGATAGTATTGTGAGAGGACATATTCGCGTTTTGATCGAGAGTCTGGAGGCGTGGATGGAGAAGTCTTTAATGTGGGGTATTGGGGCGCGCGGAGACAGGGAAGAGGATGAGGAACCGAGACTGGAGTTAGGCGATAGACTTGCTGGCTTGGCTATCAATCCGTTAGCAGGACGAGATGGAAGGATGGGTCCCAGGATTGAGGAGATTGAGTAGTTTGGCGTTCTCTTTGTGAATTCTTAGAGAATCCTACGTTGAACGATCATGGAGGCGCTGCCGACTAGATATTCGGATAGAAGAAATCGTTTCAATTCAAGGTTATCCAGCTTTGCTGGTATTCCTATTGTACAGTACTGACAAACCATCCGTTCAAGTTAATATTTGCCCCCAGAAAGCTTTCTACAGAAGACCAACCCTTCTCTCAATGAAACAAGACACCCAACAATGGGAGGGAGAAAACTTCAGTACAGGCATGGTGAAAGAACAACACCGCTCTCTGTCCGTAAAGTTACAATTTAGGAAGAACAGGATGAAGCAGGGGTATGACAAAGAGACAGTACATGACTCCAAACGCCCAGGTCAGATGGTAAAAGAAGGCCATTAAGGACAAACATACAAATGTTCCCAGATCCACGTTCGACAACGCCATACATGTTGAGGAAGGGTGGTGACTGAGAGATCTTGTATCACCACTGGCCGGCATAGTGCTGTGGATTATCGTAGCCTTGGCCGCCACGCCCTCTTCGGCCGCGACCGCCGCGACCACCACGACCACCGCGACCGCGACCTCTACCTCCCCGTCTACCGAAGGAGTCGTCACGGCCGTAGCCACGGTTGTTGTGGTGGCGGTTCGAGGTATCCGGGGCAGGACCGGCTGCCATACGGGCGTCCCGTTCCTCCTCCGTCAAATAGAACTTGTTCTCGATACCAAGCATCTCGCAGAACTCGGCTGTCTGTGGATTGTTGTACTCATGGGGCTGTTCAGAAGTGATCACTGGGATAGCCGGATCATAGAAGGGGGCGGTGGGGACAAAGTTCTCTGGTATGACAAGCTTTCCCTTCTGAACAATGTTTTCTTCCACCCACTTTTCTGCCTCAATAATCTGATCTTTATAGAAGAGATCACCCTTGTTCGGAGGGATCCCAGCGTAACGATCACCCACGCGTAGATCATCTGCGAAGACGCGGGTGATTGCGAGCCATTCCTTGTCATAGTGCAGGCGGAAGGGGCGCTCCTCCTGAACGCCATCCTGCTCCGAAACAGGGTAGAACTCCGTAAGCTGCAGGAACTCCTGGTTTGGCTCACACTTTCCAAGGGCCAAGAAACGCGTCTCCTTGTTCGTGATGGCCTCTGGGAAAGGTCCATTCAGTGGAGGCTGAGGCTGCTGAGGACGAGCGAAGCTGGCGGGTAGCTGACGGCGAAGGTCTTCAGAAACCTCATCAACTCCATCAACTTGCTGGATCTGGCCTTGTCCAGGAGCTTGAACATCAAGGGGAGGCCCACTGTTTTCGGGAGTACCAAGGTCATCGGACATTTTGACATCTTTCTTTTCTTCAGCTTCTGCCGAGCCAGGCTTTCCTGCATCGGAAAGATCGTCAAGATCAAGATCGATCTCATCAGAGTTCTTGACAGTGGAGGCTTCAGCTACAGTGTTTTCATCCTTGTTGGCACTTTCATCATTTTCATAGCCTGTCTTCTCGATCCCAAGTATCTTCCTGTCGCCGGATTCTTCGTCAGGGTTAACTTTACGCCAGGTCTGCTGATAGTTCACCTCTGTGGAGTGAAGAGGAACACCAGCATCTCGCTCTGTGCGTTGACGCTCAATGAAGTGAGCGTTTGCTTCAGCGTCAGTCTTGGCAGCGACAGCGTGGAAGTTGTTCCAAGCAGAGAGCTGTGCTTTCTCAGAGTGCGGTTTGCCAATGTCTCTGACTGGTTCAGCAGCATGTGCAGGGCGTTCGATACTAGCTGCATGCTGAAGAGCTGCCTGAGCATTCTTAGCATCGGCAGTAGTATAGCCAGGAGCTATATCATCATGCTGGACAAGTGCTGCAAACTTGACGTGCAAATGCGCTGAGAACCAATACGCTGGACGTAGACGTTCGAGAACTTCCTTGGCAGCATCGCTGCCGAGTTTCCCGCTGATAGAGTCCTCACGGAGAAATGGCTTTCTGCGGAAGAGCGCTTGATGATCCCCTGAATATTCGACTCTCTTTGGCCAATCGTGGGAGAGCCCCAAGTCGACTTGAGAGCGGATTTGGAGAAGCTTCCGCACGTCCAGTTCTCTAACATGGTACGCGGAATGGACCTCCGAGTCATTGTAAGGCAGGCGCTCGAAATGAGGTTTCCGGTAATCGTAACCCTTGAAGATTCCAGATATGCCTGCGATACGTAACGGTCCACAGCGAAGCACATTGGCCGCACCCAGATAATAGATGTTGGGCGCAACCCACCCACCGTGGTAGAGTTCGAACTGATGGTTGTACGCTTCGTGGTTCCCACCGACATAGATAGTTAGATATGGAGCAGTACGTTTTCCACTGTAATACTCGTGAAAATCACCAATCTGCCTGTACTTTTTGGGAACCGACATTCCATTCATATCATAGGAATTGCGAACGGCCTGGAGGGATATCAGACTCTTGTCGCCAGGACGAAATATTTAGAATGACTTACTTGGAAATCACCGCCGATAATGACCAAATCGACACCATCCCAGCCCTTGAGCTTGGCAGCTTCCTGGACTGAGGCATAGATGTCATGAAGTTTTCCATGTCCCTATGTATTATATCAGGTCAGTCGAGACTCAACCAAAACACTGGAGACGGAGACAACTTACGCAACCTTCAAGAGCCACACGCAAGCCACGGCGTGATGCGTTCACAGGTTCCATGATCGGAAGTACTGTTTCCCCGAACTGCACGGAGCTGATTGCCAGGAAGGGGGGAGATGGGACGGAAGATAGGACGGAAGATGGGACAAAGTGTGAGAGTAGATGGACAAAATGACCGTTGATGATTTTGAAAGGACACTAGATGGTCCAGAATACAGTGAACTGCCTCACTCTGAAGAATAAGGCACACTGTACTCTCCTAAATAGAGAATCTATTTGGTGCTGCGGGTAGCAGCAGGAGTTGGTGTTGTTGTTGAAATCAAACAGGAGCCTACTGCGTGGTGAGGTTAGTATTTCTTTCAGCGGGAACACAGAGAAAAGCTCCTCCGCAGAGGGCGAAGGCCGCCGGACGAACTTGCAACCCTCGCTTTTCTCCATCTTCCATCGACTTCACACGACATACAAGGGAGACTTTTCGTTACTCGCCATGGCATTAGCAGAATCAGCTCCGCAACTGAATTTCCTGCGGGATTCAGCGCAGTTTCTAAGCTCCCAAAGTCCATCCACGTCTGCACATCTCTTGGCGGTACACAACCGGATTCTTCACGACCAGTTCAGACCATTAAATTTCCGCCAACAGGAAACATTCTGCGGTGCCTGCGGCAGTCTCAGGACACCACATATCACCAAGAAGGTTGAGATCAAAGAGAAGAGCGCAAAATCCAAGGCCCAAAAGTCCAAGGTTACCAAACAAGGTGGTTCTCAAGATGCTCCTCCAGGGGCCGTCGTCTACAAGTGCTTGCGATGCTACAAACGGGCGGTACAACCAATCCGCAAACCAGCATCACGAAAGAATATTCAGTCAGTCCCTATAGCTGCTACTGAGCCTGTGGTTTCTTCTACAGCAGCCTCTACAAGCAAGACTTCACCCCAGGAGGCTGCAGACGCGGCGACACCCAGTGTTTCCACCAAAACCACGTCTGAAAATGCCAGCAGCAAGAAGAGGGCGAAAGCGAGGAAGCAAGGCGGACTACAAGCTCTCTTGGCCTCCAAACAGCGCTCACAGACCCAGACGTCCTCGTCCCTCGATCTCTTCGACTTTCTGCAGCAGTGACTACTTTCACGTGACTTGTTCGTTTCCGGTTAGCGCGGGGGTTGCCCGGATGGAAGACTGACTAAGTAGTAACTGACCCCGCCACAGCGAAGAACCGCGAAAGTTCCCGTCGCTAGTAGATTATTTTTTTTCTAGAGTGACTGGGAAGAAGCTTGTGACTGCTCAACACGAGACAATCCTGCATCATAAGACCTCTAGAAGGGCTCTTTTCTGAGTGGTTAAAAGAATTGGGTTTGCACTTTACACCACTGATCAGAATACATCTACATACACACTGAAGAGACACTGAAGGTCACTGCAACGACATACGCTAGATCTACCCCCCACTTTACAATTCGCAATCATGTCCGTTGAAGGAACGGAACAGCAGCAGAACAACGACCAGGCGCATGCTGCTGCGCAGATGGACAAGATGCTGGACGCCTCCATGGCCCAGAAGAATGACTCCCAGTTCCAAAAGCCCAGCGATCTCGTCGAGAGGGACGAAGATACCGGATTGGTGTCAGTCGAGAGTCTGTGCATGAACTGTGGTGAGAATGTAAGTCTAAGCCGAGCCTATCACACGAACGAACGAGGCCTAACAATATGCAGGGAACGACTAGACTTTTGTTGATTCGAGTCCCTTTCTTCCGTGACATTATCCTAGAATCGTTCGAGTGCCCGCACTGCTTCTTCAAAGACAACTCGGTCAAGTCTGCCGGGCAGATCCAGCCACAGGGAACGAAGTACACACTAGATGTCGAGGACGAAGCGGACATGCAGCGACAAGTCATCAGGAGTGACACTTCCATCTTCAAGCTCGAGACCCTTGGAGTCGAGATGCCCAAGGGAGAGAGCCAGATGACGAATGTGGAGGGCGTTTTGCGGAGAATCTATGACTCCCTGTCTCAGGAGCAGCCATTGCGGAAGGTCCAGGCACCCGAACTCTATACTGCTCTGGAGCCTATCATTGAGAAAATTGGCAAGATGCTTGAGGGCCAGTCTTTCCCGTTCACGATCTCTCTGGATGATCCCACTGGGAACTCATGGATCGCTCCTAATCCTAATGACAAGGGCCACAAGTACAGGCGCAGGGACTACCCTCGTACCCATGAACAGAACGAGGAACTCGGTATCGCCGCTGATCCCGAAGCTCAGAAGCTTGAGGGTGTCGTGCTCAAGGAAGCAGCCGGAGACCCTGAGGATCTGGATATCACCGATGGAAAGGTGTACACCCTCCCGGCTGAGTGCCCAGGCTGTACTAAGCAATGTGTCGTCAACATGCAGAAAGTCAGCATCCCTCATTTCAAGGACGTCATCATATGGAGTACGGTCTGCGACCACTGCGGCTACCGCACCAATGAAGTTAAGACCGGCGGCGAGGTCCCTGACAAGGGCAGGCGCATCACTCTCAAGGTGGAGAATGAGGTGGACCTCTCGCGTGATATCCTCAAGTCCGATACCTGTGCTCTGAAGAGCGAGGACTTGGACCTGGAGGTTCAGCCAGGTACTCTGGGTGGTCGTTTCACAACCATCGAAGGTCTCCTCACTGAAGTGCGGGATCAATTGCACGGACAGATCTTTGACCTTGGCACTGGTGGTGGAGACAGCATGGCTAGCAGCGATAAGGAAACCTGGGAACGCTTTTTCAACAAGCTCGACAGCGCTATCAAGGGGCAGATGAAGTTCACCATCATCCTGGAAGATCCGCTGGCCAACAGCTACGTCCAAGACCTGTGCTCGCCTGCTCCTGACCCACAGCTCACGGTCGAGGATTACACCCGTACCGATGAAGAGGAGGAAGAACTAGGCCTGAAGGACATGAAGGTTGAAGGTTACGAGCAGGATGCCGAGCAGAACGAGGATACCAAGCACGAGGAGACCAAGTAAGAGTTGTGAACTGAATGCTGTCGACTCTGCACTTTATTTCTCATTCTCGTTTTATGATGTTTATGATTTCCTTTTTTTTTGACGACAGTTGTCATTCCAATCGGATGTGAATCATTTATGCTGTTGCATGCATAACGGTGCCTTGTGATGCTTGTGCTGGCTTTCGGGTTATTGCGTCCCTTTATATCCCGCATTTATGGTTGGATGATATTGTTCATAGCATGTTAATAAGTGGGTGATGTTACATAAGAAAAGGCTGGGGGAGTTGTTGAGGTCGTCCGGCTAATTTCCAGAATCAGTGGTGTTACTATGGAATGAAAAGTACATGTTTACATCTCGGGAATGAATCATTTTCTTCTCATTCAAAGCATCATTGCCGCATATCAATCGTGGGTATTTGTAGTATGCTAGCCAGATCTCTGAGCAGGACGTGCTGTCTGATGTCTCACACGCAGTCAGTATTCCCGACAATCACGTTCTTCCGGTCCTGGTAGGCGACAGGAGTCTCAGAGTTTTATCTGGGAATCTTATTAATGACATTTGTCATTTCAATTGAAGGCGACCCCTTTCTGTGTTTGCATACACAGTGCCTTGTCAGCCCACTGATACTGGGCTAACTAAATAGAATTCCATATAGGGAAACACCCAGCAGATCGTCTTCTGGAAGAGCCAACTAGGTCACACCCTAAATGATCTTGCGCAGAATGAAATCGAGGCACTGCAGGTTCCTGCAGCTGCTCGTTGTTAGTCGATACTCGCCCTCTTGGCCAGCAAACAAGAAATGCAAAGATGAGACTTGGGGGTCTCTGACGGCTATGGTACTGTATACCCTCATGGAGAAGCTTCCTGGGACCAGTGTTAGTAGGTTTACGGGGTTTGAAGCGCGAGAACTCCGGTGCCCTTTCAAAGATGCTGGCCGCATGCTCAGGACCATTATTCTTGCCTCTTTACCTTCATCGCTGACGCTGATAACCAAGGGAGGTCTTCTCAAACGGAATAAAATGGGTGTCGTTATATTCAACGCAGAAAAAAAAAACCCGAGGCATTGTTAAAATCTCCCATTTGACTATTCTAAAATCAGCGGGAGCAAGCGACTGCCTCTCATGCACAGTTATTTCCTGCTGATTGAATTGCCCCGTGTTTAAATACACACAGCCCAGATAACCTCTACTGGGCCACCCGCATAAGAACGAAGACACAATGCAGGTACAACACCTACAAGTGACCCTACGTGTAGATGCGTGGTTAGTTGCCTCGGTTTAGGCTGGTTTCGTTTCATAAGTTAGGGGAATGTTTCGATATGGGCCGTATGCCAACGTGCTGAAACCAACCATGCAGCTTGGGCCTTAACATCACTTATTGGGTATACTAGGACACAAGTCACTAAGAAAAGCCACGCTTTGTGCTCGACTGAGATCTATGACAATGAATCGAGAATCGTTATCACTATTTAGTCCCGCAACATCGCAACCGTTTTGTCGTATGCGGAAATCTTTTTGAGGTCTTCATTGGGAGATATAAATTCTATTTTCTGATTTGACAGCTCCCAGAGAAGCTCGAAGCTCGTTTTCCCTAATTTAAGCTCTACTTTACTCGGGTCTCTGGGGCAGCATACAAATGTCAACTCCGGCACTTCCTACTACATATCTGTCTCGCAATGATTCCACGCTGTATGAAGATGTCGAATACTCGAGTTCTGATTTGACGATCACAGAGGCAACGACATGCCCGAATACTCCGAGCTTTCTCTTGCGGACCTCTTCGACTTTCGGTGTGGTAGATGGTAGCGCCCAGAGTTCTCAAGCTACATTGAGCTCTACAGATGCTCTGACGCAGGAACCGGTATCTCAGAGAGAATCTATGAGTTCCAATCGACGCTCTACCTATCCAGGAGAGACAACTTCATCGGGATTCCTTTCTCCAGTTCCAAGTTTAGAAGATATCGAGAAGTGCTGCACCAGGTCCATGACTTCCGTGGCTTCTGATTCTGATACTGAAATGGGATTTACGGACAACGATGAACCAAGACCCGAGAGAACATTAGGGTCACCTCCTTTCTTGATGGAGCCGCATTATTTGAATTATATTCGACTTCTATCGTTGGATCTGCCTCACTTGGCATATAGCCCTATTCGCCCACAGCACGATATTATGTCCCTTACTGTATTGGACTTTTCGACTCGTTCGTCTTGTTGTCGAACTCGGTTCTTCAATCATGGCTCAGCTTCTGCACTCTCTGAGACTGAGATATCGAATATTACCCAAGTTCTTCAAGATTCTGCGCGACCGACAGGGAGCGATATCATGACGTCTGTCATTATCGCCGAAGACCTGTCTTGCGAGGTAATGGAACTGCTTGGTTCTACTTTTGAACTTCATCCGGAGTTCTTCGAGACACACTTGATAAATTCGAGGTATGCGCGTCCAAGTCCGAAGCAGATACCAGTTCCCCAGCCTATCTGGCCAACAGCGTCATTACCAAAGGATTTCCAGTCCGTCAAATGGTTCAGGCCAGTCTGGAGAAGTCCAGGTGCTGGGTCCCAGAGACTTTGGGATAGCTATCACCGGCAGCCCTTTCATGGACTTATTGCCAGTTCTCCTAGGAGAAATAAAACTAGTCGTGGGTTAGTTTATTTTGCGAACAACATTATCCGATTTGGATGGAACCTTGCAGCAGAACCACAGGAACTTCCTCAAGAAAATAAAGAAGACTCTTCCATGGGCACCACCGCGATACCTGTGGCCTGGGAAGAAAGGGCGACCTTCTGTATGAAGACTATCGGGAATAGACGATGCAGTAAGTTTGGTGCTTAGAACAAATCGATGATCCTGCTGATTGAAGTTTTAGTTGTACTTCTTCTTGATCCATTACCGATGGTAAAGGAAAAGCTGACCAGGAACGAGTCTGATCCTGCTGCTGAGCATCACGGAGATATTGACAGCGAGCGAAGGAGCCAAGAGAACCACGACTACGCTGTTTTCCGTGACATGTACCTTAGAGGACTCAGTGAGATTCCTCTGCAGCAGGTCGACATTAACAACTGCTCTAAGGTCCGCCAACAGCTAAGAGAATCCGTATCAGCATCTTTTTACCTACGGCAAAGGTGCGGAACGAGGCATAGACATTCGTCAAATTCTACTCCCAATGATCCTTTGGAAATCCTCAATGAGCTTATCTGTCACGATTCCTTGAACCTCCTCCGAGTCATCAACGGGACGCTGGATCGTATCCAGTCTAGTCTTTCAGACAGCCATCTCACCGAGACGCAGCTATGCCACTGGCACGAGTTTATTAGAAGATGTGAAGCGAATATTCCAACACTGCGGACCACTCTTTCTTCCCTGTCTAGAGAATATCAGGACACTACGGTCGAGCCACCGCTCCGAAGCACGGTCCGGCTTTCCCAAGAGGCTCTCGAAGTCACGGCTGCAACTTCAGCCCGGTTACAAGAAGTATCTGCGTCTTTGGTGTCGAATATCAGTCTCCTAGGAACGAGACAGGATATCGCTAAGAAGAAGAGCATTTCCAGGCTCTCAGAATTAGCATTCTTTTTCTTGCCTATCATTGTCTCAGCGAGCATATTTGGTATGAGAGTCCGCGAACTCAACCACCCTCCAATCTGGGCCTTTTTTACCCTGTCTATCATTCTCATGCTACTTTCATACGGACTGCGCTGGATGATGGCAATTGACATCTGGAAGAGATGGAAGGAGTTCTATCCAACGCAGTCTCAGCACGAAATATGTCGGTACCGGGATGATGTCCTGAGCGAAAGCACTGCACGGCGAAGCGTCATGCGATGGACGATGAAGCGACGTAGATTACCTTCTTACACTATGTCTGGTATGTTTTCCCCCCAAATAATGCTACGAGAAGCATCTGGACGTCCAATAAGCTTGAATGTTGCGGATTACGACATCAGTAACTCCGCCCACCGCTGATAATTTATATTTAAACAGTTCCAAAGCTGCGAATAACTCTATCCAGACTTAGAGAAATGTTTAGGAGAGAACCTCAGACAGCCCGGGAGGGTAGACAAGCAGTGTCTGGCTAGTCAATTATTGATATGCTTCGAGCGTAACTACATATGTTTCATGCCTCGTAGAGGTATGTGAATGAAATCAAATGCATAGCTAAGGAAAACAACGGAGTTGTAGTTAGATGCCAGACTCACAGAAGATAGGATACCTATTAATACAGTACAACTGCTTAGCGTCCGGCCGATCTTTTTAAGGTTGCAGGCGTACCCACAGCTCCGAGCTTAACGCCGGACTGTCAACCTGCGTATATATTTCTGCTTGACAATTCGAACCACGATATACTGTCTCTGTTAAGGGTCGACACACCTTAAAGCCATGAACAATAGACCTGTTGAACAGGCTCTCGCCACCCTTCTTCCAACGCATGCGGATGATCTGCCCCCCGAGCTGCTCAGCTTGGCCCTATCGCTTGTTGCGCAATCGCGGAGCTACTCGACGAGTCTGAAGCCCGAGGAGGAAATCGCGCGGCCGTATGCGTGCGCGGAGATAGCTTGTAAGAGGTATGTATACGCGAAATTCAACCATCTGACTGTTCTGGGGACTATTGCTGACCCTCAATTCTGAATTTCTAGACTAAGTCGGTCGCTCAAACTTCCGCCCTTATTGGGACATCCACCATGCCCTCCACGCCTCTACAAGAAGCTGTACGCGTTCCTTGACCGGTCACTCGCGAGTAGCACCGTTTCTACGAAACGTACGGGATATGGGTCGGTAGCAGGGACCCCTACGCGACCTTCATCTGTCACAACGACACCGACGAAGAATGGAGGCACGGGATTGAGAACGGCCACGCCTCGGACACTGCAGGGCACGCCTACCAAATCGACTCCTCTGAAGAGGAGCACGGTTGATCCGGCCACGTCGCCGTCAATATCGCGACAACAACTTCCTGTGAGGAGGGCGGGAATCAATGGTTCTGCATCAACAATCATCGGCGACGCGCCCAAATGGGTGATGCCCGCCATCCGTACCGTGTGTAAGACGCTTTCCACACCAGCACCCAGGATGAGCACATGGTCACGGCCTCCAATCTCGAGAACACTTCCGCCACATATATTCTCCGGAGTCTCGTCGATATTGCATTTCATCCCTTCTTCGGAGGCGGACAGCGGTGACCTGGATGAGGACTCACTGGAGTTTTTGGAGCCGATTACCATGACACAGGACAAAGAAAAAGATGAAGATTATAAAGAGCTTGTCAGCGCTCTCATAGTAGCAGTTTACTTCCTCGTCCTTGCTAGACGGCGCAGTCCGGCCCCCGGAGAAGGTTCTGGAGAAGGTAATGGCGAAGGCAGAAAGATGGACAAGAAAACCTTCTCGGAGATGCGCCAGACAGCGCTCACCAGCCTTGGACTTCCAAGTAATGAGAAACGACACCGTGAAGATGTTGACGCGTGGATTGCTCTCATTATGGAGCAAGGTTGGGCAAAGGGCAGGGAATGGTTCGAAAACGTCCCGCAAGCAGGCGCAGACTGGGACGAGGCCGCCCAGGATGATATGGGTCTAATGGACGATAACGAGGAAGGTCCTTCTGGCACAATAGGTACCAAGAGACGTAAGAAGGATCATCTCCTAGACGAAGCTTCCACAAGGGGCGGACTTCTTCCAGGTCTCGGTACTATGATGCAAGCTCGTATAGACTGGCTCAGCGAGGAACGACAGGAGGATTACCTGGAGTGGAAGAAGGATATATTGAAGCGGGTTGAAAAGCTAGAGAGGACCAGCAAGGCCGTCGCTTGATCCGCATGCCCAGGAAAATTTCACTTGTATATGATACCCAGGATAAAGAGTCGTGATAATGTGCATTGAACAGTAATGACTGGATTCTTCTATTTCTATCTATCGAAGTTGCGTATTATTATATAATAGTCCTATAGATCAGCAACGACCGGCGAACAGATCTCTCATAATCCTTCCAAATCACAAACCACAGGTCCCCTCATCTGTCCTAGCTAAAACCGCCAAACATGAATTTCTATACGAACGAAGATCAGATCGAAAGACTGGGGATAACCTCAGTACCAGATGCTCCTTGTGCGATGATGCGGAATACTTTCTGCTCCCTTGGCCTCCAATTCTTTCATGGTATCGTAAAGGAAAAAGTCTATCAAGATCGCATTGACGTTGAACGATGAGGATGGCGACGCGGACGGAGACGGAGACTGAGGCGGAGATTCTGATTTGGTTTCTTGACTGTCTGATGTTTTCTCCTCTTGCGATTCGTCCATATGAACGTCGTCATCTTTCTCAGCAATGGACGCCGTCGTCTGCACCCGCGTTTCTGGATGTTTTCTCATGATCTCCTGTCTGATCAGCTCCACGCACCAAATGGAAGTGCCGCGAAGTTCAATTTCCCAATTTGAGCCGCTGGGGATTGGCTTCAGTTGTCTGATGTGGCTCTCCAGAGGAGGGGAGTAGACGAGAGACCCGAGCTGGTGGAGCATTTGGGGTATACGGTAGTCTTGAAATATGTTGCGTTAGACAGCGGCGAGAAATAATGGAGGCACAGAACTATACGAACCGGCAAACATGGTAATCTTGTCAATGTCATGGAACTCCCCATAGCTTTGACCCTCGAAACACGCCCATAGATCTGCCACTAAGATCTGTGCGCGCTTATACAGGCGGACTTTGCGTCCTTCGAAGGTCGACTGGTCCCGGAAACAAGAAAAGTTATCTGCTAACAGGTTGACTAGAGCAGCAGCGGAATGATTTGCGTCATAGAGACAGTTTACGAAGCTACCGTCGAACTTCTAGATCTCAGCTCATTAGTATGGAAAGGAAAAAAAAAAAAAAAGGATATGGGGTGCAGGAAACAGGTACCTCGCTTAATACTCTGCCTGCCTCACGCAAGCATTGCACACGCTCTTCGAACATCGGAATCTCTTCGTCTGTCGCCGAACGAAAGACATGTCTCAATAGTTCATCTGTGCATTCATGTTCATCGTTCCAAAATTCCGGGCTTGTAATTGGGATCTCTGTAATCCTCAGCTAAATTGTTCAACAAGGTACAAGATATCGGGACCAAACAGGACCGAATCCAACATAGATAGATAGGCCTTACCTTCATCGAGAGCTCTCTGAAGTGCAGCGACGAGGCTCCAATATCCCGTCCATCGCCTGTCATGATATTCAATCGCAAACCGTCTTGACTGATCAGACTCCTCTGACCAAAAGCTGAAATTCAAGAGATCCATAGTGAAGATGAACTCCACCGTGCTCTCGTCCTTGGTTTTCGGATGTAATTCATGCTCGGACCACGTTTTTGTTGAATATCCCTTCTCTTGCATCAGGCGCCATATTATCTCTGCTGCTTCTTTGGTTTTTGGAACACTCAGAGCAACGTCGATGGAGTTGTCAAAAATGAACTGTGCGCTCTCAAGGACTTTCGTCTCTGGTGGTGGTGGTGTCGATCGGCCACCGCCCAAACCGAGAGACTTCCGCAACAGCTCCAGGAGTTCGGGATCCGCTTCGTCGTCTGACATTATGGGATCTCAAAGATATTGATGGATCTCCTGGCCTGGATATAAAGAATATTCTTTGAGAAATGTCACACGGTACGGGGGTTGCAAAACATCCAGCCTCGTATATAAAGAAGTGCACAATGGAAAGCTAAGTATCAGTGCCGCTGTTGACTCCACAGTAACGCAATTCCGCGACACCATAAGCAAACACAATGCGGTGAATATTCTTCGTCTACGGGTTGTAGACAATTTATTGGAATAAAGAGGAATCAAACGATCCCCCTCGCCAAGAAAGGGGATCTATATTTGCAGTGCGGGAATCTTAAATCCTTCCCCTTTTGCCCATCACTTCCTTGCGGACAGACGGTGTCTGTTTACATAAGCAAGGGGCAGAATGGTGCTATTTACGTTGGCGGTTCATGGTCAATTTTTACGGAGTATACCTCGAAGCACTAGAACACGCGGTTTTCTTTTCCTTTTTTTTTTTTTTTTTTCTTTTCCTTTTTTTTTTAACAGTAGCATATTCCGAGGCAGTTTGAGCTGAGGAGCAATACTATGCATATGAGAATCAAGGGCAATTACTACCATTGATGGTCCACAGAGCCTAACTCAAGTTTTATGACGCCGATTAATTGCTATCTTTCTACCTCAATTCTGAATGCAGTGGAACTGGTAATTGTTGGACGGCACAGCTATGCTTCTTTCTTATGTCTTAAAACCGGCTTGACAGCAAAATGAGTGCTTATGCCGCTTCCTTTCGGTACCAGCTTCAGTCCTCAAGAGTCCATAACTAGATCTTTCTGGCCAGGACATATCAAACTGTTGTTCAGTTATCCAGTCTGCTCGAACATGAAGGCCCAAAAATAGTGTCCTTTGTGAAATCTAGGCCACCGGAGAACATTGACACGCTGGGTCCGAGAGAGAAGAAGGCAGCTAAGGAGCTCTTGCGCAATCATCTTCAGTATACACTATGGAACACAGGCCCAAAAGAATCACCGGATCTGAATCATACATTCGGCTATCAAGACACAGTTTCTGGCCAAGGTCTTGGGCTGATCGGGACAGTCTTCGATGATGGTGAACCACACATCCAAAGGCCACTCGATGATCTGACTAGCGAAGACGCTTGGAAGACGGTCGTTGGACAAGATGATGATGGAAGCCCCCGCATACCCTGCCTCCTGAGGTATTCACAGAGTGGTTTCAAAAGACAAGGAAACATCCAAAGAGCAAAGTTGAAGTTTTTGGATCGGGAAGCTGAAATTCTGGAAGAGCGCAATCTACAGGAAAGGTGTGGTACATAGTTGTATTTCTTAGTTCGATACCCTTTGGTTCCTGATGTGGAAATGGCGTAACTATTCCATTATCAACTAACTAGGTAGCTGCCTGCTAGTGATCGAGCTTCGTTCTTTACCTAACTTGGAGAGCCAGAGAGGCACACTTCCTTTCAGGCTACCGCAGATTGGTGAATTTTCCATTAGCAGTAGCTGCCTAGGATAAATCCAGAATAGTTGAAGATTCATACAAACTGCAGGAGGTCAATTAGTCGCCCATGATACCCTGTAGATAAAAAAAGACCAAACAGCTGCACAGCGGCTAAAGATGCTTGTTCTTCGCGGAAGGAAATCCGACTGGACAAGAAGAGTTGGTTGTCTGTGAAAAGGCCGATTGGGGTTGCTGCATGCACCTTTCTGTCTTAGAGTACTCATTATTGACAAAGAGTCTCAGCTGTGTCTGTATGAGAAGGACTCTGACTGTGGCTGACTAGTAGAAAGTGAGTGAGATGTCGTGCATCAACTGGAGCAAAGATGAACACCGGCGGTTGCGGAGACGTCAGAGCTCCATCCGGATGGGCCCTGACTTTCCCGAATGCGCCTCCAAGCAAGGCTGAAATTCTCCTCATTTACTTCCGATGCGTCGCCTCCTCTTTAGCAACTCTCCCCGGTACCAAAAATAGTGCAGGTATATCTCAGAATCCCCTGGTCTTACTTCCCCCGTTGCTCGTGGCCTCCACGTTGATGCTCGATCTGGGCGGCCTGTGACGTCCATCCCATCCAGCTTCATCCGACACTCCCTCCCCTCCTCCCCCCTCATTCTGCTTCTTTAGCTGCTCCTAACCGGTCTTTTTGCCTCTGACACGCGACAATTCGACTAGTATATCACCCCTATGCGCTGCTAGGTACACGTGAGATCCGCTCGGCGACGCGCAACCATGACGCGGGACGCCTACTTGAAAAGGTCCCTCGGGACCCTATCGAAGAAGATCAAGGAGGTGAGAGGTTCTGAGTACCTGCGCTTCTTCTTTGCGAATCCCCCAGTGCGTCTCATAAGCTGCAGAATACTGACCTGTTCATTGCGCTTCTAGTCGCGCGTTCTTCTCGTGGGCGCTGGTGGTATCGGCTGCGAGCTCCTCAAGAACCTCCTCCTGACCGGCTTCGGTGAGATCCATGTAATCGATCTGGATACGATCGATCTGAGCAATCTGAACCGGCAGTTCCTTTTCCGCTACGAACATATCAAGAAGCCCAAGGCTTTGGTGCGTGCTCCACCTTGCGCCCTTCCTATGATCCTCCCTCGTCGTCCGGACGCCCTCGTACGGTTTGCGCCGCAGATAATCTGACATTATTGGGGGCGAAAATAGGTAGCCAAAGAGGTCGCGCATAAGTTCCAACCTAACGCCAAGATTGAGGCCTATCATGCGAATATCAAGGATAGCCAATTCAATGTCGACTGGTTCACGACGTTTAACATTGTCTTCAACGCCTTGGATAATCTCGATGCCCGGCGACACGTGAACAGGATGTGCCTGGCGGCCAATATGCCCTTGATTGAGAGTGGGACTACAGGATTCAACGGACAAGTTCAGGTCATCAAGAAAGTAAGATACGCCAGCTCGGCCCAGACAAAGTGATGCGCCTGGCCAATAGGATCATAGCTGATGCGAATCATCACAGGGTCAAACTGAGTGCTACGACTGTAATTCGAAGGAAGTGCCCAAAAGCTTTCCAGTCTGCACGATACGCAGCACGCCTAGCCAGCCTATTCACTGCATCGTATGGGCAAAGAGCTATCTTCTCCCGTGAGTCTCATTAACGCAAACGATTCAGAGCTTTTACGCTGACCTATACCAGAGAACTTTTCGGCGAGAGCGAGGACGATGCAGAGTTCGACCATTCCGAAGACTCTGATAATGGTACGCTGCACTACACTCTAAAATGCATCTGATCACTCGGACTGACGTTCTCGTAGCCCAAGAAATCGAAAATCTTCGTCGCGAAGCCCGGGCTCTTAAGGAGATTCGCAGTGCTATGGGCTCGGATGAATTTGCGCAGAAAGTGTTTAACAAGGTCTTTAAAGAGGATATCGAGAGGTTACGGGGTATGGAAGACATGTGGAAGACGCGCAAGGCTCCGGAACCCCTCGATTTCGATACACTACAGCAGCAGGCTTCCTCAATAGAGACGACCATCTCCTCCAACGACCAAAAGGTCTGGACGTTATCAGAGGACTTCGCAGTCTTCAAGGACAGGTGAGACATCATTTTTCATCTATGATCATCACCCCTGGTTGACCGTAATGCAGCCTGGATCGCTTAAGCAAGCGACTACGGACTCTACAGGAGACTACAAAGGATAGCATTCGCCCTATCATCACCTTCGACAAGGATGACGTGGATACACTCGATTTCGTCGCCGCAAGCGCAAACCTGCGGTCTGCTATCTTCGGTATCGAGGCAAAGTCAAAATTCGATATCAAGCGTATGTGGACCTCAGATCCTCCACCCATGCCATGACTGGAGTTTGTATTAACAATATTGTGCAGAGATGGCCGGAAACATCATTCCAGCTATTGCAACTACGAATGCTATGACGGCGGGTCTATGTGTGTTACAAGCGTTCAAGGTCCTGAGAGATGATTACGAACATGCCAAGATGGTAAGAATTTGGAAACTGCTTATTTACGCTTGATGATTGACTTTTACTGTCCGAATAGGTCTTCTTGGAACGCTCCGGTGCTCGTGCCATCAATTCAGATAGTCTGAAACCGCCGAATCCTAACTGCCCTGTTTGCTCCGTCGCACAAGGTCGGGTGTTCTATGACCCTGAGAAGGCCACATTGAAAGACTTAGTCGAAGGGATTCTCCGTTCGAATCTTGGCTACGGCGAAGAGTTCTCTGTTACCACTGATCTTGGTACCATATTCGACCCTGACCTAGAAGACAATCTTCCAAAGAAACTGTCTGAGCTAGGGGTTAAAAATGAGAGCTTCATCACTGTCGTAGACGAAGAGGATGATGAGCCACGAGTCAATTTGGAGCTGGTATTATCGGTGAAGTGAGTATAATCGCAGGCAATCTCCCCGAAGATCGAGATACTAACAATTAGTCAGGTCTGAATCTGCCCAAGAAGGGAAGCCAGTCTCTCTCGAAAAGGCGATCGAGATTCCCCGGAAGCCTAAAGCACCTGCTCCGGAACCTCCAAAGGATGAACATGTCAATGGCGTCTCTGGCCCCGACACGAACGGTATTGCCGGAAAGCGGAAACGCGATGCTGAAGAGGCAGAAATCACTAATGGCCAGGAAAGAGCCAAGCGGTTCCACGGGAATGCCGTCGATGGAGACGGTGACAATCCTATCGTGCTGGACGAAGCAGATAGTGGTGCTATTTTGATCGACGACGATTGAATGAGTCGCTAACTTACTATTCTAGAATGGGGTTCCTAGATAGTAGTCTGTTGACTCACTGCCTCTGGACCAGTTCTTGCCTTGCAGCACGACGGGCCCGGAGAAAGTGCCCGGCTTTCGTCGGACAATCTGACCGATTTCTGTACCATACACTCGAAAAATATCTCCAGGAGTTCCGCAAAATTGGGTTTGGTGCTTTTTAGAAAGCGGCAGGGTTGGGTGTTTTGCATCTAGCGGAGTGGTCGTTCAGAGCCGTTTAATGAATTACATGTCGCATCGTCAGCTTGAAGGACCATGGCCATCCGTCGTGGTGTGTCAACCATTCCCAATCAAGGTCGCTGAAACGTGAACCAGTGTACAAGATAGACCTCCTTTGCAAGGGTGGCACGATAGGTAGGAACTCTGGGAAAACGGGAGTTTGGTCCATAGTCGTCACCACCAATGTCAATAGGAGCAATAAGATTCTATCGTCATGGCCACTCTTCACGATTAAGGCCATCATCGAAACTCCGCATTCTTTGGTAGACCTATGAATAGCCATCATACTGCACTCAATCCGCCGTCGAGATTGAGCACGCAGTTATTGGCGTATTCGTTCTCTGCTAGGAAGACTGCTGCATCGGCAATCTCCTGGGGGCTTCCAAAACGCTTCAACGGGATGCTCTGCTTCAGTCTTTCAAGCTCGGTGGGAGCCATGTCTGCATTTCCAGCTTATCAGCAAAGAGTACCAGTGCACAAGGGACTGAAAAAAAAAAAAAAAAAAAGGTTTATTTACCTTCAATCATCGGCGTTTCTATGTATCCTGGGACGAGCACATTGGAACGGATCACCACATCTCGAAGGGTCTCCGAAGCCTCAACTGTGAGCGAACGTGTGAGCCCCAAGAGACCTGCCTTTGACGCAGCGTAGGGCACGGCGCCGGTTCCACCTTTGTGTGACAGCAATGACGAAACATTGATGATACATTTTGAACGTATTCTGGACTCTGGATCGGTCTTATTGCGGTTCTTAATGCGACTGCGAACAGAAGCGCGTAGAAAAGCACGGGAAGTGAGTAGTGCGCCTTCAAGATTTGTACGGAGTGTTCGGGAGATGTCTTTGGGGTCGATCTTCGGAAGTAGATTTGATAGAGATATTCCAGCAGCATTTACTAGGATATCAATAGATTCCTGTAGGTAGAAATGGTAGTGAGTTCGTTGTTCTTGGAACTTATTGAGCTATATGGGACGAAATTAAATGAAGATCATGCTTGATTCCTCTTACCAATTCTTTCTCCAACGTCCTGCTCCAAGAATCGATTTCCGAGACGTCTCCTACCAGTATAGAGATCTTTTCCGACACTGAAGTCACCTGTCCTTGTGCTCCATCGTTGCTATTTGGTTTATATTCTGTGGAGATAGATGTATTTTCAGCACCGTGCTGTAGTTGTTTCGCGGCATCTAATAGCCTTGGATAAGATCTCCCAACAATAACGACCTTCGATGCTCCCTCATTGAGAAACCTTTCAGCTATAGCCAGTCCTATCCCGGATGAACCACCGGTGATCATACAGCTGCGGCCACAGAGACGGGCACTGGACGAAGGTAATGAATCGTGTCGGCTGCTTTCCTTGGGCGATGAACGTTGCTTCGGTTGTCGATCCGGATTGTCTAATTCTTCATTGGGAACATGGCAAATGAATCGATTCCGGTTGTTATTCAGACGCCATGGAAGTGAGTATGGAGTAGGGCGTAGGAAAGGTCGTCCGAAGGCGACGGAGAGGGACCGGCCAGACTGCATTGAGGGAATGTCGCTAATGACAAATGAGGAACTGTAGATGATGTCACAAAATGCAATGGTAGAATTTCATTACTGAAAGACAACAGCAGCATTCAACGACCGGAAAACATTCGAAAGATACCATCAAGAGATTGTCACTTGAGCTTCGCGCGTCCCCCGAATCGGAGCTTGAGCACAGACCACTTCGGACATGGGAGGGGAAAATAACTTCAGCTTCCGCTAACTACTTCATCTGCCTAATAATAATTTTCTCCCGGGGCGACTTTTCCAGTCTTTCAAAAACTATCTTTCAGCAACTTATTTGCGTCAATATGTCTCTAGAGGACTCGACGCCCGCTGAATATGTGACTCTGGTCTCCAGCGACGGGTTTGAATTTGTGCTTCCGCGAAGCACAGCATGCGTATCAGGCACGATCAGACGGATGCTGGATCCAGCGAGTATGTCTCTGGCTCTGGAGGAACTCGACGTGTTTTCGCTAACGACATCATTTTCTGCGCTTAGGTAAATTTTCAGAGGCAATCACTGGTCGTTGTGTACTAGAGAATATCAGGTGTGTTATGGTCCAAGCTTCTTGATACATGTAACGTATCCATGTGCTGGATGTGCTGACAGTATTCTGCGGGAAATAGTGGAGTTGTTCTCGAAAAGGTCTGCGAGTACTTCTGCTATAATGAGAAGAATAAGGATCAGGCAAACGTTGCGGATATGGACATACCATCGGAGCTCTGTTTGGAGTTACTGATGGCGGCGGATTATTTGGATACCTAAGGTATGTCTATCATTGACTTGGATCTAAGCCCGCTAGAATTCCATACTAATACAATAAGCCGAAAATTCAGATGGAGTATTGCAACTAATTACGATTCATATATGTGTTCATGGGATCTGGTCTGGGCACGATGGTTGGTCGGTGGCGTTTGGCTGCGTTTCTATCATTCTATATGGGAGTAATCATTGCGCAATTATACCTACCTCAAGGGAGAAGGCTTTCAGTGTCATGATCATCATTAGCTTATATCAATTGCCGCTGTGGTGGCCACCGCATGACGAAGGACACCGGTGAAGCTTTTTTAGCGTCTCAGAGCCAGCGCGACTCTCCAAGCCAAAAGAATTGGCAAGGTGATGAGTCCTATGCTGCAATTCTTGCACTGAGCACCCGGCCATCATCAGCATCTCGTCCGTCCTTTCTTCTTCACATGGACTGACGACCTAAAGACGATGGCAGATTGATATCGAGGAGATCTCCTTCCTATTCAGCCGATAATCTGCATCTTTAGATATTTGGCCTTATTCCGGGGGAGACATTTCCTGTAACTTTTGCGTTCCGCGCGAGAGATGATTTAGCACCTGGGATGCACGGATAATCATCTTCCTCTACCTCGTCCTCTTCCACCTCTTCCACCTCGTGAGAATCCACCTCTTTTACCTCCCCTGAAGACACCCTTATCCTCATAGATCTTCTCGCGCGAGAATCCTGCGTCTGCAATCCTCAAGAAGCTCACGACTCCTTGATCCACGACAGCCAGGACAACATTCCTGTACCCATGTCGAAGTCGCATGTATAACATTTTGTCCATTTTCTCGCCGCGAGGAGGATCGTATGGGGTGCTCTCCAGGAGAGCGCTAATTTGTGACTTTGTAGGCAATGTCGTCTGCTCGCGGGCATTAACCACAGCTATCCGGAAATCGGGCGTCGGTGGAGCTGATTTGCGGAAAGGTGTGGACGGCTTATATACATGGTAGGCGACGCGGAATGGGGGCGTCGTGGGGTTTCGAGCAGGCTTCTCAATTGCGGGATCCTGAAAAGATATCAAAGACAGTCGTCGGTATATATCATCTGCAGTCCGATTAATATGACATTCAATCACTGGTATGTTTCTGGAGATCAAGCCGTATGACTTACTGTAGCTGCGATGTATACCCAGCCCTACCACTGGGCCCGTCGCCGTAGACGCTGACGAAGTGACATTGTATATGGACCTGCACAACCGACCCAAAAATCCCATCAGATCCACGACTTTACCGCTATTGGATCGGACATCCGCCAAGGCACCTTCGTTGGCTTCTTCTGTGCTCTCGTCCCAGCTTGGTGCTCGGACAAGCGTGTATCCTCCTCTCTTGAGACCAGAGTAGACAGTGAATCTCTCCAGCGTCAAACCTCCTCTTCCAATGAAACATGCATATGCCGCTTGGAGACTCATTGGGATGCTCAGGTCCTCATCGTCTTCCTCATCTGAATCTTCCGACAGCCATCGAATATCCAAGCTCCCTCTCTCAAGCAAATACAGGGCCTCTTCTGGCAGTAGCCAGACTCGATTCCACCGATCTCCCTGTCCTACTGTTCTGAAGTGCTGGCCCTTTGGATTCGGAACATAAACGCATGCATCGGGAGATATTGTAGATCCTGTCCCTGCGCTCTTTTGTACTTTTGGTTCCTCGGTCTTTTTCTCGCCTTCCTCCTGAATGGCTGTCATGCCCGTAGACTTCGAAGAGGGTGAAGGCGGTGCAAATCCGTCTGGCGCGTAGTAGCCGACTACCTTATTCTTTGGATGATGCAGACGTGGAAATGAGAGCGCATTGTGCATAGCCTGTCGCGAAGCAGCTAAAGCATCTGACTGGAAAAGCGTCGGGTTTGGTTCGAAGTCTTTCTCTCCACGACGGGGCAGGGCCGTTTGGGACGTGTCTCCGACACTGCTCGTGATTCGGAAAGAGTTAGCTAGGATATCTCATAATTGACGAATAGGGAATAATGTTTGAACGCGATTAAGTGATAAGCTGCTACACACATTGACAAATTATTCAGGAACCGAAAGTCCTGTGTCTCGTCGGAGAGGTCGTGGTCGATATGCGCACCGGAGTCATGCGAGGCGGGGAGATGGATCGCATCTTCGTCTGCGTCCGCCATTGTAGATGAAGGGCGCCCGAATTATACCCAGAGATGAGTAACGTATTGCGAGACAATTTTATGTCCTTGATAAACCGTGAAGGTGAATAGAAAGCTGATATTGAATTCTCCGAGATCTGAAGTTTAAGATAAAAAAAGTGGACGCCGATCCATGATGTTGGGTTCCGCCTTAGCGCCTCGGATCCTTCAAGGTTAACTACATAGTTAGCTCCACGCCAACTCAGCGGGGGATGGAGATGCACCCCGCGGTCCAAATATATCGAGATGTTGTGCCAGCATTTTCCTTCTGCAGCTATGTCTAGATGCCTCATCATCTCCGCTAGGATGGGGTAGCCTCTCGTTTATCTTATCTTCTTGGTACGTTCCCTCGTCGCGTGGAAATCGAAATATTAAGACAATCAATATTTCCTGTTCAAGTGAACGCTGCCCCGCATGACAATGCTGATCCCAAGAAAATATCCACAGAGCCCAATAAAGCAATGATGACTACCTTGACCTCGACCTGAAAGAAAGCGTTATAATTGCTGGTGTATCTGGATTATTCGCAGAACTGTTCGCACCATGTGTCCTCCGCCGTTCAAAGAGGCAAACTCGGACTCGTCTCCGAACTATAACGAAGTCCTCCTTCAGGTACGCTTTTCATAACATATTTCTTACTGTTAGAACTTCTCCATTACGCTAGTGGTTCTATTTTGCCTTTCTTTCCAGAAGTATAAAAATAGAGAAAGAAAAGAAGCGCGGATGTATTAGCATCATTCTTTTATCACACACGCGATCATCCACAACCACTCTTGGTTCCCCGGTCTTTTCACCCGTCTACTATTCCTAGCGTCTCTCTGCTCCATATTTAGAGATTGGTTCTATGCAGAACTCTGGAAGTGTCCATACTAATTTAATTGCAGATATCTACCAACCTATCAAACACTCTTCGTACATTCGGGCCTTCTTCGCATCAGTATCAGGTCGTCTTACAGACACTCAAGGACTGTCTTCAAGAAATTGACAGTCACAACGCCGAAGCACAAAGATCTGCTCTGGGAGCAGCAAATGGGGCCAAGAATCCACTCGAAATAGACCCTGATATGCTGAGTACGGCGATGGAGTTTTTGAGCTTAGGCAGCTGAGGATGAAATCTCTTTTTGATTTTTGTACGGTCTAGCGTGCCATGTAAATACTTTGATTGGCGATGATCCTCTAAATGAATATAACATTCGTGAACATATATTGCTCCGGTCATGCGAGATTGATGCCATAGAGTTAGCATACCGATAGAATCGTAGAATACCGCTCGAAACATCGTGAATTTCCTGCTTACGTTGTGCAAAGCCCTGTATTCCAGAGCCTGATAGCCGCCAAGCTTTCTGTTCTCAAATGATGTTTCTGGTATATTTCAAGTCTTTATGTGGGACCCATGCATGTTGCTATGTATATTATTTGTCCATCGACGTACTATTCTTTTGAAAATGAACGGATACTAGGAAAGGCGAGAGAGAATCTGCTAGAATCATTTCTAGTTCGAGATAAATATAGGAAGTTTACCCTTATTGGAAAGGCGTGTGGATATGCCTCTATACGGCGCAGTCACATTATCCATAGCCTCGAAAGGCAAGGGGCTCGCCGCTGAGACTGAAATGAAATCGGAACCGGCTTTCCGATATGCTGCCCTGAACGAGATATAATCACAAGACCTCAGATGTTGCAGCGATCTGTCACTGTCCCCCCTACCCTGTACGCAAGCCCCGTGTAGACTGGCTCGTTTAATGGAGACAACAGCCCGTGGCAATGCAGGTCAATAGTGATTCGATGTCTAGGTAAACCTCGGGACATACCTAGAGCAAATCGCACCCCGCAGATCTAAGTGTCGATACTAGCGATGGCGGCTGGTCCGTTCGCCGCCCAGGCGCCGAAAGGCCCAAAACAAAGTGCAAGCGCTTGTTCTAATCAATAATGTCCTTGTTTGCTTGGCGATAAGCGGCGTAGGGTTGAGAAATCAACATAGCTAGCGTCAGATCTAGGTGGGCACTATTATTATGTTGTGCGTTGAAGAAAGGGAGAAACAGTGATGGCTCACAAGCAGATGTCAGAAAGATATCCTCATCGACTCTCCATGGCGGTTGTTTGGTGACTTTCTGGCTTCTCCCGTGCCCGCTGGTCATCCCCACAGCGCCAATAAACAGACCTCCGGTGCATGGACGGCTGCCCGCTCACCAGAACTCAACCGCAACAGAAGTGTTCTGTGGCAGCCTTACCATAACTCCGTTGGTGCCTCCTGGTGATCTAGTCGCGCATATCTCAATCCTTCTCCCCTCCAGAGTCATTGCGCTCCAATTCTCTCTCGGCTGCAGATCCATCGGGAGCTTCAGCAACTGCGTCATCGCACCGGTCCTGGATGCTGAATGATCAGCGGTGGCCGCTGCTGCCAGCTTCATGATCATCCGTCACTTTCGAACATCATAACAGAGCAGGCCTGTGAACTGGGTTCCTCGAGCGCTTCGATCCACCTGCTGCCGGCCCATGGTGGTCTGGACGCTGCGCTCTCAACATGGCCGCCTTTGTGCGAGTGTCCGGTCCGCCGAATGGTAACTTCCTCATCGGCTACCCGGGCATATCTGCCACCATGGTGAGTGTGAATCAAGGTCATCTTTTGTTCTGATGTAATTGCTGACTATCCGAAAGCCGCGAATCGAGGGGAAGGTGGAGATTCGACCCAGCGTTGGGATCACAGCTCCTGTCCGCATATCCATGGTCACAATCGCCCTCCAGCGTCGAGAGACAATACACCCTTCAGCCGACTCGATGACGAAGAAACATTTAGCAGCGCCTAGAAAAGAAATCACAGATGTTGTAGGGAAGGAGATGCTTCTGTATCGATGCGCCGCCGGTCGAGATTATGAAGAAATCACGTCAATGGATCTACCATTTGTCCTGTTCATACCATGGGGGAGAGGAGGTCAAGAGGCGTCGAGACGGGTGCCACCAGCAAGCTTGCAACTACCGAGTCGGACAGCTGAAACCTACTATGAAATGGTCGTGATGGTACAACAGGGATCGCAAGAGCAGAGGAAATACGCGTTTCCAGTGCCGATATGTCGATACGACACGCTCTCGACATTTGGGATGTATAATCGACCAGAGTCAGCAGAGAGAGTCTCGGATCATTTGGTCACCCTTGGTATCTCATTACCACGGTGGTCTTACGGGCCTCTCGATCCTGTGAGCGTCTACGTGAAACTGTCGCCTAATCCGGATTGGTTGAGTAAAGCCAAGAAAGTTACGATAAACAAGATCACGATTGGCATTGATGAAGAGATTATATATAACCACGAAGGAGATGAGCCGCAACGAAAAGTGAAGACCTTAACAAAAAAGACGGAAACGATAGGAATTAAGCTCCCGGATACCGGATATCTTACGCATTTGGGGCTTGTTTTCCCGGCGAAGGATATGCGCGACGCTGATGGAATTCTCCCACGAGGCAGGGCCGCATTTCCGCTTCACGCAGTCAGTGGTTTCACAACCACAGCCAGTCTCTACAAAATCGAGTACTATGTGACTGTCAAGGTGCGTTTCACGATCTATACTAACTGACCATTTGCCAACGGGTCCTAACATTATTTAACAGGCTCATTTGACTTCCGCTCGAGACATTATTATCCGTCAGCCGATTGTCGTTTGCCCCATCGACCATGCTGGGTGTAAATTAGAGATGGAGGCCATCGAGCAAGCCGCCCGGGATGCAGCATATATCAATCCTGACAACCCTCTGTTACCGCTTCCAACCGTAGTCCGGCCGAGCGATCCTAACGCATTGTCATCTCTTGGTGTCGCTATAGTGGGCAACCATAAGAAACCACTTATCGACTGAGGCATTGGCATGAATACAAAGTCAATTCAGGTCCCAATAGCCTTCAAACGGCGTCTCAGTCTCCCGGGCGGGCATATACGACTCGCATTGTATCCGGAGAATATGGAAATGGCCCGTTTAGTCACGCAATCCCGCCGGGTTCGGACTGCTGTTCATATCTATTGTCTGACTCAATAGTACAGACAAGCATTACCCTTCTTTGCTTACCGTTCCCGCACAGAGGCAACAGGAAGCGCGGCAAGAGCTGCTTTTTAATTTATTACGGATTTTGTCCATCATTTTTGGGCTGCATTACAGAGCGGCGGTGGCGAGTATAGCTGCATTGGTCTTGGAGTTTCACGGAGGTCTTGACATAAATTATGCACTACGCCGTTGGACTCATCTGGGTTGGTGATGGATGCTGCTTTTTGATGTTATGTCTGCAGTACATGATGTCCTTCTGACGTGCTATGTCCATTTCTGATGATTGGCCATTGAATGGTTATTTGAGTCTTATTTTTATCGACATCATAAATACCGGTGATGATACTATGATGCTCACTGGTACAATAGTACAATCGCAATAGCGATGTGATAGACGCAGCTGTTTCTTTTGTCCGTAAGAGAGTGTCCCGTAATATTTGCATATGCATTCCCATGAACTGGGTTACTAGATTGTAGAAGTATCTCTTGCAGGTGCGAGAATTAGCCTATCACATTATGATCTGCGCTGATGATTGTATCATTGGCATTGGGTATTTTGCTATGGACCTAGTTATGTATGTTAAGTTAGTTAGTTTTATGCATTCGATTAGGTAATCAATGCGGGAATCCTAATCAGGAAAGCTTTCTATCTTCAGCTTCAACTCCGCTGCTTGATCTTTCCAGTCGCACCAGTACAACTCGCACACTTCTTTTCATTTATAGCGTTCGACGTACCTAGGCTTATATCTAATTATGTCAGTCACTGTAAGTTGTCCAAAGTCATCGGAAATTATCGCGCGTCGTGCGCCACAAAGATATCCCATCTCGTTCTACGCATGCAAAGCTCCAATACTAATCGCGAAACGAATAGCTTCACACCACACATGGGGACCTCAAGGTCGAGATATTCTGCGAGGCAGTTCCTCAGACAGCAGAGGTGAGTGCCTCGTATGCCTCTTTGCCGCACCCCATCCTAACCACTGACCATGTATCTACCGCAGAACTTCATCGCCCTCTGTGCCTCCGGCGCATACAACGACACTCCCTTCCACCGTCTCGTCCCTGGCTTCATGATTCAAGGCGGCGATATCTCTCTTGGTCCGGCTCCAGCCTCTCTCTCAACTTTACATCCCATCCTCCCCGTGTCGGAAATCCCCAAAGGCGGCACATCAATCTACCACCCCTCGGCCTTGAATCAAGAAATCCACCTCCCGACCCTCCGGCATAACGCGCGCGGTATCCTCTCTATGGCTGCGCGACCCGTGAAGGACCGCACTGCTCCCGGCTCGCAGAACGCGACTGGCGCCACCGTCAATGGGAGCCAGTTCTTCATCACGTTCGCGGCGGCGCCACATCTAGATGGAGAAAGTACGGTGTTTGGAAAAGTGCTGAATCTGACGGCGCAAGATGAGGGTGGAGACGTTCTGTCGAAGCTGGAGAAGGCGAATGTGAAGATTGATAAGAAGGGGAGGGTCGTGCAGCCGAAGGATGGACAGGAGGGTGGGGAGTATGAGACGTTGAAGTTGAAGAGCGTGACGATTCATGCGAACCCGTTCGCAAAGTGAAGAGAATCGGCTGGGATATCTGATGGAAAAGGTGGGCAGATCTGCTATACTCCCTTGATGGGGATTTGGGAGATAGGATATGTCCTATTCCGATACGTCCTACTTCGATCTGAGGCATGATGACCGAGATAGCCCAGCTGGCCCCGCAGGCCGTGGGCTCAAAGCAGCGTTGAATAAGGCCGCGACAAAAGCGTCGACGTTAGCCTCATGCATTCTCGGGCGCAGCCCATAAACTTATTCTGTCGCTCGCCATGACCGTCAGAACACAATCCGCGGAGAGCCTGATGTCTTCTGGTCACCTATTGCCGGACGGCGCATCGTTCTCGGAGATCTGGCTAGTACGCCACGAATACGTACGACGAATACGTTGCAATGACACTATGAATGAGAAGAAAATTCTTAATTCTCACAATCTCTAAGAAAGATCAAACAGGAGAAGTTTACATTGTTAGTCAGACGTGAGATAAGTGACGAATGTCCAACGAGTTGAAAGTTCTCCAACGCAGTGGGACAGTTTCTAAAAACATGATGTTAAATTCTTTTTTATTAATTGAATCGACTGCGTCAGGTTTATATCCTGGCATGCCGGGTATATCGTAATTCTTTAGATGTGGGGTATTCTATTATACAGTATATATCATGATGGTACACTATTTATCCACGTCCATGGGATCGCCAGCTGCAACCGGTGCTGCGACAGGAGCAGGAGCAGGAGCTGCGCCATTCGTACTTGGGACATTTGGTTTGTCATTTTCTTTCTCTTTCCCCTTCTCCTTCTCTTTTTCCGCCTCCTGGACACCATCATTCTTAGCATTGCTGTCACTGGGTGCAGTCTTGGGCTTTTCTCGTGGCTTTGTGGGATCCAGGAAGCGCTCCGGAACACCACGCGCAGCAACACCAAGTGGGCCTACGTAGCACCCCAGCATGGAGCTCCAGACATGCTTCTGAGCCACAGCACGTCGGATCTCGCGGTAAGCATAGGAATTTGCATAAGGTAATCCGGTTTCGGGGTCTTTATATCGAGCTGGTAGTGAGGTGATGACGCAGAGGTGGGACGATATTTCTGTTTAGATAGAATTATGGTTAGCTTATTTATTTCATGAGGTGGGATGGGGTAGGAAGCCGTACTTGTCAGTCTAGGTGGTTTCTTTGTGTTGAAATAGATGCTGTAGTCTCGACTTTGTGCTGTCTTCTCGTCGAAATTCTCTAGGATGATCAGATTTCGCCCAGATTGCTCCACTACTGGAGGGACGTCTGGTTGTTGTGGGTTTGCACCGTTCGCGTCTGTGTTATCTTTCGTATCGGCATGTACAGGGGCATTCGGATTTGGCTGATCTAAAGCGGTTGGCGGTGCCTGATCTGCTGAAGGTAGAGGAGGAGTTTCTGTCGAATTCCCCTGTTTCTCCGATGATCCCTCAGTTACACCTTCTTGTGGTACAGGCGCGGATGTTACTGGTGCCGCGGGTTCTTGCGGTGCCTTTTCATCAACCGCTACGGGATTAGCTTGTGGAGACACGGCTGTAGATTTCGAGGCCGATTCTAACGACGATGCATCCACATTAGACTGAGGTAGAGACTTTGGCGATCGAGGTGTTTCTTGAGATGTCTCTTGTGTTTTCGATTCTGGTTGTGCCGAGGTAGCGGCTCTTTCGGGCGATGGCTTCTGCGCTTCGTCTTTCGCTGAATTTACCTGTTCTCCAGCTGGGGCACCTGTGGTAGACAGGGCTGTTGTATCCTTGGAAGATGCTTCCGCCATCGCAGACGGTTGAGCTGGTTTAGATGCTGGTTCTTGTCGGGGTTCTGGTCCATCGTCGGTAGTTGAGCTCTCTGGCAGGGATGCATACAGATGGATACCATCGAGAAAACCTGCTTGTCGTCGAGAAACAGCAGAAGCATCCTCCTTCGCCTCAGTCGACCCCTGTTCGGGAGGTTGCTTCTGTGAAGGATCCGAGGCTTTATCAGCCGGAGTTTTATCAGTCGAAGGTCCATCAGCCTGCGATGATGAAGTGGGCTCCGGAGCTGTAGTCGAGGTTGGAGCAGCAGGTTTGTCTTGGGACGTTTCCGAAGGTTGAAGAGCTGTCGAGTCTTGCTGTGCATTCGATTCCTTCTGCGCGTTTTGCTCTTTTTCGGTACTGTCCACTTTCATCGTATCTTCCGCGTTCGCTTTGCCTTCCACCTGCGGCTTTTCCTCTGACTTCTCCTTGCCGTCCGTTTCCCCTTTATCATCTGTCTTGTTTTTGTCGTCTGACTTTCCTTTGTCCTCCCCCTTTTTCTTCCTTTTGGGCTCCTTCTCTTCCTTCTCAGGCTTCTGTTGTATATCGACTTTACCGACGCGCGTGAGCTTTCCGTTTACCCAAACCGCAAGACCACTCCACCACGACATAACCGGACCCTCTAGGCGTCGATTCTGGAGAGCCTCTAGTCTTGCCCTCTGCTCTTCCGCCTTCTTCTTCTCCATCTCCTCCCAGCGGTTCAAGCTTTTGCTGTTGATTCGTTCCACCCGAGCGGCCTCCGCCAGACGTTCTGCTTGGGTCATTTCCTTGGGCTTGTGTTTCTCCTTCCTCCTGGCCGCTTCCTCCATTGTTGCGATCAAACGGGTCCGCTTCTCCTCACTGTCCTTCAGTCGAGCATGCGTAAGTTCCTTGTTCTTCATCGTTTGACGCCGTGAAGAAGACCGGGTAGGGCCCTCTTCGGGAGTAGGTAGCCATGAAATTCGCTCCGATTTCTTCTTCGGTCGGGGAGGTGGCGTAGAGACAGTAGACGTATCGATCTTGACCCTTTTCCGTATCGCTGCGAGCTTGAGTGATTCGTGCGCCTTGCGTTTCTTTGCTAGACGATCTGCCTTGTCGAGTTTTTGTAATTCTTTCTCGCCCTCGAGGTCGTTATCCTGCGCGTTGGGTCCTTGATCTTCATCGTCCTCCGAGGACGAGTCCAACTGCATGTCTTCAGCATCTTCTCCAGCGCCTTCCTCCGCTGCGCTTTCAAACTCTTCATCATCTTCATCTTCCGCGAACAAGAGCGCCAGCTCATCGTCGGCCTCGGCGTCTAACAAGGTCGACAGATTCCGCCCTGCGGTGCTTCGCCTGGCGCGACCTGCAACGAGCGTCTCGACAGGCTCAACGTCCTCTGCGGAGGACTGATCTCCCGCGCGAGACGTTTCGTCGTCCGACATCCTTTAGTGCTTGGCTTCGTGCCGCTCGGAGATCGTTGACTGAAGGCGCATCTGTAGGAATCCTGCCGGGTCAGAATGCCGGAATCGCGGGATATGAATTATGCGAAGTAGATCCCACTCTGTAACCAGGGTCGTAGCATGGGTTGGGGGAAGCTTGACACGCGTGGTCGATGGGCGCGTCTGTACAGGCTCTTCCGACGCCTTTGGTGCGGATGCGGAGAGATGTTACCGGTAAGTGAGTGGCGCTGCTGTCACTGACGACCTTTCGCGCTAATCACTTAACTATGTATCCGCCGCTGACCTTTCTTGGTTACAAAAGAACCTGATAGTTATCCAGTTCATTAAGCTACTCAAGAAACTGCCACAGCTGCATTGGCCAATATTTGTGCTCTATATATGAGATTAAACTATAACCCCTCTGTGGACAGTAAAATGTAGCCTCACCCCTACAGTACATACATACAGTACTACTTTCAACTCTCCGAAGCAGGTATCTCCTCATCGCCAGACAATATACAATCACGTCTAGTCTTTCCCCAAGGATATGACTCGTCCGTAATTTTGCGCACCTCGCGATAAAAATTCCTATACCAGGGACTATCCCGGTAAATGCCAATCATCCTGACGATATTAGTATTAATATTAGGTGGAGAAATAACCTACTTAAGGCCATCCACTCACAATTTATTATCAACGCGACAAATACGATATATTTCATGCGGGAAGTCATGATGGATTGGCCCGGAGAAACAGTCCTTTTCAATATCCATAATAATATAGATTTTGGGGTTTCTTTGGGTTATATCCGAATTCGACGGTTGGATATGAATGAAATGACGGCCAGTTTCAAGTTCTGTGGCTGAGCGACCGTTCTTTTCAAGGTATAATCGAACTGCTTCGTAGGGGTCATGGGGGTTGAAGTCGGGTTCTGGTATGCGGAGAATTACTCGTTTTGCTTGGTTCATTTTGTATGGAGGGGAAGATGGGAGGGTGGTGGTTTGATTCTATGTGTTTGTTATCTCAGGTTCATGTGTCTTTGGTAGGAGAGTCGGTCAAAGCTGATAAGTAATAGGATTAATGTAGCCTGGTACTGCATAAGCCAGTAGGTCCTCGACCTTTTTTAACGCCGTATCAAGATTTACTCAGTTGATATGGTAGAACCTGGTCATAATCGACTACATAAGTACGTACACGAAAAAAAAAAAAAAAGAAGAAAAGAAAGAAAAAGAGAAAAAAAAAAAACACCTGATACCGCAGCACTGCTGTACCTCTTCGGAGCCAGTAATATTCTTCTTCACCTTCACTGTGTAAAGAATATACGTAGTTATTGCGGTTTCCACATGCGCCCTGCCTATTTAAGACACGCTATAGTCACGTGGACGACGTATATACAGGTATAAATTAATATACACACAGTTCTCCTACTCAAGCCAGATCCCTACTATTCATATATCTTCGTTCTAAAGACCAATAGAACACTAGAAGCGTCGTACCTAAGGCATGCTTCGTAATGTATGTATGTACTTGCGAGAGCCTTACTGTCATATGTACCTAGGTAGTATCTGAGACATAAGTGCCTGAGGCAGTAAATGAAATACCATAAGTATGGTATGGTTTACCCTGAAGTATGGTCAGTTTGCCCTCAGCGGCCGGTCCATCCGGTGTCTTTGAAAAGGATTTTCAACACTTGTAGGCTACTGGACACATATACATAGTTGCCTAAAGGACCCCACCCTCTAGAAGATTTATGGTTTGAGTAAGAGTAAGACATCCAAGAATAATCCATAATAATACTGGTAGAGTAGAAGTAGCACTTGGGGATATACATTAGCTGGAGCATAATTCGCTGTCATTGGGCAGTCTTTCTAGTGAGTATATGGAATTCATCCGATGATTCCTTTTCTAAAATAAGAGCTGGAAAATTCCCTATTATTCTGTATGATTTTAATGCCCAGTCCCTGATCGGACCTCGTGGCGTTTGTTACCGGATCCGTCTGGAAACCTTCAGATCCAAATCTGAAACTTTTGACTGGTGTGGTGTGTGCGCCTTGATCCGAGAGCATTGCGGGGCGGTTTGGGACGCGAACACAGACCTTGGGACTGACGAGCGATTTATGAACGCCCTTTGGCTTGCCGAAGCCGAGAGCTAGTTTTGTCTGCTCGTCTAGAACATGCAAGCTGGGTTCGATTAACCGACAGCATTGCGTGTTCAGTCGACCTACTCGACAGTGGACTCGTCATGAGTGTTGAAAGAGTAGAATAATGCAATAGTAGAGCAGAGCACATTCCATGCAACGTGTTCTCTGAATGGTATAACTACTGCGGCCCCAATAATGGCTGAGGTTCTCTTAGGCTGCTTGTGGGACATTCTTGGCAGCGTCGTTTGGTGTTGCGGAGAGCAGAAGATCGCCATCCGTGCGAAGCTACGTTTCAGGTGTTTCAGGGTCCGAGTTCGTGCATCTGGTCAGGAACACGCAGCGATAGGGCCGGAGATCCCATACCAATCCAACCCAGACATTGATTGACTCGATGATCCATGGCTATATGGACCCTTGCTGTGATCCATGCCGGTTTGAGCAGCAAATTGGGAATCAGCCCCCTTGCTCACAGCTCAGTAATAAATCTGGTGACTCTCTGCCACCGTTACAGTCTCCTTTCTGAGCTCTTATCTGAACATCCCGATGTTTAACCGTAGTGATCTAGACCTCTAATACCGCTAACATATACTCGAATCGAATCTGGGGATGAATTAAACCAAGCGTACCGTGAAAACGCCTGTCAATAGGAACCGACTAGCTGGAGTCTGCAAGATGTCAACCATCACCCCTGTATCCCTGATGAACAGGTCATTTTTAGCCAGCGGAACGAGTTTCTGTTCTTTTTGCTGAGGCCTTTTTTGGTGTGTATTCTGATTCTTTGAAACATCCACTCGAGGCGATCCCGTATATCTTCACAGAGGGAACCAGGAGCTCATGACTGTCTGCTGCGACTCGTCAATGGTCAATGGTGAATCAGGAATGCGGGGGAGATGCTTTCGCAGGAACGATCCTATACTGTAAAGGGTATGTGGCGAGCCGCTCCAGAGCTTCATTAGACTCAGGGACGAAAGCTTGTCTGGTGTACCATATGGAGTAATACCACACCGGCATCGCGGGGTTCTTTGGGATTATTTGTATCTATGCTGAAAATTGAAATTGCTCGAGAGCATAGGAGATGGAGGCATCTGTACTCTGTATCATTGTCAGAGTCCCCTGATGGGATGTAGTGCAGTAGGTTAACTACCTCATCCCAGATCTGTCCAGGAACGCTTGTTTCTGGACTGCTTGAATCATTCTATTGTGTGTGAGTACCTACAGCAGCACCGGAAACTCGAGGACAGGCTATAAACGACGCAAGTCACTAAAGAGAAAGGTAACTTGACACTTCTGAGTTTCTGCCTCAGTGGCTTGGATGAAACTGGCTCGTCCGCCGGCATCCGTCAGATGATATGATGGTATGGACTCTCTCGCGTTGGTGCGAGCGGGGGGCGGTGATCATAGATGCCATTATTCAACTTGTGTCACTTTTGGTCTTTAGTCTTTTAGTCATAAGAGGGATCTGCCGGATCGACTCTCAGCAGTGCAGAAAAGACTCTCTGGAGTCGAAAGTACCAGCCTGAATCAATGCTGGCAGAAGAAGAAGATGGCTGTGGAAGGGTTTCCACTCTTTCCATTTTCCCAGAGACTCCGGCCCGCCACCGGGCATCACGACGGCCGTGAGTCAGGATGGAAGAGAATAGGATAGGATAGGATAGTAAAATAAATAGAATAAAATACGATAAAATAAAATAAAATAAAAATACAGACATGGCAGATTGAACAAGGAATTTATACAGAACAACAATAATAATAATCATCCAGTAAATAGAGTAATAATAATAATTAGTTAACCGGCAACGCCAACCAGCGGCTGTGCCCGGCGCTCCGGCGAGCTCGAGGACGTCCAGCCGCACTCTCGATCCTCTCAGTCCAAAGTCAACGCCCATTCGTAACTAACTTAACTCCCCTGTCCTCTCCCCGTCTGCCCTTTGCAGCTTCACCCCCTTCCTCGTCCATCTCCCTCCTCATCTACTTCTTCTCTTCTCTCACCCCCCCCAATACTAGACTTCTCTCAATTCCATATCCTTTTTTCGTTGATCTCCTTGGCCTACTACGGCTGCCGTAGTCTTACGTTGCCCTCTTCCAGCCACCTCTTTTCGGTCCTTTCTGTTCCGTATTAGCTATCGCTTTCCTTTCTCTGGCGCCGTCCCTCGACGCCTTTGTCTCGACGACAACTTACTTTTCGGCCGTCTTCGAGCACGATCAGCGGCTGGCGATACTTTTTAATACCGGAATTCCATCGAGACCGGATCCCACTGGCTCTGCAGTTTAGCGGCCTGAAAACCGTTACGCAGCGTCACAGCTTTTGCTCTTCCAGCAGCCACTTCTGAAGACGACGGATTCGGTGACGACGACGTTCTTTTCAGCAGCACACACCTCTGGAATTGCACGGATTTTGATCTCTCCTGGTCCCTCTCGCTACCCCACTGCCGTCATCCAAGTGAGGTTTCACGCATTCCTCGACTGCTTGACAGCCACGTCGGTCGTCGGACCTTTCGAAACAAATCTTCGTGCGCATCGCTCGTTGAACCCTCCGAGCTTGCTCTGGTGCTGGACAGCAACGAGAAGCCGTTATATGCCAGACGACAGCATCTACGCCACATGGTCTTCTCTATGCTGAGTTCCCTTTGAACACAATAGCAAAGTCGACGACGGCTCGCCGCGGATCACGAAACAAACATAGCGGCGTATCTTAATAATCGAGGCAGAAGTCTTCCAAGTCTATAATGATACCTGCTTCACGACCGGAAGGTCATCTGAACCTTAACTACATTCCGACATCTCAGCCAATGTCCGGGACCTCGACTGGGAGCAGCTCGCCCAATGATCCTGCTGCCACCGCCCCGGCCAAGTCACCATTCGGTGGCCCAGCCGGTCTAGGTGGTAGTGGAGGATCGTTGGCGGGTCCAAGACTCGGGGCAGGATCCCCGTCACATGAACTGGGGGCTCGTCTATATTCGAAGAGGTACGCATCCACAATAGCGCACGTGTGACTGCCGTTCGACTAATGTTTTGTGTCCGATAGAGCCAGGGAGATTCAAGCCCAAGAAGGAGTTTCCCCAAGCATTTGGGGTCCTCCAACGAGTGGCCATTCTACACCTCTGCGCGAAAACATTCCCGAATCCCCTGGCCAAGATGGCTTCCCTGATCTTGTCCCTCCGTCCGAAGGCAACCTCAATAGCCCTGCACGCAGAGCTCGAGCCGGTACTGTCCCTTCGCGATTTTCCCCCGTTGATACGCTCAACGGTGTAAATGTGCAACAACAGTCGTATCTGTCCAAAACCTCCCGGCCGACCCCATCTACAAGTCCCTTCCGGCCTCCCGGTGTCACGAGTGTTGAATCGGGCGCCAAGACTGCAACTGCAAATAACGGAGGTAACACGACGATGTTGTCTCGTCTAAGGGCGGGTTCGATGCCACAGCGGCCGGGCTTGCTCGGATCCTCCAACCCATTCGGGCCATCCTTGTTCTCGACAAGCTGGTCTACGGGACGGGAACGGGCGACAACGCTCACCAGCATCCGTTCTTCTGAAGGTCCAAATTCTCCAACTCAGTCTTCTTTCTCGAGGGACGGTCTGGCGGATACCGACGTAAAGACGCTGGACTACCTTGGGCTTGCTGAGACCCCCCAGCAATCGCGAGCGACTCTGGCTCGATCTTCGGTTGACATGCTTCTGCAGCAACAGCAACAGCAGCAGCAGCAACAACAACAACAGCAGCAGTCCACGCTGCCGCCTCTGCTCGCGGAATTGGCCATGATGAAGAGTAACAATCGTTTCAGATCCTATTCAGTCAATGCGACGGAAAAGTATGCGGATGACGAAGAGGAAGAATATGCGACTCATTACTCTCAACTTCCTTCTGGAACTTTGACGCCCTCGGCTGCAGCGACCGCAGCTCAACTTGCAGCGACACAGGCTCAGATTCATCAGCACAATCTCGCGGTGCAAGCCTTTGCCAATCACGCGTCTGCTAGTCGGCCTCGAGCGCGCACCGCTGGAGTGTTGGAAACGCCTCCACAGCGATCTTCCATCCGCAATTATCTTGCTACCCCGTCACGGTTGGACAACAGTATTAGCGCGGCTGACCTCCGGATTTCGGAGAGCGGAGAATATGACGAATTGTCAGAGGCTGTTCACATGATGCAGCTTGGCGGAAATGGAAACGGAAGCCTTGGACTTCGCACTTCTGGAGAGGTGGACGAGAATAACCTGGATGGTCCAACCAGGGCGTTGTGGATCGGCAGCATACCCGTATCAACAACTGTCACCTCTCTAGATGCCATTTTCAGCTTGTACGGGAAAATTGAATCGACAAGGGTGTTGACGCACAAGAACTGCGGCTTCGTCAACTTCGAGCGCGTTGAGAGTGCAATTCAAGCGAAGTCTCTACTCAACGGAAAGGAAATCTTCCCTGGTGCTGGCCCTGTGAGAATCGGCTATGCCAAGGTTCCAGGGACGTCGGCATCTGGTACTCCGGGCGCCAATGGTGCTCAACCCTCGCCGACGCCCGACCCCAACGCAAAGCAAGATGGCTCGATTGATGTTGCTGCTGCACGCTCTGAGAGTGCGACTCCACATGTCCCGCCTTTGGTCGAGTTGCAGCCTGAGATGGCCCAGATAGTCCAGGAATTCGGCGCCACGGATGAGGAGGTTCACAAGATCACCTCCAGTGTGAGCAAGGCAATTGATTATCAAGACTTTGAGAGCGAGATCCCGCCGATTCCAGAGCCTAGCCAAACGAGGATGCATGATGCCCCTCGTCTTCGCGACATCAGAAAGAGAATTGACAACGGCGCCTGTTCCATCCAGGAGATCGAGGAGACGGCCAGCGGAATGCTGCCCGAAATCGCAGAGCTATCCTCAGATTACCTTGGCAACACTGTCGTGCAAAAATTGTTTGAATACTGCTCGGAACAGACAAAGGAGCAGATGCTCGTCCAAATCGCGCCACACATCGCGGAAATTGGAGTGCACAAGAACGGCACCTGGGCTGCCCAGAAGATCATCGATGTTACCAAGAGTCCTACACAGATGCAAATGATTGTCGACGGTCTTCGGCCATATACTGTACCTCTGTTCCTAGACCAGTATGGAAACTATGTCCTGCAATGTTGTCTGCGTTTTGGCAGCCCTTACAATGATTTCATCTTCGAGACTATGCTTAGCAAGATGTGGGAAATCGCTCAGGGGCGATTTGGCGCGAGAGCTATGCGGGCTTGTCTAGAGAGTCATCACGCTTCAAAGGATCAGCAGCGGATGCTCGCAGCTGCTATAGCGCTGCACAGCGTTCAGCTTGCCACAAACGCAAACGGCGCTTTGCTTCTGACTTGGTTCCTCGACACATGCACCTTCCCCCGCCGGCGGACAGTTCTCGCTCCTAGACTAGTACCTCATCTGGTGCATCTCTGCACCCATAAAGTCGCCTACTTGACAGTTTTGAAGGTGATCAACCAGAGGAACGAACCGGAGGCTAGGGAAATCGTTCTTAAAGCCCTTTTCTTTAGCCCTGGAGATGATGTACTGGAGAAGATCCTGAGCGACCCGACCTCCGGTGCGACGCTTATCTTTAAGGTCCTCACCACTCCTTTCTTTGATGAATCCATGCGCTCGGAAGTCGTCAAGAATGTGTCCAAGGTTCTTACAAAACTGAAGGCCACTCCAAGCCAGGGATACAAGCGTCTGATGGATGAAGTTGGTCTGTCCTCCCGAGGCGGTGCCCGGGAACACCACCACGGCAGGGATGGTGCTGCTAGTCACGCATCCAACACGGATAAGCAGCAGCATCGCCCCAGTTCGCGTCAGGTAAATTCGAGCTACAATCCGCAGAGTCCGATGGAGAGGCAATACAATGGCCAATTCGGCTCAAATGTGTTGTCTCAGAACTTTGACAGTTCAAGGCCTCTGTCGGCTGACCACAACGCGGTGCCGTCTTTCGATCAATACGCGGTGAGTGGCATTAGTGGCATGCCAGGGGCTGGTGCAACGGGTGGTTTAAGTGCCTTGAATGGCCTTGGCGGTGTCAATGCAGCTGCTTTCGGCCAAGACACGATGATGCCAATGAACCAGCAACAGCTGCAGTACCAAGCTTATCTCTCGGCTCAAACCAGGGGCGTGTCTCCTGCGGGGCTATATCCAACCCTGTCTGGAGCGAATTTCGGATATCCAGCTGCTGCGCCTTCTATGGACAATTTCAGAGGTCTGCAAACGCATTCCTCACCTCTCTCAGGTGCACCCAACCAGATGAGCCCGAGCCCGATGCTCAGCCAACCTGCATTTGCCCCACCGCAGTTCAGCCCCGTGCTCAACGGCGCTCAAATGTATCAATATCCTCCGCAGTTCTACCCTCAGGCGCAGACGGTACAAGGTCAGTCTGCAGGAGGACGGCGTGGACGCGTAGGTCACCCCCGATAGGTTTACGATCTGATGTTATACGGCGTTCAAACACTGACATCGGCTTGATTGCAGCGTTAAGACCCTCCTAGTATGACTTTCTAATCTGCTTTTGACCTTCACTTGCATGTATAAATTTCTGAACAAAAGAGGATTATCCGGTTATGTGAACGAAATGACAGCCTTGCCCCAACCGACGCTGGACCGTATCGGAGAGGAAAAGGAGAAGAGCGGCCGAGGGTCATTTGTTGACCACTGCCAATACATCCATCATCCATTCTTCCTATTTCAAAAAGATATTTGGGGTTCTTTATCATAAAAATTTTTTTTCTTCTCTCTGTCTTGTTATGTTTGTTGTCGGCGGCAGCCCATCTAGGATTGCTCATCACTGGCATTGGTCGATTTTTGAGATTTGAGATTTGTCCTTGCTGGCTCTCTGTGTCCTATATGTCTATGTCAAATATGCTTGGGTGCGAGCGGATGTCTCTTGTGACGAATCTCCTTACATTATGTTCGCAAACCAAATCATATTCTGTTTCTGAGCCAACATGTAGCATGAATATCCTCTCTACTCTCTTGGCTTCGGCTTCACCAAAATTCAAGGCGTTCTAAGCGTCAATTGAAAAGTTGGGTCTCAATTGGAGATGTATGTTTCTGGGCACTTTTCGTTTAGATCGGATCCGTGTCTATTAACATTAGTTGGCAATCGAAATAATTCTGACAGTCGCTATATCTTCCATTGGAGATCGTTCAAGAGGTTGAATCCTTTTTGTGTAGTGCAGTTTCAATAGCGAATACAGGAAAGCCGATATTGTTTCTGATCGTTGCGGTCTTTCCCACAAATTCCGAGGAATACTTACAGATAGGTACTTACAATAACTAAATTGAATAGACATCTTCCCGAAATAAGCTAAGTAATACTATATATATATCTAAGAGAATATTACCACATGGTAGTAATTCTTTATCCTTCTTGACAAAAGCGCCAAGACATGTTTTGCATACGCTAACTTACAGCACCGAACGATACAATCAACGGAAAGAGCAACAACATCATCAAAACGGAAAAGAACTACAACAACAGTCACAAGAGAATTCAGAATAACCGTGTCAAATGGAAAGGAAAGAGTCATGACATATCAGCTAGAAACAATGACTCTGCTCCTCGTGCTATGAATAAAAAAAATCGCCCATCAACAGAATAATGGCCCGCTCAGCAATTATCTACCAAAACTCTGCGAAAACAATATTTCTCGTTGATATCCCTACTTCTATCGCCGTTGCTCAGGATATACCCATACCTGACATAGCAGAACAAAAAGGAAAGGAAGAAAGCCAAAGTACCAGCGCAACCAGCAGCCACAAAACAGCTAAAAAACCCCCAACTCTTTTTCGACAAAGACATATCCTCTCCGCACGGCCTCTAAAGACCCCATATCCATCACCGCCAGAGCCGAAGACAGAAGCTGCGCGTAAAAGGGTCCTAGAACGGATTCCTTCAGAGGAACGTGCTCTTCATGCTGATGTTTTCGGACCTCTTGTCAAAGATGCCTTGAGGGAACTTAAACAGAGTGAGCATGTGTGGGGTTTGTGGTGTCTTGCTCGATGTCTGGTTGACGAGGACGAAGATGACTCCCGAAGGGCGAAGAGGAGACTTTTGAATGAGCTTGAAGTGTCCTCTTGTTCCACCATGTCTACTAGGAATGCGACTCAGTCGCCTCCGTTAATCCTATCGCCAGGCGATAATGGTTTTCAGTCCTTATCGGAACTTCAGAATGTTTTAGTCAAGAACACATCTACTGTCTCAGCGAGAGTGAAAGTGAAAGATTTCCCTGACTCTGGGAACAGGGACGAGATCCAGAACCAGCAATCGGAAAACATCACATTTACAATCCCGCCAGAATCGGCCTTTATCCTTAGTACTCTGTCCATGGAGTCGCTGCTATCAGTGTCATCAACCCGACAGAAACCTATCCCGGGGATACCACCGGGCCAGAAATTCAACCTTATACTTCTAGACCCACCCTGGCCAAACCGTTCAGTTCGTCGATCTTCGCATTATGCAACACATTCATATTCTGATATGGATACTTTGACGAGGTACATCGAAGCGATCTTACGGAATTATCTACATGAGCCTGGTGGTATTTCTTCCGTAAGACAACAACAACAACAACAACCGGACGCCACAGAACCCTATGAAAAGTCCATAGCAGCTATTTGGGTAACAAATACCGCGAAGTCGAGAAAGGCCGCATATGACGCCATGCTAGGTGCAGGACTGTCCATTACGGAAGAATGGATATGGGTGAAGACGACGGTGGATGGAGAGCCTGTTTCGCCGATCGACGGTCTATGGCGGAAGCCGTATGAGGTTCTCGTTATCGGCCAGAGATATCATCCCAGAGAGCAAGAAGGGAGAGATCATGGGAGAGACGGTCCCATGCAGAGGAGAGTTATAGTAGCTGTTCCTGATATCCATTCGCGGAAGCCGAATTTAAAGGAGTTATTTGAGATGATTTTCTTTTCCGAAGCATGTGCGCAGAAGGATAGTGAGAATGGGGAAGGGATGCGGAGACATTCATATTCATCACGGGTCAAATATTCGGTTCTGGAGGTATTTGCGCGAAATCTCACGGCGGGGTGGTGGGCTTGTGGGAACGAGGTTTTGAAATTTAATCAGGAGAAATGGTGGACTGAATAATAATGACTGTGCTGTATAGATATCTAGATACATGTGGACTGTATCTTTTCATTTGTTTTCAAAGTCCATATTCCATCGCATGTGGATTGGGAGTAAACTACTTAGCGATATATACTTAACTAGGTCCTCAGGAGTTCAATTATATAAGGGAAGTTAGTCGGACAGGTTATTACTCTCTAGTCTTTTTTGGACGAAAGGTCGTAGATATTAAGACAGGCCGCTTGTATCCCTTACAAGTACTCAAGAGTAGAAGAGATGTTGGTTTCAGAAGGATATATCCCCGATAAGATTCCAGTCTCTTAGAGTGGGAATTTCCTTATGTTTCATTTATTCAGTGCTTTTCCATCAATAGCTTCTGGAGTTCCCCAGGCTTGTATAATGCCAAAAAAAAAGAAGAAGAAGAAGAAGAAAACATGTCTAACTTGATTTTTATAGTCTTGGTATTGAGTGCCTTCGTCTTCGGGGAAGAAAAGCCTTATCCCAGGTAGTAGAGTACATTAATACTGTAATGTAACGAATAAGCTACTTCAAGTTAATGCTCTCCGATTTGTAATCATTGTTGCATGGTTTTTATTAATGATACATGCCACTGACAATATCACCAGTAATATAATGCTTGGTGCCGCGAGCACGCCCTTGAGCGTTTGTTTCAACAAAAATGAATACTAACAGTGAGCAGGAGCTAAACGCAGGAAGTACTGTTTTGATTTATAAAGTGACAGGCTAGTTAGTTACTCAATTCAGCTGTATTTACTAAGGCGACAAAGGCCAACTAACTACCTAGGTATCTGCCAGGTTCCTATTTCTGGGAAGAAAAGTCCAAGACCGAGCCATTTTGATACAAGCTCAGACAGTAACAGTGCCATATGAGTGATTCATCTTCTGCAGATAGTGCTCACCAGCCGTGATGCCCTTATACTTCTGCGGCCGCGTCTCCGTGATACACGACGGCAGCGTTTCCATCACGATGTCGAAGTTCGCCCCGAAAAAGAACGGGATGGAGAACCGCTCAGTACCAGAGCGGTTCACGGCACGATGCAAGGTAGACACAAAGATGTTGTTAGTCCAGATAGAGAGAGCATCGCCGATGTTGACCACGAAGGTGCCCTCGATGGGTGGAGCTGGCACCCACACGCCATCTGCGTTCACAACCTCGAGGGCAATCGCACCTCCAGTCTGGTAAAGGATAGTAAACAGTTCGTGGTCGGTGTGTGCCTGAATCGCAGAATGGACGTCAGGCTTTTCTGCAACCCTGTCCGCGTAGTAATTCATCGACAGCATAGACCACGGTCGGTCAATCATGTTTTCGAAGAAACGTTCGTCGAGCTTGAGCGACAAGGCAAAGATTCGGGTGAGCTTCCTGCTCAAGGCTAACAATTCACCAAAATACTGGCCCACAGCTGCCTTAAAACCTGGAAGCTCGTCCTCCTTCGGCCACTGGTTAGCTGCGTCCTGCTGAGGATCGACCTTGGCACCAAACTCGCGGTCAAAGGCTGCTTCTCGACCAAACAAGATGGACTCGAACAGATGGATCCGGTTGGCGCCAGGTTGCTTTTCCTTTTCAAAAGGTGAGTAGCCCAGATGCTGCTCGTTCCGGCTGCGGGATAAGCGCGTCTTCTGTTCCAGCGAGAGGTCCTTGAAGAATCGACCAGCTTCACCAGTAATCTTCTCCAGGGATGACGACGCGATGCCATGATTCTTGATATAGAAGAAGCCCACCCGCGTACAGGCGTCGTAAATCTTACTTGCCAGTGCCTCCCGCTTGCTCAAGTCTGGGTTATCAATGTCCGTTATGTCGATAATGGGAAGTTCTTGGAAGGTCGTCGTCGTGTCCGGCTCTCGCACCTTACGGGCCTCCATGATGGAGCCAATCTCGATCTGGGCGGCGGTGGTCGTCATGGCGAGAGACTTACTATCAGGGAGACAGGACGTTGGTTTCCTCTTTCTTCTGATGTGCTTTCCAGACTCGAATAATGCCAGCGAAGGAGCTTGATCTTCGTCCCCCCCTAAATATCTTGAGTTGCCGTCGACATACGTTTCATTTTAGCTTCTGGACCATCGAACTGACCTGCATCTCGTACCTATAGAAGACCAGATCACTGACGATTTGGACATCGGAGATAACCTATCGTTCTTGTTGCCCCACCTTTTGATCGATGGACCAAGCCGTTATCAATATATCAATAATGTAGCCGATCTGGCCTTCCCATGGATTCCCATCACAGCTCGAACTCCGCACCCCCACTTAATTTGACAAGGCTAAGTATAATGCGGGTTCGGTTAGAAGGTAATATCACTATAAGAATTCCTTCTAACCCTAAAATAGGACACGATATATCTGAGTGGCGCTTTTCATGATATAAGTGCTAACACTTATAGTAGCAAAAAGGTCTACGTTCAGCTTATCAGTAGCACTCTTATGGAAACCGAGTCTTCGCCATAGTTGTCGAGTTTTCGTGCTAGAAATCAGGCAAAGCCATTGTCTCAATATGATACGATGGGATCCTTTTTGCCCGAACGCTTATCGATTGCTACGGTGGGGGTACAGGGGTACATGAGTATTTACCCCCGATCTTCTGTATCACCCCTGTAGCTTGTTGTGCCCTGCTTCTCGACGCAGCGAGTTGTATAGATACTGAATTAGCAGCAGCGGGAGGTCATAACTTCTGATCTAGCGCTAAATTCAATACTTAAGTGGTCCTGATTGGGATACATAATAATATTGCAACGCCAAAATTATTTGTGCAATATTATTATTGATCTCAAGGGCTGGATTTCTATTGCATTTGTCCATTTTCATTAAAATAAGTGATCTAATTTATGAGGAAAGCGAAGACATTTGGCTTTCCAAGGTTGACTATGCGAGTTTCCTTATAAAGATTAGCGTACGATAACTAACTAGCGCTGCATCAGAACTTACCTATGACCTCTCACTGTATTAGTATACTGATAAGACTGTCGAGATAGAGCATGGGTATGGCAATAACCGGGATTTTTATTCGTCAGCAGGGAGAATCAGCCAGATAGCTGCTGGTAAAAAGACAATTTGATTTAGCTCTTCGGCGGTAGGAGGTGCTCATCCATCCTTGTTTAGTTATCTTCCTATCGCCTTTATTGAGTGTGATTCTAGTCATTTATCATTATCATATTCCTCAAAAGTGGTGTACGCGTTATCTCACGTTTTGGTCGCATTATTACTGAGAATCAGCATATCTGTTATTCTGGTTCAGTGGTTAGCAGCAAGTGTGGTAAAAGATGTCTCGTTGTTTGTCGATATTTCATATTCAGGACTCGATGTTAAGGCTCAGAAAGACATATCATTGAACTGCCAGAATCTATATATATATCTACTAGATTAGAGACTAGGCAGTTCTGGCTGGCTGCCTGCTACACTTCTCAGCGCTGAACATGCAAAATGTCGGACATCGAGAAACAGCTTTCCGAGATCCCTCAACCGGCATCCAAAAGCGAAGTAATCACTGGATATACTGAGGAGATCAAGACATACGACTCGCGAATCTGGAAGTTTGTCCGGTTTCTCCATGCCGAGGAGACCGGCGTTGAACGCATCCCAGATGACTTGAGGACAAATCACAGCGAGTATTCCATAGGAATCCTCTTTACAGCCATCAACATGGTGTACCTGGGAATCTCTATTGGGGTGAATGGGATTACTGCCTATGGCCTCACATTCTGGGATTCGGTCTTGTGCATTATATTTTTTAATATCATCGGCTTCCTTCCCGTGGCGTATATGTGTACATTTGGTCCAACATTTGGGATGCGCCAGATGGTGGTCTCTCGCTTCTGGGTTGGCTACCAGACCATGAGACTCTTTGCTGCAATTAATTCATGCATTTGCATCGGATGGGCAGTGCTGAATCTAGTTGCTGGAGCGAATCTGCTGCACACTCTGGGTCACAGCGCATTACCTCCGTGGGCAGCGATTATAATCATGACGGTGGGCACATTGTTTGTGACTGCCCTGGGGTACAAGGCCATCCACCTCTTTGAACGGTGGGCCTGGATACCAACATTTCTAGTTACATTCGTTATTATTGCGAGAGTTAAGATATCAGGCTCATTCTCACCCGGATATATGTCTGCTGGGCGTGCAGAGGCGGGTGCGGTACTCTCATACGGTGCAGCCCTGTTCGGTAATGCGTCCGGCTGGACCTTATTCGCCTGTGATTACACCGCATATATGAAGACGACTACCTCAAAATTGAAGCTGTCTTGCTCTGTCATGTTCGGTTGCTTATTTACGACGATGTTTCTGCAACTGGTCGGGGTATCGGCCGCAGCCTGCTTGAATTCGAATCCACTCTACAAGAAGATGTATGACGAGTTTGGAGCCGGCGGACTCTTCTATGCCATTCTGGTTGAGGACTCTCTGGGACGCTTTGGCCAGTTTTGCATTGTCCTACTGGCTCTGACCTTGACTACATGCAACATAGCATGCGTATACTCCTCGTCTCTTTCTGCACAGGCAGTCTGCTCTAGGTTTCGACTTCTCCCTCGATTTTATTGGGTTCTACTAGCCAACGCTGTTGCGCTAGGCGTAAGCATACCATGCTACTATCGGTTCACAGAAGTACTGTATGATTTCATGAGTCTTCTCTCATATTTCATATCACTCTATATCGGCATCGTTCTATCCGAGCACTTCCTATACCGACGTCAACGTGGCTATGCACCGGATACTTACATGGCTCCGGAAAAACTTCCTGTTAGCTATGCAGCTCTGTTTGCCTTCTGCTGCGGGGTTGCAGGCGCCGTTATCGGTATGAGCGAAGCGTGGTGGACAGGGCCTCTGGCGAAAGCGATCAGTGAAGATGTCCCAGGAGACATTGGGTTTCAATTATCATTTGCATTTGCATTTATAGGACATGCGAGTAGTCGGTGGGCGGAGCTGAAATACATAGGAAGATAGGTGTATGCGCAATAATACTATCAGACCTTTTACTGTTATAATTTTTTTTATATCGATCTCGTTCGTCTCTTTCTAGATTCCGAGCAAATAGCAATTTTGTAAACAGTCATATAAGATACGTATTTTCTCGGGGAAAGGAGGGCGTTAACACCAAATGATATAGTATGAAAACAACAAGCTGATGTTTTATTTCTTTTCTATGGACATCTATTGCACGATACAGTATTTGGCTTTGTGGGTCGGTCTGGTTCCGAACCCACGCTGGGATTTCTCCCGATTGCTGAATTTAAGGGCCTATCTTCATCCTTAAGTCCCAGACTTTATATGCCGAATACAGCTCTAGGCCATATGATGTATTGTTGCATTAGTCAATATCAGCGTTCGAACATATGAACATTTCAGCTTTTTCCACGAGTGCTTTTATAAGCCCCCAATACGCCGCACGCCGTCAGTTTAGATTATAATAAATCCAGCCAGCTCCGACATAGGTTCTTTCTCATCTCTAGCGATATACTAGTGTATATGTATATTCAGCTTACCCTGAGTAGCGGAACTGGATAATCACGCCTAGAATGGTCTTATGCTTCAATTATCTAGTGAGCGGTTAAATACTCCGTAGGTAAGTTTAGGTAGTTCAGGGAGATTTTGCATAGTGTTGGCATCGGGTTGGTTTGAGCCCAACTTAATTTAACCTAATCCGCTAAGATCTTTAGGTTAAGCTTAATTTTGTAGTTTGATCTGACAGATTGGGTTTAGAAATTTGACCCAATTCAATCTGTGGGTTAGTTAGGCTACATTTAAAAGCTTAGCCTAACCCAGCGGGTGTCACGATTTCCCCTAGAGAATAGGGGCTGCTAGGACATATAGTCAGTATAACCATGCTTAGGCGTAAACTAGTTATTGTGGTCTTTTAGTAGATCGGCGTCGATTTTACAGGTCCGGCACTATTGTATGTACAGTACATATGGTTCGGCATCAAGGCTTTCATATTAGTTAACTTAACTGCCAGATGGCATGATCCTACGGGGAAAAAAAAAAGAAATCTATCATCATCCTTGGCTACTAATCGGAAAGTTGCAGCATCCCATACCCGATACCCCGCACGTGTGCAGCATCCGATCCGTTTGCGCAGACTCATTCTGAGTTGCAAGTGCACGTTGATCTCATGATTGCGAAATGGACAGTTTTCGCGAGCGGGGATATATAAGCCAGGCCGATATTGGAAATGGGTGAATCAAAGAGGAAAAAGCATCATTAACAACTCTCTATTTTCGAAAATACTGCGCATCACAGGGGATAAAGTCCCTGAGGTCCACCACATTCCATTTGGTGGATGTATACTATGCTTCATGTTATCTACATATATCTCAAATCTGACTGTGTAGAGAAGCAGTAACCTTATCAAAACTATGCATGGGAAGATCGCTCTTGAAGAGGCTTTCGCCCTTCCTCGCTTCGCTGAACGCACCAAATGGTGGGCAGGTTTATTTGCGGTAGACGCGGCCAAACATACCGCTGAAATCAATGATATTCGCGAAAAGCGGATCGAGTACATGGATAATCATGGCGTTGGATACACGATCCTGTCATATACAGCACCTGGAGTTCAAGATATCTTCGATCCCAAGGAGGCTCAGTCATTGGCCGTTGAGATAAATGATTATATCGCAGAGCAAAACAAGGGACTGGAGCATCGCTTTGGAGCATTTGCGTATGTTTTATACTTCTGTTCCTATAAAAATCATCTAAGGATGGCTAATGAGTAGACAGGACTTTGTCTATGCATGACCCCAAGGAAGCAGCAGCAGAGCTTCGTCGTTGTGTCCGCAAATATAACTTCAAGGGAGCCTTGGTCAATGATACGCAGCGTGCAGGCCCCGACGGTGATGATTTGATCTTTTACGACCAGCCGGAATGGGATGAATTCTGGGAAACGGTAACAGAATTAGATGTCCCGTTCTACTTGCATCCCCGCAACCCAACGGGTACTATCCATGAGAAGCTCTGGGCGAAGCGCAGTTGGCTCATCGGGCCTCCGCTGAGTTTTGCGGTTGGAGTCAGTCTTCATTTACTGGGGATGGTGACGAATGGAGTGTTTGACCGACATCCCAAGTTACAAGTCATCATTGGTCATTTGGGCGAACATCTGCCCTTCGACTTATGGCGGATTAACCACTGGTTCGAGGACGTCAAGAAACCTCTTGGTCTGAACAAAACTTGCAATAAGACTATTCGAGAGTACTTTGCTCAGAACATATGGATTACCACCTCTGGTCATTTCTCGAGCCCAGCCCTTGCCTTGTGTTTAACTGAGGTGGGCGCGAAGAGGATCTTATTCTCCATTGACTATCCTTTCGAGTCGTTCGCAGATGCCTGTGACTGGTTTGATGCCACGGAGTTGAACGAAGTGGACAAACGCGCGATAGGTAAAGGGAATGCACTGGAGCTGTTCAAGTTGGGAGACGTACATGGCCGTGATGCGTAGGATTTAGCAGGTCCTCTTCCGCTCCATATTGACGCTATTGGCCTGTGTATATTCAGTGGGAATTGTGATACATGCTCACATGTTGGAACTCACCTGAATATCAGATAAAATACGGCTGCGCCGCTGAGATAAACAAAGACGCCTGAATACACGTAGGCGTAAGTGACAACAATTGTATATGTTTGTCCTCTCATATGTTCAAGTCCAGGACTGCTTGAGCGATGATACCGAACATAAGTACTTCCCGAGGTCTAGAATTGAATTATCAAGGAATCATCGTATCCTCCACGCTAAAACTTTCCCCGCAATCCCCATAGTCACGACGGTACCCCTCCTTCGGCTAGCTAATTTTATATGTAGCTTTTTGCATGCAGCTCATAGTAGGGTTTGTTTTTTATTTTTTAACCTCAACTCCGCAAGCGCAAGATTACAACGCAGCGACACCGCCGCAACTACTCGGTCTACGGCGACATTACTTTCGACTTGCTTGATCAAGCTGGTGAACAGCCGCGTTGGGGGATGGGTTCAACCGGCAATGACCGATTCAATGAGGAGGCGGCGACATGGGATAGCGATCCAACCGTCAACAAGGCAAGCGAGGAGGCGTTCAGAGCAATTGTAGATACCTTTCCGCAGCTTAGACAGAATGGAGGTCAGTAACTACTCTCTTGGACTGAGGTAGTATACATTCCCGCGATTATTTACTTGCACCATGCGTATGGGAAATACGTAGTTTGTTCACCACGTACTGGTCTTCTCTGTTTTATAACCATTACGCCCGAGCACCATATATAGTAGTCTGCTGACATTTTTCAAGAGGAAACCATTGACGTCTTGGAAATTGGCTGCGGCACTGGACTACTGTCACTCCGCATCGCGCCACTCGTGCGGTCTCTTGTCTCTGTCGACGCAGCTCCAGGTATGATCACGGCCCTTGAGAGCAAGCTGCGTGATCCATCAGCACCCAAGAACATCACTCCACTAGCTCTTATTCTCACCGATCCTTCTGATCGGAACCTCCCGCCGCAATCACCATCCAATCCAGAGGGCCCGCGGCGTCAATTCCATTTGATCCTCAGCCATCTGGTATTGCATCACATTCCAGATCTACGCGAGACCTTGCAAACCATGTACGACTGCCTCCTCCCAGAGGGATCGGTCGCCCTGACAGATTTCGAGGACTTTGGCCCCGAGGCGCGTCGTTTCCACCCTGAGTCAAAGATGGAGGGAGTGGAACGTCACGGTATTCATGCCGAGTCGTTTGCGCAATTGATGCGTGAAGTTGGCTTTGTCGATGTGGACGTGCGTCCGAAGTGGAAAGTGATAAAGGATGTTGAAAGGTTTCCCGGTGAATGGGGACCTAAGAAGCCCTCTGGCGAAGGTGTCACTCTTGAGAAAATGGAATTCCCGTTCCTGCTATGTCGGGGAAAGAAAGCATGAACCTGAGCGAATTGGGTGCACAAGATGTTCCTCTCACTATCTTCGAAAGGCATCTACAAATTGACTGCTCAGGAATTATGTACATACAGTACTACAATTTCAGGTAAACATATTTAGCAAATGCGTACATTAATACAGACTGGTCGTCATCTCTGCCTTCTTAGTACGTTGCCGACTAACTGAGGATCTTTCTCAAGGAGGTGTATATGTACTGATCACACTATATGGACTATTACTGTACCTGTTCATGGTCAACGCATATTAAGACCGAACATACGAGCCATTGATAAGCGACAGGCCGATGAAGCGGGAATGCAAGACCAGACAGGGTTCCAAAATAAAGACTTCCGTTATGTACTGGGACTATCAATGTATATGAAGCATACTTTCGATTGCCCCCGGATCCTTAATTAACGTAATAGAGGCCAACTGAGTCTCGTTTCTGGTCCCAACCTGTTCGACTAGGCTGTTGATTACCGCTATCTTATTTTATAGAAGCACGACACGAGAACCCAGTAGTTACATTCGATATGTCCCGACTCCGGAACATGATCGTCAGAAATGATAAAGCCGACATTGACGTCCTGAACAAAGGTGTGATGTTCCCTTGATAAAGCCATAAGGTACGGTTATCATCGGATATAGATCTAACAGTGGACCATATCTTATCGGCGCGGAAATTAAATGTGTTTCGATTTCTCCCCGCATTCGTCCCGACATCGGCATGAAGTCCGGTACTCATCTTGGTAGCTTTTCTATTGAGATTATTTTGCCAGGTACTTGCCAAATAATCGCGTAGAGATACTGCGCGCGTTTTTTCCCACGGAAGGTCTTCAAGCGCACTCAAACATGTCCTCCAACACTATGCGCGCGGTCGTGTTCAAAGGCCCATTCAACGTGGCTCTTGAGGAACGGCCTATTCCTAAAATCGAAGAGCCCACAGATATCGTTGTGAAGGTGATATATACAGCACTGTGTGGAAGGTGCGTGTCACATCGCCTGTGCTAGATGTAACTAGATTTTCACATGGCGACGTGAGGGCTTACCTGTTTCAAGTGATCTACATGTCTTCCGTGGCATCGAGGTGGCTGAGCCGGGCTTTATCATGGGCCATGAATTGACGGGTACTGTTGTGGAAGTTGGCAGCGCAGTCAAGACAGTTCAGAAGGGCGATAAGGTTGTCAGTGCCTTCACAACATCTTGGTATGTCTGCTAAACAGTCCCATGAATTAGCATCTGTGCTAACTTACTAGTAGCGGCGAATGCTTCTACTGCAAAGAGGGCTTGTCATCGAGGTGCGCAAAGAACACCTTGTTTGGCTGCGAGGTGCTCAACGGTGGCCAGGCTGAATATGTAAGTTCCGGCAGAAAAGAAAAAACATCGTCGATACGTTTATTGCAAAGTCTTATAGACTTCGCGCATTGTAGGTTCGGATTCCGTTAGCCGACGGCACAGTGGTCAAGGTCCCGGAAGGAGTCCAAGAGCAGCTCCTGGTTCTCATGGGTGATATATTCCCAACCGGTTACTTTGCCGCCAAGAATGCCTTCAAAGAATACTCCCCGGAGAAGATTTCCCAGCAGACTGCGGTTGTTATCGGTTGCGGACCTGTTGGTCTCTGTGCAGTGATAAATGCCTTGGAATATAAGCCTAAGCATGTCCTTGCCGTCGATTCTGTACCGTCGCGACTGGAGCAGGCAAAAGCTCTTGGTGCTGAACCGTGGAACTTCATGACTGACCGCCAGGGACTCGAAGAGCGTGTGAAGGAACTCACCGATGGCCGAGGTGCCGATGTTGTCATCGAGGTGGTGGGATTGAGCCCTGCATTAAGAACAGCCTTTGAACTTGTCAGACCTTTCGGGACAATTAGCAGTGTTGGTGTCCACAACGGCGAGGTATGTTTCAACTGTCCTATATTGAGAGATTGGATGCTAAGCCTTGTAGATCCCCTGGACCGGACAGGACGCCTATAACAAGAACTTGAAGACGCAAATGGGAAGATGCCCTGTGCGATCTGTCTTCCCGGAAGCTCTAGCGGTCCTTAAGAAAAACCAGGACAAACTTGCGTAAGTTTTTCACTGGTGCCCCAAACATGCACTACAGCAGCTAATGCGTGGTATAGATTCATGACACAGAATATTATGCCACTTTCCAAAGCCGTGGAGGCGTACGACCTTTTCAACTCGATGAAGGTCCAGAAAATCATCTTCGAGGCCGAAAAATAAGACGACACGATATAGTAATGATGAGTTACGTCATCTGACATTGTATACACTTTGTTGTGTATTGTCCAAAATAAATCACTGGCGTAGGTGAATAAGAAGGCGCCTGAAGAGGGCTTCTTTGTTATCGGGTGTTTGGTTGGCGATTTAAAGGTGTTTGAGCAGCTAGCTTATAGGACCCCTTGATAAATGGAATGATTGGTCAAAGACTACGTATCAGCATTATGCCCATGGTTATTAAGGGTCTAGAATCTCAGTGTCCATACTAACGACATAGCCGACATCAGCCGATTCTCAAGCATTCTGCGGGAATTGAAGCCAGAGAGCCGGGTCCATGATCAAAGCTCTTAGCTGAGTGGATTTACGGGATCTACAACCGTAGTTCCGAAGCACGTTTGGTTAAGGATGATTTGCTGTGGGCGATCTATATATTGTCGATCACTGACAGAGAAGTCGGCACGTCCAGCCGAAATGTGACACGGGACTGTATGATGCAAGGGTCCATGGTGTTGGAGAACACTAGAGCTTATATGAATGTTGTGTTAAGAGTGCAATTAGACATGAAGATTGTCAAAAGATCAGAGCAATTTCTATGGGTGGCTGGGCTGAATATCTAGAGTAGGTAGGTAAGGTATGCCACATAAATGTTGAGAGCGCCGCAACGTCACCCTAAGAAAACTAAACAAGGGGGATCGGCAATCTCAACACTGCACTCTTACTTGATAGTCTACTTATTTGCTTTTCCAGACAGAAGAAATGAATGCAGTTGAAATAATCGCGTCTATTGGTATAATTTCTGCGATTCAAGTTAGTAAACTCTCTGTATATGATCAGAAGGACCATGGCAGGACAAGCGTCAACATGCAATTACATATAAAGAAATATCGTTCAAAGAGCAGAAGCATTGACCAAAGGCGCATTGTATCAAGAATGTGAAGCTAACTCGATATGCATCTACGGAAGTTTTGTCAGCCTTGAGATGCAACTGGAGACACAGACACTCAGTCCTAGTCATGCGTCAGGATCTTGATATATGGAAATCACGCGCCATATACCATTCCGCGGCATATGCGATGATTCATTGGCGTTTCCCCACTATAAAATTATTAGTCTAGCTGGTAATGGCTATCAAAAAAAGGTCGCGACGCGTTTTCAAACATCATCAGTCTCCGGCCTTGACGCTTTCCATTTATTTAGCTCCAAACTACATACGACTTTACGCGCCTGAAGGTGATCTGAGCACACCCCCCTGTATTTATTTGGTCACTTTTTCTTGCTGCTAAGAGGCTCAGAAGAATGTAATCTAGGAGTCTGATGCTACTGTGTGGATGATGACCAAGTTTAACTGCTCTGCACCAAAACTTGAATACTTCTTACGGAATTTGTGGGCTTAGCTTGTTTGCAATAGAGTCGATAAATTTATCTTTTCCTAGTTAGAAGCTCTCCTCGATTAAGACGCTCGTATTGCCCAACGGCTATTAAGTGCCGAGCTGATCCCATAAGAATCAGTGATTCCCCATTCCAAAGAGATCTTCCAGATCCAATTTCTCCACAGTCAGTCTACCAAGAGTATGCAGAGTTATTGATGACGTCGTATCTTTCTTCGATTTTTTTCTAATCTGATCCCTTGCCAGAGATCTAATGTTCTCTCTTCTTACTTCTTTGTGATAAAGGACCGAGAATATCGTGCCTTTACCACAGCAATACTGGGTAGCAATGGCTGAGAAGCGTGATTCAAACGAAAGTGCTTCCCAAACACAAGACTCGATTCCAAAGGGACCCAAAAAGACGAGATTTGTCAGTTATCTATGGGATACTTTCGACAAACCACCGGAAGAGAGAAGATTGCTTTCCAAGCTTGATGCAGCAATTATATCATTTGCGTCGATAGGTTCGTCCCTTTGCAATTCCATGATGTATAGGTCTCACAATTGGAACAGGATATTTTGTGAAAAGTATTGACCAGTACAATATCAACAATGCGTTCGTTTCGGGAATGTATGTACAGACTTCTTATGAATACCAAGAGCAGTTTCCGCTGACTTTCACAGGCAAGAGGATCTCAGTCTCTACAAGAATCAGTTGAATTACATCCAAGCGGCCTGGACGATTGGATATATGGTGGGACAGGTTCCGAGTAATATCATCCTCAGTCGAACACGACCGCGATATTGGCTTCCTAGTCTTGAGGTGAGAGCCTATTCTACTGCCAATGGGAAATGAAAACTAAAAGCTTGTTAGGTTATATGGTCTATTCTCTCACTGTCGCTATCGAAATGCAATAAACCCTACCAGTTTTACGTGATAAGATTCTTCATTGGTGAGCTTCTCGTTAACGGAGCAGCGTGAAGCAATATTGACGCTAGCGAACAGGGCTTGCGGAAAGTGGCTATTATCCGGGAATTCAGTATACGCTCGGTTCTTGGTACCGTCGAGATGAACTTGGAAAAAGATCTTGCATTTTCCAAATATGCAGTGCACTTGGTCAGATGGTCTCCGGGTACTTGATGGCTGGAGTGCATCACTTGGCTGGAGTGGGAGGATACAAGGGCTGGCAATGGTGCGCTACTGCATATATTAGAAAACTTGCATGTCCAGGACTCGAACTGACTGTGGTTTATTATAGGTCGTTCTTGATAAACGGTGCAATTGCTTTCCCTATGGCTTTGGCAGGATACTTTATTATCCCAGATGTCCCTGAAATTACAAATTCATGGTTTCTCACTGAGAAGGTAGGGAGAAACCACTCTTTTGCTTGACCACTATACATGCCTAGGTTTTAACCTGCTACAGGAAATCTCTATTGCTCAGGAACGAATGAGACTGGAAGGAAGAAAGCCGCGTGGCAAATACACCAAGGAGAAGATGAAAAAGATCTTTTCGTCGTGGCACATATATCTAATGTCAATCCTCTATGCGTAAGTTAAGCAGTTCATGGAGTTGAAACAGAGTCAAATTAATCATGCATAAACAGGGCCTTCAACAACGGTATAGCGCTGTCACAACCTGTATTCCAACAGTAAGATCTTCACCTTGACCTGAAACATTCTGATATTGACAAGCATTCTAGGTATCTTCGACTCTCAAAGAATCCCAAGTACTCAGTTGCCGAAATAAATGACTATCCAACAACAACATCTGCGGTACAGGTCGTAATGACCATTGTTTATGCTTGTATGCATAATATATATCGCTTTAAGTATTTCCAGACTAACTCATCGGCAGGGTTGTCTGATAGTCTCCTTCGTGGAAGCCGCTGGCCACCCCTGATTTTTGGTGGGGTAAGTTATTATTATTATTACTTCAGAATGGAAGGCAGAGGTTGACTGACTATTAGATTATCAACATCATATGCTATGTATCACTCGCAGTTTGGGACATCCCAACTTGGTGGAAATGGACTTGTCTCATAGTTGCTGGGGCGTCGTATGGACTCGGCGGTCTTTGCATGGCGTACGTCCACCTCATCTCGCTTGATTTCTGACAAGGAACAATGCAGCTAATCAAAGTAAATGCAGTTGGGCCAATGAAGTCTGCGAAGACGACAGCGAGGAACGCGCTATCACGGTTGCCTCCATGAACGAGATAGCCTACGTCTTTCAGAGCTGGTTGCCGTTGGTTGTCTGGCAGCAGGTTGATGCACCGGAGTATAGAAGCGGTTACATTACCCTCTGCGTGTCATCTGTGATCATGATAGCGACATCTTTCGTCATCAGGATGCTAAGCGATCGAGAACTTTCCATCAAGAGAATGCAACAAGGACAGAGAAACGGAAGTGAGAGCTGCGAGCAGTTGCAGCCCTATCTGGAACAATTCCAAAGCCAGGAGAATGAGAAGCGATCTGAGTTCCAAGAATCCGCTCTTGAACTCGGTTCCATGAGAGCCGGCTTTTCCTCTTCGTCAACACTGGCTCTTACATCGTCGGCGCGAGGTAGATATTATAGTAGTGCGGCCTCCATAGCCGACTCATCGCAGACGGAGATTGAGATGGATGCAGGCCAGAAAAGGGCAAACTGATGCGGATGAAAGGACTGGTCCGATCGTTGTTGATGGAAGATCCCTACATATTGTTATTGGGCAAAACTGTATGATAATGTGAACTTCGTAATATAAAAGATTCCGGAACCATATCAGATCACCGTCTAGAACTAACGTTAGTAATTAGAATACTCGAACTAGAACTCTTAATTATATATATGATGAGAACCTTGAAGGCCGAATGCTATTCCGTGATTAAGCTCCAGCGACCCCGAGCATCTATAAGTTCTCAAGTGCAAGATCTGGTCACCCGTAAGAGAAGCCGTGTCGACGCTGAACCCACCGCCGGGTCTGTATCTGGGAACTCTTGTATAGCCCACTAAGAAGTCCCGAAATGGGAAAAGACAATGACGAAGCTGATCGCCAGCACGGAAACCAAGATTGATTCGGTTGCCTGTCCGCTACTGCTGCCTCCGAGTGCTTCATCCTTCTAGTCCTCTTCGAAACAAGCTACTGCAGAGACGGCCTGTAGTTCATCGGGTCTGTTAAGCTTATCACCAACTACTCCATAGTCGGCAATCGTTTGCGAATAGCGGTCAGAACTCCCTCCAATATCCAGTCAAAGGCCACCATTCCCGCCACTACTAAGTAACACGAAGTCCAGATTGCGGAATTCGCCCGCACCTGAGCCAGCAAAAGTCGAGTTAGGAAATAGTCAGCTAACTATACCTTATTAAACGGAGCTCTTTCCCCCCACTGATATAATTCATATCGATCTGCCTAGACATATGTCTATCGCCCCCATCCGTCGGGCCACTTCGTGCAAAGATTCCAGCGGGAGGTCGAGATCCGAGTCAAGATGAGCGATAACGATGGCATCGACAATGAGAAAGGCCAGCCGGCTGTGGAGGCTGAAGAAACGGTATCAATCTACGGAAGTCGTCCAAGATGTTTCAGCAATACGCTCCAAGAATGTCTATTTGTCCTCACAGCCACCATGGCCATCGGCCAGTCTTCAATGTTCCAGGGATCTGTGGTGGGTGTTACTGCTTCAATTGGTCGTGACCTGAATATGAATTCAGCTGAGATCACTTGGATCAGTTCTGGCTCTGCGTAAGTGTCTCTTAGCGATTTACTTGGTCTTTCTGATGGTGACTTGCGGTTAAGACCCAAGGGAGATAATGTTCGCTAATCGCATAGAACAGACTAAGCAGCGGTGCCTTTCTTCTGACCTTCGGGAAATTAGCAGACATGTTTGGTCGTAAGAGTATGTTTACCGCTGGCATGGCTGGGTTTACACTCTCGCTGCTTATAGCCGGCTTCGCAAACAACGCCATCTACATGGATGTCTTTTCAGGAGTAATGGGTCTTTTCTCAGCTGCAGTTGTTCCGCCTGCCGTTGGAATTCTTGGATCGGTTTATGAAAAGCCTTCGAAAAGAAAGAACCTCGCATTCGCATGCTTCAGCGCTGGAAATCCACTGGGGTTCGTGGCTGGTATAATCATTTCTGGAGTCGCTGACCACTTGTACAATTGGCGCGCTTCTCTATGGACTCTGGCGGTGATATACGCCATCTTCACTGTCTTCACTATTTGGACGGTCCCCCACGACGGGCATGATCGTCTGCCTTTAGCCTGGAGATCATTCAAGAAATTCGACCTCCTGGGCACATTTCTGGTAATAACTGGAATTGCATGCTTCTCCAGCGCCTTGACGTAAGTAACTGCCACTTGTAGCGTTGGTTATTCTCTTTGATGGCTTACTCCTTCTAGACTTGCTGGTGATGCCCCAGATGGATGGAGAACTGGTTACGTTATTGCGCTACTCGTGGTAGGGATTTTCCTCGTGGGACTTTTCTTATACTGGGAGTCGCTGTGTGCCTTCCCTCTGATGCCGCTATATGTTTGGCGCAATCGTGAGTTTTCATTGGTACGTATGGTGCATCAATTCTGTTTCGATGTCACAGTTATCCGTCATGGACTAGATCCTCTTCCCCTTTGAGCCAACCATCTAGACATAACGGAGTCTCTGTTCATTCACTAACGCAATGATAGCTCATGCTGATATTTTGCCTTGGTTTCATGGGATTCGCATCCGTGACTTTCTGGATTTCGCTATACATGCAGGAACTCAAACACCTATCTGCCCTCCTGGTTGCCGTCCAGTTGCTTCCCATGGTAGTCAGTGGGACTCTGGTCAACGTTGTTTGTGGTTTCGTCCTTCACAAGGTTAGCAACAAGCTCCTCATGGGTATTGGTGCTGTCGGTTATACCGCAGCTCTTCTTATCCTCAGTTTCCTGAGGGAGGATGCTCCATACTGGGCCTTCATTTTCCCCGGTTTGATACTTGTCGTGGTCGGTGCAGATATCGAGTTTAACGTTGTTAATGTAAGTTGCATTCTTTCCCCTCCTATATTTGGATTCGTGTTAGCTGACAGGAGCCGAAATACAGATGTATGTAATGTCTTCTCTCCCATCATCGGAACAATCCGTTGCCGGTGGGATCTTCAACACTATCTCCAAACTCTGTAACAATATCAGCCTGGGTATATCCACGGCCGTCTACAACGCCGTCAGAGCTCAGCAGTCAAGCACCTCTATCAGACCATACTTGGCTACGTTCTGGTTCGGGGCTGCCATCTCCGGGATATCAATCTTCCTCGTCCCATTTCTTCGGCTGGGAACACAAGGTGGCAAAGAATCCCATCATAGCCCTATTGAAAAGTCCAGCACGGAAAAGAATACTGCTGAAGAGAAGATAAGGGAGGTTGGTCCCGGCAGTGACGAGAGCAGTTTCACCCGTCAAGGTGAGATCAGTGTGATCGGGGCCGAGAAATGAGGTGGTAAAAAGGTTATGGACTTCTTCACAATCTATGATGATGGCTAAACGACTCTGAAATTTCTCTCTTGAGATTGACTGATAGATTTAGAAGGATTGATATATAGATAACACGAAGGTAACAATAAGACCTAGATTAACAGCTTTGAACAATCTAAAAATTTAAATTCACATTAACGCCAAATCCGGGTTCCGCAGTAGCCCACAGGCAGTGTACATAATACTTATGCATGAGTCCCAAATGATGAAAATGATAATGATTATTACAGCTCATCTCAGCCATGCGATATGCCATCATTAGATCCATGAAGACCTGCTCGTCCTGTTCCATCTGGTAGAGTAACCTAATCAAAATGCGGTCCCAAACTAACAAGGCTGAACCTCAAGTCCGGATTACCACCTTCCTTCTCTATCTTCAAGAATCTCCTCACACCCAAATCAAGTGCCTTCTCACTCAGCACGTCCTCGTCATCCGCCAGTCGTCCCCGCTCCAACGGACCCTTTCGTCTACCATCGAGTTCCCACAACCGACCATCCCCACCCTTAACAAACGCCACAAAGTGTAGATCTACATTATCTTCCGCCTGCGGAGCTTCCGTATCACCCAACTTGGCTGCGTCTGCGTGTGCGCTCTCCAACGCCTTGCTCTCATACAGCAGATCCGCGCGTTGGATAGGAGGCAATGACTCCGCAGCCTTGAGTAACTGCTCAAGATCGGAGCCAGGAGTGATGTTTTTTCGAGGTTCACCGTTGCTGACGGCGTGTAGGAGACCGATCAGACCACAGGCGTTGCGGATTGTCTGCTTGAACCACATGACGGGCTCTGAAGGTCCAGAGCCGGTGTATTCGGGCAGTTGCGAGTCTTCAGCGACTCGACTGGCTTCGTATGTTGGAGATACGGGGAAAACAAGGAGAAGGGCATGTGCTGGTCGAGGAACGAATGCAAGGAGATCTGGTTCGTCGATTGAGTAGACGTCTGTGAAGCCGAAGGAGCGAGAAAGGCCCAGTTGGTGGACCAGATGGGACATAACTTCAGGGTTGTTTTCTATGAAAGATGAGAGATGTCAGTTCAAATTCTGTGATGTTATAATTTGGATTGGTCCTTCATAGTAGTCAAATAATGAATATGAACGCTCGTACCTAGAGGCACGAAGGCCTTGTTTGTGCCGGGAGCATCCGCGTCGCTTGCCATGGCTGTGAAATTCTGATATACTAGCTGGTGACAACTTGGGTCTGATATTTTCCGCAGATATATTGTTGGATGATGAGGAGAAATGTATTGATTGATACTAAGCTCTAGATAGAGGCACGTCAGTTGCTCATTATTATTGACGCGGGGCGGTTATAGGAAAATGCAAACGCTCCAAACGTGCGGGGAGAAACGAGTGCTTCCCCGCCTCCGCAGCTTTATCAAGTTATCTAGATGTCGTAGTTGGCGAATTTATCTTCCGTTATACAGCGCATTGGAGAAAATGGTTACCTCGTAAAATGATAGAAAACATAATGAGCTATGTGGAACTAGGAGGAGTAAACCATATCTGACTTGATTAGGACCTCTTGAGTAGTTCGATATCCTTCATCACGAGTCTAAACACATGAATCAATCTTGCAGGCCCCGTCTCTTTTTGTGTCATAACTTCTAAGGATATGAACAAATGTGTAATGTCTATTGCACCACGGGCTTCTCCCCACGCTTCAACGGCTCAAAAATAGTTGTCCATAGTTCATTTGCTTCCCCAAGGAAGTAAGTCAAACTAACATCGGCCATGCTGGCATCATCCCCCCCAGCAAGTGTTTCCAGTTGAGAGATAATGTTTTCAAGTCCGAAAGCCTTTCCGGTGGCTTGTGTTGAACCCGCTTCCAGCATAACATTAACGATGTGAATGTGGAAGTGATAATAAGTTGGTTGATCTGTTATGTTCAGTATGTTTCCAGTGAAGTAGCAAAGATAGATTAACACTCAACGTACAATGAACGTAAAGTTTCAGCTGGTCCTGTTCAAGCTCAGGATACATTTCCACAGTAGCGTCCAGAAGCCTCTGTCTCAAATATCGTAGCCAAGGAATGTGACTCTTCCTCAAGTCACGCAAACTCCATATATCTCGCCTCTGAACTAAAGCAAGTAAATGAAGCGATCCAATGGTCTTGCGGTCCCAATTAAGGTCCGGGAGCATCAAGAAGCCATCTTCAGGACTATTGCCTGGCTCCTTCAAGATCACGTCTTCTTGTTCCGTTTTTCCTTCTAGGATGTTGAAAATCCAGTTCAGCCTTCCTTCCTCTCGTTGTCTACTCATGTATGGCCTGACGTAATTTTTATAGACCTCTGGGGTCTCGGTGACCATGCGCACAAGCTGAGCGGAGTACTTCTTAATGTGCTTATCTGTGCACGGCCAGATAAGGTTGAGTTTGAGATCCGGAGGTTGGGCGCTTGCAGTATCACCACCAGACGATGCCATATACCAGCGATAAATGTCATTGTCGCCCAAGTTTGTCACCCGTGATATGGCAGCATGGAAAGCTCGCAGGACTTCTACTGATTCGGTAGCGAACACGGCCCGTTCTGCTGTCAGGATGCCCTGCTTGCCCGAAATTGTACCTAGAATAGAAATGCGACGACCATGCTGGTCTGTGCGGTACGAGGATATCAGTTTATCGCGTGTACTAGCGGTATAGTTCTCCTGAGAGGACGTATATTGCTGCGAAACTCAGAGTGTGAAGGCCAGGGATCGAACCTTGGTTAAGGAGTCTCTCGACCTCGAATTGCGAGATCAGAGCTTCCGGAGTGGTACCCCCGGCCATGTCGAAGGCTTCAAGGTACTACTCACGCTCAGATAAGAGGTATGTTAGAGTTGTGATAAACAAAGCAATTTGTGTCGGCAGTCAACTTTCGTCGACTCCAGATTATTTATTGTCGGCAGAATCCAAAGGCGGTCAGGGACGCTAAACTGCGCTGTAAATATATGCCTGTTATCGGCAGTTAAATTGTGAAATAGATACACGCCTATCACATAATGCAGGAAAGTATCATGTGTCATATATCGCAGATCTTGCCTATATCGCAATCCTTAGATGTCTAAGAACTGCCTCCGTAGCTATTCCGGACAACCAGGAATGATTCTGACGGTGGCTATCTGCATCTCCTCTATCTCTTTCGGCGACATCAAAATTGGGCCGTCTTTAGCCTGCGTTGGGTTCCCGAAGGGAGTTTGTTTTCTGGGTAGGGTTGCGGAACCAGTAAATTTCTTTTTCCATCGCAGTCCGAAGTCTTACCCATAGGCGTCGCCGTAGTTTTGAGACGCTCACTGGGAAATGTAGCGACATAAACACATGACATAAACACATGCATGTGCTATGAAGTCTTTGCGCCGAGAGGTTCAAGACTCGAATTGAGAAGCATCGGACCCTGGAAGGCACTAAACGGTCACATCTGTGTTGACCACAATCTAGAAGCGATGCGATTCGCTAGGGTCGTCTGTTATCACGGCATAACTTCCCCGTAGCTCTATTGTATAGCATGGAAAGCCACTTCCGAGGCAATGGTGACAATTTAGCTGGAAGTGTCTTTGCCCTCTCCCTCAGTCGAAGCTTCCGGACTCAGGTGCATCTGCCAAATCAGACATCAGACGTCAGCTTCTGCAGCACACGGGTATAGTATAACATCTGGGAGAATTACCGCCTCTGCAAACTTTATCCACTCTTCTACGCCCTTGACAAAGGGGTCATCTGCTGCTGGCATGATTTCATGGCCCCAGACGACGAACTCGTCGAATGTAGCCTGGGTCTCAAGAACCTTGACGGGCTCTTCCCGCTCCTCGTCCTGTTCGCCATTCTGCAGTTCCGCCTTTCTGTTCGTCTTCGGATGTAGCACCCGGTCCGTTGGCATCGCGACGACACCTAATAACCATATCAGCATCATATGATAGCAACCTAAGTAGAAATGACCATACCTTTATAGCCCTCCGGAATGGCAACACGACGAGCGCGTAATTTTCGCCCTCTGAAGTGCGCGGTTTGAACATCTCCTTCGTAATTGACATGTGTCAGCAAAGAACGAGTAATGTTCCATGAGAGCGCAGAGCGCAGAGTCCTAAATTCAAGGCACTCGTGGAGGAGTATGATACCATTTTCATCCACCAGAGGCTTCCAGTAGCGCTCAAGAGATTCTAGAGGACCATCATGATGTATGCGACAAGGTAAGATATTCGGAGTAGATGTATTCGAAGACTGCGTGTCCGTCTCTGGGGAGATACTCTGTGCTGATTGAAGTGCAAACATTTCTGCGACAATGGAAAGGAACGAAAATGCACTTGTAGGCAGTGTTCGAATAGGTTCTCTTCGATGAATAGCTCGAACTCAGTGTTTCCCAGAATCGGTGTTAGAATGCTTGAACACGATGTTCTTCGCAGGGTCTTCTGCTCGACGCGACGCGACTACTCGCGTTTAACTACCAATTAAAGTGTGGAGAAATGACCGATAAGGTAACGCTTATCAGAAAGTCCTGGTAAAGCAATGTGCAGATTCACTGAAGCTATTTTGCAATTATATCGAGCATTATAGTATGCATTAATGACCTTCCTCCTCCGATTATATACACTCATGTAGTACAGACACCGCTATTGATCGAATAGACCAAAGAACCAAAGTCTTGCTAGATTTCGGACACAATTTTCTACACGAAACGTTGGGGTATTATTCGCATACAGTAATAGTAACACATGTTCTTCACCTCTTTCGAGACTTCTTCTTAGGTTTCTTCTTCTTCTTTGCCGGACTGTCCCCGTTTTCCTTCGCTTCCGTCGTAACCCGGACGGGCCACTTCTTCGCATGCTCCCGCTCGAACGCATCCTTATCTCGTCTGAACAGCATCATTGTTGCTCTGGCATCTTCAACACTGGAGTGAGCGCCTTCTTGGATCTTCAAGCCCAGGAGCTCTGAAGCCAGGACCTTTAGACGCGGAGATCCTCCACCTGCGAACTTCCTATATGGTGGATGCTTGCTTGTATCTCTTATGTCCCGTTTAGGATGGGGCAGGAGGAGAGCATCGAGATCGTTTCGAACTGCATGGCCGACTAAAACTGTGCCCTCGAGTATTTTGGCTACATCCCTCTGTACTTCCTCCAGCGAGCGTGCCTCGAGCATATGCTTTGGTAATATTCCGCTGACATGTGTGCGCCAATCGGTGACCATTTCTTTGGGTCTAACAAAGGAGTCGTAGACTTGCTCGCCGTTATAGTTGACTATACTTACTCGAGCAAGGACAGAGTCATTGTCAGGATTAGGTCCGACACCGACCATTTCGCAATCAATCGCGACATATTTTCCTATTTCGACACTATGAAAATAGTCAGAGGCGTTAATGCATATAAGAAGGGCATGACAAAGGGGAAACAAGGGAAATGACTCACTCGGGAGATAGCCCTGCATTGACTTGTCCATTCCGTGAATCGGCTTTGGGTGTCGAAGTTGCAGAATTCCTCCGCAACGCAACCTCTGTGACTGTTTCTCGCACCTCCTTTGCCGCATCCTTTTCGGTTTCCTCCATCGTCCTCTTCCTTTTCAGAGATTTATGCTGTCCCTCAGTTTTCTTCCCACTGACGCTCTCTGTCCTCCGCCGTTTTACTCCATTTTGGCTGTCACGGTCCGAGGTCTTGCGCTTCGTAGAGGTGGAGACCGAGGGGTTCTCCTTTTTCAGTTTCTCTTGGAGCTTTTTCCAATTGCTGGATAAAGTTTTGAGCTCCATTCCAAATCGCTTAACGAGAATCTCTTAAGCTTCCATTTTATTGTCAAGGTGGGACAATAATTCGAAGTTCAATTCTGGTCGGAGATAATTTTCGGAGCGGGATTCTCAATCAAGTGGATGCAAACGCGGCAAACACGATAGCGGCGATTTTCCGTAGATACTCTTAGAACCCTTTTCCTGTTAGCATTCACCCTCAAAAAGAAACGTGAATACGGAGATGTGTGTTAATATGCCACCAGATTGATGAGTATGTCTAGTACTCTTGATACAGTGTAGCTGCTCTAACATGTTGAGCCTGTATGTAGGTTGTTACCTGAACTCTCGTCCAGATACGCCTTTTTGGACTATCCATCCCCCTGAAAGTGTTCTTAAAAGCGATTGCCAATGCCTCCCTTGATCTCAGTTTTCTCTGACTCGGAGAGTCCGGAACCTTCACCTATCGAATCTTCTGATTCCCCCAGTCCAGAACCTTTACCTGTCGAATCGTCTGATTCCCCCAGTCCAGAAGCTCTATTTGTTGAATCCTCTGGCTCCTCGAGCACCGGATCTCTATCGGTTGATTTCCATGGTCCCTCTCGCTCTCGGGAGAACTATGATCGGTCGCAGGTAGCTGATCAACCACGTTTGCCCTGGGAATGGAATCCGAGGGGTAAAACAACAGAACTCTACACCCACACGGCCGTTGGGAAGTGGTGGTTTCATGGGAAGAAGGACATTGAACGTCTCAATCCCAACAAGCGGCGTGATATTAGCCATATTGGTCGGATTATGGAGACCGAGTTAGGAGAGCAGTTATTTGGGGATAATAGATGCACTGCCTGTCAATTCAACAAACAGGAATGTTGGGTTTATTCGACAGAGGGGGCTCAGCAGATTAGCCGGCCAGGGGATTCCTGTGCTCGCTGCCGATTGAGTGCTCGTGCTGGGGGCTGCAGTCTATCCAAGCGACGTAAACGGGTCATTGAGCCACCTGAAACCGGCAATAGGGGGTTTGTGCCTATTCAAAAACGCATGCGTTAGACTCGGATCGTATGACATTTTTGTCTTATCAATTGCATAAACTTCATGAATTAAGCATCAACTATGTACATACTTGATGGCAAGCGGGTTTGCCATAGGCCGAATGCTTCAGAGTGTCTCAGAAGGTTTGAACTGCAAGAAATTCCAGGCATCAATCAATATGTTGCGATTTACCAGGTTTATAGTACGTATACTTATCGTACACAGCGTTCGATCAGTCATTGACCTCACGAGCGAACCGGACCTAGAGCCTGACAACAGAGAAAGTGAATTATATATGAGGACCAAGCACGTTCATCAGTCCTCCCGTCCTAGAGGTCACAAGTCCCTGCAGATCGATTCAATGCCTTTTTACCTATATTAAACCCCTGACCACCTGAAAAATATATATTTTCTAAATACATATTTTTGACGCAGATTCCGCATGGCAGATTCCCCTGCAGACCACCGCTGATAACGTTCGCGTTACGAGCACGTAGTGTTGTATCAAGAAAGAGCTCTCAATCTGTCAATCCTTATTTTGTCTGGACCTGGTGAGTTTCCCCGTGTTGAGTCAAATTAAGCCGCAGGCTCCCAGTTAAAGTCGCAGGGTATTTATGCCTGAACCGTTGGAATTTCTTCCCACGCCGGACTATATCTTAAGCTGGTCGACCACCCAACCAACCCACACCCATCTAGTCTCTGAACCTTCCCCATATCCTCAGAGAGGACTGTAGGGGCTTGGCTGCGGATTGCCCAATCTATCAGCGTTGTAACCATACCCGAGGCAATTAACCTGGCCACCACTATCTTTCGAATCAGTGGCTTGGTAGCTGACAGCTTAAGGGGTTTCCCGCAATTTGAGTGTGTCGCCCAGAGAGATCCGGACTAGCATTTACTGTTTAGAGGATCACCACATCACCCTTTCGGGCTGCTGTTCGGCGCAGAGTTGCTGCGGCTGGCAGAAGCAATAATGGTTTACGCCTTGTGGTGCCCTTCCGTCAATTTCTTTAAGTTTCAGCCTTGCGACCATACTCCCCCCAGAACCCAAAAACTTTGATTTCTCGTAAGGTGCCGAACGGGTCATAATAGAAACACCGTCCGATCCCTAGTCGGCATAGTTTAAGACATCTGATCGTCTTCGATCCCCTAACTTTCGTTCCCTGATTAGTGAGATCATCTGTGATTGATCTTCTTCCTCATACTTCAATCTAGAAGTTATCGCGTGCTGGAAGATTTGGAACACCTTGTTGGTAGACGTATTGTTCACTCGGACAGGATATCTCTTTTGTGAGATTTGAGTTTATTGATTGCATTGGAAGTGGAAATTCCAGTTTTTCGTGACGTTCCTGTCAAATGATGAAATTCCTGCAGATAGGCTAATATATGCACATAAGAAATGATTATTACTCCAACCCAGGAACCTTGAAGTCCTTGTATGTCCACTTCTCCGTCGTCTTCCTCTTGGCCTTCTTTGGCTGCGTTACCGGCTTTCGGGACTCTAGCTTTCCATTGACAATCAGATTCCGGAATCTATCATCCAGAAGATTACCCTCTGGCTTGAGTAGACGAAGCGATTCCTGGAGCTCGTCCGGCAGCACAACTTCTACTGGCTTCTCGGGGACACTGACGGAGTAATTAGCACTATAAATATAGGTGTGGTCAGAATATACTCACGGATTCTTCCCAAGAGGTCGTCGACGCAATTTCGTGTCGTCACCTTCATCTGAAGAGTCACCTCCCCGTTCCTGGCGTTTCCTGCGTTCTTCTTCTTCCTCTTCGACCTTCTTGGCGATGCTCTTGACTTGTTCTGCTTGTTGCTGTCTCTTCTTCATTTGCTCTTCCCACTTGGCTTTCCTCTCAGCTTCCTTGCGCCTCTTAATCTTGTTCCTCTGAGACTGGGTCTTCCTCTCGGGTCTCTTTTTATTTAACCACTCAGGCTTCTCGTACTCGCTCTCAAACCCTTCCCATGCACTTTCGTCATCGGATTTCACTTCACCATCGTCACCCTGAGCTTCAGCCTCCGCCCTTTTGCGCTGTCTCTCCTGCCATCTTTGCTCATCCTCAAGGCGCTTCTTCTCTGCTTCTACCGCCCTTTGGCCTTCCTCTGCCAGGAGTCTATCCCAGTCTTCGAAAGAGGGATTGTAACTTACTCCTGCGTCAGGTTTCTTCACCGCTGGAACAGGCTTTCCGTTGGCGGTAAGAGAGATTGGTGCCTTCTTTATCGTAGGAGGGGCCACCTTGGACTTGGGTTTCTCTAGGAAGTCAAATTTTGGGTCCTCATAAGCGGTTGTCTCTTCCGTGTCTGCCCAGGGATCGTAGATCTCATCTCCCTCTTTCTTCGCATCGGGGTTTCCTTCTCGCGCAACCTGCTTCAAGCGCAGCCATTCCTTGCGACTGACGTAGTCACTCTTGTGCCTCTTCGTCTTTGGCTCAATGACTCCATCGGTTACTTTCGAGTTTGCTCGCTTCCTGCTATCAACGGCGGGAATTGCAGATCGCTGGGCGATAATCTCATCGGACTTCAGAGTCTTGTGGTGCTTCAGGTATGCTTTCCGGATTTCTTCTGAACCGGTAGTATCGATGGTGAAAAGCTCTTCTGAAGGTTTCTCTGCAACGACACCTCTGTGCAAATGGGACTCTGTAAGCTCAAGAACACCGAAGATCCATTGGGTAAATAAATAGAGCCTTACCCTTTGATTTCTTCTTCCCTCAAGGCCCGGAGACCCTCTTGAACCTCGGAGACGTCGACATTCTTCCGCCACGCCTTCTTGCCTTTCCTTGAAGGCTGCTTATATTGGTGAGGAGCCTCCACTGCGGCCGACATGTTGACAGTTATCCCAGTTCAGATTATGACTGGGCTTTTGATTGTTCAACCGATGCTTTTTTTGAGAGTCGAAAATCCAAAAATTCTGGACCGCCTAGCGCGGGGAGGACGCTAGTGCGGCTATCGCACCAATAAGCGCGTTGGTCTGGATCTTTATCAGCTTCTGATCAAACTGCGATTTCAGTATCATCCTCAATAGAGATACAAGCGCTCGCATTTAACATTTCCTTTCTGAGTCTGTGATACGTGGAGGAACTCTGTGAGCGCTATGGTAATCTGCAATATCTTGTCTACCTCCTCACTGAAAATGGGCAGTTTGGGCCGGGTATCTACGCCTTCGCTATGAGTTATATTTCCCAGACAGATAACAAGCATCTCCATTCCATCAGAGGACGTACTTTTCTCATATTGATGTCAAGAAAGCCCTGTAGACCTGAAATCAATAGAAGATTCGCCAATAAATTTAGTATTCGTAGCTGACGTTCATTGGTCGATCAGCGCAAACGCGACGGCCAAGTTGGTCTGTATCGCCACCCGCAGCGCTTAACCCTGCATGGAAGCGCGTTCGTCTGCCTTTGCTCAAAACGTCAATCAGTCACTCATACCTTGAGTGAGCTCCGTCCATTCTTTAGCCGTGGTGCTTTCATACCTTTTCTGCAGATTCGCATAGTTCCTGTGTTCTTATCTTTTTGTCTTTCTATCAGCTTCAGCTGGTGTCTTCACCAGAGACCCTGCGCCATGCCTGTCGTCAAAGGAGGCGTCTGGTAAGTTGCATCCTCGCCTCAGAATGAACTCTGCAGTTCCTGACTTGTTCCAGGACGAACTTGGAAGATGAGGTGCTCAAGGCAAGCGTATGTCTATCCATCCACGAAAACGTTTTCATCGATGACCGCTGCTGACATCGTCTTTTATAGGTATCGAAATATGGTCTTAACCAGTGGGCACGAGTGTCATCGCTGCTTGCGCGAAAAACGCCAAAACAATGCAAGGCCCGTTGGGTAGAATGGCTGGATCCAAGTATCCGCAAGATCGAGTGGTCGCGCGAGGAAGATGAGAAGTTGCTACACCTCGCGAAGTTGATGCCGACGCAATGGCGAACGATTGCGCCCATTGTTGGTCGCACGGCCACCCAGTGTCTGGAGCGATATCAGAAACTCCTAGATGAAGCAGAAGCTCGGGAGAATGAAGAGCTTGGTTTGGGAGGCCCAGGAGCTGAGGCTGCTGCTCCCAGTGCAGATGATGTCAGACGGCTACGGTATGTTATGTCCTTATCTTAGTTTATCCAGATGCTAACAGTTATCTCAGTCCCGGAGAACTCGATCCGGATCCTGAATCTAAGCCTGCCCGACCAGATACGATCGATTTGGATGAGGACGAAAAGGAGATGCTTAGTGAGGCTCGTGCCCGTCTAGCAAACACTCAGGGTAAAAAGGCCAAGCGGAAGGCCAGAGAACGGCAACTCGAGGAATCACGTCGGCTGGCCGTGCTTCAGAAACGGCGCGAGCTCAAAAATGCCGGTATTAATATCAAGGTCGTTACCCGCAAGCAGGGGGAGATGGATTATAATGCGGATATCCCATTTGAGAAGCCGGCAGCTCCGGGATTCTACGACACTACGGAGGAAATAGCAAGAAATGAAAGACAGCGGGAGATGTTTGATCCTCGAAAGCAACAAGCCAACAAGCGGAGAGGTGATCAGGACGATGAAGCGGAGAGGAAGAAAAGGAAGAGCGACAAGAACAGCAATGCTGCGGCATTCGCGGCAGCCGCAAAGGCTGGACAGATGCAGAAGATCCGTGAAGCGGAGCAAAGCAGCAAGAGGAGGCCTCTTAACCTGCCCGCACCTCAGGTCAGCGAGGGTGAACTCGAGGACATCATCAAGATGGGCATGGCAGGAGATAAAGCCAGCAAAATGATTGGGGACGAGGAGGGTACGAGGGGTTTGGTAGGAAACTACTCAGCCATCGTTGGCGGAACGCCTATCCGGACTCCTCGTGCTCCCGCAGAGGAGGATCATATTGCTAACGAGATTCGCAACATCAGAGCTTTGACGGAAACGCAGTCGTCCTTGCTGGGTGGAGAGAATACTCCTCTTCACGGTGGAGAAGGCTCTACTGGTTTCGAAGGTATTGCGCCTCGCCGCCAGCAGATTGTCACTCCAAATCCTATGGCTACTCCTTTCCGTCAGGCGAACGGCGTTGGCGCAACTCCTATGCACGGAGGCATTGGGCCTGGTGCCACGCCTCTACGTACACCGCGAGATCATTTTGCTTTGAATCGGGAAATAGGCGGTGGACAGCTTATCGGGAACACGCCTAGAGAGGTCAAAATGCGGGAGAACTTCATGCGACAGCAGCTTCGTAGTAAGCTATCTTCGCTTCCGAAGCCAAAAGAAACAGAGTGGGAATTGGAAGAGCTTCCCTCGGAGACGGCAGAGCCTACCGCAGCGGGTCCTGAGGGCGAGGAAGATGCCGCTGAGCGTGACAGACGGGCAAACGAGGCCCGTGAAAAGGCCGCCCAGGCTGAGTTCAAACGCCAAACTCAGGTCTTCCAGCGTTCATTGCCACGACCCAGTGTTCTCGACATCGATGCCTTGATGCACCGGGCCTCGCAGATTAGCGATCCTATCGGTAGTCTAGTTGCGAAAGAGACTGCTCTTCTCATCGCCAATGATGCGCGGAAACACCCTGTCCCGGGAGCAAAAGTGGAAGGGAAAGCTCCGAAATTGCAGAAGCTTGATGACAGCCTGTTGGATGCAGCCCGGGCAGCTATCACGGCGGAGGTATCTTCGCCCGAGCTGGTGCAACAATGGCAGAGTGATTTCGACAATGCTTGGACCTCGACTCATACGAACTCCCTGCCTGGTCTGGCCAACTATTCTGATGAAGAGGAAGACCCGTATAAGCAGGAACAGCAGATGATTACCGCATTTGACAATGTTTCTGCCTCACTTCTAGCAACAGCAGAGCAAGGGAACAAACTGGAAAAGAAGCTCGCATTACATTACGGTGGATATCAATCTAGGGCGAAAACGCTCCGTTCAAAGATTATTGAAGCGGGCGCAGCGTTGGAAAAAGCTAAGATTGAGCTTAACACCTTCAGCGCATTGCAAGTCTCAGAGGAAGCAGCACTCTCAATGAGACTTGAAAAGCTCCGTGATGAAGTCGCGTTCATTTCGAGAAGAGAACGAGAGGCTCAGGAGCTGTACAAATCTCGAAAAGACGAGCTTGACGAACTGGTTGCAGCTGTTGGAGGCATGACCAATGGATGGCATTAAATTTTTCTTCAGATAATGGTCAGCCAGATATGTCTTATGTGCATTATATCCCGCGGAGTCGGTTCTAGGATGTCATCTAGTCTTGTATAAAAAATATTCTTCTACGTATGTAATATTGTGTGGCCACTTGTAATTCGACTTACAGGCAATCATCCCCCTTCGAAGTCAGAAATCTTGGAACTGTTAGCCTACATTGACTATACATTACGTTGAAATGCGTACATATATTTGTAGTGGTCCTGATGTGTAAGAGTAGAATGGTGTCGCTCATCAGCATAGAAGAGCTCAACCAAGTAGATTCAAGCAGTACAACTTTTTTCCTTTGACGGATGTTCAGATGTAGAGGTGTTATTGTCCTCCATGAACTACGGCACGAATACTTATGGCTACAAGCGGGTGGCTTTAACTGCAAAGGCGGGAACGGAAGGCGACGCAACAGGTCTCACTTAGGCTTCAAAGAGCCATTCCCGCAGTGGCGACCCTAGCTAGCAACTTCAACCTCACCAGCAGCGCCATCTGCAAAAAGTCATCTCAATCTCAACCACGACGCCATTTCCATCACAAAAATCCATCTTTAATCGAGTAAAATCATCTTGCGGACACGATGGGCGGCAGAGATTCCCATGGCGAGGTCTCTGGCACCCCCGATCCCGTCGAGAAAGGGTTCGCCACCCTCAGCTCGCTCAGGTAGGCACCCAAAATCTCCAAAAGAGGGCTTTATGACATTCCCATCCCCGATTTATACGGTCGCATGTGCTGATTTTCATGATAGAATCGGTGTAAAGGCTATGGTTGAGAAGGTGAGGCATAGACAGCAAATCCTTGCTATGCGTGATTTTATATCACGTGATCGTTTCCATTTCCGGTAATATTGACTGACTGACTGACTTGATTGATATAGGATGGCGAGCTTCGCAAAGCAGAGATTTTGTCTATGAGACAGCGAAAAGATGGACCTAATTTCTAGTATGGAAGTCCTCATGATTCTGTTTATTCAGTCCGAAATTATTAACGTGCGTTACAGCGTCCACTACGTCGACTTCAATAAACGTCTTGATGGTAGGTTATAGAAACGCTAATCTTTTGGGAGTGATACTAACATTTCTCAAGAATGGGTTCCTGCATCAAGAATTGATTTATCGAAAGAAGTCGAATGGCCTCTGCCAGAGAAGCCCGAAAAGAAGAAGACCGGTGGAGCAGGCAATAAGGCCCCAAGCAAGAATAAGCGCGCCAGAGCAGACAGCCGAGATGTCTCTGCGACGCCTGACTTGCTCACGGGCAAGAATACGAATGTCGGAAAAGCACAGCGTCCATCGAAAGCGGGCGGGAAAGAGAATCGCCTGGATGATATTCCAGCGAACATCACCGGGTCTGAATCTGTCTCGGTATCTGGCACACCCAAGCCTGACTCTGAGGATATCGAGATGGCCGATGCTAGCTTCACGGAAACCAAAACTCTTATCAAGGAAGAAGAAAAACAGGACCAAATGTCCCGTGAAGAAGAGATCGAGAAGCTACGGACAGGTGGTAGTATGACGCAGAACCCGATCGAAGTTCACCGTGTTCGTAATCTGGATCGTTTGCAGATGGGGAAGTACGAGATGGAGCCTTGGTACTTCTCACCATATCCAGCCTCCTTTTCGGATGCAGAGATGGTCTACATCGATGAATTCTGTCTCAGTTACTTTGACAACCAGCGCGCCTTCGAACGCCATCGTTCCAAGTGTACACTCGTCCATCCTCCTGGCAACGAAATCTACCGAGATGACTATATCTCTTTCTTCGAGGTCGATGGACGACGTCAACGCACCTGGTGCCGCAATCTATGCTTGCTGAGCAAGCTCTTCCTTGACCACAAAACACTCTACTATGATGTCGATCCATTCCTCTTCTATTGCATGTGCACTCGAGACGAGACTGGCTGTCACCTGGTCGGATACTTCTCCAAGGAGAAGGATTCAGCAGAAGGCTACAACCTGGCTTGTATCTTGACGCTTCCTCAGTACCAGAGACGTGGATTCGGTCGCCTGCTCATCTCCTTCAGTTACGAACTCAGCAAGCGAGAAGGAAAACTCGGTTCGCCAGAGAAACCTCTCAGTGATCTCGGTCTGCTGGGATACCGACAATACTGGCGAGAAACACTAGTCGACTTACTCATGCAACCTGGACGCGAGGCAATCAGCGAATACGAACTGGCGACCCTTAGTTCAATGACTGAAAAGGACGTCCACGAAACCCTGGTTGTTTTGGGCTTGTTGAGATATCACGTACGTCCCCTTAACCATCAATTCTTCCCCAGACCGAAACAAACTAGCACTTATACCCCTAGAAAGAATACGAAGCTAACAATTTTCCTATAGAAAGGTAACTGGGTAATCGTCCTCACCGACGCCATAATCGAGCAACAAAAGAAACACCTCGAGAAAGAAAAAGCCAAGGGCGTTCACAAAATCGATCCCGCAAGACTTCAATGGAAGCCTCCTGTCTTTACTGCTTCTAGTCGTACCTGGAATTGGTAGCGCCTTGCTTCCACTTTCAGCTCTCTCTTTCTCTCTCTCAGTCTCTCTTTTTCAGAGAGATATATACTCATGTCTGCTCAACATTTTATTATCATCGGGGCGGTTTTCATGTCTGTGGGATTTACCAGCGGGATGGCGTCCTTGTTGTCTTTTTCTTCTCGTCCTTCGTGCTCGTGGTCGGGTTTGGTCAATCTATACGTTGTTTGGAATTCGGTGCCTCTGATGTTTTTTTTTTGATTGATACCTTGTGTATGGATTTCGTTGTTAGGTAGATTTTCATTCTATCTGATTATTTGTTTTAATTATTCCTACTTACGAACTATATTCGTTGCCATTACGCTATCTGGAAGTAGATCCGTTAAGATCTACGCATCACCACGCTAGACAGCGACTGTTTTCCTCTCCGAAGAGAACCTCGACTTCTATGATATTCCCCGACCACAGGCCAGAGAAGACTACAACATGGAACAAGAGAATGAAATGTAAAAAACCCTTCAATTCGATTTCATTTGCTCCTGCGTGAGCCGCGAGAGAGCAAGGGAGAGAGAGCATGGATGAGAGAAAAGAATTTGCTTTCCTAACACGCCATAACAAGCTGATAAACCTCCTGTCCAACGCCGCCTGCCCCCCTAGTTTCCCTTTTTGAATCGACAAAGCAGGATACGCCAATGAGAACAATAGTGTTGTCGGGATGATCAGGTGTAGTGTACTCATGGTGGTGCAAGGCACCCATCCATTTCAGGAAAGAAAGCGTGATAGAAAAGCGAATTTCGAGATTTCAAACGAGTCCCCCCGCGACAGGGTAGAGAAAGAGAAAGGTACTAGGAGAGGGCCAGGCAGAAGGACGTAATATCGAGGACATGGATCGCGCACATCGAATATGACAGATACAAAGCCTTGCAGCCAAGATGTTCTTGTCTGATCCAACAGCAATGAGAAGATGGGTGGATCATCAAGAGTAGCAATAGCATTAAGCTGACGACACCGCAGATCAGATCTCGAGGAGCGAAAGAAAGATGCAGGGCCCATGGCCGCATATTGCAGATTGGAAAAGACTGCTCTGTCAGAACGAGGACATGATGACACTTCAAAGCCAGTACTGGCGAAACATGTATGGTATTAGCGGGGAAAGAGAAATTGTTATTTCAAGGAATAAGGGGTTACTGCGTCACCGCGGATCATCTTGGACCTATGGACGGCAGGTTACACCCATCAATACTGAAACAGTAAACTTTGGTCGCCCACGCATAAACGATAAACAATCCCATGAGATGAAAAATTAGACTACGGCATGGCCGCCTTCAGATCCGAGAGCGCTCTCAGGGAAGGGGCTTTAATGAGCAACCCCAAATGCAGGCGAACCCCAAGAGGCATTTCCGAATGGAGCCCGAGGGGAACTACCAGCAGCGTTGCCAGAGGCGGAAGCATTCGACTTCTTAAAGTTCCGATTATGACCGTGGCTGCTCGACCCTTCGCTCGAGTTCTTCGTGTTCTTCCGAGACTTGAATCCTGATGCGCTGCCACGCTGTCGCTGCCCGTGGTTACCGGCCTTTCTCGGCAGTGTCACAGTTCTCGTACTGTCATTGCCTGGGAAATGAATGATTACATGGATATTACCAGAACGATCTTTATCATGGAATCCAAAGTTGTAAGGCTCAACGCTGTGGACCTGCATAGGTTTCAGGTACTTAGAGCGGAGTTTAGATGAAGACGGGGGAAGGGCAGCCACCCAAGCCGCCGGAGGTGCCATATTTGGCACACGGACAACAGGTAGAGAGCCAGCCTCACGATCTTCAAAGATGGCTTCTTCCTCCTCGACCTCCTTGGATGTCACTTTTCCGACATCTCGCAGAATGTCGCTCTCCACATATTGAGGGAGTGAGACAGCAGCGGGCGCAGGCTGTGACTGAACATCAAGAGGTTCTTTGGTAGCGGAGGCAACCGCAAGAACTTGCTTCTTCTCCGTCGATGGCTTCTTGCCAAAAAGACCGTTGAAGCGGTCCTGCCACGAAGTTGTGCTTGCAATGGGCTGGGGAACGACTCGAACCGGTGGCGAAGAAGCGACCATAGAGGCGAAGGTTGGAGGCTGCTGTGGCGCCGTCGGTTTGGGAGGCAGTTTGACAACAGGCTTTGGGGTAGGAAGATGGACTAGAGGGCGATCGGTATTTCCGGTGTAGACGGGATGGCTGGATACTTCCTCTGGGGGAGGTGGGGAGGGGCTCCTAGAAAGTCCACGGTCTTGAACGACAGGAGGCTTAGGCTGTTCCACCTGATGAGGGAAGAACCTTGAACCGCGCCCAGCGGCACTGCTGAAAGCACGCGAGTGATGTTCAGAGAACGGCAAGCTCCCAACAGCGGGATCGAAGGCGTGCAAGGGTGCCACTGGAGCTCCAGCTTCAGCGGTTCTGCTAACACCAACAATCTGTCGCGAACCGACATGATCACCCGTTCGAACTTGGCGCCAGGTCTCATTGAAACTGACCGCTATCGAAGAGGGACCATCATCGCGCATAGCCGCAAGTTCGCGGTGGAATCGCTCGCTCTCCTCCGCCTCACGTTTTGCAGCGATATTGTGAAAATTGTTCCAAGCTGTAGTCTCACCAGCACGGGTTAGGTCGTGCTGCCTCTGAGCTGGCTGCGAGCTCGGAGGTGCAATGGGCCCCGGTCTAACGACCGGATTGACAGACTCTGGCAGCGGAGATATAGGCATGCTATCCTGGGCAATCCCAGGAGGTCCTGAGAAAGGCTGCGGGGCGCCCATCCTGTCGTCATTCGTATGTGGCGATCTGATAGACGACTGGTCATTAAGGCCAAGGTGACCGCGGAGAGGGTGATCGCCCCCTGTGAAACCAGGAAGATTCCTGTCGAAAGCACCATTCCCGAGAGTCTTGTCACTGCTCAGTGGTTTCCAAGGATTTGGATCGGACGATGGGTGACCACCAATTTTCGGCCCGGAAACCCACGGGCTGAGGCTGCTTCTCCATTGAGGGCCCTTCTCGTCAGTCAGAGTCTCCCTGTGTGCTCCGACCGGCTGCGCAGGAGAGATATCATGTGGTTGGCGCAGTCCGTTCGATTTCGACATATCCGCCTTCGGTTCACGTGCGGGAGATGGGAGACGACGGCCGTGAGGTGCGGGCATAGACTTGTCGGATGCTCTCTCACTCGCAGCGACGAGTTTCTTCACCGTGTCAGGATGGTGAACCTTCATCATGCCGTACTGTTTAGGTTCGCCAGTAGGTTCGGGGACCGGTGGTTTTGGGGGTGAGTGCGTAGTTGGTGCGGCCGTCGCAGGAGCTGTTTCCTTAGCAGGTGCCTTTGCCGTCGAAGATGAATCTTGAGCTTTGGGTTCCTCCTTCTCCGATGGAGGAGGTCCCAGAGCCTGAAGCTTCAACCTGATTCTTTCGCGACGTTCAGCTTCCTCTCTCTCCTCCTGTTCTTTCCGCCTCTGCCGTGCTTCCATGGTCTTCTCTTTCATGATGCGTTGCTGCATTGCGACAGGATCTTCCTGAGGAATCTGAGGCGCTGCTGCGGGTTGCTCCGTAGTCATGGAGTCTGCTACTTGAGGGGCAGGGGCCATCCCAGGTGATGCGTAACTCATGTTTGTAGGCGTGCGTGCCCGCCAAACCCCGGCACCCTGGTGGCCAGGAGAGACGCCGCGCTTAGGTATTTCATTTGGCGAAACAGAACGCTCCAAAGCTCCATTCACCTGAGATCCTCTTCGAACATCACCCGGCTTGGAAACAGCATCAGGTCTACCTAACGACATCCGACGACCAAAGCTTCCGCTCCCTCCACTAACATTAGAGGATGTGCGACGTCGATTCCAGGGGCCAGTCTCTTGAGCACTTGCCCGATGGGTCTGAAATGCTGCAGACGGTTCTGCAGGTCCAGTCTGTTCGTGATGGGAGGGCCTTTGAAGAACGGAAGGAGCCCGGAACGGCTGATCACTGCGCTGAGGCCCCCTCCTCGTATCGGAGACCGGTTCATATCTACCTGAATGAGAATTGTACAGCTCCCGAGGCAAGTTGGACTGGCCCTCTCTCCAAGATCGATTGAAGTCATCCGCTGCAATTTCCTTCGCCGGGAGAGGACCATTTCCAGCTTCCTGGACATGAGACTCTCTTTTCATGAGACGCGACGAAGACTGTGGTTGCACTGGAGGAATAACGGGAGAAACCTTCTCCATAGGAGGGAGAGGCGCCCACGGAGACTTAGTGGGCACAGGAGCTGGGCTTTTGGATGTCAAACCAGACTTTTCGCTTGCTCCCTTGGATGCTGCCATGGCATTCCTGGCTTGTCTTTCGGCACTGGCTCCCAGTCTAAGAACAGTAGCGTTAGGCCCAACAGAGGTAGTGGATTTCGTCGTAACGGACTTGGTTGTCGTCTGAACTGTTGTCGATGGTTCTGGCGCAGGTGCAGTATCTTTGGTATCCTTTCGATCTTTTGGTTCTTGGCTGGTAATAGTGCCACTTTCCGCATGAGCTGTAAGTGTGATCTTCGTCCCATCATTCCATTCGATAGTTTCCGGGGCCCAGTCATCTTCATCATCATCAATATCCGCCCATTTCGCCTCCGTCCCTCCTCCGTCTTCCTGGATACGAGACGTCATGTGTATGCCGTATTGCTGCTTGAGCTCTTCATCTGTCAGGTGTCTGGTCGGAGCTGGCTGGGTCGCTAAAGGAGAGCAAGTGTCAGTATAGCCTTGGAACAGAAGCAGATGCGTACGTACGTCTGTTCTTATTCCACACCTGATTCGGATCCGGACCCGATGCACCACCAGCTCCTGCGCCAGGAGTTCTAGAGGAATCCCGTAAACTGCTCGTTGTTTTAGCGACCAAGCGCGGCCGGGATGTTGACTGTGGCGTAGTGGATGGAGAAGGAGAAGCTAATGATGCTGCTCGCATTTAGTGCTATCCCATCAATACATGAGAATCTGAGGATTACCTTTCTCGCTGACGATCTTGGATGTGAGTACCGAGCCTGGAGTCTTCGGAACGCTAAACTTGGCAAATGATACTGGCTTGAAACTTGTTGGCTTCTTCACAGAGCCTGTGCGCGTGTGATGCCTCCCATCGGTACGGCTGGTATCGGACTCTGATCCACCCTGCGAGCCTGTATCCTCACCACGGTCCGACCCCGATGCCATCCCATTTAATTCCAGAGCCCTGGACTCAACCGGCCCTGGACCATCCTTTGTGAAATCCTGCTCATAGATCAGTAACCACGGCTGACAACGATGTGGACATGCGATCGCGAGGAGCTTACGGCTGTCGACCGTCCCGAAGCATTTCCACCGTCGTCCGCACCAGGAGCTGCCTCAGCAGCGCCTGACCTCGAATCGTATTCCGCGCCTGTATGTTTCTCGTTGTGTTCAGTGGTAGCTGTATCTTTAATCTCCCCCACGTCCCCTCCAGCAGTGTTCTTGTCGGAATTGCTCGCAGGAACGTCGGAAGGCGAAGGCTCGCCGCCCGACCGGGTTTGAGTTACCACATCGTGGCTGCTCTGCTCTGCCATAACAATACTCGAATCTGCAGGGTCACCCAAGGCCGGGTCATCGTTAGAAGAACACTCTGAAATCACGGGTAATGAAGGAAGGGTATTCCGGGTCATAGTTCTTTTTGTAGAGAACGAGCTAGGTATGCATGAGGGGATAAACAGGCGGGCCAAGCTATACCTATCGTCAGGTATCAAGAATCGCCACGGTGACTGCCGGCTTTCACAAAACAGGGCCTCAAAAGCCTCTCTCTGGGTGTCGGGTCGCAAGGTCTAGGAGATGACGCACGGCACAGGGCGCTCGACTTGATAAAGGAAAGATTCGAGCTCTGAGGCTGTCGGCGGCCGGCGAAGATGGGATATGACGGTAACGCGCCGTAGAGGGATCCGGGGGTCGCTCGCGAAGGCGTTTGTTGTCTGTAGACAGATGATGGAGGTGGAAGCATTAGGAGCGGTTCACGGCTAAGCTGAGGTGGCTGCATCCGGTTAGCGTGGAAATGAGAAAATGAAGTCAAGAAGGCCACCTCAGAGACACTGCGTTCCCCAGCCGCCAGCCACGCGTTCAACGGGTCGTTGCTTTCTATGGATCTACTGGGTAGAAGAGGTTCTGGAGGTGCTAGAGCTCTACTTGTCTCAGGGGATACAGGGCGTTATTCTTGGTGTTTGGTTTCTCATACTACAGAACGACTAAGCAACGGTATCGTGCACCCAGACCCGGCCTATTTGATGACATCGCCAATATAGATTATGACCCGCTTCCCTGGGATTCCAGAGCATACAAAAGCTAGTCTGGCTAACTGCAAGGGGCGTGGTTGAGATGACTGTATTCCATAAGGCTTCACGGTAAAAGTTCTTTCATTCTACACCGGGGATATATGTACAGCATCCTCTTCATTCATCACGCACACGACACATTTAGTGAGGGTGGTTCTTGTGGTGGCCTGTTGTAATTATCAGTCACAGTTAATTATAATCGCTTTATGGACGTTCTCAGAGTATCACTTACGGAGGTGGAAGTAGTATTCAATACTGTAGCCCATGATGAGGATAGCACCGATGGCGTGAACCAGGGCTAATTGGTACAAGATCCAGAGTCAGCAGACAATTAACCAGAACATAAATTCCTTTTTTTATCACTTACGCATGCCAGAAGCGTTCTTGCCGCTGAAGTAGCGAGCCTGGTAGCGGCCAATAAGGCCCTGAGGCTTGATCTCGGGGGCAGCACCGCGGGGGAGCTTAGCGTAGAAGCTCACAACGCGCTCCATACGGGCAGCATCCTGGGCGGCACCAATCGCCTTCTCAATTGTCAGTAATCCAGAGCACAAATGCAGACGGTCCATCAGATAGGTCATCGGGGCGGCGGTCGGTTAGACGTAGACTGAAGACGTGCTGAGGCGCGCGGATATGAGATGATAATGGGACAGAGGCAGAGGACATGGGGTTCTCACGTTAGGCGAAGCGATCTGAGCAACGGTTAGCAATGTGAAAGACGGCAGGTTGGAGCGCAATTCCAATGGCTATTTACCTTGGGAGGGATCAAGGTCGAAAGACCTCGGCGGACAACGTAACTCATCTTGTCGATCTGTGGGAGGGTTAGTTTCACGGTCACGAGAACCAGTGAGAGTCAATCTAGTGTTGGCCTGTGAATTTGCATACCTGGTTGAAAGACAATTGACCGGGAGCGACCGAAGGTGTTGATGTTGGAGAGAGAGAGGTTGAAGTGCCTGCACGGTCGGCTCTCCGGATGAACGATCCCTAGCCTCAGAGCCTCACACAGCGCTAAGCCGCATTTGGCGTTGCCTCCATCCCGCCCTACCTCACCTCATCTGTGCTTCCTGGTCTTGCAGATATCCGTCTTCGACGCTCGACGAGATTTCCGTCCTTGCACCACGCACAATGTCTTTCCTACGGGTCAGAAGCTCTGCCTGCTTCCGAGTGGGCAGGCTCAGGGCGCCTGTGAACGCCCGCTTCATTCAGAGTTCCTCTGAGGGTCCTTCTTCCGACAAGAATATCAAGACCAGCCCTGCCGATGCGCCTACGACGCCCCCGAAGGAGAGCTCCTTGATCCGAAAGGAGACTCCCGCGGAGGCAATGGCTCGTCACCAGCCAGACTACGATGCTACCATCGACTTCTGCACATCGTACGGATGCCGCCCTTGACGCCCGGAGAAATTCATGACTGACCGTCCGTTTTCTCGCAGGAACTTCTCCCCCGTCCCTAAGCGCGTCATGGATGGCAGCGAGCCTGGCGAGTCCGTCGCTGCCGCTGTCTTGTCTGGTGCCCCGACGGATCTGCAGGCCCGAACTGTGAGGTATGGACGAGAGTTGAACCGAGTGGGAGACTGGTCTTCTGGCTGACCACACATACTGTACAGAATCTACCGCCCTACCAAGCCAGCTACTCAGTCTGGCACATGGCACAGCCACCACTGGCGCATGGACTGGGATGTTCTTGCCAAGGGCCACCGTTGGGAGAACCCTCTGATGGGCTGGCAGTCGTCCGCCGATTACATGCAGGGCACCCACCTGAACTTCAAGAGCAAGGAGGATGCCATCCGGTTCGCCCAGAAGCAGGGATACGAATACTTTGTGCAGGAACCCCAGGAGCGAAAGTTCAAGCCCAAGTCCTATGCGAACAACTACCTTCATCAGCCGAAGAAGCTCAAGGTCGTCCACACCAAATAGACGCCCCATGTCCCTCTATCCATCGTGTATGTACATAACAGCAAGTTTTCATCGTGTTAGAACCGAAGTGCATTTTGTGTTCGCCAAGCCTGGTCCATTCTCTGCATAAAGATCAGCAACTGGAGTCGGTGGTGAGTAGACAAAGCGTTTCATGACCAGACAATCAGATGGCGCTGGCGGATAGCCCTCAAGCCCAGTTTGGTTGAAAGATGTTTCGAAAGACTGTTGGGAACAGATCTCGTGTTTTACTTGAGCATCGGCTGACGGCAAAGAGGGATCAGCACTTTGGGTGAATCGGCAGATCCATTCACGTGCTGAGTGTTTGTATGAAAATCATGGCATAGTATAGTCAGGAAGCTGTCCGTCATGTCATCTCACACGGACCCTATCTTGCGAGCGCCACCAGTAGTGTGTGTTCCACGTGAGGACAGAGTTGAATCACATGTACGGAACTTGGTTTGGATGAGATATTCTGAGATATTTTTACTGTGCATCTATCGGGGAGGGATTGTTGGCCCGTGATATGGTCGTGATATAGAATGCTGTGTGTATCAGAAGTATACTATGTAACAACACGGTTGATTGGCCTAGTGTTGGGTGGTTTCGCGTGACTTTCCATGGCGTAATATGTAGGATCCAAGCAGATGATCAATCGCATTCGCAATGGCTAGACTGGATGATAGTATCCACGCCGTTCTCTGGATGCTACTAATTCCCCTCCTCATCCGACTCCATCCCTCGCTGTCTCTCCCAGGCCTTTCTCCACGGGGCGGGAGACATCACGTGCGGGGCTGGCGGGCGGATGGCGGGGTGGGGGAAGTGAAGGGCCCATGATGGAAGCTGTCGACGTTCGCGGCGTTGCTCTGACTGTCCAGTCCGCTCCCGTTGAAAGACGAGTCGATGGTCGATGATCGTTCAGGACTCGCAACGGGCATTTCTTTTCCCTGTTCATCCGTGCCTGATCGGGACGCACGTGAAGTTCGCTGGTGTTCCAGGCACGTTTTGAGCATTCCGCATCCGCCGCCTGTCAGACGAGGACTTCTCTCTGAGATTCGAAATTCGAGATCCTACCTACAATCCCTGACCAGCAGCCGGGATTTCCAGAGCTCTGCGGACTCATCGAGCTGCTGGAGTTTCGTCCCCCCCTGCCACCAGCACAGCTCGAGGTGTTTGACAGCAAGGGAGACCAAGTTGAACATCAATTGAGGCGCAACCCCCCGCGGCCCAGGCCCCCCTCTTCATGCGGCTCTGGCCGATCGATCTGGGTGAAAGCGTCCTCTCGACATAACAATGGCGGACGATGCCCTCGATCGAGATGCGCCCGCGGAGTCTCAGCAGAGCGCGAAATCGGGCCTGTCCCCGACCTCCAGCAGTGACAGCGAGCAGAGTGTTGGCAGCAACAGCAACGGCGATCCGAGTCGTACCCTCGCTAGAGCTGGTCACGAGGGTTTCGTGCAGCCGTCTTCTTACTTGCGGCCGCAAGCCCATTCCCATCCAGTGACGCCGGCGCAACCCGAGAGAACTATCGACCGTGAAGAGCGACTGGGTCTGGTGAGCTTCCCAATCCTCCTTTGTGTCTGATTATTGCTTTTTCTCTCTGCGCGGAGCCATCTCCACGCCAGTCTGGACGTCTCTACCCCCCTGGCGCAGGCTGAGGAAGCTCTCTCCAACCCCGGATGTCCCGGTCCAGCTATGAGTGGGGACGGACTATCACGATAGATGAGCACCCCCGCGCCAGGCATCCAGCAGAGCAGATGCGCTTCAGCCCGACCGGATGATGGAGCTAACGAGTTCTTGTTACAGCGTGCGATTCGAGACTTTCTCAAGGTCCGCAACAGCTACGATGTGCTTCCGCTCAGTTTCCGACTGATCGTCTTCGATACCTCGCTCTCCGTCAAAGAGAGCTTAAATATCCTCATTCAGAATGGCATGTGTTCTTCGGAGATCTCCAGCCCCTCCGGGGATATCATCTATTGGACAAGATATACTGACAGAAAAGTGTCCGCGCTGTAGGCATTGTCTCCGCACCGTTATGGGACTCCAAGACGTCCACCTTCGCCGGTCTGCTGACCACGTCCGATTATATTAATGTTATCCAGTATTATTTTCAGAATCCCGCCGCCCTAGATCAGATCGATCAATTTCGACTGTACAGCCTGAGAGGTGGGTCGCCGTCTATGCAAGTCCTTGAAGATGAACAGGAGTCTCACATTGATCTGCAGAAGTGGAAAAGGCACTTGGCGTTGCACCTCCAGAGACGATATCGATTGATCCCGAACGACCACTCTACGAAGCATGCAGGCGTATGCTTGACTCGAGAGCTCGAAGAATACCGCTTGTATCCAATGACAGCCAGACAGATAGGTCACTGGTTGTGAGCGTCGTGACTCAGTATCGAATCCTTAAGTTCGTAGCGGTCAACGTTGGTGACACGCAAAAGCTGCGGAAGCCCTTGAAAGAGCTCCGTCTGGGCACATATGATAACATTGTAACGGCATCAATGGAAACTCCGGTCATTGACGTTATCCATAGCTTGGTTGAGCGTAGCATATCCAGTGTTCCGATCGTCAATTCCGAAGGTAAAGAGCACAGATTCCTTCTCCTCAGATTCTTATTGACCATGCTCAGGAGTCGTATACAATGTTTTCGAAGCGGTCGATGTCATCACTCTGATCAAGGGCGGTGTATACGACGATTTGAATCTAAGCGTGGGTGAAGCGTTGAAGAAGCGCTCTCCAGTAAGTGCGGTGCTGCCATCGACGCCCACGGCCCGCTGACTTGGAACTCTAGGACTTCCCGGGCATTTATACTTGTTCGGCCGAGGACGGCCTCGACACCATCTTCGACACGATCCGCAAATCCCGCGTTCACCGTCTCGTCGTGGTCGACGATCACTTCCGGTTAAAGGGAGTCCTCACGTTGAGTGACATACTACATTACATTCTGCTAGAAGGCGAAAATGATGAATTGTGATCATGATGTAAAGGTTATACGCATGGAACGGGCGTTTGTCGGGTTGGAGTTAGAAACCCAATGCATGAAATATTGGCTCTGGATCATGACTGCATAGTTGAGTCGGCCATGCCTAATCCAGTGATACACCGGAAAGGCAACAATTGATGTTTGAACAAAAGCAATGACCGGCTAGCGTCTCCTTGCGTCGGGACGTATCTAGGAGATACTTGGTATTGTTCGTCCTTTTCCGGTACTTAGATGGTCAATGAAGTTCTTTCGGTCCTCTCCGATCTCTGTTCACTTCTGCGGCTTCTCACTCTGATGCTAAGCGTCTAGAGTGACGAAGTCAAGTCACAAACAACTACAAGGTCGCAGATCCAATCTATCGCCGAAACCATGAATTCCAGATTCCTTTCTCACTGGAAGGACCCATAGTACGTACGGTTTCTTCGATGGATGTATCCTGAAATGTTGGCGCGGGTGGTTTTGTTCGCTGATCCATCTTGAGGTTGAGGTAGAGCTCCGTCGTGCCTTCCGAGTACGACAAGTTGTAGTTTCCAAATCGGGAAGTGGAGGGAGAAGCACCACAGAGCCTGAGATCAACCTCGGATGTCCAAGTTTCTCAATCGACATTGCTAATCTCAATGGAGAACGGTCAAGCCTGTCACGAATATGGGCCTTCTGGACAGTCTCCCATTCATCTCATCGCTCTATGGCAGCGACAAGAACGCACCGGTTAAGCGATCATGGTCCAGGATCTCCCGTACGCACTCAGATGTCGTCCCGCTCAACCCTAATTCCTCCACAACAGAAGAGGCTCCAGTTCTACCTCAGGCGTTGGACCTACAGCTCGCAAACACGTTACTGAGCAGGGCAAGCCAGCATCATCTCCAGAAGGTTTCTGGCCGACAAAACGTTAATGATGTCGACGAAGCTCAACCGAAAGGCGAAAATATCTCCCCTAGAGATCCTGAACTCAGCAAGCATACATCTGATGCGTCTAAGAGGTTGAAGCCAACAGATTCAGGTTATGAAGAACTCGACCCAACTACTCCTGTCCAGACCAGTGGTTCCAAGAACTCGAAAAGATCCAGAAGGCTGGAGGGTCTGAAGAAGTTGCTCAGTCGTCACAAATCGCAAGAGCAGCAGATGCCAACTGAAATCCGGGTCGTTTCTGTGCAGCCTGAGGCTAATGAGATAGGCGACGAGGGCAGGAGAAGATCAAAATCTTCTCAAAGCCATATCGATACGCACGATGTTGAAGTCCAAGAGAAAGAGAACAAGGAGCCGCAGACACCAGGAGCGGACTTCCGGCTAGATGAGCCTTCTGAACCGCGAAAGGTCAGCGATCAAACTATCCTGTCCTTGGAGTCTGATAAGACAAGTGTAACTGTCTGCCGTCGACCTTCGAAACATGCGTCAAGTCCGATAGCCACGGTTGATAGAAACTACATGTACCAGAACCCATTCGAGGATGTCAGAGAAGCCTCGCATTCTCAAACGGAATCCAATCCCTTTACGGACCGGCCAGCATCCTCTACTCACTCCACAAGACTGTCGAGTTCTGCATACAGCGACTCTGACGGCCAGCGGATTAATTATACAGAACCTCTATCTGTGACGCCAAAGGAACCGATCATCCACCGTCGTTCCTCAAAGAAACCAAGTATCTCGCAAGAGGATCTGCGTCAGCGATCTTTTGCGGCTGGCAACCTCCAATTGAGGCAGTTCGGTCAGCGACGAGCTGCCATCGAATACAACAGGATGGCAGCGAAATTGCACCTACATCCTTTACCTCTGGGCTGTCTTAATTATCCTATGTGTGGTAAGTGAACAGGGACTGTTTGGTGTTGCGGAGATAGCTAATGAAGTCTAAAGATGACCCTCTCCTCAATGAAGGCCGAGGACCGAAGCGTAAGGATGCTTTCTTGCGCAAGATCCGTAGCATGCGCTCAAGCCTGGCCCTCAGGTCGGCCCAGCGAAGCCCCGGGGGAAGGACTCTGAGGCGGATCAAGACGCTGGCCAACCTGACCAATCGGTCCTGTCAGATGGACTCGCTTAAAGGCAAGAGCCTAGAAACGATCGCTCGTCTGGGAGGGCACAGCTTCCTTACTCTACCTGCGGACTTTGCTCCGTGCACTCTCAGACTGCCTGTCTGTATTGTAGCGACGGCTTCTTATTTAAAATGTTATGGTAACCCTCTCCATCAGAGCTCCACTGGATCCTACGATACAAGCTGACATGGCGTGTACAGCTCCCAAAGCACGAAACATGTTCTTGGACTATGGGGACCTGAAAGCTGCTGCTCGAATGTACGACCATTATGCTAATCAAGTACTGTCCGCTGAGAAAGAGAAGATTAAGATTGACGTGACTATGAGAGAATGCAATCTCCCATCTGATTCGATTGGCTCTGATAAGGACTACCTATTCAATGAAGGATTTCACGTCCGCAGTGTTGGATGCGTTTTCAAGCAATTGTTGGCTGGTTTGCCTGGCGGTATCCTGGGCTCCACAGAGCTGTATCGAACACTAGTTGATATCTACGAGCGACGTTTCTTCGATGCTGAAGTAGATAGTTCTGAGAGCCGCCTCGGTGGCATGTCGTCGGCTGCTTCGATGAGGATTAAGGTCATCACACTGGCAATACTGGCATTTACAAGCGAAATGCAGCTTGCGCTTATCTGTGCAGTATTTGGCCTGTGCACCCTGCTGCTTCATGAAACGGAGCGCCTGGTTGAGATCGAGAAACAGATGATGAGCGAGACATGTGCAGGGGCCAGCCTTGCAGGGCTGTTAGATATGGAGCATCTGGCTCGAGTGTTTGGTCCGCTTCTCACCAGCGCCACTACTTCCGCAGGCCATGATCCCTTTGTCGATATCGAACGGGAAATCCAAGGGGAAAGGGTGGCAGTCATGCTGATCGAGAACTGGCGGAGCGTCAGTAGACAATTGAGGGTGTGGGAGGTGTTCCGGCATCCTGCCGGAGCCGGACGGCCTCCATCGAGGGTATGCGAGGAGAAAGAATAAATGGACAGTGATAAAAGGCAGCTCATCAAAGAACTTCCTGAGGGTCTAGACGATAGTCGGTCTGATTAAAAGGTCGTGGCGGTTATAACAGCTGTATGTGATATTTATATCATTAGAAACGCGTGATGAGTCTGTCCTATCAAAGCTGGAAATCCAAAGAAGTGTTTCCTTTTCCTATACTTGATGCCTTGACCAAAGTAAACGGCCTTTCCTTCCTCACGAGACAGCAGCAAGGGTCTAACTAATCCCCCAACTCCAAAAGTCTTCTCTACACAAACTTGGGAATCCTACTGTATCACATTATACATGTTCATATTCATCACCTGGATAACCTCGTGATCTATAGTAGTAAAATCGAAACAGGAGTTTTACAGAGTAGTTACAATCCAATATCCCATTTGGAATCCAGATTTGACAGCTCTCTTTTCATTCTATGTCCATATATATGAATATATATAAACTATGGATATATATAATGCGTTCTGTGTCTGTCTATCCATCTATCCATCTATCTGTTCACTGCTGCTTCTACCATAGCTACCCTACTGTTTCTTTTCTCCCTGAGATATAGATACGAATTTGCAAATTCGGACTTTACAAAGGGATGTATTTGTTAACTAAGTTACTACTCTGTAGGTAGGTAGGTAGTTAGGTAGTTAGAACCGGATATGATCGACCAGTAGTACTCTATGGGGTGTTAGTATTATTATCCGGACGGAGTACTTAGGTATAGTTATAGAGTACAGATTAGCTAACATACTTAGAATGTGTTAGGTAGGTACTCGGAGTCAGGCTACGATTTAGGTTAGTTGGTTGGTTGGTTGGATTGGATTGGATTTACCGTGTCTGTTTTTTTTTTTTTTTTTTTTTTTTTTTTTTTTTTTTTTTGGGATGTTTGTGATTCTGTTTATGTCTCAGATAATGTAGATACTAAGGTAACTAACTACTTAGTTAGTTACTTAGTTAGTTATTCCGAAATGGTGGTGATAAATGTAATCTAATAAGTAGGAACTTGATACATACGTTCTAGGGACCGAGGAAATCATACCATACAGAAAGAATACTCAGATTACGGGAGCTGGTCACGTCAGATCACATACCTACTTACAGGGTAATTAATTAATTATCTATCTGCTTGCGTAATTCAAGTACGATATGATGATGTTTACGAGTATTTCATTAGATACTTTTCCTTTTCTTTTTTATGTATGTATGTACTTCTTCCCGTCTTTATTTTTATTATGGAGACGGAGACGGAGACCATGGTGTGACGAGGTATGAGCCAAAAAATGAAAAAGGGCAATCAGCGCACTAATCTATGGCTGAGTTGAGACACGCTCCAGGGTCGCACTTCCGGTTTGGGACAGTATCTATCCGTTGAAACTAATAATAATAATTTGTGATCATCGTAGAAAGAAACTCGGATGTGATGATGGTGGTGATGCACGGGGAGGTGGTTCTCGGGAGAAGATGATTATCTATCTATGGTGATTACTCCGTACACTGCCACGCGGCATTGTTCTACTACTAACTACTCCGTACTGTTGCGACATCAACAGCCAAGTTCTAGTTCTAGCTAGGATGAAATGAAGAAAGTTGGTTTGGGTCTGGTGCTGTGCCGCACAACCGTCAACGAGGGGAGGAATAATGAATGGCTGGGAGAGACTGGTTATCGGGTCTCTTGGTATAGATACTAGTTATAGATCGACACGAATCACGCTTGGATGCTGGATAGATTTCCTCCTGCATGGTCCCGCAGTACCATAGACCAATCTGGTCGTGATGATGACAGCGCCTCTTGGTTGTTGTTGAGAAGAATCTGCTCAACAGTGTCAGCACAACTTGTTCCAGCCAAAGAAGGGAGTTCTCTCTGGCTGGCGAGGTAGGACCCGGGACTGCTTGCGAGGAAGCGAAGCTTGGACGCTGGAACAAGCTGCGATAGATACTTTAGCTGACTAGCGAGAACGACTGGGATTCTTAGCGATGGTCTTCCCCCTGTTCGAATCCACTAGAAGGATCCCTAATGGGGAGCAGCTTCAGGGCCCAGCGCGGTAGTCGTCCATCGGGCGTGCTGCAACCTGCACGAAATCCAAGGAAAACCGGACAAGATGGCCTAGACAACATCGCCTGCTGAGAATGTGATTCCATCAAAAACCCACCCAGTCAGCAGTAGTTGATGAGAGTCGCAGAGGTATCCGATCCCCGCCGACAGTCGCACGGAGATGTGACCGGGTGTGGTAGTGGAGGTGCAGACAACAGAGTAGTATCTAGTATCTAGTACTAACTAGAAAAAACCAGAGAAAGAAAGAAAGAAAGAAAAGAGCCTCAGCCAAGGCCGATCGAGAGTATCACTTTTGGCTTGTCCTGCCAGGTTTCTCTGTATGGTATTCTTGGCGCAGCGCTGTCCCTGACAGCAACCAGGCCCTCTTCTGCCCCTCTCGTCCCCGAGACAGCTTGCTCAGGGACAGTGAATCCAGACGAATGGGAAACCGCAAGCGGGGGACGGGCGAGAAGCAAGGCGATCAGCTCGTTTTCTCTTCTTCTGTCTTGTCCATCTCCACACTCGACAGAGATTGTTACCTGTCGAAGGAACTGGCGGGATGATCGAAAGGGACCGCCAAACTGGCCCGCCAAATCCTCCGGGCACGTGCCGATCGCCAAGTGCCCGCGAGACATTCGTCGTTGCAGAGACAGTTCGACCCCGTAACGGACATCGTGCACATCGCGTCTCGCAACTGTCAGACATGACCAGACGGGTCGTAGATATCGCTCGAAACGGGCCCAAGCGGTCCCTGAGACCCCGACCCGACAGCGCTGATTCTGGCTCCAGAATCGCCAGAAGAGGAGAAGGCCACGAGCGAGCTTCCCAGGACGGCAGCGTGTGTTTCACAAAAGAGTCTTCTGCTTCCCAAGATAGAAGGATGCGACAGCAGAGGCTGGAAGGTTGAACGTCAGCTGCAGACGATCATCGAGCGGGATGGAGGAGATAAATGTTTTGGCCTCGTGTGGCCCCTTAATTTGGGGACATGGTCTTTAACTGGTCTGGTTCCCTTTTGTAGTTGATGTTATTTGATTTTATATCCCAATCTGGCATTGTGCTTCTACTTTCGGGTCTCTCTCTCTCTGTTGTAATTGTTCCCTTTTATTATTGTTCTAAGAGGCTGGTCACTCTTTTTGTTCCTCATATCAAGTCCTTCTATTCTTTGATTACGTACGTTTTTCAACATTTACCCCGTTGCTTGCCAACGCATTCAAAAGAAAGAAAGGAAGGAAAATATACGTACCATCTACAGTTCAATAAAGAACCACTTACATCTGAAGACATCTGAAGACATCATGAGACCGGTGACAGTTCTTCCTCTCCTGCTGGCCGTGGCGTCCGCCCGTATAGTCAACTTCAACCGCCGGGCAGACAACCTGCAGACGTTCACAGGCGACCTGGGAGGTGCTGCGCCCGCTGTGACCAACAGTGGTGACAGCACCAGGCCATTCGAAGTCAACGGAGACACTTTTGTCAACGAAGCCGGTGCCCTGCAACGCTCCTGCGACGTGCAGTTTAACACCTGTGCCAACCAGGCCAACGGAGGGGCCAGTTTCTCAGTGGCTCAATGCCAGCAGCAAGAGGGTAAGTATCAAGATGCGCAAGACACAAGCCTGCAGATTGCTGATTTGAAGTCTCTAAACAGACCAATGCAACGCAGCTGCCGGTGCTGCCAAGCGCAGTATAGAAGAGCGTTCAGAGCATATCACGCCTCGCTTCCCCCAGATCCAAGTCAGAGCCAACTCCAACAGCACCGGCAATAATGACCAAGCCAGCCGCGTTGGCAACATCAAGCGCAAGGTCGACTTTGAGAAGCGTAACGGTACGGCTGCGGACTTTATCAAACGCGGAGACATCATCGACAAGCGCAACGACGCAGCGCAGAACGGTCATGCGAACTTCATCAAGCGATTCACCAGCGACATGGAGAAGCGCGCTGGGAACGGAACGGACGCTGCGCAAAAGTTCGGCCAGGCCGCGAAGGAAATTGGCGGTATCGTGCAGGGCATTGGGAACCTCCTCGGCGGCGGCGGCGGAGCTGCTGCTGGCGGCGCTGGCAACAAGGCTTCTGCGCCGTTTGGCCTGAAGCCTCGGAAGACCCACTTCTTCCGTAGCTAGAAATGATTCCTTTTGGCTACGATGTGTTTTCTTTCAAATATGGACCATCAATGTGTGCAATACCCGGGATAGCTGGCAGGAAGCAGCAGTGATAAGGGAGGGAGGCAGTCGAGATGGGGGAGGAACCCGAATGCGTCACAGTAGAGCTGTGATGTGACCGCTGGTTCTGTGAACTCGATTTGCCACTCGTCCTTGGTTATATCATTCATGTATTATAGGGAAGGAAGGGGGAAACTGGACAAACAGGAATCGTAAGAGATCTTTCTTTTTTTTTCGATGTTCAGATGGAAAACGGCCTTGTCTCGCTAGCAGAAAGAACAATGATCGGAAGCCAAAAAAGGGAACTAGAGTAGAATATGGTTCCTGGGACAGTCTGCTGATTGGCACTGAATCCTTATCCGGCCCTATCACCACTTGCAGAACCTTGTGCATTGTTCATGTTCATGTTCATGATCGACGTGGACCATAACTTATCCTCGGGTCCGATAAAGGGGAACGTCACCAGGGCAATAATGGCAGCGTAGAGCAGACAAGACAGTTCGTTCGCGATAGGTAATAATCAGAGAAAAAAGCAAGAAAGGGCACGAGGGACGTACTCTGACTCGCAAGATGCATGGCATTGAGCGATCCATCGATCGATGGATAGTTATGATGTGACAGTACTCCACAGGTAGCGTCACTTGTCGCGTTCCGTAGAGACATGTTCTTTTTTTCAAGGACAGATAAGAATATGGCAATAGCAAAAAAGAAATCGGGTCGAGATTCTAGAAATCTGCCTGGGAATTCGACGAAAGTCGCTCTGTCTACTCTCTAGAGTAGCATATGCGCTCGCTGGTTCTCTCTTTCTCCCTGTGCGTTTGTGGAACTTGGGTGGTTCCTCAACGTCTTTGCATCATGGCTTGTTTTTCCCTTTTTCCACATGTTTGTGACTGCAGTAAGTACTTGCATCCATGCAGAGTGAAAAAGTCAAATCATCTTTTTCTTTTCTTTTTTTTCTCTCCGCATTTGGGGAACAGCCATTGATCCTCTACTTACAACTTTTCAACGCTTCTTGGCAAGGAGAGCGGGGATCAACTGTCCTGCAGATTGATGGGCTGCTCTAATGTCGATCATGACTTCAACCACGCTGGGAACAAGCGATCAAGCGAGGATAGTTCATATCTCTCTCCGTTCGGTAGACGAGGCCGCGCAAATAACTTTCGAGAGGATAACACAGCCGGACGACACACTCCACTTTTTTTACAAGTTCCCCCCCGTCTAAGAAAGTATGGTAGAGTAGTTGTCAGTCCGATCGTGGTTTAGTAAACCAGCCACTACGTCGTAACTAGTGGGTACTGTTATGTGTTCTAGACGTTCAACGTTTTCGTATAGATCCTGTTTGAGAGGGGAGAATTGAGGGCGAGGCCGTAGGTCAAAAAGGGAATTGTTCCATTTGTCTAGCTGCAGCTATGATTATTACCTCTCACCGAGATGAAAAAGGAGGAAAAAGGAATCAGAAAAGAGAGTTCGTAGACGCGTTCGTCAGCTTGTTAGCCACTGTGATTTGTTGGTAGTGGTCGTCGTCTATCCCTTTTGCCGTATGAGAACCAAGAATTCTCCGAAAGGGAAATCGACAGCCAGTTACTTAGTTGGTGCAGCCAACTTGCGATTGAACTACTAACTACAGTATGGTATGGGATTCTGTGTCTGGTCTTGGTCTGCGGGGTTGCGATCTCCACGGCCAGACCAGTCCGTGTGCGGTGGCTGAGTTGGCAGCCTGAGGACAGCGGGTATTATGAGCTTGAGAGAGGTTTCCTTGTTTTGACCTGGAGAAGTTGGGATAACGCTCTCTGCGTTGCCCAGTTTTCGAGTGGAGAAGAGTGATGCCAAGCGACCAGTTCATGGGTCTTGTTAGCTATTGTTACTACCCTGACTAACTGAGACTCTACTCCCGTGTTATCATTGTGCGACTGTGCGACTGTAGATGTTCCTAGAGTAGATAGATAGGGCAGAATAGAGTATGGTAGAGTAGAGGAGAGAAGTCGAATCAAGTTCTTGATTCCTCCGCTGTCCGTATCCGCGCGGAGTCACGGTGGGCGGGCTTGACGTCGATGCTGGCCAGTAATTGCCTGGAAGCTATTGGAGCGGTGTCGAGTCCAGGCTGAAAGATGGAGAAGAAATAGAGAAAGAAAAAAGGACAGGAAAAGGAAAAGCAAAAGGGCGGAGAGGATCTGCAGTTGCAGCAGTTCGTCTCTTCTCTCTCTCTCCAGGCGACGGGGATCATTCGGACCAGTTGAACAAACGTTTTTGCCACCACCAGCCCTATGATTGTTCTGACTGCTGCGGTAACGTTCTCCGGAAATTTGATCTTGACTCGTCTCGTTGTCTTGTCTTTTTTTTTTCTTGTACTATAGTCTTCTCGTCAAGCCAACCCCTGGACTGACAGCGCCGCCATCCAGGGTTCCGTTGCGGCGGGTATTCCTCCCGGTCTTGATCAGAGGGCGGCCTCTGCGCTAGATAGTAGACTGCTGGATAGTGAGTCTACTCTATTCTATTCTACTCTACTCTACTCGACTCTCCTTGCTCTTTCAAACTGCTGAACCGATCCTATCACCGCAGTCCTGCTTCTGTATCCGTGGTCGCCAGACGGCCCCTACGCTCAGTACCAGACCTGACAAACCCATGAGTTGAAAGACCTTCTCTGTCCTCTGCACCACTGAGACAACTGATAACCGGACGCGGTGGTTTGCCTGGAATGCCAGACAGCAACATCGATCTGGTTCGGCGCCGTTCTCGTCGATCCCCACCGGTCGTGATGTCAGTGACTGCGGCAGTCTGGACTCTCAACTAAACTTGCCCGGTGGATCGTGCTCTCAAGTCCTCTACCATAGAGTCTCTCGAGACTCGAGAGAAACTAACTAACTATCCTGATCGCCTTTCCGATCGCTCGCCCTGCGGATTTCTTTGTCGCGCCAATGACTCCGGTCCGTGCGGCCCCTTCGGAGCGACTACTAGGCCAATGATGAGTTGCGCGGGGGAGCAAGCCAGATACGAAGCAGAACAGGAGATGAGCTTCTCGAGGCTTCGGAACCCTTGGGTCCGTTGCCTGTTACGGCCAGCATCCCCCTCGCTGTGCCTCCTTGAAGCTTGGGATCTCCTACCGGTCCGGGATGGAGTTGGGGATGGCCTTCTGGGACCAGGAGTGCCTTGTAGATCCACGACGTCACAGAGTCCAGTTAGTACTTAAGATGAATACGAAACATCAAGTCAAATCCAATCCAATCCAACGCTTGGTTCGTGGTTTTCTTATTGCAGACAAGAGAGCTCCATCTCCCTCTCTCTCCCCTTCTACTCTCCCCCCAGATATAATATTAAATCACTCCCAACAAATCCAAACGGGCCCTCGTTGCTGAACCCGGTAGTCCGCCCATTCCAGACCAGACCAGACCAGACCATAAGTGATTATTACCATAAACTCCATTGAACTATACGGAACCAAACCCAGAAATCTGCTCGATCCAAGATTCACAATCATTGTTATTGTTATATTAACAGGCCGTGTGTCTCCTGTTAAATTAAACCTGGTGATCCACGGCTGCCGGCAGAAACTCAACTCAACTTCCAACCATCAGGTGCTTCGACAGAGCTATCCGGCATTCCTGCAGTCCTGTCTAGACCTGGCTGGTTCCTCTTCCGTGCTTTTCCTGGCTTTTCTGCTCCAGACAAACTCGCATTAAACCGACAGGCGCTGCTGCAGCCTAACCTTGATCGCTGCTCCGACGTGGCTGCATCCCTGGCTGGCCATCGCCTTCTCTCGCGGTCCTGCCAAACTCCCACTGCAATCCCAAGGTAGAAGCCGTCCAGCCTACCGCGTTGGCCCTCCGGCTGCATCGCCCCGGCTCTCCTTGCAATTCCCTCCCTCTCTCTGTGGCAGCGGGCGGTGGTTTGCTTGGCCGTTTTATCACCTGCAATTGACCGTGGTATAACGGCAGCTCGACCGCCGTCGTCCTGATTTCCTCTCCACCTCGACCATTACCACCACCATCAGCATCTCTCCCCATCCACGGTCTGGACACGCCGTATCAAATCTCCGACGCTCCTGGCGCTTTGAAGACCAACGTGCCGTGGAACCATCCATCAGGTCCAATTACCTTTTTTCTGGCCTGCCCACTTGCCATCTTCACCCCAGCTCAATTCGATCGATCTACAAGCTAGCTTCGTTTCGTTTCTCCGTCTCGAAATTCATCCTCTTATCCCGCTGTGGTGTCGGTTGAAACCTGTCTGCCTGTCGTCCTTACGCTACGAAACGAATTTAGCCAGCAGAGAGACTACGGACTCTCAAGTATACACTGACAGCTCTGGAATCGGTGAAAGAAAAGAAAAAGCTACAAGAGAACTCCGCCGGGATCAAGACTACATGTCGACACTCAACATGCTGGCTGAACAACCAACGTTCGCTGGATCGGCCTTTGCCAGTGCCGATACCGTCAATCCTATGGCATCCTCCTTTGAAACAGGAACAGCTTTCCCGGGGGACTTCCTCGGTCTGTCATTGCAGGACGATGACAATGTCTGGAATCTCAGCCCGACCTCGCCTACGCTGGGGTCGTGGAACCCCAAGACAGAACCCGCCTTTGTGAACCCGAGTCTCGAGCGAGATCTGAAGAACTCGCGGGTGCGCAATGGACAGCCGACCCCTCCCCCGTTCGAAGACAAGAAGGCGGTTGCTACGGACGACTTGTTTGCCATGAGCTCCAGCTGGGAGGACTCCATGATGAAAACTGCCAACAGCCGCCAGCGACGGAGCACCAGCGATTCATCAGAGAGCAGCGGGACGAAGCGTCGCAAGGTCCGCGAGCACAAGCAGTCCTCCAGCGGTCCCGAAGACGAGTCGAAGCACGACAAGGCAAAGCGGGAGAAATTCCTGGAGCGGAATCGACTGGCGGCCAGCAAATGCCGCCAGAAGAAGAAGGAACATACGATGCTGCTCGAGTCCAAGTACAAAGAACAGTCGCAGAAGAAAGAAGAGCTGGTGGCCGAGATCGCGCGCCTGCGGTCGGAGATCCTGGGTCTCAAGAACGAGGTGCTCAAGCACGCCCAGTGCGGGGACGAGCCCATCAAGCTCCATCTGGCGCAGATGGTCAAAAGAATCACCTACAACGACACCGCTGAGGGCCACGACCCAGCGGACCCGGCTGACGTGACCGACTCGACCACATCCCCATCCATTCACGGTGCCATGTCGTTTGGCTTCGACGATCCCTTGCAGCTGGATCCCTGTCAATCAGCAGATTTGGAGCAGCAGCTCCGTCGGGAATCCGATGCGTCCCTGGTCTTCTCGACCGACGATAACTTTGATGACCTGATTAACGTATAACATGTTTTGCCCTCTTTGGGGACAAGCGTGCGCCACAGGAGACACGTGATAAGTAGCGCACGTGTTTCTTCCCTTTTCGGGTCTATATACGACAATTATCCTTTTTAATCAATGTCATTCTCCTCCTTACGTTCTCGGGGCCGGTTTATTCCAAGGCGTTATGTGTGCTGCTGCGTTTTATTTTTTTTCAAGCCCGCGGACAGGAACACGGAGGCCATCTATTCTCTCACTTTGGACGACTGATGATGATTTTTTGTTTTGTCTTTTTGAGATGTGCATAGTCCGAGGTCTATGGAGTACGGCGCAAAAGGGATACTGGAGGATTCGCTTCAGTGGAACACGAAAAGCTGATTGTCTTGCTATATCCTCCATGGGGACTTGCTTTTGCTTACGAGGCTTCTCTGCTATACTGTCTTTTCCGAGTTGCTATGAGCATCGGAGGATGAAGCTTCGCATATTATTTACGAGGACTGGATCACTCGTAACGAAAACATTTTTTAACACGAACACGCTCATTGAGAGCCGACCACTCATGGCATCTCAATGGAAGCGAGGAAAAAGGGACGTCACAGGATGCGCATGACAGAGCACACGCACCACTACAGTTCGACATGCTACCTTTGTCTTCGTTGATGCAGCTATGGTGGATTTATCTGACTATCCGCGTCACTGCTGCCGCCATTTCTATCGATGCTCTCTGTCTTTTGTACATTCCAACGCTGACCAGCTAGCGCCCCTGCTACAGATTGTCAGTCGAGATTGAATTGGACAGGGATGGGTTCATGCGATGTGAGCATATGGTCATGACAATGCTTGACCACGAGGAATGTGTATCCTACGCCTTTCCTTCTTCTTATAATAATAATATATGTATCTTATATGTAGCAAATATGTGCGACGACCTCCTAGTTCCTCTTCTGTGACCTAGTCTGGTTAAACTAAACCGCCCAAAATTATCTATTGGCCGGTTCGGTTCAGGTATTCTCTATAAATATGACAATTCAAGTGTTACTGGCTATTTACTGTGAAAGGCTAGCGAAATATAATAAAATAAGAGACTTCTCTCTATGCTACGGGAACTTCATCTTCTTCTTCATCTTCTCTTTTTTTTTCTTTTTTTTTCCATAGGTAATAGTGATAATAATCCCGATACAATGTATTGTATTGAAATATTGTCTATTAAGCAGCAGCAGCAGCAGCAGCAGCAGCAGCAGCAGTAGTAGTAGTAGTAGTAGTAGTAGTAGTAGTAGTAGTAGTAGTAGTACTACTACTAATGTACAGTACAGTATATTTTCAGGAAATGACTCAAGTTTAAAGGTAGAGAACTATGATAAATTCTGAATTTCGTCAAGGTTATAAAATTAAATTAAGTAAATAAAACTAGAGATACTCTATAACTATAGCAATAACCTCTAGTTATCTTCTATTATCAGTAATAACTAATTCATATCTTATTATAAAGTCCCATCCTATCTGTTAACTTTTCACTTAATAAATCTGGCTAGTCGGTCGGTCGATAACGATAAATTATCTAAGGTAGCGATTCGCAGTTCGCTATTATGGAATTTTTAGTAAGTTACCTATATAGGAATAAATAAATAAATCAGATTTCGTTCTTAGCAAGTATTGGTTTTACTCTAAATATATGTATATACATATACATAATAGTAAGAAATGTAATTTTCAGTTCCTTCTGAATCCTTGGTAAATCCCTCCCGTCGACGTGTTTGACGGGGCGAAGGCAGGACTATGTTCCACGTTGGACGGAAGAATGGGGGGCAATCTGTTATAAAGCTTTGATCTGTATTGCGCGGAAAGTTGATGACATGGCCTCTGGGTTTTGTATGTATGTACTGTACATACCTGACGCACTTCTACGAAGAATATGAATTTGGGCAATAAGCATCTCCTTCGACCTGCGTCAGCTTAGGAAGCTGCGGCGTAACGCTCGGGTCCATCCATCCCATTCCGTGTTTCGTACAGAGGAGTATAGTATCATTGCCGCGGGAGTCCCTCGCACACAGCGGTCACAGATGCCAGTAGGCCTCACCTTCATGGACCATCGCTCATGGTAGACATCACAGGTTCGCATCGTGGTTGTTCCTGCATCCGGAGATAGAACCCGCGGAGATTCTCCTAATCGTCAGCAGACAGGGCTGGTTCATCCGCAGGGATTGTAGTGTCAAAAGAGGGGGAACTGGAGGCACTACTAAATACTGGCAAATGGTCAGATACAGAAACTGAATCCCCCCAAGGCTCCATAATCTCCATGATGAACACCCGCTACACCTTGACCACCCCGGATATCACGGATATCATTGTAGATTCGAGAATTCTTATTCAATATCTGAAAGGAGTGTTTTTCGGATCCGCTAAACCTGTGACCCTTGGGGAGAAGGCCTTGGAAGGTCATTGAGATGGCGCGCGGGCTGGACTACCACTGGGAGTGCCAGCACGAACCGACGGAAGGAGATTAGGCGTTGAGCACTCGTATAACAGCTTGACGGACGGAAGTCCCTTGAGTTGAGAGTAAACTGCGTATGATCCCTGAAAAACAAAACCAGTTGAACTAGTCTTGTAGACCCCGTCGAGTGTAAGTCCAACGTTTGGACTTAGCGAACGTAGCCACCCCATGAGATTGCGCAACTCCTGATCCGAGAAATCTCGGTCTACTTCAATGCCAAATACAGCACGAAGAGCAGGTGGGCCGGAAGGACGTAGTCCTGGAGTTGAGCCGGGGAAAGGGAGACGTGCAGATGTTACTCCGAGAGGCACTACATGCGTTGGCTTCCGCTGCGGCGATTCGGCTCTTAGGATGGCAATCAGCTCAGCCATGTCGATTGTCTCGCGACCCATCTCTTTCAGCTGGGCGATATTCGTTGCCAGTTTGGCAGAGAAGGATATACGCTGACCAGGTATAAACGCACCAGGAGCGTTCGCGTCCACTGCCGCAAGGATATCAACCGAGCGCTTAACAGGCTTCGTACTCTTAGTGGCAAGGTAACTGTAGCAGCAATCGAGGACGATAACCACATCAACCAAAGCATCGTAGGAAAACATCCCTTCTGCCACGAACTGGTCGATCAGCAAGTTGGTATTTATCGTTTTGTTGCCCGACGCTGACGTGAAGAACAGATTGTCATGAGGACCAACTGTCCCGTGACCCGTGTAGTGTATAAAACAGATGCATCGGCCTTGAGGAGAGTAGTTTAAGGCCGCTAGAAACATTTTCGTTGCCTTCTCTTGAAGTGTCCACCCAGGGGCTAGGTCTTTCTTCTCGAGGGTGAGGATGACAGGGGCAGGAAAACCAAAGGCAGCAAGGAAATCTCGAAAGTTGTCGCAATCTCTCTGTGCCTCCGTATTGTCCTCCTCCCACCTTACGTGGAGAGCGAAGGACTTCGAGTAGACCTTGCCATGTTGGTCGACAGCCTTCTCAAGAGAGTGACGAAACTGGGTTTCGGTGAGCTGGGTTTGAGACTGAGGCTGAGGCGGAGGCTGAGAGTGAGAGGAAGACTGAGAGCGAGAGTGAGAGTGAGACATGGTAATGTAATGTCAGGTGTATGGACAGTTGTGATGGTGAATATGTTATAGACTTCAAACTCGACTTCTGAACTGATGGCTTGAGGGAGGTGAAGAAGGAAGAATGCGAGAAGAGAAGAGAGGGGGGTATGCGGGCCTTATATATTCAGAATCCTGAGGACTATTCCCCTTCATCGCTTGAGTAGACAAAGTGAATAGTTCCTACATGACGGTTAATCCCAACTTGAGACGCGTAGTAGTGAGTGGCTAATCCCAACTTGACTGTATGTGAATACTACCTACCTACTGTGCTATAGGCACTAGTACTGATTGGGCATCCTGTAGCCAGAGCCATCAACGCATCAGCTTTGTGTCGGATTCCAATCTCTGTATGAAGCCAAGCTGCACCTGTTTGCTAGCTATCCGAGACAATGGATATCACCGCCTACAAACAAACTGTACCATGGCTCAACTCCGTGATACGGGTAGGAGGGTGTAACCATGTCTCAGGCAGCAGCATAGGAAGCTTCAGCAGGATATCCGGGTCTAGGAACATAACTATCAGATAGATTCCGGTGTTTTTTAGATAGCAATTAAGCAATAGAGAGTTTTTACCCTCACCTACATGTTGAGCAGGAATCTTTGCGTCCGTGATCCAACGCTCGACACTTTGCAGCCTAGTAATCTACCGCTATATAGTATAACGGGAAGTTCTATAATATTCTGCCTACATAAATATATATACTGACCATGTGTCAGATCCCGCGGTTCCTACAGGGGCGAGCTGCAAACCTTCTGCGCTCCGCTGCTGTGTTCCCTATACAAACCGGATAGCAGCTGCAACGGGAAGCTACCTAGATCGACCTGCATGGAATCAATAAAGACGGGAGTAGAACCATGGAACAGTTTAATTAATTAGATATTCAGCTCAGCTCAGAACAGCCGACGCATTGGGATAGAGTCGAGGAGCATCATTAGCTGATAGATTCCGGTGTCAATTAGTTCTTCAAGCAATCCAGAGATCATTCCCTTTTCATATGCTTTCTCAGAATCTTTGCTTCCGTGATCCTAGATCTTCACACCATGTAACTTATGCCCGTTAATTAGATTTAAATACCGTAGTTGACTAACCCCACCTGGCACTTTTGTGCTTCAGAATCAGATGGTCAGACTACAGGAAAAGAAGATATACTGACTTAAGTGTATCTATAAATAATGGCTCTGTTTCTAATCTAGAATTTCATCGAACTTGACGTTTCCATCTACGTCCTCTGAAACGGCAAAAGTCCGCCATCCAGCTGCTGGTACGGCAAAATGCTTATCGTCCATAATATGGGTGAGAATGCCACCATGAGAGACAATAACGATATCGCGCCGTCGATCTCCATTGCGATCCAACTCCTTGAACTGCTCGATCAAACGGCGTCGAACATTACGAGCCCGTTGATCGAGAGATTCTTTGTCCGGTGCATATGGCCCCTCTTTCACATACCAGTCTGTTGTCAATTTTGCCAGAGAGACGGTAGGGAAAGAAGCTTGTAACACTTTGATCTCGGATCCTGTGTCGCATGGTCGATCGGAGTGTGCCTGCAACTCCGGATCGAGAAGCAATGGAGCTCCATTTGGTATGCCTTCATTAGAACCCTGAATAAAGGCTTGCTGATCGATAATATCCCGGAACCCTTCGATCGCAGTATGAAGGGTGCGACGTAAAGGAGACGTGATAACCAGGCCAACGTCCTGTTTGTAGGGAAATGTTTGGTTGAGTCTTTTCGATTGTTCGATTCCGTTGGGCGATAGTTCGGGATCGAGAATGGTTTTGTCGTGGTGGATGTTGTGGACTCCTTCCGCGTGTCGAATTATATGTACCCGGTTGACCATGACTGAGTGGTAGGTATGTACCTGATAATATCGAACTAATTGAAAGCCTGGCGTTCAGTATATATAGATCGTAGAGAAAGAAAATAACAGGAGAGGCTGGGAAAGACTTAAAGCCCTAGTAACTTATAATATGTGTCGCCGTTTAAGTATGCTATAATAATAATAATTCCAACCTCTATCCCGGTGTGAAAGCTAGTCGCATATAAAATGGCCTAAAATTACGGCCGTGTGCTTTTCAGAGGATAATAGCAAGCCATTACGTGGTCACCGGAGCGGCCAAATGAATATTCTCCACCGTGGGTGTTAGCTGCGGCTGTCTATCTCTGCGATTGCGTGTGGAGCCTGGGATATCGCTGCTGAAGAGGGTGCAGAACATACTTACAGGGGAAGCAGGCAGGAGATTCATGTCTGGTCGACCAGGTGGGGTCTGGGATTCAAAGAGGACACAGAAAGAAAAAAAAAAAAAAAAAAAAAAAAAAAAAAAAAAAAAAAAAAAAAAAAAAAAGCTTCGAAGACGAAGAGACAGCAAGAGGCGAATTGATATAGATTCAGCTCACAAGGAGAGCTGGAGTTGTCGAGAGAAGATGGGCTCGGTGCGTCCCTCTGAGATCTCGCTTGTGGGCCGCTACTGTGATAATCTGACGTCCTGTATACTACTTCGGTAGGCCGTGGGCAGACGATCGCTCAACGCTAAAGAGTCCTACAGCAATTCGCGGTTCGCAGTGATTCTTTAAGATCAGAAATTTGATCTACTGCTTGCAAATTGTACCGCATGATGGTTCTCTAACTGAAATTGCATCTACTCGAGGACCAAGAAAGAATTGAAGGAATGGAAGGTAACCTTCCGCCACTGCGGCATAAGTTGCATACTTACACCATCCAGGTGAGATCTAGCGCGTGACGCGGTCGTTAATGTTAGACTATGTATAAAGGCCGATAACGGATCATCCCTGAGATCAAACCGTAAGATATCATATTAGATATAGTCTAGGCTAGGCCGTGCTAATTTGATGCCTAATTTTTGTGCTCCAGATAGACGCTAGTTGAGTATCCTAGCTTACGTGTTTCTAGTTTCCTGTTAACTATCTCATGTGGCTATGCAAGATGCTAAGATTGGAATATATAAAAAGGGTTGGAAGTGGGCAGTGCTCATTAGAAGATCCGCAATCTTAGAAGTTATAGGGGACTATTCAGCTATGACGACCAGAGGAGAGAAACGAGATGGTCTTATCATGTCTAGTGTGTAATGTTAGGCGCGAGTTAGGATAGAACAATTGATATATTGGGTGTGAGGATGACGGTATGTCACTTTGACCTGGTGTAGGTGTATATTGACTGCCTAAACTAATGCTGGGATATGGAAAAAGACGTGGACCTTATTCGAAAAAGAAGTCTCTCGAAAATAATTCAGACCAACCATGCTTCCCGCGTTGCAGAGGTGATCTCTCTGCTGGGACCTCCGCTCGCTCGAATTCCTCAAACGGAGTGAAGACAGTTTTTTGAATTCTGGGATAAAAAACGGTACCTCAATCCATACAAGTATCCGGTTCCCGTTAGTTACTAGTATGAAGCCTCAAGAGACCTGGTAAAACGCCGTTCCGAATGACAGAAAAATGTCTAGAAAGTTGCGAATCGCGCCTCGAGGGCGATAGTAAGAGATTTTTCCTGCAGTTTATATACGGAAAGTTCTACACTGGCTGATTACAGAGAGACCGACTGCGGGAGCTGATGAGCGGGTTCAGGGAAATGATTGTTGAACAAGGTGCATTTTAAGATATATTAGAGCTGATTTATTTCGATTCCTGTTGAAATAAATAGTTGTTTGTAATATTTTAGCGATTCAAGTAGGATAGAAACTCGGACCTTTTCACCTCCGATTTCAGTAATCAGAGCCACTACCTACCTATGTAAACTCCGCTTGCCTCGGCCCAATCTCCCCGCACGCGTTAATAGGCGTATTTGGCTTTCTGAACAAATGCGTCATGTCTGACGATCTAGAATAAATGGATTAATCTGTAATAGCTTCGGGGGAATATTCAGTGCTGTGAGTAAACCATATGCCACGTCATCGAAGTATAACTTACTTATTATATGGGAGTTGTTTCTGAGAGGAGTTGGCTTTGCGGGGTAGAGATTATCTTGTCTATTTATTTCAAGAAACATCCTTCTCGTGATATTCTGTCGTAACAATATCTGGATATTTTGATCTACTAGTTCATCAATCACTGACTTGATTCTAAACGGAAACTGGAATAAACCTCCTATAATGCCGCTATACGAGGTAATTATCAATCCGTTCCCTCGTCCCTTAAACCTTACCCATCTTCCAATTATTCCCATTGCCTACTTTCTAACTCCTCCTTCTGAGCTAGATCTATCATTCCACCCCCCTGACAACTATCCAAAAATCCCACCTGGCCCAATCCATCACATCCCTCCACAGCACAACATTCCGCACCCCCTCCCTCTTCGTAAATATTCGCTTCGTCGCCTCTGAGCCTGCTGGCGACTACTTCGTTGCCGGAAAGCCGACTCAGCCTACGTCTCCGAATCGCATCGTTGCGATGGTGCGTACGGGCGGGCCGGGACGGTCGAAGGAGACATTTGATGAGGTGGCGAGGAAGATCGAGGGAATTTGGGAGGACGTTGTTGTCAACACGGACGGAGGAGAGAAGGGGAGGAAGTTGCATTTTATTGTCTTTACGACGATTTTGGCGGCGGTGGAGAATGGGGTTGTTATTCCGGGGGTGAGTCTGCATTTTCATGTCTTTCGTTTGTGGTTTTGGATGGTGTGCTGGATGGATTCCTGCTGATGATACGTATCTGCGATAGGCGGGTGAAGAGGGTACTTGGCTGAAGAGTAATATGGCTTATTTCAGAGAGCAGGCAGAGGTGGGTAGGGATGAACATTTCAGGGATATGCTGCAGGAGATAGAGGAGAGGGAGGATTTGAAGGGTTTGGTGTTGTGATTGGTATATAGAGTATCGATCTATCATGTCTATCGGAAATAATATTTTAGTAAAATATATGACCCTCTCTAGAAATCGAACTGCAAGAGATGCATATTGCGCGCTGTGAGATTCTATAGATGAGACGGGGGACTCCGGAATCACGCCAAATGTGACGTTGCGATGCGAAATGTAACTGCTAATGAGATTACTCCTCGTCGTCGGCCTGCTGATTTCCCGGTGACTTCGGAAATAGCAATGGTTCTTGATGTCTGGTCAGTACAATATTCTCAGCTTGCACGGGACAACTTACCATCTTCTTGCGGTTCTTCTCCCGGCTTATTGGCTGAAGGTATGGCGTGGTATACAGCAGGCTCAAACATGGCGTTGATCTCCTCCAGCGTCTTGCGCGCGGTTTCCTTAACGCAAAAGTAAACGAAGGCGAAAATGAACACGTCAAATATTCCGAACAGAAGAAACGTCGCCCATCCCAGGCCGGACATGATATAAGGAGTGCTGAACGACCAGACAAAATTGAACAGCCATTGTGAGCCAACGCCCAGAGCGACGCCTGGCTCTCGGATGCGTGTTGGGAAGATCTCCGATGTGCATGGCCATGGGAGCGGGCCCCATGATAGATTGTAAATGCAGATGTCGAGGTAGATGAGCGAGACAGTAAGAATCCCAGCGGGTGTAATGTGTCCATCACCTGGTGGCTGATGCGTCTTGACCACCGCGGAAATAACAAGCATACACACGCACATCAATGCTGCTCCCACCATGAGGACTGGACGGCGGCCAAACCTGTCAGAGATGAAAAAGACAAAGATGCCACATGAAATGACCTTGATGGCACCGAAGAATCCAGTCAGCAGCAGGTCCTGGTCACCTGGGCCTGTGAGAAGTGAGAAGAATTGCGGTCCAAAGTACGCCAGCGCTGTCGACCCTGTCGACTGTTGAGCCATGAAAAACCCAAATCCAATGAGTAGCCTGTGAGCGTTGTGCCATTCGAATAATTCCTTCAGGCTGAGTCCGGCCATGACGCGTCTCTCCTCTTCTGCGCCTTGCTTCATCTCCATGAGCTCCGTCTCAACTATCTCGGAGTCACTAGCACGGAGCCACACGAGACTCCTCCATGCTTCGTCGTAGCGTCCGTTGGCCACCAACCATCGCACACTCTCCTCCAGGGTCAGCACGCCGAGGCCCATCAGTGCGCCCGGGACGATCTGGAGGCCAATTGGGATCTGCCATTGAATTGCCGATGGCTTCATATATTTAACGCCGTAATCAATCCAGTAGGATGCGAGAATACCAATGGTGAACGAAAACTGGTAGCAACTACCTAGTCGACCGCGAATATCCTTTGGTGATGACTCGGCCATGTAGATTGGCGCGACTGTCGAAGAGCCTCCGATACCAAGTCCACAAATGACACGGCCAAGGTAGAACGCTGAGATGGAATGCGTATTGAGTGTCTCAAGCACAACCCCAATGCAGAAAATGAGCGAACACGCCATGATTGCTGGCTTTCTTCCATATCGATTGGTAACCGGCCAGATGGCGAAACAGCCCACCAGAGCACCAGCCTGCTGGATGCCCACAGCGATCGAGCTGACTCGAGTTGCTTCCGACTTTGCATAGCTGAAATCATTCGCAAACTGTTCGAATGTTAAAACTCCGCCTGGGCAAATGTCAGCGATGAACATCAATACAGAACGGGGGCTACATGCCTATTACTCCAGAGTCATAGCCATATAACATCCCTCCACAGCACAGGACTGCAGCCAGCCAATAGATGCGAAAGCTCTCCAGCTTCATTTTAGCGATCAGATAGATCTCTACCCGGATTACTGGCCAGAATTAGCCTTCATGCAACGGTGGTCGACAACAAGGAAGCGACTAAAGCTGGTCGCATCGCAAGTTGCTTCGACGCTGACTCCGACGGCCTTAAATGCGAGACGGCGACATAGGATCACTCTTGATATAGCACGTTGATGCTTGTTACCTTCTACCTTCACATCTGCATTTGTTCCCGACAAATGTTTAAGCGACTTGCTCAGATCATGTCCCGTATTTGATGCGATAAAGGGGCCATATCTGATCCGGGCATCGGTTAGTTATGTCATCGAGATAGCGTCGCGTCGATCCACGCGGCCCATCGCATTCCATTTGTCTTTGCAGCCGACGGCCGATGTCGATTTAGAGCTGATGTTGCAAGATCGTGGGGGAAGCACGCCAGCTTGTTTCATCTTCGCAGCGCATTCGTAAGCTTATCATAAGTTATGGTAGATCCGATACGCGTGGCTTGACTGGGTCAAAGAAAGACATCATCTGAGGTACCCAGCAAGTATGTACTTAGCCATTCACCGTTGATCATTCATCCATCAAGTATCGAGGATTGGAGCAGCACCCCGTCCTTGTCTGACTGTGTCAAATATCCGTGAAGAGTCCTCGTGGCTTTGTGAATTGTGAAGTGACTTGGCCAAAAGACGGAGGTCTCCGCAGTGGATGAAACCGTGAAGCAGCTCGATGAAGATCGACCCACTACAGATATATCTCCTACTTCTTCCTCCTTAACTATTTTATTTTCATAACCATTCATACACAGGACTCCTGCGTATATGAGAACTCCAGAAAGAACTTCATCAGTAGTACGATATATACACCTTATGTGCCTTTATATACACGCTTCTGCAATCAATCTATCCCCAATAGATGTCGTTAAGCCATTCAAGATAATCCTTAGAAGGAAATTGAAAGCAACGTGGTTCTTGATGCAATCGCGAAACTATGATATATACAGCACTTCCAGCTCACTGGTGGTGATTGTTTTGCTACCGCTCCTAGGGAGGAGAATTTCTTCCACGGTCACATCACCACCACTATTGTCGTCATCACTGCCTGTCATACAGTGATAGAATAGCCTTATCTATTCAATTGTAATTCCAGTCCCTCAATTGATTGTACGACAATGGCCTCTCGAAAGGGAGACCCCTCAAAGAAAGGAGGCAATTCCAATTTGCCGTCCAAAGGTACGGTAAGTTCAGGGTCAAGGAATCTAAGCTCTCGCATATTTGACTAATAGTCTAACAAAATCATCAACCAGGGGCTTGCCCTATTAATTGGTACTATGTCCATTAAGATCTGGAACCCCTATCATCAGCTCAGATGTTTGAACTCATTTCTTCGTTCCTTTCCTTCTTTGCCTGTTTGTACGGGTGTTTTCGTGGGGCTCCCACAGCCGTCAAGACTAGTATCCTCTTTTCATCACAACCGCAAATAAGTTCACCATTTCCTTATTGATCCCTATATATCGGATCTAGAGATTCTGCTAGTTTGAACCTAAATATGAGAGCTGCTGTTGTTGGTTGTCTTGTCCTCTACTTGAGAGTCATCGTGAACAAAGCCAAAAATATGTTGACGACCACGGGAATATTGTATCCGACACCCATATCATTTTATAGCACAACAGACGTTCGACCAGGATTATGCTAAGTGGAAGCAAGAGCGACAAGCATAGGAATGGAATCTCTTTATCGCCAACAGGAGTCACCCTGGTATAATCTGGCCGCAAGGAACTACGACCCGCAACGCTGAATCCGTCGATAGGGAGGAGGCCATATAGGATGAGGAATGGGACGGTTTCGGACAGACGAAGGCCAAGACTAATGAGGTCTTCGCGTGGCTATGGCGTTTCTCTACTTTAAAAGTTTTTTATTTGTGACCAAACAACGAGGACGTTGTTTTTCTCAAACGGGGGGAGCTGGCCCTGATTCTGCCAGGGCTCATCGCCCCTACAGTATTTAGGCAGCTACAACAGTATCTTAATAGGATCATCACTTGACACCTTGCTTTCATGGCATCATCCGGGTCTAGCCCGACCATCTCCATAACAGTACCTCCAAAACATACTCCTATGTTGATGAAAACGGCGCGATGACATCGGAGAGCCGTGCCGGGCTGTCTGGTTTTGCTCAGGAGGGATAGGGTAGATATAAACTAGTTGCAGAGACTCTGGGCGACGTCTATCGGGATCTATTATCTTCATCAGAATTCTGCACTATCCTCGTTAAAATTAGATTACTAACGTTGTCCTGATTCATCCCCATCCCAAGCACGATGAAGTGACTCCGATGTTCAAAAGTTTCTGGTACATCACTCTCCGAAGCGTCAGCTCTACATAGATCTCGACGCATATGGCACAGGATTCTCCGCGGTAGACCACTTCGAGTTTACCGAATACCTTCCAGCCTCACTGAAACCTTCCCGTCTTTTAAGAATATAAATTCTCATCCATATAGGAAACTTACTTGATATCAAGATCTAGAGGGGAAGCTTCTCCCAATTCAACTGAAACGTGTGGGTCGGAATCCCTCCTACGGCATCTCCACCGTCGAATGCGATTCCATACCTCGTTCGCTTTTTCGATGAACCAAACCGTGGTGCTGAAGATGGCGCAGATCGCACCAACTTTAATGGTGATTGTCCAAAATGGAGTCATTGTGAGAGCAGAGTAGAATTCACACAGTAAGGGAGCAGGGACAAGGAAATGGGTACTTGAGAGGGGAAAAGAAAGAGAAACAAGCTGCATGGCTGGGGATTATTAAATAGCGTTGGTAAACACTACATTCAAGGCAATATTTGGGAAGGAACCTTTTAGATCTGGTTGTGGATGGAAAGAAAGGATGGGGAATTAAGATGGAAAGAACGCCTGATAGAAAAAATGCAGGACCAACACAGCGGGAAACAGTGAGCAAGCATCCTCCGAGGATCAAGCAGTGCGTATAGATAATGCCAGAGTACCGGTGTTCTGAAATATAGGATTCTCTGAGGTCGTGTTGGACTTAAGGGGCACGCGTTTCACTGGCAATTAATCTACTCATACATAACACGTCCAGCTTAGAATCGATGGCTGAAACTTGCAAGTAGCACACAAATTGCCTTCGTTTTGACCAAGCCATTTATAGGGATAAAATCAAGATCGGTTTTACTGGGCTTCGCATATCATCCCTTACATTTCTACAAGAGAGGAAAACAACAATAGAACTGGTTTCGAATCTGTCAATCCATATACACATCAGAAGCAAGCGATAGCAAGATGAAAAATCTCAATGGTGACTAAAAGCGCACCAATCTCTATCAGGCCATTTGTTGACTCCTAGACGCCGACGGACAAATATACTGAAACTATACATATGTATCGGCTTGTTGTCCCTTCTTGTTTCAAAGCTTGCAGTCAAGGGAAAACCTGAGAAGCTCGAACCAGCCTCAATGAAGAACTGCCTTATCCATTTCTTAGGGCTCTTGAATGGGCATATTGAAGTGGTTTTCACAGCCCTGCACAAGGCTTGTGGAGTCTTTTCTGGAAGTATTTTCGGTTCGAATTCATACCAGGCATGGAGATAGAGACCGCCCTTATTGATATGAAGCAATGTAAGGATTCTCACCTTGGCCAGACGATGCTTGTCAAAGTGGCAAACGTGTGTAACGAATGGACGTTTATCAAGATGCCTCAGCGTCAGAATCTTACTATAGTAAGCTTTAAAACCATCAGGATCTTTAAGAGATCTTCTGAAATCCTCCATCAGGTGGAGCTTATTGCGGAATGTGATAGTAAGGCAAGGACAAATATCCATCTGTCCAGCGACCAGCATGCAGCCATATCGTCCATAAAGTTGTAGATTTCCAGGATATGTCTCTGAGAAAATGTATGGAGAAATAAATAACCGCAGGAAACACCTGTACCATGCCGAACGTGGGTGGAGGTTCCAACATTCATAACAATATTCCCAGCGTTCATTTCGAAGCTGGCGGAGTAGGTGTATTCTAGGACGGCTCTCTATCTCAGCATTACGGCATAATATTGGCCGTATTTCGCGTGGAAGGAGCTCACGCAGGCTTGTTCCTCGGGCCTTGAGAAAGAAGAAGTAATAAGCGTATAAATGTTTGCAGCTCAAAGATAAGCATATTTGGTCTGGTGTTGAAAGGAGATCGAAGATTATATCCAGTATCTTTGATGGAATCTCCGTGATAAACGTTAAGTCCTGCCGTTGGAGTACGGATTTTGTTATAAAGCGACGTATCCTATCCATCTTGGTTGTTTGAGGCTGATGCTAAGGAATAGTCGAGGCAGAGAAAAGGCCTGATAGAACAGACCCTTCCGCTTACTAGGCAGATATGGGAGACTTCCACAGATCTTAAGTCATTCTTGCGTGATCCTTAAGCTTTTTTCGAAGGATTAAGTAGTAATGACAACCTCGCTTTCCAAGGCGGTCTTTCTAGACTATAAGCTATTCTTTCATTATATATACCAACCAATTTAGAGAGGTTAATGCTTTATTTGTGAGGCCTATAGAATGACTTATTCAGGCCAAGTTTATAATCTGTCAGAACATAATAATTCCTTTATCATCATCCGTTAACGTTAAAAGACACCGCTTTTGGGTCATTCACCGCTCTTGACCCGTCTTGGAGGTAAGTATTTATTCCGGCATTGAGTACTGAGTACTTCAAGCTACCTATATTGCACAGATCACATAAGCACGCAATTATAGAAGTGAATGACTGATATATCTAACTATTTCAAGAAGGGGATGTAAACAGTCTAGATGCTTGCGTCAAATAGCCGACAGCCGACGGCCGATGGCCGACCAGCAGCCTTAGGCCCTCACTCGAGACAGCTGCGACGTGGACACGACGACGATCATGGCAGGTGGGTTGGATCTCTGAGGATGAAGAGTACCTAGTGATCAGTTAAGCTCGAGTATAAAGATGGAGCTTCGTCCCCTGAAGATGTGCTTCCGGAACCGCGACAAGTCGATCTCCCAGGGAAGTTCTATGAACAACGCCCTGCTTGTCATTGATTGGTTACTTTAAGTTATCACGTTTACCAGGAATACCTCTCTAAATATGGCTGCAGCGCAGAAACGTCCAAACTTCCTGGTCATGGTCGCTGATGACCTGGGCTTTTCTGACGTTGGGTGCTTCGGAGGAGAGATTTGGACCCCCAATATCGATAAGATTGCCCTAAACGGCGGAATTCGCTTTACGGATTTCCATGCTGCTGCCGCTTGCTCGTGAGTTGTGTTTTGAAGGAATTCTGGTGGGAAAAGAAACGGATAACTAATGGTGGGATTCAAGACCAACCCGAGCGATGATCATGACGGGAACAGACCACCACATCGCAGGTCTGGGAAATCTGGTCGAATGGACGAACATTTCCGGCCAGAACGGGCCTAAGGGCTCCCAGATGAGCACTGCCCCGCAACGGGGAATGCCTGGTTATGAGGGCTACCTGAATGAGCGTGTGGTGGCACTGCCGGAAATCCTACGCGATGCAGGCTATCACACCCTGATGTCTGGAAAGTGGCACTTGGGCCTGACTCCCGAACGATCCCCGTACAAACGTGGCTTTGAACGATCATTTGCTCATCTTCCCGCATGCTCGAACCACTACGCTTATGAGCCTCCTCTGGAGGAGAATGAGAATCCGCCGACCTTCCTGGAGGCGAGTTACATCGCCTTGCACATGGAGGATGATCACTATGTCAAGAAACTTCCGGACGGGTGGTACTCCTCCGATGGTTATGGCGACAAGATGGTGGAGTATTTGAAGGAGTGGAAGGCAAAGGACGATGGACAGCCGTTCTTCTCTTATCTGCCCTTCACCGCACCTCACTGGCCTCTGCAAGCCCCGAGGGAGTATATCGAGCACTACCGGGGTGTATACGATGAAGGCCCAGATGTTCTTAGAGAGAAACGTCTTCAACGACTGAAGGAGCTGGGCATGATCAAGGATGATGTTAAGCCTCATCCGGTGGTGGCGGAAGAGGTCAAGGAATGGAAGGACTACACCCTTGAAGAAAAGAAGAAATCATGCACTGCCATGGAAGTCTATGCAGGTATGGTTGAGTGCATAGATGCCAACGTTGGCAAAGTCGTCAACTACCTCGAAAGCATTGGTGAGCTCGACAACACTTTCGTGTGTTTCATGTCCGACAATGGCGCAGAGGGCGCGGCTTACGAGGCCTATCCCATGGTGCAGAGCGGCGTTATGCCTCATCTGCAGAAATACTATGACAACAGCATTGAGAACCTCGGAGCTGGCAACTCCTTCATCTGGTACGGACCGCGCTGGGCTCAGGCTGCAACAGCACCGTCTCGTCTCTACAAGGCATACACTACTGAGGGGGGTGTCCGAGTACCGTTCTGTGCTAAATTCCCCAAGAGTGTCGAAGTCTCTGATTCTGCCAAAGGCATCACTGATCAATTCGCAACCGTCATGGACCTTGCACCATCTATCCTCGACATGGCAGGCGTTAAACACCCTGCCCCGACGTATCAAGGCAGAGAAGTCGTCCCCATGCGTGGCAAGAGCTTCTACCCCTGGGCAGCTGGCAAGGCAGCCAGAATCCATGACAAAGACTTTATTCAAGGTTGGGAGACGTGTGGTCGTGCTGCTCTTCGATACGGGGATTGGAAAATTGTGTACATACCCAAGCCAAAGGGACCGGAGCGCTGGCAGCTCTACAATCTGGCTAATGACCCTGGAGAGGTGGACGACCTCGCTGAGGCAGAACCAGACCGTTTGAAGGAGCTGCTGAAGCTGTGGGATCTTTATGTGATTGAAACAGGAGTGATTCCGCTCTGCCCTGACCTGGGTAAGTTTCTCGAGGCAACTGAGGCGCAAATGCCTGAGAATGCTTGGATGGAGTACGACTACTGGAAGAAGGGAGCCAGAGATGAACCAGAGAAATTTATGCGGAAGCCGCCACGCTTCCAGCGTGTTGTCAAGCAGTTTTAGACGACTACGGGCCTTCTGTTAATATGAAGCCAAAGTCGCCTGCTCGTTATGTCTTATGAAGCTTATTGTAGCAAAATACCCACGAATGCAAGTCATGTATTGGAAGGTACGAATTCACTACTGATGCTAGGCCGTCTCCTGGAATCAATCTAACATGAAACACCCTTCTCCGTAGATTGGTCATTCGTCTTTCCATCGCCCCATTGGATATTATCGTAGCCGTTAGCCCTCAGGTACTCCTTCCATTCCTCATCTACATTTCCCAGACGATTATCCAAATCTGGAATCACAAACCAAGCTATCAGCGCACCTAAAACCGCAAATCCCGATCCAATCAAGAACACAGCCTGAGTCCCGCGAAGAGAATCATCGCCCCAGCTAGCCAGAATCGGTTTGAAAACCTGCGTTCCGATAGCAGCACCAGCTTTGCTCCACGCCGCAGCGAAACCTACCCCATGACCACGAAGAGCAGTTGGAAAACTCTCCGTCGTAGTCACAACGATGGTAGCTCCAGGCCCAACTTCACCCAACGTAAGAAAGATTCCATATAGAACGATAAAGAGAGGAAGTATTGTCTCGATTGGTCCTAATGCTCCTCCCAAGATGAAACCTAGAAGAGCTTGGAGGGTGTAGCCTAAGGCCATGGTCTTTCGTCGGCCAATTCGATCGGAGATGAGACCGCCAATGAACGCACCGGGGATGTAGAAGCAATTTATGATCGTCCCCCAGGCCATATTAAGGACAAGAGAGGATGAGGGGTTTACCCGATCCAGGATCGTGGAAGAGAATAGTCCGAAGGGGTAGGCTATCCAGTTATATCTGAACATAACTATGTGTCAGACATCTCTTGGAAACGGACGATCCTGAGATAAGTACTTACAGAAACCAAGACGCACAACATCCCAACATAGGTCGCCAGTACTTCTTCACCGCTAGTAGATACGGTACTCTTTGTTTTCTCATAGAGCTTTTCCTCTCAACCGAACTGGCCATCATCTTGTATCGGAACCAGAAGATGGATAGAGGTGGTATGACGCCTGTAGCTAGAGAGATGCGCCATACGGCATTGTAGTGCTTTATTTCCTGGTGATAGCAAAGTAGCAAGATGAGAGGTATGAGGGCTCCGAATGCCCAGCCCAGAGATGATCCTGCATCTGAGATTATGGCCATGATGATTCCTCTGCGATTGCGGGTCTTGGATTCTTCGTCAGTCGCTTCTGCGGCACCGGCGCCTGCTACGGGGTATTCTCTGTTTAAATAGTATGGTTAGATATGAGTCTCTTATATGTCGATATTTGGGACAATGTAAGTCGTCGTATGCCCAAAAAAAAGAAGAAAAGGAGCATCTACTAACCCTCCAGCCCCCACTCCAGCAATTCCTCGTGCAACAATCAACATCCAGAACATGCCCTTCTGCGTTACGCCGCTAGCACCAGCACTCAACGCTATTCCAACGACCAGAATCGAAGTCGTCAGTACCGCGCCAGCCCTGCGTCCCACTCTGTCTGAGATGTATCCGAACGAAAGCATCCCAAATATCATACCTACCAAGAAAGAATTGGATAGCCGTGAGGCGATTGACGTGGTGAGGGAGTTTGGATAAATTACTTCCATAACTAGTTCGACGTTACCGATGATTGAGGCGTTGAAACCGTCGGATCCGATCGCGAGGGCTGAGAAGATGATCATGAGGATGGTCGATAGCTTCGATGGCTGGTTTTTGATTTCCTGGGATACATTGTCACTCTTGCTTGGTGGTCCTTCGGATGCCACTGTGATGTTGTTCTCTGCTTCCTTCTTGGTGAGTGGATGCGATATCTGTGTGATTTCCATTGATTCTTCTTCGATCGACATGATCAGTTGAAGAGGGAGGTCCTCATACAGTGCGTGCCTTTTTCATGATTCTAACTCCTCCGACTTATGTATAAATGGTTAATCCCATCGGTAAATGCCGACATTCTTCGAAATCATCATTCTCAGGACAGCAGGGTTGCAGATAAGATATCCCCGTCTTTAGTATATCTATAGCAGCTAATTATGCCAACGAATGCAGAGTTAAACTACCTGCGCTACCAAATTTGGATATGTTATCCTGAGGAGGATCTTTACGGTGAGACGCTTAGTAGCTAGTCTTCCAGTGGAGAGATAAGATGATCTTTTCAGTGAGATCTCTTCTGGCAAGACCCCAAGAAATGGCATATCTTCCCCTAACCGCATACGTCGTTTGTTTTCTCGCTATCTGATTAACTGGCCTCTAACCTTTTAGCAAAAGGTGATGTTTTAGAAGAACAATTGTTGGCATTTCGACCTATACTATAACATTCAACTGCAGGGATGGCGGAGAGACCGACAGCGGGGTCTCCGCCCGCGCCAGATGGACACGCGACTCTCTCTCTCTCTCCATCCTTGACACATACCGATGGACTACAGTTGCTTGGCATCCTACTAATACGCAGGCCAGTTTCTCGTTTATAATTACCTTGCCCTCATTAGCACTATGTTAAATTAATTAGAAGGTGCAACTGTCTGATTCTATCAGTACCTAGGTACTCTGAATGATCAATAGCTAGAGGCGACCTCTCACTGCTGTCCTCCCTTTCTCCAGCTATCGAGGGATGACTTTGTCAAAACAGGGGCCAGTGTTGCCACAATTCGCGGGTAATGGTCTCCTGCAGAATAAGAGAACGAAGAACAGGTCTTCTGTCCGTGATCTATTGCGAGTAGCAGCCACATTTCTTCTTATCGGCTTTGTTCATCGAGTTTACCAAGGAGTAAGCGTATACCCTCTCGTCTAATGATAATGCCATTCATCTTTTATCAATGAAAGTCGAAATGGCTAACACAGATCTAGACACCAATTCTGAGCTTCTCCGGAAAGTATCATGGGGCCATTGACCACTCAGTATTAAAACCACTTTCGTCGCCAGACCTGGAGTCTTTTCAACGATGTTCAATAAAAAACCTCCTTGACACAGATCTTTACTTCCTGAAAAATATAAGCCCAGTGTCATTCTCGGAATACCAGTCTCGCAGAGACCGGTTAGCAAATGCTCTCGTAGCAGATGGCGCAGATGCTTTCTTGGTAGAACCGGGCTATACGTTCAAATATTATGCCAATGTCAGTCAGGTGGAATGGGAAGTCTGGGAGGTAAGTATTGGATACGCCATTTCATTGCATATTCATGTGCTCTAGTTGATACCCATGCAGCCGGAAGAGAGGCCGTTTGTGATGGTTGTGAGACCAGTCCTTGAGCCGGAGACCGGAAAGATCGTATCCAATACCACTTTTCTCTGCCCGTCTTTCGAGGCGGAAAGAGCTCGACTGCTGGATATGCCTTTTGCAGAGCCAATCCAGATTATTCCGTGGGAAGAGCATTGGAATCCGTACGCTACCTTGATGTCGTCTGGGATTTTTGAAGACTTGAATCACGCCCCACGGCTAATGGTCGATGAAGAGATGAGAGATTTTATCCAGAGAGGTTTCTCGAAGGAAGGCTTTGATGTTATTGGATTAGGAGGCAGGGTTGAGGCTGTCAGGCAGACCAAGTCTCAGGAAGAAATCGATATCTTGCGAGCTGTCAACACTGGGACAGTAGAGGCAGTGAGGCAAATGAGGAAGTGTCAGTTTCTTTCCAAATAGGACATTGCACTGCAGTTCTTTCAACTAACACATGCGGCACTTTAGGCCTTTATCCAGGTTTAACAGAAAACCAAATCATAGAAGTCCTCGATAACACCATCCGAGCAGCTGGGATGGAGCCGTTCTTCGATATTGTATTATTTGGTGAGATCAGAAAGGCGCAGAATAGGTATTCGGCTTATGGTTAATTCCCTGAACAGACGAAAATGCCTCGAATCCGCATGGCGGTACCAACGGGACCAAGGTTCTCGAATCAGAGTCATTTGTCTTGATCGATGTTGGGTTCGTGAACAGACTAGAATCCCCTTTATACATACACGATATCTAACCTCTATGATACTGCAGGGCACATCTCCACGGGTACTCCTCAGACATCTGCCGGACCTTCTTCCCGCCATTTCTCAAGAAGCCGGAACACAATGAGGATATCCCTCCTCGATTGAGGAAGAAACTTAAGGTAACTGACCTTCATGTCTCAATATCTCTCGTATGAGAGGTTAATACAATTGTTGTAGGTTTGGGATATTATCTTTGAAGCTCAGACTGCATCGATTCATCAAATGCGAGCTGGTGCAACTGCAGCCAGTGTTGATCTAGCTGCACGAGCCGTGATCACGGATGCTGGTTATGGGGAAGCCTTTACACACCGTGTCGGGCATGGAATCGGTATAAAAGGTTAGAACATCCGCCCTAACATTGACTGAAGACTCTCATAACTGAGACACTCCCTGCAGCGCACGAGAGCCCTTACCTTAATAAGGGAAATATACATACTATCCTGGAGACAGGAATGGCATTCACGTCTGAGCCTGGAATATATTTAGTTGATGAATTTGGTGTCCGACACGAAGATATCCTCCTGGTTCAGGAGGATTCAGACCCCATTCTTCTGACTGGGCAACGGGCACAGGGGCCCTGGGATCCGTAGGCAGTCTTCTTTGGATGGATTTAAAGTATTGATATTCCTTTGTATGGATAGACAATAAGCAGCTCGTATTATTGGCTCATTGGTTAGCTAGCTTTATTTACTTTCACGCGGCTAACATTATGTGTTTCTTTTTTGCTTACTTTAGAAGAGAGAATAAATCTTGGACCCAGCTAACGATGATTACCCCGAGAGTTAGCCCCGAATGGCCTAGTGAAAGCGCCGAGAATGCGGGGAGAGTTAAGGAACAATTGATTGATTGATTTCTTGATAGATTGATTAGACTTATTGCTGAAGCACGCGATCCATGTGGGGCACGGCCTCATCATCTCCCCCAAGTTCCGCCCACGTTGACCTTCACCCGACACTTTCTGGTCGCTTATACATGATAGCGATGACATTATGGAGGTATCTGATATCCCTACTTTGATTCTCTAAAAAGAGAGGTTTTGCTAACTCCAATTGCTAGTCACAGGAGCCGCGGGGCATAGGCAGGTCCGGCCCCCGAAGAAAGACCGGCTGTATGACCTGTCGACGCCGCAAGGTACGATGTGACGAAGCGAAACCGGTCTGCTCACATTGCACCCGATTAAGAATTCAGTGCGTATATAATTCTCCGTCGGAGACACCGCGGCGACGAACTGCAAGACGAACTACCCCAGCAACGCACAGAGCTACACCCGCATATACTCCTCCGACAGCACCAGAAGCAGAGGCAACACTTCTCGACACAGCGACGCATGAGCACGAGCGAAGGACTGAAGGCTTGTTTCAATCTCTGGGAGGACTGGACGCATACAGCCCGAATTTCTCTGCTGGATTCGATGTACATGAGTTCATTGGGGGGATTACGTTAGAGTTGGAGCAGAAACAACAGGGCTTGAGCGATGAGGCGCTGAACCAGGGTACTATATTAAATACACTTGTTTTCCCTTCAGAGGTATTTGGCAATGGTGGAGAGAGCTACACAAGCTCAACTGCAAATGTACCATCTTTGGTCAGTGATACGCGACGCGGCAGTTCTCCTAGTCCTTGCAATGCGAGTCCGTGTGCCGAAGCTATCGACCTGCCAACTGGAATATGGTCCTCAGCAAAGTCTGAATATGAAGAGCATCTTGTGCGACACTTCGAATCCATCGAGTCTCTCCCTGCCATTTTCGTCCCTTTGGGTGCTGAATGGAAGTTTGCGAGACCGGCGATTCTAGCACTCGCCAAGGGATTCAGCCCCTTAATGAACGCTATTTACTGCTTCTCAGAAGTTCACAAGTCACGCCAGGATGAAAGAGCATGGAGATGGGCCCCATCTTATTACGCACTCGCGAGCGCTGAGGTTCAGTCACGCATGATGGACGATATAGACGGTAGCACTCTCAGGAAAACATTTGCTGCTGTCTTCTTGCTTATGTTGTCTGAAGTATTATCCTTCTCACCTGTCCCTGTTTCTCTAATAATCTACTAACTCGCGATGATAGCTGCTCTCGACTTCGGACCTTGGAAGGCCGGGTCATTCCTTCCTCCATTCGGCATATCTCTTGCTGAAGAAATTCTACTGCAAGACCAAATCGTGGAAGGGCCTTGGTCATCTCTTAGTTTCTTGGATTTCGCTATTCGATGTGAAATCTCTCATCGCAGGCAGGGAAGGAGACCCTCTCGTCGAACTGGGTGATCTATCATCCTCCGATATCGACTCCGAACAAGTGAGTCCAGTGGTGGACCAACAGATGACAGCAGCAGAAAATGAAATCGACAAATCTATATCGAGTCCGGGTTACCTAATCTACGATGCAATCGTAGGCCCCGCTTTCACCTTTTTCGTCAAAGCCCAGCAAGTCATACGGCGTATCGTCCGTATCGACCTTCATCATCGCAGCCGCGGCACCCTGAATGACGAATTTGAGGTCCTCCAAATAGCACATAAGGTCGGAGCTGATCTGGAATCTCTCTGGAGCTCGCGACCCCCAGTGTTGGATCTTTACGATAAACCTGACGATCTCTGCGATACACTGTCTGGTTCTCTTGCTACGGAGATATGCAGGACATTCAGGCAGTATGTTGCCAACTTTCTCGCCAACTTCATCTACCTACATCGTGTGGCTTTTGCCATCTATCCACGAACAGATCGAGTAAGAAGTGCCGTGGACAAGATTATCCGTCTGGCAACCGTTGAGCTGGGCAATTCCCGGTTCTTGCCTGTCAGCCTTCTGTGGCCTCTCTTCATTGCGGGTCTGGAAGGGACACTGCCCCAGCGTCAGTGGATCATCAACGAGATCCGGCGCATGGCTGACAGTGATAGCGAGATTACCTCGCGGCACCCTAACGCAGAAAAGGCCCTGCTGCTTCTGGGTGAGATGACGCGCCGGCAGGATGAGTCGAAAGCGTTGGCCGATTCTCGATGCGTCAGAAGAGAGATGTTTCCAGACTTCTTCATTATGATATGAGCAGTTATGGAAAAACTTCCAGCCATCCATCCAGAGTCATGCCAGTATCGTAAAGACCAGAAAGTTCGGCTATCGTTTCAGAAACTGGCTTCTCTTCTGTTCCTGTGTCCGACCCGGTTCGTCCGACTTGGTGACCAGAGTTTGTCGCCACCGAGACACTTCGACGTGTGCAGCAGATGCCCTCTCTCCCTCCTTACGTATACGGCGAAACATATTGCCGCCACTGCAACCGCGCTGTAACTGATAAGAACAGGATACTTGAACTGCTCTGGGAGAGGGAACATAATCGTGGATGCAAAAGACAGAAGCTCAAAGATATTCTGCAGCGCCATCTCCGTGGATGAAAAGCGTGCTCGTGTACCCTCATCGGTATTCTGCGCAACGTAGATTTGTTACTAGCTGGCCTTTGCTAACGGGAGTCATAACATACCTCCTGAACCAGAAATTGTACAGCCAGATCAAACCCCCACAGCCCTAGCCGACTCAGAGCAACTCCCAAGATGAGGCAGAGCGCAACCAGTCGCGAGCTGGGATCCAGAAACAAAAATGCCGCCGCGGATGCTGCAAGGCAGGCAAACTGGTAGTTTATGAACCACAGTCCGGACCTCACCGGTCCGATCTTGTTCATGGCTAAGGGAGCAGCCCACGTGCCTGCTAGCTCCGCTACGACAGCACCAATTCTCATACAACTTACCTCAAGAGAGTTAAATCCAGTATGCAGCAGGTATGTGACCATCTGCGCGCCAAAAGACAAGACGGTGAGGTACAGAACGCTCAATGCAAAAGAAGGGAGACACGCGGGACTGGTTACATATTCCCGCCATGGTTGGAGGGCGCTTTTGGTATAGGTCACTGCTCTTTGCAGGAAGCCTTCATTCATGGGCTCTGATGGTACATTGTTGTCATCAAGCGCGGAGTCGCGCCCCCGTGCAAGCTCTGGTACTGCTTTGTAGACCTTTTCAAAGTTAGATTTGCCTACCCACATACAGACAGATCTGCTCACCTGAGCAATGGCGAGATACTCCACAAGAACTGAGGATGCATTCAGACAGAAGACCGTCCAGATAGCAGCCCTTGTGGAGAAACTGTCGACAAGTGAAATAAAGACTGGAGCAAATAACTTGCAAAAGAGATCAATACGTCTCATTGATGCATTCAACTCTGGGGTCATTCATCAGTAGCTGTGATACCTTCAACAGGTTTAGATTTAGCACTAATTGGAATCTTACCTTGTCTGGGAAGACTAAGGCTATCTGAGACGACAATTACCTGTACAGAATTAGCATGGAGGATTGCCAAGCGATTCCCAGCAGAGAGCAATGAACGTACCCAGTCTCTCTCCACAGCCACTGTATTCACAACAGAAGCCAACTTTTCAATGCAAGCGAGCAGAGCCGCAATTGAGAACAATGGCAACACCACGGCCGAGTTTTTCGATGCCAGAAGGGCAACAAAGCACAAGCAAGAGCCTGCAACAGGTACTCTCTGCCATACTAGCATCAAGTCAGCGAAATACCTTTGAAGCGTCTATCCAGGATAACCATAAACCTTACCGATTGACTTTCTCAAAACGCTGAGTCTATTCGACCGATCAACTAACGACCCCAACCACGAAGACAAAACGATCGCAGCCAACGACCGCACCAGAGCATAGATCGAAGCGTAAAGCAACGTTGCCGGGAAAATTGAAGCGAGGAACAAAACCGCACCGAATTCGAACATGCGCGAACTCCATGTTGAAAGGAAATGGGAAATATAGAGCCTTCTGCACACGCCTTGAGATGGTGCGGTTCTATGGTTCGATGAAGTCTCTTCGGGATTCGTAATTAGAGGCGAAGACGAATCGTCGTAGACGACGAGGGAGTCGTCTGTGCTTGAGTGTGCCAATTCCTGTGTTTCTGTTCCTGGTGACATATTGTCTGGTTTATAGTGTTTTATTCGATAAATATCATTTCTCATGGAGACCAGGTTCGAGAGACATCTACTTGAATCTGAATGTTCGTCGTGGGAGATCTTTTACCTCTTAGTGGGTTTCCCGATCGTCCGCGCGTGGTACGAGGCGGCTTTTGAACCGCCCGAGGTCCATGGTTGAACTCAAGTGAATCCCTATCTAACTATGTCTTTCCAACGAAAATATCTCCGTATCTTGTCTGGTTATATTCATAAGCCTATCGAGAAGTCAGATTGTAACGCCCTTTTGCTACGACAAACTCTCCGCTCTGTTCTTCAAATCGCCCGCCTGGACCTCAAATGCATTCACGAGTTGTTTCCCCAATGTCATCTCAACCGCTACTCCTCCAAGAACCTGATAATACGTCTCCCAACTATTATACCACGCCGTGTTTTCATCAACAGACACAACCTGGGACACATGCTCAGCAAGCACAAGCGCCGGTGCCGGGCTATCATAGCGCCAAACGGCAGTGGTCTCTTGGTCCGAGAGACTAGTAATGATCTCGTAGCTCGTAGCCTTGACGTCCGTGGGTGGGAAGAGGCCCGCATTGGTAAAGCGCATGTGCGACCCCGGCTGGTAGGGAGGCGGGGTGAGCAGCTTAACGTCTATCACAAAGGTATTCCATGAATGGTAATTGTCGAAATCAGTGAGGATGCTGTAGACGAGAGAAGCTGGTGCGTGGATGGTCGTGTTGGCACAGGCAGTGAATATCGCGTTTTCTGTGCCATAACTGGGGGTGGAGAGAATTGGGCAGCCGCTTTCGGCTTCGCCGGCAGATGCGAGAGGAGCAGAAAGGGTGATGATAACGAGCAGAAAGATGATACTTGATAAAGATTTCATCATTGTGTACGATGTTTCATCATCTCGGGGTATATCTATTGCTTTTCCCCTCTTCTTCTTCGGGGTTGGCCGCGTAGATATGTTTCAAGAGGAAAAGAAGACGTTTAAAAAGAGCCCTCGTTGTCTTGAAACAGAAACAGCCTTGGCGGAGCTCAGCCTCATAGTTACTGGCGGCTGTTTAACTAACTTGCAGGGGTGTCTTTAACTAAACTCTAGGCCTCTTTAACTAGAATCACCCTGATCACGTGTACAGAGCCGCAGACCTCGGGACCAACTAATCCCTTCCCGATTAGGAACGTCCCCTCGTGGGGGCCATAAGGGACGTCTCTCTCCATCGCTCACCTTTCAATGATGATCAGAAGATGTTCATGTCCGTGCTATGGCACTGGATAGAGCTACAAACAATCCTATTCTACAGACAGAACTAACCAACGACCGCACAGAAATGCTACAAAACTCCAATCATCAGAGGCAACTACACAGTGTGCTAACGAATTCATCCCGAAGAGCCTGGGCTAAAACCTCGTCTCCAGTATGGGCCAGCTAACTAGCTCCAACTTAAGCATCATCCTCCTGCGGGTGCATAATTAGACAATGTATTGACTTGGATATTAGGCTCTGCAATCAGCTATCGCGGCGATATAACGCCTACCCTCGCACATTACATGCTAGGCAGTACGGAGGCATCGAGACAAAAACTTCAGATGATCATACGCGCGGGGCAGGACAGTGATCAGACTATACTGCGACGATCTGTGCTCATCTGAAGCGTATACTAATTTATGGCTTGGCCCGCGTCTGCATCAGAGAGGAAGGGATTGACAACTCAGAGGGGCCTAATTGAAGTCAAGCGAACTTTGATGACCATGAGGCTGAGTGTGAGGCTCAGTGCACCAGACTCCGTGGATTAATATTAATATTTCACTTTTGTACCTCTACAGCGTTGTTGGCTTTTAACTGCAAATGCTATACTTTCCCTCCCTGTCTACAACAACCCTCCTCTGTCTGGGTCCTTTTTGTCCCTGATCAGGGTTATACAACTTGATAAATGTGTGTCGATTTCTCAATTCTGCAAGGAAATAATTTTTGATATTACTCTCCACTGCATTTAACAGTATCATCATGTCAACAAATTACCAATACTCAGCGCTCAACCATCCGCAAGATTCTGGCGACAACGATCATCTGCCCCAGCCACAACCAATCAGTGCCAATACACAACCAGATCCCGTGGAAGCAACAACATCAGTTGCAGAGAATAACTCCAGGCGCAGCAGCTCCAGCAGTCATCCAGAACTTGCAGATGATACCGCACGGACTATGGAGCTCGGTCTGCCGGGACAGTCTCAAATTCCTGAAGAACCAGGAGGAGGCTCTGCATCAGAATCGGCGAAGGCGGATTCACCAAGTGCAAAGAAGACGCTGAAAGACATCGACTGGGCCGGGTCCTGGGTCTGGGAAATCGGTGGTTCCATCCTCAGTGTGATCTGTGTCGCCTTGTTGATGGGGTTTCTAGCATATGTGAATGGAATGGCATATGCTAGTTGGCAATATACGATCTCCCCGAACGCAGTGGTCTCCGTGATCACGGCCTTTGCGAAAGCTGCGATGCTTATTCCTGTTTCTTCCTGTCTTGGTCAGTTGAAGTGGAGACAGGGTCGACATCAGAAACCAATGCGGCTTTATCACTTCTACGTCCTCGACCAGGCCAGTCGAGGTCCCTATGGCGCCCTAGAGGTCTTCTGGACAATTGGATCAACTTTAGCCATATTGGGTGCACTGTTAACGGTCTTGTCAGTTGCTATCGATCCCTTCACACAGCAGATCCTGTCCTTCCCAACACGAGAAGTACAGGCGCATAATGTGACCGCATCGGCTCAAAAAGCACAGGTGTACGCCCCTGAGTGGGCGGAGACAACTATTAACACGTTCGAGTTAGAGCCTACAATGCAGACTGCTATATTGACTGGTTTGGCACGGATAAATACACCACTTCAACCGAATTGTCCGACGGTCCACTGTGACTATCCTGACTTTGTCACTCTTGGGATTTGCACCCAGTGTGAGGATGTCACTGAAAAAACAGTCCAGACCTGCCATCCACTCTCAAATACTTCTGCAGGTTGGGAGTGGTTTAATAGCTACCCAGAGTATCAACCAATCCCTGCTGACTGTTCCTACTCAACACCCGATGGATTTCAATTTACCCCTGAACTTATAGCTGCCCTCCCAATGTATGGCGGGTTTAACTTAGAGCGTCAACCATTCACTTCTATTGCAACCTCATCTTCACAGACGCCCGACGGAGGCCTCCTCGTTTCTTTTTTCTCAGCAAAATACCCCAGCAAGATATACTACCGCGTCAGTAATGTCAGTGCAGTCGAGCCAAAGCCAATAATGACGCAATGTTCCGTGCATCTGTGCGAGAAACAGTATACGCAAAACAACGTTTCGACCAATTCCCGTGGTCTTCATCCATCAAGGACCAAACCCCTAGCCCATTATACTCTGGACATGAATGATAAGACCCTCCTGATACTCGTGCCTGAAAATGGAACCGAGACCCTCTCAAAGAATTCAACTTACAGGCTCGATGTGATGTCCTGGCAATCATTCACGAACACGATGAGAATGTTCTTCAACGTCACTTTTCTCCAAGGGAACCCATATACATCTGAAACCTCGTATCCGACCTTGCCTGGTGTACAGTCAGCGCCGGTTCTTTTCAACAGTGACAATATCACCGACTCGCTAGCTCGCATGGGCGAAAGCATGACTGATAATATTCGCTCAAGTAACAAAGGAACGCTGGTTAATGGCCGTGCCTTCTTGACTGAAACCTATATTCACGTGCGGTGGCCGTGGACTATTCTTCTGATAGTATCGGTTGCTCTGGCGATTGTCCACTTTGCAGCTACGGCTATAGCAAGTCGAGGTCAGCCTGTTCTGTGGAAATCTTCTGTGTTTCCATTCCTCGTGGGTCAGTTGGAGACGGTTCCCGAACATGACATGGCGCGTTTGCGCCGTATGGATCAGGTGTGTTCTATGTCCAGGAAAATCAAGGTAGTGGTGGAGGATCATGATGATGGTCCTCTTCTATTTGCTGAGCGATGACGTCGACGGTTTACTTGATATTTTATATTTTATATGCATTATTACAGGAGCATGTGGATGGCGACGCTCAGATTATCTAGCAGGCATTGTATTGTATATAGACCAAGCGGGACAGATCCATAACAGCGTTTCGTTTCCATACAAAAACGGACAGATGCCGTTCCCCATTTTCACCCGCTTGTTTAATGCAAATTGGATTTAAAGAAATACATGTGTATAGAAAAGATTTGCAGAAAATAGCATCAATCAAGATCCTCTAGGAATAAGACAGATCAGAAAAAGGAGAAGATTTTTACTCCTCGGCCCATCTCAGTCCCTCTCCCGTCTTCACTGTTCGTCGTGCAAGGACCTCTGCCACCTTCTCACGCACACCCTCCTTCTCGCCCCACTTCTCGACAAACTCGTTGACAGTCTGCTTCCTCGACTTGGAGGTGTCGCGGACGAACTTCTCAATATCCTTCTCGGTAGGAAGGGCGTAGTGGGCATGGGGGTAACGGTTGTAGTTAGCGTCGTTGATGAGCGGCAGACGAGTCTGGCCCTGTGGGATGTTGAAGAAAGCATCGACGGCCTCGTTGGACACCTCGGCCAGGGTAGCAGGTTGCCACTTGGGAGTCGCGGGGGGCTTAGACATCAGACGGGCCTTGACACCTTCGACGAAGTCGTGGTGCTTCATGAACTGTGCAGCGATGTGGTGCTCTCTCTGGAAAGTTTCGGCGATAGACCACTTCCTTCCAAGGCGGAGCTGGCGGAGAGTCACCTTGAGCGACGTCGGAGAGCGCTGGGACAGAGTCTCCAGGGTCTTTTGCGCCCACTCCTTCTGCTCTTCCTCGTTCTCGAGCGCCTTGAAGATCTCCTCGACGGTGTTGTACTTGAAGCATCGGTCGATGGCTTTGCGCAGCTTTCCGGCAAGCTGAATTGGCTCCTGCTGGATGGATGGCAGGCCGGTGGAGAACTCCGCGATGGTCTTGTTGACCAGGTCCAGACGCTCCGGGAGGGTGGCGTAATCCTTAAACACCAGCTCAGAAAGACGGGCCGTCAGGTTGCTCAACACGCTGGAGTCCAGGTAGTGGGTAGCAATTCCAGCGTAGAAGGCCTGGACGCCAGAGAGGCGCTCAGAGGTCAAGGCAAGGTATGTTCCCGTCTCGCCGTCCAGACGTGGCAGGAAGAAAGAACCACCAACGTCGGGGAAGAATCCAATCGTCGTCTCTGGCATGGCAAAGAGAGTACGCTCGGTAGCAATCCGGAATGGAGCATGTACGCTGAGACCGACACCACCTCCCATTGTGATTCCATCCATCACAGCAATGTACGGCTTGGAGTAAGTAGCGATGGCGTGGTCGAGCTGATATTCGAGACCAAAGTAGTCCGCCGATTTCTTCTGGCCTTCAGGTCCCTGCTCATTCTGCAGAGCAAGCGCGGCAACATCTCCTCCAGCGCAGAAAGCTTTGCTTCCAGCACCGGATACCATGATAATATTGGCCAGCTGAGATTTCTCCCATTCCTAGTCCACCATTTAGCACCTTGTCACCAACACCCCGGTCCAGATGTAATATACCTTCAGTCTAGGGAGGATCTTGCGCGCCATTGAACCATTGAGGGAATTGAGCTTCTTTGGTCGGTTAAGCTCAACCGTGCGGACACCGTAAAGAGAGTTGAACAGAACATCGTCGGGTTCATCCCCAGGGAGCTCCTTTGGAAGCTCAGGAGTCGTCGACGACATCTGCCATACATATCATGTGTCAGTAATGCTTTCCCCATATCACAACGTCCAACTCTTGACGTACCCTGGCAGAGGCAGCAAACGCTGGGTTTGTCACTTTGGCGCGCAAAGGCATCGTTGTTGACCGCGAGAACCAGCTCAGCGGCGTGGGCAACCGGGAACAGCTGGGTCGAAGTAACATCAATGGCAACACGGCGCGTTGATAACACTTCGAAAGGGGTATATGAAAGATCGCGCGGGTCGGCACTTATGTGACGTTGCTTGGTGCTTCGGCTTAAGTACACAGGCTCGAAAAGTCTCTCCGCACAGCGAGAGTTGCCGGCGGTTGACCTCGGAGTTTTCAGTTGATTTTCCGACAAGCGGGATACAACAACTGTCAACCAATTCATTATTATTTGACTCCGCGTAGCCGCAATTCGGTAGTGATAAATAGTCTCTGTTATAATTCGAAATGGTAAAGGTGTCGGTTATAGAAAAAAATCACGTTCTATAAGTTCTGGATCCCCCCGTTGCCTGTCATCCGGCCTCGAGGAGCAATACTCTACTCTCTCCGATATTACAGCGCAGAGAAAAATAACGGATCAGAGCGATAGAGAAAAGTGTGATAACGTTATTTGATACAAGATGTAGAATATGAAATCGGGAGAAAACATCCCATCGCTATTTTATTGTACATTGCGTTTAGTAACGAGCCTTTGCAGGCTCTGTGCGCAGATCCCTCGAATGCTCCGCAAGGATCTTATCCAGTGCCCGTTTCTCAATAATTAGCCTTCCAGTCTCCAGAAGGTCCTTGACATCAACATCATCCCGGTCGAGGATCCGAGCGTGCTCTCCGACTTCTTCAACAGCGCTGAATAGGAGGTCGTCTCTCTTGTCCGTAATCAGAGTCGATCTTCCATGCTCCCGACCCCATCGGTTGACTTTAAGAATCTCTTTGATCAGATGCGGCGTCGCATCCTCGGGGATCGTCATCTCATCGTCGACGATAATCAGCTGGCCCCTCTTAAACCGGTAGCTGAGAGCTATCCGCCAGGCCTGGTCGTAAATCTTCTTGGGCAGTCCAGAGGAGAAATCCCTAGGGTGAGGACCGAAAGCGACACCACCACCCTTTCGAATAGGCGACTTCTTGTCTCCAACACGCGCTTTACCGGTACCCTTCTGTGGGTGCAGCTTCCTCCCGCTTCCGTGGACGTCGTCTCTCCATTTCGTGCTCGCCGTACCCTGTCGGGTGGCATCACCCTCGTAAACAATAGCGCGATGAAGGATATCTTTTCGAAGCGGCATGAGAAGATGGCTCTGGGCGTATTCGACGTAACGAAGGGGTTCCATGGAAGGGAACGCATAGAGGGTGGCCTGGACCGGAGGACGGCTCCACGTTGCTTTCGGGATCTCGATTCCACCTGGTGTAGTAGTGGTCTCTGAAGGTATCTGGGCCTCCGTGGCCATCGATCGTGATGCGAGGCATCGCTGCTGTTGTCAGATGTTGATGGCCAGGTGAGGAAAAAAAGATTGGGATCCTTACCGTCACAGTCTCGGGGCCATAGATCAGGCCATTTGAGCCTCTCACAAGAGAGCTCAGCCCCCGAAGAGCTCTGCTTCCAGACATTTTGTGACAGACGTTCAACGCTCGCAATGGCACTGTTGAACGCGAACGCTGGTGAAGCAAAAGTCAGGTCGAGTTCGGAGATCGGGGTGGTTCTGCACTAGCGGAGCCTCAATCCCATAGGCTCCGAGTCGGTTGGCAGCACGACAGAAAAAGTTCCGCCGGGGAACATCTCGACCATCATCGTCTGCCAACAACAACCCCCAGCGCCATGTCTCACTGCGAGCTGGCTTCGAAGCCGCTGCTTCAATGTCTGCGGACAACCTACGCTAGAAGTCTTCTGGTCGTCCAGCTCCAGTCGACGCGCGCCTTTGGTTCGACCGCATCCGCGCGAGATGAAGCTCAGGCCGAGTCTGCAAAGCAGCCCTTCTACAAGGCGCCTGATCCGTCTCTTGTCACAAGCCCTCGACTTGAGAGAAGATTGCTGAAATCCGGTGTCTCTCCGATCGGATCTCGTCGTCGTCGTGCTGCGTTGCAGGATTCTCCGAACATCCCTTTCGAACAGCTTCCGTATCAATGTTTCCAGGAGGCGCGAAAGATTCTTCTCGCGGACCGCGAGGAGAAGCTCAAGCAGATTGAGACTGAAAGGGAAAGAATAGCAAGGCTCCGGGAGAAGCCTGCTGAAGAGGCTGGAGGGGAATTGTCCAAGAATTCTAGACTAAAGGCCATGGAACATCATCTGGAGCATCTGAAGATTCTCGCAGATATCAACGATCCTGTGGTCAAGAAGCGTTTTGAAGATGGGGAAGGTAGTAATCAAGAATATGCCCCGTTCTGCTTCATTTATTGACCATATGCGTTCAGGAGACATGAACAAGCCCATCTACCGATATCTGGCAGACCGGAAGTGGAGAGAGTACAGACGCCTGATCCTCGTCCAGAGAATTACGCAGATGAAGGTCATTCCCGATGTCCTCCCTCACTGCGATCCCACGGTGGATGTAAAGCTATACTTCAACAGACGCGCCGTTCAGCCTGGTGAATTCGTGGACTCTCGCGTCAGCGTTTCTCCCCCAAAATTGAATATTCAATCATTCGAACGCGGCGAGAAGCTCGTCACCATCGCAGTCGTCGACCCGGACGTTCCCAATGTTGAGGAGAACGGCTTTGACTACAAATTCCACTATCTTGCCGTCAACGTTCCGATTTCGCCTACCTCTACGCACGTCGACCTCGCCAAACTTGCGCAGGACTCGCAGGTGGTTCTTCCGTGGCTGCCCCCAACCGCCCTCAAGGGAAGCCCCTACCATCGTCTCTCCCTTTTCGTCATGGAGCAGAAGGACAACAAGCCGCTTGACTTTGCCGCTGTCAAGGAGAAAGAGGTGAACCGTGATGACATGCGCCTTCGCACTCTCCAGGCCAGATACCACCTGAAGGCCATCGGTGCGCACCTGTTCAGAAACAAGTGGGATGAGGGAACTGCACAGGTTATGGAGCAGCTTGGCATTGAGGGAGCCGATATTGAGCTCCGGAGGAAGAGAGTTGAGCCTTTGCCTTATAAGCGAAGGAACCCTGCTTCGTTCCGATGATCGACTCGTTATGTCCTTCTACGGAGTGAGCTCGCTATTGGCAATGCATTGTACTGTACAACTGATATGTATGAATATACACCCTTTTCCCTTCTTCCAATACTCCTAAACACCTTTATCCCAAGTCATTTCCCTGTGGTTTGTATTGTACACCGAATCTTCGTGGGCCGATGGGCATTCAATCGTCCGAAAATTGAGCGGGTTGGAACGTGTTCGTAACCCATTGCATCTTCGATGGCGGCCAGACCCGAGCAATGATTTTCCCGTTCACCAATCCCAGAGGTACTGGTCCATAGTTTCGCGAATCTCTCGACCAGGGAAGGTTATCTCCGGCTAGATATACATGTCCTTCGGGGACCTAATTCTCCACAATATCGAATGAGCTTTGAACTACACGCAACCAGAAAACTGTGGAATAAGTCTGACTAACCTGTATCATCTCATTCTCTGTCCCAGCTTCCGTACTGAAAGCCGGATCCTTGCACACGAAATCCCCGGGCATTCCTAGCACCCTCTTTGCCCCGTTAACACCTAGAAACATGGGATGATAGAATCGCACCACGTCCCCGACCTCAATTCCCTTCCCGTGTTTATGCAGCCGCGAGATAAGAAGGTAATCGCCGCGCGCGCTGAATGTCGGGTACATTGACGGCCCCTCACTGAGTTGCACAGTGAAGAAGTTCTCCCAGATCAGCGTGCAGGCGCAGAAGATTCCCAGTCCGTCAAGGCCCAGACGAAAGACCGCACCGGGCGCGGTCCGCCGCAGTATCCGTCGGAAGACACCTTCCATCTGTGCGAATCAATGATCTCGTCTGTCTTTTCGTATACCAGGACTGTCCGATAGCTCATGCTGAGAGGCCGGAGAACGACCGGACGCAATCGCATCATGTGACCGTGGAGCTCTTCGGCTAGTGCGGGCGCCTTAAATTACTTTTCTCGTCAATTCTATTTTTCTTTCTCTTTCAACACACCAAACGTCCTGTTGGACGAGACACTGTCCATCTGCAACGCAGTTGATGACGGACTTCAGCAATTACAGTACCCTTTCAAGTCTTGATACTCGCCTTGGTCTATGTCGATATTCCTACGTGCATAATGGCTGCACTTCACTTCACTCGACGGTCTGAGCGGTCTTGCTGCAGATCAGCTCTTATTGATTGCTGCTAATAATTTTTCAGTTGCTGCGCTTGTCTGTTGTCTTGTCATTGGTCTCTGCTTTATTCGATTTCTGTTTCCTTTTTCTCTCCATTCCCTTGTGCCATATACTACTAGTATATGGTCATCGCTTCTAAAAATGCTAGAGCTTGCCGTTTCCGAAATTAAACACCAGGACGAGCAAGTGTGGACAGTGAAGCAAGATTAGAATTATACGTCTCGACTGACCACCACGTGTGGCGAGATATCCCCGAACGCCATCCTCAGCTTTTACCCCATTTAGCTATGGGCGTGGGAAGTTGAGAGGTTGTGAGTGGGAGACATCAATCAGATATCAATTATAGTGTTATAGGGATATCTTAGATTTCGAGTAGCATTCTACAAATTATTGTTTCAATACCAAACGCCTTCAGTAGTAACTCAGTCTGTCGACACACATACGATTTTCACCATCTATTTTGCCTTTTTGTTCTCGTAGTCCTCCCAGAATCCATCAGCATCTGCAGTCTGGTCAGTCGCACTATTACCCCCAGTAGCATGTGCATATTTGAGCATTGAACTTACCAGGATGCTTTTTCGGGTTCTCAATGTACTCCCTGGCCTTGGCCTTTGTCTTGTGATCAAGATGGAATCTTTGATCGCGATCTTCAATCATCTTGTCCAGACTTGGGAATGTCCTCTTGACCATGTCTTCGTCGACGAAACTTCCCATCAACTGCGGCATCCCCAAGGGCACCGTATCGCCCCGATCTACCTGCCAGAAGTGGAATGTCTTGCCGTACAAAGGGATGATCTCCTCCATTTCTGACGACTCTGCCTTGGACCAGACTGGTTCAGGCACACCTGAGCGAAGAAGTTAGTATGTATTACTGTCCAATGATAGATTCTTATCATTGAACGACGATTGCCCATCATGGAACCGAAGGGGCAGATCTGATCCAACCGCCTACATACCCTGCGGAACCGGCATGACCAGCATGCCACTCTTCACTTCAAATTCATGAGAATGCCAAAGTCTCCTCTCCTCTCTCGGAAGCGTTTCATACAGCCGTGGAGTGACCATATACTCAACCCCAATAAGCCTAGCATTCGGCTTGGGGGAATCATATATCAAGCATTGTCGGATATCTATGAAAGCAAAACCCAGACAGATCGTTAACAATGACAAACACTCCTAATAGGTGTTATGTACCTCAATTCTTATCTCTCGACTCAAACTCACCTTCAGTGATATGAGAACAATAATGATTCGCCTCTACGCATCGTGATGGATCGTTGGCGTAGATATGGAAGGCGTTGAGAAAGGCACAAATTTGCTTGACGGGTTGAAAGTCCTGGAGGATGCCAGCACCTGTTTCTAGAACGCGATGTTTTGTTCGGAGAGGCTCTCCTGCTGCTCCGTTGTCCATCACGGGGAAGTCTTTGTTTTTATCGGTATGCGAACTGCACGACATGATGAGTGATGTTCCGCTGGATCCTCTGAAGCGAATTAAGTTGATATGGAAAAAATAGAAATAAATCCTAGGTGAAGATCTAGAATATCTTTCATTGAATGTAGCATGCTCTATATATTTCAATGTGCAAGTCGAGAGGCATGATTTGGAGATACCTGACGTCACGTTGATGCGACAGGGTCTGGCCTCGAGTTATCCGATTATTTTCTGCTCCACTGATGATTTATGACTACGAAATCATAATCATACTCAGGGATCGCGAGTTAAATAACTTGGCAGGTGTCATTGATCTAACGTCTGGGCTATTCTTTAAGAGGGGTAAAAGTTAATTCGTCCAGGTGTAAACAGTGGACAGTAAGTATTCGTCTGATAAGGTTAAGTCTTTTGAAGTTAAATATTCGAGAATAGTGATTTAGAAGCTTGTAAAGGCTACGTGATCAGTTTAGTTATAACCTTTACTCGTAGGATACGTTTATTTATTTATCTATTTTATTTTATTAATTTTTTTTTTTTTTTTCTTTCGCTGGGTACTTACTGTTATGTAGATACGTGCGACGCCAAAAGGTAAATCCTACCTGAGCGATAATAATGGGGAATTAACAGATTCACTCATATTTCTACTAGAAATTCGTTAAGAGGGAAGATGACTTGTGTTTCATCATAGTTCTTATCGCTATTATAGTAATCATTGCTAGTTCTCATGAGAAATATGTTCTTCGGCTATGCTTACTTATTCCAACCTGTATATAACTAATAGATAAACAGAAGACTCAGTCGTGACCCGTTTATAATTCAAGATTTGGTTTGAGCCAAAAAGTCCAATGTCTCTTTTGGCAATCGTGGCAGGATCACTCTCAATCGCAAAATGACCAACGTCAAGAAACTTGATTTCAGAATTCGGTAAATCCCTCTTTAAAAGTCTCTGCTCCGGGAGGAATGAAGAAGAAATCATTCTTACCCCCAGATGAGTAGCGAGTAGAGGAACCTGCGACTTGCGGAAATACTCGTGGAACTGGTCATAAAGAGCAACATTGTGGGGTTTATTAATTAGAAAAGGCAGCTAGATCAGAGGATGATATTTCAGATGTCAAATGTTGACTGTACAATTCCTCCAGGTTGTCATTGTCTCTCTACATGTCTGTATTTTCTCTGTCCTGCTGAGGTTGAGTCCTATATTGAGCGATAGGTAGTCCAGGTCGATCGAAGGGCGTAATATCGACTGCCTTATTTCTAAGTTTACAAGTATCTAGACGGTTAAGAAGGATGCTTTGGGATCGTAGCCGGAAAAGCTTCATATTCTCTGACATCAGTCAAATCACATCTACTCCAATATCACCACCTTGAATTCTCTTCTCACGCCATCTTCAACACCACTTCGCCACCACGCTAAAGCAAGCCGCGCGGAAGCGCCATTTTATCTTAGATAGAAATGTAACATAGATGTAGTCCGTAGTTCCCGTCAAGGAATACCGTCTCGATTTCGGATATACAGTTTCGCAAAAGGGCTTCACATGGCGTTCTTCATTTCTCTGAGAGCGGCCATCACGTCCACGGGGTCTGTCTTGCCTGTGGCCTTCTGGATTACCGGATCCTGCTCAATGTGGTTAATGAATGGCTAATAAGAAGACAGCCTTATAGTTAAACTTACGTTGACTCTCATGAAGACGTTGTGAAGCTTATAACTCAGTCAGTTTCATCTACGCGTCCACCTAACTAGTTATAACTTACCTTCTCGTCTCCAATGGTAAATTTCCCCTGAGTCTGCTGGTTTTGCGCAGCAAAGGCCTCAAGCTTCTTAATCGGCTCCGATTGAGAAACTGCAAGGCAGAACTTGACATTCGACTTTGTGTACTCATGACCAGGCTAGGCTTTGTCAATCCTGGTACTTCTCATTCAAACGAGGGGAATGCTTACATAGACTTTTGTATCATCCGGTAGAGCTGCAAGGACCTCATTCAGAGCCTTGTGCATCTCCTTCGCATTGCCTTCGAAGAATCGTCCGCAGCCTGTGTGATATTTCGTTAATCATGTATCAAAGGCACCTATACACATTCCACGTCCTTACCTGCAATGAAAAGCGTGTCACCCGTGAAAACAACGCGCTGATCACCGTCCTCGAGGAAGTAGCAAATGCTGTCCTGCGTGTGACATGGAGTGTGCAACGCTTTGACAGAGATGCGTTCACCGATCTTGAAAGTCTCTCCGTGCTTGGGCGTCTTCGTCACAGACTTGCAGTCCTTACCACCGATTACTGCGAGTTTTCCAAATTCTTTAAGCTAACCATAGTTAGCACAATGCAAGTTCACGTAATGTGTTGTACGCTTACAATCTCATCGTTTCCGCCGGCGTGATCCCAGTGGCTTTTCAGCAGTTAGTGACATTCGTAAACATGACATCTATCCGCTGTACATACTGGTGAGTGTTTACGATTGCTGTGAGATTGATCTTGCCGGAATCGATCTGGGATTTCAACACGGGAGCAACCCTTTGTGTTCATTAGATGACATTTGAACTCCAGTAGCAGCAACAATTCTTACTCTGGTGGGTTTGCCGGATCGATTATCACCGAATCCTTCGTAGGTTCATCAGTGACCAGGTAGGCATAATTGTTGCCCTTCCCGGTCCCTAGTAATTTGTCATCAGTGCTTCGAGTATACAGAAGCATGTACAGGCCTGTTAGAGCACACTCACACATGGGAATCGATTGGATATGCATGGTTCTTGTAATACTTGGCTGACGGAGTCTAACCAGTGGTCGAATTGCTTTTACGAAGCTCATCGGCCTATATACAACCCTCGTAAATGGATGACAATGCGGGGATGCCGTTCGGGATTTATGGATTGGTAATGATGCCAACCTTATGTAAGTAACGCGCTCACGTGATATCATCGACATGATCGATCAGTGGCTACAACTAGTATTACATTGCTAAATCATACAAGAGTGTAAGGTATATTTCGCTTCATAACAAAAATAAGTTCATGACACGCCAATTGCTTCGCTCCTCCACGTATCCGCGAGGTCCCATCCGTGATTGCTCAGTACCCGTTGTGCTTCATCCTCATCTGAAACGATCTGTGTGTTCGCAAGCAGCTGGTCTTCAGTGGCAGTTTCAATGTTATGCGCATCAGAATCATGAGTGTCATTTCGTAAAGACTGTCTCAGCCTCTTCGTCCACTCATTCTCGCTTACGTCGCAGGCGGCCCGCATGTAAGACAATGAGAGATATCTCCTGTTAGCCTTCCATGTGTCGGAGTTAAGTATGTGGTTCAGCCACATATAAATCCCTTCAAGATATGAGTCATCCGAATGCTTTCCTGCAGACAGTTCATTTGCCATCACTTCAGTAAAGGTAGTCAAGAACGAAGTGCTCTTTTCGGCCACTGTCTGCAAGACTGGATCCCACTTGTCGAACACCTCATCCATAGGCGCCCCGAGACTATCAACACGCGAGTTAGTATATTCCTTAGCCTAAGCTGACAAGCAACACTCACCTTTGTCCAGCACTGAACAATGTTTTCCCTTCAAGTAATGTCTCTGACAATGCAACAGCTCCCTCGGGACGACCCTCACATATGGAGATCAGCCGCGCTGCTGTCGGGTAGTAGTCATGCTGGGATTTCCTTCTCTTGCGGGGAGGTTCCACTTCATCAAGGTTTCTTTTAATATCCTCGAGATCTCTCCGGATAGTAGGCTTTAGCTGCTCGAGATCTCCATCCAAAGCAATACTAGGAGCAGTAGAAGCGCCAGTAGTAGCAGGGAGGTCAATCCTCGCCCAGTAATAACCCCAGAGCCACTCTAGTGATCTCTGCGCCGCACTTCGCAATACAACCAGAGAAGGTAGATCGCGATGTGTTGCCTCATGACGCAGTTCCACGAATGATGCTGGCAGCCCGAGATCAATGGCCCTTTGAAACATGGTCTTTTTCTGTCCATGAAGTTTAGAATCAACGAGACCAGTTACGAATCTGTTATTTCCAGCGAATCAGAAAATTTTTTTTAGAACAGTCAGAAGCCCAATTTTCCGGATGCACGTACCTGCAGAATGCAGCAGAGTAAGTAGCCCTAATGGAAAAGATCGAGTTTTTGCTAGCATCATCATGAAGGATAGCATCTGTTAATAGCGCGGTGGCTTCCACAGCATGAGGTAAATTCCCTCGCAGTTTCCATGCTCCAACCTATACATCCAGTCAGACCGCCTTTGAGAGCTCAAACTCGGGAGAAGATCGCATACCGTCGCACATGCATGGGCACGCATATCAGGACCATCCTGAGAAGACGAGGGGTAGAACCGGTCTCGAACGGCAAGAAGCTCTGATTGCTGCTTCCATGGTGTAAATATTATTTTTGCCATTGTTATCTTATTATTTCCCAACGTCTTGTACGCTGTTCTAGATCTTTCCGAATGCTTGTAAAAGCTCGTCTAGTGAAAGAGTTGATGCGTCGGAAAATCTTTTGTGCGGGGAAGGATACGTAGGACTCTTCCCTACTTAATTAGATGCATACAAGCAAGCAAGCAAGCAGCTGTAAAACCTTAGGTAAGAGAACAAGAATTCACATGTCACCAATAAGTCCACAGAAGGAGATGTACAGCGCTGGCAACTTTTAAAGTCAACCTTTGGAGAAGAATATTCTGTGGTAGTTATTGTCGGGACTTCTTGAAGGCGCTATACTCGTTCTGGAAGTGCGGGCAGCCGCCCGCTGTCTAACAACACTACCCAGGTGCTGATAATACTACTAGAACAATGCTTTCACTATACGAAGATTTGTACTATTGTTAAGAATTTTTTACAGAGGGCCTCTTCAGATAAAAGGATTGACACATTCCAAATGTCGGTACTTTGTATATGGGAGCTACTTCGGCTCCGCGTTCTAATCTATCAATCAATACACATTGTGTGAAGGTAGTGGCATACATGCAGATTGTACAGCCCGGGGTATCAATCGTCCTTCCTCAGTGCCCCATAAACCCAAAACTCCGTGCTGTGGCTCGTGAAAAGAATATCACCCAAAATCTATATCCAGCCGTAACCCAGATTGCTGCATGGGATCTCAGAGACTCCCATCATCTGTGGACAGTCCGGTAGCGAAGTGACCATCATCATGTCTTCGGGCTCGTCAAATAAGAATGATTTGCCCAGCATGTTCGTAGCAGCGTTGACGGACTGGTCGAACATTTCTCTTTCCTGCTGACTGTGCTGGCTGTCCGTTCGGTGGGAACCAGCTTCATTGCCTTCGCTTTCCTTGGTCTCCTCGTCGCCTCCACCCTCAGCTTCTTCACCATCTTCCTCGTCATCGGATGGGGTGAAGGTCTCCTCCAATTTCAGTCCTTTGCCCTTGGGACCCTGAAATTCATTGAGTCCTCTAAGCATAGAATGGTCTGACACAAGTGACGTGTCAGGCTCATCGTACAGCCCTACCCCCACAAGTTCATCGCCTGAAGATGCAGGTTTAGACGTCAAATCAGGACACGGATCAGAATCGACGGGGAAATGCTGGATGGGCAGAAAATTGGGAGTTGGCGGGCCGGTAAAGTCATCCGAGGACTGCACGCTCTCCTGACCGAAATCCCCAATATAAGACGTAGGCACACCATCTGCCAGAGGCATTCCGTCAAGCGCCCATCCCTGAGTGGATTCCTGCGGTGGACAAGAGAATCCAGAAGGATCCATGTTCCAGGAGACTGGGTCAACCGAGGAGCTGTTGTTCAGCTGTGAGAAGGCACACTGCGGGTTTCCGGAAGACGCTCCATAGAGTTGAAAGGTGGAGAAATCGGTGTCCGGTATAGAATCTCCTGTGATAGGATATGACGATAGATTCTCCAGGCCGTTGGTGGAAGGGACGACAGGCTGCGGCATCTGCGAAATATCATTGGCTGGGGCCGGGTAAGTTGCACGGCTCATATTGTTGTACACCATGGCTTGCTGAGAAGTAGGATGCCAGCTCATCGGACGACATTGTTGATAAGCAGATGAAAAAAGAGCATCATCAATTGGTGTCCGGTACACCTGGCTGTGTCGCTGACGATATTGCTGCATAGGCCCGTGGGCAACTGTCGTCCTTCGTCGCCCAGTCGCATGGGGACTATTGCCTGCACTACGAGGCTTCAAGATTCGAGATGACCGTATCCGGGACAAGGCCCATGCTATTTGATCGGCCACCGTTTGCTGCTTGTACGGTTGAAATCCTTGGTGCATCCATCCCGGGCCTCCTATAGAGGACTGTCCCTGCCAACAGTCGGCCATGTAAACCAGTTGTCGAGTGCAACAGATGTTTCTACCTGGCCGTCAGTATACTCTTTCTGTGTTCGCATAAAGACAGATATAATATAATATAATACCTCTTTTGGTGTGATCAAGTTGCTGTCAGACAACTTTATATCATCAATCGGAGATCAGATAAGGTATGTGTTGTAGACAAGCAGAGAGAATCAGGATGTGGAGTTGTACATATATGTATATAGGACGTTTCCACAAACCAGTATAGTTCAGCCCCGGGTAATACGTCTTGACAGACGTTCGAGACCCAAAGTAGGATATAAGAGAGTAGGAAACGAAAGAGGCCTTGAGACAGGGGCGGTCACAAGGCAAGGAACAATAATAGGGAACCACCATCCACCCGGCCCCAGATCCACGATGCTGCTCCTTCGATAGCACATGTTGAGATGACACGACGGTGACACTAGGGGACCTATCCAAGGAACGGCTGCTCCGGAGAAAGACAGAGACCCTTGGTCTCGGGACGAGATGTGCCCCCCCCTCAGCATCAATCCGCGCGCTGCATGCCACCAGAGTGTTCGAAACTCTCTGTTGGTGGAGAGAGTCGAGTACGGGACGGTGGACCGGCCAGACGAGCGGCCAGACATGCCAGAACTAAATTTGGGGCCCGCCAGGAGGGAGAGAAGTTGAGAAGAAGAAAAAAAAGCCATGACCCAGTCTCGCCCTATCTACTCCGTACCTCGATTCCTTGTCCGTGCTGATGATAAGTTACATACTAGTTAGCTCCATCCACGACAACGAGGAGCCCCAGAAACAGGAACGTTGGAGGCTTAGCCGCTCACTAACTAACGGGTGCCTACCGCGATCCAACCCCGATCGTCCTGTTTTGCACCTCCACATGTTCTCCCCCCTTCTTCGCCATACCGTCAGCGCATCACCACTCGTTACGCAAGGGTTACGGATCACCTGTGGCTGTCACTGGCTCTGCTGGGCTTTTCGCCCCGGCGCTTAGTGTGGTACGATACGCTGTTTATGTTACAACTTACGAGAAAGTGGAATGCCCATGCTTTGACGTGTTACAGGCCGAGCGGTAATCAAAAAAAGCGATACCCGTGTATCTCAACCGCGTCAACGCGGCTTTTGGGACTAGGCTCCTTCAAGCAAACGCAAACTGATACCTAAGTTAGCATGGCTGTCGAACAACAACTCTCTCTACACTAAAGGAAAGGAAAGGGAAAAGGAAGAAAAAGGACTGGACCTATGTCATTCCCGGTCGGTGCCACAGGTCAAAGTTATCAGACTCTTTGGCTCCCATCCACAACGCCATTCGATCAGTGGAGCCTTGTACTGGCAATCACACCGCATTCCAGGTGGCCAAGCGGAGAGACCGGCTCTGGTGGACGAACGTGGAGGTCAAAAGTATGATGGTCGAGGAGACACTACTAAAGTCCCGTTCGAGCCTTCCCACTGCCAGGTCGCCCAGGGCTAGGAGATGAGCCTGATGTGACAAGTCTCTGCATATCTATCCAGACTGTCTGACAGGAGAGAAGCTTCCTGCCGTGCTCCATTGGATACGGCTGATGGGACGCCCATTTTGCAGTGCTAATTGCCGGACGGGCATATTATTAGTCCACCTTGCTTGTCGCAGGCTGGAGGCCCGACCTCAGCACTCTCGAAGACTAAAATAATGATAATAATACTCTCGATACGCTCCAACTGGTACTCGTGATGTCGCGATACCCGAAGTTGCAGACCCCGCCATCTTCCATGCTTGAGCCTTGAGACCCCGGCCCCGCCACTGGCGCCAGGGCTTTATCGAACGCAGCTAAATCGGGCGATATAACCGTCGTTCCTCCGGCGCAGTGGTGCTCGCGAATCGTACGCCGGAAACCTCTCCCTCTTGCCGCTTGAAGTACCCACTAGTGACCCACGATATGTGAAAGGCTACTGAAAAGAAAAAATTTCCAGAAGGTCAGGGGTCATCATATATCGGGGTCTTCTAACCCAGAACAGGAGTCTGAGTGGATCAAGCCCGCGCTGTCCCAGAGGCGGTCAGAAGATCGTTGACACGCTGCCGATCTTGGTCAAGGCAGGCCGTTCCCCTACGCGGACGGTATGGTGCGTGCACTGGAGTCTTGAGGCTTTGAACTAATTACATCCTAGCACCTAGAGAAGCGAAGGACCGGAGCCGATGACCATCCAGGGGGTTCCTAGCTGGGGGATAGTTAACAGCACCTGAGCACCACGTATGAAGCGCTCCATAATGGAGCTAACGGAGACTAAAGTAGTGCCTCTTTTTTGCATGATTCGACGTCTCGAATATGAGAACAGATGAAAGTCCAATATCACATACAAAGCACAGAGAAACAATATGCGATCTCACCAGGATCGATGGTAAGGCTCAGAAGCTTCGTTCACTTATGTCAAAAAGGGAATCTACCAGCGATGGGACCGAATCCCAGTTGTAGTGTCACCGGATAACCTATTTTCGTGAAGATCAAATACGACTTTCCCCGGGTGAACATGCGTTTACGGAAACTACGCTCTTCTTTTTACGGCAGTGAAATGTACATCCTCCTTGTTAGGTCGTCTCCCCCTTGGCAAAAGAATGGGCATTGGAAAAGGGTTTCAGAAAGCTATGTCAACAGTACGAACTTGCCACGCTTCTTGTCGACTATACGCTTTTTTTTCCCACAAGCCCAGCCCCCAACATTGCACGATCTCATAATCTCCGCTTGACGGAGCATACTGCGGTCCGCGAGATCCTTGTTATCGATCTGCAACACAGAATTGGCGCTAGATAGACAGATTTATTACCACGACAGCACTCCGTACAAGCTAGTCGCCGTTCTTTAGAGAACGCATGTTGCTCTCGTGCGCTTGAACATGACTGCCCGACTATAGAGGAAAAGGAACGTGACAATCAACGCGCGCACATGGTCTTTCTCATACTAACGGAGTTGCTGTCTTGCTAAGAAATGATACTTATGCATAGCCAAGACAGTGTCTAGATCCCGACCGTTCTTTGATAAACAAGCCGAGGCTACCGACACTTGTTTTATCCCCTGGGCAACTCTGGGACCCGGATTGCCCAACTCACCCATATCTAGTGGGCCAAAAAAAAAGGCGAAAGGGGGAGTATCCTTTGTGGTTAGCTTCCCATTTCGAGTGCGCCATCTTAACCCACATGGAGTGTCAGACACACTCCAGACCGGAAACAGGGCAGTCCCGACTCCCCATGGACTAAATAGCATCAACCCGACCACGCGGGTCCGTGGGTCTGCCGGGACGAAGACATGAATTACGTAGCACGATGTGAGTCTTATACCATAGTGTGCACCCACGGGCCTCATTCTCCTTCTTAAGTTCTTAGAGACTTAGCGGATGGACCGTTCATGGATTGATCTCACAAGGTTTGCCAGCTCCTTACTAACACTACGTAATAACTAACTAATAACTATCTAGGCTAACTCACTACTATCTTCTCGCCCTTGACAATCTCTGTTTCAATAATACACTTTACACTATTTTCTTCTTTGCCCATGCATACCTAAGTATATAGACTTTTCCTGCTGATCCACGCCACGCAGCCTAGGATACAATCCATAACACTACTAGGTGGGATAACATGCTGTCCGGCAGCCACTGGTCAGTCAAGCACGGCTCGACATTCTCCGCAAGCTAACTATCGCAAAGGGCCGCCCAATTTCCGTATTTTTCTTATCACTATTATAATAATTTATGACGACCACCACAGCAACTACCGTATGTCAAGCTGAAAACGGCATTCCGCCAAGAAGCCAGCACTAATAGTAATAATACAAGTATACTGCACCAATGTGCAGCATCGTGGATCCGAACTGCAAGCCAACACTTTCAATCTTCGAGAATATCTTAGCGCAGCCTTCACTTGCCATACGGTAGATCTTCGGACGTTACTCCTTACAGGTTATATGGTATGATCTCTAGTTCTGGTTTCCATAAACGATAACAATAATTTTACACGGTCTGGATCCTTGAACGCATCATCCTTACCTGGTCGCCTTCTTTTGCTCAGGCTTAGATGTCACTGCACTAGGTAGATTACTCCGTACTCTTATGGAGTTTGGCCCTACTCAGTCTCAAGCCGCCGGGAATGCGCTAGAAACACCTTGTCCGATACCCATGCGAATGATTCGCTGCATCTCTCGGAGCTGGCTCGCGCCCATCAATGAAGAGAAGAAAGATGTGGGGGCGATCCGAAGATCGATGACTGGTCTCACGTTCCGATAAAACCAGCAAGAAGTGAGAAGATTATTGATCTTTTATTGGGGCACCGGCCGAATAGCCACATACGCAGACCGTTGACGGGAAGAGAGATCCCTACCTCAAGTGGCTGGATTCTAGGCATCTTGGAAACAGGCGGACGGGTGCAGGGACCTCCCTCCAGAGTTGGGATCTCAGCCGGAGGAGTCCATCCGTCTGTCATCCGTGGATCTAGCTGACGCTATGGTGGTCATGTCTCAGGCTTTGAGCATCCGCCCCATTGTTATTATTTTATCACTTGTGAGCCATGTGGCTGGAGCGCCACCAAGCCTGTGCTCATTAAATGCACCTCCCGAAAAGTAACCGACCACACTCGGAAAGGCTCCTGTTGTTGCCTCTCATGAGGTACCTCTTTTTCAGTCGATCCGCGGGATAGCCAAAGTTAAGGTGAATGATGCTCTAGGAAGCAGGATCAAAGTAAATGCATGACTCTTTTCCTTGACTAAGCCACCTGCGATCGGCGAGAGAAGGAAGCAAGCCGCAAACCCTGTCGTCGTATAATAATATTGGATCTGTGATATCAGACCTGAAAAGAGACAAGGACGATGCCTGGAATTGTCAACGACTGGTCACGATCAAGTCTCCCTCAGATACCCGCCCGCCGTGCTGTTCAGAGTTTCAGACGGGAGACTCGGATTTCCGATCGCCTCAGTCGTCGCCGACTATTCTTCTCGGCTTCTAGACGTAGGGGTTACCATGGTCGATCGTCCAAGACTGGAGGGTGGCAATAATGTTAAGGATAATATCGAGACTAAATGGTCCCCTAGCGAGGTAGTCCACCCAGAGAAATAATTATTCTCAGTTAATAATGATCACCGAAAGTATCAAGGCCTCAGGGTCTCGTGGTGTCCCAGACCGCTGACTAACTAACATCCCATAAAAAAAATTTGAAGAGGGAAAAAGGGCAGACGAGCCGTCGCATCCACATAGTAGTGCAGTAATCATAATAGTACTAATAATAATGGACACAGGACATACGCACAGCTAGACTGGAACCCACTCATCATCCATGCGGCTTAGATACTCGACTGCACCAAGGAGAGGCTACAATATCCGACCGATCCATCAGTAGTAGTGACCAAGCCTCCCAGAGTCCCAGACTCCCAGGGGACCGAGGTTGACTGGGTGGAATCTCACCACCTGGCACCAACAGTCTGCCACATCATTATTATTATTATTACTCAGGAGTCAGAACCGTACTCTAGGCTCCAGCATTATTATTCTGCCCTTTAGCCACGCGAAAAAGGAACGGCTCGGAGCTGATACTGTTGCATACCATGCTGAGCGCCTAGGCCAACGATCACCAGGCCAAAGTCGGATAAGGTCGTCGAGAATACCAGCGGTCCATGAGCAGTTTAGCCCTTGCCTGGTGGCTTCGCCCGCGTCGCTTCGACCCTCTGCTGGGTGAAAATAATCATGACACTCGAGACATTATTTCATCATCTCCCGGATCCGGAGCCGGTACAATATTTGGGCCTCCACGCCTACACGTACGGCGTACAGATCCTTCCTGCACCTTCAGTTTGTCGTTGGAGTGTTCTGATCTTCGAGCGCAGCCGACAAGAAGCCGGACGCAGCCTGCCTCAGCTGTTTTGTTTATCCCTGAAAACAAGCTGCCTAGGATCATCAGTGGGTAGATAGACTTGGAGCTCGTGATGCCACTGCTGTCACCACCCTTCACGGAGTGTACTACCGTACACGTACACAGACAGACCATCCGGGCTCTCAGCAGCGACAAGGAATGGCGGGGACGGCACAACGCGCCGTTAATCAGTAAGCAGTACCATGCCGCTCAGGAGTCAGATCCACTGCCATCAAGACCAAAGTGGCAGGGGTTGAAAAGGACGAAAGGAACAAAAAGACGGAGTACATGAATAATGTTGTTCAGCAGCAGCCCATGTCTGCGACAGCACCAGGTCGTTTTAAGGGTCCACTACACCTGTCGCGTAGGTTTCTTTGTCCGGCGTTTATACTGACTAGATAGGCCCGTAAGCAATCCTGGATCTTCTGCAGTGGGATGTGATAGGGACAGATGCGATGTCGATTCTGCGACCAGACAGCGTCATCCCGCATTATCACGAAGAAGCCTCTTCGGCTCGCTTCTTGAATTGTTGTTCAAGAAGTTGGCCCCAGTGGATGGTCACCTTAGAGGCTTAGTCGCACTCTCGCTAGGTTGGATGAAACCGCCGAATAGGATTGATTGATTGACTTGCTCTAGTCCTCGGTGACTGTGACAGTTTGCAGACCCTGGTCACATTTTCCGGATCTCATAGATCGAGCCTTGTCAAAGCGGTTGTTACCAGGTAATTATGATAATAAACACATGGCTTGGAGTCCTGAACCGACAGAGAGCATGGGAGGTGAACTTTAGATGGCTGCGCCTCGATGAAAGTGGCTTGCGTCTATCTAGGTAGGGCCGTAGGCCGTGTTGACTCGTGCAACCGATGTTGCTTTCTTTCTGACCGACTGCATAGTTAGTTACGAGGTCGGCTTGCAAAGCTATCGTAGTAGTATGGAGTATGGACCCCGTGTCTGGCCCCGTTCCCTATGGCCGGAAATGGTATCTACGCATCGGGCGAAAGGCATCACTCAGCAAAGTCCATACAGTAACTACAACAAACTTGTGGTCCGTATCTCCCACAATATTGAGCTTCTAAATTTCATTTCCCCCCAACCTTGCAGCAATAATGCAGTCAGGATCAGCTGTGTGTGAGAAACAACCGTCAGTCATTCCGGTCGGGGGGTCCTGATCCACCATCCCTGGCCCATATCATGTCCTGGTGAGCTGTGTCCGATGCACGTTGCCAACCATGGAGACATGATAATAACTGTCAGATCAAGGTTGCGATAAATCAGTATCACGACGTAACCTATCTTTGTCCTTCGGGGACGTGTCAGCACCTAGTCACCTGGCAGATGGAAGATCAAGAGGAGTGATATGTTGCAGTACTAGACTACTGCCCGTGTTCAAATCACCTATGACAGTATGACTTAGCTCAGATCGAATAACTAGCCTTTCGGATCGCTGGTCCAAGCTGACATGCAGCGACAATGCGCCTTGGTTGGAGCGATCAGACGTACATACATTCCTACCTTACCCCTTCGCCGGTGCCAGAGCTGCATCATGTCAAGATCGACTCCTATCCCGGGATTGGATAATGGATCATGGATAGATTGGCGCCTGCGACCTTCTGATGTCTGTGTTACTGTTCCTCGATTCCATAGGCTTCCGCACTGCCTGCCACGGAAGTGGAGATGGTAGAAATTCTCCTTTCGCCTGCACCATGTCTAGTAACCTTACATATGGTTTTACTTTGGACCTGTACTTAGACTAGCTGCGTCGGCAACACCCGACTGCAGCAAGCAGCTTTGTCTCCGTGTAGGGATGGTGAAATATTGAAATGGGGGGTCAATTTCACGAAACGTGAAATTTCAACCCTTTTTTTCGTTTCGAAATTCGAAACGCACGGACCATAAGTGGGGCGCACTTATTACAAATTAGGAAACACGGAGAGTAAATCAGCTAATAATAATTCAGTTAGGTGGTTACTAATTGATTAGTAACATTTCAAAATTTCACACATTTCATTTCATGAAATTCAGACCCCCAAATTTCATGAAATTTCTGAAATTTTGAATTTCAAATGCCATCCCTATCTCCGTGGCATTTATCTTACTTTACTACTCCGTACCCCTCGCTCTCCTTGAGATACGTAGCGCGGGGATCGGCACGAGAGAGCACCGCGCGTTCTGCTGAGACCTATGTTTCTGTAACATCGCTACTCCATACCTTAGTCTACTACTAATTTGCTCAGAGGGAAGTTCACACTGGCTGATTGTTGCGCGCCCAGAACCTTGTTGACATCAATGTCATTTGATCAGGCTAAATGCAAGGTCTCGGTCAGCAACGCTCTTTCAGCAGCTAGGTGTTCATCAATGGACCCTTCTAGGTTTCTGGTCATGTGTACGGAGTATCACCGAGTGCGCGTGGAGAGAATAGACTAGCTATCACTTTTTCTGCAGCCATGGATTGATTATACGTACCTAACAGAGATCAGCAAAAGAGGAGAGGAATTAGGATCGTCCTTGTCAGGACCTACGCACGAGCGTGCTGTGGATTGTTTTGTTTTTTTGGTGATGCGCTAGTTATTCAAAGTGTGCATCAGTTTTATATTTTTATATTTGGGCTTGACCTTGCAGTGGTCCTCATGATGGTCTTGGCCTCTGAAGGCTCTGATGCACACCCCTTACTTCCTCTGAGTCTGGGGTGATCTAAATATACAGACACGCGCCGCATGAGCTCGCTTCGGCTTAGGCAGCTAGCTAATCAACGTTTACAAATCTATCTACGGAGTAGACGCTGTCCTAGAGTAAACTGAGCAGAATATAAAACATCTTTCACAAACTGAACATCCAAGGATATGGAAATAATTCTAAATGTGGTAATAACTTTCCCGTGGTATTGAAAGTCCATGCGGGCAGTGTATACCTATCACCGTCGGAGATAGGTTATTTGGCAACGAAAGTATCTATTCTGATAATAAACACGAAGCTGTAATAACATCAATAGTCGTTCTCCCGCCGCGGTCTTCTGCGTGTGCTTTTCACGAGTTGACAGTTATCATCTGTATACCAAGTGCCTGTCTCCCTCAGAAAGAGCGGACCAGTAACATTTGTATCATAGGCATTTATATGCCTCCTTAGTCGCGTAGTTATTATCTCGATATTATCACCGTTTATCTAATCAACGAAGGTATTAGCTTTCCGTGGAGCGCCTTCCCCCTTAGTACGAATATAAATCGAACGATCTATGAGAGTAGCCAAAATGCAAGTCTAGCTGCTGGGTCTCCATCGTTAGCTTCTAGGGCCAAATATCAAGGGTAGCTGTCAAGAATGAACAACTGCTTGAATGCGTATCTGGTTACGAAAGTCATATAAATCAGTGCTATCATATTGACGAAAAGTGGAACTCTGTCTCCCATGTCTGAATTCCGGAACGTCAACAGGTAGCATAGCATCCACTTCGATGTGGGAGATCGATTCAGGTCTTCCACGTAAGATACTAATTCGCCTACATGATATGTCAATCATGGAAAGGAAACGGGCTGACATTGAGAGATATGATCTTCTTGCCTCTCTATGATATATGCAGTCAGTCCACCATAGTCGATTTCTCTCCTCTAAAGTCTATGGATCACATTCAGTCCCAGTATACTTCCTGTGCATACCATTCTGGATAACAACTCTGATAGCAAGACCAAGATGTGTACATGCGAGCCCCTTGCAAATCTAGGTATAATGTATGATTTCCCTAATAGGAGACACGCTTGGACGCTCTCTGTAGAAGCAATAGTAATGAGATTCGGGAGCAGCTTGTAGGCAATGCGATATAGTGAGACACCTACGTTATTCTCGCTCGGTCCATCATCCTTGTCCGGCGCAAGATCTCTCAGATCCCTTGCCTTGAACTTATTTTCGTTCACATGTGCAAATTGAGTTCCGATAGCAAGAGCCATCAATACGCTGCACTCTCGGCGGAAGGCATGCCACCGAAGCAGTGATTAGAGATAAAGGAGACTGAAGCCGTGTAGCTCTGGAGTATTCCCTTATTCCCATCTTATTATCATGGATTTCCTGATGGGTAGAGAGTTAACTAGTGCATACCTGGAAGTTCCGAGATCAACGAACCATACATACCTCTGCGGTGCGAGAACTCTCTAGATGCTGGTAAACTCTCCGCCTAACACATTGGGGGGAACTCCAATGAGGAAGTTCACCTGAGTAATCTCTACTTTGAGATTGGAATATATGCGATTCGTGGATATCCATTTTATATACGTGCAATGTTATCAGGGAGCGTTTTCGCAGTAAAATTATCTCCATTAATCTCAGGTCCACCTTCATTATCGCACCCAAGTTCTTCTATCATGGGATGCCATTCATCGTCCTCATTTTACTGTATTTTCTCGGAAATATTACGAACGTCAATAATAATATTTCCAGGAAAATGCCGAGAAATTCGTCCAAGATAGCAAGATGGCAAGTCTTCTCATCTCTAGTCAAATTTCTATGTTACGATATTAGAAAACAAAAGCGGCGAATTAATACAATGATCAAGATAATCTTTACCTTTCATTCTGAACTCCCACGGTGTCCACTGGAATCGAAACCTGCGGAGATTCGCACTGCAGATGAATTCGAGAGCATCTTTTGTAGGCAATTCCGCCTTCGTATTTTTCTTTGAGCCCACGGCAGATATTACAACTGCGTTTATTTTTCAGTAGAGAAGGTCCCACTCAGTTAATAGCAAGATCACGGGTGATTTTCCTTATGCGCGTAAAGCTCTCCTTCCTGGAGGATTTGACTCGTCGGGAACTCTAGACGTGATGGCTAGTAAAATCGCAATACTTCATTGAAGTGCCTCGGTTCATAGACATTAGATGCTAGAAAAGCTCTGTGATTTCAACGAGTTGTCTCAGTGTCAGGTATACCTATTCTCTTAAGTCAAGATGATAAGAAGTGGTGGTAGCATAATGCATAAGTTTATCCATCTATCTATAATCGGTAACACTTGGCGAAAATACAGGAACATCCAGCAAATAGCTCAGAACGGAGATTTATTTACCTATTATATGCAAAGGCTACGGCCTCGAGGAGAGAAGTGCAGTGTATATTATGTGGTCCAGCGAGGCGTTAGGAATGGTTAAAGTAGACCTAATAGCGTGTGAGGGGTAGCGAGCATATTAGAATATTTTAATACCTTTTATTATTAGCTCATAGTTGGTTCAAATGCTCCTTCAAATAAGCCAATGTTTTAATTCTCACTGTGTTGTTGACTTAACTGGATGCGGAATATATAAAAGATTCTTCTAGCTTCCGGTTGGCTTTTAATAATAGGTATGTATGTACGTACAATTACCTAGTAGGAATATTCATTTCGGAGAAGGGATAATAACACAGAACCATACCGTGGCACTCTTGTTGTGATCACCCGTATCGCAGCTCTTCTCATTCCTGGTTCCTTTCATCTAGCGTATACTTACTGAAAACAGGCGAGCGATGTAGCGACGTCATCACCTCCCGCTTCGTCTCCAGCTCGAACCCCGCGCAGCAAAAGAAATCCGAGTTGCGTTGCCTTTCCCTCTAGCCGTGACTAGAAGGGAATATCAGCAATCGCAATTGTTGTGATAAATCCGATTGATTCTGTCGCTTTCATAACATGTCAGGCAGAGATTCAGGTGGTTCTTCTGCCATCGATGATGGAGACGTTGTGAGAGCACCCTCCGCCTTAACCGTAGGACCGGTAGCTAACGTGATGAAATCTATCAAGTTTCACGAGAGTGGCAGCGATTCTGAGATTCACAAGCAACTAGAGGTAAGCTGGTATTCTTTTTCCTGTCAATTTTTCCATTTCGGCCTCTTATCGTGCTTTTGACGATTCTAACTCCGGTTCGTAAAGGTAGTCTTCCGCCCGGACAATAACCACCGACGAAAATCGTCCCTTGTCGACGTTGATAACCCCAAGATCGCACGGCGCCGTGATCTAAGCGACCGGAATACTGCTTGCTTCGTTCATTCCCTTCTCTCCGGAGAATGGGAACCGCCAAGCAACAGACTCGAAGACATTGAGGAGGCCAGAAGCCAGCCGGCCGACGAGCCTAACAATGATGCGACCCATTTGACTGAAGCAGACAACGTGTCCATCATCGATTATGCGAAAAAGCAGGCGGATGAGGCAATTCCATCCGTCGTGGAGTCTCGGCATCTCACAAAGAAGCAATTGTCCGACATGGCTTGGAATGTGCGCAAGCTATCGAAGAAACTGGGGAGTGTCAAGCTAAAGCTCTCTGTGAAGACTGTTTTCCTGGTGACGAAAGCGCATGACGAATCTTTGGTGAGCTTGACCAGACGGGTTTGCCAATGGCTTCTCTCGACGGAGCGGGATAAGCCTTACATCGTTTACGTGGAGGAGAGACTTCAAAAACATCCGGACTTCGATGCAGATGGTTTGATTCGAGATGAACCGGCTGCCGCAGGCAGGTTAAAATACTGGGACAACCAACTGGCTCATGACCAGCCACATATATTTGACTTCGTCGTCACGTTAGGTGGTGACGGGACGGTTTTATATACCAGCTGGCTGTTCCAGCGTATCGTCCCGCCAGTCCTCTCATTCTCTCTAGGTTCACTTGGTTTCCTAACCAAATTTGACTTCGATCACTACGAAAGCACACTTACCAGTGCCTTCCGAGATGGTGTTGTGGTGAGCCTGAGGTTAAGATTCGAATGCACGGTTATGCGAGCCAAGCAGCAGATTGTGGATGGAGAGGACAATGCTCATGGCCCCAAGAAGAGAGACTTGGTAGAGGAACTGATTGGTGAGGAATATGAAGACTGCGTGACGCATACTCCGGACAAGGTATTTGAAATTCTGAACGATGTCGTCCTTGATCGCGGCCCCAATCCCAGTACGTATCTGGTTAGACCTCACCTGCGGTTCTGGTGTATAGATTGCTGACTGAGATATATAGCAATGTCTGCCATCGAGTTGTTTGGCGATGATGAGCATTTTACGACCGTCCTGGCTGACGGTGTCTGTGTCTCTACTCCTACTGGATCAACTGCTTACAATCTCGCTGCGGGAGGATCTCTCTCGCATCCGGAGAACCCCGTCATGCTTGTAACGGCCATCTGTGCCCACACGCTGTCGTTCAGACCTATCATTCTGCCGGATACGATCGTCCTGCGAATGGGTGTACCGTATGACGCGCGTACCACTTCATGGGCAAGCTTTGACGGACGGGACAGGTGAGCTCGCCTTAGCGAGGAATTTACGACTGATGGTTCAGGCTGACAATGGGATATTAGACTTGAGTTACACCCGGGTGACTATGTCACAATCTCGGCGTCTCGATATCCATTTGCGAATGTCCTACCGCCCGGGCGGCGGAGTGAGGACTGGGTTCACAGCATCTCGAAGACACTCAATTGGAATTCAAGACAGAAACAGAAAGCCTTCAAAGAAGGCCCTTCCGACAGCGCATCATGAGCGCGACGGAGACATTACTCTAAATACCGTGTAGCTGAAGTGGTTTGGATCGTGAAAATAGACCCTTCTGCATCTGTAAATATGGTGCACTTCAGACTTGCGTAGTTATTCATGAAGATGACCAAGATTTCGTATTGAACGATAAAATAGAAAATACCAGTCTTTTCTATTATTATTGTCAAGATGGCTCGTTATCATTACCCACCGCAAGGGAATCGTAAAACTCAACAGAACTATTATTTTGATTCTAGATTTTCTTTTAGTTGAGGACACAGCGGGGCTCTTTTTCTCACTCTTTTTTTTTTTTTTTTTTTTTTTTTTTTTTGGCGGTTCTCTAGAAGCTTCCCGTTCGCTATAACGGTGTCCGGGTGGGGAGTGATGGTTTCCCCGGCAGCCTCGCTTAAAATATAAAATATAAAAGGCCCAGCTGCCCTCCCGAAAAGTTTTCTCTTTCTCATCCACATCTTTCACTCACGCGACGTTCGACAGAACAATCCCCCTGCCAGCAAGCTTCGCAGTCAGCGAGGAGAAAAATGAGTCTCTTGTATCTGTCTGGCTATTGAGCTGCTGACAGGGAACAATGTGAAAAAGGAAGGAAAGGAAAAAAAAAAAAGGAACTTGCCGATCAAAGATCTCTGCTCTGGCAGACTTTGCTAACCAGTCAAAGACCAGCCATCTCGACTGACCATTTCTTTCGGTAAGTTCTTACACTTTTGTCTTGTCTTGTCATGGTCAAATACACCCTCCTTTCTATATGATGAAAATTCCTTCCACATTCGCAGTTTCCACGCTAGCACGTCGCCATAAGAACCCATCTTTAGACGTGCTCTGTGCGCGAATATCTTCCTTGGATGTCTGATTCTATCCACAAAAAAATTTGCATTTGTTGATCATGGCTCGCGATTCGACATTCTCAGGAATCGGAAGTGCTAATGACTTGCGCAGTTTAGGTATTTTTATTTTGCGGCCCAGAAGATTCTGTTTATAACATATCCACTGGGTTTGATCGACGATCTTTATTTGGTAGTCTTGTACATATCTATCACGAGGAGGATACACTGGTTACTATGGGGCAAGGGAGTCGAATTTTTCCTCGTGCTGTTTAGTCGCAAGGCAGGCTTCGTTGTAGCTCGTGTAAATTTAGGATACCCGGTCTGTTGAATGCATTGAGAATCCCGCAACGATTTCGATTTCATGTTCTTGAAAAGCTTTTGCATACTGTAGGCTGCGGAGTAAATCGACTCTTGTAAGGATGTTTGCCAATAATTTCACCCAAGTGAAGCCGTATGATGCAAACCGTAAACCCCTTGAAATGACATCCAATGTGTCAAAACGCATTGATCAACGTACTTTAAACACTTCGTATCACTGTCAGAATATTATTCTTCTTGCAGAAGTAATAGGTGGTGGCTTGATGCTACTTCTTCAGGACTGCATCAGCCGGTAGTCTGCTCCGCCGTATTGATTAACTACGGGGAGCGGAAGCTAGAGACATGCGGAGATACATCGATCTCTCTCCAGTACACATACGGAGGCAGCACCGCAATGCCACGATGATGCATTCTTAGGAATAGGCACGAAGTGATATCTATGCCCCAGTTGCCAATCGTCGATCTCCTAAGTACCTTTCGACATTCTATCACCCGCCGACTAACCCGCGGTCCACCACCACCACGACTATCTACGTTACAACAATAACTGACACCCTGCAAACCTATACCCTCCTTATTCCCATTGCATCCCATTAAACTCTTTCAACTGAACACTGCATACCAAACGGCATCATGTCAACGTCCTCTACCGCCCGCCACTCCATCATCTCGAACAGCGGCAGCGGTTCCAACATCGCAGGCGCCAACGAGAAGCCATATCAACACCATCCCTCGCAATCAGTATTGACAATCCACCAGGCCAGTTCGCCAGGCCTGCGTGTGCCATCGAACCGCAAGACCATCTACGATAGACATCTGAATCGGAGTCGAAATGCGGATCTGAGCCGCGCGAGCTTTGCGTATCTCTTTGCGGAGATGGTTACGTATGCGCAGAGACGGGTTACGGGAATTCAGGACCTGGAGAGAAGGTGAGTTCCTGGATTCGTTGATTCTTCTTGAAGGAGGGAGGGTTCTACAGCATTATTTGCTGGATATATGTTATGATTGAGAGGCCAGTTGGGCAGGATAATGGCGTATATCTACTCACATGATGCGATTTGGATGAGTAGCTATAAACCACAAGAAAGAAGATTGACCAACTTCTCTCCTTTACCAGATTAAACGAACAAGGCTACCCACTCGGCCTCCGCTTGCTTGATCTCCTCTTCTACCGCTCCGCATCGACGTCGACATCCTCCTCCCTAACCGCCTCCTCGACGTCTTCGTCACCTCCCAACCGACCCCTCCGCATTCTGCCCCTCCTACATCTTATCCACGGGCCTCTCTGGCGTCTCCTTTTCCAGCGCCCAGCAGATGCGCTCGAACACTCCGTCTCTCCGCAGACTCCAAACGAGTACATGATCACAGACAACGACCCGTTGGTGAACACGTATATTAGCGTGCCCAAGGAAATGAGCATGTTGAACTGTGCGGCTTTCGTGGCTGGTATCATTGAAGGTGTTTGTGACGGGTGTGGTTTCGAAGCAAAGGTCTCGGCGCATAATCAGGGTACGGAGATGTGGCCATCCCGGACAGTTTTCCTGGTTAGGTTCGGGGATAGTGTAATGGAGAGGGAGAAGATGCTGGAGAGGGCGGGTGTGAAATAATCGAGTCCAAAGGAGATAAGTCATTTGAAACCTAAGGGACATGGAAAAGGAGGGAGACGCTTGATTCCGCAAAAGAGCAAGCATCATGAGCAGCTTCGGCGTTACTGAGGGGTTATTTCTTCGCGGGGCTCTTTTTCTAGACATTTTGATTCGAGATTATGATTACGGCGAGGCGTTGCACAGAGAAAGCCATCGAAGAGACTCTTTACGTTTTAATCTTCAAGTTAATAGATTCATGTCAAGATATCGACCAATATACGTTCCGATTGAGAACCGGATAGAAAAAGCTCTACTTTTGAACTGAAGTATATCTATCGGTCGTTTCTGTCCGTGCCGACTTGAGAACGCCATAAACCAACTTTGTCCATTACAGCCAGTAGTCGCCTTGAACGCCCGAACAAATGCATGGTTTTCCTTTTAGAAGAACGGAAGTTTCAACCTCAATGGACGCTGTCCACCCGCCGCCGCTTATCGCGGTCATCATAGGGCGATGGAGACCGCTTCCTACGATTCCTGTCATCGTCTCGATACCTGTCTCGGTCACGTCGATCGTCGTCTCTGTAACGACTTCGGTCATTGTAGCGATCTCTTCTCGGCGAGAAAGATCTAGACCTAGAGCGCCGCCTCGGTGGTGTACGAGAGCGCGAACGTCGCCTTTCTCTGACAGCGCTTGCGTTTGCGCCTGTTGGTCCTTTGCGACGATCGTCACCGCGATCTGGCATGAATCGCTCATCTTGGACCCCTAGGGGAACATCACGGTCCCTACGAGGTCGGTTGTCGAAGCCTTCACCCCATCGACCTGTATCTTCAGATCGCAGATCCCTGTAGCGTGTTCGTCCCTTCTTTCCAAGCTTTGTCATGTCTCGAATCTGCATGTACTGCGGCAGAGTCTCACGATTGACGTCGTCCGCGAATCGGGCACCCATAACATTACGCTTATCGAGGCCTTCACGCTCCAGATCGTCCTGGAAGAAAGCACCCTTGTGGAAGTAACGCTGCATGAACCCCGTCTGTCCTCGAGTCGCCTCTCGTTCTTCCTTCTGCTTCTCCAGAAATTCACGGTCTTCACGTTCCCGTTCTTCCGCGGTCAAGTTGCGACGACGCTCGATCTCTTCGCGTTCCTTCTCTGCAGCTTCGATCGTTTCGCGCTCCCGTTTGATCCGCTTGAGCTCCCGTACTTTCCAGGCTGCGTATTCAGCTTCAGGGTCCAGCCCGTCCCGATCGTCCAGCGCTTCTTCGTCGCCAGCCAGCTCATCCTCATCCCATTCTTTCTTGCCTGCTGTTTTTGCAATTGCTTCCTTTTCCAGCTGCTCTCGGACTAGCAGGTCGGCTTTTTCCTGCTTTCTGCGACGCTCCGCCTCAGCTGCGGCATCCGCTCCAGACGTCTCAGTCTTCGCCGCCGGAGCATCTGCAGCTTGGCCAGCACCGTTATTACGCTTATCCTTCTTGATGAACGTAGGACGTAGTAGAACCCTTCGAGGGGCCTCGTCTTCGGAACTTTCTTCCTCTTCAGACTCTTCCTCTTCCTCCTCCGATTCTTCCTCTTCACTTTCCTCTTCACTGGCTGCGACGGCCGCAGCAGCAGCTGTTACTGTCGATGGTCTGGCAGCTTTCGCAGCCTCCTCATCAAGTTCTTCCTCCGTAACGAACCCTTCCTCGTCCTCATCTTCGTCGATTTTCACTTGTTGCACGCCCTTCGTTATCTTCCCAGCTGCCGCACCTGGAAACGAGGTTGCCTTAGGAGCTTGCTGTCTCTGCTGTTGCTGTCTTCTTCGCTGCGCTTCCTGCTGCTTGCGTCTTTCCTGCTCGTTGGCCTGCTCCTCCTCCTCCTCCTCCTCCTCTTCTTCTGATGAAGAAGGCTCCTCCGCGATCGCTTTTCCCGGACGATAGCGCTTGACAGGCTTGAGAGGGTTGGCAGTCATGCCCCGGTGTTGGGAGGGGAGTGGAGGAGGCATGTTGACAGCGGCGATGACCGCAACTGACGTCGCTGGCGAAAGGCAATTGGCGACTCGAAGCGTGAGACTAAGGTCGAAGATATATGAATCGAAGTCTCTTATATATTGCGACCCGCCAACAGTCCTCTTTTCTGGAGGTCCTAGACGTTAAGGATGACAGAGTCGTTGGGCTGTCGTTCAGTCCAGGCCTGCGAAGCTTGTGAAAGCGGCGATGTTCAGTCGAGCAGTAGCATCACGTGATATATATAGATGTACTGAGCCAGCCATTTTTTTTTTTTTTTTCAGTTTTGGTATGGACACCACTGATTATCATAGATTTGACAGATAGATTCAATAACTCAATACTGGATATGAATGTAGCAAGCTTTCTCCAGGACCTAACCTGCTCAAGTGCGCGTTTGCCAGCGAGAGTAACTAGGTACCCAGTCAAGCTCTACGGACGAAAAACAACCCCTCAGACTCGACGAATCATACAGCTGTCTCTACCAATACCAGCCATATGAAGCAATAAAAGAACCTAGCAAAGTGGTTGTCATGCTGGTTCAAAGAATCTACTCCAACCCAACACTCTAGATGACCCCGTCAATTAAAAGCACGTGACTACGCGTTACGCGAAACGCGCGGGCGATGACCTTCACTTTCCTGAATCAGTCAAACATCTCTGTGATCGACTATTATTTTATACCGGCCCATTTCACGAATTAAACCGAACACTTTTGACCTTTTACGCTAGCTTCTACTCTACGTCTACCATCAGTCAACATCGCTCTTCTCCCGTCTCTAGCAGATAGAACTTCCTAAGAAACAACATCCCATCCACCATACACACAATGTCCCTCCAAACCCCGCGTGTTCTCCCTGCGCACATACACGCCTTCCATCCTTCGAGCGGCAATCGCTCATTGCAAACAGTCCGTATTCTGGGCACAGTAACTGCGCTCCATGGCAGCACGGCGACTCTTACGTGTGGAAATAACGGCGATGTCACTTTGCTCTTGAAGTTGGATTCGCATCTGCAGATGGGGAGACTTGTGGAAGTGGTGGGAAAGGTCGCTGAGTTGGAGGGTGGGCAGGTATGTTTGATTTTTAATTTATTCATTGATTTCAAATAAATCAGTTAATTTGTTCTGGCGGTTGGGGGGGGGGGGGGGGGGAGTGGGGAAGTGTCTGGTTAATTTAATAACTAACACATGAATTGTATAGGGACTCGGTCTGCGCGTTTTGGCATCGACGGATTGGGGAAATCCAGCGGATTGCGGTATGTTGTATATTCATTTGATTCTCTTCAACTCCCATCTATATACAGTTTCTCTAAACGTTTTTTTTTTTCTTTTCGTGGCTAACTTGTTGTTATTGTTGATGACTGTAGATTATAAGATCTATGAACAAGCCGTGGAAGCAACGCATCGGTTCAAGGAGATCTTTTATGATTCGAATGAATGAACGCTTTTTTCGTTTGCGATGTTGGAATGGAAAATACTCAAGAAAGGACAGAAAAAAAGAAGACCAGGATGAATGAAGAGATAATAGGAGGCAAAGAGAGGCGCATATTAGTTTCTTTAAATGTATGATACCACCTTTACTCGGGATCTAGAAATACGCAGGTTAGAATGCCCCTACCAGAATGATCTTGCATCTTATCAACAATAGTTATAGCTTGAATCCTGGCTGTCATGAAGCGGAACATTTTTGCAGAGATCACATGCTGTTCTTGGTGACTATAGAATCTGTCTACTGCTTAAACACATCTACTATAGGAGAAATTCGGCTTTGCAGATAATAGTGGAACACCTCAAGACTCTCTCTCCCCTCTCCAGATCGATGATATTTCTATATGTAGAGTGCGAAGTAGATCATTGAGACCTCTCATATTTAATATACTAAATGCTATTGTGAGAGATGATTTCATCTCGCTGTGTCCTTCCTATCCTATATCCCAAGCAAATCCTATGCCCTGGTCAAAAGACCGTCCGAAATTTCCCAGTGCAGCTATAATTCGCTGCCGGTATTATTGCTATGTACACTATCCCAAGCAACCGTAACCATAAACATCAGAGTACCTCCAACCCGGCACGAAAACCATCAGTGTAATTCGTTCCCATCCATCCCAAAAACCACTAAATGAATGTGAAATTGTCGAAGAGAAGCCGTCTCATTGCTTGAATCAAGCGAGTGTGGCTTGTTTTTGATGTCAGACAGAATGAAAATGTATAACCGGTCAACGCCATCGCTTAAAAAGAATAATGCAGTTGTAAGCAGAACAAAAATCTATGAAGTCGTGTTCGCAATGTCAGATCATTAAACGGCCGTGGAGGCAGATGCCTCATCCTTGTTCTCTTTATCACTCTGGGGCCCGTTGGGCCCGGCGTCCTTCACGCCTAGACTCGTCAGGTGCTCGTTGGGAGAATCGGAGTTGAAGAATGCAGAGTCGAAGAGCCCGGACTGATTTTCGCCTTCACCGGTACCGTCGAAGAGAAGGTGTCCGAATTGAGAGTTATGGAGGTTTGCCTTATGAACAGCAGGATCAGAAAGGATCGCGTTGATGAGATCGTCCGATTCATCAGGGTTGCTGAAATGGCGCCCTTGGCCTGTACGCTGCTGACCGGCTTCGGATCCACCGGGCGATACATAATCCGAAGGAATCCAGTCCACCCAATTCTTAGGCGGCTCAAAGGGGTCAAATGAGTCCGTCTGTGTTATCGAGGCGGCGTCTTCATCGAAGATGTCCATTATCATACCGTCAATAACCTCATAGTTTCTAGAATGAGGACTGTTGCCGTGGAGCGAAGGAAACTTGGGAACATTAGACCCAAATTGCTTGCTGGGCTTCGGTCCACGAGGAGTAGATCCTGGTGACGCCCCCTGGACACGCTGCAGGCTCTCTGAAGTCGACTTGCTGGGTGTCGTTCTCGAGCTCCCTGCTCTTCCATTCCCGGGAGTAGGCGAGAGAGGCAAGGAAAGTCGCTTCTCTCCAACCGGCCCGCCGCGTCTTCTCGGGGTTGGACTTGCAGGCGGATCGAATTCGAAGGTAGGACTCTCGAATAGGTCGTCCAGATCATCATGAGAAACAGGATGATGGTTTTCCTTGTCCGCAGACTCCTTTGCCGAGTTTTGAGAAGCGACCCGAGGACTACGCCGAGGGCTGTTCATCAACGAATCGCCCAACATTTTCATAGCTCCTTGGTCCTGCGCGTTCGGAAACAAGTTTCTTCTGACTGGTTTTGGTGTAAGATTCTCCTCGGATGCTGCGACATTCCGCACCTGGAGATTGCGAGCTGGACTCGATTGGATTGCCCGCCGGAGAGCCTCTATCGCATCCTGTTCTTGCCAACGGCGCTGAGAAGTGTCCGTGGAGCCCCGAGGCTCTACGCTGTTAGCACGGCGTCGGCTTGAAGATCCATCCTGCTGTTCCTCATTATTGTCACGATCATTCTCCGCGTGCGGAGTGATTCCCTCTTCCGCAGCAGGAGAAGAAGCATCGGAACGCCCTGGAGAGGACTCGGGAGGCTTCGATTCCTCAGTTCGGCTGCGGCCCCGGGTTGCAGTGTTACCTCCGCCGGAAAGGGGCCCCTTTTTATGCCTTGTAGCTCGTTTTCTCTTGTCCTTGGCTGGCTTATTCCACTTGTTCTCAGGTCGCATGTGCTTGAACTTATGAAGCCACAAGCCACAGGGATTGCAGAGGAGCACTTGCACATAGTCGTTATCTGTGTCGGCGAGGGTCTTTTTGAAGACCTTGAATTTGATGACTTTCTCCTTATTTTCCTGATCCCTCTCCACGACCTGCCAGAACAAGATTGTGTTGTCTCTAGCGAAATCGTTGGCCTCTTGTTCACTGCCCTCCATCTCTTTTGACCAGGCCCTTCGCCAGGTAGGAGTTTCAATAGCGCCACAGTTCTCACAGAAAGGAGGAACTTGTCCATCACGGATACATTTGTCGAGGCGTGCCTGGACCTGTTTCACACGTCTCGCGCCAGCCCCGCTTCTTACCTTTCCATCATCGACAGGGAGTGGAGCTGGTGTTTCGATGGCGGAGAAGTCACTCATCGGCCCATTCCACGAGTGAGAATGTTGCAAGACAGGGTCACTCGCCGGGATTGCACTCATGAGCTGTTCAATCTCGCTCTGCGACATGGGTGCTGGTGCCAACGGTTTCGGGGGCTGCCTTGCGCTTGCTCTTGAAGAGGGCCTGGACCCGGCCCTTCGAGCAGGAAGTGTAGGAGTGGAATCCTTCGGCGATGGAGCTGCCGGTCCGTCACTAGCCAAGTAGTTGTCGTGTTGCGGAACCGAAGCACGGTGTGTAGTGACCGGAGAGGTTTCCTGGGTGTTAGAAGCGCCAGTATGCTCGTTTCTTGCCGTGTCACTGGAGATCTCCTTTCTGCAGTGGCCAGGAGTTACGACATCGTCATCCATATTGGTACGTAGACATGTGTCGTCATCCAAGAGGTCTTCGAGCGTGCCACTCATGAAGCCAGAGTCAGGGTCCATGGGTACTGGTGGAAGGACAGGGCTAGACCTGTTTGGGAATCCATTGTCCACGATGGGCGGAGATGATGGCATACTTATAGAAGGCTCAAAGATCCCATGGTAGCGAACCTCTTCCGGGGAGTGAGCATTCGGTTCCGCGGAGGGGCGGTCATCACTCATGGCATAAGGTGAGTTATACTGAGCAGTGCTCTGAGAAGAGGCCTCGCGAAGCAGACTTGGAGCGGGGCGTACCCGACGAGGCATATCATCAGGACCAGAGATCGGAGTAGGTGGCCGGATTGGTTCTTCGTTAGATCCCCTGGCCGAAGCAACTGCAGGATTGACGGGAGTTGGACGATGGATGCGAACCGAAGCAGCCGTGCTTGCTGCGACGCGGAGGGAAGCAGACTGCCTCTCAATGTTCATGTCGACACTGCTAGGCCCATCTGCCCTGTACAGTTTAGCCCTCTTTCTCGGCTGCTGGTCGCCTATCTCATCCGAACTGCCATATCCTGACTGCACAGACCCCCTGCGAGAGGCAGAATACGACGGATGTCTCTGAAGCTCTCCATCACGTGTAGATGTTCTCGAGGAAGGCCTGAAGGCCTCGCTAGCTCCACGTTTGGTCTGCTGGCTGCTCGTAGGCCGGAAGCCGCTAGGAGTCGAATCTCTGCTGGGTGCTGCTGCGAACGTTGACTGAGCCGGGGAGCCAGCCTGGAAAGGCTCATTGCCATGCATGGTGGGAAACTCCCTTGGCGTAGAACCTTCACTGAGAAGCTGGTGAAATTTTTCGATTCCCGAGGCATCCAGAGGGGAGGTGGTACGGTCAGTCACTTGAGGACGTTTGTTAGGGGCAAATAAGCCAGGGTTCTGCTGAATAAAACTCGTCCATGCTCGAGCATCGAATTCTTGCGGAATGACCTTGCTCAGTTCGCGATACTTCTGCATGCTGGTGAGATACTCGCTCTGCATAACCGTCGGAACGGGCACCAGTCTCAGTTTGACCTCCAATGTTTCTTGGGCTCCTTTAGAAAACAACCCCAGCACGTTCTTGCACACACGACCGGTGACGATGGTTCTCGATTGATGGGCAGGTGCGTTCGGCGTGGGCGAAGCGGAAGCGAGGACCCATGACAACATTCCCTGACCGACCAGCGGCGTCTCATATTCCGAGTAATCGTAAGCATAAACAGTGTAGTCTTGACCTAATTTAGCCACCAGCTCAGGGCTAGCACGTCCAGTGAGCAAAGGATCCGATGCATGATCCGGGAAACAGGCACCGCGTACCTAGCAGACACAATGGCTTGGATACATGTTTTCAACTCGATGACACCGATCTGAGTCTGTTCGTCAAGGTAGGCGGTTTGAATATCGAGCAGATGAGGCCACCGGGCAAGGCAATTCGTCTTGTTCTCGTCATCGAAGGTATAGAGCACCTTGACTGCATTTGGCAAGAGTAGCCATTAGAACAGAGCGTCCGCACAGCGTGAGAGAAGGAACTTACGCCTCATAGAGCGGACGGATATACCGTCCTGAGATTCCATCCCGCCGGCAAGTCGTTGCTACCATACGCAGGGAGGTGACGAGATCTGTAGGAAGACGAGCTTTTTCAAACCGTGGTCGAGCTGCAAGTGACGTGTAGTGTTCGCGTTTGCGAGTCGGCCCGACGCTGAAAATTGAAGGTGTACTGAGGAGAAATTGAAGCTGGAACAGGACAACTGATGACAGTGTGAGCTGCAGAAGAAGTCTTCCAGCTGTCGTAGACGAGATTAGTGCCGTCGACTAGGAGAATAGACGGGTATGCAACGCAGGTCGCAGTGGTATGGAAGTCCTAGCCAGCGGGGCTCTGGTATGTAGGAGAGCGTAAGATGAGTGGTGGAGGACGAGTTGAGTAATATATAGAGGAGAAAATGGGAGCCACCGTGAAGATATATGGCAGAGGAAGCGATAGCCTGCCGCAGGAGCAAGTCAATGGCTCGCGGGGAGGTTGGGGAGAGAAGATCCCTTGAGTCGTGGGATGGGATCGAATAGTTTAACTACCCAAGTTCAACTTGGATCTCAAGCGTGTACGCGACGTGACGCAGCCAATCGCGAGCTCGTGAGATCAAAGCGCCAAACACGGCAAACACGCGCCGCACGTGACCCGCCAAGCTCTCCAGCTGCTTCTCTGGGGAATCCGAAGATCGCAGAGCATCCAAGTCTCTCTCCAGCAGCAGTCCTCTGTCTTCTTTCTTATACGGCACCATGTCCGACACCAAGATCCAGTAAGTCTTCAGATGCTCCGCGTCTACGCTCTGATGAGTCATAGACCCTGGCTGCAGCCCCTAGACTCCCTCATATCCCTGTCGATGGAAATATGCTGACCTTCTTGCGCGACTCTACAGAGATCTGCTGAACAAGCCCCGCAGCGAACTGACGTAGGTTACTTTCTTTAGCCTTGATGTATTGTTGCAGTCTTTCTCTCTGTTGCCTGGACCATCGACCGTTTTATGCCGTCCACGGCTTGCCCCGCATCCCGTCATATATTTCTAGACGTCAGAGTACGATCGCATACTGACTGTCGGACGTCTAGCGAGTATGAGGTCGCGCTGGTGGAGGAGCACGAGTTGACCGCAGGACCGCTGTCTCTGCTGCAGACTGCGACGCGCACGCATACCCAGGTTCTGATCTCCTGCCGGAATAACCGCAAGTATGTATCTCTGATCGCAATCATCGATCTATACTCTATATTCTAGCTTACCTTTGACTGACTGTTCCCCTTTTGTCTCAAGGCTGTTGGCGCGTGTTAAGGCCTTTGACCGTCATTGCAACATGGTTCTTGAGAATGGTAAGCCTGTCCTGACGAATAATGGATGATCCCAAATTGTTCATGGAACGTTCTAACTCTCTCTCAGTCAAGGAGATGTGGACAGAGAAGCCCAAGGGTGGAAAGGGAAAGGGAGTTAACAAGGACCGCTTCGTCAGCAAGTTGTGAGTTGCATGATCCCTCTTATTTTTAGGTCAACCGTAGACCTGATAGCTACGCCGCATATGTTGCCACGCTATGTCCTTCTCTCGGCCGGAGTTCCCTCGTTTTCCTCTAGGTATTCTCGCCATCCGATTACTGACCTGCGGTTATAGGTTTCTGCGTGGCGACTCCGTCATCCTGGTCCTGCTGAGCTGAAGGTGCCACGCTCGATTTCTCGATTTCTCGATTCTCTTCTAATCCTAAACCACGCCGCCTGTGTCATCACATCTGAACTCCGGAATGAGCCTCTGCCGCAGTATCGACTTATCTACATCGTTCCCGCGTAATGGCCTGGGACCTACCTACGCTGTGCAGATGTCGTCCCGGAGGTCGTGTTCTACGATGGAGCTATATCTTGCTTTTTAAAAAGAATCCCGTTTCTACAAGGGATAGCAGTGACGAATATCTCACACGCACTTCGAAAACAGAGGAATGGGTAAAATGGCGTTCTGTATCTGCTTAAAAAAAAGGCTTTCCCTTGATTTGATCACTGTTCCCGACGGTTGGAAAGGGAAAGGCAATTTATTTAATTATGCTGCAAGTCCTGCCGTTCTCGAAAACCAATGTCCAGGGAATGGGAACGAGCAAATAAAAAAAAGTTTAAAAGCATAAATCAGACTCCCAGTCATAAGTGTAGCCGCTTACAGCGGATAGAATTTTGACACCTGAAGCAAAGTTGGATATCCTGGTGAATATAGGAGTTCTGTACCATATCGACTTATACCAAAAAATATATGTATATTTATATATTTATCCTTCTCAAAAGGGGCGAAGATGTCCATGAGCGAATCATCATATCAAATCATAAATAAATAAATAACACAAACATGAGAGGATGTGCGTATTATTTTCATTTCTCTCTCTCTCTCTTTTTGCTTTCATTTTCATCTTCTAGTTAAGCCGCCTCAGCCAACCCCGTAAGGAACTCACTAAGTCCATAAGCGCCAGGATCAGGAATCTTCCCAACCCATTCATCCTCGCCGCCAACGTAGACCGCACGACCCAGACTGGCTTTCATGCTCTTGGTAGCCTCGGTACCTTCCTGGGCTGCTTTAGCGGCAGCCTTGATGTCCTTCGTCTCGATCAGTTTCTTAGAGAAAGGCACAAGGGCGTCCATGAGAGTGCGGTCTCCAGGCTGGGCGGGCGTGTATCTACCCAGAGCGGAGATGGAGTACCTGACTGCCTCAGACCAGGTTTCGGCAGTGACTTGAGTAGCACTGCTTCCTTTGTCCTGGGCGCGGAGACCGTGCGAGAGAGCATTGAGGCCAATGGAATAGATGGCTCCTGATGTGCCGTCCATGACATTTTCGACGACGTTGGTGATTTGGTTGACTGCGTTGACGACGTCGGTTAGGTTGGTGGAGGGGTCTTGGATCTTTGCGAGAACGGCCTCTGCGCCGCGCTTGAGGCCAATGCCGCAGTCGCCGTCGCCGACGATGGTGTCGAAATGTGTTACTTGTGGCTCGGCGGCGATGATGCGCTTGAGACCAGCTGTGAGAATGGTCTTTAGGGCGATAGGATCGGCTGGTGGGTGCTTGTTAGCTATGATGTGACTGTGTGTGGATTGTGACGGCGGGGGGTTATAGTATATATATGCTTACTCTTCAAATTGCTAGGTTGCTCTTCAGGGAGCTTGGTCTTCGGGAGTTCAGTCCCCTTTTCATTTGCGCGCTCCCATGTTGATGTTGTGATAGGAGCGGTCCAGCCTACTGCTTCAGCAGGAGCGTCGATAAGCTCTAGCAGGGACTTGCCAGGCCCCAGGCCAGTGTCTGCAAGCTTAAGAAGCGATATGCTGAATCCCAGACCGTTCAGACTGGTCTGGAAAGCACCCTGGATCGTGCGGACAGGGGAGATCTTGTAGTCTTTCTCGAGTTGTCTGTACACTTCGCTTGTGATGCCGGACAGTTCCAGAGTGCTTACACCTCCCAGGTTGTTGACGAATAATACAAACTTGTCGTCAGGTTCGCGGGTTATGAAAGCACGGTCCTTGTCGTTGTGGTCCAGAAGTTGTAGGAGCATTGTCTTTATCAGCTCTTCCATGGTAAACTTTATGCGGTGGGATCCAGGCTCGTTATGGATTCCCATGCCCACTTCCACCACGCCAGGGGGAAGCGTTTCCGCACTGGGGTCGATCTCGCGGCCAGGGACATGGACATGCTCGAGGGAGGCGCCTAGCGATACCAGGTTCTCGTTTGTGAGCTTTGCGACTCCGTAGACATCCTCGAGGGAAGCACTGTTCAACTATTAGTCTGGTACTAACTCTCCAAACTATAATCATACGACGACGAGCGTCTCGCCCATGGGTAGACGGCCCACTCACCCAGTTTCCGCCAACGCTCCGACAATCTTCAATATCAAGATACCGCCAGCAATACCTCGTCGACCGACCTTTCCACTCTTCTTGCGTCCGACTCCCACATCATCTGCCATGGGGAAGAATTCGGTCTTGATTCCAGCGGCCTTGGCCTTCTCAACGGCCATACCGAAGTTCAGGACATCTCCCGTATAGTTGTTCATGATGATCAGAACACCCTTGTCCGTCGCGACACGCTCCATTGCCGCTCGGCGCACTTGCTCTGCCGAGGGCGAGGCGAAGATAGTTCCAGCCACGGAGGCCGTCAGAATTCCTTTGCCCACATATCCAGCAAAAGCGGGCTCATGGCCAGAACCACCTCCGGAAATGATGGAGACCTTGCTCTTTGAAGATTCATCAGGCCGGCGGAAAATGATCTTATTCTCCTGATCGAATTCCAGAGACGGATTCGTGAGCGTCAGGGACCGAAGCGCATCAATGACCAACTTGTTAGGGTCCGTAAAGAAATGCTTAGCTGAAAAATCGCATATTGTCAGTAAAACGAATACCGCAGTAGTTTGCTTAGAGAGCTGGCTAGCAGATGGGAAGTGGGCTGCTGGAGTCGGCCAAAAGATGTGGGTTTGGGTTAAGGACGTACACTGCATGGTGAAATGCGATCTATACTGGAATGGAATATGACGCCGAGAAGGTTATTGGCACGATTCGCGTCCACTAGAGAAAAACAATCGCGGATGCCAAATATTCAAAGATTTCCCAATTCTTAACCAGATCAAAAACTGAACAGAGATCCCCCGGGAGAAATAATCATATATTGAACAGTACTCCGCATGACACTCTATACCTGGTGAATGGCGGGGATGAAGTGGGGAACCTGGTCGCGCAGAAAAAGAGGTCCATGGTCAGCAGCGTCCATCGAGTATGGGTAATTATTGGATATGATCGTAAACGAGAGAAAGCGTTGGTAACGTTGTGCCATAAGCCGAGGAAAGAAATGACTGTATTCGCACGGCCTGTCTGCGGGCTCTGTTGTTGATGCGGGGACCGTAGGATCTCTGTTCCCTTCAAAGTTCCACGGATAAAAAGAATCTCATAGCATTTCCCCAAGGGGGATGATGGACAGCTATTGGACAGAAGAGGAGAATCCTTACCTGCTGAGAGGTCATGCGAATTGAATTGCGCTGGGAGACAGGAGGCTCAAGCGGAGGTGAGCTGGTCCACGAGATGAGCGCAGCAGTAGTACTTAGTGTCACGAGTGATACCTGTCCACAAACAATGAACCGCAATGGACGTCCAATCCACTGGAGTAAAAAGAACGCAGAGGTCGGACGAGAGAGCTACCTGATGGGCAGCTCTTTTATGTAGCAGAGCATGCTGCTGTCCCACCTCTGCTCCTCGCCCTCCGCATGAGCACAGGAGGTATTCCCGTACGACTTCTGGAGTCCCAACGGGCGCCGGGATCCTGTAGCATTATTCCACGTCTTCCCTCTTTTCGCGGTGTCTCCATTGCTGATGGCTTGACGAGAAGAGCGGTTTGCCTTCCGGGTCTGGATCTCGCAGCTCTTGTTGCTCATACCCCGGATTCCCCTAAGCGGTAATCCCGCGCGGTTCCCAATACGGCAATATCCGGATTTGTCGCACTCCCATGGGCTGTGTTGCATCGTGCATCAGTCCCAGACAATCAGTTACTGTTATTCTTCTCGGATCGAAGCTGCTAATTAACCATATACAGATCGAGACCGATGAAGTATAGGACACGGTCTAGAGGAAAGGAAAAGAAAGTCAACGATGCACTGTGCAATGCGCATCCCACGTTGTTCGCGAGGGAAAGTGACATACTCCTGAGTACTCCGTAGATAGAGTACTTAGACTGCCCCGTACGCTAGGACATTATCTTTCTATGGTCCCTGAAGAAAGCGTCCCTGGTTCGACTAGACCGGCGCTGCGGAAAACTCCAGATGGATTCCAGTACATCCGCCTGTATCCCAGCATTCTGGGAATCGGGTCCAACGACCATTTCGTTTTATAGGCTAGCTCAGGACTTCTAGAAGCTGGAGAGCAATTACCTAGGTAGGTAGTGTGGGAAGATGGCGCAGTTGGAGAGGGGCAAGTCTGCATGATCGAAGAAAGAGGAAATGCCGTGCCGCCGTGTGGTTGTCGATAAGGACGGCAGAGTGACCGGGGCAGACTGTGTCTCCATTCTGTCGGCTGAAAAGAGAAAGGGCAAGAAGAAAACGGTAGAGGATCAATCTGCTAGGCTGGAATGACAAGAACTGAATAATAATAGATTAAGGAAACAGTTGACCTCCCGCTTGGCCCACGGCGGGGAAGAGCTCTGCTGGGATCCGGAACAGCCCCCAGGCTAAGTAACTAACTACTTAACGGTTCGGTATACCAATTGTGAATCGATCAATGTATCCTAAATACACTTCGCAACGCTTTGAATTTCTACCGAACACCAGCATATACAACAACAGGGTGTCTCCATTGTCCAATTCGTAATTTCGTGTCTCTCTCTCCTTACAACGAGTCTGACAAACTCCAAGCACCATCTATGCAAGGTACGAGTACCGGTTACCCTCTTCACGTTCCATGTAATCCTTCTCGATCAACCTAATGCGCAAAAAGAGAAAAAGGTCAGTGGCCGCGTTTCAAATCAGGTGGGGAGCAGGTGGTGTTGTCATACTTCTCAATGTTCTTCTTGATCTCAGCAGGTTCTAGCACACCACGACTCCGCGTCGCCTTGATTACCTCCGCCACCAATTCCGCGTGCGTGATGATCTTGCGACTCTTCATAATCCGAACAATAGCCGCCTGGGTCTCGTAATGTCGGTCGGCCGCCACCCGCTCGTGGGTCGTCTTGTTCTCTTCCTTCGTCTCCTTTAGCTGGATCTGGTTGATCTTGATCCTCATCTTCGCGTCCGAGAAGCTGGCGTTGTATGCGAATACATCAGTCGGGCTGATATCCTTGCCCTTCGGCTTCTTCGACAACACCCGATATTTGGCGCATGCAAGCGATTGCAGCGTCCGTTTCAGCTCCGGATCGGCTATGGACTAGTCAGCAATTGTATCATATTGGAATCGACAAAAGGGGGGAAGGAGGCACTCACAAAGTCCTGTGGCTTCTTGGATCTGAGGGTAACTGAGTGTTTCACCTTCAGGTACATCGTTGAAGAGCAATAGTACGATAGCCTGGAAGGAACTAACCACAAGCTCCTTGTCACCCTTGGGGAAACGGGCTCGCAGCTGGCAGTGTGCCAATTGGTGCTTCCAGTGGAGTTTCCGGCCATTATATTTGTTGTGGTAGAACTGCTCGAAGCCGTTGATAGCCTTCTGGACGTTTTGCGGTATCCGTACGGGGACGTCGGGATACGTAGGCCAGGCAGCGGACGACAGCACGTGCACATTGAGGTCCAATTCACGCTTCTCTCGTCGTTCGCGCTGCAGGGAATTGAAAGATGCCATCTCATCGCGAGCCAAGTCCATGTCCTTGAACATCGATTCTAGATTGTGCGTGAAGCTAGATCCGCATTCTGAAGATTCGGTGTTAATATGGTCCAAAAAAGGGCCGTAACTATCTCGGGACTTACCTGTCTTTAACCGTGCCAGCATGCTCTTTTCGGCGTCGTCACTAGCACTTCTACCCATCAACAGACGCCGTGCGAGATCGTTCTTGTAGAACGCTTCGAAGACAGCCTTTCCGTGTACGAAGCGGAATAGATCCAAGACCTGATCTAGTTGTCTATTGAGTTCCGCATCTTCGTCCGCCAACGACACATCCTCCGTCTTCCTTCCCGGAAGCACTTTGAGCCCTCCCTTCAGAAGCATATCAACGTACTTGGCAATCATCTCACCCGTCTTGGGGTTGTCAGTACCCCAGCTGGACTCCGACTTTTTGCCCTTGTTCATGAACGTCTCGAAAGCCTCGCGGAGAGCATGGCCCAGGACTTCGTCCCTGTGGAATGATTCCCTCCACGTATCATCAAGCTGTTTCTTGAATTCCAGTAACCGTACTACCATCTCAGACTCTCTCTCTTGGTCAAACACGATTGTTGAACCCTCATCTACTATGTGAGCACTGAAAGCAGATTTAAGCTTCGACCCGAGATTCCGACGCTCAAGTAAAGTATAAAGACGCTCGAGAGCGATCTGGTTGCCAGTGCGTAGTAGTCCCAAGACCTCGTTCTGATTGAGCAGTACATCTTCTTTTCGGGTGACAAGGTTCTCATCGAGAAGCTCAGCTAGCTTCTGTCTTGTGCTTCTGCTGAGGGAATACAGATCGCATCTGCTCACTTCACGGTCGATCAAACGGTGGGAATTCTCGACATACGTGGCGAGATACTTTTCAGCTTCTGCATCAGCCCAGGAGGCGAAGAAAGTCTCCGATTCAGCGAGCAACTGCGGCTCAAAGTCACTTGTATAGACACCAAGATCGTGGAACAATCCGATCGCCTGTCGTAGCAATGTTGAGTCGAGTGACGTGGCGTTGTCTTCCTTTCGATCTGCTAGAATCAGATCACAGACACCTTGGAGGATCTTAGGTTTTAGTTCTGAATCCGAGAAGATGTGAGAGCGGAACTGGATCAATCCCATTTCATGAATGACAGGAAAATCTTTCGAATGCAGGAGGAATGACTGATCCAGATAATAGAATATCCATCGGATGGTGACCTATAAATTCCCGGACCGATTAGCATAGATGTGAATAGCCATTTGCGATGAAGACATACCAGCGTAGAGTTCCATGTATTCCACGCCGCAACGACTGCTCGCAAAACCTCGACATTATCTCCATCCGCACTCCGACTCAGGAGACCTTGGCGCAGCTTCCCTGATATGTGCTCCTTGCACTCTTCTCGCAACCTCTTTGCCAGCACTGCAGCACGGCCCTGACGGCAGACATTCTCGGCCCCCTTATAAAGCTCCTCCAAGGACGTGTCCGGTTTTCGGTTGTCGAAGATCGCGACCAGCGCAGCGTCCAGCTGAGCCCACACCTTATCAAAGTAAGCATCCTGGTTTAATCGCGGCCCTGCCCGCAGATTCTTCACGACGAGTTTCTTCGCACCGGTATGGGGCGTGAAGTTGCTCGGTCGTGATGACGCATTGTAAGCTCGGGCTCTCAGAGCTGCAGGAGAGGTATCGGATCCTGAGCTCCTCTGCGCAAATACCCCGCCAGCCTTGGGCTCCGAATTCGAGAAGTTATACATTTTCTCGGGGGAGATAAGGTCCTGTGTTCGGTCCAAGGCGGGCGAGTTAGCAGACGGGGACGAAGGACGGAGTCGCTTATACGTGGACGGTGAGGATGAATCGGGGTGTTGGTCCTTAACAAGGGGGGTATTGTTCCTTGCGAGCAATTCTGATATAGTAGTCTGCTGCTGCTGCTGCGACGCCTCGCCGTGATCGGAGAGTTTCCTCTTACCGATGGACTTGCGCTTGCCGCCTTTCTGTTCCGTGGCTCTCGAGTTCTGCTGCATCTACCTGTGCTGTTCTGTGAACTATTATTGAGAGTGGAAGGCACAGGTGTCGCTGATTCAGAAGGGACCCAGACCGTCAGGTCATGGCAATATGCGCAGGATATTATATGTCGAGTTCGACGGTTGCTGCGGCTGACGGAGCGATAGACAAGTTCAAGTTGTTGGGATGATGCCGAGAGGTGATGGAAGGAGACGGAGCAAGCTTGGGCGGAGATAAGATAATACGCCCGCGCGGGTACCGAGGGGTCTGCCCTGTAAGTGCCTTTATACCACAATAAAGAGGATCACTTCTCAAACAAATATCGAGTTCGTTTTGGATATCTCTAGATCGTCGTCGTACAGGATTGATTTGGCTTACCTCTTGGAAGCCTGATTTTCCCAAATATATGCTGTCATTGCGGCGAATAAATGAAAATGATAAATACACACTACTGACAAAGCAACGACAATTAGTTAACTAGTTAACTAACTAATAGAGTACCGGTGCAGAATAGAATTCACGAGCTTCAACTCGCCTTGGGATACGTTTCAATAACCATTTGTTTCCCTTAGTCTTTGTCTAAGAACAACTACGAGGACAATACACTATTGCAGCCGCCGCCGAAATGGGCAGGTTACTGAAGAATAAGGTCGGCACTCCGAATCCAGATTCATTCGACATATAATATCTTTCCTACGCCTATAGATTGCTCCAGTGTCATAGTACCTCCAGCAGCAGTGACACATGCCATTACTTCGTAAACGACCTTAGGAAAACACCTTTGGCCCTGAACTCTGTCTAAACTCGCCGTCCTCAAACTAGGGTTTTCGTCAGATATGGCTTCATTGGAACAGAAAGCAACATGCAAGACTCACCTCGACAAAGTCTGTGGCAGTGATAAGAACCAAGTAAGACTTCACTAGATCTTCGAGTATGTCGTCGCTCCCCGCCGAGGTTACTCCACCGATTTTCGCAAATCGTTTGAATATCCCAACCATGCTTTGCCGGTTTTCTGCCAAGAAAGACCGCGTCTGTTCGAAGATTTGCTCATTGTGTACTCCACGCACTAAGACGGCAGAGACAATGACTCGCATGACAGACAGTAGAAGCTCGTAATACTTTCGCAGAGAGTTTTGGTTGTCGATGTCTGCAAACAGTTAGCTTGGCCAATCGGGCTGCAGTGGCGGGATACATACCAATTCCGATATCTGGATCAGCAGCGAAAAGTTGTGACTGCCGTACTGCCTGGAAAAGACCAGCGTTCAAAACATGGATAGCCCCTGGCTTGGTCTGTGACAGTTGCTGGAGTAAGGACAACAGAGCCTCGTAAAACGACAACAATAATGGGGTATCTGCATTGATCTAATTAGCTTTCGTACGCAATTGGTCACGGCAAAACCCACCGCTAGCTTGAGCGTTGCGGAACTCAGTAGGCAAGGCCCGCACAGCGTCTAAGAACATGCTTAGATAATTTGATTGAGAAATGCAGTCCGCTAAGTAGAAAGCGTTCTCTTGACTATCCAGAGTGGCCAGGAGATTCAATAAAAGTAGGGCAGAGACCCTGCAAGTCTCTTGACCGGCATATGCGTCGTCACATATCATCTCGACAAGGGCAGGGCCGGTGCTCTTCACCGTTTTTTGACTATGGCGTCTCAATGTGGCGTATCGCGGCCCTGACGAGGTGATCCGAGAGAGATACTGAGAGCAGATATTGTAAAATGTCTCCCTTAGGGATAGGTTTCCAATAGCAGACGTGATGCCGCGAGTGCAAATTTGGAAAAGCTGGAAGAGTTTCTCATCTATCACGTCTCCACCCCTGCCGGACTGCGTCTTAGTTGCACCCGAGTCAAGTTTGCCAATGAGTGTCTCTGAAAGTCGTGCTAATTCGATCGCTTCAAATGCGTTCTCCATGATGGCGACCTCCAGTTTCGGAAGAGCTAGTTGAATGGCATGCAGAATAAAGGTCGTCTGGCGTCCACTGTCTATGTCACAAGACGTGATAATGGCTGTGACGAGTTCAGTCCACGATCGGAGTGCAAGATACCGGTTAAACCGGACTTGACGGCTCTGATTAGTTATGCGCAAGAAGATCATGAGCTCTTCAACTTCAGCAACGAATTGCTCTTCATCTTGTGGCTTCATGGCGCCACTCTGAAGCAATTCATCCTTTCTCAGCTGAACAAGTTCTTGAGCAGCTTCCAAGTCGTATAGGACCAGAGAAGCGTCCGCTTGAGCTTTTGCGCAGAGGTCAAAATCCACATCGGCAAGGAAATTCAACCTCGGCGGGTCAAACTGTCCCGAGATGTCCAGGTCTGCAAAGTCGAAGAGATCGAAGACGGTGGGATTAAAAACGGTCTCACCAGTCTCCAAGGAAGTTGTTCCGAATAAAGTAGATAAAATGTCTGCCTGGAGAGTCGGAGATCCAAGCTTAGCTGCGGATCGGATTTCTGTTAGGACATAGTCATATATGAGACTCCGACACACCAGAAACTCTGATAGAGAGGTTGCCGAGTCGGAGAGCCAGAATTCTTCAGCGGACACAGGCAACCCATCCCATAGAGTACTGGGACCGATGATTGGCTGACTCGCGAATGATGTGAAGAGGAAGCGACTAGTACGTAATTCCATAAGTGCGAAAGGAGAAGAAAGTTTAGATGACCATAGATGTTTCAGCACTTCGAATGCCATACGCCTCAGATGTACCATCCAGGACGTGATTATACCATCGGCTTCATCGGGATAAGTCTGGATGAACTCAACAATAGCATGCAGCAGGGACATCCCGTTTGAGAATAAGCTGTCTGGAGCAACATCGAGCACCGTACCAACACACGAGAAGCCAAGCAGCAGATGAGCCAAGGATGGCCTGTCTGTGATCATGTCAAGGCAGCTGTTCAGAAGTCCAAGTAGGCTCTCTCTGATGAGATACCCCGACGACTGAGGTCCGTATTCTAGCTCCCTCGGATCTGGTTGCATCTGTGATACTAGTGGACGTGCCACGCTGTCCACATCGACATCCGTGCTCATAACCTCTACTATCTTGTTTGGAGATTTCCATCTTGAGAAATCGGGTGCTGACATCTTATTTAATTTTCGAGAGCTCGACAGTTTCTCCAACAGAGTCATAGAGGCGACAGTCAATTGCTGATGCCCAGTGCCGCAGTAGAGACAGAGATCTGGTATTACACCCAGGTTGTTTAGGATGCTGTCTTCAAAGGAAGCGAGTGACGAATTGGAGACCGTAGTTCTGCTACCACCCGTCTGTGACCGGACCAGAGGACGGACCACATTGAGGTAAGTTGACTGGAGCTCCAGTATCAGGTTCATAACTTCAATGCTCTTGAGCACAGCAAGGACAAGGATAGAGTCAGATGAGGCTCTGGCAATTTCTGATACATCCTGATGCGCGACTGCAAAAAGGGATTTGATGACATCCTCATTGAAGAGCCACTCAGATACACGAGCAAACGGATGAAGCCGCATGTAAGTGTTCAGAGAAGACGATTTTAAAACCGCCTCCGACGATACAGACGGCTGGTTGATGAGAACCACAAGATTTTCATTAAATGTTGCCAGACATGTCGCGGCGAAACTCAAGCAGTTGTACGCGAGCAGTCGGCCTTGGTTGTCGGCTAAATCGGGGACTTTTCGGGCTAATGCTTGGCCCAAGACAAAATCAATGTAAGGCTCGATACCGGGCATTCGATAAGACGCCCCGAGAGACTCGGGGAAAGGTAGAGACAAGTGAACTTCGGCCAAATCAGAGCTGGGAGAAACGAGAGTGTGTATTAGGGAAACGAATGCGTTCGTCTGATCGAAACTCTCCCCAATTCTTTGAAACGCATGTCGCTCATGCCACACAGGAGGGTTAGAGACCATGGGAACCTTAGCAAGGCCGGGTGCATTTACTGTGGCCCCAGATATCCATTGATCAATGGACTGCCACATTTCGTTGCCATCGACGGACGTACGCTCCGTCATCAGCGATCGCAGAGCAGCGAAGGAACTTGCCCGTAGGTGAGTAGGAATAGAACCGCTGGACAATGTCAGCAAGATGCCAACAACATTGAACGTCGGATGATGTAGCATCCAATCTCTAATTGCCCGACTCTCCTTAGAGAGGTGTCCCATCAGACGAAGATAGCAGGTCAACATCACAGGACTCTCTGGTTCATTCATATCAGCCGGCTCGGATTTCCGTGTGTGAAGCATGGTTTGCGAGGTCGATGGCTTTTCGGTGACCTTTGTCGCATAGAATTGAAGCTCAGCGAACATTTGAGTCCAATTCATTGAGGCTGATCGCCTGAACTTAGACATGTACTTCTCCTCTTCTGAAAGAAATCGATGTGCCGCAGTAGCGTTATCTTCCCCTTCCGATATTGAACATAGCATCTCGCAGAAGGCGCTGACGCGAGGAACAGTCTGTCGTTTTGACGCCCATTGTAAGAAGCCGTACAAGTTACCTTCCGGATCGGCCCAAAATTCTTGCGCGGCATCATGACGATGTTCAAAGGCGAACGCCATGACCATGAGGAATGACTCAAGGTGCGTCCGTGCCTCTACCAGGCCACGATGCAAGTTAGAAGTGAAACCGTCTCGAAGCGCGGTGATTTGATTGAGCCTCTGAAGATCTTCCTCAGATTTGAGCATACGGACAGCATCCGGCATATTCGCAATGCAGGATTCTGCGAACATCTCAAGATGCTCCATCAGAAGAGACTTCAGGTAGTCCGAACAGTTGTCAGCTTCGAGAACCGTGGCCGTGCTCTCCTTCAGGAGTAGCGAAACCAATTCTCTCCTAGCAGGGTCATGCCATTCATCGTTGCTGAGTCCGGCACATATGGCAAGCATGAAGTCCAGCGCTCCATCGTCTAGTGCAGCCATGAACTTTTTCGTACGATCATCGGACTCTTTATCGAGGTCGATACCCTGAAGCGGGGAGGCAGGTCCAGAATCAAAATACCACCCACTATATACTGCTAACCATAGCGCGGTCACAGTTGCATGGAAATTAGGCAGGCTCCAGGGTTGACTGTCTTTAGAAGCCGTGATTGTCTGATGTAAACCTCGCGCCTCGCGAAGAGACCCTGAACCTTCTGGGGAGCCGTATTGAACAAACGATGCGATAATGGCAGGGATATAGTGGACCAGTAGCATATCAAATCGATCGAACTTCCGCATCTTTTCCAGAAGCAATCGGAGGTCTTCTGAACTGGTAAAGTTACCTTTGAAAAGGTAGCAGAGGATCGCCCCCAGAGACTCATGCTGTTGCCCCAGACTAGTTCTTTGATATTCAATGGCTTCCATAACATCAGGGTCCTCTGTCTGCCCTACTACCGACGCTTTATGGACCTGTTCGCCAAGAAGAAACAGCCATTTTTCGATTTCCCCCATGGAATCCATGGCTTTCCTAGCGAAGAGCGATCCATTTCGCAAGGGACCATTCTTCGTTTCAAGAACCTGAGCGACAGTCTCCTGCATAAGTTCTTGCACCTCCTCCCTTTCGACTTCAAATGACTCGCGAAGAATGAGCCGCAAACATTCTAACAAGAAGTGCCTGCGTTCGTGGAATTGCATGATCGCCGTGATGAGAGGAGTCCGATCTAGCTGCCGTGCATCATCCTGAGCAGCCATAAATAAAGCCGCCGCTTCCAATTCATCGATATTCAAGGCATCTGCTAGCTGCAGCGCTCCTTGCTGGAAGTCCTCGTTGATCGCATATTCGACATCACCAACTGTGATTTTTCCTATAGCTCGCGCAACTAGAATCAGAAAAAGCCCCGGACGAACCCAGTGGACCTACTAAAAGACATCTAGAGAAATGTAAACTAACCTGAAAGGACGGCTTGTCGGCTTTTGTCGCTTTTTGCGGGCTTGTCAAGCAGTTTCCTGAAATCCTGGATGTGAGCTTCGAGCTCCATGCATAGGCGTTCAATGTTCGGAATAGACGACTCTGAGAGCGTTGAGAGATCTTGGTACAGGCCACGCAGGCCGCCCAGCATCTCGACGTTGTCCAGAGCCATGCTCGTTGGCGACCGGCAGAGGGCGATGTCGTCGGGGAGTGAAGCTCTCGAGCTGTGTTGACGCGGGCCAAAAATTCCCAAGGCGGAGAACGCGACGTCAAAACTCCGACTTACTGTCGGCGGAGCTCAATAATGATTCCCGCAACCCGGAACAGCTTCTGTTGCCCTGACCAGGGGAGCGCCCAAACCAACAAAGGATGTCAAAGAAAACAGCTCTCTATTAACTCTCGTAACCATCGATTCAGTGCACCACATTGTCGTTTCTGTCATACTCACCATCGTATGGCTGCAAGATAAGAGCTGCAGGATGCGCCGATGATCCATGTACCACAGGTTGAGCTTGGTTGAATAATGCTCACCTGGGTTGTATACAATGGGGCAGATCACTCTCGACGGATCGCTTTTGCTACTGTCTTCTGACAAGCAGAAGGAGCGCACTGATGGCTTGGGAGGTATAAGTGCCCTATCGTCTTAACCTCAGCATTAACTAAATCTCGCTAGACCTTAAGCACATTCTCCAGCAGAACAAGCAAAATGCAAGACTGTAAGACGACGACGAAGACTATCCCGATTTCTGGAACGGTATCACTAATATGCATTATTTGTTTCAGAGATGCCTTGAGCGACAAAGCCTGCCACAAGGTCTTCGAGGCCCTCTTCCGGTTTGTTTCGGTCGAAAAGCCTACTTATAATAGGTCCAAGAGCACGAAAGCAACATCGTCCTCGCGACTGTCAGCATGCGCGTCTGTTCTGCGGACAGCAGTGGAGGGGTCTCTGCGCAATCTGCGAACGAAGTCAGTCCATGCGGTTCTTCATCATATAATACAGACCATACCTGTGCCCGGGGAGGGGCTTTGGGAGACTCTTGCCAGCGACTACATAAAATGTTTGCGGACTTTGCTACAATATCCTCCCCATGTCGAACATCTAGGGGACCGTGAATGGCAAGATGCCGTGGATTTCTGTCTCCGGAGTCTTGCAGCGGTCGACAATGAAGGCAATGAACTAAGCATCCGGATGAGCCATCGTTCATCTTCGGAAGCCTGGGAATCTAGCAGTACTCGGTTGACTCCTATGAGGAGGACCTCTAGTCAGGCTCCTAGATTGACCCAATCTGATGGCCAAGGCAACAGAGGCATTATCGAAGAACTTGTAATTTGTATCAAGCTGCTTACCTCCAGCTCAAACGCCCCTGTTCACTCTACTTCCGAGAAGATTCTGAATGGGCTGACAGATTTCTTGATCTCATTCCCGCAAGCTGGCGGTGCTCACCAAGCTGCGTTTAGTACGATCAATACAATTATCGGCAAGGTTCTATGTGACCAGTCCGATATTGTCCGCGAGTTCTTGCTTGACGTTATTCCCGTAATTCGGCGACTTTGGCACACAAAGCTCACGGGGCTGAAAGATGAAATGTTAATGACTATTATGCGGTGCATGGATGTCCTGGTATACATGGCCCGGACAATGCCTTCGGAGTCACTGGCAGCGTCAATTGAAGGACTACTGGATACAATTCACTTGGACTATCTCAGAAGGACGGAAAAGGAAGTCTTGCAAATTGATGACCTCGTTTTCTATCCGGATTGTTCTATACGGCAAGACTCTCGATGGTTCGGTCCACGTCTTGGTAGTTATAAATCAGAGCACAATTGGACTGTTCTATGGACCATAGCGAGACTATCGGCCTTGTCGGATGATATGAACGCCCAGTTCACGCGACCGGTCGCAGATGAAGTTCCAAGCAAGAGGCAGCGTTCTCTTTCGAAAACCGAAGAGATTCTCCAAGATTCTTTCTCATCAACTGGCACTAGGAGAGCTTGCGCATTACAGCTGATACCTTTCATGATCGAAAGGCATATCGGCAACGCATCGAAACTGGAATTGCTCGAGCGTCTTCCTGTTAATATACTCGACGATAATGGCTTCTTGGCATCATGGACTCTGCTTGCAATTTCGAGGTTCGTCACAGTGCAATCGATCAAACTAACACTACTAAGTCCGGAACTGACAGTCAGTATCAACAGCGTTGGCAGTGATAGTTATACGAGGTCCCATTTGATTGGATCTAATTGGCGGCAGATCTGGGATCTAGCATCACGAGCTTCCGTTGTCCAAGTAACCTCGCGCGCAGCCTGCCATTTGATGCGAATAATCCTTCACCATCAGCTCTTACCGTATCCTGAAGCTGTAGAGAGTACTCGATTAATGCTATCATCAGTGGATTTGAAGGGCCCATCAGTCCTCTGCGACACTTCCTTGGCTTTTTGGACACTAGTTTCGAAGATGTGTGCGACTGTCAGTCCGGGCCTTGGACTCGAGGCTTCGAAACAGATTTGCGGATGGCTCCGCGGAACCTGGTCAGTAGGTATGGGAATCTGTCCGAGAGAAACGGATTCGTGCTTTATTTGGCTGATATACAAAAGGGACCGCCACAGATAGAACCACAATTTCCCAGGTAGCAACATTTGCACGCCCTTTCGATCTATTGAACCTTCTGCTTGCCTGCACTAATAGATCAATATCGTTTTCGAGCGTGGAATTTCGCGGCGTGGCAGGTTCATTCGGTAGAAATTGGTTCAATTGCCATCGCAACCGGAGCTTGCATGAATTTCTCTTCTCAATAGGGGAAGATCAGTCTTCAAACCCAGTGTGGTCTGCAGAAGAGACGGTCATTCGGCTGGAGGCAGCAACACGGCAAGATCCAGCAGATCTCGTAATGATTGAACTGCTGCAAGCAAAGATTGACGCCTTTGCCCAGGCCTGGAGAGAACTATCTGGTGATAAATCATTTTACATCGCAGTTGACCTCGTGCAGATATTTGTTTCCTTGTGCGCAGTGGCGGTTCTCTTCACTGAGTGTCTCCCAGGGTCACACGGTTCCCAATTGCAGGATCTACAGAAGAGTACCCGTAGTCTGTGGGAAGATGTATGCTTATTCTTGGCATCTCGTGAGGTCGATTATCTTCAAGCAGGTTTGGAGGTGTTATATCCGTTGGTCTCCTCAGCTCCACAATTGAATGATTCCAAGGACGTTGTCTCAAGTGCTCTTTATGCCCTTGTGCCGCCGATAGTTGAGGTCCTTGAACGAAGTAGACAATCGCAGCCGACAGACTCTTTAGCTCTTGATCCCGAATCAATGGACCTTGATGATCCGTTCTCAGACCGCATGGGTCAAGAAGCAGCCGATGATTCTATTACTGCGTTGAACCGAGAAGCTGTGCCGACACTACCAGATAATACCACATTCCGACGTTTCATGACAATCCGGCTTTCGATATTCCAGAAAGGAGATGGCACGATCTCACCAAATCCAACATTAACCGCGCCACTGGTTGAATACTTGACTTCGTTGGATGAAACTGACATCCTATCTACGCAAGACCTATTGCCCAAAGTCTTTCTTGCTTGTATCCCCATGGGGAGGGCTGTTGTGCTTGAGATTCTTGAATATTTTGGGGAAAGATGTCTACAATCATATGCTCTCGAGCGGTGCGAGAGCGCTCTTTATCTTTGTATCCGTATGATGGGCAGTTTCGTGGACGTCTGGACAAAAGAAGAAGAGGATGACCTCCATGATTCTGCGTCGGACATATACATATGGTTTACAGATGTTCTATTAGCGAGGAGGAAGGCTTCCCCAAGGGTTCTCATTGCCCTTGCTGAACTCTTTCAGAGTGTTCTCGCCTCTAATCCTGGCTACGAAAGGAATGACTCGGGACCGTCACCGCGAACCAGCCTTTTCAATATTCTTCGCGAAGGCGATATATCGGTTAAATTCTTCCTGGCGAGGCTAGTTCCGAGTATTTTCAGCAGGTACCTCCTCACGGATCATGACGCGATATTCGATGATGTGCTTGATAGCCTCCCGCGGGACCCAGATTGGACTGAAGGAATAGCAGTTCGACTATATGCACTGGCTCAGTTGGCATCACGGTGGCACACGTTGCTTCGCAGGAGCATCTACCACATGTTTGAAGCACCCGGCCAAGTGCCACAGTCGGCTCCTTATGCTGAGAAATGCTTGAAGAATGTCTCCGACGCGCTCGGTCTGAAGGACGCAAAGGGGATATTCCGACTATTTGCCTCTCAGATCATATATACGTGGACCGAGTCGCAGTCGATAAGCTCAATGCCTTTCACAATCTTCGGATACAGTAGTCTGAAAGACATGCTACTGGACGTCCAAGACGAAGTAGTGGGTCAGATCATGATGCGAGCAAACGATCAAGAAGCGAGCGAAGCTTCTGTCTTACTGGGTGTTCCATTCACGGATCTCCTTTCGGAGTCATTCCACAAAGCCGAAGCATATACAATTGCTCGTGATATCAGCATACCACCTTCTCAGAATAGCCAACCAAATGGCGTTGAGAAGCGTATAAAAAGTACTCTTGGAACAGATCAGTTCATAACCCTGGTTGAAGGTCGTTTCCCGCAGATCGTCGCAACACTTTTTAGGTCTCTTGACAAGGAAGAACAGATTGAGAAGGCATTTACTAAACGTGCACACTTCCACTACGCACTGGAAACCCTGAAGCGTATTATGGACAAAGGCGCCTCCGCTGCTATTCTTCCTGCTAACCCGCAACCTTCATTCAGAGCCCGCTACCTTCTCGATGAGCTGGAATTTCTTTGTAGGCGAAGTGGCTATGACCTCGAAAAAATGTGGACTCCAGCTCTAGCTTCTTTCGTCTGTCGAACGCTTCTAGAGTCAATGCATCCCTCTCTAGGCTCCCTTTATGCATGTTCAGTCATTCGCAAAATCCGAATTCTGGTGTGTATAGCAGGACCCGTTATGCTTCAAGATTATCCATTGGAACTCTGTCTCCATGCGCTTTGCCCACTTCTCACGGACTCACAATGCTGCGAAGATGCGCTGGGTGTCTTCTGGTATTTGCTGGAAGCAGGTCAGGCATACCTCTCCGAGAATCCTGGATTTACTGCCGGCATAGCAATTTTGACACTTTCTTCATTGAGCAACTTTCTAGACTCCAGCGCAGAAAGCACCAGCCAGGAGAGCCAATATAGAGCGACTTCATCCAAAGCGGTTGAATTTCGCAACTGGTTGGGTAGCTTTCTGAAGAACTACAAGGCATCAAGTATGGATGAAGGGACCGAAGAGTCTTTCCAGCGCATGGTTAGATCATCACAAGGGCTGCGCGTGTCCGGAAATCCTACGAAAGGTACCCACGAAAGTGATTTGCTGTTCGAACTACTGCAAGATAGAGCCTCTGGGCGAAATCTCCTGAGCAGACCGATATCTGATTTGGTCATATCGCTCGTTGGCGCACGATTCCAGAAGTCTCCAGATTCCCGCAGTGATATTCTCGGTGAAGATGATGTTGCTGCCGCTAATGCAGTAGCTGTCTGGGAAACCGTTAGAAGTGGTAATCCTGGAAGCCAATACCGGCTATGGGCTGCTAGAGTCATTGGAAGAGCATACGCTTCGACGGGAAAAATCAGTGATGCTCTCCTGAGGGAACAAGATCCTGATTTATTCAAAGATCGGTTCCGTGGACTAGGATCGGATCCCTATTCTTCATCCAAGATTGCCATACTTCAAATGCTTTGTGAGGCTTTGCCTAAGGGCGGTGCTTTTGAGGGTGGTCTGATCGAGCGCACATTGCAAGTTATTATCAGCAAGCTCTCTGCTTATCCCGAACTGGAGCATTGTGGCCATGCTGTACCAAGTTCTTTGATGAAAAGTCTCATTTGGGACCCTTACCAGTGCCCTGCTATATCACTCTCCAGCTCTGAAATAGAGTCTCTCGAAGGCAGGATAGATTGGGACAACAGACTCTCTGTTTCTCATTGGGCTCGCAATATTGCTCTATCCCTCGCAACAGCAGCCGCAGATGATCCCGTCATTGGCCCTCTTGGAAAGGTCCTGTACTGGATCCCAGAGCTATCGGTGAGATTATTGCCTTACATACTTCACGACGTCCTGCTTTCGGAAGTCGACGGTGATCAGGTTTCTAGGCGGGCGGTCTCCGAAGTCTTCCGACGGTGTTTACGCGATATTGATGAACGGAGCGTGCCGCACGCTCGGCTGGTGATCAATACGATACTTTACCTGAGAAACCAACCAAAGCCTCACGAGTCAACAATTGTGGACCGTGATGAATGGCTTGATATCGACTACTGTGAGACTTCCTTAGCTGCTACTCGATGCCGAATGTATAAGACTTCGTTACTCTTTGCCGAAATCCAGGCTTCGCGTTCTATGAAGACCTCTCGAAGATCTTCCGCCGTTAGACAGAGCCTCCCTATCGATCTACTGCACGACATATTCCGAAATATTGATGATCCAGATTCTTTTTATGGCATCCAACAAGAGGCGTCTTTGAGATCGGTGATGGAAAAGCTTGATTATGAAAGTGCAGGAATTAAGAACCTTCTCTTCCAGAGCGCTCAGTACGACAGTGATGTGCAGATGTCGGGAGAGGCAAGCGCATTTTCCGTCATTAAAGCGCTCAATTCCACTAATCTGCAAGGGCTCGCGAGCGCAATGCTCTCATCTCCTGCTGCTTTGAAGCGAACGTCAGCTCCGTTCGAAAGTATGCTTTCAACAGCGATGAGTCTGCAACAATGGGACATTCCCGTTCCATCTTCCAAGACTTCTCCAACTGGTGTGCTTTTCAAGACGTTCCAAGGTCTGAGTACTTCAGAAAGCAGCACCGACATACCAAAACTTCTCGATGAATCTTTCGTAATTCTGCTGGATCATCTCGGTGAGAGTAATCAATCTGTAACATCGCTACGCAGCGTGATGAAGGCTCTTGGTATATTGACAGAGGTTGACGAGGTGCTGTGCTCATCATCTTCCGCGCAGATCGAAGACGAATGGGAGAAGATAACATCACGAGAGAAATGGTTCAAATGGGAGAGGTACGTTAAAAGAACATCATGTGCGTTGTCCCGGCTTGATATCTGATGACTATCTTTCAAGTTTCCACGACATCGATCAAATTCTACACTGCCGTGAGGCACTTTTCTCGTTAATGAGCCACAAGGATCATCTCAGATCATCACTCAATTTAAGTTTGGAATGCACCAATCTCCTTCAGGCCAAGGTGATTAAAGAATCTCTTAGCATCGCCAGAGATCATCAGATCCCCCAAGCGTCTTTGAGATATGCTATTTCTCTATCGAAACTCGCTCAGGTCTGCGACGATCTCGGTGTCAACATCGATGGATCAGCCAAATTTGACCTTGCTAATGTCCTCTGGGACCAAGGTGAAATGACGACATCTATCCAAATGCTGCAACAAGTGAACGACCAGAACGATCTACACAAACAAGCCATCCCAGTTAGCCGTGCTCTACTACTTTCCAGTCTGGTAAGCATTAGACCTCAGGTAAGAGAGAGTGCTAGATATCTAATGTGCTATAGGGTCATCACGTCGCCGAGGCTCGCTTAGAAAAGCCCGAAGCCATTATTCAGGAATACTTGGTTCCTGCAGTAAAGGAATTGAAATCTAATTTGGTAGGGGAAGAGCCCGGTCGTGTTTTCCATGTGTTCGCCGCCTTCTGTGATCAGCAGCTGCAGAATCCAGACGGTCTGGAGGACTTCAAACGTGTAGAGCAACTCCGGGACCGTAAAGAGAAGGAAGTCATTGCCCTCGAAAAAATGATGAAAACTGCAGAAGGAAGAGAAAGAGAAACGCTGAAGATGCACAGGACGAAGGCCAAGCAATGGTTCGAACTCGACGACCGCGATTACCAACGGTTAAAGAAAGGTCGAGAAGCGTTCTTACAGCAGTGTCTCGAGAACTACCTACTTTGCCTTAAAGCAAGTGACACTCACAACAATGACGCTCTACGTTTCTGTGCACTCTGGCTGGACAATTCGGACAGCCAGATCGCGAACACTGCTGTTTCCAAGTATATCTCTCAGGTCCCGAGTCGGAAGTTTGCCCCATTGATGAATCAGCTATCTTCTCGGTTGCTTGACGTGCCGAACGAATTCCAAACGACACTATTTGCTCTTCTATTTCGCATATGTGTCGAGCATCCGTACCATGGTATGTATCAGATATTTGCTAGCAGCAAGTCTAAAGCCGGCAAGGACGAGACGTCCGTGGCTCGCCATCAGGCTGCAGGGAAGCTTGTGGATAAATTGAAGAATGATCGACATGCTGGCTCGACTTGGGTCGCTATCCACAACACGAATATCAGTTACGTCAGGTTTGCTATTGATAGGCCCGATGAGAAAATTAAGACCGGGGCCAAAGTGCCGCTCAAGAAGCTTGCTACTGGTCAACGTCTAGAGCAAGATGCAACGAACCTGAAGTTACCGCCGCCTACAATGCGGATTGAGCTTCGAGTCGATTGCAATTATAAGGATGTCCCTAAGGTCGTCCGCTTTCATCCCGAATTTACTGTCGCTTCGGGAGTCAGTGCCCCTAAGATCGTAACGGCTATTGCTAGCGATGGTCAGCGGTATAAGCAACTGGTAGGATGCTGCATCTAGCTGAAAGGACTATATTGACTCGCTACAGGTGAAAGGAGGAAATGACGATCTTCGCCAAGATGCTATCATGGAGCAAGTATTCGAACAAGTCAGCAACCTTCTGAAGGACCATAGGGCCACACAGCAGCGCGGCCTAGGTATCAGGACATACAAAGTCCTTCCACTCACTTCCAATGCGGGAATCATCGAATTCGTACCGAACACAATTCCATTGCATGACTACCTGATGCCTGCGCACCAGAGGTACTTCCCGAAGGACATGAAGCCCAATGCTTGCCGCAAGCATATCAGCGATGTACAGACTAGGTCATTCGAGCAGCGTGTCAGGACGTTCCGCCAGGTCACAGACCACTTCCACCCCGTAATGCGGTTCTTCTTCATGGAAAAGTTCAACAACCCCGATGACTGGTTTTGCAGACGTCTAGCGTATACTAGGAGCACCGCTGCAATCTCCATTCTGGGTTACGTTCTCGGTCTTGGAGACAGGCATGGCCACAATATTCTCCTCGATGAGAAGACAGGAGAGGTAGTGCACATTGATCTTGGAGTAGCCTTTGAGCAGGGTCGTGTGCTTCCCGTCCCTGAAGTTGTTCCTTTCCGCTTGACTCGGGACCTAGTTGACGGAATGGGAATCACGAAGACAGAGGGCGTCTTCCGTCGATGTTGTGAATTCACTCTTGAGGCCTTGCGGGAAGAATCGTACAGCATCATGACGATTCTTGATGTCCTTCGCTATGATCCTTTATACAGCTGGACTGTATCACCTCTGCGGATGAAACGGATGCAAGAGACCCAGGAAGCTGGTGGCGGTGCGCCTCAACTGCCTATCGCAGCTGGAAAGGGCACAGGCAATGAACCAAGTGAGGCGGACCGAGCCTTGACAATTGTTGAAAAGAAACTGAGCAAGACTCTGAGCGTGACTGCGACGGTGAACGAGTTAATCCAGCAAGCCACCGACGAAAGAAATCTCGCTGTTTTGTATTGTGGTATGTGCTCTCTTTTCGTTTCTACATGGAACTTCGTTAAGCTAACTGCCAAATTTGCAGGGTGGGCTGCCTATGCATGAATGATTTTGTTTCGCCGCCTCGAGGAGGGAGTTTAGCGAAGTGAGTCTTTCATGACGACCTTAAAAGGATATATATTCTGTCTCCAAAAAGATGCCAGTATACTGTTGCTTTTGTGGCCTGCCACTGCATAGTTACAAATGGGGCGTCCTGGAAAACAACCCTCACAGGGAATTCTGCACATAATAAGGTACCTAGGTATTTAATGTTTAACGTTTGGCCTAGCAATAAGAAAATGGAACGATTCCAGTAGTCAGATAGTATGTATAGAGGATTACCGAATACTTTAATCTCTTGCGCTGCAATCTGCGTATCGTATTGAACTATCTACCTACGTAAGCAGTAGCTAGTTGCTCTCTTGAATTTGAGGATAGGGCTCGTATATGGGAAGTTCAATTCAGAATTACTACCATAGATATGATCACGTGATTCAGATTCGCAGACCCACTTGACCACCCGATTAGGAACGTCCCAGTTTGAACCTTGTAGCTAGAGAATAATACTTGGCTTTACTTGCATTGATAGATCTCTTCTTTGTTCCAAGGGACGGATTGAGGTCATATCCGCTACAACTGCGCCATTTACCGTTGCTCCTTTTGGTACTCAACAGTAGTTGACACCATTGGGAATTATTTATGTCATCATTCCTGATAAGCCGGTTCTGATGACTCTACAACATGGAAGCAACGGGATTCTAGAGGCTGAGTTATTTGCGCTGGAGACTCCACTTGTCTCCTAATTGATTTTGACATATAAGGACCGTGTAATATCTTGTGGACTGTCTCTCGTGCCTAACCTATCAGCGAGCACGTAACGACGATGACGACCAACTCCCTCATGGAAAACCGGGGGATAGCTGTGTTCTCTGGTGGGAGTGCAGCTAACAACCTTGTCGATGTCTTCGAGACAGTGAGAGAGAGCAAGAATTGTCCTCTTAGCTACATCATCCCCATCAGTGATAACGGTGGCTCATCATCAGAGCTGATAAGAGTATTCGGAGGACCAGGTATTGGAGACGTCCGAAGTAAGTTCCAGTCTATAGAAAGAAAATACAAGCGTAACTTTTTGTTTGCGTCCAGAACTAACAATAGATAAATAGGCAGGCTGGTGCGGCTCATTCCGGAATCACCACCGAATTCTGAACGTGGGGCTATCAAGACGCTCTTCAACCACCGACTTAATGCCAATGATTCTGTGTTAGCCCATGATGAGTGGCATTCAATTGTCGATGGCACTTCAGAACTCTGGAAGACCATTACGCCTGCGAAGAAGGAGCTAATTCGTTCCTTTTTCAACCTGCTAAACCTTGAGATTCTCAAGCGTGCACGTCCACCAACGTCGACGTTCGACTTCACTTCTGCAAGCGTTGGCAACCTATTTCTGACAGGGGCACGTCTGTTCAGTGGTAGTTTCGAGAGTGCCATCTATCTGCTAGGCAGCATATGTGGAGTACCTTCAGATCATGTCCGTGTGATCCCGGCGATCAACTCAAACTTCTCACATCACATCTCTGCTTCCCTTGCCGATGGCACCATCATCGTAGGCCAGAACAGTATCTCCCATCCTAGTGAGGCATCGGCTCTCCAACCCCACCCAGGTGGGAGGCGTCCTAGCCTGTTGCTAGCGGACGGTGACGAAGAAGAGTCATCTGATGCGTCGGATGCGGTCCCTTACGAGGAAGATCACTTGCCAGGTTCCCTTCCTACACTACGCAACAAAAACATCTCATTCAGCAAATCGGGAAATGAGGACCTCCCATCTCGTATCTCCCGCATCTGGTATATCAATCCATATGGTCAGGAGATTCGACCGCCTGCAAACCCGCGTGTGCTGGAAGCTATCCGTGACTCTCAGGCTATAATCTATAGCATTGGGTCCTTATATACGTCTATCATCCCCGTGATCATTCTCCGCGGCGTTGGCGAAGCCATTGTATCCAGTACCGCCAGACACAAGATTCTTATCCTGAATGGCTCCCTCGATCGAGAAACGGGCCCACCGTCACAACCATTCACGGCTGTTGATTTCGTCGAAGCTATTGCTCGTGCTGGAGAGGAAAGTCGGAGTCGCCGTTCAAATCATCGAACCGAAGTCGCACCACAACCTCTTTCTCCGACTATTGCTACTAACCATAATACTATTGATTCCAATCCGTCTACTTCACCATCACCTCCTACCCCGCCTACCATTGACCTTCCGTACACCTCTTATATCACTCATATCCTACATCTCGACGGGCCGGGAACGCCTAAGGTAGAACGTGAGCGTCTTGCTGATATGGGAATCGAGACATTACGGCTATATGGAAGAAAGATCATCTCGATGGATGAAGACAGAGAGGTGGTACTCGGTATGCAGTATGATTCGACAGCCCTTGTCCAAGCGTTGGAAGTTGTGCTAGGGAAGAAAGGGGACGCCATGGTCAGGGGCCTTGGAGGTGGTGTGAGTAGGAGGAATACTCTCGAAGGCAGAGTGGGAAGAGACAAATCGAAATCTCCTAGATGATGTAAGAGCACAAAAAATATACGTAGATGTAGGGTGGATATAGGCGCACTAGACTGACATTTGGCGTGAATTGCATACGGGCAAAGATGGCATGTCTACTGTTTGATAATCAGGTTATCCATAATTTTATTTGAGAAACTTGGTATCTAATCCATGACTATGCCCGCTGTGAAGTTGTAATCCATGAACGCCCGCTCCGCATATTCCCATAAGTACATAACGAACCCCCTCGAAGGATGGATAGCTAAATGCTTTCTGTAGTCTGCGGTTCTCGTGGCTGATGGTTGTCTCTTTTTTTGGTCATTAGCTTGAGTGTCAGTGGCACCAGATTTCTCCTTGGCCCCGGCACATCATTGCGTGTAAGTGGTTTTCGACACACTGGACAGTTTCCGCGTGGCCCTTTACCAGATGAGTCCGATCGCTGCTCTTCGCTGAATTTGAGGGTATCAATGATACATTTGTGACAGAAAAGATGGCCTATTTAGATGACAGATATCCAGTTAGATCTGAGTTCTAATCACTTTGTACCGCACAAAAAGGGTCTGGTACTTACCACAGATCGTACTGGTCGCATCCACAGGGGTGTCCATACATACAGGGCATTTGTAGGCCGTCAGAACGGACCGCCCCTCCCCATCCCTTGCAGGACCCTGAGCTCTGATTGCATCTTCGCGCTGCTTGGCTAAAGCCTTAGACAGAGCGTTATCGTCCTCCACTTCCGTCAAATCGACAGATTCTATATTGCTATCGTCTCCTACAAACATAGGAGCAGCAGCTGACGACGACGACGCTCTTGTAGAGGGATCTGAGACGTCTAACCGTCGGCGCTTTGCACCACGTGGTGGTGCTTCAGTCGACCGTGATGATGATTGGCTTGTGTCTCGAGATGAATTGATGATGGGGGGAAAGTGACGTGAAGAAGAGCCTTCTGCAGGTGGCTGATGCGATGAACTGGGTGCCAAATCCACCACTGATGGAGAGCTCCGATCCATGATAGTAGAGGAAATACGCGAAAGAACTGTATATGTGTTAGCAGAACTCTCACTTTTAACCTCCAGATAGTCGGCGATTACCGGTGTAGTGACGAAACTCCGCAGGTTTCTAGGTAGACGTTGTCTGAGGGTGACTGCACTCACGATTTGCTGTACAAAGATATGCTCAACTAGCCATCGAAAGGCGAGTGTTAATGAGCAATGCCATTCCCAGAGATGGCCTGGAGAAGTAGTGGGGTGGACGGCAGAATAATAATAATGCAGAGAAGAAGCCGATGTCAGCGCCATGACGATGACGAAGGCGGTGAGCTTTTGGGAAATGATTACTAATCCGGCCAGATCCGGCGAGCTTGACGCCTTAGGCTTCAGGCTAACACATGCTGCAGGAATCAGTAACTACCATAAAGGTGACTATCTGCAGGCAACGCTGCGCTCGTCGATCTAAGGGTTGCTCAGCGCATCCCACCTCGATATCATGCTATCCCATTGAGCATACACTTCACATGCTTCAGTATGCTCTTGACTCCTGCCTGTGCTCCCTACTCGAGGAGTGTGGTCCGGGTATCGACGAGAGGATTGCGCTCGCCACGGTACCTCATAACGCGGCCTCTACCATCATCATTAGTGAGATTTTATGCCGCGCAACCTTCGTCTAGTGATGCCAAAGAAGGGCGCCACCTGAAGACACTTGCGCGTAAGTTTCCGGAGTCAAGATTCTCTTTATTCCTTTTCTTATACGCAGGTTGACTCGTACAAAGTGCTGATGGCCATTTGCTTTAGTACCGTCCACCGCTCGATTTAATGAAATCGGTGTGCAACAATTGAGCGACTATGTCCATTCGCAGGTATTCTTGAATAAGCCAACCCCCCCGGACCCCGAGTTGGTCGCTTTATCGAAAGATCACTTGTCTCGGCATGACCTACTGGGAAAATCGCAAGATGCGAGCGACCCCATTGCGTTCCGCCTCCCCGCGCTCCGGGGCCAAACCCTCGACGAGCATTTCTATAAGCTTGGAATGGATTCATCAGAGCCCTATCTGGGCTACGCAAAATCTTGTGCCTCGATGAATGCGCCGCGGAAGCCCAAAAATTGGGTTAGAAGAAGTGGATGGACAAAGTACAATAGCGATGGGTCTTCGGAGCCTGTGGATGCGCCAAACGAGTCCATATTGACGTTCGACACAGAAGTCATGTGGAAAGAGAGCTCGTTCGCAGTCATGGCTTGCGCTGTCAGTCCCACAGCCTGGTACGCATGGATATCTCCGTGGCTGCTCGGTGAATCGGAGAATGACCGCCATCTGGTGCCTCTTGGCGATCCTTCGCAGCCACGGATCGTTATTGGTCATAACATTGGATATGATCGAGCCCGGATATTGGAGGAGTATGATATTAAACAGTCACACAATTTCTTTCTTGATACGATGTCGCTCCATGTTGCCGTCAATGGGATGTGTTCACAACAGCGGCCTACTTGGATGCGACACCAAAAGAACAGGGATATGAGGGATAAAATCGCCAATGAGAGTAACTCGGCAGAGCTTGCCGCGCTGCTAGAGAACAAGGTCCTTAGTGAAGAGGAAGAGGAACTATGGGTAGGCAGAAGCTCAGTCAATTCTCTGCGGGATGTCGCCAAGTTCCACTGCGATGTGACGATTGACAAGGCGCAAAGGGACTTTTTTGGAGAGCTTGACCGTGAAGGTATTCGCGAGAGGCTCGAGGAGCTTCTAGACTACTGCGCTGCCGACGTTGCAATCACGCACCAGGTCTACAAGAAAGTATTCCCTAATTTCCTCGAGGTTTGTCCTCATCCCGTCAGTTTTGGCGCTCTTCGACACCTATCTTCCGTGATCCTCCCCGTGGACCAGACATGGGAAGAATATCTTGCGAATGCTGAAGGAACCTATCATCAACGATTGCACGACGTTCAGCGGAAACTTGTCATGCTTTGCGAAGAGGCATTGAAAGTGAAGGATGACCCAGAGATATATATGAATGATCCATGGCTGAGACAGCTGGACTGGTCAGGCCAGGAGATAAAGATGGTGAAGGGCAAGAAGAAAGGAGATCCACCTCGTCCCGCGGCAAGGCAGAAGAAGCCGGGTATGCCCAAATGGTATAAGGATCTCTTTCCCACTATGACTGCTGATATCAATCTCACGGTCCGGACCCGGATAGCACCCATTCTTCTCAAGCTATCGTGGGACGGCCATCCTCTCATCTGGTCGAATAAGTTTGGTTGGACGTTCAAGATCCCCTTGGATCAAGCCAAACAGTATGAGAACCAACCTGTTGCCCCTTGTGACATGTCTGAGGAGGATAACCCTGAGCTCCGTGACGACCGGAAGCACATCTACTTCAAACTTCCGCACAAGGATGGACCCCAAGCTCGATGCATCAACCCCCTGGCTAAGGGGTATATGCAGTACTTTGAGCGCGGAACGCTATCTTCTAAGTACGAACTTGCCAAGGAGGCCCTGGAAATGAACGCTTCTTGTTCATACTGGATCAGCGCGCGTGACCGCATCATGAGTCAAATGGTCGTGTACGAAGATGATGTACGGAATGTTGTGAAAGACCAGAAGCAGGCCAAGGATGGCAAAAAATTGGGTTTCATCCTACCGCAGATTATTCCAATGGGAACTATAACACGAAGGGCTGTGGAAAATACATGGCTCACGGCAAGCAATGCCAAAGAGAACCGTGTCGGATCTGAACTCAAGGCTATGATCAAAGCTCCACCAGGGTATGTCTTCGTTGGTGCGGACGTTGACTCTCAGGAACTGTGGATTGCTAGTCTCGTTGGAGACGCCCAATTTCAACTTCATGGAGGCAATGCGATTGGGTTCATGACTTTGGAAGGTACCAAGGCCGCTGGAACTGACCTGCATTCCCGAACGGCCAAGATCCTTGGGATTTCCCGGAATGACGCGAAGGTTTTCAACTATGGACGTATATATGGAGCAGGTCTTAAGTTCGCGGCGACCCTACTTCGTCAATTCAATCCGTCCATGTCGGAGAAAGAGACACATGAGATCGCGGCCAAACTGTATAAAGAGACCAAAGGTACTCGCACTACTCGCAAAATTCTGAGTGACGGTCCCTTCTGGCGTGGAGGCACGGAGTCATTCGTGTTCAACAAGCTTGAAGAATTTGCAGAACAAGAGAGACCCCGGACCCCCGCGCTTGGTGCTGGGATTACAGAAGCCCTCATGCGTCGTTTCATCAACAAAGGGAGCTTCATGACGTCGCGTATCAACTGGGCCATCCAGTCTTCTGGTGTGGACTATCTCCATCTTCTTATTGTTTCCATGGAGTACCTGATCCGACGATTCAACCTCAATGCTCGTTTGGCCATCACAGTCCATGATGAAATTCGGTACCTAGTGAAGGATGAAGACAAATATCGTGCGGCTCTGGCTTTGCAGGTTGCTAATGTGTGGACCCGTGCGATGTTCTCCCAACAAGTTGGCATCGACGACCTGCCTCAATCCTGCGCCTATTTCTCCGCCGTTGACATTGACCACGTCCTGCGGAAGGAGGTCAACATGGACTGTGTAACGCCGTCTCATCCGAAGAAGATCCCGCATGGTGAGAGCCTGGACATTAACCAGATCCTGGATAAAGGCTCTGCAGCTTTCCTTGACCCTAAGGTCGAGTCTCTCTCCCCTCCATCTCCTGATCGATTCACATATACACCCCGAAAGTCAGTCATGTCCACTCTGCAGACATCCAATCACCCCGCATTCATTAAAGCACAAATCACGAGTAGTGATCATGAGCTCCGCGAGATCATCAAAGAAGCCGTCAAAAGCGATTCGACATCTACGTCGTCGACGGCGCGGTCTCGGAAGCCAAAGACACCGCCCCCTGCGCAACCACAGGGAGCAATCTTGATGGACGTCCAGTCTGGCCTCTACCACGACTTCAGATCTGCCCCACAAGGAAGCAAGTCTCCTCAATTCACCATCAGCAAGTACTCTTATAAGCCACGACCTTGGGCTCGTGTCTGAGTCACTACTTTATCTTTCTCTTGTGTATTTTCTGTTATTTCTTATGGAGTGCAAATACTCTTTTGCGTTATATCATTCTTCGCCTGTCTTATTTCTTTTCATTTCGTGTGTATTATTCTATTGTTGGATGCATTGGGTCGGCGCTGGTCTACGATGCTGTTTTCTGGATAGTGTATGAGGACGGCTATTAGTTACGACTCACTGGTGCATGTACTATAGAGTATACGAACCCGTCGACGCGAGTGACAGCTGCAGGGCAGAGTCGCTTTGTACTGTATATGTGTGAAAATCCGAAGAGCTGTGTTATTTTCTAGTATTATTAGGACGGGTGGCTACCGACCGTGTCGTTATCCGGGTCAATTGAGATGAGATGGCTAAGACAATCTAAGTATTAATCGAGCTCAAACAGGCGGGCCAGGAGGGGCTCTCCCGTGCCGTCATTGCGTTCGATGGATGGTTCTACGCCAGACTCGATACTTAATAATAATAATAGCTTCCACTCCCGAGACGTTTTATCTCATCGCAGAAGGCCCCTTGCTTTACTCCCGTATGATGTTTTCTTCGCTCACTTTGACGATTGGTTCGATCGCGTGGGGTGATCGCCCGCACAAGGTCAGGTTTCAAGAACGTTGAAGCTCCACGAGCTCTGTTGAGGACCCAGCAGCACACGCCAATTCCTCAGCTTCCAACTTATTCTTTTCGATATGGAAGTTAAGAAAGTCATGGTCGCCTAATGGTGGCAACTGAGACATCGACGGTCGAAAGTTCATCTTGCAGACAAGGTGCTGATACGACATCACGGCAACAGCTCAGTCGCGATGAGCATCCGCGCGCGCGACTACGCCCATGGAAGCGAGCCTGGCTCACCAGCCACGGCACCGGACAATGACAATATTGATATTGAGGCCCAACCGCGGCCACCACGCGTGCGAATAGGCTCGGCCGTTAGCGAAGACGCAATCACGATTGACGCAGGTACAAGTACAGCCAGGGTGAATTCGCGCGAATCGGCCAAGCGACGCACGAAAAGATCAAACACAGCACAGTCCTACTATCCAGATGGCGCGAATAACCATGATCAGAACTGGCACCCGGGAACAGAACCAGGCATCGACCCGAAGAAACCACTGCCGCCATATGGCGCGGATTGGGGGTCCTCCGTACCAACGGATCTACATAGACATTGCGACATAACTGTGGTCGACTTCTCGCAGAACGAGATGAGGCAGTATGAGTTGGACAATGACACTCTCGAGCAATTCCTGATGAAGGAGAAGGAACCGTGGGTGCAGTGTAGATGGATAAATGTCAATGGCTTGAGTTGGGATGTGATCCGACTTCTAGGCAATCGAAAGGGTCTCCATAGACTGGCCGTTGAGGATCTCATGCACACTTCCAACCGGACTAAGGCGGATTGGTATTCGGACCACGCATATGTCGTTTTGAGTCTACAAAAGCTGGTGAAAATGCGCCAGGAGGATAGTGATTCTGAGGACAGCGACAAGGAGGATGACACTTCTCGGGGCGAAAAAGATGGCCGGAGCTCCACATCAAGCAATGAAACTTCTGCTTCTTCCCTCAGGAGGAGAACGAAATGGTCAGTCGTCTTAGCGGCTTTGATTGATATCTTGACTCCCTCAAAGATGAAGTATAAGGAGGATCCCAAGGATGGCGGGGAGCCAGGAGTCCGCACGACCGCCGACAAATTCGAGTCATATCGGAATTCCCAGTTTAGAGATAGCCCAAAGGTACCTGGGCCCGCTCGTACGATACAGCGCCATAGGGGTGGGCCCAATGAGGATAGGATCGAGTTTATGGAGCGTCATGCCGCCCTCGCAGCCAAGGGTCTCTGCGTCACGTTGGAACAGGTTTCGATCTTCCTGCATCACGACAATACCGTCACTTCATTCTTTGAAGCTAGCGCAGACGATATCGAAGCCCCTATCGTCAAACGACTTAGTTCTCCAGAGACCATCTTGCGCCAGTCGTGCGATGCTAGCATGCTCTTGCAAGCTATCCTGGATGCTATTATCGACCTGGCTATTCCCGTGACGACCGCATATCAGGATGCAATAGGCGATTTGGAGTTAGACATTCTCACGGATCCGACCATCGAACAATCCAAGAGTCTTTATATTCTTACATCGGAGATCGCCGTTCTGCGCAACAGCATCCAACCAATCGTGGCACTTGTCAATTCGCTTCGAGACCATCGCTCTGAGCCCGTCAGCACTCCCGGTCTGGGCACTATCGTGAAGACTAACTCTAACAGCTCGTTTACCACTCCGTCGGGAGAGAGCTCGCTACAGATAAGTACTTCGCCTCCGAACCTGAAGAGCATCGGAGGCTCCACAGTGACCATCAGCGCAATGTGCCATACATACCTTGGCGATGCACTAGACCATGTCATTATGATCGTCGAGCATTATGATCAAATGAGGCGCTCTGCAGACAACATGATCGATCTCATCTTCAATACAATTGGTAAAGGACATCACTGGTTTAATATTAGCAAAGATGATGGTCCAATCAAATTAACCTACTTTTCTACAGGCGCATATCAAAACGAAAGTATGAAACAGCTCAGTCTTGTAACGTGTTTCTACTTGCCTCTCACCTTCATTACAGTATGTCATCATTTTGAAACTGTACTGGTATAACTACTGACCGAAATAAACAAAAGGGGTACTTTGGCATGAATTTCAAAGATTTTGCTGGTATTAACCATAGCGATGCGTACGTGATCTCATTTATAGTCAGGAATCCCTACAAGAGCTGATACTGATGGTTCACGGGTAAATAGCTACTTCTGGAAAATTGCCGTTCCTGTCGTGGTTGTCTCAACTTTGTTCTTGATGTGAGTGTCATTTTCTACATTCCTTTTCACTATACAGGCTCGCACTCGTTAACTTGGGGAAAAGGCGCGACATGGTCAAACGCTACCTCGTCCAATTAGCCCAAAAGCGGCTGATCGTCAGCTCGCGGAAGCAAAGGAAACGGAGACGAGCGAAGCGAAATTAATAAGCATCTTGCTGTAGTTACCGTTTATGCGGGTTGTCTTCTTGTAGTCACGATAGTATGTTTTTGTATAATGATCACATCTGTATATATATACGTTATTCCGATATACAAGAGAAAGAGTGGAACCGTCGCATTTCATCTCATCATAGCGGCTCTCTAAACCATGGGAGATGTAATATTATATAGAATAATGAGAATCGTATGTAATATGATACATCGTTCGTAAAGTGCTTTCCTTTCCCTTGGCTTTTTCCTTTCACCATCACAAAGTCTTCCGCTTAAAAGCGAAATATGCCTTCCATGGTAATTTCCAGTCGGAAGTCAGAAGTTCCGGCTTGAAGATATCAAAATCAACCTTTTCCAATCGGTCCAGCCATAATCGGGTCGCCACAGCGGGCATGTACACGCCAAAGGCGCGATTGACCTCATCTAATGGCGTGTCTGCCCCGCTGGTGATATCTCCGTACTCGTGTCCTTCCTCGCCCTCGTGTTCGAAGGCGTGGCCTACATCTTGGCCTCGTTGTAGATTGTGCAGCATCTGCTGTGCTGTGATTAGATGGTCGCTAGCTCGGGTCGCGACGGTGAAGACGGCGTCTCGTAGACCGGGAGCGTCGGCGCCTTGTCGAAAGACGTCTTCTTCCCTAACGCCTGCTTGGGCCATGATGTTTAACGGGAGGGTGATGGCGCCTTGCTTGACGCCGCCGCCGGGCTGGTTGGAGTGATGGCCCGGAGCAGAGGGGAAGGCCACGAGAGGTAATCCGCGCAAAACAGCGCTGATTCCAGCAGCTTTGCCGATGTGAGAGGCGAGGTGGTCTGCTGTTACGGAGGTTAAGGGCAGAGCGGAGAGCGTGAGGTAGAGGAGTGTAGAGTAGGTGTTTTCGGCGTAGGACTCGAGGGCGGCCAGGTCTGGATAGGGCGTATTGGCGAGAGATTGTTCGCGCGCATTGATCATGCGCATGAACCAGCCTTTACTAAGCCGAGCGCGGCCACCAGTTCGTGCATCCAGATCTGATATGGCAGCCGCGAGCAGGATCGCGACGGGTTCCTTGGGTGGGCTGCCAGAAAGAGTGCGGGTAATTGTGTCACGCCAGAATTGCAGACGCATCAGGCCGATTGTATATGACGAAGTTGTGTCAGGTACCATGGATAGGGAGATATTAAGAGCGCGCAAGGCAATATAGAAGGGTTGTGTCTGGCGGGGGATGAATGTTCCGAGCGTGTAGGAGGGACGGTCGTATTTTCTGTTATATTTGACGAATATCAGAACGTATTCGTCTGTGGAAGCTTGCGCAACAGAACCTACTCAACAAGATTTCGACAGTACTGTTCCGCCGACTTCACCTCTGCTTCCGCAGCTCCTGTAGTTGGAGCAGCAGTTGCCGATCGAGATAGATGACGCCGTTGGTGCTGAGAGCATCGCAGCTGTCGACTGCGCCAGACGAGCAGTATCTCTTTGCCCGCACCTCGCGGGCGAATAGCTCCCTTGATGAAAGACATACTAATGGGTCAAGCTTTTTGATCAGAAGCTCCCTCAAGGTTGGAAAATGAGATATGTTAATGCGACATGGCGATCTGAAGGCGGCGAGAAAGATTCCTGTAGCCATCTGATCAGATACGGGCCTGAAATAAAGAGCGCAAAACGGCCATTGCTATGGACCTAATGTGGACCCTCGATATCACCTACCAGAACGACTTATCCGCGGGGAATTATTGATAGCTTGTTGAACAAGCAACCGATCATTCACGATGTCGGAGTTGGTCAGCGCCTTTATTTTTTTTGGCCGCAATGACGTCGGGCCGACTTCGCGTCTCGGCGCGTCTTTCGCTTTTGGACATTAAGAGATCGCGCCTCAACGCCTGCTCTCTATCAACCACATCCCCAGTTCGAAGCGGCCTTTGGAAAATGAGCTTCGGACACCTCGATGAACGGGATCAACGGCCCGCTAAGAAGAGAAGATTCTTTGTCCAGGAAGAGGATCAGATCCCGTTCAGCAATGGCTTCAACGCGTCTGGAGAACCCCGAGGCTTCCCCGAAGAAGCGGATATCAAGTCCACGGACAAACTTGTGGACAACCCAGTCTCCTCCTTGGACGGTCTGAAGTCGCACGAGGCTCAGGAGATTGCTGAAGATGCGGCCGCAGAGACATTTGGAGACTCCACTACCGCAGACCGGATCGAGAGCAACGGTGTAAATGGCAGACATGTGGACGCGGCAGCAGCACGGCACCCGCTGGAAGAAATAGGAGATGGATTCGACATGCATTTATTCAACAATATAGTCGGACAAGATATGTCACGCGATACGGTGGATAAGATTCGAGCTGCTGCTGGCGACAATATGGAGACGGCGGTCAATATCTTCTTTGATGGATCGTGGAAGACCGCTAATGAGAAGGAACCGGATGTACCAGGACAGATGCCCCAGTCAGCACCTGAAGCTGACGCTACCGTACACGCCGAGATGGAGGAAATCCCGCCAGCACCACCTGATACCGAAGTAAATGAGACGGCAGTGGAAGGTGCAGAAGTCTTGCCATCTCAGCCGGCTCTGAGATATGTTGGTGCCTTTGGAGTTGCTGCTTGGGCGACCAGAAATGGCACTGGGATTGTCCGTCATGGCGAGACTGTGGGCATCGAGCGTGCCAGGACCCAGCCGATGATGAAGCAGGTTCGAGGGCGGAAGCAAATCACCAACAACAAAGGCGATGTCTTGACGCGATTTATCAATACTCGGGGAGAGGAGGTTGGCCGGCTGCCTCGAGAGAGTGCTGAATGGGTATCCACACTCATTGACCAGAAGATCTGCAAGTTTGAGGGTGTCTGCGTCTATGCTCCCGACCGGATCCGAGTGAATGACACCATTTATCTTCAGTTACGATGCTATCTTCGTCAAGAAGCCTTCCAACCAAGACCGCTTAGTCGACTGGCGGATGATAACAGATCAACAGGCTTGTTTGAAGAAAAGGAGAGTTTAGAGGAGAAGAATCTGCGTCTCCGTCAAGTTGCGCTAGTGAAGCTGTTTGGCGAGATCAACCTTGAGCCCACGTCCATGAACGAGATGACAGCAAAGCATAAAAAGGAGGGACTCCTTCGGGCCGCGGAAATGGCGGAACAGTACGACAAGAGCAAGAAGGATGCCACAAAAGACTCACCCAATGAGTCCGAAGACGAAGGAACGCAGGAACTAGAAGAAGACCAGCTCGACACGCTATACAAAAAGGCGCAGACATTTGACTTCAACATGCCGGAAGCGGAACCACCACCGACATTTACGATGGATCTCCGAAAATACCAAAAGCAAGCCCTTCACTGGATGCTTGCAAAGGAGAAAGATGCAAAGCAAGCCAGACAGAGCTCGATGCATCCCTTGTGGGAAGAATATACATGGCCTGTGACTGACGTGGATGACAAGGTCTTGCCTAAAGTCCACGAAAAAGACCACTTCTACGTGAATCCGTACTCCGGCGAGCTCACTCTGGAATTTCCCGTGCAAGAACAACATTGTCTTGGTGGTATTCTAGCCGACGAGATGGGGCTTGGTAAGACCATAGAGATGCTCAGCCTTATCCATTCCCATGGACTGCAGGCCGACGAACACACCGTGAATGGCGCTGCTTCTGTTGATACCCTCCGTCGATTGCCCAAGGAATCGAAAAGCACGGTGCTTGCTCCCCATACAACTTTGGTCGTTGCTCCGACCTCTCTTCTGGCACAGTGGGAGAGCGAAGCCATCAAGGCGTCACGGCCGGGCACATTGAAACCCTTGGTTTACTACGGCGCTGATAAAGCAGTCAACCTAAGGAATCTCTGCTGCGCGAGTAATGCTGCTGACGCTCCTAATGTGATTATCACAAGTTACGGCGTCGTGTTGTCTGAATACCGTCAGGCGTCCTCGTCACTCCCCACGCTTGGGACACAAGGTGGCTTATTCTCTGTCGAATTCTTACGTGTCATCCTTGACGAGGCCCATTACATCAAGAACCGGCTCTCCAAGTCGGCAAGAGCATGTTACGAACTGAAAGCCGTCCATCGATGGGCACTGACGGGCACTCCCATCGTTAATAGGCTAGAGGATCTATTCAGTCTTGTCCGGTATTTGAAGGTAGAACCGTGGAGTAACTTCTCCTTTTGGAAGACATTCATCACGGTTCCTTTTGAATCGAAGGATTATGTACGCGCTCTCAATGTTGTCCAGACAGTCCTCGAGCCATTGGTACTCCGACGAACGAAGACAATGAAGACGCCTGATGGAGAGGCCCTCGTTCCACTGCCAAATCGGAAAATTACCATTGAAGAAGTGGAACTTTCCGAACAGGAGCGAGAAATCTACGACTACATCTATACCCGTGCCAAGCAGACGTTTAACACTAATGTCGAGGCTGGAACGCTGCTGAAGTCATACTCGACCATCTTCGCTCAGATCCTTCGACTACGTCAAACATGCTGCCATCCAATTCTTACTCGGAACAAGGCAATTGTTGCGGAGGAAGAAGATATTGCAGCTGCGGCTGATGCGTCAAATGAGCTTAAGGATGATATGGATTTGCAGGAGCTGATCGATCGTTTCACGTCTTCCACTGAGTCAGCTGAAAACGATGGTGATCAGAGATCCATGGTGCGGTTTACTGCACATGCTTTGAGGCAGATCCAAAACGATGCCGGCGGCGAGTGTCCCATCTGCTCTGAAGATCCAATGATCGACCCAGCAGTAACTGCATGCTGGCACAGTGCATGCAAGAAGTGTCTCCAAGACTTGATTAGACATCAGACGGACAAAGGAGAAACTCCACGGTGTTTTTCCTGCCGCGCGCCAGTCACATCGCGAGATATCTTTGAAGTAGTCCGTCATAAATCACCCAACACCACACCCACCGGGGAGGATCTATATAGTAGTACTCCTCCATCGTCTGCATCTCCAGCTCCCCGGATCTCTTTGCGACGTGTCAACCCCTTCTCCCCGTCGGCCCAGACTTCTGCAAAGATCCACGCGCTTATGGATCATCTCACTCGCTTGCCTCAAAATGAGAAGTCAGTCGTATTCTCTCAGTTTACTTCATTTCTCGACTTAATATCCCCACAGCTTACAAGGGCCGGTATCGCCCATGTGCGTCTTGACGGTACAATGCCCCAGAAAGCACGAGCGGAGGTGCTCTCCCAGTTCACACGGACCGATACTTTTGATGAGGAGGACATGGAGGACATTGAAGACCCCGATAACCCTCATAAAAAGAGAGCGCCCTGTCAAAACTCGGCCATGTCTAAGACCTCATCGGCGCCTCCTGGCCGTCCTAACGTACTCCTGATCAGTTTACGGGCCGGTGGTGTCGGGCTGAACTTAACGGCAGCCAACCATGTCTTTATGATGGATCCCTGGTGGAGTTTTGCTGTCGAGGCGCAGGCCATTGATCGTGTTCATCGAATGGGCCAACTACGAGAAGTCTCCGTGACACGATTTATTGCAAAGAATTCCATTGAAGGCCGCATGCTCCAAGTTCAGGAGCGGAAGATGAATATCGCTGGCTCCTTAGGATTAAGGATCGGTGGAGATGGTGGCGATGAGGAGAGGAAGAAAGAAAGAATTGAGGAGCTACGGTTGCTGTTTGAGTGAGGTAATATGTATCTTGTTGAGTCGTTATAATAATACCCGTTGTCGTCTACATCCACAAGGATAGTTGGGTTTGGATTTATTTAGAGTTCCGGATCACTGTATGGTACATATACTATGTCTGCAAGAATAATGGTATATTCTTTGGTACATAAACATGGGCGATACATATTGTTTAATATTCAGATCACCGGATCTTTCCGAACATGCCCCATACCGGGTGTTTTGTTCTCTGACCGTCGGCTATCAAGACCTCATTGCTGAGCGCTTTTGTTGTCACTGCAATTCTGGGCAAAGCTCTGTCAAGAATTCTGTCGTCTCTTGTTTCAGGCTGCATTGTGGGTTGTTGGTCGCGCCGCCGTAGGATCCCTCTCCCCTTATCAAAGCCCATCTGGCGTTCTCAACATCCTAGATTCTTGCCGCCGTAAAGCCTTATAAAGCATTTCCCAGAAAGGCACCTATAACGATGAACTTCGTTTTCAAAAAAGCAACGGGAGGCTTAAGTAGTAATTAAGACACCACATTTGCCTAATATGAGGTCCGGGACGTCGCATTGGAGGTTTCTGTCTAGCTATGGGATGAATACTTACTGATCGGCAAACAGCCTATTAGTTATACCACGCACCGCGCAGCCGATACATCTGACTTCTATGACTATTGTCTCTATAATCTTGTCGATATCGTTAGCAAGGATGGCAATTTCATCTTGGATATTGGACTAAAAGCTGACAGAACGATCGTTGACGCCGAAGTCCAACACCTGCGTGAGCCAGGGAAATGGATCTATACTCACGGAGAAGCTATCTTCAACACGACGTACTGGGTTTTTATGTCCAGGTATGAGAGTCGTGAGAAGAATATTGGCGTCCGGTTCACGCAGACGAATGATGCTTTTTATATCTTGATGCTGGAATGGCCCTGTTCGGAGGAAGTGTATATAGACGCACCTATCCCTGTTTTAAAAGGTCATTCAGTAACCGCTCTGGATGCTGCAGGCGAGGAGAGACAATTGCAATGGGAGAAGAGGACCGAAGAGAGAACCGGTTCTACTTTCCACATACCAGCAGATGTTCTTGAGCGCGATGAGTATTGCTAGGTCTTGAAGATTGCATATCGTTCCTAAGTCGTCCGAACTACAATAGATGTCTTGAGAGTAATATACACTTAATTACCCTAAGCAGAATGCTGAACTATTTCTAATAGCTTCCTGCCTATTATAATTATTACTATTTACCATAAATGTATGGGAATCTAAAGTCATAGAAGCAAAGATATTGGAAGAGCATTTAATATGGGAATAAAATCTTAATTGCTTGAAGAATTAGAGAGTACCGAAATATATTAGCTAACTATCTATGCCCACGGACTCTATCCTGAATTACTGCTGCCTAGAGCACTGCGTTTGTACTGCTCTTGAGCATTTCCTGTGTCCGCCGGGTCTGCTTTGATCCTATATCGGTAGATATAGTAGCTTCCCGTTATTTGCTCTACACCCTTTGTATAGGGTAGTAGAGACCGTTTGCAGCTTGCCTCTACTGAAGCCGTGACCTCTCACTTGGTATAGCCATAGATCTTCAGCGAGATATAAATATATTTCTGCAGTACTGATACAGAATAACTTGATTAGTTTAGCTGAATTCTCCATGTAATCATGCAACGTATGTCTGGTACTCCCTAACGACCCTATGTGTCCCGATGGTTATGAAGAATAATTCCCACCGGGTGCGCTCAGCCGGTCAGTCGGAATGAAGATTAGTCATCGCCGATTCGGAGACTCAGTGCGATATCGCTCCAGGCGGGGTTGATATGTTTACAACATACTATCTAACAGTTAGGATGTTTATAAGATTCTAGAGTCACAGCTTAACCCTTGTCCTGCTGGTTCGCGGGCCTGAGTCCAAGAGCAACAATCCCAATTTCCTGTGGATCGTTAGAGCGGCAGACCGGAATTTACGAAGAGCGAATCTAAGCAACATGCGTCTCCTTCCAGAAGGTGATCTCTCACGTCTCCTCCGATCATTAACCCAGGAGCAATGTCAGCGTCTTCTCAATGTCCTCGCGGAGTCTCTCAGCAGTTCCTCAGCCCAATCTACTTCAAACAAGTCAGAAAAGCTGATCCACCAGCCTCTACGAAGCCACATCGTCACCAAGGGCAATGACACATCCTTATTCATGCCTTCCTCGAATAACACAACAACCGGGATTAAAATTGTCACGATTCCTGGTGATGGGGGCAATATAGCTGCCGTAATTAATATCTTTACACCTAATGGTAAGCTGACCGGACTCCTCAGCGCGGCTGAGGTCACGGCCTTCCGAACCGCGCTTGCGACAATGACTCTCTTCACCCGCTGCACCTCTTTGAGGCGAGAGAATATTGTTGTCTTCGGCTCTGGCAAGCAAGCAGAATGGCATGCGCGACTGGCGGCGATACTCCTTCCACAAGAGGTCAAAAAGATTACATTTGTCAATCGTGGCCGCCAACGATTGGAGCAGATCGAGAAAACTCTCCTGCCAGAACTACGTGAACGCTATCCGGGCATAACTACGGCAATCTTGCCCCAAGAGGGTATACCTGACTATTCCGAGAAACTCCAGGCAGCACTGGCGGCCTGTGATGTTATATTTTGCTGCACACCTTCTACTGCTCCGCTCTTTCCATACTCCTATCTCGAACCTAAAGGCGGCGAAGTGTCGAAGCAGCGATTCATTTCGTTGATCGGTTCGTACAAGCCACATATGCAGGAGATCGATACGCAGACTCTGTTCACAGGCGGTGGAAAGATCTATGTTGATTCGAAGGAAGCCTGCCTTGAAGAGTCCGGGGAGCTCATTAATGCTAAGGTAACTGAGGATCAGCTCATCGAGGTTGGTACACTGTTTAATCCTGGGGAAGAGACGAGTGCGCTCTCTATACCCGCGGGATTTAATGTCGTATTCAAGTGCGTGGGAATGGGAATTATGGACTTAGTCATTGCAAACAAATTGCTGGATATTTCGAGGGAATTGAATATTGGCACGGAGATCAATGGCTTTTAGGCGAGCTTATGAATTTAGCTAAGGGATTCGTCACGGAGTAGAACTGCTGACCAGGAGCTGGGACCGCTAGCGAGGAGTTAGTTACGCGGCCTCGCGAATAGATATCTTCATCGCACAGCTCGATCCTGATTCAAGCTCCTCGAGCTACGTCTTGTCTATTGAGCCTGCCTGCACTAGCCCGTTCTACTGTCTGAACCTGATGGACAGAGATCCTGTAGCTAGCCTGCGTATTAACCACTTGATTCTATTCGTTCCTGACTGCCTACGAGCCCGAACCTTGACACTTTTCGGTAAATCTATCTTTCTGTGGTACATTGACAGAGCTAGCTTGTATAGCTACTAGTAAGCAGTAGTAGATACCTGGTAGTTAGTACAGTAACTTAGTATTCAATTTATACTGGAATACGCAGATTCGTCGCTTGCTCACTAATCTCCAACAACTGAATGCTGCAGACCTTCGCAGGGCTCTATTGCCCACAAAACATCAATAATGGGCAGACAGAAAAAGTGAACGTAAGGATATACGATATTTACTAGAAGCAAAGCAGCAAACAAATCAAATTGATAAATCGCAGGAATATTCGCTTATCGTCGGCTATTACTTAGTTACACGCACGGAATGTGGCAGTTTGCGGGGTTCGGCGGCAAGACTCCACTTTATCGCGCTTATCGCCAAGATGTCGGCTTACCTCGAGTACGATCACTGTCGTGTGTTATCGGTTCCAGTCGGGATGAGATAGACGCGGAGACTGGGAAATCCCCCTCTCGGACACATCTAGCTTTGGTTTCCTAAGTCATAAGAAGCCAAATGGATGAGCCCACACCCAGTTCGGGGCGTCAGAAACGGCCCCGCGTGGCGGAAGAGAAGCGCAAAAGAGCTGTGCGAGCGTACGTGCACGTCCCCTGCGTTTGGCCCTTGATTGGAACATATCTAGAACAGGGAACTAAACGAACCATCCAGATGCGATTGGTGTCGAAGAGTAAAGGAGAAATGTGAAGGGGGTGTACCGTGTCGGCGATGTTCTCGTTATCAACGTCAATGCGTGTTTAACACCCTTCCGGACCACGGAGATAGGGCTTCCAGGGCGTCTGTTGATCGGTAAGTGGATGCTTCTTATTTGAATACTGTGAATGCTGAACATCCCCCTAGGAGCCTAGAACTCACAGCGAGCCTCAGTCGTGACGATGTCACAGAGGCACAGCGGGTGCGGTACATGGAAGAGATCTTGGCGCATTATGTTCCAAATATCTCTTTTGATATTCAGTCACTAAAGAGGTTTGCTGAGGACCTCCAACTCCAGCATCGCGGGTCAGATAAGGATGGTCCGGCTACACAGGTAGAACTGGATGAGCTGGAAGACCTGGCGATTGATGATGAGGACTTTACGATCAAAGCTCTTCCTGACAACACGACACGTAAGTCATCTCTGCCCGAAAAATAATGATGTGTGTTTTAATAGATAGGCCCGCTGATGTATAATCCTCAGAGTATTCTGGCGAATTCTCTTATCTAAATTTCTCCATGAAGATTCGACGGAAAATCGACGAGTGGATGCAGACATCGGCTCCAGACGTAAGTGGGATACATTCCCTTATGCTAACCGTTGCTCACATTGTGTAAAGGATACACCAGAAACAGATCACTTTGAGGAAACATGGCGATCGACGCAATTGCAGTCTGGATCAGCTCTCGTGTCCGCATCGATAACATGCCTTCCGCCACGATATGTCGCGGACTTCTTAGTGCAAACGTTTTTCAAATATGCGCAAACTAATAATTTCTATGTTGAAGAGGATTGGCTGTGTGAGAAAGTGAACACTTGCTATACCAACCCAGCCGTCCTTTCCTCGAAGGACGCAGGCTCTGTCTGCGCGATCTTGATGGTCTTGGCTATCGGTACGCAGTTTGCGCACATGGACTCGCCAAAGCAGGTGAATAAGGTTGTGGACCCAAATTCCGCTGATGACCACCGCTTCTCGGAAGACGAAGTCGGGCTTACATTTTATAAATTTGCGTCCAAACTTCTACCAGATATTATCACCACGGCGTCCGTCAGGAGTGTCCAGGCATGTCTGCTCATTGGGACATATCTACTACCCCTCGACACCTCAGGCCTCTCTTATACTTACTATGGGCTCGCGCTAAAAATGGCAATCCAAAACGGGATGCACCGGAAGTATACCGGACCGGGCCTAGATTCAAGAATGGTTGAGGTTAGGAATCGGGTATTCTGGACTGCATACACGATAGAGAAGTGCGTAATGCCTTCATGTTCAGGTTTCCTTTACTGTCTGACAAAGTTATAGGCGTATCAGTATTCTCCATGGAAGGCCTTCTTCCATGTCACAAGAAGACGTGGACGCGGAATTTCCAGTGGATCTTCCGAGTTTGCGGCCATCTGGACAGCTCTCCAACTATACTAACATGGTCGCGTTGATTAAGTTGACTTTGCGGCTCGCAGATATTGCGAACGAAATGTATGCGGCACTTTCCTGCTGCATATGTGATTATATACTAACAATCTTGTTCAGATCCTCCCTGCGAAGATGCCGAAAAGGTCAGCAATCGGACTGTCTCGACAAACTTCTAACCCGGAGAAGACAGCTTATGGAGTGGTGGGCGACGCTTCCAGAGGAGACATATTGCCGGGATCTAAACCCTCTAAGTGGCCACTTCCGTTCGAATGTACACTTGAGACTAGACTACTGTTTGACACGGATCTTTATCGGACGACCGTTTCTCTTCAGCAACATGAAAGGTATTAATCGCGTAATCACCACGGGTTCCCAACAGAAGACCCAAACCGCTCGCTCTAAGGGGCGCTCGACCTTGGTCACCGACTGCGTTGAAGCAGCCCTCGAAATCATAGATTTGTGCCGTCTCTTGCGTGACGAGACTGGCCTCGCACGCGCCTCTTATACTGAGTTCAGTTCGTGCCGTGCTGCGCTCCTCGTCATTTTAGCGCAGAGTCTCACAAAAAGAACGGATCGTTTGCGAAATGCGTTGGAGACAGGGATGGGGTTGATCAAGATCATGTCTATGGGTGTTGGGTCTGCGAGGTCTGCTGTGAATGTAATTGAGGCTCTCGAGCGCGCCATCCGTCGTTTGGATTCGTGGGACCAAATGCAGAGGCAAAGCAATGAGGCCGCAGATTCTGGGTACGAGCGTTTTAAGAACTGGGAAATGCTTTGGAAGACGGGGCCACTATCACCTGCGATATCTGCTGCTGCAATCCACGGCCAGGTACCCAACGACACAGTCCGAGCGACATCGGGACCAGAACTGTCCTCTGTCCTAGGCGTTGGTATCAATACTCCCTCTCATGCAAATGAGGATCCCAAGGACCCACACGCCACTGAATTCTCAGTTTCACCACCTTCGCGGTCGATGCCGACCTTTGCTTTCGAAGGGTTCGTATCTAATTTCCCGCAGGAGCTAGGCGAGTTTAACGCCATTCCATGCTTCGAAGGGGATACACAGCAAGGCCTTGGAAGCGATCTAGACCACCCATCCACGGCGGACACTCGATGGATGCAATTCATGAATGATTAGTTTGAATAGCCTTTACGATGTAATACTATTCAACTGGCTCGGCCTCGGCCTCCGGAATCCTCCACCCGGGCCTTGCCCCCGGGATAAACACAAGGAGCCCAATGCTCCGCCGACAAATCAGTAGGGCACTTTGCGACGCCTGCTAGATCAATCCATACACGCGTATACTATATTAGAATCCTTCTGCATGTCGGGAGGGGTCCTAGACAACTTGCTAATGCCATTGCTTCCTTGAGTTGCTTTCTACGGTTGCACCTTTTATGTACATAAATCCATATCTTAGCACAGCACGTCTCTATACCTCATGGGAGGTCACCAGGGGCACAGGCGTCGCCTGCGCCTCGCCGGAAGTTAAGCCTTGATTACAGAGAATACCTTATACCACCACTTCCGACGATCACACATTTCCCTTCCCCGCATTGCACCTCCTTTCTAGCCGAGTTCGTAAGAAACCTACAGGTAGGGTATATTTCCAATCATGATGATCTTAAAGACAGGCATTACGAGCGACAGCTCGTCTGATATGCAGTGCAGGGCTATCAAATCTGCACTAGTGCTGCACCGCAACGGATGGAGCCGATCAATATGTACAGTGTCATTGGATAAAGAGAATATTCGGTCCTTCTTTTTGTACTAACGTATATGAAGCGTCGTTAAGCTATTCCAATTCAGCTGTCGTCTGCAGTTTGCATGCATATGCGTGTGATTGCGGGAATATAGTCTAATTAAGAGTTAGAAGCCTTGTTATATACGAGTAGTTAGTTACCGGTGGCCTGTTAGATACCTTGTCTGTTCGTATTCCGTGATACTGACGTGTCGTATACTCGGACGTGAGAGTAATGGCAGGATAATACTGCCCCACACGATAATTTCTACAATCGGCTTAGGATGCAGCTTGATGGTATTATTGGAGGTTATTATAAGGAGTCGCCTTTCATAGCTGAATTTTGCAGCGAGCTCCGATTACCTCTTGAAAATAATAATAAAAATTGCATCGGGGTATCCTACTCTAATTGCACTTTTATCGAGATATTGCGTAATACAGGTCCTGTTCTTCCCGGATATCGAAGGCATAGATACTACCATGGCGCTCAACCTAATCGTCCTATTTCCTATTATCCTCATTCTTCTAAGAATAATTTACGAGCGCATACGAGATAGCAAACTCCCTCCAGGCCCTCCTCGTCTTCCACTTATCGGAAACCTCCACCAAGCACCAGCCGAGCTTCCCTGGCGGACATTCCGAGAATGGACTCAACGATACGGCCCCATAATCAGCGCCCAATTTGGCCATAATACCGTCATCATGATTGGTGATGCTACAATAGCACGAGATCTGTTGGTAAAGAGAGGGCACATATACAGTGACCGTCCTCAGATGGTGATGGCGAACAACGTAACCAAAGGATTGCATTTACTTTTCCGGCGCTACAATGAGCGGTATAAACTTCACCAACGCCTCGATGCACCGGTGCTTAGTCCTAGGGCCTCCATTACGTATCATCCGGTCCAGGATCTCGAGAGCAGGCAATCGATGCATGACCTGCTCTCAACGAATAACTTCACGAAAGTGTTCGAACGCTTTTCGGCAAGCGTGATTTATGGACTTGCGTATGGGACGCGCTTGCATACAGGCGATGAGGTTATGCTCAAGGATGCGCATAGAGTCCAGCAGAACTTTGTATATGCAGCTCGTGTCGGTACATGGATCGTGGATGCTGTGCCTATCTTGAATTATCTACCGAGATTTCTGGCCCCCTGGAAGAAAATCGGTGATGAGTTCTATGAACTTGAGAAAAATCTGCATTTAGGCAATATGTGCACTGGCTTTGCTAGCAAAAGTTGGAATTGGACCAAAGAATTTTCCAAGTCCAAGGAAGCAGCTACCATGTCGCAGATCGAATTAGCCTATAATGTGGGAATCCTTGCTGATGCCGGCCTTGACACTACCCAACTACAGATGAGAATGTTCGTGTTGGCTGCTTTGTCGTATCCGGGGTTTATCCCCAAAGCGCAGAAAGAACTAGATGAGGTAGTAGGGCCTGACAGGCTCCCTACCTTCGAAGATCAGAAGAACTTACCTTACATCTCTGCCATTGTCGAGGAGAATCTACGATGGCGCGGAATTATCCCAGGCGGCGTTCCACACGCTACCTTGCAGGAGGATAATTATATGGGATATCGCATCCCTAAAGGAGCCACTATTGTGTGGCTGGCGTGGGCAATGGCACTGGATGAGCATGCATTTGAACGACCACTTGAATTTATTCCTGAGCGATGGCTTGAAGAATCTACGATCCCCGATAGGAAACCCCGTTTTGTTAATTTCTTCGGATACAGCCGTCGTATCTGCACTGGCAGGCATATCGCACGAAATTCGCTGTTCATTCTCATAGCTCGAGTGCTCTGGGGATTCAATATCAAACACGCAGTTGATGAACGAGGAAAGGTCAAGGAAGTTGATGATATGGCGATGACATCTGGTTTTGTGCAGTGTCCAATGCCGTTTGAAGCGGTGTTTGAGCCACGGAGTGCACAGGCAAAGGCGGTTATTGAAAATAGTTGGCATACGGCAGAGAAAAATCTTGATGTTATTATGGATTCAGTAAGGGAGTCACAGATTGCGGCTGGTTTGAAGGTTCAGGTTTAAATAACTGCGCTGCCACGGTGTACTTTTGAATTCTGTTGGATATAATTACAGCTTGTCTCTCTCTCTCTTACCCCCTTTCTTTGCCTCTTTTTTACTACTGTGCAAGGGTTATTCTCTCTATAGAGCATAGATAAACTGAGTAACACTAGTTAGTATTTGACCACTCAAGTGTAATGACTGGTAAATATATGTTCATTTTTCTCAGCATATATAAAATTAGTGAGGGCGCAAAATTACATATCTAAGCAACCTCAACTAACTACGATATATTTATTCTAAAATATACCAGACTGCTGCAAACAGATAATTGACAGATTACCTGGTATTTGCTTTATGCGCAGACAATATTTTAAGATTATGTATATATATATATATATAAAAACCTGCTAATGAACAAAGGGATATCTTATTAATTATTGAACAAAAGTTCTCTCTGCACTTTTAAGTCTAGAAACCTAGTGCCTTTCTAGCACGTCTCTGCAACTCCTGCGCCATAGCAAGTTGCGACTGCTTTGTCCGGCCGACAGCCTCAGTGTTCTCTACAGCGCGTCGGAACAGGAATCCCATGCACTCCTTAACAGAGCCCCATGTCAGAAGTTTGTAGACATTAGGAGACTCTGTTGTAGCTACAGTGGTGCCAGCTTCAGCGCTCTGGAAACCCTGGAGAAGCTCACAGCTGACTTCGTCTGCCATACCCTGCAGCTGAGCATAGGCGAGTTCCACGCGAGGCTCGCTGCGTGCGGCCTGCTGCAGGCGGATGGAGTGAGCCTTTCGGACGGAGTCCTGGTTGTGGGTAGCGATGATAACATTAACAGGGGGTAGTTTGACAGTGTGCTCATCGGAAGCAGGCTTCAGGACATCGTTGTATCGTCGGGCCAACAGAGCCTCGACGATACCATCGTAGCAGCGGTCAGTTTCTTCCTTTTCAGCCCAGATCAAGTGACGAGGTTCGGTCTTCAAGTATGCTCCACGCACTAGCTTTACACCCAGCGTGTAGCCTTCCTGACGAGCAATCTCTAGGTGCCTAGCAATAGTGGCGGGTGTAGACCGCAGGTAGGCTTGGTATGTGCCGTATAGAGTTGCCCGACCAGGGGTCTTTAAGTTGATGTATTTCTGATAAGTCATGATCCATTCCTCGATACCAGGCTGAACGGCCTGCTCCTCAGCGTCGACAAGCAAGCGCGCACCACGGGCAATGGCGGAATCGCAAACAGAGCGGATGGCTTCGTCCATGTATTCCGAAGGAGGTAATTTCTGCCGAAGCAGGCTCAAAGCCTGATTTCCCATACCGGTAAACCTGAACGGAAACTTCGTTAGTCACGACGGCACAACCTCAGGACAGTAGTATGGTGATGCCTACTTTAGCGCGACAAAGTCTCCTTCCTGAGCCATATCAACAGTCTGCAATGTTCCCTGCAGCCATGTATCCACCTCTTCTCGAGCAGCCTTTTCGTCCACGAGATTACCGCCATTCTCTCCAGCTAGAACTTCACGAGCGTATCCCAAAAGGACTCCTCTGTATCCTAAACTCTTCATTTCCTGGATGGACCTCTGAACCTCAACTTTGTTCTCACCGGCATTGAACTGCTTATAAATCGTGTTCTTAATGATCCAGTTGAGCGCTGGGTTTTTCGCCACATCTAAAACCGGAGTCTTGGGATGGGCTAGGGCAGACAATGCTCGGATGCATGGCTTCAAGAGAATAGGAGATGAGGAAATCGAGAGGATCAACAGGGATCGGAGAACCGTAGAAAGGGGGAGCACTGCCAGCGGTGACTCCGTTGTTCGCTTCTCCGACGACGGCTGCAGGCAGTTGTTTATAGAAGCTGTCGACGGCGTACTGACGACCGGGGATCGAGAAGTGCCCGTATTGCTCACACGTCTCGGCCTAGGATATGTGCTGGACTTGACTCGCAGCGTCCGCAACGGGCGGGGCGGACGGTTCATCGCTACTCGAGTAATAAATAATATCTGCTGGGAAGAGGGACTGTGATAATCCCACGCGACTGGTGTTTGATGTTTGACGTTTATCGATGACCCTTGCGGATAGAGATTTATATCGAAGCCATAGATAAGTTGAGATACACAAAATTACTACGTGAAATGGGCAGAAGATTCGATGATATACTCGTCATATCCGTGTAGCCCATGCCTCTTTGTTTTGCATCATCCGGTCATTCCCACCCCGACCGGTACGGTCACCAGCGGAAGAAGATTCCATGACAACCAACCATTTCTTTGCCACTCTTATCTGATCAGTTTACTCTAAGAGCGAGCCATTGTCCAGAAGGCCGGGAGATAACGCAGCCTGCATATACTTATCATCCCGCTCCCGGTGCACGTCGAGTCGCTCTCCGGCCCGGGCAGTCTCGATAAGTAAACTTACGGATTGCTTGTCTGTCTCGACTTTCGACAGTCTAAGAAATGTTTCCGCTCCGCTCAGGCCAAGCTGCAAACAGAGAGTGATTGTTATTCGCTAGATGAGACCGAGACCGACTTTACTCTATTTAATTTTATTTTTTATCTATATGTATAGAGAAACCGGCAACGCTTGTGGGAGCCGGCTCGCTAAGTAAGTAACCGGCTGCATGCCGGTCACGGTCAGTGCGTGTTCTTTTCCGCTGGGGGTAGATCTATCATCTCACTAAGTAGATAGTAGATAGTTATACTAGTTATAACTAGTTACAGTGCAAGCTGTTTGTCATAGGCAATTGTCATTTGTGCCCTGAACTCTCTCAAAATCCCCGCGCGCACGTTCCTATCAGCGGAGACGCAAGACTGTAACCGTGGCTAATATACCCCGAGGCCAATGGCCGCTCCCGTTCTGGAAATTCTCTACCAAAACGATCTCCAGAGCCAAGACACGCGATGGTTTACTGCCCACGGCCACGGCCGCGCAAGGCTTCCCCGCGTATGGCCCTGGGGTCCTGCGTGAGGCCTTATAACCCGGCTAAGCGAAGGCTGCTTCTTGCAAGAAAGACATTTCTCGCCCGTCACGGCTGTGTCGTTCTATACTTAGTCGCCGTGGACCATTGAAAAGAAAAAGAGCAGAAATAGAAAAATTGTATGAACACCATGAGTGGCTCTCCGAAGGAGCTGGAGGAAGCCAAGGCGGAGGCAACAAATGTTGTCGCGCACACTGACTCCAAGTCCATCAAGGGCGAGGTGAATCATATCCCCCGGGGCGAGACGCATCGAGGGTTGACCAGCCGCCATATCCAATTCCTGGCGCTGGGAGGATGTATTGGAACGGGTCTGTTTGTGGGATCGGGAGCGACCCTGTCTCTTGTCGGCCCAGGTGAGTTGGTGGAAAATCCGATACACGATGCCACGGGATGCTGACTGCGGACGAGCCCCCTTGCTCATGAGCTATATTGCCATGTCATCGGTCGTGTGGGCGGTCATGAACGTGCTGGGTGAAATGTCTACATACCTGCCGGTTCAGGGAGTCTCAGTTCCATATTTTGTCAACAGGTTTACCGAGCCAAGTTTGGCATTTGCAGTTGGTAAGTCCAGGAGCCATCTGTAGCGTGTCTTCACCGGATGACTCGACTGACTGGTCTCCAGGGTACAATTACTGGTGAGATATTAACATGCACAGAGTTAGCAAGCAGAACCAGCCTAACACTGCAAACAGGTACTCGTATTCTATGTTGATTGCCTCAGAGGTCACTGCCGCAGCATTGATTATCCAGTACTGGACGACCGAGGTCCCAGTGGCGGCCTGGATCACGATCATTCTTGTCGGTATGCATTCAGGATGACTCTCTGGGCAGAATTTGTCTGATTTTCCGCAGTGATCCTGTTTCTGAACGTCGTTGCTGTGTCCTTTTTCGGCGAGGCAGAGTTCTGGTTTGCGTCTATCAAGATTATTGCCATTGTTGGACTGATCGTCCTGGGCGTGGTCTTGTTCTTCGGCGGTGGCCCTAACCACGATCGACTTGGATTTCGCTACTGGCAGCATCCCGGTGCATTTAATCCACACATGGTGGGAGGAGATACCGGCCGATTCCTTGCATTCTGGACGGCCTTCATCAGATCGGGATTCTCTTTTATTTTCTCCCCAGAGCTCATCACAGCCGCTGCCGGTGAAGCGGTATCCCCTCGTCGCAACATTCCCAAGGCGACAAACAGATTCATCTACCGTCTCGTCGCCTTCTACGTCCTCGGATCGCTGGTCATTGGTGTCACAGTGGCATACAATGATAAGAGTCTCCTGTCAGGTATTGCGAGTGGTAGTGAAGGCGCCGGTGCCAGTCCATTCGTCATCGCGATCCAAAACGCTGGCATCAAGGGGTTGAATCACGTTATCAACGCCGCTATCCTCACATCAGCGTGGTCTTCGGGCAACTCGTGGCTCTTTGCAGGTTCTCGAACGCTGTATTCCCTGGCTTGTGCAGGTCAGGCACCGAAGATCTTCGCGCGCTGCAACCGCAAAGGTATCCCTTACGTCTCGGTGCTGCTCACATTTGCCATTGGATGCATTTCGTACCTCAACGTGTCTGATTCCGGAGCAACCGTCTTTTACTGGTTCACTAACATCACAACCGTTGGAGGTTTTATCTCCTGGATTGTCCTCCTGGTCGCTTATCTGGTAGGTTTCCCTGCTGCTTAGATATATATCCCTCACGATTCTTTCGAGAAACAACCATGTTAATAGCCACTACAGCGGTTCCGCGGGGCAATGCAGTTTCACGGCATACTGCACACTCGACCATTCAAAACCCCCCTCCAGCCATACAGCACATACTACGCTCTTTTCATCGTGTCTCTCCTTGCTCTAACCAACGGCTACGCCGTATTCTTCCCGGGACAATTCACTGCGTCCGGGTTCCTGGTCTCATATATCGGCTTCGCTATCTTCATTGTTCTCTATATCGGCCACAAGGCGTGGTACCGGACGCCATGGATGGTGAAGATATCAGAGGTAGATATTTTTTCCGGAAAGGATGAGATGGATCGGCTGTGCGAGGACGACGTGGAGAGACTGCCCCGAAATTGGCTAGAGAAGATCTGGTTCTGGATCGCGTAAAAGGGCCTTAGACGATACATTTTCTTTTCTTTTTATTCTTTTTTTTTTTTTTTTTTTTTTTTTTTCATGTTTATGTTTGTACGCTGTAGAGATGTTTTAAAAGTATTTGTATATGAATCTGTATATAGTTGCACGCTCTCAAGTGCAACGAATTTAAACGCCCTATAGACGTGAATTTCGAAGCAATCGCAGATGCACATTGGATCCTATTCGAACATTCTGTCATTGATATCCCAGCTTATGCTTGCAGACCTTTCAGATTGTGGTCGTTGTATAACTAGAATATGAAAGTTCCTGCCTGAGGCAACAAAGTCACTGATCCACCGAATCCACTACCATTGTTGGGAACTGCACTACCATACTTGTCATGGAACACGATAAAAGTCGGAGTGCAGGATCTTGTTTATCCAGATAGTATGGTATCTTCTTCAAATAACGGCGTCTCTTTCCCCCATCAACAACCATTAGATCTACCAATCCGCCATTCTCCACTACTTACCCCAGGCGATTGCGAGGAGGATGCGGGGACCCCAGTATCCGCATCTCCAGTGCACGGTCGCATCTGGATGAGCCAGAGGAATCTATAGAGTAATAGGAAAGCAGAATTTACCGGTATAATTCCTTTCATTCCCCGGTGTTGTATTTAGTGTATGTATGTATGTATGTATGTATGTTCTCCGTGGCGAACCGGCAGCAGCCGGCCCGGTGTGTTCTCTCTCCGCCCGGCAAGCTCTCCGGGCGATACTTATCTTATCGCTCTGGGATCTATCTTGCTAACTACCTAGGTAGATGATGAACGTGGTTCTCAGCGGAGAGGAAGCTTCTGCGGCCAAGAAAGATTTCCGTTAGTACTGCTGGTTTTCCAGTGCGCTTTAAATTGTTGTCTTCGCTGTGTTCAGCTCTACTTGCTTTATCTTGTCGGTGCTGAGTTAGGTACTTATCTAAGTACCTGTGATAACTAGCAGACGGCATCCCTACGTCCAGCATCCAGGAACACGACGTGTTGTCGACAACCGGGGCTACACAGAACTTGTTCGGTGTAATATTTGACTCTTTTGCCCATCTAGAGATAAAGAAGGAAGACGTCCACCAAGATGCGATCTGTGGTATCGCTCAACGCCGCAGCGCCGCTGTCGAGATTCCAAGCAATCTCGTGCAGCTTTCCTTGCAGGCGGGGTCTCGCGTCGCTGGCCAACTTCAAGGTGCCACGCATCGACAATGAGCCAAACGTAAGCTCAACGTGATAATCTAGCTGCAAGGAACATCAGGTATGCTAACATGGTCGAGATAGAAACACTACGCTCCTGGCTCGCCGGATCGAAAGGCCCTCGAGCAAGCACTTGCTACTGTCAAACAGAACGCCCCTATCCATGTGCCTTTGGTGATTGGGGGAAAGGAGGTGGGTTTTCCATGGAAACAATACTCTCTATAGGAGACAGGATATGCTGACTCTTCACAGATTAAGAGTTCGTCCATTCAGACACAGTCAAACCCCTCCTCACACGCACCGCTAGCTACCTACTCCAATGCGACCCCTGCCGATGTTGAGGCCGCTATCGAAGCTTCTCTGGCAGCACGGAAATCATGGGCCTCTGCATCCTTCGCCGATCGCGCCAGTATTTTCCTCAAGGCTGCGGATCTGATATCGACAAAGTACCGGTATGAGATCATGGCCCTGACCATGCACGGTCAAGGCAAGAACGCTTGGCAGGCAGAGATCGATGCTGCGGCGGAGTTGTGCGATTTCCTGAGGTCAGTCATCCCAGGAGAAGTATATATGTTGGCAGCGCTCATCCTACTGACGATAATAACAGATTTGGTGTCAAGTATGCCGAGGAGCTGTACTCGCAGCAGCCTGCACACAACTCCCCTTGCGTCTGGAAGTGAGTTTGCCCCCCCAAGGACCGTAGTACTGTGCAAGTGAACAAGACTTCTAACATTCTCAGTCGTTTGGAGTACCGTCCTCTGGAAGGCTTCGTCTACGCTATCAGTCCCTTCAATTTCACTGCCATTGGAGGCAACTTGGCCGGAGCCCCCGCCCTGATGGGCAACGTGGTTGTCTGGAAGCCATCTCCATCAGCGGTTGCTGCCAACTGGTTGACCCATCAGATTCTTCTTGAAGCTGGTCTGCCCCAAAATGTCATCCAGTTCGTTCCTGGTGATGCTGAGGAAGTAACCAACACTGTCCTGAACCACCCCGAGTTTTCCGCCCTGCACTTCACTGGGAGCACCAATGTCTTCCGCTCATTGTATGGAAAGATCGCCACCGGTACAGCAGAGGGCAAGTATAAGAGCTACCCCCGTATCGTCGGTGAGACGGGAGGCAAGAACTTCCACCTGATCCACAAGAGCGCCGATATCCAGAATGCTGTTGTACAGACAGTCCGCGGGGCTTTCGAGTACCAGGGCCAGAAGTGCAGTGCTACGTCGCGGGCCTACGTTGCGTCATCTATTGCTGACGATTTCCTGGAGGGTGTCGTTGCCGAAGTCAAAAAACTGAAGGTCGGTGAACCATCCGACTTCACCAACTTCTGCGGTCCAGTGATCCACGAGGGATCATTCAACAAATTGGCCAGTGTCATCGAGGGAGCCAAGAACGACCCGGAGCTTGAACTGCTGGCCGGCGGTACCTACGACTCATCTAAGGGCTGGTATATCCAGCCCACCGTCTACCGGACCACGAACCCCAACCACCCTCTGCTCTCCCGGGAGCTGTTCGGCCCCATTCTTGTTGTTTATAGTTACGATGACTCTCCGTCCTCCGCCTTCGCTGATATCTGTAAGACTATCGACGAGACTGGGGAGTATGGACTTACCGGATCTGTGTTCGCCCGGGACAGGGAGGCCCTTCGGCTGGCCGAAGAAGCGCTCCGCAACACCGCCGGCAATTTCTACCTCAACTGCAAGAGCACAGGTGCCGTCGTGGGCCAGCAACCTTTTGGTGGTGCCCGAGCTAGCGGCACCAACGATAAGGCTGGAAGTGCGAACATTCTATCGCGCTTCGTCAGTCTGCGTTCCATCAAAGAGGAATTCGTTCCGACGTACAGCGTTGCGTATCCGAGCAACGCGTAGCTACAGTTGAGGCAGTCTTCTTTCGCAACAAATTACGACTTTTCTCTGAACAAAAGTGTTCCCTCATTGATGAATCTGGGATGGAGCACGTGTATTACCTTGCATTGTTTATCCATGATATTAGTATTGATACTCCGCAATACGGTGTATTGGCTATCATTCCTGCCCATTTCTATATTCTGCTTTTGCCTGGGCCTTTTTTGATGACCCTAGGGGAAACACATATTCAGGTATTACATAACATATGTTACTAACTAACTATACCATCTATTCTCCGATGACCACACCAAGACCAAAATCTGTCTCAACCCTAGCAAACCCAAAGAAATAGTTCCAAGCTGCTATAAATTTCGATCTGGTCAATCACAGTGGGTCTAGCTAGGTTCATCGTCTCTCTTACTACCTAGCTGCACGAATAGTAGGAAAATTTGCAGCCAGGAAGTAACTCCATAAAGACTACACCCCCCTCCCCCCGAACGCCAAATACGTAGTACGTGTGAACAATTGATTTTTCATTCGCTTTTACTAATTGCTTAGCACAATCTGTTTCCCATATCCCACGAATTAGAAACCATCTACCTCGGAGCCGAAGCCTGAATCAATCTCTGCATACTATCTTGCGCCTTCGCCGCAAAATCAGGCATTTCATAATCCTTGCCCTTCCCCTCTGGTCCACCATCGAACACCTCCATAGAAAACCAACCCCTAAACCCAGTCTTGAGAACCGCCCTGGTCACATCCTCAATCGGCAAATACCCACCACTATACGGCAGGGGTCTAAAATCATGACTCCACCTTCCTCTCGGTCTGAGTCCATTGATCTCCTTATTCTCCAGCGGCTTTGTCGGTTTATACGCATCGGAGATCTGAAGCAGATAGATCTTCTCCGGGGGGATAGTTTTTGCAAGTTCGTCCATACTCTCCTGCCAGCGTTTCTCAAGTTCGTCGCGCGGGATAGATTCGATCAGACCCGAGGCCGTAGTGGGATCCCCCCATTCGCTTCCGGCCGTTTGGAACGTGTCCAGACACAGCCCGACGTTGGGTCTATCGACGTCCCTGACAATCTCCCAGACGTCTTTCCAGGTGGGCGCGTGCGTCGACCAGCACCAGTTCTCGTAGGCGATGCGGAAGTTGTTCTGTGCGAGCTTGTCGGCGAGATCGCGCAGGTCTTGGATGATGTCTTCGCGGTTCCCGGACATTTTCTCAGGAGGAGAGTCTGATGATCCGACCTATGAATAATAATAAACGATGTTCCCTGTTAGCATATATATATTCAAGTCTCATTCATGCAGTAAATAATAATATCATCTCTCGTGTTTTTGCAAGTATAATAATAATTGTATAGAGAGTAGTGTATGTATGTACATACCTGCAACAAATCCGTTCCTACAACCTTCATAATCTCTATCCACCCATTCGCCCTGAACCACGCATTTTCCTGATCCTTCGACCCCCTCTTCCATCCTTCAAAATTACTGAAAGGCTGCAACATCATCACCTGGAGATTGTTCGCATTGCAGAGTTTCTTTATCTCGCCCGCTACCGTGAGCAATTCGGCAAAGTTGTCGCTGGCTACTTGATGGCCACAAATTCGCGAGCCGTAGTCGAGGATATCCGGAAACGAGAGCTCGATGCCAGTGAAGCCAGCAGCTGCGATGGCTTCGAGTTTCTGAGGGAGGGTGTGGGAGGGCTTGCATCCGATGGAGCAGGTGGCATAGGACACGGGAATATTCTTGACGGGGGCTAAGGAGTTTTTGGAAGTCATGGTGATGGTCTCTTTTTTTTTTTCTTTATTGGCGATAATGAGGTGTTGATTATTTGTTTTTTAAGAGGTTTATAGGAGGATAGGACAGTAAATATTAAGGACAGTTGAATATACCTAGGTAGGTAGGTAGCTCCGTTATACCCAAATGGAGAGAGTAAGGTGTAACTTAGGTCACTGGAGTAGGTGCTCATTAAGCGGAGAAGCTAGTTACTCTATTGCTGTGTAACAGACGCATCGACGGTCATAGAGTACTCACTACTTTCCTACACGGTAGATTCACTTCTATCAGGTTATGCTTCAGTCGGTCATACAATGATGATGATGATGATGTATTGACGCCAACCGGAATGAGTCCCGTCTTAGGGCTTAGGGCTGGGGCAGCGGGCATCGGCGGAATGTCGTAATGGGAACATCATCCGCAACACCAGAATAATCACTAGTGATCCCTTTATCATTAATTGGATAGACGAACTGGTTACCTCTCTGTCCATCGGTCTATCTGTCTATCTGCCTATCATGGCAGTTGTGCCAAGAACGCTGTCGAATACTCTTATACAGACTTATATGGTATAAAGCGTGTGGCAACACCTTCTTGTCTGCCCACATCTCAAATGGGGACATCATAAAATTCTATAAATACATTGGTACAAGGACACGCTCTGACGCGGGTTATCGTGCGTGACGTCCATCCGGACATGATTCCCCCCCCTCTTGATCTACCATGATGTAACCGCAGCGTACCTGGGTTGCTCTCCGGAGGTCACGTCCGGTCGCCGCTATCAACTCCTTCAAGTAGAGATGCAGGACCGTGTCAATACGATTCCCTCCTGTCAACTGCTTCCACTAACCGCAGCAGGAGCATTCGTCTCAAGAAATAACTCACTTCATCGACCGACACGATGACTGATCCGATTTCCAAGTTCAAACGCATTGGCGTCGTCGGCGCCGGCAATATGGGGTCGATGATGACCTTTGCCTTTGCAGAACTGGGACTCGATGTGTCAGTCTGGGATGTGAAGAAGGAAAATGTTGATCAGGTCATGAGATGGGCCAAAGATGCCAAGACTAGTAAGGGCAAGGTAGAAGGGTTCTACGATATCGACAAATTCGTCAAAAGTCTAGACCAGGCGCCACGCAAACTGTTCATGTTCTCGATCACACACGGCAGCCCGGCGGATTCAGTACTGTCCATGATCAAACACGACTTGAAGCCAGGAGATATTATCCTCGATGGCGGAAACGAGAACTACCGTCGGACAGAACGGAGACAGAAGGAGCTGCAGCCTCTTGGTGTCCACTGGGTCGGTATGGGGGTCTCGGGTGGTTATCAATCTGCACGCAGAGGACCTAGTTTGTCCCCTGGCGGTGATCGTAAGGCCATCGAAGAGGTCCTTCCGTTCCTTGAGATGTACGCTGCCAAGGACCGCAGGACGGGCCTTCCCTGTGTTACGTACATTGGCCCCGGAGGTGCAGGTCATTTTGTGAAGATGGTTCACAATGGAATCGAGGGAGGAATGCTCTCGACTGTCTGTGAAGCGTGGGCGTTACTGCACAATGGTCTCGGATTGCAGTACGATGAGATCGGTGACATCTTTGAGAAATGGAACAGCCACGGTGAACTGAAAGAGTCATACCTGGTCCAGATTGGATCCGAAATCTTACGAACCAAGAAGACCCCGTCAGGAGATTACCATGGAGAAGGCAGGAGCCAGGCTGATGGATACGTCCTCGACGATGTCCTGGACAAAGTCGTACAAGACGACGACGGCACCGAAGGTACACCTTTCTGGACAATAATGGACACTGCTGCGCGTCATGTTTCCGCTCCAACCCTAGCAACAGCCCACTACCTGCGTGTCGCCAGCGGAAACCGCGAGGAGAGGATCAAAGTCGCCCAGAAACTTGGTGTGCCCAAACCACGCCCGCTATCCGCAGTCAAGGACAAGGGCCAGTTTATCGAAACTCTTCGTCGTGCAGTATACTGCACCTTCCTCGCCTCTTTCTGCCAGGGTCTTGAAGTCATCGCCAACGCTTCAGACGCCGAAGGCTGGGACATCGACATGGGCAAATGCATCCAGATCTGGCGAGCCGGTTGTATCATCCAAGAGGAGTACATTGCCGATTTACTCCAGCCCGTGCTCTCCAACTCCAAGACCCCGATCCGCAACATCAAGCAGATCGACGGCGTCGCGGCGGAATTGCACCGGAACTATGACTCGCTTAAGCAGATCGTTATGCTGGCTACGGAAGCAGACCATTACATTCCCGCCATGTCTGCCACTTTGGAATACCTCAAGTACTGCGGAGGCACCATGTTGCCGACCAAGTTCATGGAGGCCGAGATGGACTTCTTCGGAGCTCACGCGTACGACAAGCCTGGTGTGCCTGGAGAAGATCCCGGAAAGGTGGCCAAGGGCGCGCACCACTATGAATGGAGACCAGCGAAATAGACCTTTTGATGGCGTGAAATGGTCGATATCGGAATAGTAGATCGTCTAGGAGGTTTTTAACTTCGATATCTATTAGTATCAGCATCAGTTAATTCAACGGAATTTCGTAATAATCATTAGCCCCGTAGAGCATCGAATACCAACAGAAACTGGTATAAAACGTCAGTGTCATGATGATCATTATTATGGATTTTCTAACCACAGGGTATGAATAAAGCCCTGGGTCTGTGATTAAGTATCGTTAACTCGTCAAGGGCTGTCATAATGTACATTTCACATGTTATGCTTAGAACTCCAACTCCTCAATTTCCATCCCACAATCGACACACTTCTTAACTGAAATGCCGCTCTCCGGATTTTCGACTGCACGACCCCATTGATGTACATGTCGACCACCACCCAGATCATCTCCAAAGTTGCCCCCTGCAGCGCCTTTACGATTTCGTCGATATGCCTCTACGCGGGTGCGCTTTTTCAAGTCTTGCAATTTCGTCTTGAATTTGGCTTCTCTTCGCCGCTTTTTGTCTTGTTCGCGGCGTTCGAACTCAGCGTCCAGCGCTTCTGGCGAACCCCACTTCTTGGGCGAGAAAGCGTATTCTTCAACTTGATATCGGAGGTATAGCATCATGTTGTTCCAAGTGGCCTTGTGAGGGTTGGGCTTTTCTAAATGGGGTAGGAGTTCTTCGTCTCGGAGTTCAGCTGTACACACGAAGGTCAGCACAAGCTCTTAAAAGGTAGGGGCTTGGATGAAGACAACTTACGATCGGTTAATAGATAGTCTTCTTTCGCTTCCGTCTTCGTGAGCAGGCTGTATTTCTCCGTATATTTCTCTTTGCATGAATTGCATACGCAACACCCAAAGGCTTCCTCCCACTTCCAGTCAATTTCCAATGTCCCGCACTCGCGACATGTCTTTTGGTTACTCTTCTCCTCCAGCACGCTCAACCCTGGTTCGAATGGTCCTGCACGTTCTCGTTGTAGAGACTTGAGAAGTTGCTGTCGCTCCCACTCTTTCTGTGTCATATGCGCGGGTTTCTGCTCTACACTCTCATCGCGCACGTGGAGCGCCTTGTTATGTGGATCGTCCTCCTCCGTCAGGAACCCTCCCTTCGTATCGGTCATTTTGCTGAAGTCGTACTCGACATACTTTGCAAAGTTCCGAGCCGGACGGATCGAATCCAGTGGTCTGTTTGCAGAGGCTGCGCTGGCATCTCGAACGGTAGCTGGGGTATCTGTGGTCATCGAGGAAAAGGATCGTTTCACGCCAGCGAGGCCCACGGGTTTCGCAGGAGCTGTGGCAGCTTTCTTGGCTTCCTCTGCTTCTCGTTGCTCGCGGATCGCCTTCGCTTTCATTCGGTTTATTTCAATGCGCCGCAACTGCTCCGGCGTGAGTGGGCCCCGAGGGAGCTGGCCAGGCTCAGAAGGAGGAGTCGATGGTCTGTCCATTGCCATATCTGATTATGAGTACTGTGGAGTGTGTAGTGTGTAGAGGCTGGCCTGCAGCTCCTGTTGAGAAGGGAATGCAGTGGGAGATGAGAGAAGATTCGCCTCCCTCGAGATGCGCCAAAGATCAGGCACAGCCCAATCGGGAAGCGGCAGCCCCCCGCCGTCCGATACAAAAAATGTTCCCCCTCCAGACGCCTCGGGTTTCTTTCTGAATGTCAGCAACATCTTTCCTGCGCCAGTTCTCGTCTCGTATCGCAAAACCTCGGATCCGAATCGAATCCCCGAAGCAACTGGCAGGGAAGATGGTCGCCGTCCCCAAGGAATACAAAGGTAAGCAGCTGAAAGCAATGCGGCCCGCTTCCGTTCGACGTTGGAGATACCCCTCCTTTTTTGTTGTCGCAATGGCACTATCTACTGGGTACTCTATGATCATCTAACTTTCTTTCCTCTGATATAGAGCCTGTCCGGATCGCCGTCATCGGTGGTACCGGACTCAGGGAACTCCCGGGTTTCACGCAGGTTGCGACCCTGGATATCTCGACTCCCTGGGGCAAGCCCTCCGCTCCTATCACTATCCTCCACCACAAGTGCTCGACTGACGGCAAGGATGTCGCTGTCGCCTTCCTGAGCCGTCATGGCCTTCACCATCAGATTGCTCCCCACGAGGTGCCTGCTCGTGCCAACATTGCTGCTTTGCGGTCTATCGGCGTGCGAACCATCATTGCTTTCTCTGCTGTGGGAAGCTTGCAGGAGCATATCAAGCCTCGCGATTTTGTGGTTCCAGACCAGGTCATTGACAGAACCAAGGGCATCCGGCCATTCACATTCTTCGAGGGAGGTGCTGTCGCTCACGTTCCCTTCGGTGACCCATTTGATGAGCGTGTTGCTAAGGTCGTTCGGGCTTGCGGACACAGCTTGGAGGGAGAGGGTGTCGTGCTGCATGACCGCGGCACATTGATTTGTATGGGTATGTTCTTGCTTGTGCGCACAATTGCATCTGCAGTAAATCAATCGTGCTAATATCTAAACAGAGGGCCCTCAATTCTCCACTCGCGCTGAAAGCAACCTATACCGCTCTTGGGGTGGCAGCGTGATTAACATGTCCGCCCTTCCGGAGGCCAAGCTCGCCCGTGAGGCTGAAATCGCATACCAGATGATCTGCATGTCGACGGATTACGACTGCTGGCACGAGTCGACCGAGGATGTCACCGTCGAGATGGTTATGGGTAACATGAAAGCTAACGCAGTTAATGCGAAGCATTTTGTCACTGCTGTTCTCGACGAACTCGCTAAGGAAGAGCATGCTGAACTTGTGCAGGCTAAGCACATTGCTGGCTCTGTGAAGTTCGGTGTTAGCACCCCTGTCCCTCACTGGAGTGCCGATGCTCGGGAAAAGTTGACTTGGCTCTTCCCTGGGTACTTTGAGTAGACGATGTGAACGATTACGAGAGTTCTCTTTTCCGTCCTTATTTCGCTAGATAGCGCTTCCATGTCAGATACCTTAGAAAATAGAAAACGCTTGCTTCAAGGATCCATGAAACTAGCATTGAAGAATGCTTAATATCGGCTCTTATTGTCGTATCATCCTCTTTTATGAAGCGGCATATGAGCACAGCGACTGGTACGTCTTGGTGATAAGATCGATGCTAGCTTTGCACGTCAGGGGAACTGGGAACTTTGCCTTATTCGACCAAGCGATGGCCGTTCCGGGTTCCTGATATGGATAATAAGCCGTGGAGGTAAAAAAGGTTAGTGATTGCTCTGAAACTTATTATTATTGAACCGATGTTTATCCCGCCGTTCTGAGAATGCTATCCATGCCATTATTATTGCTTCCAACATCATCCCATTATTTCGTGCCGTCGATATCTCGGTGCTTACTCTATACGTCTCACACGACCAACTTTAAAGAGCTTAAAAGAACTGCTTGTACATACGGAGTACATACCCTGTTGCAATACCTCCTCGTATCCGGGGCTTCCCTGACTCAACGAACGGCTGGTGGATCCACGGGGCCGTTTTTAAGTCTCTACTTAGCGCGATCACCAAGATTAGTTGGTCTCGTCGTTGTCGATCCCCGAGCCGATATAGCATCATTCAGCTTATTTCTGGGGAAAAAGGATCTCAGCAATGCGGTCCGAAATCGGTCACAACGTCTCTAAGTCTAAAGTCTAGTTGGGATCGAGTTCGGGATACGCGGTAAAAAACCAACTATCTAACATCGCCTGAGATTACAGTCGGGCTTTCTGAAGCATTGGAATATAAGAGCTGGAACTTGATCTCCCTTGCTCCGGCATGACTCTGATCGCGTGCCCAATCTCAGTTGTGCTTAACGGAAGACCTTCTATTCAACGACAGACTGCAATCCATAAAAGCTCGTCTTAATATAGAATATCAATGACGCGGGATCGACAGATGCCCCGAAATGCCAATTTAACTCTTGAACTCTAGGGCTGGTGGGCCTCAATCGTGGAGTCTAGCACCGTTCCAACTTCCTGTTCCTGGCATGGTCATCTACTCTAATGCATTAGTTAGCCTGCGCTTCCGATCTCCTTTCTAGTCTAGAGTTGTCTCGGGGATCGGTGCACATGGCACATGCCTCGGTCGCGTGGATCGGAGGATGAGGAGAGTAAGTAGATAGATAGGCCTTAAATTCTGGTCTTGCTTGGTTGAAATATCCTAATACCCCTCCTTGCTTTTCTTTATGTTTCTTCTCACGCGCTCTTTCAAGGCTGCAAGTTCTCCATTTGTTGCCGGGTCTTCTTCCATCGCCGTCCGTTGGCTCTTTTTTCACCGTCACTCATTATATACACTATCTTGATAAACTAATTGATATTAATGGTTTGATCGTCCATTCTTTTTCGCTTTGGCTTGGCACCATCTCTTTCAGCCATGGCGTTCATCACTTGTCTTACTGTAGTCTCTCTTTTGGTTTCTCCCATCACGTCCTCGCCAGTTGATCCGTCCCATGTTGACCCAGCGGATATTCTTAAGCGGGATCCTGTACCAGCTGGCTATCAATCGCCTCCATATTACCCGACACCCAAGGGAGGATGGGTATCGGACTGGGCTGAGGCCTATGCAAAGGCCTACGACGTCGTGAGCAACATGACTCTGGCCGAGAAGATCAACATGACCACCGGAACAGGGATCTTCATGGGTCCTTGTGTCGGCCAAACTGGCAGTGCTGAACGCTTCGGGATCCCCAATATCTGTCTCATGGACTCTCCGCTAGGTATTCGCAATACTGATCACAACACGGCTTTCCCGCCGGGGATCACCGTTGGAGCGACTTTCGACAAGGATCTCATGTATGCACGCGGAGTCGCACTTGGTGAGGAAGCCCGAGGAAAAGGTGTCAATGTCCTCATGGGGCCGGTTGTCGCGCCGCTTGGCCGCAAGCCACGAGGTGGTCGTAACTGGGAGGGTTTCGGTGCCGATCCCAGTCTGCAGGCAATTGGTGCTGCGCAGACGATTAAGGGAATGCAAAGCACCGGTGTGATCGCGACACTGAAGCATTTCATCGGGTATGAGCAGGAAGAGGACCGGATGAGCAGCATCATCACGCAGGGATACTCGTCCAATATCGATGATAGGACTCTCCATGAGCTCTACCTTTGGCCGTTCGCCGAAGGAGTCAAAGCTGGAGTCGGCTCTGTCATGATCGCCTATAACGATGTATGCAGTTCTACACTATGGTTTATGCTTGACTGCTGATTTGTATGATTAGGTGAACGGATCCGCTTGCAGCCAGAACAGCAAGCTGATCAACGGCGTATTAAAAGATGAGCTTGGATTCCAGGGATTTGTTGTCACGGACTGGCTCGCTCAAATTGGCGGTGTCTCGTCGGCACTCGCTGGTCTTGACATGAGCATGCCCGGTGATGGCGCTGTTCCTTTGTTTGGTGACAGCTATTGGGGCTCAGACCTCTCCAAGTCTGTCCTCAATGGTACTGTTCCGCTGGACCGGTTGAACGATATGGTTCGTGGCCCAAGGGATCCTTCTGAAATGGTCTTGTCCAAGAGCTAATATTAACACAGGTGACCCGTATTGTCGCTACATGGTTCAAGTTTGGCCAGGACAAGGACTTCCCCCTACCAAATTTCTCCAGCAACACCCTAGACAGAACAGGCGAAATCTATCCCGGTGCTCTCTTCTCACCCATAGGCATCGTCAACCAATACGTGAATGTCCAAGCCAACCACAACATCGTGGCCAGGGCCGTTGCAAGAGACGCGATCACTCTCCTGAAGAACGACCACAACATATTGCCCCTGAAGAGAAACGACTCACTGAAGGTGTTCGGTACTGATGCGGGCGGAAACCCTGACGGTATCAATTCCTGTAGCGACCATGGCTGCGACAAGGGTGTCCTCGTTGAGGGATGGGGAAGTGGCACGTCCAGACTTCCTTACCTTATCACGCCACAGGATGCCATCGCCAACAGATCCTCCAACGCCAAATTCTATATCACGGATACGTTCCCATCCGACGTGACCGCCAACTCAAATGATGTCGCTGTCGTTTTCATCAACTCTGATTCCGGTGAAAACTATATCACCGTCGAGGGTAACCCTGGAGACCGCACAGTATCCGGCCTTTATGCATGGCACAACGGAGATGAATTGGTCCAAGCTGCCGCAGAGAAGTTCTCTAAAGTGGTCGTGGTCGTCCACACCGTTGGCCCTATCATCTTGGAGAAGTGGATCGATTTACCTTCAGTGAAGAGCGTCGTGTTTGCCCATCTACCAGGCCAGGAAGCCGGAAACTCCCTCGTAGACGTCCTGTTCGGAGACTACAGTCCCAGCGGACATCTGCCTTACACGATCCCTCGTAACGAGTCCGACTACCCAAAGAGTGTGGGCCTTATCAATCAACCCTTCGGTCAGATCCAAGACACTTTCACTGAAGGTCTATACATCGACTACCGCCATTTCCAGAGTGCCAACATCACCCCACGATACCCCTTCGGCCATGGTCTATCCTACACTACGTTCAACATCACCGAGCCGACTCTATCCGTTATCACGCCCCTGGATAGCGAGTATCCTGCCGCACGGCCCGCTAAAAATGCTACTCCCACATATAGCGACGTGATCCCTCCCCCATCCGAAGTAGCCTGGCCAAAGACCAACTTCACCCGCATCTGGCGCTATCTCTATCCATACCTCGATAACCCCTCTGCCGCCGCGAAGACCAACTCAACCTCCTACCCCTATCCCTCAGGTTACAGCACCATACCTAAGCCCGCGCCTCGCGCCGGTGGTGCTGAAGGCGGCAACCCAGCCCTATGGGACATTGCCTACTCCGTCAACGTCACGGTGAGAAACACCGGTTCTCGACCAGGAAAGGCCGTGGCTCAGCTCTACGTCGAGCTACCTTCATCTCTGGCCCTCGACACGCCCCGTCTGCAACTTCGCCAGTTCGAGAAGACGCGCACGTTGGCTCCCGGCCAGAGCGAGGTTGTGACGATGGAACTGACACGGAAGGATTTGAGCGTTTGGGACGTAGTGGTACAGGATTGGAAAGCGCCCGTTGGCGGAGAAGGGGTTAAGATCTGGGTTGGACAGAGTGTAGGTGACCTTAGTGTTGTCTGTGAAGTTGGAGGCGAGTGTGGAAGTGCGTAGACCTGTTAAGGTTCAGGGGTTATGTTGGATAAGAGTAAAGAATATATAGTTATGATGTGGGTTCAGATGGGTAACTGGTAAGTATGGATGGAGGCTTTTGGTATGTACATACATATGTATATGTACATACATCCGTTGTATATACACACATAGGGAAATAATATACGTAATACCTTTTTTTTTGGTCTTTGATTGGGTTATATTCAATGGCTCTCTTGATCATAAGTAAAACCATCAACGAGCGTGTGTCATTCTATTTGTTGACTCCCGTGATCTACGAAAAAATACGCATTTGCACCAGCATCAAAAAAAAAAACAAAACAAAACAAAACAAAAAAAAAGGGGGGGGGGGGGGGGGGGGTAAATAAATATCTACATGAGAAATTCGAATAGGTATAATAATATAAGTTAGGTATCACAACAACACCCCCACCCCTTCCCCAAATTCTAAGTGTGTCTTTATTGAGGCGATTCTGCTTAATCTGTATCAAAAACTCAAACTAAAGATGCAGCAGGACCTGTAATAATATGCAACATGGCAGAGTCTCTAGTCCAATTCACGCCTTGTAATCGCATTGGCATATTGAAAGACTCGACATAGCGCTGGCTGCACTAACAAGTGAAAGCTGGAGAATTTCACCAACCATTGATTGATAGGGAACAAGAACTCAAACTTCCCTGGCATGCGTGAATCGCGGAACTTTTTGCTTGTCTGGATATAGGTACATACTCTAACGATGACCGAAGCTTTCTTTCTTTCTTCCAAGAGACGTTGACTAGTCACACTCCTAGTTTTAAAAGGGGGGCTTTCTTTGCCTGCTATGATATCTAGACAGGTTAAAGCTGCCAGATACTTGGACTTTCTAGCAAGCCCGGGCTATTATTCTCCATTGACTGAGCTCACTGAATCAAGGCATGGAGGAACTGCTTCAGGAGCACCCAAGTTAGGTAGAGACAGTTTTCGAGATAACGCTGTCTATCCATATCACACGGGGAGCCAAGACATTAACCTACATGACGTGTTTCAGCCAGCCCTTAATATACACGGTGCTCCATCGTTCTATTAATTACAATCCTTGCATTTTTTTCAAGAATATTTATGGCTGAGAACCTCATTCTGTTATTACCAAGTCAAGTTCCACAGAAGTGCTCAACCCTACAATACCTATATCCATTAGTATTGATGCGGGAACCGGACACTACTTAAACCAACTACAACTCTTGTCTTGCTCGATAATGAGAAACATTATGCCTACGAAATGACTGATATTGCTACCCTTTATCCACGTGTATGACAACAGAGAACTGAAAAGCCATACACCCAGTGGTCCGTGTTTGGCTCTATAAGCCCGCCAATGACGATGGGGACGTTTCTGCGACAAGGTAGTATCCAAGTCGATAGATGCCAGTGCAGTGTTTCTGGAGATTATCCGGCAAGTACTTACTGGGCAGGTACACTGTCCGAAGAGAGAGAATATTATGGTAATGCATGACGGTGCAAAACCGACAACCTTTAGCTACTGGAAAGAAATTCCTGGGTCAAGTCTCAATAATAGAGTACCTGATAAAGGTCTATTTACCTGCAATCCCTTTCAATGTCTAGATGCTTTTCGAGAAGGACACGTGGTTCCTAGAGGATTTTTTGTGCCACGATGGTAAAATCCTCAACAAGTCCAACAGAGATCGACGAGGCACTTGTTGTGACCCCCAATACATCTAAAAGCACAGCCTACAGTTGATCAAATTGCTAATGATTCGGTTGTTTGGCTCGAGTTTAGTTATATAACTCCCGAAATACTAGTTACTATATGAGACTGTGTTGATTACATACTTTTTAGAAGATGTCAAGTCATATAATGCAATCAGCTAGCATAGGGATTGTCTCATTTGTATTTTGTGTTCCGAGAGGAATAGTTATCAGCACGCGTACCGGTGCCCCGTCATATTGTCCAGGTTCATGTCATGCCGCAACCTACCAGATCACTAGAATATAGGTTCTTTGTGTAACTAGGAAGGTAAACATGGGGTCAACCTCATACAAAGTCGACTAATAGAATTTGGGCTAGTGTTGCAGGCGGACGAAATGGCACGCTGATAATACAGACGGGATTTATTCTTCCTTTTACGGATTGGATTCGCATAGGAGAAACTCGCTCGAAGATATCTCTTAGGTGTCAAACCGCGACGTTTAAGTTTGCTTTGTCACTGCTCTCTCCAAGTGGAATCATCGTATTGTCATTTAGGATATTGACCCACTTGTCTCGTGGACGTAGAATAGATTGTTAGCTCTAGGTACTCTATCAGATGAAAGCAACTTCCTGATTATCCCTTCACAACCCCATAATAGCGTAAGAAATACCTAAGAAGCACCCATGAATCTGCTTCCATATTACGACATAATAGCACTTTGAATGCATCAGTGACTGTCAGCCGCTGGCTGAAACTGTTTTATCATCGTTAATTCTTTTTCCATTTCCAGCTCTTCACCCGGAACTCATAATAAACGAGGACGGCGAACGCAGTATTAAAGGCGATGTATACCCAAACAATACCGAAATCGCGCCAACGCTGGCTTGACTCAATATTGCGCGCTGACAAGAACTGATCGGCGACACTCACTGAGCAGTATCGGCAATCATTGGTGGCGTTGGGGTTGACCAGAGTCCCTACCTCTGCACCCAAAGCGTTCAGATATGGCTGCATATACTGTCCGCATGTTGCTCCAGGTGGAGGCTGGAATACGCTAAATTCATCATCAGCGCATTGGACTGTGCGACCGCCGATTCCAGCTGCGGCAATCCCGTTGACAATGTATGTCATGGGCGATACCCGCCACATGAACGTCCAGAATCCGGGTAGGGCAACCTTTGGCAACAGAACTCCATTAAATATCAATGTCAGATAAAAGACGAGGGTTGCAATCTGGCCAGCTGTCTCGGCATCGGGAAGGGCTGCGACAACAGCATGTGCGAAAGTGGATCCGAAAATGAAAAACTCGATACAAATGAGAAGGATAACGCCCTGATTCTCGGAGCTTAGGATGCCAAAGACCGGATAAGTAAAGGCGGCGAACAACATGATGCCGAGAAGAGTCTGGTAGGGAAGCTCAACGAAGATGTTGGCCATGATGAAAGCCGCCCAGTGATAAGTCTTCGAAGGGCGTTCTCGAACTTCATACAGATCGCGTTGGAAAATGAACTGGGGCATTATCTGCTGCACCAGGGCAGCAAAAATAGCCGTAATCATGAAGATGGCGAAAATAAGCGATTGCAGACCCACTTGCGAAGTGCCAGGAATGTAAAAGGAGAATCCAACGAAAACTGTAGCATGTTAGCAAACCCTCAATAATACTGTAAAAGATCCGTCCCCGCTGTACTCACGAGCTGATGCCACACCTAGGATGAACTTTCCATAGATATAGCTAGGAGTACGCCAGTACTGCTGAAACACTCGAATCATCACCGCAATGAGCTGGGACCAGAAGGGCATCGCAAACTCTGTGTTCGAATCATCTGAGTCTCCTGGCTTTTCGCTAGGCCTGTTCTTTAAGTCCTCGTGGAGACGGTCAAGCTCTTTGCTGACTTCCTTAGCCTCATCACTTGTTCGCCATAATGCTGGCCAGTCTTGAGAAGAGACGTTAGATACGCCAGCGCCCGCAAGCTCTAGTATATATTCTGCAGGGTTCTCTGTGTCGCCGCATGGACGAGCTCCTTGCTTGTGGAAGTAATCAAGCAGCGTTTTTGAATTATCGCCAATCTCACCGAAGTAGACCGTTTTACCACCCTGGGCAAGGAATAGCAGACGATCGAACTGCTGAAACAAGATAGCGGATGGCTGGTGAATTGTTGATAACACCGCCTGGCCACTATCCGCCAGTTTGCGGAGAAAAGCGATGATAGTCCACGATGACTGGCTATCAAGACCAGACGTTGGTTCGTCCAAGAACAGCAGAAGCGCTGGGCGTGCAGCAAGCTCAACGCCAATGGTGAGCAGCTTCCGCTGTTCAACGTTCAATCCTTCTCCTGGAATCCCAACAACAGCCTCCGAGAAATCTTCCATGTTGAGCATGCGAATAACTAATATCGATCAGCAGCTGTACAAAGTCTTATTTATTCGAGTACATACCATCTTCGACAAATTCGTATTTCTCCTTGACTGGCACGGACTTAGGTTGTCGCAGCAAAGCTGAAAACCGCAAGGCTTCTCTAACAGTGGATGTGTGGAGATGGAGATCTTGCTGCTGGACATATCCTGTCTTCCGGGGAAAACTAGCACCTCGCGGCATTCCATTGACCAGCATATCACCAGTCACGACACCGATCGAGACTCTCTGAGCCAACACGTTGAGAAGCGTTGTCTTTCCGGCCCCGGAAACACCCATCAAAGCAGTCAAGGTACCCGGTTTGACCCATCCCGAGACGCCGTCGAGCAAGCGCCGCGGTTCCCCTTTAATCTCGATGTCGTAGCACACATTTCGCCATGTAAAAATGTCTTTCTGCTCACGAAGGCCTTCCACCTCCTGCTCGGTAGCTTCGCCAGCGTCGTCGACGAGTTTTGTCGAGTCGTTTTCTGCAAGCGCTTGCAGGACATGCTTTGGGACACGTCCGTGACGGTAAACAAGTGCTTCTGCTGTGGACGAGGTGGAAGAGTTCAGCTCAGTGACTATCAAGTATAAAGCCATGAAGAATGCAGTGAAGGCACATAAGATCCCGAAGTTGCGCCATAGGTGCGAATACTCGTATCGATAGCTGGCATATAGGTACTTGTCTCCATTCACAAAAAGTTGACCAGGAACAGCTCCCTTCTCGCCACAGACAAATGTCGGATTTGCACCCGTAGAGAAACCAGGGTATGCTGGAACAACATCTGAGCAGGGGAAGTCTCTCCCGTGGAACTCGTTGACGATGAGCGCTTCGTACGCATAGCTGAGAGGGTTAATCCACATAATCCATCCAAACCAAGGATGCATGTTTGGTCTCGGAATCACAAATCCTGTGTATATCACCGTCGCAATAAGGATGACTCCAGCGACGGCCAGAGCTTGAGGGATTGTCTGAGTGGCAGCGGCAATTGTCCTGAAAACTTGACTCATGCAAAGCAGAGCTGTGAAGGTGATCAAGAAGAATATGAAGAATGGCCCTGGCTCATATCGCAGACTGCCAAGGAAATATAGCACCGTATTGAAAATGACCCCTGAAATGAGCTTGATCGGAATGTCGCTGACAATCCCTGCGAGAGCTTCCGCGAAAGGATGATAGAAAGTGTAGGAAGCATGCTTCTCCACGATAGGACGTTGGCTGTATAACGCGTTTATCTCTGATACAGTCAAGAGGGAGTTCAAGAGGACAGCAAAGAAGAGGACCGAGCTCTTTGCGAAGAACGATTGCGTGCCAAACGGAGTCCCATAGAACAAGGACCCGATAATCAATGACATGACGATTTGACCACCAATTGTGGTCAAGGTTGATGTCCGGTCATTCCAGATCCTCTGATAGGCGCGAAGAGTACAGATTCTAACCTGCATTGGGACACTTATCACATAGGGAGACCGTGGGTTCGTGTGCTTGGCCTGTCTTCCCCGATGACTCTCAGTGAAGTCTTCGAGAGTCGGGCCATTGAGCGGGTACTTTTCCTCGTGTGCGTGGATTTCTTCTCGTAGATTCTTGAAATCCACGCTCTCCTTCCAGTACTTTTCAAACTCCTCTGCTGTACGTGGGGTGCGGTGCTCAAAGCCCTCCTTAGCCTGCCGTTCACTCGGGTTGGTTAAACTCGTCAGGAAATCTGCGGTTGTCTGTCTTGGTGGACAGTACCAGCCCATATGCTCAAAGTACTCCTTAGCCCGCGAGGTACGACCAAAAAAGACCTCACGGCCTTCGTAGAGGACAACGACCTTGTCGAATTGCTCATAGATCGCCTGAGAAGCCTGGTAGATCGCGACGAGGTGGGTGGTCTCAAAGCATTTGGAGCTCAACCGCAAGGCTTTGACGAAATCAAGCGCATTCGCAGAATCAAGACCCCGAGTGGAGTTGTCCCAGCAGCACAGAGGGGACCCTGCGAGCGCCATTTCTGCAATAGAGACTCTCTTCCTTTCTCCTCCACTCACACCCCGCACGAAGTCAGAGCCGACCTTGGTATTGACGGTGTGGGAGAGTCCAAAGACAGCCATTACAACATCTCTGACTTCTTGAATGTACTCATTGCGTGTCTGCCCTTCACGGCGAACTCTTGGAGCTCTGGCAGCAGCCGCAAACCAGAGTGTCTCTCCTACTGTCAGGTGAGGAAAGTCTGCATGTTTCTGTTAGCATCCGAATACTGACGATCATAAACACAACTTACGTTTCTCGACTTCCTGGTTGTAGAGGATCTCTCCCTTGAATTCGTTCTTCATCAGCTTCTGGGGAATTCCATCATAGGTGATCTCTGCAGCTTTGTCAATATCTAGGCCAGTAACATCAGCCGATATTGACTTCAGGAAGGTCGAGCAGCCTGCACCAGGGCGCCCTAGAACCATAAGCATCTCCCCACGCTTAAGGCAGCCATGGAAATCATGTAGGATAGTCTTGCGGGCTTTTTGGTCCACGCCCTTCAAGCGGAATTGAGAGGTGAGCATGGAGGTGACAGTGTGCTGAATCTGGATCGCAGCTCCTGACCCATAGACGGAGAGGTTCTTGAAGATGACACCCGTACGGCGTGGTTTGAACTTTCCTGATTCGTACTTGCGTAACTGGAACAGCATCCATTTTGAGAGATCGAACTCGTTGCTTTTTGGGTCGAGACTGGGCGATTTGGTATCGACATCCGAGATTGCATCCCCAGCATGTGTCTGGACTTCAGACAACTTTTCCGACTGCTGCGTAGCGATGCGTTTCAATTGGTCCCGTTCACTGTCAGACCAGATGGGATCGAATTCTGGAGTGCTTGGTTCTCCATGCTCGGTCTTCTCGTCCTCATCAGGAGTTCCTGGAGCGGCCATTGTGCCTTCAGTGTCAGATGGTTGTCGAGCGCGCCTTTCAGAGCCTCTGCAGATGACTTGACTTGTACTGGATGAAGAGGGGATGCGTTGTTGTCAGGAGATGAAGATTTCTCTGGGGCAGGATAATGACAGAGAGATACATCGCAGATGGCAGGAAGCACGCGCAGAGCTCGACATGAACAGGGGAAGCGCAAACGAAATACTTAAAGAGCTTGTGTGACTGCCTGCTACACACGACCCAACTGCTTGCCATCGCGCCTTTGCATGTGAACGCCCCAATGATGATTCAGGAACTGTCCAATAATAATGATACTAGTTAACTACTAGCTGTAAAGCAACGATCAAGAGATCCGATGAGTGGCGCTATGAGGAACAGTTTATCGCCTTGTCTATAACTGGTACTAACATTTGCTTCTAGTTGCCTGACACGGGCCGATTTGCGCGCCTCGGCGGCCGTGGATGTCTCTTGCTGGGGCAGCCCGAATTATGACTTCCGACCCCCGACAATAATAATCGGCAGGTTTTGGCACTCCATCCGGTAAGAAATCCGTCATTCGATTCTTTTTAGGGTAACGATTTGTTCCTTACTGCCGTTGCTAAAACCAGATGGTATCTAGATACTCCGTACTCGCTCCACCAGGAAAACACAGATAGGAAGACAATAATGCGGGAACGGGATGCAACAGATGCTAAGCTTCGCTCGTACTTGCCTCAGTGAGACCCGATCATCAACCATCTACACAGTCGGACATGGATCAGTGCAGCCAGAGACGGCAGGAGGAACATACTAGGGACTGAGACGGTGGTGTAGACCCTGCCTGCTCTATGCATACGTATAGATGTATTCGAATACCTAATGTATGTACTTCCATGATACGTGGTACTGGCAGGTGCGATATTCGAACTCGCGCTACATGGAAATTGAGTAACTTGAATTGGGCAGGGTAATCATTGCGCCTCTGTCACCCTCAGGACACCGCCGTTGTGCTGTACTTAGTACTGTACATACTTCCTGTACATAACTATACGCAGTGGGGCAGTCTTTGTAAATCCAGGCGACTGTTAACGGTTCTTGGGAGTGCTTCTACAGCCATTCCCATCGTAGACCATTGAGCAGGATACTTTCTATATCGTCCTTTATACACCTCCAAATTTTCAACTATGAGCGGCGTGCCCATTGCATATTAATAATAATAATATCAGCGAATCTATTTAACTATTATTCTGTACTAAACATCGACCACCGAGACCCGAGTCCCGTGATGTTAACTTACCTTACTCTCCGGGACTTCCGACCTCCGCGTCTGCCCGGAACTTAAAGGGCGATTATACTTCGCATCTCGGTGATCGATGCATGAAGTCGATAATCTCCTTCACAAACTGACATGACAATATGATCGCCGCCACCTCGTTGCTGCAGCCTGTGCTTTCCAAATCCTGCGACGACTGCAAAGCCCGCAAAGTGCGCTGCATCCGTTAGTCTCTCTGATCGACAATGCATTTGCTTGTGTCTTTTACACAAAGACTGTTTACCTAGTTAACAAAAATACCTCACTCTACAGGCGACCATGGCAAGAGTAGTTGTACAAACTGTTTGGTATGGCACTAAGTAACATCTTCCCCCTATGAGGGACACCCGCTGATTGGTACATGTACACTCCGCAGCGACGAGAGGTGCGGTGTCACTTCAGTAACACCAAAAGAAAATTGCGACAGCGACGGTCAACGTCAACCCATTCTCCAATACACTGGTCTGCGGAGCAAGATAATGATTACCCCACACAATCGCTGCACACTTCTCCCACTCCAAGTTACTCTTATGGGGCTCCACGGAAGTTGTATATGGAACGCATCCTCGAAGACAGGCACGTAGAGGCTCTCCCGAGGAATGAAGACTGCATCTTCAAAGTACGTACGAGCCTAGGGATTCACTCCTATCTTAACAATGTGGTCTCAGACTGACACTGGAGCGTGGTGCAGGCACATGAAAAATATGGTACTTTTTCCCTTCCTCATATGCCGTTTTTGGGGAAAGTAGTAACGTTTCTTACATAGTGGCAAGCTCGAGCCTGGCATTCTTTTCAGAAAGCAGGATACGATCCGTATCCGAGCTTCTTGGGCACACAAAGCTACGAGATTTGATCGAGACCATGATTACCGTCATCAATGGACGAATGAACCGCAGTGGCAGACCCTCTGGTTCGATTATCAAATTCAAAGAACCGTCATCGGCGGTGCAGATCCCGCCGGAGTCGGCGGCTTCCTACATTAGAGGTCATCATCCCTGTCAGTCGTCGTGATTGCTTGACGGTTTCTAACATGCAGGACAGCGTACTTTGAGCAAGTTCATCCTCTCTATCCCTTTTTGGATCGACAATCGTTCGAAGCCAAGGTTTGCAATCCACAGTTACCACAGTTACTGTCGACCTCGGCTCCCTTCTCGGCTCTGTACCACACCGTCCTCGCTCTTGGATGTCAATATCAGGAAGGAGGTACTTTTGATCCGGGGCAGGGGAAGGCATGGAAGCTATTCCAGATCTCTCTGGGCTTATTCCCGGATGTGCTAGTTCCGCGGGAGAGTCTGATCAACGTGCAGGTAGGTGATACGATCACTGTTCTGTTCTATTACGGCTTTACTGACTTCGCTCAGGCTGTTACAGCAATGGTAAGTACCCTTTAGCACACTGAGTTCGTAGAGGCTGAATATATCGGGCTAGGCAATTTTTGCCCTTAATCTATCATGTCTCCAAATTGGCCAAATGATGGTGTCAGAAGCAGCCAGGATGGCTCAGTCGCTCGGATTCGGGAGAGCGACGTCCTCCAGTGATAATGCAGAGCACCATAGGACTTTCTGGGTGATATACACCATTGAGAAGATGGATAGCTTCTACAGTGGCAGGAATTCGGTGAGTGCAGGCATTCTGGACGCTGAGCTGCACTTGCCGTGACTAACGGCTCCAGATCCTCATTGATTACGATATTGGTGCTCCTATTCCAGTCGCGCCTGAGGCGATGTTCGGAGACTTTGACTGGTTTTTGTCCTCAGCCAGGTTCAGCAGGTTACTTTCCAAGGCGTTTGAGATGCTGTTCTCTGTCACTGCGAGGATGAATTCTGTAGAGGCATACTACGCAGCTATTGACATGGCCGGCGACGATCTAGAACGCTGGAGGAATTCCATCCCCGAGCAATTCCGCCCCGGTCTGCCTTTTCGAGCCCAGCATTTTGCCAATTCGTGCACCCTCCAGGTAGCTCTAAGGATACACTATTATTATTACAGTGGTGTCATCGCCCTGTCTCGGTTGACACTCAATGTCGGTGCGGCAAATCCAGGTTCACGACAGTCTCAGAGCAAGAAAGCACTCATGAACGCTGCACGTGTCATTATCGAGCTGACCAGGTATATTGATGCTGAAGCGTATACTCCAATATGGTACGCTTGTACTTCTGGCAAGGCCCCCATACATCTATTCTAACCGCAGACTGCAGGATCCTGGGCGTAATGCCTCTTTCCGCCTTGTTCATCCTGTTCGATTTTGTTGTTCACAACCCGAACCACCGTGAGACAAGGAGCAACCTGGCACTATTGGACGTAGCAGCTGGTTATTTTAGCCGCTTAGAATATGCCACAGGAGGGTCCCTTCCTAGCTCTCTTCTCTCTGATTTTGCGCATATCGCGCGACAATTCGTGCGGGATGTGCAATCGAGGAATTCTAACGGTGGCCAAGGGACCACTACGAGGACTCCAGAAAGGCCAGTACAAATGAATGCTATTGATAGTGCAAATAATCCCTCAACGTTTATACCGGTGCGTCTGTCGTATTAACCGTCCACAAAAGTATTCAATGCTGACTTGTCTGTGCAGCAACCATATAACACACCGAGTCAAGGTGCAGTAAGCGACACGAGTCCAATCACCGACTACCTTTTCTATCCGATCGCTTTTCCGCAGGTAAGTGCAGTAGACGACGATCTGCCGGCCCCGGCCGGTTTTGACATTATGAACCTCTTTGATACGGTCATTCCGGACTTTAGCACCCCGCTAGACCAGAACTACGACATTGGGTCTGGGCCCAGCATGCATGGTTCAATGAGTTAATGTACTGCACTATGGCCAGATATTGCTGGAGGCGCAAGTTCTGTATGTACATACTATAATGAAATCCAATATGGAATGGTGTATGAACGAGAATAACTTTTTCCCTTCTTTGGAGACCCTCGCGATGCAGTTAAATATACTTACACGATGGAATGCAGATCACTCCTCACTCCTAATTATGAAAATAATTGCATCAGATGAAGTCAAACGCTCGTCTCTCATAACTAATGCTTGCAACGCCAACAATTAATCAAACGTGATCTTCTTTCCCTGGAAAGTAGCCTGAGCCGCCTGCTCCTTCGCGCGCTTCTTTGCTTCCCACGACGGATGTAGCGGCTTGTCATCTTGGGGTTTCTTTTGCTGGAATGACGGCCTATCATTATGACTCGACGCTCCCCTCTCTCCTGACCTGTGGGCCGGCCTGCCCGTACCAGGGCCGCTTCGTCCCTTACCAAACTTCTTGGCTCTGCCATCGGCATCGGGATCCATAGCTCCCTTGCGGACATCCCAGCCACTATCGCGGCTGTTTCTCTTTTTCTCCTGCTCCTTGCGAACGTGGTTTGCTCCGCTGCCGTACTTTTTCTCCCAGAGAGCGCGACGAGCCTGTTGGCCCATGCGGTTCTTGCGACGGGGAGGTTCGTCGGGAGCAGGTTCATCTCCAGATTCGGAACCAGACCAGTATCCACCCATCATGAGAGAGGGGAGGAAAGTAGTGTCTTTGATGGTTCCTGTAGCAGAGGCCTTTTTGCTAGCTTTAACGGACGTCGCGGGAGGGGAGTCGGATTCTGAGTCGGATGGGGTGGGGGATAGAGAGAGATCGGCTGCACGATTGTAACGGTTTGATTTCGAACCGTCCATGCTGATATCGTCGTCGTCGTCATCGCCAGAGGCGCCTTCAGGCTCGGACTCGTCTGATGAGGCCGCAAGCCGGGAATCGAACTGGGCGAAATCGTCGCTTTGTATATCGGCCATATTGACATCCTCCGCACTGGACTCGTCACCTGAAAGTGGTTCTGATCCCTGCTCCCTTTCATCCTTCATCTTCGACTTCGAAGCCTTAACTTCTGCCTTTCCATCGGCATCCCTCTCTTTCGAGTCCTTCGTAGATTTCGCACCCGGCGCGGCGTCCACCCCCAAAAGTCCCCTAAACCCGTCCATGATTCCCGGCATGACATTCTTTATGGGAGTTGACTTGAATAGACGCGCAATAACGTTCGATTCGGCATTGCTCTTGGGGCCTTCTATCGATAATTGCTTCGCTTCCTTGAACCGGACGAATGCAGGAGACTCTGCTATGCGCTTGGTTTTTGCTAGTTGCTTGAAGAGGTATCTTTGTGCTGTGAGTTCCAGATCGAGGGTCTGTAATATTAGATGAATTAGCACCATGATTTTTTAAGTCTCCATTCCAACGCATAGAAAATAACAGTACCATACCTTCAACACCTGCACTTCCTCCTGTAAGCGCGCCAGCGCCCCTTCGTTCTTCTCTTTCTGCGCAGTCTTCTGTCTCCGACCCATCTTCTGCCGCTCAAACCCTCGAGCGGTTTTCAGAGCGCGGAACAATGTCTGTATTTCATACTCGAATTTGTTCGTCAACCGAGTAACTCGCAGAACGGTCTTGCGCTCCTCGCGACTCTCCGGAGAGTCATTTGCATCTTCAGATTCGGCGCGCTTACGCTTCGGCATGATTATGATTATAAGGTGGGGGACTGGGAAACGGAATTAAGGCGTTCTGCAAAGTATGTATTGGTGAGGCTTTAAATTTTTGGTTTTTGCGGAGAACGAAGCTGGCGGCGGATGCCAAGACTTTCTCCTTTGTCTTTCTCCGCTGGGCGACCGTCTCTGCGGGATTCCGACGGTACTTAAGCGCTAAAACTAAAACACCAGGACGGTAATACATGGATGGAGTGTGTATCTGGACTGTACTACATTGCAGCTAAGATGGTTTCTGCAGTTTCTTTCATTCATTGAAGTTCAGATTGAGTGCTACAACATCACTGGGGACGTGAATAAATACAGTGCGCCAGCAGCCAACATATATTTCCCGTTATTGACAGCTACTCTGACTACTTAGTATCAACTTCATTGCCATCACTGAACTATCAACTTGTCCGCATCAAGTCCTAGAATTTCGCAATGACAACTACGATCAAATACATCTTGCCCCTGATTTTCTTCTTGGGAGTCTACACCGTATTCATCTTCTCCTCTCGCAATGGTCTATTTACTCTCCTCGACGATGCCATCTACTCGAGGACGATGCCCGGTGGAGACGGCCCCATCAAGACAAATCTCACTGGTATCAAAGCTCTCGATGAGGGTCTGTTGATTCACCTAAATGCATTCTTCTTGCGTGTGGTCGATGGAAGCGCTCCTGATCTATCCCTCTATGCCTTTTCATCCACAGGCTCCTTTGGCGCAGCTTGGATTTTGATCACGGTGGAAGCATGGAGGAAGGGAAATGCCGGGACACTTATGGCATCGTATGTTTCCCGACCTGTCCTCACTTATTATATCATAGCACTGCATGTTCTGAATCAGAATCAGACGAGAAATGTCCGTAAGCGAACAACAAGCTGACTCTCAGATCCCAGTGTATTCGGCGTCGGCTTCTTGGCCCAAACAATCACATACGCCTTATCCATGACGATTTACTGCATGCTAAACCTCTGGAAATCACGGACAATTTCCAACCTCACTCTTCAAAAGATCATTACTCCTCGAATAATCTCAAATACGCTACCATTAGCCCTATTCATAGGCTACTTTATCCCAACAGCCCTCCTCGCCGCACCTACTGCCATCTTCAATATGGATACGAAGCAGTCCTTCCTCGCAGCATGGCAACTCTGGCCACTAACTGTTTCGTTCCTCCTATCCCTTACCAAATATTTCTCTCCACGATGTACTCGACCAGACAACATCCATGACCGCCGCGCTGATATCCTTTCTCTACGATACCTTTACGCTTTCGCATTCGCATGCGCTGCCATCCCTCACCTTGGAACCTGGTTGATCTCTCTGACATCGGTGATCTATCCCGGATTATTCAATGCAGAATACCTCGAGAAACTGCATCCGCAGCGGGTATTCATTAACAAGATCCCGTTGGACTCCGTGCGCGTCTCTTCCGTGGAAGAGGGTAGTCTCTGGTTCTTGCAGTGGGATAATACCATTGGGTCAATCAGTGTCATGTTATGGGCAGTGGCGCTGTATCGTAAGGCTTGTGCGGAGGCAAAGGTTAGGGTGAGTGCGGTTGAATTGGGGGTTAAGATCTGTTTACTGGTGATTTTGGGGGGAGCGGTCGGTGCAGCGGTGGAATTGGTGTGGGAGAGGGATGAATTAGTGTTCTCCAAGGAATTGGAAGTTGCAGTGGAGAAAGGTACTGGGGAAAATTCCCATTAGTTGGATCTTTCCGGCGAGAAGCTCTACATCAGTTCAGACCCGGAGTCCTAGTCGGATGGCCAGGTTACAGCCGCGCGCGGACAGAAATACGGGAGGGAAATAAATGAACTGGACCTGCACCCGATTCCAAACATGCACGTGCGGTATGTACATAGTAAATGAAGAAAGACGGAAGGAAAGTACGTATACATGGGCCCACGCTCTATTTCTTTTCCTCTTCCTTCTTCTCCTCAGGCTTGGGCGTAGGAAGCTTGAACTATATCCCGGGAAATTAGCAATTGATCTCAGGATGGGTGATAAAAATAAACCACATACCGAGTCAGGCGTTCTGTCAGTGCCAGGGCCAACTGGCTCCCAGGCAGCCGTACCTCCCTCAAAGTTACGGAAGGCCTGGGTCAACTCGAGCGGCTCGACGACAATGCGCTTCTTCTCCTCGTCATAGCGGATCTCAGTGTAACCAGTGAGAGGGAAGTCCTTGCGTAGGGGGTGGCCATCGAAGCCGTAGTCGGTCATGATACGACGGAGATCAGGATGGCCGCTGAAGAAAACACCGAACATATCGTAGACCTCACGCTCGTACCACAGAGCACCATCATACAGAGAGGTGACACTGGGAACGGGAGACGCCTCATCGGCATAGGTCTTCACACGAATACGCGAGTTATGGCGGACACTGAGCAGGTTGTAGACGACCTCAAAGCGCGCATCCCGGGTCGGGTAATCAACGGCGGTGATGTCGGAGATCTGGGTATATTCCGCCGCGGTGTGGTACTTGAGGAAGGTGAAGACGGGAATAATGCCGGAAGGAGAGACGTAGATCGTAAGCTCGTCTTTCCAGACGGAGAACTGCTGGACGTATTTCGGCAGGCAGGAAATGATGTATTGACCGTAGGTGTGGAGGCTGTCGGCCTTGTCCGCGTACTTGTCGGTAGGATTGACAATGGGGGCTTTCAGCGGCCCCAATGCTATAGAGAAAGTCAGTCAATCATCGATACTGATATGATCACGTATCTATCCAGAACATACGAGGACGCTGCGCCTGCCGCATATTGGGCACATCCTCAGACGAACGCTGCAGAGGGGTCGAGGAGAAGGCGCGGGCACATACGGACACCCTGGATGCAGAAGCCCAGGAGCGGCTGCTCCCCAGCCGCATCAGAGAGCGCGCAGACGCCATTGTTGTGGAGCAATTCAGGATAATGGATGGCGAAAGGGCAAGGCGAGGCGTTGTAACAGCTCGACGTCGACATGGAAGTTGAGAATGGGAAGAGCGGTCACGTGCGGGTGACTCAGACATTAGCTAAGCGGTGCAGCCACGCCGCGCAGGGAGAGACACCAGCGGGCGTTGCAGCAAAGATGAAGAGCTTCTTCTCTCTTCGCTTCTCTCTTCCTCCCTCGTCTCTAGCGCATTCATCTTCATCTCTCAACAACACCCACGCCTCCACCAGACCTTTATCCTACTTTCCGCCCTCTCTCACACTCTTTATCTCCTGCCTCACATTTTCCTCCCATCGCGCTCCTCCTTGCTCAGATCTTCCCGCCCGTTCATGTTTGCTGGCATTCTGAACCTGCTGCTGAGTTACTGAGCGGTCGCTGCCAACTTCTCGCCACAGCCATGTCAAATCGCATACAGATCGACTCAGTCATTGATGACGATGATGAGTTCTGGTATGACAGAGCTCCCCGTCCGGTTGTGCTTGGCTTGTCGTGCTGACTTTTGTTCTCTAGCCCCCTCTGTATCGAAGAGTTCGATCTTTCGGATAAGAACTTCAAACCTTGTCCCTGTGGCTACCAGGTGTGTACCCGGATTCCCCGCAACGCTGTGGCGAGCCCTTCCAGCCTTCCTATCCCAGAGACTTTCTATGCAAAACAGTGATCTGACTTGACGCGATACAGATATGTCAGTTCTGTTACAACAATATCAAGACCCACAGTGAAGAGGGTCGATGTCCGAATTGTAGACGGGTGTACGATGAAAGTACCATACAGTATAAGGTCCCTGATGTGGATGAGTAAGTGGCCTACGTGCTTTACGTTGACACTGCAAAACATCAGCGTTAACCTTGATGCATCGCACAGATTCAAAGCGGATTTGGCACTGAAGCACCGCAAAGCTGCTGCTGCGAAGAAGAAAGAGGCCGAAAAACGCGAGATCGAGGCATCCAGCCGGAAAAATCTTGCTGGTGTCCGAGTGGTCCAAAAGAACCTGGTCTACGTGATTGGCCTGAACCCCACCATACGTGACGAGAACCAGTTACTGCAGACGCTTCGAGGTCCCGAATACTTCGGCCAGTACGGAGATATCGAAAAGATCGTGGTCAGCAAGGCTAAACCAGGCGGGAATCCGAACCAGGGTATCGGCGTTTATGTTACCTTCCTTAGAAAGGCGGACGCGGCGACCTGTATCGCAGCTGTAGATGGGTCTGTCAATGGCGATCGGGTTCTGAGGTGGGTCCAATAGTGCCTTTTCGTACTATGGCATCAGACTAATTACTTCTATCAGGGCGCAATACGGTACGACGAAATATTGCTCCTCATTCCTTCGTAACGAGCAATGTAACAACCGGAATTGTACTTTCCTGCACGAGACTGGGGAAGATACCGACAGCTTCAGCCGACAGGACCTCTCGTCCATGAACATGCGACAAGGGTATACCAACGGTGCGGCCGGTCCAAGTCAACAACATCATCCGGCTCAGATGCGACCATCCGCGCAACCTCTCCAGTCATCCCAACCGATGCGTCGCCAAGGAAGTAAGGATGATGGTATATCGCGGTCGGGCACCAACGACGGGTCGGCTCTCCCCTCATCTGCTAGCTGGGCGAACAAGGATGCGCCTGTGAACCGTGCGAGGCGCGCCAGTTTAACTGGGAGCCGATCCTCTCCAAGCCCCAAACCCACGAGTGCTGTTATCGCGACCAAGGCAGATGAATCAAAGAAACAGGCCGGGTCTTCGCAAGATGCTGCTTCGCGTCGCGGCACGCCTGCTCCTGCGAATGCCCAACCCGTGTCGCAAAGCCAACCTCGCGCAGCACAACCGCCACCACGGCCCGAGAATCCTCTCTTGGACGAGTTAGTGAAGGCCATCAATTCGTCCGACTTCAAGTTCGTCTTTTCTGCTGCTGGGTTACCGGCAGAGGAAGCTGCTTTCATCGAGAATCATCCTTCCTTCATTGATCCGTACGGCGGAGTGAAGCGCAGGGCCATGCGGGAAAAGGCGGAGCAGGAACGCGCAAAGCAAGAGGTTGAGACGCAGCAGTTTCTGCATTCCGCCGCTCAATCTGCCGCTGCTGAAGAGGAGACTAGGGAAAGTGGTAGCTTGCAGTTAGGTGGTGAGCCCGATGATGTCCATCCTCCCGCCCGCGGGGATCGTGGCCGTGAATCTCATGGCGCCATCCAACCTCCTTCCCAGCAAGGAACTGCGACAAACTCGGTTATTGGTTCTCCTGTGTCTGCCGCTAGTCATCAATTCCAGAGTCTGAACGTCGGAGGCCGGAGTTTGACTCCTCTGCAGCAGCAGCAATTAATGTTGCTGAAGTCCGCTAACGGCCAGCAGGCTGGTCTGATGGATCCGCTGCAGACGGGCTTCGGTTCAACCGGCTTTGATCATGCGTCTCAGGCTCGTCAGGGCCTTTTCCAGAATCAGATGCCTCAGTTGAGTGGCATGCAAGGTCATAACCGACAATCCTCTCGATTCTCCTTCGCAAATGATAGCAATGCCAAGAACAACCCTAGCGCCAGGCTCATGAGCCAGCAAGCGTCTCTGATGCAGTCAGGAACACCAAATCCTCTGGCGGCTCCTACGCCCCAGCATAGCCTCGCGAGCCACTTCTATACCAGTGGTGTCCAGGGCCCTCCCCCAGGTTTGAAGACAGCCGGCACTCCTCCAATTAGCGGAGGCGGAATGTTTGCACAGGGCCATGGCTTCACCGCCAACGCGAACCTTGGCTTGGGAGCAAACCTTGGTAAGCAAGATGCCAATCCGGAGCTGATGCGGGAACTTCTCCGTGGTCGCGGTGGCGCAGGTGGTTTGCAAGCGCACGAAGTTGCTAAGCGTGAGTTCATGTTTCCTTTCCTCCAGCAACACCAGACACCCCCTCCCCTGACTCCCGCTACTACTGGCCTTCTCAGCTCTTTCTATGGTTCCCAGGCGGGGACATACCCCGAACAGGGGCCACAGAAGCAGAAGAAGAAGGGGAAGAAGCACAGACACGCTAACACTTCCTCCGGTGGAGGTGGTGTAGTCGATCTTGCGGACCCGAGTATCTTGCAGGCGAGAATGCATCAAGTTGGTGCCAACACTGCTGCTGGGCAAGCCCTGTACGGGAGTCAGGGTCAAGGTGGGTACAATCACTCCATGATGTATGGAGCTGGTTTTAACCGCTGGTGATTTCATCTTCACCCATCCTACTCCCTTCTGTTATGATAGTTCCCTCCCCTTGTTGTGTTGACCGCGTTCAATGTTGTGTTTCTTTCTTTCTTTTTCTTTCTTTTTTTCTCTACCCAATTCCCATGAATGATATGCTCCCCTCATGTGGGCACGGCCGTGACCTTTCTGTACGCTTTCTTGGAACTCATGTTTGTCGATTTCACTTTTGAAGCGAAGCATCAGGCAGACGGCTCCCAAAAGAAGATAATGGGCTGGGCGTGCCTTTGGCGTTTATTATGGATTGTTTTGCGCATTACGGGCAATGTTGGATGGGAGGCGTCGTCACATTTTGCGGAGATCTAATGTCTTCTGGGTTTCCTTACATATTTGGCGGACGCCGTATTGTTGCATCCGGCCCTGCTTCATTTACAGCATTTGGGCGACCTCTGGTCGACCGGTTCATGGCTCATGTACGTTAACCTCCCCGCCCTGTCTTGTACCCAAGCGGGGTCATATGCCGAAAGCAAATTCTCACATTTAATGTTCATATAGACATTTGGCCTGCCCATCCTGCCTGGTCAAAGCTCTTTTTGTAATTGCCATTATGCCTATACCTTATCGTATTGCCTGGTCGCCTCGTCTGTATGCTTCGTTGCGATTATCTGTTGCTCTTGCTTTCTTTTCAGATTATTTCGGATCCGCTGCAATTCGCTCATTCACTTCACCCACATCGCTTTTCTTCGGGAGATTGCTAACTGCTCTCCACAGTCGATGACGAATTCCCACCGCTGGATGTATCCGCCAAGGACAGACCGTCCGTCGACAGTTTTGGCTTCCCATTCCGGCCGCATCTTGCTGACGATTCTCGCGCATCGTCGATTCGTTCGGGGACCCCGACGCTCCCTCCCGGCCTGCCTCTGCCGCATGCACATCCCGCCGCTGCTTTCCTTCAGGAGTTGGACCCGTCGAGTCCCGTACGTTCGCCGTCAATTCCCCCCGGATTTGCTCCTGTTGCCCCCTGGCTGGGCACACCTGCGCAGAAACTGCAGGAGAACAACTCTAGACATGCTACGCCTGAACCTAGGGCGGCCCCTGACATTGCTCAGGTGACTGACAGGGTCAAGAATGCATCGGAAATCTCCCTTGGCTCCCCTAAACCGAAGCCCGCCAAAGCTCGCGGTCAATCTAAGGCAGAGAGCCTCAGCGTCTCTGACAAGAAGGAAGATACCGCGGCTACCACGGGTACTCCCCAGCGCAGTGAGCGCGAGTCGAGTGCGAAGCCAAAGCCGATCAAGCTTAATTTATCGACTTTCACGGCTTCCCACCCCCAAGATAATTCCCCTGGCAAGTCGGATACACCAAGCCAGGTCATCGCTGGTGCTACTGCGTCAGTGGCTGGCTCCCGCCCTAACACTCCTCTTACTGGCATTTCTCGCGCTTCGGACTCCTCCGGCCCACGTCAAACTCGGGTACTTCGGGTCGTAGATACTCCAAAGGCAGAGACACCCCCTCCTGTTTCAGCTACACAATCAATCTCTTCTGCCCAAGCCGTGAAGGGCCGCTCCAGAAGACTGAGTATTTCTTCGGTCAGCAGGCCCGAGACTCCTGGTGAAGTCGGTTCCGACTACGATCCGTACACATCGGCATCTGTGTCTCGGGCAAACTCCCCTCCGCCCTCCAAGATCGGTTCGGCGCCAGTGCGTGCGATCACGAAGAGTCAGGCGAAAAAGGAAAGAAGATTGAAGGCGAAACAGGCGGAGGCCAAAGAGGCTATCTCAACCACTGTTGTGGAGGAGCCAGTACAGGCTCCGATCATCGGCAGGAAAAGGAAGACCAAGAAGACGCCTTCGAGCAATGAGCCCTCTAGCACGACAGAAACAGCAACTAGAGCTGCCTCGGAGGCCAGCAGGTCTCCTGAGAAAGCTATTGAAGACCGAGGAGAGCAGAAGTCCGCCGACGCTGGTAAAAAGTCAAAATCCAAGGACAAGTCTACGAAGGATGTCCAACCTGCTACTTCTCCTGAGAAGGAAGCCAGCGAGAGTGGCGAGAGAGAAGCTACGGAGACATGGCGTGAAAACAATACGATCGAGCAGATGATAAAGGACTCTGAAGCTAAGGGTATCCCGATAAAGGAGCTCTTCCTGGAGAGGACGTCTCCACTCCCAGTTCTCCTTGCTCAACTGCATCAGTCTGGGCTGCTCGATCTCAACAACCATCCCCTGTTTAATCCTCCCAATCTCAGCCAGCGTTCGGATATGAAGTGTTCGTCGGAAGATTACGAGTCTCTGAAGCAGCCTATTGAGTTAACGGAAGAGGACAGAAAGAAGCTTCTCCGTGGAGAACCCGTTCGCATCAACGGCGACTCGGCGCTCCTAAAAAGCAGATGCCTCATCACTCCGAGCGGATGCATCCTTCGTCACCTATCTCCGGACGAAGAGGATCGTTACCTTGCGCTGGAGAAGAGCTTGTCGCTGTCTGCTGATTCAATGCAGGAGTATCCCGCACTTTCAATTACTGACCCGGACATCACAAACCGCGGTGGTGGTCTCGACGCTCTCTTCGCCACCCCCGAGAGGTATAACATCGTCTGGGTTGATGAGACCCCAGGGGCTGGCATTTCGGGAGCGAGTGACGCCGGTGTTGGCGCAGGTGCTGCGGATTCTACGCCTCCTACAGTCGCTTCTGCGCCTCCTAATGTCCTCTCCGCCATGGAGGCTGACACCACTCGAAGCCACAACTGGGCTATCGCGAACACGGCCGAACTTGTCAACGCAACGGCTGCTTCGGTCCGCTCCTTCGCTGCCGCGACTGCGAAACATATGCTTGGCGTGACTGGCATCGCCATGGGTGATATTCCGGATCTCGAGGACGTCATGGGCATGTCCGACGATGAGCTGCGTACGTTCATCGAGCGCTCCCAGCGCGAATTAGAGTCTTCTCGGAAGGATGTTGATTCCATTGACAAGAAGCTGATGGCGCTGATCAAGCGCAACAAGAAGCTTGCACAGCAGGCAATTGCGGCGACTGTTGAGGCGTCGTAAGCAGCTTCTGCTTGGGGCCATATTGTACTACCAAGACACTATCAAGGCGTTTCGAACATGGAACTGGAACGTGACGGAGCTAGATGGAATTGCATGGGATGGAACGGAAATGGGTAATTCTAATGTGCATGCCCTCCCGGGTTACGGATGCTTGTTTCTCTGTTTGTTCCGAGTTGACGGATGTTAGCGTTTTCTCTGTTGTCAGTGTAGATTAACTTTCGGTTCTTTCCATTGTATTGAGTATTACTTTACTTGCATTGCATTGCATTTCGTTACATGATTGAGCAAGGATAATGCCTTACAAAAAAGAAATACCCATCACTTAATGGCCGTTATTCCTCTCCAAGATGCAAATAGATATTGTTCTTTGCAAGGCATTGTATCTCGCATAAGTAGGTTGTAAACGATGTATGTATATATATATATATATGTGCATGACGAAAGGGTACCGAAGGAGACGCTCCCTTCTTGGACAATATTTAAAGTCCCTTAATCCCATCTTGGAATTCCCTTAGGTCATACTCCTCTGGATACGTCTCCAAGATACGCTTCAGCTCCTTCATCTGTTCTTGCGCCTCTTCTGTCAATTCCTCATAAACGTCCGTAAAGGCCTCTCTAAGGGGAGGCTTCTTCTCCCTCTCAGCAGCGCTGAATTCCTTGAGTACCGTTCGACGGATCTCATCCCGCGTGTCGCGTTCCAGGTCCTCGTTCCAGAGGCCTTTGTTTTCAAGCCACTTCCGTAGCCGAATGATCGGGTTATCGCGCCGTTTCCAGTCCTCGACTTCGACGCGCGCACGGTATGCAAAGCTATCGTCGCTGGTGCTGTGGTGGGAAACGCGGTAGCTCATTGCTTCGATGAGGATGGGTCGGCCGCCATCGGAGAGGGCCATGCGGCGTGCTTCTTTGGTTACTTCGCGTACAGCGAAGATGTCGTTGCCATCGACGCGGATGGTGTCGATTCCGTAGCCGATTCCACGGCTAGCGATGCCGTCGCCGCGGTACTGCTCTAGTGTCGGGGTGGAGATGGCGTAACCGTTGTTGCGGCAGATGAAGACTACAGGACAGGATCTTGTAGCAGCGATGTTCAGTGCGGCGTGGAAGTCGCCCTCGCTCGCTGCGCCTTCACCGAAATAACAAGCGACGATGCGCGGTGGAGTGTTTGGATTCTGGAGATGTTGGAGCTTCAGGGCGTATGCGGCACCTGCGGCTTGGGGGATTTGAGTTGACAGTGGTGAGGATATTGTGTACTTAGTTGGACATATATGATTAGAATTGGCTGTGGTGGTGGTCATATCTTTAGGGGGGGAGGGGCATGGATTTGATTTACCTGTTTCGGATATGAGCGTCCATAATGTACCGGCATATTACGCCCTTTGCCGGCATCGTTCTTGTTGGAAAACAGCTGGCTCATGAATTCTTGCAAAGTGAATCCACGTTGCTGGAGAACGCCGGCTTCTCGATACTGTGCGAACACCACGTCGTCTGGAGAGAGCGCCGTTGCGGAACCCACGGCGATTCCTTCCTCGCCTGCAGAGACCTAAGGAGAGGTGAGATGATCAGCGGAAAGCTTCCATACGTAGCGCACAGTACGCACCATATAAAAGCTCAATCGGCCTTGTCTCTGGGCTTCGAACATGATCAGGTCCATTATATTAACTGCGTCGCTTGGATCAGTAGTGGTCCCATCACTGGTAGATACGGCAGGAAGACGAACCCGTCAACATGTTCTTATACCAAGATATGACCTCCTCATCTGAGACGTCTGTTGGAGCGTGGTTTTGATCCACGATGGTTCCGTCCGAGTCCATCACTCGATACGTAGGCATAGCGGGCATATTCGATGGTCGTGAGAAGGACATTTCCGTGGTGAATTTACTGTCGACTGCGCCAGGGAATCGAACACTGAGCGAGCGCCGCAAAATCCGAATCAGATGTGATTCTCGAAAAAACATGTTCACAGAGGTCTGGCGAGATCGACTTACTGGTCCGACCCAGGTCTCTGAGAGATAGAATTGCTCCATCGTACTGCAGTCCGCGGGGCTATCAAGGGAGTAGTAGTAAAGACCTTCCGGCCGGAGGTGGATATGGATAAACCGCTCCTTCGAAACAGTGAAGACGCCATCAGACCGGTCAAGGGATCATCAGCGACGGATCAAGACCAGAGAACGAAACGAAATGAAGAGGGAGTTCGTGGACTCCAGGTGCGAGAACAACATTAACTACCGTCGAGATGATCGTCTGGGGAATGCGGAGAGGCTCGGTTGGCGTCGGTTGAGCCCTGTGGATCTCCGCGAATGCCCGCGTTGGAGGTTAACTTGATAACTAACTAGAGTCTAGAAGTAATAATTATAGAAGTAGTTGCTATAGATTTATTTATATCCATTGGTCTGATCGATATGGTTGCTATTATTATTCTGTATCTAGTCTAGTTCGGATGATTGGATTGGATCGTCGAAGATGTGTACAGTACATACACAGGAAGCATCGATCGCTCTTGGACAGTTGACCATTATATTTCCCTTGACGCTAGTTAATACCAATAATAATAATGAATAATAACTACTAGCAGGCACTGCTGGAGGGATAATCGGCTTTGGATCGGTTCTCTCGGAGACTAACGGACCGGTTCGATGTTCGATCGGACAACTTGCCGGCGTCTTCTTGCAGTTTCGGACTACAGGAATCGACCATCAAGAATCTAGATAACGATAACTACCTAGTTAACTACACGCAACACACAACGATGTGCTCAGCAACCAGATAAGATCTTGTCTCCCACGGAGAGAAGACAGAGATCAGCCTACAGGCAGAGGATAGATGAAGAAAAAAAAAAGAGAAAAAAGGAGAGTGAGTCAACTAAGAATGATAATAATCACTAATTAATTAATTAACTTAGTCGCCGCTCAGCCGTGAGACTTTCCCAAAAGGTTACAATAAGTATAGCTTCATCTGGCAACTCCAATCATGATAGATTGCCGGTCCGACGAAAAATGACGATTTGAAAGTGCACAACGCATCTCGTTTCGAGATTCCCTCAGCAGTCTGTCCTTGGGCGCTTTTTTGGCGGCTTTTTTGACGGGCTTTTTCGCTCTTCTTTCCCGCCCGTCCTTCGTGGATCTGATAACATTCTCGCGTCTTCATCTCTTCTCTTCTCTTCTCTTCTTCCTCAATCATCGACCCATCCGTCCACCTTTTAACTCTCCTCTCCGCCTCTCCTCTCCTCTCTGTTAACGAACGATCGGTTTAACCGCCACTGCACTTCCCTGCGTGGAGTCATCAACATCAGGTGGTGATTGGAATAACGTTAAAGTCTTTCGAAGACCCAATCTTGACCAGTGAGTGTGCCTTATTCAGCTGCGCATACTTTTGATCACAGCTGCTCCTGTTTTAGTACAGCTATACTGATATCCAGAAAAGGGTCTACTCTGGATCAAGTACGCGCTTAGCTCACCAACCAACCTTCCACTCGACTCGATCAAGCAAACCGTGGACTACTCTCTGAACATCCAGAGACAAGGAAAAGCAATTTGTCGCAAGCTGTAAAGTACAGTCCGCGTATCCCTCACACCACATCAATAAAGAGAGAGAACCGCCACCATGCCGCTCTTCGCCCGCATCATCACCCTCACCAACTTCGTCATTGCCTCCTCGGCGCTGAGTTTCCAGATCTTCGTCCTCGAACCCTGGCACCAGACGCTGGATGACCAGTTCCAGGCCCTGAAGACGGAACACATCGCCATGCTCAAGCGCCATGGAGAGGAGCTGTCTGCCATCAGAAGCCAGATCGAGGCCCTCAAAGAGAAGGAGGCGAAGAGAGGGAAGTGGTTCTAGAACCTTTCTTTTTCTTTTTTCTCTTACTTGTTATATTGCAAGAACATCCTATCCTTGGCTGGCGCGCCTAGATCAGCACCTTACTAGACGAGACTAGAGAGGAGTTCTTGAGATAGAGTCCTAGGGTTGGATAGATTCCCTTGCATCATTAGATTTCATGTTAGAGGTCATGAGGGAATAAGTATGAGATCGGCTTCTTTTCTTTTCTTTTCTTTTTTTTTTTCCCTGTTCCTGTTCTGCATAGTGGTGTTCGCCGACTTTCCTTTTGAATTCACTTCATCTATACCTACCAAATGAGATCGTCTCTATACGAAAAGAGAAAAAGAGGTAAAATAAACAAACAAAAAAAAAAGAATATTATCAACTACAACTTCGCTCTATACCCTTCATCTCCTAGATCCAAATCTCGCTCATCACTCATTCGTACATTCAACAGTGAGTTAGGGCTGTCCTTCCCTTGCATAATGAAGTTATGCGGCTTCTCACCCGGGTTCAACGAGCGCCACTTGAAGAATCGCTCTAACATATCCGACTCCCTGCCCTCCACGCGATCCGCAACGAACCGCCCGATGATCGGTAGGAACTTGAACGCATGTCCACTCCCGCCTGTCGCGACTATCACTCCAGCTTTTCCAGGGACGGAATCAATCACGAAATGGTTATCGAAACTATCCGTATACCAGCAGAGTCGAGTCGTGGTGATTTTGAGATTAGCAGCGCCCAGTTCCGGGAGGTATTTATCCAAAAACCCACGGATGACTTGGATGGATTTAGCCGGCAAGGTATGGATCGATGGACGCGTGTATGCAGTGATAGGAGTGCTGCGGATTGTTGTTTTCTTATCGCTCGTGGTGGCTAGTGTCGGGTTGGTATACTTCGTTCCTCGATATCCGAGCTTCATGACGCCGCGCTCATCGATCGGGAAGCCGTATAAACTGCCGTTGGCGCCACCGCGCATCTTGTAATGCCAGACGGGGAATCGGTCAGGGGAGAAACGCTCGCGGAGTGGAGATCCCTCGGGGATTTGGATCATGGCTACGGAACCGGCCGTCGTCTCGCAGAGGCCGTCGAGCTCTGGGAGAAGGGTTGGTGTCCAGCCGCCGCAGGCGAGGATAACCACTGCGGCTCGATGCGTCTTCCCATCGGATGTCTTGATTCCTGTCACAGCGCCGTTTTCCTCGATGAAGCTGGAGAATTGGCCTGCAGTCGGGTCGAGGATGAACTTGACGCCTAGAGATTGGGCCTTGTGTAGCGCAAAGCGACATGCTTTATCCGCGTAGACGAAGCCGCCCACCATGTCAAGATGACCCGAAAGACGGCCCTGGCCTTTGTGCAGCAGATTGAACGGATCAATAGCAGCGTTGAGCCCATCACGGCGGGCTCGCGCGACATCCCTGGGGTCGGTGAGGAGATATTGCGTATGGCCGTAGCCTGCGGCAGTGATGTTCTTGACAGACAGATCCTCAAAGCCATTCATTCCTTTCTCATCGCCGATATGATAGTTGCCGCAATTGACATAGATGCGGTCCTTGGTCGTCATTCCTGGAGGTAGATCATCTCCTCTGGCTAGAGAATCGTTCCACGCTGTCCAGTTCTGGATCGCCTCGAACGTGAGGTTCTGGTACCATGTTTCATGGCCGTAGGCTGCGCGGATGATTTTGTTGCAGTCTGAAATGGGGTGTTAGCTGCTGAGATTCAAGAAGAACTATCAAGTCATTGATCTATGCAAATATTCGGATTGAAATTTCATCATCTTACCCGCTGATGCGGCGTCGCATCCCCGGTCAAAATCGTACAAGGTCTCATGATACGGCTGCTTGTCGAACACGGTGATGTTCTCAAAGCCCCTCTGCGCCAGATGGATCGCAGAGCTCAGACCAAAGATGCCCGCGCCGACGATGACGATAGGCGCATTTTTGTCTGTGAGGAGGGGTTGGGGCGTCATTGTGATAGAACTAGCGGTGCGATGGCCACGAATGTTTTTTTTTTTTCTGGGTTACGACCACTCTGTCTCGATAGAGACTGAGGGTTCTAAATTCATATAGTTAGCTGTGAGAAGTTGTTGTCTGATCCGGAACAACAAGGTGCCCTACTGTATCATCTGCCGAGTGTATCGATCAGCAATAAGTACCTAAGAGGAAAGACCCAAGCGGATCAGGCCGATGCATTTCTATATCATCAGCCATCTCTTTGGTTGATACATAATGTTACTCGCATAGGAAACACGAGAGTCGGGACACCAACTCGAGTGATTAAGCTACTTCTCTCCAGCTCCATGTGGGGAAGACGGTGCTATCGAGATTCGATAACAGCCATGTCTTTCTCTTCTGGGAAGGTTCTGTTGCGGCTGGAACCGCCATGCAGCATTCTCTAGCTTCTGGCCGATCTTGATAATGACAGTTTCCCGCTACAGCTTCGGTGGGAGAGTGAGCTGTCGGTCTCTCTCCGACGTAAAGTATCTCCGCCAATGGCGGCCTCCAGGCTCTTGTTATCTGTAGGTTAATGGATTGGTATCAAGTAGCATTCGTCGTTGGTCGGCCGAGAGGAATTCGAGAATCCTGCAGATGAGGACGTAAGTATGTATTGACTATTGACTGCCGTGTTTCTCTGTTATCGCGCGGTAAAACTAATTATCGCGCTGGAGTCAACCACTGCTGATGAAATAGCATAGGCGACTATAATAAGCAAAGCATGGAGACTCTTGAAGAATGTTGTATCATCAGAGGTACTGTACTTCTGGGGTATATAGTACACGTCGAGACAAGCCTTGGATTTCTCCCCTTGAAGTCTCATAACTGGCAAGACAGTCATGGCAGACCCGACTTCGTCCAAGTCTGATCTGCAAAAGACCAAGAGCCCCTCTATCTCAGAGGCAGGCGTTTCCATCGCTGGATCCTTTGTTATAGATCCAGTAGTGGAGCGATCGGTAGTGAGAAAGCTGGATTTCAGGTACTTATGTCCTGCCACTTCGTCCTTGAGAACTGACATGTTTACTGACAATGGCTACTGTAGACTCCTGCCTGTTCTGTCTCTCATGTACTTCTTCAACAATCTCGACCGATCCAACCTGGGAAATGCAAAGACCGACGGCTTGGATAAAGACTTTGGCCTGGTGGGAAACCAGTACAGCATTGTCTTGGCTGTTTTCAACGTCACGTTCTGCTCCTTTGATCTGCCTTCGAACTTGCTGCTGAAGCGGTTTAGCGGAAGGAGAATGCTGCCGATGATGATGATGGCTTGGTGAGTCTCTTAGAAAAACATGAATGGGCTTCTTGCTGAGAGACATTATCATAGGGGCTCCGTGACTCTTCTTCAATGCGCCGCGCATAACTTCTCCGGTCTCCTGGCATGTCGGTTCTTTATGGGGATTTTCGAAGCTGGTTTCTTCGGTAAGTGGTGCATAGATACTATATCGGACAAAGCTACCCTCGAAAGGAAGCTGATTCTCGTCTAAAATAGCGGGTGTCATATTCTATCTGACTCAATTCTATAAACGAAATGAGCTGGCTTTTCGCTTGTCAATCTTCTATGGAACGGTCACTATCGCCGGTGCATTTTCCGGATTGATATCCTTTGGAGTATTCCAGATCAAGCACCACCTTCCAGGATGGATGTACCTCTTCATCATCGAAGGCGGTGCTACTCTTATTTGTGCTAGCTTTGCGGCCTGGTGGCTTCCTCTGAGTGGTTCCCGGTGTCACTGGTTCAGCGAGGAAGAATCTCACGTGGCCGAGCTACGTCTTCTACATGACGGCTCAGTCAGATCTGACGATGCCTTTGATCTCAAGGACGCACTCAAGGGGCTTTGCGATTGGCGCGTCATGGTATGGGCAATGAGCTGCTTTTCTTATGGAATCGCCCAGTCTTCCGTGAGCAACTTCTTGCCCCAGATGATTGCCCTGTTGGGTTATTCTACCGTCAAGACAAACCTCTACACTGTCGCTCCATACTGCGTTGGAACCGTCGTTCTCTGGACTCTTTGCCGGTCTTCAGACTACTTCCGCGAGCGCTCCTTCCACCTCGCCGGCGCTTTAATGATTACGTTCGTCGGATATATCATCCTCATAACAGTCGACGCCGAGAAACACAAGGGCGTCGCCTACTTCGCCTGCTTTCTTCTCACGAGCGGAGCCTTTGCCCCCAGCTGTATCTTCCATAGCTGGCATGCCAACAACGTAGCATCTGAAAGTCAACGGGCAGCCATTGTTGGATTTCTCGTCGGCTCAGCCAACTGCGCTGGAATCCCTTCCAGTCTTGCATTCGATTCTCGAACCGCTCCCAAGTACATGCCGGCGCTGATCGTGAATTGCGTGTTTCAGATGGTTGGAATCCTGATGATCCTGGGCCTGGGGATGTGGTTTCGGTATGATAATCGAAGACGGGATAAGTTGCAGGGGGTTAAGCTTACCGCAGCTGATGTTGCGACGCAGTGTTTGGTGGATGGGTGGAGGGATCCGAATTGGAGGTGGACTGCTTGATTCATTTCAGCACTACTAGGGGTTCAGTCTCATGAATCAAACATCTTTGCAGCTCATGAATTCGTTTGTTTACAGTATCAGACGTAATGAGTTAGTGTACTGATGAATCAATTTACTGCTTCAGTGTATGCTTGTCACCAACCCCGAGCAATGTTCTTTCTTTTCACATTTTCCTGCAGACAAATCCTTGCATCATCAGCAGGACCAGCAAACGCCATTGGATTCATTGAGCCCGTGCCCCTCGACCTCATCATCTTCTATCTGGGTCATTCTCCATATGGACGATACTATTCGCATGAATAGCCGGCCAGCCCAGGACTAGCCCACTACGCAACCGTCCAAACGTGGCAGATGGCTATTAAATCATATGCGTTTCGGCAGTGAGAATAAGCAACACTAATCTTTCCAAGATCCAACTGAATTATTAGAGCCTGTCCATGCAGGAAAAACATCCTTAAGGAATTTTTCTATTGGATCGATCCTCCTTTAGGTAGTGGGGATCAGTACTATTATGACCGACGCAGTGAGCATGAAGCCAATATCCTTCCCTTCCGAAAGCGTGTGAGAGAGCTATGTGAAGAACTCTCCTCTCTTTCTGGAGTAATGGCGAAAATGCATCATAAAAATTGCGTCTGTCGCTTACACATAGCCTGACCGTGGATAATACTGAGAAGAACACAGGTAGCGCAAACTCTATGCTGCCGAACCATCACTTCGTTGCAAGTGACGCCTACGGGGCAAGGCATTCATCCCGCCAGGAGTGTAGATCTTCAGCTTGCTAATAGGAAGCTTGAATTCAGGACTCTAGCTAGCACGCCAGGAGAAGCTATATCTAATTTAGAATATACTGTGGTTAAATATCTGCATTCCTTTCCAAGCGGGAACTAATAGCGGGCCGATAGTAGATCTGCCAAGGTCGCAGATATATCGGGGCTTAAAGTAATGAATAAGTATAATAGTAACGACTTCGGCGTATACAATGGTTGTGCTTGATTAAGGCACATCATGTAATACAACAACACACTGTCAAACTATCTCTCATCCAACTTTCGCGCGGAAACAAAGAGCAGGGCATTGAGAACCTAACAATATTACTCTGACGTAAGAGGTCGAAGAGGGGGGGCCATTAAAAGGGCCTTTTCCGATACTATATCCATAGAACGATAAGCTCAGCTCAGTGCAAAGATGGAGCCAGGTTTTGGTATTTGGAATCATGGTATGATCCCTTCTTCTCTGGACATTGGTCCTCACTGTCTCGGAAATCAGGAATATGGGTTCATCTCCACTCCAGAAGACTACCTAATCGTGGCCCTTTAGGTCGATCTCGATTGCGACTGGTCGATCAAAATTGGGGACTTTCGTCAATTTAGAACAGCAGCGCCAAAGTCATGTAGAGTAGCTGCGCCTAGCATTCTCATATGCAGGTATTGCCGCATATAGTGTCCATACATCCAGGTATCACTAGTCCCCAGAATAGTAGATCTCTAACTAGTTCTTCGCAATAGGGCCACAGGCGTAGTTTTTTTGCGCTGCAGAACGGACCTAATTGAGAGAGATAGATTTAACATCTTATATTCTGGTTACTATGTAATCCGTATACTATTTGTGATAAATGCACATCGTTCGCTGAATTAACTAAGTCCACGATGCTTATGATAGTGACTAGAAGCGGGCACCACTTTTTTAGGTTCTGAGGGTTCAGCCAGCCATGAAATGAGGTATTTTTCTTTTCTTTTTTTCTTTTGAAGACAATGATATTCTGTACTAATAACTTATTGTGGTCCAATTGTATCAGACCATGACATAGATAGCGAATATGTACTAGGACCGCATGAAGAAATCGACAATGTTTGTCTGCACCCAAAAAATGAGGCAATCCTCTCCACTCGTCCGTTCTTGTTGATCAACAGTTCGTCTTTTCTGAAGATCCCTAAAGTGAGCTGGGGAGAGTTCAGCTATAAATACATAGACAGTTTCCCACATCTGTCTTGGAATACAACAACCAGACAGACAAAGGAACACAATCTGATCGATCTTGACAGCTCTTCGCCCTCAATTGGCCAGCAAAGAACGATTCTCAGCGCCAAAGTAAGACAAGCACCGCCATTTTGTTCGATTTCCCTCGACTATTGGGGCTCGTTCTAATCTTTTTTTAACTAGATGCCCATCGCTCCAGGTAGAATCTCCGGTGTCGCTAATACCTTCAATGGCCGTTGGATTGTCGAAGGCAACACCGTTCTGTTGCACGGTGTCTTCCCCCAAAGCCTTGAGAAATGGGACTCGGACGCTCTGCTTGAATATGAGAATGTCGAAGATATTAGTGGCGACTTCTTCATTCGTCCCGAGGAATCGTTCTCACATGTCGGGCCCCATGATCTAAGCCTGTTTCTGAGAAGCCTGCGCGGCAACAAGGTCAAGATTACTGGTCACCTCAGCGGTCCTATCTCTAACAGGACCGACGTCACCGCTCAAGTAAGCGTGGTCCGTGAAGATTGATTAGTTAGAGATCCTTTGATCAAGGAGAAACTAGCTCAATACGCGGAGCGAGCAGTGTGGATAGGGAGACAAAGATATCTGGAGGGTAGGGAATGGAGAATTCTCGTTCTAAGCTCAGATTACTCTTGTTGGTAGAATTATTGGGCTTGAACATAGACTGTCTGTGTCTATACCTATGTTGCGAGCTATCATCCTCTTACAGGTCCAATGAATCTGCAGATTTGAAGAGAGTGGAAGTTAGTTTCCCATTTATCACCTACGATTGTAGATGGCATTATACCGCGAATCCCGACCAAGTTGAGACAGGGGGGGGACCTATAAGGTTCTGACCCAAATTTGAATTTAGCTGAAATCCAGCTGACGAGTATCGTGAGCCCGTCCTTAACGGATATGCATCGCGATATTGGTAGAGAATGAAGCCCGACCTGGATATGCTTCATCCTCTGGTTCGTGCGATGCTGGCAGCGGTGATGAGAATGCCGGAGTTCAAGTGTGTCTAGACATGGGGTAGTATGGGTTAGAGAGACCCGCAGCCAGCCAGCGGATGTATTACTTGGAGGCTGATGAATATGCTTGATTCAGGAGACTGTCTAGGAGGATGAGCGACCGATATATCTAACTATTCTTCCTACTTAAGGCCTCTGGTGTCAAAAGTATATAAAACATGTTTTAGAACACTAGTGCAGGCTTTTTTGTACATATATTATAGGGTATTATGACGCAACTTATGGATTATAATTAGGAATATAACAATCTTCCCAGAGCACTTGATATCTTATAATATGGATGCAGCTTAGACAAGGAAGAGCACGAACATCAGTGGTTTGTTCTTAGTAGGTGCGGGATTGCCGGACTACCTATCCGATAGATAAAGATCAAAACGTTACTTGATATCCCCACCTCTCTTTCTTATTCACTGATTTAGATTAAAAGACCGAAATCGACTACCATACCTGTGTAGTTATGTCTATCTTTTCGATCAGGGATGTTCAACACTCACTCGTGGACGATCTACCAAAGACGCCGGCTAAACCCCTTGTCAACATGGCTGGATCTTGTTTTCTTTTCTTCCATTTAAGTTCTCAATTCAAGCCACCGGGTAGCCCTAGAAAACCCCGCATTTATCCAACTCGATCCGGCGTAATCCCAGGGCACAGATCATCGTAGCACCTGAGCTTTGAGCTTGCACGATGTCACTCTCGAGTCTCTGTGCCCCTTGGTGCCATGCTGGCTCCGGTTAAAGAATCAATGTACTGTACATGGTTTTGGCCCCTAATTGATTGCGGAAAAATTACTTCCGTCGAAATGCATGGGCCTTATGACTGCGGCCTACTCTAAAAGCGAGGCTGCGGCATAAAATCTCCCTTCGTTCCGGCAAGTCGCAGGAAACTTGAAAGGTTGTTCTGTGATGCTGGGACTTTGACCGCTCTCTCAAGGCAAGACGGACTTGCGGGCTGATTGTCACGATGCTCTTGGGGATCCAAGCCGCGCTAGTCCTGGCTGCGACCGGTCTTTCAAGCCTCGCGTCGGCACAGAATGTTATCGATCTTAGCGGTGACGGGTGGACGGTAAGTAACAAGGAGCTGGGTATATCAGTTGTCGGAAAGTTGCCTTCTCATGTCCAGTTGGATCTGTATGCGGCTGGTGTTATTGGTGAGTCTGATCTTTCCGTAGAAATCCTTTTTGCTCTACATACTAAATGACCACTAGGTGACCCGTAAGTCTCGGCCGGTGCTGTTTTGCGGGAGTTGGAACTGATCTTTTACTTATCTTGTAAAGCTACTACGGTCTCAATGACTTCAATCTCCGCTGGGTAGCAGCTCGCAATTGGACATATGTTAGCCATCCTATCAACGGACTGTAAGTCTACCAATACAGGAGGATACAGTCACCTGCAGCTAATCAGTGATACTCAGGAGCGATGACTACGATTCATCATGGCTTGTTTTTGATGGATTGGATACATTCACGACCATCGAACTTTGTGGGCAATTTGTCGCGGCGACAAATAATCAATTCCGACAATATCACTTCGATGTGTCCAATATATTAAAGAACTGTAGTGGTGATCCCATCTTGAGTCTCAATTTCGGAAGCGCACCGAACATTGTCAATGCTATCGCCAACCAGCCAGGGCAGGCAGGTTAGTGTGTTCACCTAAAGACTCATATACTCGTGGTGACATGCTTATTTCTTTAGAATGGCCATATGGGATCCAACTCACCTATGAATACCCCAATAGGGAATTCATGCGCAAGGAGCAATCGGACTTTGGTTGGGACTGGGGACCAGCATTCGCTCCAGCTGGACCATGGAAACCGGCATATATCGTGCAGCTGCAGCGTTCAAAAGGCCTCTATGTCTTGAATACAGATCTGGATATTTACAGAGAGGGACAGCTTAACCACCTGATTCCGGACCAGAGCCAGCCTTGGGTGGTTAATGCAAGTATCGACTATCTGGGAGATCTCCCAGAAGGCGCTTCTATGTCCATCGAGATCAGAGAGGCTGACAGGCCAGACTTCGGTCTCGGAACCACGCCGCTTGACAATGTGACTGTTTCTGGGAACTCGATTACTGGTACGACTCTCATAGATCCAGACGCACCGAAGCTTTGGTGGCCGAACGGTCTCGGCGATCAGAATCTGTATACTATAACGGTGAGTGTGATCGATCAGAAGAACAATACACTCGCTACTGTCACAAAGAGGAGTGGCTTCCGGACAATCGTGCTTAACCGGACAAATATTACCGAGCAACAGCTGGACATGGGAATTGCACCTGGAGCGAACTGGCACTTTGAGATAAACGGGCATGAGTTCTACGCCAAGGGTTCGAACTTCATTCCTCCGGATGCGTTCTGGCCTCGTGTTACAAAAGATAGGATGAACAGGCTATTTGACTCGATTGTCGCTGGAAACCAGAATATGCTACGGGTCTGGGCATCTGGGGCTTACCTCCCCGATTTTATCTACGACATTGCAGATGAACGGGGAGTGCTGCTATGGAGTGAGTTCGAATTCAGCGACGATTTATATCCCGTTGATGAAGAGTTCCTCGACAACGTCGCCGAAGAGGTGGTCTACAACGTGAGACGCTTAAACCACCACCCGTCATTAGCTCTCTGGGCTGGTGGGAATGAAATAGAAAGCTTGATGCTCCAGCTGGCGAACGAGACCGATCCTGATCACTACGGCAGATATGCTGGAGAATACGAGAAGCTATTCATCAGCCTCATTCTACCTCTGGTATATGAGAATACGCGGTCCATTTCGTACAATCCTAGCAGCACGACAAATGGATATCTCGAAGTCAATCTCTCTGCCCCAGTGCCTATGGTTGAGCGATACTGGAATCTCACACCTGGTGCTGTCTACGGCGACACCGACTTTTATAATTACGACAGCAGCATCTCGTTCAACTATTCCGCTTACCCCGTCGGACGCTTCGCCAACGAATTTGGCTTCCACAGCATGCCGAGTCTCCAGACCTGGCGGCAGGCTGTTGACCCAGAAGATCTACACTTCAATAGCAGTGTAATCATGCTGCGGAATCACCACTATCCCTCTGGTGACCTCAGCACAGACAACTTCAAGAACAGTTCCATGGGCATGGGCGAGATGACTGTCGCTGTGGAACGGTACTACCCGATTCCTAACAAGACAGATTCGGTAGCCAACTTCAGCGCCTGGTGCCATGCGACTCAAATCTTCCAGGCAGACATGTACAAGTCCGAGATCCAATTCTATCGACGAGGAAGCGGTATGCCAGAACGACAACTGGGATCGCTATACTGGCAGCTCGAAGACATCTGGCAAGCGCCCACATGGGCTGGTATCGAGTACGACGGCCGCTGGAAGGTACTTCACTATGTTGCTAGAGATATCTACCAACCCGTGATCATTTCTCCATTCTGGAACTACACCACCGGAGACCTTGAAATCTACATCACATCAGATCTGTGGGAATCAGTCTCAGGAACGGCGAATTTGACTTGGCTAGACCTGAAAGGCAAACCACTACCTAATAACGCTGGCACTCCATCCTCAGCCAACTTCACAGTTGGGGCGCTCAACACAACTAATATTTACACCACAAATGTTAACAATCTCACCTTATCTAACCCAAGCGATTCCATTCTGATTTTATCTGTCGAAGCAATTGGCAACGCACCCAATACTCCGTCAAACTCGTCTGCAAAGGCGTTCACGCATCAAAACCACTTCACGCCCGTCTTCCCGAACAAGCTGAAACTTGTTGATCCTGGTCTATCAGTCACCAAGGGTCCCAACGAAACGACGTTCGTTGTGGAAGCGAAGTCAGGCGTCTCGCTGTATACGTGGCTGGACTATCCGGGCGGCACAGTAGGATATTTCGACGAGAACTCTTTCGTGCTGCTGCCTGGACAAAAGAAGGAAGTTGGATTTACTGTGCTGCAGGACAAGAGTGACGGCGGATGGGTCAACAATGTTACGGTGTCCAGTCTGTGGGATCAGACGACTCAGTGAGAGGTCAGTATCTGGGGCACTACTTAGTATGAGATCAGGGATAAGTTATATGTAATGCACAGATATTTAATATATAAGTAAAACCAAAATCGAATCCTATAAAGAGTGGCCTTGAAAACGCACAGAGACTAATAGAAATACGGCTGTAAAAGGAAGCAGAAGGTAGAGAAGTTCTCCACTGGAAATAACCGCTCTCGCCTGTCCCAGTTGATACGACATTATTTAACGTATCAGAAAGCGGTGTGAGCGATACAACGCATACAAAAAAAAAAAAAACAATAAGGATTTGTGCAGGGTATTTGAAGCACTGGTGTCCAAAGATACAGTTTCCCTCTCGGAATATCAGGCTAACGTCGCAAGGAGATATTCTAGCAATATATCTTAGGGCTTGCAATTTCCCTCCATCCAACAGGATACTGTGCTTAAACCCGCATGGATCGTAACTACACTACTCGAGGATGTGCCAATTATTACACTCTTTCTCCTTGAGACGTCCCAAGTCAGAGTAGTTGCAGGTCAAAGGTAAGTCTACCCGTTGGTCCTGCACATTGAGTGCTACTTTAAACTCTAGTTTCGCACTTTCGACCCTCGACACGACCATTGACGCCGAGTCTGTCCCTGTGGATAGTAATACCCCCTGACCACTTCTGGCAGCAGAGACGTAATCTTGCACGGGTGCGCGGGGAGGATTTGTAGTAGGAGCGATTGACCGACAAGAAGAAAGGTCCGTTAAGAGGAAAAGGGTCTTGAGATGGGATAGTACCTGACATTAATGCTAACTTTACGAGTTCCCCTGCGGGCGGCGTTCAGGTAACGTAACCTTTGTGGATTCCCGATAAGGTGTCAGTAATCGAGCATACCTGTTATCCGCAGAGTCTGCGAAGATAATGTCAGAACAACGGACATCAGCATTGTCCTGATCAAAGATGGCTATATAGAATCAGAAACGACATTGGTATCTTGTTTTGCTTTTATATGCTCTTTTTCTTTGTAGTTAAGAAAACACATCGATCTCGTTCTAAAGGTACCAGCCGAGATCCCTGTCAATCAGTTGAATTACGGCCAACTCGGCGGGCCATACTTGAATAGACTCCTGGACTCGCCAGTACCAGTCTTCATCCCACTGCCAAACAAAAGGCCAAGATGCACAAAAGCATTCCCAGAAGTCAGGAAACCAGCCGGAATTTTCCCAATCGACCAGTACGACGTCAAATGATCGCCCACCTTGTTCATTTTTCCGACTTGTATTCTCCGCAACCATAATGTTCCTCTGCAGAACGTCCCCATGCGTCAATGTGGGCCGGTGACCTTGAAAGACGCGAGGGAAATGTTTTTCGTAGAAGCGAGCCTTGTAGTCTGGCCGGTTATTGCGTTCGACCAGGGCTCTATAATTACCGACAAGGGCCGCAACTAAGGCAGATTCGTCGGAGAAAGGCCCTAGGAATCTCTCATCGCCATGTTGGCTATAGAATAGGTAGTGAGGTAGGCCGCCCCCGTCCAGGCTTCCGAAAAAGTCGGGCCATGGACACTCGGCCTTTCGCATGGCGTCGAATATTAGTTTGAGTTTGGCGATAATGTCATCCTTCTCGGACTCCGCCAATGATGGCCAGATCTTATCCAGCTGCACCCCGGGAACGCGTTGCATAATCAAGAAAAGTTGGCTGGAATCATGGGGATCATGGTACATCGCATACAGTCGAGGGGCCGGAACTTCTGGGACGTGTCGTTCCAGGTAAACCAAAGCCTGGCCTTCCCGGACGTCTATACAACCTCCATATTTTACAACAATATCGTCGTTGACCGCCACAACCTTGGAGGCGCTCGTCTCCCACAGAATATTGGTGCAGGCGCGGATTTCATCTGTTGTAGGTAGAGTAGGCAGAGGCTGGGAGTTCTGAAAGGGGACAGCCACTGGTTCCCACATCGTGAACAGAGCAGGAGGCGACGGAGGTAGTGTTAAATATGGATGATTGCCTGAATGGAAAGAAAATGAGGGGTAAAGGAAGATCAGCTACGCTAGCATTAAACGTGACCTGATTAGTTGCGCATATGGGATAACATCGGGCAAGCTAGAGAATGCACTGGAGTATTATCGAAACTATATTTGCGCATATGGAATGTTATTGAGTGGGCGACTAACTTGGACCTTTGGATTAAGTATCTTTGAAAATCATAGCAATCCGAATGCCGCCGTTCCAGAGAGCTTACAGATTATCCAGGTAAATGTTTTGGTCACCCAATTCAAATTTCCAATCAGATTTAACAACTAGTCCAGTTGGCTTTTCAGGAAGATATAGTAAGACAAAAAGACATGTGCATGTGCAAACACTCGAAGTATATAGTAAATCGGCTTTTTATTGCGGCACGGAGTACGACTGTCCTTACCTAGTCACGGTTGTATTTCAGCGCCTTTAGGAATATCTATCGATCATAGCTTTCTACTCCGGTTCATGACAAAACTTAGTCTTTATAGAGTCATGCAGTCAGCAAACCCATATAAGTAGAGAAAGCTAAATATCCTTTCTATTTTTTTTTTTTTTTCTGTGCAACTCGCTACCACTCAGATGCAATCATTTTCTCATAGCCATATGTTTGATATTTGTACAATTTATGTCCATCAATTTTTCATAATGCGTAATGCGTAATGCTCATGCCAGATCCATTCTGTAATCCGTATGGCAATCTCACCAACCAACTTAATTAAGCTGCCTAACTAACCCAGGAGCACAGCCACAAGACCGGTCAAACCAGCCATGATCCCTGCATCCCACGCCCTCGAAGCCAGGGTCACTCCACCGTTCGCATTCAAGGATGGGCTCGGAGACGAACTCTCTGCCGTGTTGGACGGCTGGACTATCGTAGTCGCTGTTGCGGTGCTGGTGATCGCGCCGCTAGTAGATGCTGCGGGTACGACTGAGGTGGCAGTTGATTTGAGCCCGGGGGTCGTTGTTGGAGAGGTAGTTTGGATGGTGAAGAGACCGGAAGACTCGCTGCTTGAAGGAGTAATTATCACGGTGCTGCTGCTGCTGGCAGTTGGAGAGGTAGGGTTTGTGGCGGAGGCAGAGGGCGAAGAAGTGGACCCCGAAGAGGACGAATCCGAAGTAGAGGACGATGAAGAAGAGTCCGAAGATGAAGCAGATTCGGATGCAGACGCAGACGTAGACGCAGTGGGCGATGAAGAACTCGTAGCCGTAGCCGTGCCAGTAGCTGTATTACTCGTAGCAGCACCAGTACCAGACGCACTGCCCGTCGCGACAATAGACGACCACCCAGACGGCAAGGGATCCGTCAAGGTAGGCAGAGCGAATCGCGAAGTATCAGCCGCAGAGTCTCGTTTCTGTTCAGCTTCGTATTCAGCGTATGCGACATTGCCGAGGCCGAGCAGGAGAGCCACGGCGGTGTAGGAGAGGTTGAGATGCATTTGGGTGTAATCCTTTCTTGGGTCTTGATGATTGAGACGGATGATGCAGACCTCAAAGAGGTTGGAAAAAAAGGCACTGGTCTTTGATCTTTGTTGTATGTATTAACTAGAGAACCAGCTGAGCTGAGTGAGGTGTTGTTCTTTATTTATCTGCCTAGGTACTTAGGTTGCCTCGCTCAGTCAGTCACACGACAGGATCTAAACATCACTCCACTTACTCACGTAGGTAGGACAGAATGCGTATGTATGTACCCACTAGTAACTAGCTGGCAAGCTGCATTGTACTGCGCGTACTATGCTATTGGCTCCGATTACTTCCAGCTTGGCCTTCTGAGCAGTATAATAAGATAGTCTCTCTTATAGGAAACAGAAGCAACTACTCATCCACCCATCCTACCCTGCAGGGTCTGCAACGCACATCTTAAAACATCCAGGGCGTTTCAACTGATGAAACAAATGTCACTGTCGATACCAGACATAAGGTCTACAGATCGGGTAAAGATCGTGCAGTCGGCACGTCGGATAGACTGGTAATGGTGCAACAGAAGAGGCCAAGGCCGAGGCGGACTCGGGCTTTAGATTAAACGTGACTGTACTCACTACCGGGAAGATTTGATGCTATGTATGTTCATGTTGGCTTGTTTCAGAGATTATTCTGTTTCATAGTGAGAGTAGTAAATAAAGTCGTTTTTGCAGTTCTAATTTGGAGTGTTTTTCTTTAATTTTAAACACTGGCCTATCATTAGGTACCTAGTCCGCCCAAAATATCATTTACTGGCCGTCCGCTGCTTATACCAAACTCCTCTTCTTTGTTCATCCTATAGCATGGCTTTTGGCTTCTATATTCCCTTGCTAGCTTGTAGTCACCGGCTGGCGTCATCCTTCTATCAGTGGTTAACGTCATTCATTGTCTCTGCTGCATTCCTTTCTGTTCAGATTCACTTAGGAGGTAATCATGTTTCTTCCCTTTTAGATTCACAGTAGGAGAATAAGATTTCGCATCTCCCTCTTCGGCCATAAAAACCCTTCTCTGTTCCTTCTTCTTCATCTTCCTTTCTCCTCCTTGCACACACTGGGCCGGTTCTACCCCTGGCCCACTGTGCTGGCTTTTATATATCGTGAGGACTTTTACTTAGTTATAGTTAGCTAGCGTCAGTAACCGACGCACATCTTTATCCCCTCCCACTTGTCCTTGCTAAATCCACTATTCTCTGCCGAGTGCCAACTTAGTATCGACGAAGTATGGCGGCACCAATGCAAATCGACAGCGAGCTCTACGAACAATACGACAAGGAATGGGTAGCAAGAGCTTTATGGGATCCCGTCGAATACCAAAGGTAAGAAAGACCACATAGCGACCGCCTATAAGTACAGGCATCATTATTTACTGACAGGTTGTATGTTTTGTTTTTCTAGCTTCCGCAACAACCAGCTAAGAATTCAGCGTGCTGCTATAGAACAATTTCCGAATTCCGCGGACCTTATCGCCGATTCACAGGACAGAATTAATTGGATCGAAAAACATACACCTGCAGGACCAGTGTATGTTTTGCTTTTTTTTTTTCCCCTAGATTATTCTCGCATGGAAGAAGAATATTTTTTCTATGCAATTTTACATACATTAGTTACCCACAGGCACCTGTGATTGCTTAACAAATAGTTAATATTATTTATTTATTTATTGGTTTAGGTTTCCGCCGTCTGAGCCGATAGGACTTACCCTACTCGCATATCATTGCATTGAGAGGCTGAAATATAGCCTGGCTCACATGCCATTCCTAAGTGAATCGAAGAGAGTCAATATCAATGCGGTCATTCGTGCTTACCGTAGCGGTTCCCTGATTCCCAAGCCGGGTGACATTACATACTGGTATGCCGGTATACAGAAAGAAGACCCGGGACCTCCAGGTCAGCGTGATGAAGCTCTTGCTCGGTGGACGAAGGAGCATGGGGAAGGGTCAATGTGGATTGAATCTGTAAGTGTTTTTTTTTTTCCCCTTCGTTGCCTCTCGTTATGTGCCGTTGAAGAAAGGTACCCAACTAAATGATAAATTAACTACCTATAGGTCGTACCAATGCACAACTGTAGCCCGCAAATGGCATCATTACCTATCTATTTACCCACCGTTACCTCAGGTACCTAATTTCAATTCATGGCGACTCGGTACATTTCCCTATGGCCAAACAGACCTATAATTGAGCAACAGTGACCCGATCATCTCTACGGGCCCGGGTCCCGTACTCTGATGGCAAGGTAAGCCATCTACTCCATATCTCTGAATAAGTTAGTTTATAAAGTTGGTAAATGAATGAGGGAGATACGTCATATGCACTTCGTGGCAGACTGCTGGAAGATGCCTGTCCCATTGGGACCTCTCTGGCTCAATTCGATGTGTTGTTTATTTTCAAGAGTACTCCCCTGTATTGCCTGTGGATGTTTAATTATTATTGGCCGATTTAATGACATATAATATCAGTTGTGCAATATAGCACGAGGCCGAGACTAGGATTTAGCATCGTGTAGAGAGTCTGTTTCTTAGATCCAGTAATACATGATAAATAAAAATCGACGATATAGTACAGACGTATCTATCCCCTCGGCATGCACACTTCTTCTCGTGGAGGTCGCATGCAGATCGGATGTTATACTCTCGTGCAACCACGGTGGCATGTCTCGTTTGGGAGACGAGACTGATATCTCCCACGAAGCTTGAAAGTTCTCGCCTTGTGTCGACAATGATAACAAGTGCAAGGACTTTCAAAGCTAATGCCACATCTCATTCATAGCACAAATTTACTCTTTGCGGAGCGGCTTCACACCCTTGTGGATGGCCGCAATACCACAGCTGAGATTCTCATACCCAACGCCCGGGATCAGGAAACCAGCCTTCTGAATCATGCCGCGGAACTCCTCCTGGCTCGGGAACCTCTCGATACTCTCCACCAAATACTGGTAACTGGCCCTATCACCCGCGACAATCTGTCCGATCATAGGAATCGCACTGAAGCTCCATCGCTTGTAGACCTCATTAAACAGGCTGTTTTCAACCTTGCTGAACTCCATACACGCAAACACACCACCAGGCTTCAGCACCCGGAACGCCTCATTCAGCGCGGCCTGCTTGTCGGTAAAGTTACGAATGCCAAACGCGACCGTGTACAGATCGACCGAGTTGTCCGGAATGTCCGGCATCTTCTCCGCGTTGGCCTGCCGGAACGATAGTCTATCGGTGTTGTAGTAAGGTGTCTCGATGCTGCGCTTCTTGCCCTCCGCCAGCATGTCCTTATTGATATCCGCGACTGTGACTCGTGTCTTGTGGTCGTTGTTGATTTTAGTAGCGTGATCAAGCATGCGGAATGCGATGTCGCCGGTCCCGCCGGCGATGTCGAGGATATTCCATCCTTTCTCGGTCTCATTGAGGCGCGAAGGGATCGATGAGCCCGGGTTTAGGGATTGGACAAAGTGATCTTTCCACAGACGGTGGATGCCAAGGGACATGAGATCGTTCATTGTATCGTAGGACGCTGCGACGGAGCTGAATACCGCTCCAACTTTTTTTTCGCGCAGTGTTAATACTCAACTCCGCAGCAGCCCATTGAGCCAATTCAGAACGAAGCATAATGCAGAAATCTAGAAAAAAAAAAACTCACCTAACGTCTCCTTTTGAGCCTCTGGGACCGTCTCGAATCCGAAATGCGTCATGCGGCCATTGGCGTCGGTCTTGGGCGTCTGCTCCTGTCTGGCGCGTACGGAACATGAAAAGCAGCGGAAGGAGCTTCGGGGGGCAACGCTGCTTCGTTTGGCACCCTGCTGGATGCTCCTCCAGAGAGATTTGGAGGACATTGTGACTGTATGAGATTTCGTGCAAGGGAAAGATGGGCGACTGCGGAGGTGAAGTTGGAGGTAGGTTCGTATGCAGAACGTTGCGGAGCTCTCGTTTTCTGCCGGAAAGTCCGAGCTTCTCATTCGTCGGGAAGTTGTCAGGTACGAGACAGCTCGACATGGCCAGGAACAAGGGAGTATATACTAAAATTGTTGTATGCTGCGGTGGATTTTGATTGAATATAGTAATATTTATTACTATTCTGGACCATAAGTCTTGTGAAATCTCCCGATCGTGTGCTCGTGTGCTTTGAGATCCCACCGCAGACCCGTCATGGATGTTTGTCTTTCGATATCAATTGCTATGGTCTATTTTATGCCTCTGGGCATTGAAGTTGAAGGAAGCATACGCATATAAGAAGTCGGAAGTGATTTTAATAGTCGTCAGAGTTATTTTATCAGTGGTTTCCTCCACCAACAAGGTAGAATTCACAATTGACTGCTGCAGTCAAAACTCCTAAATATATCCTACAATGGATGCTCTGACAGATAAACAGAGCCCAAGGTCAGTCCTACATCCAGTTTGCGTGAGCTTTCCCAGACCACCACCCAAAATTTGGAATTTGGTAGATGCCCAAATAGTTGGCAACATTTAATGCAGTCAAAATACTTTCTTTCGCCGATAATATATACGTAGCACCCGTGGCATCGTGCCGTATTGAATGTGAACTTGAAATCAACAAACACTCGAGGTCCTCAAGGTATGGACACGAGATAAACATGATGGGGGAAGAATAAAATAAAGGGAAATCCAGGAAAGTAGAACAGCCGTGAAAGTCGTGATAAATCGTTAAAAGGAAACATTGAATGCGGACTCTCAGTTGTTGTCGTTGAACACCTGCTCTGGCTCGAAAACAGCAACGACATCATTGTCGGCGTTCAGCAAACCGACAACAGAGACGTTGGAGCCTGCTCTCGTCGCATCTGACACTGACTGTCGCACATCGTGAAGCATACTAGCTGCAGACACAAACAACCAATCCTTCTGTTCGACGGCCAGCGGCTCAGAGACGTCTGAGACATTCATATCCACGCTACTGCGGACGGACAGAGAGCGGACACGGCTGGGAGGGATGATTTCTGTAGGCGACAACTTGACCCAGGATTTCGCCGTAGGGTTCTGGATCGCCGTGAGAAGAATATCCAAGATTCGCACGTCACTGACCGAGGAAACAGTGGGAATGCTTGGGAGTGCAACTGCAATGTCGGATACCAATTGCCCACATTTGTTGTCAGAACTTGTGATACCTGCTGTCGGCTCTTGCTCTAGAGACTTCGCCCGGAGATAGTCCGATGGCACAGAAGTGGGCGATATCGATGGGGCTGATGTTGGCATCGATATAGGCGTCGGCGGCGAAAGAGCAGCACCGATGGCGCCGCCTGGATGAAAACTCTTGAAAACCTCTGCGGGTCCCTTTCCCGGAAGAGGATGGAGTTTTCGCGCTGTGGCTATTGCCAGTGCATCCCCAAGCGCCAGTGCTACTGTGGTGGACGAGGTCGGAGCGCACACTCCAAATGAGCTCTCCTCATCCTCATGTATAGGAGCTGGCAGAAGGATCCCCATTTCTGGACGTTGGAACGATAGCAAGGGACAGATAGAAGGATCCATATGAGATGTCATAGCGATCACAGGTACCGTCGATGGAATATGAGGGAGGAGAAGGAGGAGTTCTGGGGTCTTGCCAGAAAACGATATCAGAAGCAGAGTATCGTTCTGTTGAAGATAGGTCAGTAACCGGCTCGATCGATGCAGACTTCGCAGGACAGTCACAGAAAGAGCAAAGCACTTACCGGTCGAATCATCCCTAGGTCTCCATGTAGGGCTTCCGTTGGATGTAAGAATGTACTGTATATGCCCATGCTGTTCATCGTCGCCTCCAACTTCCTCCCAATCTTTCCACTTTTGCCCACACCACATACCACCAATTTCCCGCCTTGCTTTATTGTTCTGACAATTTGGTTGACTGCACGAGCCATGTTCTCCTGAGCCAATCTGTCTGTTTGGTAGATGCATTCCAGATTTGCCAGGGCAGCTTTTTCTGTGGCGATTACATGGATGGCAGTGACCACCGCTGCAGCGTCGTCGTTTGTCCGTAGTTGAGGATCCTCCGGCTCCGGTGGAGTCATCATGAGAGGAGGCATGGCATCTGGTAACGAGCAAATCGAAGAGATCGAAGGGGACACTGGGGTTATCGGCTGCTTGTTGGCTGCCATCGCGATAAAAGCCATGCTCGCCGCTGTGGCTGTGATAATCGGCAAACAGGCCACGCCCGGAGGGTCAGTGGAAAGACGAAGGCCTTATTGCCCTCGTTAGATGCTCCAGGATAATTATTTCCGAAAAAAAGGATGGGGATACCAAGCTGAAGAGTGCGGAGGGGCGGCCAAGGCCGGAAATCGCTATACGCCCATCCCGATGGTGGTTGTGATTGATAACGGCCCCTGGAATGAAACACAGCCCCACACTGGGGATAAGAAAGTAGTACGATAATGAGCGGAACAAAGGAGAGAAGAATAGTTAACTAACAGTCCGTTTGAGCTGGACGATAATCATAATCAATTTCGCGTGCAACAATCTCGCCAATTGGGGCGAATGGAGGGGGAGGGGCAATCCGGCAAAACGATTCGCTGCCCTCGGCTGCTGGACTTGGCGGGCAAAGAGAAGAGAAAGGATTGTTATTATTATGGCTGATCACATCATCGCCGTGGTGAATTTCGAGATTTCCCGTAATCCACCAACACCAAAAGATGAAGCGTAGAGGGCAAATAGATACGGAGTAATGTATATGCATTATGCCAAAATATGGTATACGTACTTGCAACTGCATGCTGGATGCACAAGTGCGAATCCTCTCAGCTTTCGATCCACTGCGGGGTTTGCATACCAGATCAGTCGAGATCGTAACTTATCGTCGTTCTTCTTACCGCTCAGGGAGATTTCGGCCTCTGATTAGCCTGACTTGTGCACCATCGTCAGTCAGTTCCAATAATATTCGTATACAGGCTTTCATTGGAGATACCATATGTGTCTATAGCCAGAGAATGGCTGGCTGAACATGCCATCGGCAACGCTTTGGGGAACAGATTATCGCATGTTTGCCACAGTTCGACTAACCTGCACATTTCTCCAATAACATTAGGCGGTCGCTGTCGAACCGTCACCTATGTAGTTGCACTAGATACAGGTCAAATTATTCCATCCGTGTTCAGGTGAACTCAAGACCAAAACCAGGCTGATGTCCAAAATTCAATCCGATCCACTAATCTAGGTGCAATATGCGCCACTCTTCCGTATCCAAGACACTTTTCGTAGCACCAAGCTTTCTTCGTCTGTAAGGAAACGAGGAATATATGTACAAAGGGTATCCAACGTTGCAAATCATAAAAACACTCTGTGTACGGCCGAACCGTTCCTCGTAGCGCTTGAGGCGCCGCGGGCAGCCGCCGGCACAGACACGTAAAACAAGTTAAAACAAGTCTCCCTGACAGGCAGCAATATCTAATGGTAAGGCCGCCCTCGTGTTAAGAAGATACGACGAAACAGATCAATCGCCCTCGGTCAGCAACGCATGACGGGGAACCTATCGTGCTTAGAAGTCTGCCACACAGCAGCGCTCCTGTGAGGTCGATAGTCGATGAAACTCCCGGAAAAACACGAATTATCGTCGCTCATGACAGGCCTCCTGTTGTGCATGTGTACGACGTCGACAGTTAGATGATGATGATAATCTTGACGCAGGGTTGGCAGTGGTGTTGCAGTTTCATGGTATCAATGTAAGACTCGACCAGGGTAGCCGTTGAGTCTCCGTATCGTCTCTTGTTGAAGTTCCTAGGCTCACTCCCTCTAGGCCGAAAGTACTCCAGGGAATGGTGCCCTCGAAATTCAATCCGAGCTCACGACTTGTTTGCCCTTGCCCTTGTCATTTGTCTTGGTACCGGCCGCTCCGTCGTCCTCGTAGAGATGGTGTTGCTCGATATAGTGGATGACAGGAACCGGGATAAGGTAACGCACGCTCATCTCTCGTCTCAAGAATAGACGGATCTTAGTGCTGCTGACGTCATTCTGGATGAGCTGCTGAATCACATAGATGTTATCCTTCCACGGCTGCAAGCTCGCAAGCGCCTCGTCGATGTCTGTGCCGCTGCGCTCGACGATGAAAGACTAGAAAGAAGATCAGCCAGGTCGCATATGCTGCCGGATAGGATCGCACGCACTCCATATTTACCCAGGATGTGATCAAGATCCTTCTCACTCCACACACCAGGAGTCGACATGGTGTGAATCAAATCCGCACCCGCCAGAAGGGCCACGCGGACCGGCTTGCGCGTCCCATTTCCGGTGTCAATGCCCTTCCGCACCGTGTTTATCTCGTAGTCAAAATGATCCAGGACAATAGCGGTAGGCTGATATTCCTTCTGCATCGGCTCCCACGGATCCACCATTAGCCAGTCGGACGTCTGCTCGACCGCCAGTTGGCACATGGCGATGCTGTTCACAATTTCTCAGTAGCTGTCTCTAATCAAACTAACAACGATGCGCCCTACCGATGCTCTGCGCTAGCCAGACCAGCCTTACGATAGGCGTCGGACACAGGGGACAGATAGCCCCCGATCAGCTCGAAGTCCGTGCTGAACTTGACGTAATCGGACGCCATCTCGAACATCCGCAAGTGTAGGTAGGTAATGGGGGAGAATGAACCACACGCAACCAGGAGGAGTGGTGTTTTCTCTGGATCATCCATCACCTTCTTCAGGCGCTGCTCGGGGAAGGCGTAGTCCTCCATTGGTGCTGGGGGGAGAGATGGTGGCACCTGGTGCACGTCGTCACTCTTCTCTCCGGTCGTCGCCATGGCCGCGGATGAATGTGAATCTGGTCTCAGGAGGCTCATCCGCTGGATGCCTCGATGGGTTTATTTAAGGCCGGTCTTGACCGGAACCAGAGGAGCGGTGGACGGATGTAGTCGGGGGAAGACTTGGAGTGAGGGGGAGGAGGAGAATGAAGCGGAGCCGCCTAGACGAGACGACGGAGTGGGTTGTATGTAATATGGGCAGGTCGTCCAAAGGGCTCGAGAGATGGGGAGACAAGATTGAAGTTAGAGTACCCCAACAGCAGCGAGATAGGGTTAAAAAGGATAAAGGAGGAGTCTCAATGCCAGTCACTTCCTGCTGCACCCCGAGGTTACTGGTGACGGCTTAAAAAAAGCACTTGGTCGTCTTCCCCAAGTGGAGGGGAGCGTACACTAAGCGGCTGTCGGTCACCGAAGAATGCCAGGCGCGGGGCGCTAAAAGAAGCTTGCGAGCACGCGAGCGGGGGAAGACCGGTAGAGAAAACGCTGACAGATCAAGTCACGGCATGAGCAAGTTGCTGTTGATGGATGGATCTGGTTGAATTTAACAAAAGAAAGTGTAGAGGGGAGAGAGAGCGGGAGAGACAGAGAATCGATGGGCACAGTCTTGAATTAGTAAGAGAGTCTGGGAGGCAAAAGCAACGGACGTTAGAGAAGAAGATCCATTACGCGGGGACGATCCGATGCGGCAACCGATAAGGCAGCATTCGGACATGAGAACCCGTGGGATCAGAACAGCTATTGTTATTATTATTATAGAGTAGATGGTAATATTCCAAGGTTATTATTGCGCTTGTTAAGCTTCATAGGTCAATAATTCTAGCCGTCTTGGTCTAATGCACCTTGGTGGAAGCCTGTACCATACTTAAGTATCTATGAACTTAGCGGCGTAGCCATCAAGGCTCCAGGCTGGAAGAATATAGTACGTACTTAGTTATCTCTATTTAATTAACTAGTTATTTCCGTCAACTCTGGCTAAGAAATACAACAGCATTAGTTATTAGTTACTCCTCTGCCGTGCTTCCAGCGTAAAGGCCCATCGGGAGGGTCAATAATTTCCCAAGTACTGTACTTAAATGATCTCAGACGGCATACTTTGATACTCCGTAAGTAATTGCAGTAGAATGCCGTCAGGATTCAGTGTAAGCAGCCATGCAGGACAGGAAGGCCATTACTCCCTTTGTAGAACTACACAGCGCCCGAATCTCGATGGAATCTTGAAGGTCCTCGTCGATTTCCGTCTCCGTCCATGTCCAGGGCGGTGGAGGAGAAGGTTGGTGCGGTGCGTTGTTCGCTGCGCTCTCGCCGTCTCGCGGTCTCCGAACTTCAGCAGACGAATCACTCGAATCACAAACGGGCTCAACGTCGCCCAACGTCCATCGTTGCCAACACCTTCTTCACTCCATCTCGATCCGGATCCTCGACCATCTCCCTCATCGCTTTTCTGCCTCTAGCTGAAAGCCGCCGATTCTTACGTCTGATCCTAAAAGGAGTGCTCACCTTCTCGCTACTCAGCCAACCAGCTGCGGATGGCGAGTTGACGGTGACGACCGAGCGAGCACATCGATCGAGCTCCTCCCAGACAAACTTATGGCCAGACGAACGGCCACTCTTGATCACCAGGACCCTCTCGAGGACTTTTCCACCATCTCTCCCCCGTCGACCTCTACTGTATCGACTGTCTCTACTGGAGCTTCCGCCACCTCTTCTTCACTGAGGTACTGCTGCCCGTCCATCTCCTATTGATTGATTGATTGATTGATCGATGCATTGCTCTTTGACCGCCATCCTCGTCGTCAACCCGTTTATCTCTTGTTGACCCTGGCACCGACTCAGGTGAACGGTATTTCCTACATCTGGCTGCTTCAGTTCCGCAGTGGTGACGGCATTACTGTTGTTCCTGATCCTATCTGCATACTCGTCATCTATTATCGCCCACCAGACTGCCCCTCTTCGCCATCTCTTGCTCGTCTTTTCTCGCACCACCACCACCGCCCGTTCTCTATCGGAAACCACTTGCTTATGTCCTCCAGGATTACTCGCTCCGCTGCGAGACTGGCAGCTGAACCCCCTGTGTCCACCAGCACCGGAACCTCCGCCTCGATCCCCGCCGCCGGTCCGGCCCCATCTCGGAAACGGAAAGCCCCTGTACGACGTGACCGTTCCCTAGACGAGTCGGAGCGACCAACACCTGCATCACCTCCCCGGAGAGCAAAGAGACAACGGACTGCAGCTTCCGCTCAGATCGCTGCACCAACGGAACCGCGACGCGGCCCTCGCAACGGTCCAGCAATGTCACAGCAGAGGTGCGTGAGCTCCCGTCCCCCTCCTTATCAAATCCCGGGAGATAGAGCTGACCAGCGGCCGCTACCCAGTTCGTCATCACGCCCCTCTGATGAGTCCTCGAGAGTCCCAGCATCCGCGTCTGCGTCGAGACGGAAATCAAGCAACAACAGAAAGACCACACAGGGTAAGGGTGATGGGATTTTGGTTCGAGGGACCGTCGGGTCGACTGACACAGATCCCACTCTAGATGCTCGGACAGCCACCCAGTCGCCTCCCGCACGACGACAGAAGAAGCGACCGTCGAAGCAAAGCTCCGATCTTATCATGAAGGAATCAGAGGAGGACTACGCTGAAAGAGAGAAGAAGGAGGAACGGGATTCTTCGCCACCGAGTGAGAGCAATGACGGCACAAATCATTCTGCTTTCAACGACGACGACGATGATGACGATGAAGACGATGAGGACCCCTTCCGCAGCAGTCTTTTCGGATCCAGGAGTCCGATGGGCCTACAAAGCACCCTTCGTGCGTTAAGCGGTATGATGTCGGGTACATCGTCGCGCTTGCGCGACATACTAAGTAATCTACGGATGAGAGATGATCCGTCGTTGCAGCTGATCGCATTGCAGGAGTTGTCGGATCTCCTGCTCGTCTCAAATGAAGATAATCTTTCAGGGCAGTTCTCACCGGACCCTTACGTCAAAGAATTAGTGGCCCTGATGCAGCCGAGTGATTTTGGAGAAGAGAACCCGGAGATTATGCTGCTAGCCTGTCGCTGCTTGGCCAACTTGATGGAAGCTCTGCGCGGTTCGGTGGCGAACGTGGTCTATGGCGGTGCGGTGCCAGTTCTGTGCCAAAAGCTCCTAGACATACAATTCATCGACTTGGCTGAACAAGCACTGAGTGTAAGTCTCTAGCGCCGTGTAAAGGTAATATGATACATGAAACACTAACCCGATCCTACTATAGACTCTGGCAAAGATCTCCGTTGACTTTCCGGCATCTATCGTTCGCGAAGGTGGTCTGACGGCTTGTCTGACCTATCTCGATTTCTTTCCCACCAGTACGCAACGGACTGCAGTCACGACAGCTGCCAATTGCTGCCGTAATCTGCCTCACGATGCCTTCCCTGTGGTTCGAGATGTCATGCCAACCCTTCTCAACGTCCTCTCAAGCAATGACCAAAAGGTCGTCGAGCAGGGATGCCTCTGTGTTTCAAGAATAGTGGAGAGCTTCAAGAACAAGCCCGACAAGCTGGAACAGTTGATCAAGCCTGAAATGCTGAAAGCAGTTTTGCGACTTTTGCTGCCGGGAACTACAAACTTGATCGGACCACATATCCATACCCAGTTTCTACGTGTCCTGGCTATTGTGTCAAAAGCCAGCCCACGTCTCTCCGTAGAACTGTTGAAGATGGATGTGGTCGACACTCTTTACCAGATCTTGACGGGCGTCTCTGCTCCACCCAATGTTGAAGGCGCGCCTATCAAGATTGACAATGTGCTGATAATGCAGGCCCTGATCCATCGGCCGCGAGAGCAGGTGTTCGAAACGCTCAATGTCATCTGTGAGCTGCTGCCAGAGATCCCTCGACGTGAATCCTCGCCTGTAGATGACGACCTATTGCGCGTTGGTTTGGACAGTGACATCGTTTTCAAGTCAGCGAAGATAAGGGAGACTGCAGAGAAGCGACGGCAGTTACTGCTGGATTGTCGGCCGGAGCTCAAGCGTTTTGCGATGATTCTCATGCCAACGTTGACGGATGCTTACTCTAGTACGGTCAATCTGGGCGTGCGACAGAAGGTCCTCACTGCTCAGCTGAAAATGCTGCAGAACCTTGACGCTGCAGTGATCGAAGAAGCCCTGCGTATTGTCCCCTATGCGTCTTTCCTCGCCGCCATTCTTTCACAGAAGGACCATCCCTCCCTCGTGTCCTTGGCCTTGCAATGCGCTGAGATACTCTTCCAACGCCTGGAGAACATCTACCAGTATCAATTCCACCGTGAAGGGGTGATATCGGAAATTATCAAACTCGCCGAGAAACCTCTGTCAACCGACAGACACTCCAAGTCCCCCAGGGCTGCTACTTCTGAGAATGCGAGGTCAAATAAGCGCTCCGTATCCCCTGCTGGAAGTGACGACATGACGGATAGGAGAGATGATACTCCTGAAAATGATGAGCACGATGACGAGGATGACCAGGATGTTGAAGAGGACGAAGACGACCAAGATGACGACCAGGATGATGAGAATAATGACATGTCCGATTCGGAAACCTCTTCGTTTTCTAGCCGCCCCCTGTCCCAGACTATGGATGCCGTCATCAACGACCAGGTTGTCCGTCATGCCCGTGCCTTCTTGCAGCTATACGAGGCAAGCGAAGGCAAGGCTATGCATGATAGAGCCACCAAAATCCTCAATCAGCTACAAGAACTTGCGGCAGACATCGAGGCATGTTATCAGCACGGAGGCAGTGGCGAGGGCTCGGCTCTTTTTCAGAGATTGGCTTCCTACTTCGACGGAGATGCGCTGGAGAGCATTACCAGCTCCGAGTTGCTCAATTCTGGTATTATCAAGGTCTTACTGGATGTTGTTGGTAACCCTCAAGGTATGGCCATGACGCCCTCCCCCCGACACCCCCCTCCCCCAGCTCATGTCGATGATATATTGACACTTGTTCTTATCCACAGCTCCCTCTATGCGTGCTGCTCGCACGGCCTTCTTGCAGGCCTTCATGGGTAAAACCATTTCAGATGAGGCCAAGAGCCAGACGTCTGCTACCACCCCTTTCTCTATTCTTATTCAAAAACTCCACGATCTCCTCAGTAGAACAGAACATTTCGAAGTCATCACCGTCAGTCACAACTTGTTGGAGAACACCCGCAGCAATGCCGCCTACATGCTTGGCAAACAGCTTCGACTCAAATTGGTGGCAGACGACGACTCTGATATCCCCCGACCATATAAGAACATCATGGTTTCGATCCACGCTATTGCCACTTTCAAATCACTTGACGATTTCCTACGTCCTCGCATCAGCTTATCTGATCGGCCTAGGGTCTCACGAACAAGAGAGACCATTCTTTCTCAGCTTGCCGGTGCCGCACGACTTCGTGATTTCCCCGGTGGCGGTAGTGATCTTCTAGGCGGTGATTCGTCGACTACACAACCGCAATCGCGCACCAACTCTGGTACGCATGATGCGGAGCTTGCCGCTAGTGCAAAGCACCCTTTGGCGCAGCGCTCATCTACGGATAGCTCGCGCGGCCGTCGAGGGACTAGTAGGCGGGCAAGCCGCCAGGAATCTGCCCACTCAGAGGATGAACGAGCGAATGAACCACTGGAGTGCGCAGACGAGAGGCAGTTGAGCGAAGATGAGGACGACGATGACGGTGCAGACGAAGATGAGCTCAATGCTATCGTTGACGATCTGGACGATGATATGTCCGACGACAATGCACCGGATCCTAGCGCAGTCAATATGGAGGTTGCCTCTACGGGCAGAATCACAGCGCGAAAGGAAGATGGTACCCGCGTAGCAACCCCCTCGCAGTCGACGCCGACTTCCAAGCCTCCCTCATCAGCAGCCAACTCTGGGCTACAGTCGATGGGTGGTAGTTCGCTAGCTCTTGCTGGTCGTCCATTTTCGTCATACGCTGCGGCTATGGCTTCGATTCCTCAGGACTGGCATATCGAATTCACTATGGACGGCAAGCCCATCTCAAACGAGACGACTATCTATCGCGCAGTTCACCAGCAGCGTGAGAATTTGGAGGAGTCCTATGGCAGAAATGTCTGGTCCGCTGTGCACACTGTGAAGTTCAGGCGTGTTCCTGGACCGCCACCTCCTGAGCCATCTACACTCGCAGCTGTGGGATCCGACACTTCTACCCATGAAGATGACTCCAGATTGCCCCCTTCTCTCAATAAGGACCCCACCACTGCCTCTATCCTTCAACTGCTGGGCGTATTGCACGAGATCAACGTCCATCTGGATGACATACTGACCGAAAGCAAGGAACTGATTGCCATCACACCTGAACCGTTGAACCAGTTCATCAACACGAAGCTTACTGCGAAGCTCAACCGACAGCTAGAGGAGCCATTGATAGTTGCCAGCAGTTGTCTCCCGAGCTGGAGCGAAGACCTTGCGCGTCAGTTCCCATTCCTGTTCCCGTTTGAAACAAGGCATTTGTTCCTCCAATCGACGGCATTTGGCTACTCCCGGTCGATGATGAGATGGCAGAATTCTCAGTCTGGGGATGATAGCCGCCGTGATCAAGGACATGATGATCGTCCATTCCTGGGGCGTCTTCAGCGGCAAAAGGTTCGAATCTCCAGGTCTCGAATTCTAGAGTCAGCCATGAAGGTCATGGAGCTCTATGGATCGTCGCCTAGTGTTTTGGAGGTCGAGTACTTTGAGGAGGTCGGCACCGGCTTGGGCCCTACTCTTGAATTTTACTCCACTGTTTCCAAGGAATTCTCAAAGAAGAAACTTAAGATCTGGAGGGAGAATGAGTCAAACGATCGCGATGAATATGCCTTTGGCAAGCTAGGTCTCTTCCCAGCCCCAATGAGTGACGAACAGGCAGCCAGTGAAGCAGGCAAGAAGCAACTGCAGCTCTTCAAGACCTTGGGTAAATTTGTTGCTCGCTCGATGCTTGATTCGCGAATCATCGATATCTCGTTCAACCCTACGTTCTTCCGTATTGGTGACAGTGCGTCTACAGTGACACCGTCATTGGGCACAGTGAAGGCTGTCGACCAAGATCTGGCGAATTCTCTTCTTCTCGTCAAGCGGTTTGCCAATGCTAAGAAGTCAATTGACGAAGACAAGGCTCTGTCTCCCGCCCAGAAAGTTCAATGTCTCCGACAAATCGAGGTCGACGGTGTTAAGGTAGAGGATCTAGCGCTTGATTTCACTCTCCCGGGATATCCTGCCATTGAGTTGATCAAGAACGGTGCCAACATCCCAGTGACGATCGATAATGTCGATCTCTATCTCGATCGAGTCATCGACATGACTCTTGGTAGCGGTGTTAGACGTCAAGTAGATGCTTTCCGATCAGGCTTCTCACAAGTTTTCCCGTATTCCTCACTTCGCGCCTTCACCCCCAATGAGCTGGTCATGCTGTTTGGCCGGGTAGAGGAAGATTGGTCTATTGAAAGTAAGCTGCAGCAGTCTTTATGGTTTGTCTGTCTTTTGCTAACATCGCCTTTCAGCACTCATGGATTCAATCAAGGCGGACCACGGTTTCAACATGGATAGCAGGAGCGTGCGGAACCTTCTGCAGACCATGAGCGCACTGAATCCTCAAGAGCGTCGAGACTTCCTTCAGTTTGTCACCGGTAGCCCTAAGCTTCCAATTGGAGGTGAGTTGAAATTGCCGTGTTATTGTCGCGCTATTTGGCACTAAACTAACATGCGCATGTAGGGTTCAAAAGTCTGACGCCTATGTTCACCGTCGTCTGCCGCCCCAGCGAACCACCATATACATCTGATGACTATTTGCCTAGCGTAATGACCTGCGTGAACTATCTCAAGCTTCCTGATTACAGCAGCTTAGACATCCTTCGACAGCGGCTGTCTGTGGCGATCAAGGAAGGCCAGGGAGCTTTTCATCTGTCGTAATCTTTTTTTCCCCGCCTTTATTCTGTCTCTGTTCGCTTCTCACATCTTTTTCTTATCTTTTTCCCCTTGCGGACTGATAGTAAAGTTACCCATTGTCACCTCATAAACATACCCTGATTATTTCGGAACGGACAAGGTTGTTTTGCTAGCATGGTCAATCAGGGTCTAGGGCTGGTGGGGGTTGTCTTGATTCTGACCGGTTGTCGATCCAGACTTCGTTGCTCAGGCGCATTGGCTGTGTGTAATCAAATATGATTTAGACTGCAATGAATACATGAACAATAGCACCTGTGCAATGATCGTTCCTTATGACTTGATATTGGAAGTTATCTCTCCCTGCGTGCTCTCCTCTTACTCCGGCCTCTCTGAATAATAACTATAATATTGCTTTGTTTAATTATCTATCTACCCAAGTCTATGTCTATAATCTATCTGTCTATCATGCAAATGATGAGGGTAACGTATTCCATCAAATGAGAAAATCAAAAAAAGCAAGCCGTATCTAAACCGGATTATAAATAACCCCATACTAGTAGTTAATTCAACTGTTGTAAACTGAGTAGCGGATCAGTGCCCGAGGCCACCAGGTCCGGTCCTCTCCGGGATCAGTCCGTCTGAAGGGTACTTATCCCATCTCAGCTCTTATATAACGAGGGCATAGACTACATGCCATGATGAATCATTAGTCAAAAACACCTCCGGAAACAAGAAAACAGCAAGGATAGAAAGGGAAGCTGGATATACTCACATCCGCAAACTTCGGCTCCACAAACAACGACTTTCCCTCGGCAACCACCACACTCTCCCCCTCCCCCTCATTTCCATTGCCGTCCCCTCTCGCCAACATCTCCAACTTGCCTTCCACCCACGCCTTCCTCCCCTCCACGCTAACCGTCCTCGACTTCAACGCATACCACTCGCCCGGCCTCGCTGGCGCGCGATAATCCACGCTCAAATTCGCCGTAACGCCCAACTTGCTCTTAAAATTCGGCATGGCCAGCCTCGCAAACACTTCGTCAAACATCACCGACAACAGACCTCCATGGACGAAGCCCGGATGGCCACATAGTTCAGGTCCGATGTAGAAAAAGGAAACGAGTTCATTCGACGCTTTTGAGTAGAACATGTACGGTGGCAGGGGGATCTTAGCTGAGCCGGCCAACGCGCCCGCGACGAGATGGTAGGGTTTCAGAGACGCGTCCATTGTCTCGTGAGGACGGGTCTCGTAGAATGAGGAGTTTTGACGATGTGATTGGAACAGAGGGTGGGAGGTAATTTGTGATTCTAACACGGAACGGGATGGTGTGCTTGTGAGCTCGGTAATTGAAGGTGTGTTGTGTTCTGATGATGATGATGATGATGATGATGGGCTATTTTCGTCGTAGCCCACGGCGGATATTTGCATTGGTCGTGAGAGCCTCGGGGCAGTGGTGGTGGATGAGGATATCTGCGTCCCATATTGGGAGATAAGGGGACGCAATCGTGAAGAGAGCCGCGAGGCTCGAGGGAGGAGGAACATTTTGGATGCGATTCCTGGGTAGGCTTTGGTATCTAGATGAGGGATTATATATCTGAATTTGCCAGTCAGTAAGTGCTAACTTGGATGATATATCGCGAGTTTGGAATTGATTCTACAGACGGATCATACAAAACGGCAAGGAAGCGCAACCACCAACTTATGGTATGTACGTACCTGAAGTATTGGCAGTTATTCGCTTATCGTCACCACAAATGACGTGCCTGAGCTTCTTCGGTCGAAGATGGCGCAGGAAATGAAACGGGTAATAACAGATCTGACCAGTTGGTATGTTCGATCTTGTGAAATCAGGCAAAGAAAAAAGCAGACGTCGAAACAAAGATCGCGCACCCTAGAGTAGAGGAGGAGTAAGGGTCTCGGAAGGCCGTGGAATCCTCCAATCTGGCGGGCCTGACCGAGGTGGTGGTGATTACAGAAAAGTTTAAGCTGGTGGGTCACTGGACTATTTTTTTTACACATGGTCGCTTTTTTTTTCTTTTCTTTTCCCATCCAGGCGTGGCTGGTGGAGTCTTTGTCTATTTCCGTCTGGTTTCGGGATGAGTATCGGCAAGCCGAACTGATAAGATTTGACCAGATCAATCAATCCAAGAACTGCTTCCGATTTTCCCTTCCGCTCGGGATAGCAAAAGTCAAAAAGCGCATACTCTATCTATGGTACTTGACGAAGGCATCTACAACAATACATACAGTAACTTACAATCCCTCTACCTACCAGATCTCTAAGTAGTACTCTAGACTAGACCAGACTAGACTATGCGGAATGACGATCTCTTTTCGCCCGAGTGCAGGGATCCTTATATTTCCGATATCCATGTGCTAGTTAGTTATTATTATCACTAGATAGATAGATCCTCGAGCACTCTAGTAACTAGTAAGATGAGCCTGTAAGAGATTCCTATCCACCCCGTGCTTATCAGCCTTTCGGAATAACGGAAGTTTAGAACAAGCAAAACTGCCATATGCGGTTAGAAAGATCTACTAGTACTGTACATGTTGTCTGTGCTGTGACGGGTTGAACTCGTCGTTGGCAACGGTCTCTCCGCATCGCGGAGTAAAACGGGATAGATCAGGTTGTTTCGGAGGTTGTTGCCTTTCTTTGCGCCATTATTATTTTTTGGGGAATTTGTAATTCAGATGAAGATAGGATGGTGTGTACCTTGGCAGGTTGTATGTACCAAAGCTGAAAAGCTGCCCGGTTGGCCAAATGGGGAAAAATAATTACATTTAATGGCCGGTGCCAAAGCGCATAATTCTTGAATAATAATAGTTATCGCTCACAGTACGCTTTATCTATCTATATGATCTCTGAATATGTCGAAATTACTGCTTTCTAAATTAGAGACACTATGAACTACTACAATCTTCGGACGGGCGCATTAAGATATGTATGTACATATATACCTACATACATACCTACATTAGCGCATGACACATGCAGGGTTTTATTATACAAGTTATGTTATAACTACCCCCTGCGTAAATAAGTACGACAATTATCGCTCATCTTCTATCATCCATTGGCGCATAATGAACTACTCCCAAGGCTCAGCACAAGGCGGACCAGTGGCGCAGCGCTTCGCACTCGACCTTCAACCATTAGGCTGACCTACTACCGTACCTAAATGCCTGCGAAGGCTAGCGGCAAGGCTCACCAGAATCTATACATCTTGCCCCTGTGGCGAGAGAATGATTGCATGTAATCCATCTATTATGTATGTTGATGTTGATGTTGGTTAATTCCCAGAGACTCTAAAGGAAGAGTAACAGAATGCTTATTATTATTGATTCTTTAGGAATCAAGCTTAAAGCCACCTATCTAAACTATCTTAATGCGACACTCTAGCCTAAAGAGAAAGATAAGGGGGATTTCCTACTACTAGGAAGCTGAAAGAGATCTCCTACTTCTATGAAGGTGAGGGAGATCGCATGCCAAAGTCGTGTTACCTTTATGTTGGGAAGGTATGCAGCTTCCCCTGTCTTGATGCAGGGATTAATCCATCGCAGGTGTTGGTTGTTGCCCACCCAAGCCACACTGCTTTGTTCAACTTTGTTCAAACAGGAGATATAAGATGATTCCCAATCCACCACCAGATGAGCGGTTTCATTGCAATATATCGCTCCATCGTCTTTCTCTTGTCTCTGTGTTCTGATATTGGACACAGTCTCTTTTGGAACACATTCAACTGCTCAGCATCTCCATACTAGACCTGCTGCTCGTCTAGTAAATATGGGCAAGCTGGTAGATTCGATGCTTAGGCTTTGCCCTGGAACCTGCGCATCTTCCCATCTTCATGATGAAAGGCTTCATCTTCCTTTATTCCTTGTGAGAGCAACACATGATGGTTCTCCAAACCATATCCCACCCACAAGCCAGCTCGACCCCGACGGCAGTATGTGGCCTCGACACCGCATCACACGTCCTGTCACTCGCGCCGAAGTCCGTTGCCACTTGGACAAATACTCACGGATCCCGACACAATTCCTCTCCTTCACAACATGGTACCACCTCCATTCGAGAATAGAAACATGGAAAAAGGCAGGCGTGCAGAACATCCGTGTCCACTTCGTCCTTACGACGGCTTTACCCGATACGACTGAAATATATCGAGCAACTGGTTTGATCGAGAATTTCCAACTCCAGCGACAACCATGGAACGAAGAAGAATATCTTCTGCGTGGGCCCGTGGGCCGTAACGCGATCATTTTCTCCCTCTCCGGTGATGGGGAGGATATCCTTGCTGGGATCCCTTTGTTTGGATTCCGATACAAGGAGCCTATATTGAACTGTTTTCAGTTCCGGTATGCACTGGAGCTCTTACCGACAGCATTCTTCTACGGTGGAAATGATACTCACGTTTCTGAAGATGAACTGAGGGAGCGCGTTCGGGAATTTCCTGATACCTTGGAACCTTTGGGTAACGAGAATGCGTTGTGCAGGTTGTTCTTTGATGCGTTGACACGAGGAAAGTTCTTTACGGTCAAGGACTTCGAAGTGTATCGAGGAGAAATCGGGTTATGATTTGTTTATTTGCTATTTCGTTTTCCGTCCGCTGATGTAGTTAGCTAAGAGTATGAGAGGTATGATATAGATTGTTTCGGGAGATATAAACACCCCGCTAAATAATGATTCAATGCGTAGTATAGTATAGTACAAGATCATCTAGAATATATTGCGGAACACCAGAATTTATGCCGGTAATTCCAGTACGTCCCCGTCCTGGAGGGAATCGCTTAGGTTTGCGTCGACCTCATCGGCCGGCGTCAAGCAATCGAATGCAATATCATCCGTAACGCCTCGCTTTTTGAGAACGGAGAATTCTGTTTCCAAAATAGAGCACTCAGGTGAGAAAAGAAAGAAAAAAAAGTCTATTCTTCGCCTTCTTCTCCCTTATTTTGTATCGCCCGCATGAGTTCGTATAGTTGTCCGAGCTGCTGGTCTATAGGGATTTAAGAAGAACCGTCAGCACAATTCCCTAGACGACTGCGCCATACGCCATTTGGGAAGGATCGAATGAATAGGATCTATTTCCCAACTCACCGCTCATCTTGTCCAGCTTCGCCTTATCCAGCTTCTCGCCCTTCCATTTATCGCCTTCCACCTGCTGCGCATATAATTGCCATTCCGTCAGGAATCCAATCTGTATCAATTCACCTCGTCAGTATCATGTCTCTATCCCCCCCCCCCCCCCCCCCCCCCTTTTTTTTTTTATCTCCCCCTTCCCCATCCGTCCATAATCATCCAACCCGGTATATCTCGACTGCGCTGCACGTCCCAAACTGCAGCAATCCCAGGACCCCAGATCCAACATTTCGGGGCGTATTTAACGTACAATATGAATCGGATTCTCGACATTGCGATGCGCTCTAAATTCACTCTTAACGTACTCATCGCCCAGCAGACGCAACTCCGGGGGCAAGGTACGATGCAGGCGGAGGATGCGGCGATAGAGCGGAATCGGCGGGAGCAGAGCCATCGGCGCGGGACCGAGATTGGCTTTGGAGCCGATGGACGAGGGCGTAGCCATCAGCAGACGCTGGAAGGCTCTCATTGTGCCGTTTTTGCCTCTGTTGTTTTTCTTCTGGAGGGGAGAAAGAAGAAGAGAGTGTCCCAAGTTGTTGGGAGTTCCTAGCTAACAAATCCGGGGGAGGAAGGGAAGCTGTTTCGGTCCCGCGGCAAGAGATCCCGCGCTAAGATTATCGGAAGAGAGAAGATCGAATCAACGCAGTGGAATTTGATACTTTTTTGGACGACGTTTCATCTAAACTACATTAACTACTGTAGTTCAATGTGCAAGTTTGCTGTTTGACAAGGATCGTGTTTAGGTCTTACATACATTTCGATTTCGATCTCATTGAGCATCCCGCCAGTTTTCTTGAGTTATTCCCGGCACATGGAGGGGTTATAAAGATTCTGGCTCAGCTACCTACTTATTTACAAAGGACAAGGAACCGAAGAAAAGAGACGGTCTATATATACGTTTTGCTCTATGCATTTCTGATCCTCATACATGTCTACTCTCAACCATTCCTGAACAATCTGGTGCATATCCAAGCGCTACTTTCTGTCTCTCTCGAAAAAGTCCCGAAAGACAACCCGCAAGCACAACGAGATTGATATACAAGAAAAAAAAGGACATCTCATCCAAAGGCACAAAAAAAATCACATCATGCTTCCCACCCCCTCGACATCCCACGTGTCCTTCGACACAATCTACGAACCCGCCGAAGACTCATTCCTATTTCTGGACACCCTCTCCTCCGCCTCCGAGACAGCATGGCTTTCTGAACGTTTTTCAGCCTCATCGCAAACAACATATTCTCCACCTCCTCTCGTCGTCGAAGTCGGGACCGGGTCCGGAGTCGTCCTCGCTTTCGCGGCTGCAAATGCAAAAGAGATCTTTGGCCAGCAAGGTATCATGACGTTAGGAACGGACGTGAATCTCAATGCCTGTGCAGCAACGCAGCAGACGGTGATTACTGCGATTCGCGAGAAAGACGAGAAGGAAAACGAAAAGGAAATCGATGACTCCGGGAAGTCATCGTCGCACTTCCTTGCTTCCCTAACGGCAGATCTATGCAGTCCGCTACGTCCGCATAGTGTGGATGTCCTACTGTTTAATCCACCGTATGTCCCCACACCAGAACTACCGCGTCTTCCATCAGAAGCGGACATTCAGAAGGAGAAAGAAATGTCTCGGTCGGAGAAGTTCGAGCATGAGTCGTATCTTCTGTCGTTGACGTATGCGGGCGGCGCTGATGGGATGGAGATTACGAATCGGTTGTTGGATGAGGTGCCTAATGTGTTGGATTCCGAGAGGGGGGTTGCTTATGTTCTGTTGTGTGCGCAAAATAAACCTGAGGAAGTCAAGGAGAGGATTCGGGCTTGGGGGCACGGGTGGATGGCAGAGACGGTGGGTAGGAGTGGGATGCAGGCTGGGTGGGAGAAGTTGGTGATTGTACGGATATGGAGAGACAATCATAGTATTCCATTGGGGAATTGAATGCATTTGTCTGAGTTACGATTACTTGATCATGGCGCAGTCTAGAAGGTTACGAGGTAATGAAGACGAGATCCGCGCATCTGGTGGCTATTTTCAAATTATTTCTGTCTTCCCTTTCGCAGGGGCTTGCTTTCCTTTGGTTTGGCCAGTAAATCACGATTGATACTTATCAGATCCTGCCGAGATTTCACATTTTCAAAATACCGACTGCAGGCCCAGGATCAATGATCATAGTATCCCTATAGCTGCACTCGTGGTGGCCCGAGCTGCTCCCAGCTGTCAGAAGCACAAAGATTGTGACAATCTCCTGGTTGGCCCTCCATCTAGAGCCGGGCATATTGTCTGCATGTCCTCCGCGCCAACGTTCCGCAACATAGCAAGTCGCCGAATCAATGTAATCTTCCGTATTCACTTTTTCTCTCCAGCCATGCCTCGACGCATATAAAGGAACAAAATCACACTCCATGACGCACACTTTTGCAGGATAAATCAATTATGCCATCCGTGCTCTGGAATAATAAAAAGAGACACATAAAACCCCAGGAAAAATAGTTAGCCACAGGGGAAAAAAGGTAAAAATGACCACAATATCCCGGTAACAATATCCCACTCTACTCCCTCTTTAGAAACCTCTGCCACGTCCGCGTCCACGACCGCGACCTCCGCGGCCACGGGGACCGCCTCGGCCGCGACCGCGATCAGCAGCCTCCTTCCGCGCCTTGTTCTTGGGCTTCGGTTGGTCATCCACCAGTAGCGTGTCCAATGGCAGGCTGTCAGGGAGGATGTAGTAACGGATCGTGGAGCCTCGGATGTTGATGGTGTCCAGAGAGATGGGGTCGCGGCCCTTGGGGGTCATCTTGACCGTTCGCAGAGCGGTGTTCATCTGCGGAGAGACGGAGGTGATTGTGCCATGGAGGATGGTGCCTAGATAATTGCAATTATAGAAAGTCAGTTCCAACGTCCCACCATGTTATAAACTGTAGTTTCCTGGCGCGATGCAAGCAAATAACGAGGGTACCACGCAACGCTGCGACTCGACCGCGACATAGGTTAAGGGACGCACCGTTCTTGAGCTCAATCGTCACCGTCTCATTCGCGCATTTCATAAGGAATCTAGATAAAGAAAAATATGTTAGTTATTTCCAAACATACAGCATAGGAAACACCACAGTGCAGAAGCTGAAGTGGCCTTGAAGCTTCTGGGGCTAGACTGCTAGGACCTACCGAACGAGCTTCATGATGATAGATCAGATCGCGCCTATAGGCACGTGGATATTTCTTCAAAAATTAGAATGTACACTTGGACGTCTCACTAAAAATGGTTCGTGAGATTGGAATACGGCGGAGTTGTCGCCTGTGGTGTACCGCGCGAGCTTTCGTCCTGCGAGTGGGCGTTGCGGCTCAAAAGAAGCTTCGCGGACCCCGGAGAGGCACGTGATTTCTTACAGTACAACACAGCTTACGGAGAGAACCATTTCTACGCGTGGCAAACACTCAAGGAACAAGGAGGGATATCGCTATTCGTCGGGGACTCTCGTATAAACATCTATAAGTGTGATTCCAATGGCATCTGAAACATCACAAGAACACCAACCTGGTAACTGTGTCCTTATCCATCCTTTGAGTCCTGCTCAAAGGCAAATCGCCCTACAGCTCACCGTGACGAGCTCTGAAAATTGACACCTTATCATCGTAGAAGAGGATTTCCCGCAGCCTAAAGCTGACCCGGCTTCTGCTGGCATGAAAGTTGTCATCAGACTCACTAGCGCTTGCGGAGTCGAAAATATCTGAATCATAATCATTGTTGCCGTCCGAGAAGTCGTCGCTATCGGCATCTTCGTCGTCATTGTTTATTTCGTCCTCATCCTCAGGCCCACCGGAGTCAGGCGAAAGGTCATCTTGCGAGATCTCGACATCGTCGAAAGCATCTTGCTTCGATGTCCTTTCAATGATTTCGTAGCACTTTTTCCGTATACCTAAATAACACAGCTGAATCTCGGGTCGTAAAGTGACAATATCCAGTATTTGAAGAGCCAGCTCCTTGGGCTCGACGTGCAATCGACGATCAACCGGATCGATATTCGGTAGGTATAGAGAGCGCAATTGGAATACGTATGGTAGGCGCTGGAGGAAGAAGTGCTAGCACACTTGTCAGTTCGGAGAATATCTTCCGTAGGGGATTGTAAGTTGCTTACCCAATCTCTATGATTTATAGCCATTCCAAGTTCATGGAGATGCGGCATTTGTCCGCTGGTGATGAACGACAGCATTTCTCTGTCGAAGACCCATTTCCTCCAATTGCCGTTGGACACCTCAATGCCAGCAGGCGTCCTTTCAGTGCTATCAACGAGGATCCTTTTCAGGCTCGCGCGTTGCCTACGAATAATATGGCGAAATATCCCTTTGATTGGCACAACTGACTCATACATAGGTCCCTCTTGCAGAAAGATGCTCTCAAGACTGTTGGGAGCGATAGTCTCCTTCAAAAATAGTATGAGATAAGGAGACACCGCATCTGTATGAATAGACTTTATTCGTAAAGGATACTCGGGTGATGATCGTGAATCCTTTCGTTCGTGCAATTTGCCTCGGATACCTGACCTTTCTGATGTAGGCGAAGACGGGGCATATTGTCTCCGCAAGGCTCGCCAGAGCTTCTCATGACCTTCACAGCGAAGAATGGTAAGGCTTGTCAATTGGCGCCAGTCTAAAGCATTCATGATGGTCGGGATGGAAAGAATAATGCGTTCCAGCTCCAGCAGCCCTAGTTTCAGTTTAGACGGCTTAGATACAGTATGTGAATTTGTTTCCTCGTGCTGTATCCTCATGGGATGTTTCGAGACCACAACTTGAGTCTTAGTAGTATCATCAGATGATGGCATCTCTTGCGACGTTGCGGACATAGCGGCCACTTCTTCGCTAGGATCGCCCCCAGAACTGGTGCTTCTGTCCGAATTCGCACCTTCTGGTGGTTCTGTTATAGGAACAACAACCTGACCGGCGGTACTGTGAGTATCGTCTAACTGCTCAGGAGCATTTCCCTCGTCGGGCTCGTGATTCTCGATATTTTCACTATTGGTTGCAACAGGCTTCTCAGAGATTGCCTGCTCCGTACTTTTAACGCCAATTGTACGATTGTGGTCTTCTTCGTCATGTGTCCCCAGAAGAATGTCTAGAACACCTCCGATCCTTGGCCAATTAGGAATATCACTAGCCACTGCATCCTCTTCGGATTCCCGCTCATCCAACGGTCTGAGCCATGGCGATAGGTGTGCCTTCATCGAGATTCCGATACGGAGCTCACGGAGTTTCTCCCGCGAACGTTCAATGAGCACAGCCATCTCCTCCAGATACGACGGCTCGTCTATGTCCAAGACACTAAGGCTCTTCAGAGCTGGTAGAATTGATAATGTCGGATATTCGACATGACTATATCGCTGGAGCGAGGTTTGATAGCCGGACGCATTTGGCGCCATGACACTCGCTGGGTTCTCGGAATTGTCGTGCCATCGAACCCAGACACGTTCTAACCGGCATTCGTGCCCCGGTCGATCAGCTAGCGATGATAGTGCCATCCAGACATCTCGTAATACCCCTGTGGGCATGTCCCACACGAAGGATTCTAGGTTCACCATCCTTGCAACCGCCAGCGCAACCAGGGTACCAAGCATCTTCCCTGTCTCCTTCGTGATGGAATATTCTTGTACCCAGGTGAGTGGTCCGTTTCCAACAGAGAATTTCCGTGTATATTGTGCAAAGTAGTTCCCACGACGAGATTTCCTGGTCTGAGTCTGAATCGGGTCTATTATGGTCGGCGAGGTAGGGTGGCAGCTGTTGCAGCCGCAGTGCGGACAAGGGCTACGCCTAGAAGGCTGAGTGTATTTTCGAGGAATCTCTGTAAAGACGTCCTCGCCCATAACTAATGTCGCAAGTCCGTACGAGAGGGCATCCACTCCGGCGGGATGTTCCGCCGCTGATAACGTATCTGGCCATACAATATCGAATCGTGAGTACATGTGAGGAATGGCCAGCGAATGTAGCGCAGAACAGGTAAGGCACAGCGATGTGAGATCATTCGTATGCGTTACCTGCTTCCAGTCAGTGGCGCTCTCATTCTACGGTGAAATTCAGCTGAGCTTTACCTCTTTGACGATCTCTTTTAAGATATCGACTGGGAGATCCAATAACTGCAGACGCTTCTTAGTATCTGCGGCCGCAATATGTCCAGGAGGCTGCTCTTCAGCTACTGGACGCTCATTTTCCTTGAGTTTCGAGGGCGTTACTGCCTTGATAGCTGATTCCGCATCATGAGCTTGGTCCGGGATCGGGTGATGCTCGAGATCCGCAGACGCAGTACTCGTGTTGGACAGCGAAACTCCATCGTCATCATCGCTGTCCGAAGTATTTCCTGAACCTGAACCGAATGCGAAGAAGGACGATAGACTGCTAGCTGACATGGTGTCTCTCGCTGGTCGCTGCTCGTTTGCGTGAGGTGATAGTGAAGTTCCCATAGATGGGTCCTAAACGGCGGCGGATAGGTACCCGTTTCACTGCGGAGAGGGCTGCAGCTATGGAATAATGAACACTTCCATGTCCCCCCAAGGAACGTCTCAAAGAGGTAAATCTGCTGTTGCCTAGATTGAGGCAACCCTCCGACAATATCCTTGGAGCGGAATCAATGGTCAGAGAGGAGAAGAGAAGCCTGCAAGTTCCAACATCCTCAAAACAACAACTCACTGGCGCGGGAGTAGTGGAGAGCTGCTCGCGGGAAGACGAGCCACGCTTCCCCAGATCGCACGTGCCTCGATCCGCCCGGTTAGCGCGGGGCTGTGCGTTGCAATCGCAGCCATTAGATGATCCTGATGACTAGATGTTTACTTGATTGCCAGACGAACAAACCAACAGTATGATTATATTTATCTTTGATTCGCTAGTGCATCACTGCACCAGAGTTGAATAGAAAACCTGACACAAGCTACTGAATATATATTAAATTGTTGGGTAATAAACATAATCGATGGACACATGAACCTGCAAGATGCACATTACTGTCGGGCTCTAAATGAACCAACGGCAGCTACACTAGCTTGGATGCGCAGTTTCGCCTCCTAAAACCTCTGATATCCTCCCTACGAAGCCCTCAAGACCAGTCAGAGATGTTGGTCGATCGGGCTCAGAGGCGCCTGCTGAAATGCCTGGCATAACCAGTACTTGGGAGCCAATTTCGAGCCATTCGATGGAGGATACAAAGGCAAACGTGATATTGATGCGTTCTTTTTTCGAGGCATCAGATGTCTCGGAAGCCTCGTTGGGTCCCACCCCTATTCCATGCGGCGTGGTATGGCTAGAGTCTCTATCCATATCGTCGCCATCGAAGCTGAAGAAACCAGGCTCGCTAGGTGAGGGAGGAGCTGAGATGGTCTCCTGATCCGCCAATGCGACGCAGGTCACTTTGGCCGTGGCACGGATGTTACATGTATATATTTTCACAGTCCCACCAAGAACCAGGGGCGGAGACAGAGCAGAAGAGAAATCGCTGGCCGGAAAACTAGCGATGAAGCCAACATGGAATGGGAGCGATGTCGATATTGACGAAGCATCACCCTGCTGCGGACTTGGTATACGTGCGAGTATCATGCCTTTCCCAGCCCTTTCAAGTTGTAGAGGTTCCTTGTTAGGAGTCGAACAAACTGGCTCCACACCGATCGTACCGACCTGGTCCTCTAGAAGGGTCCGTACTGGAAACCGCAGGTTCCTAACGCTCACGATGCGCACCCTCTGCCACTCGCCATGAAAGTGCAAATGTGATCTACCTGTGGATAAAGTCTGGCCATATGACGTAGAAAGCTGACCGGATATTCGGCCAGTAGTAGGTAGTGAGTGTGGTGAACTGTAGCCGGTGGGACCAGAATTGGCATATGACTGATTCCGTTGCACATTGCTAGAGACACCATCGTCTGTTCGCGGGTCGACTGGGAACGGTCCTACGAGCAACTCATCCCCGACAGAGATGGTTCCATGACGCATAAGGCCGCAGAGGACAACCCCACGATTGACCTTCTGTTCGTTCTCCGCCGCGGCCGAATAGACTTTGGATGGTGGTATTGCAAACACCTCATCGATGTCGAAAAGATCATCTGGAGTAGTAGCATATGAGTGTCCATCACCGGGTAACTGGATTGTACGAGACGGAGGTCTGCGAGGTATCGGAAGATGCTCTAGGAGCGCATGTAACTTCCCGATTCCGGAGCCATCAACAGCACTGGTAAGTATGATGGGCACCGTTTGGGACCAGTCACCATCAGCGGCTGCAACAGTTTTCATAGCTTCTTCACTATCCAGTGGAGAAATACGCTGCAAATTGGAAGCCTTGTCGGTTTCCTTAGGGACTGGCAGCATATGTGGCTTTTTACCTGCTGTCTTAAGTGCAGATAATACTTTCGTAAGAGTTTGCCTTAGGCCCGAGCGAGACGCCTTATCCAATTTCGTAATTGCGAGCAGGATTGGGACTTCGAGTTTGACACAGAGCTCCAAATACGACAAGCAGATGTCGATTTCCGGGGCCTGTTCTAGGCTAGGCGGTGACAATTCCGGCTTTTTATCTTCACAGCAGTTTGCTGGAACACATAATAGGACATAATGAGGAGCCCAGCTCATCAGTCCACGGACGGTTGATTTGATGTACCGCGTCAGGCCAGGAAGATCCGAAACGAAAGCAAGACGCCCGCCATCAGCGGCCACGTGAATATCGTTCCACGCAGTAGTATTTGGAGAAGCATAGTTTATCACTTCGATTTCCTCTCGGGACTCGGGGTCCTTCGGCCCATATCCGATCAGTTCCTGGGCCACGGAGCTCGTGACACCAGAGGATATTTCATGACGATGTTTTAGGAGACTAAGTCTACTTTTCCCCCGTCCATTGTCCAGGGCTGATGTGGTGAGAGTTCCCAAAAGTGAAGATTTTCCTGCTCCGCTTGGCCCTGTTATGGACACACGAATCTGTTCAGTGCGTGAACTATCCTCTTGCGCTGTAGCTCCGTCGGTCGTCTCAGATAGTGCAGTATCCAAGCCATTGTTAGCCTCAGATGGGCCCATTGGCATAGAGGACCGATAATAATCAATATCTGGACTGACTAGAGCCTCCGCAACCCAGAGATTCTCACTGTGGGTCTTGGGCGTCCCTGAACTTTCAAGGTGAAGATCCTCGGTCCATTCACAGTTTCCTACAACCACTTTTCGCAGAACTTCCACTTTGCATCCAAGACTAGTTGCCATTGCCTGAAGGTTGCTCATACTTTCTTCGAGTTCATCTTCGGTAAGACCGACAAACGTGCCATCGTCAGCAACGCCAATTTCGTAAAGGGCTCCCTGGCTTTCTTCGAGACCTGGTAGCAGGCGAGCAGGCTTTGCAGGAACACCTAGTCTTGGGGTCGCCTCAGGAAGCACTGGTAATACCAGATTGGCGGTAGAAGACGAGTGAAAGGGTGAAGACTGTTGTAAACGCCATAACAACTGCGTCGTGAGTTGCTGTAACCGCTGTTGTCGACTCTGGTCCGAAGGACTCTGCGGAAATCTTGGACTCATCTCAGATATCCCGTGTGACAAGGCCGGGAAGCTCGACTTTGAGTGGTATGAACCCCCAACGAGACGGCCTGTGGATATTGACGAGAACAGTCTGCGCGGCCGTAGAAGAAGATGCAACTTATATTCAGTAGGGCCTTCCTGAGGTTCGGGCTCCAGTTTCGTGATTCCATAATCAGATAAGTAGCCTGGCTCATTCTCTCCCAGACTAGAGGCCGTTCGACTTCTTGTTACGACTCCTCGAGGACCAACTGCGGCAAGCTGTGGGGTTGACGACCCTGATGCTGACCATGGCGAAGATACCCTCGGAGGATCGGGATCATATGTAAACACAGATGCCATCTCGTCTGACCGTGAATACTAGAAAAATAAGCAGCCACGGAACTTTTGACCCCAATTTTCTCAGCCAGTAGGCGAAATCAGACGAGTTCCACTTAAGGGAATACAAACACAATCTTCGCCGGCGGCGGTAACTTCTGATTTATTTCTCGGATAAAAATTTTAAGCTTAAGATCCCTATGCGATACCGACGTAACCTGTGATACCGAACATCAAGGTGAGTCATCTTGGGACTAGGTCCAGCACAGTGTATGAAAGATGATGAGCAGCTACTAGATGTCGAGTGGTTTTGCTCAAGAGCAAATTGTCATACGCGACAAAGACACGGTATCAATGACTGAACATGATGGAATGACAAACAGAGAGACGATGAAATGCAATTGGGAAGACTTCTGTCGCGTACAACACGTCGATATCAGATGATGCCTTAACAGAGTAACGTGGCTCAGTCATTCCAGGCATGAGTCAGGTGATGCGGGGCCTCAGATGACGTAATCTATACTGTAGTTCGATTGATTATTGCCTGGGGATGCAAAACCAAGGATAGTTACCTACTCTACGCTTTCTTGAATCCAGACGATGTACTGCTCTATGCTATATTTCCTGTAGCACTGACATATTCGCCCCTTGTCCAGGAATAGATCAACGGCAGCATATCATCTCACCCGTCCCACAATAAACGATTTGTATGTACAAGCCTCACGGACAATCGGCAGACTCACCAGACGATCACACAGTCAACTTTCCCAAAACATGCAACTAGTAAAACCTGAAACAGAAGCTCGAGTTCCCCCACAGACTTTCCTTGGCAATGGCAATACATAGATGCGACCTACTACTAGAGTACCTGTACGTTGTTGATCATTCACCCCCATATTGATCTGCTTCCTAAGGTTACTACCTACCGTAAACAAACCCCGAGCGGAATCATCACCGTGCATATGGGGCAGAAAAAAATGGAGAAAAGATCTATTCTTAAATTTAGCTTAGGTGGCTGAGATGTTTCTAGAAGCCTGCCCCATTTAGACCCATAGTAACTCACGGGGGCCGAAAGCGGAGAATTGTTGAAGCTTGCCTTTAGGTTCTAGGGCGGTAAATATGGGGGCGAGAACGAAAGAGAACTACCTCGTATATTGGGGCCAGACATAGACTAAACGAGCTCAGTCCATGCTTCGATCGTGGTCGGTGGGTATGATACGTTTACTTGGGTGAGGGAAACGAAGGCTTGTGAAGCAGCCATGCTCGGAAAGAGGTAATTAGATATTTTTCGACAAGCCATCAAGTTGGATAGAGCATAGAACTTAGAAGACCTCGTCTCGCTGGATATACTATTAACACTCTTTGGTTACACGGGAACTGGTATGGGGTAAAAGCACAATTGCTCCTCACGAGTTCTATATATATATATATTATATTGAGAATTGAAATGAAACGCCACCAAAAATGCTCAAACTCTATAATGCTGCGACCTCTAACTCCACCGGGCCTTACACCTTGACCAAGCCTTTTGCTTGCGGTCAAAGAAGAATTGAATGAAGCCATTAGTCCCCTCTGCAAGAAAGAACCATACTTAGACACGCAAGGATGTTATACACATCTTCCCAGGAGATGAACTGGTCATCTCAACTCCTGGCCATGTAATTAAGCAGTAGATTCCTTGGCTGCCTTGCACTTCCCCTGTGAGATGTGTACGTTTCGTGCGGTCGTTCTCGTAAAGACAGTACCGCAGTATGGGCACTCAGACTTGCTGGAAGCCCCTGCTCTTTCCCGCTGATGCCGTAATAGATTACTGAATGTGGAGAATTCACGCCCGTTGCAACCATGATCCCAGCATTGTGGCTTTGGCCTCGCTTCGATCACACGAACCTGATGGTCAGGGTCTGACTGACTGCCGGGAGAGCTGGTGGGTATATGCGATGTTGCCACACTCGATCGCTGAGGCTCAGGGCTAATAGACGCATGGTAGGACCTTGAAGTTTAGATTGTCAGCTTGCAAAGTCTTTTGTCTGGGGTATGGAGATCAACCTACGATCTAAAGGACTGTGAAGAGAAGTCGTACTGGGCCTGGTTAGAAGGATACTGCGGAGGTCTAGTGTTTGTCAGTTACTGACTGAAAGGCACGTTGTAATCAGTACTCACGAAGAGATATATTGGCCCGGAGGAGTCTGCGTGCTTGTGGGTATCATACCCACCGGGTATGGCCCTCGAAGATTCGATTCGTGAGAAGGAACCGGCAGAGAACCTGACGAAAACGACATGTCTCCCCTGCCTCCAAACGACGACTGCTGCCCCGAGGGACCCATCTGATGGCCAGGAGATATACTCCGTGCTTGTGGATCTTGTAAGGTGAGGAAGTTCTGTCGACCATCCCGCTGCCTTGTGTTGAACGGAAGAGGAGAGTTCGATGCAGGTATCATGGGGATCTCCGGGTTCGGAGGAAATTGGTCATTGGGATAGTTAGACATGTCGGTCCAGTCATAAGCTACTCCTAGTCTTGTTAACCTCTCAGCAGTGGACATTATGAGCACAGAACTTACCTTGTAGCGCAGAGTACATTGACTGTTGGTAGTATGGGTCCCGGCTAAAGTCTCCTGAGTAGGAAGGAATGCTAAAACCCGTTGTCTGAGATTCTGTCCATCGGAAGGAAATGTAGAGACGTACATCGATTGCATACCTCGTACTCCCGGGGGGAAAATGAGATGGTTGGGGCTGTATGCCTGTGAGACGTTCTTGACACTGTGTCAGAGTCGTTTTTGACATTGACCGTTAATTCCGCCACTCACCATCAGAAGAGAAGGATGAATGCCAGTCTGCATTGCTTATCCCTGGAGGGATATCGGCTAGATCAATATCGTGACAAGACAGAGCCGAGAGTTGATTGTTCAGATCGAGCGAAGGGCTGCCTGATCCAGCAGGTAGATCAAACGGTGAAGGGTGCAGGAGGTGACCTTGCGTAGGGTATGTCGATGGCTGAGAAACGGTAATGTTGAAGGCTTCAAACTCGGGTTCTGTTGCAGATGAGCCTGTCCTGATGTGAGGACTATGACCTTGTAAGTCTCTGGCTTTCCGTGAAGGCATTTCGGTTGTGGAAGAGATAGAACAAGGCAATGACTCAGAAATTCGAGGACGCGAACGTACGCTTCTTTTCAAAGAGAACAAGTCTCAACAGATGTCCAGATGTTCCCTATTATATAGATATACGATACCAACAGTTCGCATGCAATGCTTATGACGAGGATAAAACGGTGCCAAAGATGAAACAATGCAAAGAATATGGAATTCAGCTCGTCACTGCCACGAATGAGTATGGAGGGCCAACAGCCTTAAGTCAACTTCTACTGGCCCCCTTCGTACTGCTCGGGTTTACCCGAGATATAGCGCACGAAGTCAGGATTGATCAGTCCCAAGAGCATGTCCCAGCAGCTCCACTGTCTGAAAGGGTCAAACGTGCTCTGAACATCAGTAAATTCCAGTGGGTCGGTGAAGATCGAGTACAGTCTGTACTGGAAGCATCAGCGGGCCAAAGCAACTGATTTCTCTCGGATAGCCCCCCGAGTCCAGAAAGCGGGCCTAAACTGGAGAGTAAAGCGTCTGAGCTCAGTGGCTGAATAGAAAATAGGCGGAAAATACACCGTCCAGACCATCTCGGAATACTACTGGCAAACAGGGCACACCCTTGGGGGCCGTCCACGTCGTCCTGAATTGGACATAGTGGAAACACACCTCGTAATCAACGATGACACTCAGCATAGTCTAGTAAACTGGACAGCCACGTTCTGTCCCCAGCCATAGATTACACATGAACGGGGAGTTTAGTCCTGTGAAAAACCCAAGCACTAGGCTATCGAGGCCCTTCAGCAGGCGACTGTCCCTAGTGTTCGTTGGCCCCCACGCTCGATCCGCCCCATCGGGTCATCCACCAAGAACGACTGGCAGTAGATAAAATTAAAGTTAGTATTCTTCACAAAGTGTCGGGGAGGTCTGACCGTGGCTGGGTATGAACATAGCCAGGCGAAAGGTTACCATAAAAAGGAATCGGAGCCAATCTAGTAAGCTTGGCGGTCGTGTCGATCAAAGGAGGGTTGTGCCTGTTTCATCTTTTTCTCTTTTGTAGATTATTTTTTTGAAGTCTCTGTCCGTACTCTAGAATTCCATCGCTTTGTTCCGAGGCGCGTCGGTGATTTCATCTTCACCAATTTGGGCTGACCCTGGAAGGCGCGTGCGAGGAACAGTACCCCTAAAACAACTCCCTCTTGATAACGGAGAGCAGGACTCTGGCCAAATGGAAAGATATTTGACTTGCGCAGGATCGATCAGCGGAAGTGATCTGTTTGTTGATGTATTCTGTGTAGAGGCGTCAGTCAGAAGGTACCTAGGTAGCCAAAACGTGTAGCCATGGAGCTACCTACTGCTTAGTGTAGGAGAAACCACTTGAATCTTTGTACAATCTATGGCGTTTGAAAGTCGTTAATTATGGCCTTGAGATTGCTCGCTCAAGATAAAAGACAGATGTGCCGGACATGTACTGGGATTTTGGAGCTGGCATCAACTGTCCGGGCCCACATGACACGTGCTGACATGGACAAGGGTAAGTACGTCCATCGCGAGTATTACGATATCTCCGTACGTCAGGTGGAATCCTCGATATGATTACGCAGAACTAATTCTCAGCCTCTCTGTCAGAAGCCACACCAGTGTAAGGTCTCTTTAAGTCCTTCCTAAACGGACATTACCTTACTGCCAGATCGGGTGATCTGGGCGTCAAAGCGTAATACCTGGCGGATCATCAGGGGCCCGAGCCGAGCTAATTTGGTCAGCTAACGTAAGGAGCACAGTAGTTCAGGTGAATCGGGCTGCTGCACTAAGCCGCTGGAACTGGGGGCTTTGGATTTTGGAGAAGACTTCTCAGAGAAACACGAGTGTATTACTAATGATCTTGGATGTTGATAGTTACCTCTGTTGACTTCATACTCCCATCAGTTGTGGACCAACCCCGTGACCTCGTCACATCTTTCATAGACGAGATATAACTACCTATGTCGAACAAGAAATTATTGACCAAAAGAAAAGAAAAAGTCGGTTGAGAAATGGTCGCGACCAATATAAGCAGAAATGGACTATGCTGGTTTATACGTGACACGAAATCATCGAATATTTCAGTATCCGAAGCTGTAAGAGACAGTGCTCTTAACACTAAGGATACTATTCCCTCTTTCGTGAGAATGTGATTGTTTGTACATGAAGCGATAATCAGCCAATCGGTCATAGCCTGACTGTGCAGACACTCCGTCTAATATATCAATAAGTCCCTCCTGGGCTGGAGAAGAGAGGTGGCTGAATAATCGTGAGATATCAAATCACTTGATTCCATAGCTCTATCGGAATTTGAGGGGTTTGGAAGACCCCAACTCCCAGTGGAAGGTGGCGCTCTTGAGTAAGCTTTATTCGTTCATTAATTAGTATGTGCATTATATCATCTGTAATATTGCGTTAACATCGTTATATACATCCCGACAAGTACACGTCGGGGAGGAAAGCTGCCTTCAATCCAGACGAGCGCGGATCAACAGACTGTCCTCCTGTCGAGCCTGATCTGCTGCACAGAAAGTCAAGAGCCCCGCCTGTCTCTGCCGTAGAAAGGCTGGCGGTTTTCCGATATTATTTCCAGCTGTAGCTCGATAAGTGATAGCTTATAGGGTTGGTGGGACCTCGCTCTCCTGTCTCAGCAGCTCACACTCAATAGCATGTCTGCGTGCCTCGTCAGCCTCGTTGGTGCTGTCCTTGAAGACATGGTCCATCTGCTCAAGTGTGCGTCCGGTAGTCTCAGGGACAAAGAAGTATGTCCAGACAAAAGAGAGGAGACAAAAGACGGCGAAGAAGACGTAAGCTCCATAGCCAGTATTCTGGACCAGAGGCGGAGTGATGAGACCCTATAATTTTGTCAGTACTCTGTTGTGCACCACAAACGGGAAGAAAGCTTACAATGATGAAGTTGTTCAGCCAGTTTGAACAGGTTGAAAGGGCGACTCCCTTCGCACGAAGAGATGAGGGGAAAATTTCTGAAGGCATGGCCCACGGGACAGGACCCCACGAGGCACCGAAAGACAGCATGTAGAAGAAGAGGAACGCCACACTAGTCCAACCCTGCGCGCGGTGGGATGGCCAGTCCTTGTCGAACAGCCCAACAAGAACGGCGATAATAATGTGAGAGATGGTCATGAAGATAGAGCCCATCAACAGAAGTGGGCGTCTACCAATGGTATCCATGGTCCAGACAGAAGAGAAGACACCAACGAGCTGTGTGACATTGAGAATACCGGACATAATCAATTGCATATCATAGTCCAGACCCATGGTCTCGAACAGAGTGGGGGAGTAGTAGATCAACGCATTGATACCGACGAACTGTTGAAAGAACATCAATCCGATTCCAACATGTGTTCTCCGCCAGCAACCTCGCTTGAAGCAGTCGGCCCAAGATGCGAACTCCAGGAGCAGAGAACTCTTCTGACTACCGTCATGCAGATGAGGATGACGTTCTGCAGAGACCTCTTGGTGAAACATGGCTTCTGCTCGGATGTCCAAATACTCCTGGTAAACCCGCTTATCGGATGCAGGCAAGCGGCGGAGCTTCGTCAGGCTGGCCAGAGCGTCTTCGTTACGACCCTTGGAGGCGAGCCATCTAGGGGAGAACGGCAGCAGAAAGACACCGCCAGCCAGAATAAATGCCGGCACCATCTGCAGCAAGAATGGAAGTCTCCAGGCCCATTCTCCAGCTATAAAGCGCGTTCCGTACGTGATCCAGTATGCAACCACGATACCGGACACGATACAAAATTCCTCCAAAACCAACAGTGTTCCTCGACACTCCGGAGGGCTATATATATGGTCAGATACGTTAAAAGTTGAACACCGGGCTGTTTCTCTATATCAAAGGCATCAAACTGACCTAATCTCCGAAATGTACAGTGGGGCAACCATACTGAGCATGCCGATTCCCAGGCCTCCGATAAATCGGGCCACTGTCAACATGGCGTAGTCGACTGCAGCGGTCTGCAGCACAGATCCAATCACGAAGACGAAGACGGCAACCAGAATCGAATACTTGCGGGAGATCTTGTCCGCGATCCATCCTTGGTTGAGCGCTCCCAGCAGGGCGCCTAACTCAATCATGGCCGTCATCAATCCTTTCCAAAAACCCGAGCCAGGATGGCCGTCTGCAACGCGAGTGAATCTTTCCAGGAATTGATCCATCACCAGAATCACGCTCACGACACCTTGATCGTAGCCGAATAAAACGCCACCCAAAGTCGAGCATGCGGCGCACAGGAAGACATAGGGATTCGCGATGAGACCTCTCAGTCCAGCAGGACCATAGGTCTCCCTGCCAAAGACGGCCTCAGCATGGTGACTGAATCCCTGGATAGAGTTATCCGAGGGATCGTTGATGGTATGTTTTGCGTCTACCTTATCAACCATACTGGGCAGGAGGGGATGTAAGGAAGATTGACCAAGGCCACTTTACGATCCAAGGACCACAGATTAAAGACAGGGAACGAGAAATGTTTACGGCAACGGATGGCATATCGGTTATATAACCGTGGAGCTTGACTTATCGGCTACGGGGACCCCGCCCAGGGCTTGATGGTAACGAAGAAGGCGGATATTGGATTGATTCGCTGAGTTGGGAGTGGGAGGACAGAAGATGAGCGCGGAAGGATAAAGAATGAAGCAACGACCGCCGGGTCGGGAGATGTTTGGGCGACTAAACGGCCCCTGTCGCGTCGTTTGGTGCAAGATCGAATGAGAGATTGTTTTAAATGCAATGTTTAGCGGCGCCAGTGGACCGGGGTCCTGGTGATGGGGCAGCCAATTCACATGGTGAGATGGACATCGGTTTAGTTCAAGCTTGGGAGAAGCTAAGATAGACGTCGGGATTCGGGAAGGTACTAGAATTGCTATGCCAAGACTACGGAATACTACCATCAGGAGTCCACTTGAAGCTCTACAGAGCTCAGAGGAATCGCAGAGACGCCCCAGGGAGTGCAACAGAAGCTCCCGGTCTATGTTGAGGGATCCCGTTGCATGGGATTAAAAGGTCGGGATAGTGGCACGTGCTCGGAATGGGCCAGCAAGTTTTCGGTGCCAAGATGGAGCAGTCTATCTCACGCTACGAAATCAAACCCACCGATTGACCGGAGCAGTTGTGGACGGTACCAAGAAGATCAATGATGTGAGTGAAAATGATAATAATAATGGCTCATCGTTGAAATCCCTTTGCGTCGTCCGCGTGATCGCCATGGTTATTCTCCCATCCTGCCAATATCCTTCAGAAGGACGAGTTTTGGCTGAACATACTTGGAATCTCGGATAGTCTCCGTACGATAATCCGCACGGGGAGCAATGCGGGGTCTAAGGACATGCTCACTCGCAGAGAGGACACGCGCCATAACTAGAATTGAGTAACGATCGACTTCACGGAGTGTTCCGTTCCGCTGCCCATTCGAGCATTTGCCGACCATGCGAAGGAGAAGAAAGTCAACCTGGAGCGAGGCCAGCTAAGTTACTCCGTAAACACAAGAGGAACATCCTCGTCGATAGTTGAGGCCATTGAGATTTGTGAAATTCACCTTCCTTGTAACTATGGACGAGAAAGTAAGGTAAAAATGGAAGAGCAGAGGGCGAGAACTCGACCAGGGAAATCAACAGCGTCTGGTGGCTTGCCATCCCGTTGTTGGGCTTGCGCGGCTCAGTAGTGTCTGGTCTTACTCCTACACTAATTATTTAACTTCCAGATCTGGGTCTGCAGAAGAAAAGAGCCAGCGTTCTTTTTACGGAGTTCGAACTTCGTACAAACAATTTCAACAGGCGTCTGTGGCTGGTAAATGCACCAGCCTCAGCAACGTGTCTGTTGTGGCGGTGGCCCGCATCATGGCGTATGTTGGCCTAACGAAGAGTTGCGCAGATGAGCCCCTCTATTGACGACAGACCCCAACAACAACATCAGTATACTTACCATACTTCACGACAACATAACGCATATCAGAAACGATAACAGTGGTCCCCCGCTTCCCCACGGGGTTTTAGAACGGATTACCATCGATCTGCAAATCTTCTTTTTTTTTTCTGGGGAAGGTTGGCTCCGGTAGGGCTCATAGCTCCACTGAGAGGCTGAATTCCGACATCCTCGCATCTCGATTTCCGAGATACCACGCGGTTATCACAACGTCAAACCACCACCCCGCCTCCTGCTTGGCCACTGAGATTGTCTAGATCTCAGCTGAGATTACCAATTACCTCGCGATTTGAAACTATTCACGCAGGCATAATCTGTCGTTTACCGCAGTTTCCAAGCCATCTTGCCGTTGCAGAATCCAAGGCAGGGTCCGGAACTCGGTTTCCGCGACACAGTCGGCCAGCACAAGCCCTCCTCCCGTAACAAACAACACTCCACCTCCGCGACAAATTATCATGGCATCCTTCGTTGAGGACCTGTGGTCCAGCATCTTCACTCCCGGGCCAACCTCGACCCTTCTGGTCGCAACCAACGCCACATTTGCCGCTCTTCAGGTGCTGCTCTTCGCCCTTCTCATCGCGACCTACAGCATCCACTTCGTTATCCTGTCCTTTCTCTCCGGTTCCCTTTGGTGGTCCATTAACTGGTTTGCAAGGGAGGTCCGTGAGACGCAGGCGCGTGAGGACGAAAAAGCAAAACAACGGGAGGGCAAGTCAAAGTCTGAGGAGACACGGACACCTGCGGCGCTGGACAGCACCGAAAGTGACACGGAAACTGAGAGTCTTGCTGGCAGCAGACGGCTTAAGGCTTCTGGTCAAGTCGATTCGAGTGGTTCCGCCGCTGAAAAGCCAGAACCTTCTGAAGATCAAGAGCTCAGGAAGCGTCGCAGCCTCGGAGAGAGTTCTGGATATGTCAGTACGGACAGTGAATGGGAAAAGGTCGATGACAAAAATGTGTGAGCTGGTCGAGCACTGAGCATCGCGATATGCAGCGGCATTCCCCAGTTATCTCTGAGAGAGAGAGAGAGACAAATCTCGCCCGTTCTGCTATCCTATATATCGTCCGGTACACGCTCTACAATCTAAATATCACCCTTTTTACACGCAGTAGATGCTTTTTTGAGCGGCAGGATGCGCGCACGATACCCGATACATGATGGCTGTGAGACAACATGACGCCAAATGTAAATAGACATTACGACTGGTTGCACATATTCATATTAGCATTGGTTGGATTAGCATGCAAACAATTATTCGTCTCCCTTAAGGCCTCTTTTCTCCGTATGAGTAGTTCTCTGTTGGTAAATAGTTATCTGTCACGTGAGATTGCGACTTCTTGGCGCGTTCCGTTTCCGCCCAGAGCAGTGCAACAACATCAGAGAGGCATATTCCTTTCTCCAGTCACTGATTGCCTCTCAGTGACCAAAGATACATGTGTAGAATGAATTGACAATCGCACTTCGATCTATCCACTATGAGCCCCAGGGGAACGCAGCATACAGCATGTTTCAAAACGTCCCTCTATCCATCGGCCGCAAGCGTGTCTTCGACTCGGTCTTTTCTCCCGCGTCGCTAGACCACGCCACGGCTCCTCACCTCACCACTCCGCTGCTAAGTTTACTTGTTGCAGATCAATCATTCGACTCTGCGACTGAGATTGCCAGTCCGTCTCAAGACTACCGCTTATCTTCCCGAGATGAGGCTGCTTGGGATAGAGCATGGAATGCAGCTACTGCATTTCTGTCTGTTCCGGACAGGGGATTTGCAAGTCTAGAGGCTTCAGATGAGATGGACGAAACTGAGTTTCTGAAGCAGTGGAACAGATATGATCCGCCATCGAAACAGACTTCGGAAGCTCTTGCTTATCTATTAAAGAAATCACCGCTGAGAAAGGGCCCTCAAGCTGGAGCGGAAGAGCATGATTTGATAGAATGGTACGGAAATGAAATACGGAGGCATTTCTTGGTGAATTTTAGAGGGTCCCTTGTCCAGGTATGTACTATGTAAACGCAACGCCATTTTGTGGATTTGGTTAATGGGTCATTAATTCTGTGGGAAGTTGTTAAAAGGGCCGGTGCAAGAGGGACTACTGCATCAGATTCTTCGTTACTGTCTCTTGATGCGGAGGATCTACTTCACCCATCTCGTAGACTATGTCTTGCCGCTGGTGGATGCGTCCCAGCAAGAGGCTGTTTTTCTGAGGATTCAGAGGATCTTCCATGCAATTGTTGCGTTTTCTTTGCCTTCTGCTCCGATCTCTTCGCTTCTGGCTGCGGAGTTGGCGAAGGAGGCCTACGTTATTTTAGGGATCGACACTGCAAGTGCAGACGACCTGGGTGAAGGAGACCTGGATGAAGAAGACCAGGATGCCATGGAGCGAGACGACACGGAAGTCGATATAAAACACACGACTTCGTACCGTGCATGGAGGATGGAGGCTTCAGAGGAGGCTCGCGCTCAGATGCTGATAGAGGGCGAAACGGAGCAAGCTGCTGCTGCCCGGGAACGCCTGCTGCCCTTGCTCGCTGATCTACAGACCGTGGGCTTAGGTGGTGATAGAGCTCAAAAGGTCTTTGCGGGCGTTATGAGCAACATGATGACAGAGTTTATCAAGGAAGCCTACTCGGGCCAGTGGGAAGCACCGTCTCTGGTCATACAACACCTGCGTCTGTGGGTGGAAAACGTCTACGCCCGGCTCGTGGTGGAGATTCTTGCTATCCTGAACGTGTCTGATGGTCGTCCAAAACCACAGGGTCACCTTGACGTCCGTCTAGGCGACGTTGAGAAATGGCAGGAGATTGCTGTTGCTCGTCTGGGCGCTCTTCGGACAAGTGAACTGTTCGACGTCATTGTGGAATGGCCTACCAGCAGTGGCGCAATTGAAGATCTCAAACACTTTGCGGTCAGCCCTGCGTCGCGGTCTCATATAACAAACTCCTTCGTCGCCATGCTTAATCAGCGGTTGTTGCAACCAGGAGCCTCGACAGTCGAGATTTTGCAGCTTTACATCTCCATAATCAGAGCCTTCAACCTTCTCGATCCAAGGGGGGTCATCCTCGATAGAGTTGCCCGCCCCATCCGTCGATACCTGCGGGACCGTGAAGATGCCGTCAAGGTCATTGTCAATGGTCTTCTGGCAGATCCAGTGGACGCTGATGGGCAGCCGTCTGCTTCAAACAGTGATACTCTGGCGGAGCTTGCTACCGAATTAACCAAGGCACGAGAAGCGTCTCTCCGGCCCGATATGGGTGAATTAGATTGGGACGATATGAACTGGATGCCTGATCCGATAGACGCTGCTCCTGACTACAAGAAATCCAAGAATTCAGATGTTATTGGCAGTTTGATAAGTCTATTCGATTCGAAGGAGATGTTTGTGAGGGAGTTGCAAAACATGCTGGCCGACCGTCTGATCAAGAAGCGTGCCGACTTTGAGCAGGAGACGTCAGTTTTGGAGCTGCTAAAGGTCCGCTTTGGCGACTCGGCGCTGCAGGCTTGCGAAGTCATGCTGCGCGACATATTTGACTCGAAGAGAGTCGATGCGGTCGTCCGGAACGACCAAAAACTGGCGCGCAGGCAGCCATCACCACGCCATGCCTCTCCTGGGAAGAAACCCGCGGTGGTTAAAGATGTACCACAATTACATGCCAAGATACTGTCTCGATTTTTCTGGCCTAATCTTCAGGAACAGGCTTTCAAGATCCCAGACGAGATTGTATCTCTACAGGAACGTTACACCGCGGGCTTCGAGACTCTCAAGCAATCCCGGAAGTTAACATGGTTGAACGGGCTCGGTCAGGTCACAGTCGAACTCGACCTGGAGGATCGGGTTTTTACAGATGAGGTGACAACCTGGCAAGCAACTGTGATATATGCATTTCAGTCGGAAGATGAGACCAAATCGTCGACGAAGTCAGTTGCGGAACTCTCCCAGCAGCTCGAGATGTCAGCCTCCCTGGTCCGCAGCGCTTGTCTCTTCTGGGTGAGCAAGCGCATTCTCGTTGAAACTCAGCGGGACACATTCCGCGTGTTGGAAGTGCTCCCCTCTGAAGAAGAGAACGAAGCGATGGGTGTCTCCGAGACAGACAACGGCGAAGACGGAACCGCCGGTGCTGCGGCTGCTGCAGACGCAGCAGCAGCGGCGGCAGCCAAGGAGACGGCTGATGCCGCTGCCAGCGAGAAAATGAAACTGTATTGGCAGTTCATTGTTGGAATGTTGACCAACCAGGGCGCTATGCCTCTGCAGCGTATCGTGATGATGTTGCAAATCGCCGTCCCGGGAGGCTTCCCATTCAGCAACGAGGAGCTACGGGAGTTTTTGGCCGGTATGGTGACACAAAAAAAGCTGGAAATAGTCAGCGGAGGGAACTACAAGATTATTCCGCATTAATTATTCAATAGTTTTCGCATGATACCTCTGGCGTGATGGGTAGATGCATGTAGAATATTACGAACCGACGATGGTTGCTGTTATGTCACCTGGCCAGTCGCTAACTACACATCAAATCCCTGATATAGTACGGATAGAAGCCTAGACTCGAATAGCCATATTAAGTCAGTCGAGATCTCGATCAAAAAGAATCCCAGCACCACTCCCCAACCAATCCCTTCACAACATCCCGGAACTACCCCGTCTTACGCCATGCATTAAACCCATCCCAAACCTCTACTTAATGGAACACCAACCCCGCATTTCATCCCTGGCATCTGTAGCGTAACGTAGCCAGCAAATTCACGCACCTAACTATCGAGAACATGGAATATTAAGAGAGGAAACGCATATTATGTCCTAAGATCGTTGAGTTGGGGTGTTATAGGGCAGATAATGAATCCTATACATTAATCTCGAGGGTCATGGGTTAGAAAGTAGTCTTGTAATACTAATAACTGATCAATGCTACTTCTGCGGGATAAAGTGTAGAGACAGAGTATAATTATTTATATAGGAGAGTCCTGCTCGGGGTTAGATCCAGTTTTATGTGTTTCGTTTTATCTCGTTGGAATGGATATTGAAGCAATGCATCGGTATTAAGCCAAACGCCCAGGCATAAATACATGCACACATACATACGGCATGATATATACCTAACTTCCGAGTACATCCTCGATTCTATACTATATAATCCATATTGTTTCTAACTACCCAGTCATAACGTCCGTTAGTGATATCTTCGTTTCGGGGATGAATCGCGTTATGGCTTGTAGTGGGTTCACAGGATCAATCTAAAATCCGTGTGAAAATCATACCCTCTCTATTATTATACTTTTTGCATTGTTAGGCAGGAACGATAAGATTCCTCAATTGTATTATTTTCATTTGTTTAAATAGTAGCTCCTACATCTCCGCACCTACCCGCTATGCCACAAACCCAGCCGCAATTCCAATTCAGGCTCCCGAACAACATATATGTGGTCTTACCTGCAGTGATCTAGTTCAGATCCAGTTCATTACCAAAAGATGATGTTCTGCATGAGAGACACTGTCAGGCGTAGCGGGAGGTGGTAGTATCGGAACTCTCTTTCTCTCTCTCTCTCTCTCTCTACATTATTATGTCTTAAAGCATAAGTGGGCAATCAACTTCGGCAGATTTAGTTCTTTACTCAATCTCGAGGATATTTCATCGCGGGTCTATGTTCAGGTCTTGAGTGAGTTCGTTCTAGGATTCGATGATAGATACTGCTTAGTGGCGAATTTATAGGTAAGGGAGTATATTCCATCCGGTTTACCGCCCTATTGAAAACCGGACTTGATGAGATCCATATTCCTTACTTAAAATAGCAGAGAAAATAGGATGCCTAATTGATTAAGCTCCTGGGCGCCGTAATTCAAAAGAGAATAGCCAAGGCGCATGAGAATGTCATCCGAGTCATGACTTTACTCCCCTAACCCAAAACAAGTATTGTCATCACCACTTTTTCGACCCAGAGTACCTAACTTACCATATTCCCTGAAAACAGGCCTTAAGACTGGTTCGCTGCTCGTTAAACATGCCACATGGCTCTTGGCAGTGTATATCATCCGCGGGGGTGTACAAAATTTGCCGAGTCCGATTGGTCAGGTCTTGAATTTTAGTTTAGCTGTACGCCGTACGGTACATATTTGTGATATTATTTTTCTAGATGACTCCCTCGGATATTATTATTCTAGACTGATGTCTCAGCTATACATAGTGTGAATAAGGCCTGGGTGGCAGTCCAATTGGTGGGGTATTTGCTGGATGGGGTTTTTCTTGGATCTGTGATGTTACATCTACTTGAGTGAGATCTATTTCGGGATACATTGCGGTGTAGCATGAGAGTTGCCAAGATGGAGGGAGGAATGAAGCTGAAAACAAGAAGGAAAAAAAGACTTAAATAGTTTCTCTGTCTTCTATTATTGCTGGTATTCATTCCTGGTCTCATTCCCAGCTACAAACAGACAGACAGCGTTCTACAGTACAAACATCCATTTCTGCTCTCAACGTCTCAAATCCTCCTACCTACCAATCTAACTCACCACACCGCAACCATGCAGCTCACTCAACTCCTCCTGACCACCCTCTCCGCCTGCTCTGCAGTCCTGGCCGCTCCCGCCCCCGCCCCCGGCAAATCAATGATGGCCACCGACTGTCAATGGACAATCGAGAGCCTAAAACGCGTCTGCAACGACGCCAACACCTGCTGCACCTGGACCTTCGGCATTGACACCGGTTCAGGCACTCCTACCGCTTGCACCTACGTCGTGGAAGGCACCAATGCCTCTGAAGCCAACGGAGGTCCATCTGACTGTGGCGACTTCACCATTACTTCGGGCTGGAGCGGCCAGTTTGGTCCGGGTAATGGCTTCACGACCTTGTCTGTTGTCGACGACGTGACTAGACAGATTATCTATCCGGCCTATACCGATAACCAGCTGAAGGGAGGACAGGTCGTTACGCCTGATCAGAGTTATACTCCGGCTGCTCTGCCTAACTAGGGGCTGATGATACTGGAGTATTCTCTCTGGGATAATAGGGTTGAGATACTGAATTGATTTTTTTTTCTATGTTTTATTCGATCATGGAGAAAATAAAATGGCGAAGGTGACAATAGTGCAGGACCATCATATTTTTCGTCGTGGAGTAGCGTGTTGTTTTCTAAGTGGGATGGAAGAAGTCAAGATATAGCTATAAACTTTAATTTATAGTCGTTTGAGATCTTCATGGCCTTGTATGCTAGTAAAATATATAGTTGATTTAATAGTAAACCATGTTTGAATAGTAGATTCTGCAGGCCTTGGAGACGAGGTAGGTATGTTGTTGCACAGGGGTATACTTACCTGAGTTATGTATTCGTTGAACAGGACTATTAGTCAGAACCAACCAAGCTATTGTTGCCAGTCGCTAACTGTGTTTTGAGTATGGTCGGTACTCCCCAGGATATATTACCCCGTATCATATTAGTTGTTCTTGTTCCGGTGTCTACTAATCATAATTCATGCGTCGAGTCTCGACTAGGAAGAGCGGAGCTGCGCCCAGCCAAGTATATACCTGAAGTGCCAACCTACAAATTTCTTTCTGTGTAGATAGACTCGATAGATATTCCAGCAAGAGATTTTCTTTTTAAATCTGAATAATTCCTTTTATTACTTCACGATGCAGTAGTTTCAGTCATAAATGATAAGATAATCTCCATCCTCATACAATATAGAAAGTCTTTTCAATTTTCGTCAAGTTTCTTTCAACTCATCTAAATCGTCTCTTCACAGACGGAATATCATGCCATGCATCTAACGCATACATTACAGCAAGATATACATAAAACATTTTTACAATCAAAACACCAACCCAAAGTCCTAGCTTACTCCGCATCCAGCGGCGCCACAGGAGGCTGGTCGTCGACTTGAATCCCACCTCTCTTCTTCTCATTACTGTCCCAGAAGGGAAGCTTCCATCCGCCCTCGCTCTCGGGCGTGGCCAGCCACAGCCGCATGAGGTGTCGTCGAGGAGCGGGCGGGGGGTAGTCAGTGTACGCGGTACGAGCGTGCAGGACGTGTGCGTTAGAGAGGAACTGGATGTCACCGACTTCGAGGATCATGTGCAGAGATAGACGGTTGCAGGTGGCTTCGAGGACGTCGATGGCTTCGAGTTGAGCTTTAGAGAGCGGGGGGATGAGACCGGCGTCAGAGAAGCGGGTTAGGGAGCGGACGTAGTAGGGATCCCATCTGGATTTGGGGTTAGTATGGGGGGATTTTTTTTTTTTTTTGTGGATGTTATGTTCTGGTCTGGTTTGGTTTGAAGGTATACTCACTTCGTGTAGACACGGGGATTCTCTCCGCGTTCGAGATAGACGACACTGGTCCGAATCCACTCTTCCTGGCCCTTGCTGGTCTCGCCCTTCCGGTCAAAGTACCAGATAGGCTCAGTCAGGGTCTTCAGAACGTCCGGGCGCTCCTTGGCCAGGGTATTATAGACGTGGTGTGAGGAGACAATGTCAGACTCTCCACCCTCGAGGGCGCGAGTGATGCACAGCAGACCCACGATGTCAGAGTCATCAGCGTGGAAGAATTGACTGCAGCAAGTTAGCAGCTGAAATGCACAGATAGTTTAAAAAAAAAAAAAAAAAGAACAAACATACCGAGCATTAGTTCTGTAGATGCGGACCTTGTCGATCTGGCTCGAGTCCTCTCCCAGATCCTTGACGTGACCAAGGACATGGCCACGGCTGTTCTGGCTAACAAAGTAGCCCAGGTAGGTGCCCAGACCCATGTACGCAACAGCGGACTTGTGATTACCCCATTTCTCAACGGGGAAGCCCTTGAAGAGGATGAAGCCCTTTCCGTCAACAATGTCGGCTCTGAGCTTAATGAGGAAGCTAGACAGCTTGGGGAGGATGAAGTTGCTCTTAGAGATACCAGTCAATGGAGTCTTGGAAGCAAGGAAGTTATCAGCAGCAGTGCTGAGCTCCTCGATCTCCTCTTCGGAGAAGCGGTGCGTCCACTTCTCCGGGTTGTTCTTGTAGTCCTCGGCCTGCCACACCGTGGGGCCCGTGATCTCCTTGGGGAACTTCTCAAAGGGCTGGATGTGGTCGTAGAGAGGAGCATGCTGGCCGGTAGTCTTCAGTCCATCCGGGAAGATGTCACGGGGAGCATGGCTGTAGAGCTGGTGTGCCGGTGTGGGCAGGGTATCAGTGAGGCCGGGAGCCATTGTGAACTATATAGTATATGTATGTATCTGAAACGGGTACGGGCAACAACGAATTTCTCAAGAAATCAGCCCTTTCAGAAAGAGATCTTCAAGTAGAAAAAAGAGAAATCAATGTATAAAATCCATGGAAATACCCCTCCATTTATCTGTCCTCGACCCCTCCAGCGCACGGCCCATGACCGAGGGCGTTATCGTAGCCTGGATCATCTCCATAGGATGGCAGCGCCGACGGCAGGTAAAGCGGAGGAGGGGGAAACCAGTCTTGTTCCTGAATTGCAGCATCCAGATTGGTCTAGAGACAACATCGGCCGAGACTGCGTATCCAGTGGTGGTTGTCATCGTCGCTGGTTGGAGCTTCAGGATGGCGCAATCTGGGGGCCCCGATGTTGTGATGGGCGACCGGCCGATCAGCAGCTTCACGATCCGCACAATCGGGAAAAGAAGGAGATCTGACACGGCCGGAAAACAGTGATCCTCAATCGTACGTTAATTGCCATGATTCTTTATGCAGAGTATCAATGGGCTTTTCTGCAGGATGAGATGGGCTGGAAACAGTATATCAAGATGCGATATTGTTCGGAGTCTGTCTGGTCCGCGCAGTAAGTACATACAGTACTTACTTAGCCAAGAACGTATAAAGTTCGCACGCGCAATGGGATTCAATAACCTCCCACTGTAATACTTACGGAAGGGCCTAGAAATGATAAGATGGGACCAAATTATCAGCTTAGTAAACGTAATAATAATATACCCTCGGATCTTAGCTCTACTCTATGGAGCATAAGTTGGCTGTACCATTCTCTGTATCTGGCATGATCCTTCCACAGCAAGGAAATGCCCGTCAAAAGCGATCCTCTAGAATGAGACATACTCGCAATAATTAACGGTGTTGCATGATATTAACTTCCACGATGGCGCCATATCTCCCCGATCTGCACAATACACTAAAGATGGCTCTCCCACTGTGCCGGGTTCCACGGAGTGTTCTTCCATATTCAGATAGTTCATTTATATCGTGCTTGGAGTAGTATCGAATATCTAGAAAGATCGGTTAATTATTTTATTATGGTTCCTTTGTTCCTAGGATTCAAGTACTACTATACCTAAGTACCTGTCCTCTGTCGCTGCATGCTGAATTAGACATCGTATTTAGCTTGATACTTCTGTACAGATAATCAGAAACTAGAAACCAGACACCCCGGAATAACAGCAGAATCAATCCCGAGATTTAATACTTCCTCAAAGCTGGCCCCCCCGTCCCCCGCATTACTCCTTCACCATCATCTACTCCCAGATCACACTGCTCAGTCCCTCCGCCGCTCCCACCGTCCCTGGCTCACCAACAGCCAGATTCGCAACCTCATCGCCCAATTGGCCCGTATGGGGATCCCTCTGCACAATGGCCACATTCGACGAAGCCTGATTTCCAATAGCGACCAAGTCCCCTTGCTTATTGATCGCAAACGTGCGCGGGACAGTCCCAAACGAAGAGCTCAGACGCTGGAAACTCACCGCGCCCGTGGTGTTCAGCGAGAGAGTAGCCAGAGAGTCATTAGGTGGGAAGGCGTGATCGCTCCGGATGGAGATGTACAGGTACGGTTGCTCTAGCCTGATCTCAGCTACGGTGGCGCTGCTGGGCAGAGCGGTACCGTTGGGGTATGGATAGAGGGCCTGTGTCTCGTTGAAACCGAGACAGTCGCTCTGCATGTCGTACGAGACGGAATACGCCGTGACTTTGTTGCCGAGCTCGCCTACGACGTATAGGACGGTCTCTGCAAGGCTTCTCTTCTGTCTGAGGAGACGCGGTGATGATGCTCCCGGCGTCCAGAAGACTCCATGTCGTGGTCCCGTACCGGGAGTCACCTTGAGAGCCGGACACGTCTTCAGGGACCCAGAGCTGGGATCGATCCTGTAAACGCGAACTAGATCCGATCCCAGATCCGGGGAGAGGAGGAAAGTCCCCGTCGGGTCGAGGAAGACTTCATGCGGATGCGGCGCGTCCTGACGCGAAGGGACGGCACCGGGCTTCGAGAGTGTGAAGTTGAATGTTTGGAGAGCCTGCGTGTTCGATCTCAATGGCAATGGGAACGTTGATAGAGCGGAGCCCTCGCTGGAGGAGGAGCCAAGGAAGGCCACATATCAGCGATCTACATACACGAGACAATGCGATATACTTATGAATGGGGAAATAGAAAAAAAGAAATAAACAGGTGGGTAATAATCGACATACTAATGCGCGATGGCAATAAACTTCTTCCCATCGTCCCTGTTGTAGATCACATTATTCACTCCACCTCCGATCGTGTCGACCTTTGCGATCTCCGACAATCTCCCGTCCGCAGCAGCTGCCAACGCCGTCAGCGAGCCGGGCGACGTTCTGCTCCCACTCTCATCAGAGCAATACAGCACGCGCGTCGAGGCGTCAAACGTCAACCAGCTGGGCATCGAGCCGCACGTCTTCAGCGCCGCTGTCTGGGACAGCGTGTACTTGACGGCGGCAGAACCATCGTTGCGGTCCTGCGGGCCAGGGATGGAGGTGAGAGCGAGAGAGTAAACATTGCCATTGTAATGGGAGACGTAGAGGTTGGATGCCGCAGCAAGGGCGGGCAGGAAAAGGACAGAGAAAAGAGCGCGCATTTCGGTGGGTTGTCAATATAGAACGAAAGGGACGAAATGGATACTCAGTAGTATCTCTACAGTGGATATAACTGTCAAAGAGCGGGGCTTTTGCGATCCTGAGAGAAGCTGAAGTTATCCCTGTCTGCGAGGATCCAATCGAGAATGTCACGAGGCATTAAGCGCTCTGGAATGTAGGAGATCACATCAAATTCGCTATTATTTATTCCCATGGAGGATGTCTCCGCCTGAGTGATCAGATAAAATAGAGGAGAATTATGGAAGATTGCGACTTATGTAGGTAAGATCTGGTGGAGCATGCTAGGCCTTACTGTAGTGTAAGTAGTGTAGAGTAGAGTCGCATTGCATACATGAACGAGGGGAGACGCGGGGGAGCTATTAATACCCTACTACCCTACAAACTAACTAATAACTAACAATCATCGCAACATCTATTCAACATCTGTTTGTTTGAAGAAAACAGCAAACAACGCTTCGCAGGACCGGCCTCTTGCCAAGAAGTACTAGGGGTACTATTTACTGTATCCTAGTCGATTACTGATGATTACCTACTTTTTCGTCCCAGAATTGCATATACGAGGTACTACTAATTAGAAATCGATTCATTATTAAATCGATGACAGAAAAGAGCGAAAGTCCAGACTATTTCGCGTGCTGTCACAGCTGCAAGTTTTAATACATCCTTGACTAAGGAAGCGGAGAGTAAGTAAGAACACCTTACGACAGAGCATCAATTTACAAGTGCCCCAATTTAATAATTTCAAGTCATTTAAACTGCTAAATAATCTACCTATGCAAGGTACTATAGTTAGTATTTCCTTTAGCTAATTTCCTGGGCCAATCACCAGTCAATTTTGCACATATGTATGTATGTACATACCACACAGGTACCTATATGACATGCGAGGGACATGTCTATTATTTGTAACGGTTGCTAATAACTAACTATGCCATCTATAAGGGTAAGGTAAGGACGAACCAGAAACAGGTATGTTTACAATTCTTTTCCGGTTGAATTAGATTTGTATCCGACGATAATGTCTTCCGGATAACTCGCCGTAGAGAACGAATGGGCAAGATTGATGTTGATTCTTACTCAAGAAACAAGGGAGTCCGGTTCGAGATATATAAATAAAAAAAAACAAATCCTATTTAAATCACGCTATATAGGTAACCTTGTGGTTAGGACTTGACGCTCTTTTTCTTACAGGTTATGTACATATCTCTACTTTTTCTACGCGCAGGATTCTACGTACCTGGGACAAATATTTAACAATCAATTAGAACACGATCTCAATAATAGATATATAGTCCTTTATATCTGATTTGTGTTTAGTCCTATGGAGATTTTATCCGAATATCCTGCAGAATAGATAGATAGGTAGATAGTAAGTGAGTGAGTAAGTGTATAAGTGAACTTTTCGATTCGAATCTATTCTATTCTATCTCATTGAAAGAAAGTAAGTAAGACTGGGGAGATGAATGAAGAAGAAGAAAAAAAAAAGATTGTGCTCATATGAAACGCACACATGCACGCTGCGCTTATGGATGTCAAATTCCCACTTCTTGGATCCTCTCCATATATATACAATCATAGCCATACCTATCTCAATTCAAATTCTGCATATTCCATACTTGATTATCATCATCGCACATCCAACAAAGGCGGAGTAATCAAACCGTTCGGCGAAAGGACACGTTCTCGAACATCATCATCATCATCATCGACTTTCTCTCCCGCCAAAGTCCTCGCGTTCGCACCACCATCCTCACCGGCCAAAAACAGAAGCACGATCTCAGCAGCTAATTTCGAGTCGTCATTATCCTCCACGCCCGATTGCGGCAAGTCTCCAACCTGATACAGAAACGCAGCCACGTCTTCAGCGGGCCATCCGGCACGACGACCGAATTCAATACACGTCTCGCGATTGACGAAAGTGTCGAATTCAAAGTGACCTTGGTAAGTTAGGATGCGGGCCGGGTAATAGAGGCCCTGGATGGGACATTTTTCTGTACTCCCGATATTGATCCACGGAGCGGGAAGATTGGGCTCAGGCTTTGTAGGGTTTGCAAGAGCCGCCGTCTCGTCTGATAATGCCATGACGCGATCTCCGTGGATGAGTTGAAGACGGAGTTTCCTATCCGGAAGAGTCGCGAGGGGCGGGAATGCGTTGACGAATTCATCGCGGAGGGAGATTGGGATGACTCCCACTTCGTATCCTAATGGACAGGCTGCGACGGAGACGTAGCCTTTCTCCGTGGTGATATCAGAACCGGCCGCGAAGGTAGACTCTAATTGTCGTCCCGCGAATCGGGGATTGTGCCATGAAAGCAACGCCTGGGCCACGATCTGATGTCCGAAACATGACCCGAAGATCTTCACTTCTGGGTAGTTCTCATACACGGTATGAATGAATGACTGTAATTGTACGATCCACGGACACATTTCCAGATTATACGCCGAGGCAGACGATCCGGTGATTAGAATCGCATCAATTGGGCCCAGAGGACCAAAGGATCGGTCCCCATCGTCCTGGACTGAGCGTGGTTTATTCCTTAATAGTTCTAGAGGCGGTAGGACTCCGCCAACTGCGTCGTATGCTGTGGTTTCTATCTCCACGGGACCGTTCTTGAGGAGGGAAGACGTGTTCAATCGTGCGGCAGCAGCTTGGAGAAGAACTCGGAATTGGGAGCTGTAGAGACCGCGAGCAGCGTAGACACGTGGAACAGGCACGTCCGTGTCGAGGACAGCGACATGGATGCGGCGCGATGCCATGAAGAATAATGAATAGTGCCTTCTCAGCAGGGAAAGAAAGGAAGCGCTTATCGCTAGAGATAGTTAAGAGGTAGTAGTTACTGCACGGATATACCTGGTCTTACCCGGCTACTGAGCTGGAAACGCTGAGGAAGATATTGGAACTAAGAAAGGAGCGGATAGCAGTGTTAGTTAACTGGTGAATGTAAATCACAAAAAAGACACAAATCTGTACAGGTCTTAAGGCAGTTGTTGATGTGTGGGAAATCGGAGGGAAATTAATTCGGATCGGGGATGTCTGATAAGATAGCGGTGGGCCGTGGCGGCGAATGCTATACCTCATACATCGCCTCCCCCAAATAGAAAGGCCTATTATAACAACTTGTATTTCTCCACATAAGGCAAAGGGGACTACGTTATGCCTATATCAATCTACCTTCGTATACTTATATTGACTGGCTCGTGAGTCTAGGGGGGCTACTGTAAGTTTGCATGACCCGCAAAATCCGTTCCCGGTCATTATAGAAGACCCAAAAGGAGCATAATGGAGTATAATATAAACTACAGCAATTTAGGAAAGGAATCGATACAAAGATGTAATATTAATATGTCAGACTAAGTGCTCTCTAGCTTTCTTCAAGACGCGTTGAGCTCACATATATCGCTACTCGAGCAGTAGAACCAACCGGTCCAGAACGATTATCTTTCTATCTTCCTCAGGAGACACATGAGTTCCCAGAGCATGAAGTTCAAGGGATATAATTGGTAATCATGGAATAAAAAAAAAACAGATAGTAATATCTAATCCAATTGAAACACAGTGAGACATTAGTGTTCTCCGCTGATAGACCCGATCTCCTGGTCGAAGCTGAAAATTGTCACTTATCGACAGAGCAGAATATGTTTCCTGTTTCTTGCTTAGGCATGAAATTCAAGAAGTCGAATTTCTCGTCATTATAACAGTGGAAATCGAGCAGTAGCTCGCTAACTCCTGGAGAGGCCTGCAATTGACTGCGATCGCAAACAACTTCCTAATTAGGCAATTAGCTCCTGGCAAGATAGCGCATCCACAGGGACTCGGCCAAGAACAATATATATCGAATAATGCCACCAAATAGAAGTAGCTGCTAGTCGTATTCTAGATCCATGAAATTCTATATATGCTTCAGCGAAAAAGATGGCTGCAGCTTGCCAAATATTGCTGCAAGACCCGGAATGCACACAAATCGACAAATAAATTGCTACGAGGTATCTTGTCCTAGCGGATGTCATGTTTGATCGTCCCAAGTATGCCTGAAAAGAGAATCAACGAGCCCAACGTATAATGACGGCAGAAGCAAAACCAGAATCAAATCAATCTAAATTCGAGCGTAGTGCGGCGATGCGTCCAGGAAGACCTGTGTTTTCTGTAAATGGCAAACTCAATCCAACCAACCAAAAGGACGCCTGACGATACGCCTTACGACGCTTATTCTTTGTGGTAGCTCTCGCCGATCCTAGCAGTATCCTGACTTGCGCGGACTCGGTCAAGAGACGAAGTCGCAGAGGAGCGGAGACATGTGATCAACACAGAGTGCATCCTCCAGCGACGTATATACAGCGTGAGACCCAGAAAAGCTTAGATTTTTAACAAGCGCCAGGACCGTTAGTCATAGGGTATGTTGAGTCGGAACTGCACAATAGCCTCCCATAAAATCGTGAAAAGAAAACAGTCTCATAAATGAGAGTAAGGGTCATGAGTCAGTAGAAAAAAAAATTGACAAAGATCGTACTTCACCTGAAGTCCAGCTGGAAGGCCTTCCACTTCCCTCCGACTGTCCGACATCGTGGACAGCCTCTCGGGTTAGGAAAGCTCGTCGGGCCAGGAGTGCTGCGATGGCTCCCGCTTCCAGCGGAGCCATTCCCTGGACTGTTGATTGGGTTCAAGATCGATGTAGTTGGGCTGCTGCTGATGAACATTCCCACACACTCTCTGCAGACACCACAGATACATTCAGTGCAGGCGTAACACTCCGCCAACGGCCACGGGCGTGCACAGTTGGCGCAGTAGATCTGAATTTCTTTGCTTCTGTGGGAAGCAGGCGTAGGGTTTGACAAGCGATGCTGTGGACGCTGGTGGTTTTGATATCCCTGTGAAGATGGGAACATGTTCAAAGAATGCACAGGACTCGAGTCTGAGTTGGCTGACGAGGGCAGCCCCGAGCCTGACATGTGGAAATTCCTCCCGGAAACTGAAGATCCTGAATCGATAGAGGACTCAATCGAAGGAAAGGGCTCGAGATCCGGGTCACGACCACGGTGGATGTCGAACGGAGGAGGGGTGTGTGCCTTCTGCAGGGGCGACGCAGTGTACGACAGGGGCGCGAAAGGCCGGTGCGATGATGGGGGCGGTAGTCCAGACGCCGACTGAAATGCAGGAGGCAATGAAGCCCGATTTTTGAGGCCCGATGGCGCTGACGTGGCGCTGGTCAATGGAGGCACAGAGGGTGAATGCGGGACCTGCATATAATGTGTGTGTTAGTGACAAAGATGGAGTGAAGCTGCCACGACCTGAAGACAAGAGTCGCGAACTGATCTATTACTCGCGCAACCTGATGCACGTACCGGAGTCAGATCACCATCATCATCCGCTTCGGTAGCAGACGTCGCTGCTTCGATGAGATCCTCCCAGCGCTTTCCCTGTACCCATGCAGCCGTTTGCGGCTCTGCAGAAAGCGCTTTGCGATCATTGAGACTCGGGCGCCGTCCGTACTCCTTGGACTTGGTGCGCTCGTGCTTCGGTCTCCGAGCGTTCTGCGTGATCGATGACTTCCGCGCTCTCTGGATCTTGTCTCTCCGTTGAATGGGCGGCAGCGTTGAGGAACGGCCCGGGGGCGAGTGTCCCAGGATCGAGGGCAGCAACTCCCGCGGCTGAGTGGACTTGAACGGGGGCAGAGACTCCTGTTTGAAATGGTCGCGCAATGGTGGCAGCTCGATGGAGGTGCGCATGCGGTCCCGTCCGATATCGTTATCGGAATGCATATCCTTTTGCGATGGGCAACAGGGTCAGCAAGACGTTCCTGACGGACAGACTGTGCCCGGCGGAGGCCAGAAGAGGGCACTCTACCATTTCAGACTCCCAATCTGAAGCCAAACGATGGTGATGCAATTGCGCCAGCGCGACGGCCGCGGTAGCCGCCGCGGGGTGCGCCTCATCGATGGCGCGCGGGGTTACGGGAGAGCTTGCATCCGCAACGTAGATATCGCGATCCGCTATATCTAGCACCTGTCAGCCTTCCGTACTGGGATTGACGGACCCAGCCGGGATTGGAACGCACCATGGTGTCTGCGCGACTGGGTCGCATTGGGCGGGTTGAGGTGAGCCCGCTGGTCCAGGGGAGTATTGACCATCAGCTGGAAGCTCTCCTCCGTGGCAGGGAGCTTCGGGATGTAGTGACTCGGGTGGGCTCTTCTGATATGCTCCTGCATGGAGCGATAGCGTTTCTCCTACATGACGATGTTCCCGGTCAGATGCTTACCATCCTTTTTTTTTGTTTCTGTTTCTTTTGTCTTTTTTTACTCACTGCCCCGCGTGCACTCCAGGAGCTAGGGGAAGCAGTTCCCCTCGGTGCACGCAGGCGCAGATCTGGAGACGGGAGACGGCACTCACCCCCAAGCATCGTTTCCGGCAATTGGAGCCATCGTTGTTGGTCAACGGGCAGACGACCTCATTGTTGGCATCGGAGACGGAAAAAGAGCTGGTCAGGGAAGCTCGTGGTGGCATGGTCTGCATGTATCTCTCTCTCCCTTCTGCTGAGAGGTGGGGGAGGAGGAGGAGCAGGAGGAGGGGGGATGGATAACTGGGCGGGCAGCTGAGCACACCAGCAACGCCAGTGGGTTTGCGACTTGGAGATCTGACGAGGAGATGAGATGAGACGAAACAGGATGAGAAGGATCAATCAGAGGGAGGTCAATGGTGCGAAGAAGGACAAATGCTCGCTATGCATGCTCTCGACGAACGGATCGGCCGTGGTGAAGGGATGTTTTTTGCTGGATCGAAGGAAGAAAAAACGAGATCAGAGCTGAGGCATAATTTTTCTCTGGACGAGGAAAGGGAAGCGATCAGAGGGGCGGATGGGGGAGGCTGAGCTAGAGGATTAATTATCGGGAGGCAACAGGCAGTTCGCAGGGGGGTTTGTTTCCGGCACAGCTTAGCGCTAGTACTGGGTTGCTACTTTATGGTACATGGCTAAGCTGTGGATATAGTTAACTAGAAAGTCAAGCATTCGAGTAGATTGATTTTAAATATATTATTATTTATGACTGTAGACGAGAGTATAATTATATGTAGTAGTATTAGGAGAAGCCAGTGTAGCTCTCCTCATTATTGATTATTATTATCTAGGGCGGGACGGCGCCTATCGATAAACCCGTGAACGTGGGTGGGACAATCCACGATAACCAACGTCTCTGTACCAACTTCCAAGACACTATAGACACTACCTTATACACTCTACAAGTTAACACTACCTATCCACGAGAATGTCGAGATGACCCGATATACAGCTGCTCGAGACCAATGATCAGCGTGCTATCTCTTAGCATGTGCAGCTCTACTCGGGCGCGGCACGAGGCACTGAGGGGTTTTGGCGCAGAAGCAGCAGCGAAGAAAGGAGGGGTTCCTGGCATGCGAATAATAATGATCGTCCATGACTGGAAGAAAAAAACAAGAGTGTCATCCCAAGTTACAGTATCTAGTATTATTATTATTGCTTGCTTGCACTGCATCTCGCAGCACGCCTTTCCTGTTCTCCGGACGGTTTCGAAACCCCTCCTCGGTTTTCTTCCTGAGCTTTCCAACCCGTCCCGGCCATGATACGATCTACATACAATCCAACGCCACGTCTTTTTTTTTCTCTCTTTTTTTTTTACTCTTCTTTTCAGGCAAGACTAATTTACCAGACTTCTCCTGAAGAATAAAAAAAAAGATTAAAACGCATCCATGGTCCCTGATCCTCGACGGAACGGACAGCTGAGCTGGAACGCTGAAACGACGAGCTTACCCGGAGCCAGAGCCCCGCCAGACCCCCTTACTCGCTAGTTAAGTTAATCTAGTCTAAGATAGTCTAGTCTTCTGGAGCTTCGCAGCTCTCCCCAGCTCTCGACAGCTTCCAAGCTACTGGAGCTCACCCGAGCTTCGGGGCCCGCGGGTGGTGGCGAATTCTTCCTCCCACTTGGCGAGACTCCCCAACTCCAATAACAATAAAGACGGTTCCGAAAAGACTGCGAGCTCCACCGCCGCCTGTTCCCGTGCCTGTCGAGTGGGCAAAAAAAAAAGAAGAAAGGTGGAAAATTCGACACGGGATCTGGAAGAGGAGAGGGAGGGAGGGAACAGTGCCTATGACAGCGTCTGGAATGATTATTAGACTCTTTTTTCCAACGGCCGCGCCGTCTGGATGTGGTGGAGAGTTTGCTGCCCAATCCGTCCGCAAGCGAACGCACAGAGCTCCGGTCAATTCTCCCGTCAGTCCCTTCCGGCCGTGGGAGATCGTGAGATCCTATGCTCTCAGGGGATTATTGAGATGTCTACTAATACTCCGTATCGCGCCAGCAAAGGAGGATACCTTCACCGCAGATTCGATGCCAGTCAGGATCGAAAACTATGCCGCAGCAGCCAGGGGGGCCTTGCTGGAACGATCTCAGCTTTCTCCATGGTGGACTTCTGGAGCAGACCCTTCGAGCACCGGCAGCATTTGACTGGATGACCATTGGTTCTGGTCTGCGAACGTTCCGGCTACAACGGCCATTGGATCGATTCTCATCAAGCTCTGCTAGTTAGTTATCGGCTATCAGCAGATTCAGCATCCCCACCGGGGCCCTCGCGCAAGGAATGTCGGACTGAGACTGACCTTTGACAAGCAGGAGCAGATCGTGCTGCGGTCCGCCGTGACGCGTATCCAGGAGAAAGAATGGTCCAAGATGATGGATCATTATTCGAGTACTCTATTATTATGTATGACCTTGTAGTCAAAAAGTTATCACTGCAAGGACTATACAGCTTGAGAGTACATTTCTGTTGCAACGTGACTCATCATTGGCGCCAGAGCAACTAACTAACTAACATTCAACAAGACAAGAATACTCCCCGCGGTTGGAGGAAATAATGTCTACCCCTACTGACAACCTTTTCTAGAATAACCAATCCGGCCCAGGCACAAATCACCCAGTGTGCTATCTAGCCCGTTCTTCTTACCCCTGCAGCCTTCGCTTTGGCTCCCCTCTCATGTTCCGCTCTGCTTCTGTCTTCTTTTCTTTCGATGGAGCCCTCGAAATGTCTCTAGACAAACCGGTCGACCGCATTCGGTGCGCCCGCAGCTCAAGGCGGTCACGGCTTTCCGCCCTTCCGTGATTTGCCGCTCGGCTAGGATAATCCCGCTTACTTCTGCTGACCATAACTAAGGCGGAAGAAACCACCTGAGATAGGAGAATATGCAGCTAGCCAAAAAAGAAGAAGAAGAAAAATTCACGAGCACCATCGAGATTATTTGTGAATGGTAAAGGTAGGTGCAGAAAGAATTAGGCTAGACAACAGTTCTCAATAACCGCACTCGATAGATAGTACTGTATACTATATAGTATATAGACTGATAAACCCCCTCGTGGGCCTTATCGTTGAGAATCTTTATCTAATCGTCGCATACTCAGCTATCTATCTAATCATATCATATCGACTCACTTACTTACGCCTTCCAGCTTCCAGCAAGTATGTATATTCACTACAATACATAACACTCAATCCCAACCTCTCTCACACACAACCGCCAAAAAGCTTAGCAGTCATATCTGGAGCGAAATACAACGCAATCTGGAAAAAAACCAAAGAAAAAAATTTCCTTTCCCATGCAGAAATAATGCATAACAAGAATGTAAGCCAGCCAGCCAGCCAGCCTCAGTGGAGAGACCATGCGGGCCAGTCAGTCAAGAAAAGCCGTCCCCGTTCTAGCGTACAGTTCTCGACTTTTTGATAATACAGTCAGTACTTTCTGGCTCGAGGTTTTGTCAGAGTTGTTTACCTAGATACGGATATCATATTATAATATGCACATTGGCTATTCAACGATTATCTCTACTCTAAAATCAGGAAGGTAGTTAACTATTAGTTAAAACTACCGAGACCTATACTATATCATGATATCCTGTATTTCAATACTGATCTATTATGATGATAGTAAAGTTTCTAGCTAGTAGAGTTATTCCGTCTCCCAGGGATGGATGTACCGAAGCCCGCGTCAACAAGCAACCTGTGCATCCGACACCCAGTGACTGCCACCAGCACAGCGATAACCGCCACTCTGTTTTATCCAACAGAAACCCGCAACACAGACGCCCATTTTCCGCAATTTCTCCTGAGCCTTTTGCTCTCTGCGGCGCTCTTGTTCCATTTGCTCTTTCATTTTGCGGATTTTGTCTAGTTCTTCTTCCCGTTTGCGTCGTTCTAGCTCACGCTGCAGTCGAGCTTGTTCATGGCGGACCCTAGCCTCATCGTCTGCTCTTTGTCGTGCATCCTCCATTTCTCTAATGATATTGTCCTCGTCTTCCTTGGCTTTCTGATGAGCCTTCTCTTGGGTTTTCTCGTCCTCTTGCAAATCCAAATATTCTTTCTCTCTAACCTGAGCAGCGGCCTTGTCTTGTTGGAGTTGATTCCATATTTCATCTGTGACGCCGTTGTCTCGCGGTTCGTTGTCCGTAGGCGAGTGGGTACCGGGTGAATGTGTCTTAACATCAGATTTATCGCTTGTTGCTATTTTTGCGTTGGATGAGCTCTGACTATTGACGTCAGCAGGGGGTCCCATCGAAGCCATCTTCAAATCCTGCCAAGGCAGATGGTGTGTCGGTAGACACCCTTCTCTCTTCAAGCGTTCGTTCGCCATCTGGTCCAGACTTTGAAGCACGGTTGTTTCTGTCAATACAAGACTTCTTCCCTTGACATCTTGGAGAATCTTTCTGAAAATATCGTTGGCAAGGGTATCAACGTCACGTGCGTTTGCCCAGCTGGCAATAGTGGACAGCAGATCGAAACGCTCACATAGATCCTCATGAAAGTCATTGCTTGGACATTCGAGGATACCAAGGTCGAAATCCACATTCGCGTTCTTTAGAATGTCACGTTTCCGCTTCTGGAACAACGAAGTGAGGAGGGTGATACAATCGGAAGAAGGTAAGGCGTTAAACTGAAATGACTCTGGGAAACGGCTCGTAAGTCCTGAATTCATCGACATCAAGCGGTTGATATCCGCATCATAACCGGCGAGGATGATTATTAGTCTTTGCGCGAATTGGGGCTTCGTGATACGGTCCACGATTTCATCCATGGCCTCTTGCCCAAATGGCCCGTCGGCAAGGCGATACGCCTCGTCAACGAACAGGACTTTACCAAGTGCACGTTCAAGCGTTTGTTGTGTCTTCGGACCAGTTTGTCCTACGTATTGTCCAACCAAGTCCGTAGTCGAGACTTCAACGACCTCTGCTGAAGCTAATAGACCCATATCATAGTATATTTGTCCCATTTTTCTTGCTGTGCTCGTTTTCCCGGTACCTGTTGCAAGCGGGCATCAGAATCGTCTCTTGGAATTATTGATTATTCTTGGAGAATCAATATCCTTACCTGGAGGACCACGAAAAAGAAAGTTAAATGGAACTTCCTTGCGCGGATCACAGTCTAACTGTTTCATCGTCTTGACTATTTTCCTGTAACCCTCTAACTTGGCAATGATCTCTTCACATCCGACCACCCCCTCAAATAGCTTTCTCACGCTCCTGTCATCTCGCTCGCCACGATCGAAGTCTTCATCAAAGTCCACGGCATCCAGAGTAGACGAGAACGAACCGAGGGCATGTTGATTAGATGAGAGCCGTCTCTGATGCCTCATTTTTGCAGAGTTGAGTATGATGTCCACCTCGCCTGCATTTCCAAAGTTAGGTCTGTTGCGTGCTCTTTCTAACATCTCCAATGCCACTTTCCGACCAAGGTCGGTGACACTGAACCCTTGCTCCTTTAGTTTCAGGGTAAGGATCTGATCCAACTCCTGCTGGGTAAAGTCCTGAAATACAAACGCCTGATCGAGTGGGAACCGGCGACTGAGGCCCGGGTTGACGTTTTGAAACATCTGCTGCATTTGATCCTGGTAACCCAAAAGTAGAACACATCGGTCTTCGCCAGGCGTGCTTTGTACCTCGGCCACGATGGTGTCTACCACAGCGCTTCGGAATATGTCGCTTTTCGGCCCAGTGCCATCTGAAGTAGATCCTCCGAAAAGCCCATAGGCTTCATCAATGACCAATACTTTACCTATGGTAGAAGCAAGTATGCCTTTCGTGTTCTTCTCGGACTCTCCGATCACACTACCAACAAAGTCTGATGGGTTCTTCACCACCACTAGCGAGACTGTCAGATACGGCCAATGCAGCAAAATGAATACTAATCAACATACCTTCACCGTTCGACAGCATACCAATGTCAACCAGAATTTGACCGTACAGTTTCGCAACCGTCGTTTTACCTGTTCCAGGTGATCCCAGGAAGACCTTGTTCAACGTAAATTCGACTGGCGGCAGTTCTTGTAATTCACGATGATAATTATATTGAATACTGTCCAGAAGTGACTGGATAGTTTGCTTCACTGAGTCCAGACCAATCATGCTTTTCAGTTTCTGCCATGCAGACGAATTCTCCAGGGCCTGAGATGGCTCTGGCCCGATGAGATCCTCCTTAGTCAACAAAAAGTCATCTAGTTGACTGCCCCCGTTTCGTCTTTCGCGTTTGAGTCTCTCTGACTGCCGCTCCGCAATTCTGGACCTAGAATTTTCAATCGCTCTTGCATTGGCAAATCCCTCGCGGCCACGACCTCGTCCAATACGGCGTGCGACGATGCGACTGTAGAGGCCTCTCAGCCCATCTTCAACTTTCATTTGATTTTTATAGCACTTGTTGATGCTATACCCAAAGATTTCCAATAACTCCTCGTCGTCGTAGTCAGGGAACTTCAGCTCATGAGGAAACCGACTGGGCAAACCTGGGTTATGGGAGAAGAATTTCTCCATCGGCCGTTGATATCCCGCAAGAATGAACACAATTTTCCCCGTGAGGTTTTCCACTTCCGCAAGGAGGAAATCTAACACTTGGCTTCCTCCAGCGCTGTTTCCCTGTACAAGCTGATACGCTTCGTCAATGAACAATGCCCCGCCACCGCTATTCAGAATGTTTTCGAGAGTCTGCTGGCATCCAGAGACGCCCTCGTTTGCCAGCCTTGAGCCTGTCGTCTCGACGAACTTTTTGCCTGGGATAATCCCTACGGAGGCTAGAAATCGAGCATAGAGTCGTGCCACTGTTGTCTTTCCTGTACCTGGATTCCCAAGCAAAACAGATCCAAACCTCTCTGTGCTCATATCAACGTTCTGCCTGAAGCATACGTCCACTTTCGCCTTGATAGACAGAAATTTCTCCTTGATAGATTCGAGACCGATCATATCCATCAACCTGTCGATTTCTTTACTTTGAGCATTGAGAAACTGTTTCTGGTATTCCCAATCATCCTTTGCAGGTGATTTCTTTGGCGTAGTATTGTCTTTTCGATCTACAACTCCTCCATTCTTTGGGGGAACCTGTTTCTCGGTAGTTGGTTTGGGACTTGTTGTCATGGTATCCTTTTCATCCACGGTGGTCGAAGTTCTCTTCTGAACAACTGCACCTTGCCTTTTCGGGGGGTTCTTCAGCTCGCCTACTTGATCCCAGTGTTCGCGGAGGATTCTGGTCCTCTCAGCTTCCTCAGATCGGTCCCGTTGTATGCGCTGCAAATGGGCGATTTCATCTTGGGCTTCAGCAAGTTGACGGGTATATTCTCTTTGTCTTCGCTCTCTCTCCGCATCAAGCTCGAGGTCCCGTTGGCGTTTGCGTTCTTTCGCCCGATCTTCTTCATTACAAAACCGACAAGCTCCTTTGACTTGGGAACAAGCCTGGGAACTGCGATGGCCACGCGAACAAGTCCACTCGACAATCCTCGTGCAAATCATCTTAGAGTGGTCGACTAGCTGATGACATTTGGACGGACATTCGTGAATCCCACACCGCAGCTTGACACCGCTAAATATAAAGTCAGCGATGGCTCTAAAACTCCAAGTGATATCCAAGGGGGGGTCATACCATGGTGAAGGACAACCACCATCTGGACATTCAGTTTCAAAATCATCTTTCGTTTTCAGAATCGCTGTTTTCTGAGGATGTTGTTCACATTTGACGGGCAGTCCATCGTAGAGATGCCCGTTGGACTTCAACTGATCCAAGAAAGGTCTCCAGAACTTTTGTCCCCTCCGATTTGAGGTGAATGTGTTCGCATTTCCCACCATGATTAGAACGTCCCTTGCTCGTGATAGCAAGACATTCAAACGTTGAGGGGCTGCCATGAATCCGATGTCGCCTTTATCATTACTGCGGGTTAGAGAAGCGATCACAATCTCGCATTCTTCGCCTTGATAATTATCTATATCTTTGATTAGAACAGTAACTCCAGAAGACTTCGTCTTGCCCCACTTACCTATTGTCGATAGCTTAATCTGGCGCTTTGAATGGTTTGCTCCGGCTTGAGACAGAAGACCTGCCTTGACTAGATCATAAGAATCAAGGTCATTCAGGACGGGGTCATTGTGTTTACTTAGCATCTCTCGGAGGAGATGCAGTTGTCCTAGATAAGGAGTTAAGACAACTAGCTTGTCGGTTCCATACCCTTGTTGGCCGAGATATTTCACGATCTGCAATACAATCTCTGCTTCAAAAATATTCTTCTTGCTTTGTTTAGATCCTTCATCCCGTTTATCGAGTATCTCCCCAAAATTGACTTCGGGATGCTCATGCTGGAAGAAGACAACGCGATCCTGCAGTCCTCGCGGTTTGGGTCGGTTCATTGTCTTGGGGTCGTCTTCCAGGTTCGGGTACATGAGACGTCGAAGAAGTGCTGAGATTTCCGGGCACATTCGGTGCTGTTTGAGCAATGTCGTATGTGGGTACCCAGCATGTATTAGTCTCTCAAAAGTGGAAACGTTAAGATTGTATCCGTCCCCTTTCTCGATACTCAATGCGTACTCGTTGATCTTCGGCCGGAGCTGCAGATGATCTCCGATCAGCACCAACTGCTTTGTGTCTGGAGCCAATGCTGTGAGAACATGTGATTCGAGGATTTCGCCTGATTCTTCAAGGAGAACGATCCCGGGTGAGATATTGCGAATGTCTTCTGAATATTTAGCCGCTGCCGTAGTTGTGCAGCCGATGATGCGCTTGGATCTTAGGATCTCTCTGTCTTTCTCCCCCCAGATGCTGTCTAACTGCTTGCAGCATTTATTAAACTGGGCAGCATGGTTCTTCACAGTCGTGACATGTTCATCAAGCAAGAAAAGCTCCCAAGACTTGTATTTCTCATTCCTTGCTTCCTTTCTCATCTCCCAAACGCTGCGGCTGGATTCTGGAAGTCGGTCTTTGAACACTCCAGCATCCAGACCCTGGATCCATCGTGTGTAGAGATAATCGTTCCCAACTGCATGTCCTTTCTTACCGACAATAGTCATGCTATCCTTGTCCTCTGGGACAACAAGGGCATCGTAAATTTCCGGTTCCTCGAATTCCAGATAATCCATGACAAGATGTGGAGTGATAGCCAGGTTGAGGTAAGCCGTAAATGACGCATCCAAGTCCACGTCTTTAAGTGTATCTGCGTCGCTCCTTAATTTATTGATGAGATTCCACGATTCTTGTGGCCTTCTGTATGATGACCGCTGTTCGGACAGACTGAACTGCTGCGTCCGTGGCGTAGACTTGGAACCGATCCTGACTATGGTTGAACGGTCGATACCGATATCTAAAAAGTCTTCCAGAAACTGATCAAGAGCATGATTCGTATAACACATGACAAGTATCTTTTCGCTCGTGTGGTCGTGGAGAGCTTTCGCCAGAAGGGCGCCGATGAATGATTTTCCAGTGCCTGCAAGTAACGGTGTTATTACAATTCGACTGCAACGTCGGGTTCTTGCGTTCTCATACCTGGGGGGCCTTGTATAAGACTGACTTTCTGAGTCAGTCCTGCAACCAGTGACTCGAGCTGCGAAGGGTCTAGTTTCACCGGTTTGGGGGTCCTCAGGATGCTCTGGATATTACCATTTCCGTTTTGCTCGATATTTTTGACCACATCGAGAGGAACCAATCCCGATTCTCTTGCTGGCTGGTTCTTCTCATAGAGGAATAATTCCTCTGTCAAGGGGATATCCACTGCCTGTTGGAGGCAGTTCAAGACGGGTTCGTAGGCGAACATTGGCGTTTCCACAAGTATGAAATCCACATCTCTGTATAACTTGAGGTACAATAACGTTTTCTTAAAGGCTTCGTCTCCAGCAATCCTGAGCATGACTATCGGTTTCTTAGCAAGCAGAGCGTCAATGTCTCTCTCGATCGTTGCAAACGCCACGATTTCAGCACCCCGGATCAAACACCCGAAAGCTTGGTGTTTCATGAAGTTCCGGTTTTCCATCAGGTATCTTTTACGTTCTTTTTCCGGAAGGTTGGTGAATGTCTCGAGACCCGACTTATATCTCACCCCCAGACAGCAAGTATGAAGTCTTCTTTCACTGTCTCTGCCGCAGGAGAGCTGAGCAACAGACAGCTGCCTCAGGCGGAAGGTAGATCTTCGTCCCTTTTTCCTCCCGTTTGCGATGTGGACATCCTCACGTAGTTCGGAAAGCATATCCTCCCTCGAAAGGCGAAACTGATTGTCAAGGTAGGCGGCCACCCGCTGGTCTGGTGGAAGTTCCTCGATGTCATCGGCACGGCGAAAGAACGACTTCTCTGTACATTGGAACTCGTCTGAAGTTGGAAAAATCGCGATATTTCGGAAATCGGGGAAATCGTTATCATGACGACCGCCTGCTGTGAATGCAGACGCATCGATTGTACTTCCCGAAGATTTCACTTGCAGGAAGTGTTTGAGTTTCTGCCCGAGGTTGCGCAGCTCTAAAGAGGAAGAGCGAAGCAAGGACCCATCATTCACCATTGCTTGCGCATCTGCAATGATATCCACTCCACTCGAGTTTGGCAGAGAAAGCAATTCTGTCATCATCCATGTCAACGTGTAAATCGCGTCGTCGTCCAGTGATCGAGATGCAAACGATTCCATCCAAGCATTCCAGAGAGTGCGCGGTTCGAGGATAAGGATGAGCAGCTTTTCAAGAAACTGTCCGTTACACAAGCTTTTGATTCCCGGGTCACTAAAGTAATGTATTAATTTAGCCGTGTATTGGTTGATGAATTCGGCCGTCGTGTTAGATCGTAAGCCCCTGTGAAGGGCAGTCAAAGCGCTTGGGCTCGCCATGAGACGCTCAACAGTAACAGTGCGGTCATGCTGGTCCAAAATTGCTTCAACGAATCTCTTGAAGTCATTGGCATTCTGGACTGCTTTCTTTCCTTTGATGATCTCCCAAAGATACTTGGTCAGACGATCCGACCGTGTGTTGATGGCAGACATCTTGTGTACAGACGAGCACTTTGAATGTGAGCGATGAAATGGAACAAGAAATTTGTTGAGGAAAAGCACCTTCCACTTCGAAATATATCAACTCGTTGACCATTTCCTTCCCGGTGGGAACAAACGCCGCCAGAACTGACTGCTCGATACTGTATGGACGTAGATCACAGAACTGCAAGGATTATAACTGGATACTCAAGTTAGGCTGACATGGTGGGCTGCGGCAATTCGCATATTTCGAGACACGTCAATGAGGGAATCCCTGCGAGTTATGATAGATGGCCCTCAGGAAAACGATACCAAAGGTGTGAGGGGGTGTTATCTACCTTGTTTAGTTTCTGTCGGAGTCTGCCTACAAGGAAGCCTTCCTGTTGGGTTTCTCCCACTCCTTCTAGCTCCACCCATAGATATAAGTAGGCTGAGCCAGTTGCTAGAGAGTTCAAGCTCAGCGAGCTTCGCTCCAAGAGTTTATACCAAACCCCCTACTAACTGGACGCATTCTTGCGATTATAAACCGAGGCCCCTGCATTTCCCCCATAGTGCCTAGTCGTATTCTACATCTCAAGGAAATCAGCCTATTCTCTCGCAATGTCATCATCTGCTTTCCGAGGACGTGCTAGAACCTATGGAAATCGGTTTCAGAGGAATAGTACATCATGGATACAAAAGCGAAACATACAGCAGACCCCTCCTCCTCCACTGGGCGAGATCATTGCAACTATCTATCAAAGTGACCTTCAAGCGGAAAAGGGTGATACCACTGCTAAGATCACTAACAGCCAATACTTGACATCTTACAACTGGCTCACTGGAAGAGAACCTCGCATTATCATCCCAGGCAAGATAGCATACCATCAAAACTTTTATATCGTGAATGAACATTGCACCGCTAATACTTCTATGCCAAATAGGCGAGCCACCGGCATGGACTCCCCTCTCAACCCCAACGAAGCTCAAGGAAGACTCAGGAGTATACTATCGAGATCAGAATGCCGCTCGCTACGCAAGCTATCCCATGGAACCAATGGTTCAAGCGATTCTCGCAAGCAAGCCTGACTTCTCTCTTCAGAGTGTGGATATTGTTGCATGTGGAAATACACTGGGAAATTTGTTGCGTTTTATACGTGGTGAAGATAAACCATTTCGAATACTCGTTGAAGTTGTTGGGACAACTGTCTTCTTCATGAGGAGAGAGAATACCCCTGATGAGGTGATACCAGATGTATATGGATACGGTCACACTTTTCCGGAAGCGTATACTACCTGGTGCACAAGAGTGAAAGGATCCGAGTCCCACCAAAGAGTGATGAAGTATGATTTTGCTGGTATGAGTTGCTTAGTCCGCTTTGAGGCAGACGGTTATCTCCCTCCAGCAACAGAGAACAATAGCAGTCGCAGCTCCGGAGAAGACCCAACAGAGGCAGAAGATAACCTTCTATCATCCATCGAAAGAGCTACAATTTCGAATGTGCCCTCCAGCGGTGGTTCAAAAACAGATCCAAAAAGCCTCAGCATATCAGCAGGAGGTGAACGCATCTCACAATCGGCCATTTTTGACCTGAAGACCCGCTCCATTAGAAAGAAGGACGAGGACACTCTCGACAAAGAATTACCCCGACTGTGGATTTCCCAGATTCCTAATTTCATTCTTGCCCATCACAAAGCCGGAGTGTTTAACGACATACAGGTTCTCGATGTCTGGGAGCGGGTCACGCAATGGGAGCAAGACCAGCAAGCTACTCTGGCTAAATTTGCCGAGCTGCTGAACAAAATAGTGTCTTTTGCGCGCAGCTCGGAGTCTGGGCGATTTGAAATTATCCACGAAGACAGTGCGGCTGTCTTGGAACTGAGAGCACAGTGTGCAGACGCTGGCAGGGTTCTGCCTGTATCTGTGGCCAAGGAATGGAGTGATGAAGTCTTAGAGTCCGACAGAGATTCGTCCGATGGTAGCTTTTGAGATGATTATCATATACTTTTTGTTAGCTGGGATTAGGTTCAGGAAGATATTTTGACCTTACATTAGCTCTGCCGAATTGGGGCATCAAGTACTCTCGTGACGTTTCGTGCAAATAACAAATATCAAGGGGTTTCCATAAATTTTCGACCTGTTATTTAACAGACTGGCTAATTTCGTTGAAGCTGGTGATAATAGAAGACGGCATGTTAGTGTGGCGCCGGCAAGCAATATTGTAGAGTTCACTATATAGGCAGTTTATGGTTGTTATCATTATCAACGAAGAGAATGTCTCTTGTTTTCGAAAGAGAGACGCAACCTATGGTGACCTGGTAGGAGAGAGGGAACAATATAACGACTCCCAGAGAATGCGTCCTATGGCACCCTGGTGATGTTGAATGAGATACAGCAGCTCTTTGGACTTTATGCGCAAGTGATATTGTTTCTCTGCGTATCGTAGGAAGAATTTACCGTACTGCAGGCACTGCCTGTAAACCAGCTTCAGATTCCTTCTGCATAAAATCCGTTTATTAATTATTGGAGCAGCTAAGACGCTTAATTCAGAGGACCAACAGGCTAAGCCAGCTACCTATATCCGGATCTAACTATCCTATAAGTTAAACTCAATGCGGCACCTACCTTATCTCAGCAAGCTCAGACGCTCGCTAAAGATTAGTGCTTCTACTATATTATTTAGAAACTAGTGCAAATTAGCTTAATAACCTGAGCTAATAATATTTAAGTGGGTATACTAAACCTAAATAGGAAGATAAAAAATTTTTTAGCAAGCATTTAAGAATAAATAGTTATAATTTATTAGTAAAGCTTATTAATTTCCCCTTTTTTTAAAAATACTATCTAATTTTAATAATAAATAACTCTACTAATAATTAAGTTATTTAACTAAAGTTAACTATTATAGATTTAGCTAGTAATTCTTTTTTAATTTATATATATATTTAAATGCTATAATAGTTTACTGATATTAAACTATATTATTAAAATTACTAGATTAGATTTTATAAAAGCTTATTACTAACCTCTATATAATTAGAGAGGCTTAATATTACTTAAATCTATTGTTTAGCCCTATATTTTTATCTTTTAAAAATTCTTAAGAACTCCTAGACTAATAAATAAGATTATTTTTTTAATATTTTTAAATCTCTGAGCTAAGATATAATATATTTTAATATCTATAAATCTTAGAAGCTCTTAGACTAAAAGGTAAGATATATTTAAATATTAGTATATAGCTATAGGGTAAGAATAGCAAGATAATATAATAAATAAAGCTAATAATATAGGTTTTATAAGAATATATATTATTAAATAATAGCAGGGGATATTACCTTATTAATATTATTTAATATATTAAAGATAAAGCTTAAAGACTTATTATCAGCAATTAAAATATTTGCTAATAAAAAAGATATTTTTTAGTAATATATTATAGTTAAAGCTTGCCTAAAGTATATATTTTAACTAATAAATTTAATATTTAGCTATTCTCTATATTTAGAATAGATCTAAATACTTTAGCAACTAATATATAGCTATAATAATACTCTTCTAATTATATAGATAGGATTTAGAAAGAGCCTTATCCTTTATTTATTTTTAATCCTAATAGGGAAGATAACTCTCTAAATAACCCCTCTAAATAAGCTTATTAAGGAGTAAATATAAGATATTAAAAGGCTTTAAAAAATAAAGCTATATATTATTAATAGTAAGACTAAACAATAGCATTATAATTTTATTTAAAATATTTAAGCTAGCATATATATATATACTTTTAAGTCCTAAACAAGCTATATTAAAGGTCTTTTTAAATATATTATTAAAGCCAGAGATATAAATAATAATTAGTCTTATAATAATTAATAAATACTATCTAATTATATAATAGGAGATATTCTAGCCTAAATTTATTATACTAGGCAAATTATAATTAATTTTAAGATAAGATATTATTTAATTTAGCTGTTCTATAATGCTTACTAAAAATAGAAAAAAAGAAATTATTTAGAGAGCTAGCTTTTAAGCTATTAGAGATTAATCTTATTAAATAGAAGTTATTTAGACCTCAGTTAATTAGAAGGATATATTTATTTATATTCTACCTATTCTATATAGGAAGCTATCTTTTTTTAAAATATTATACTTCCTCTTAAATACTGCTGTTAAAAATAATAAAGTAATATCTAAATATATATTAAAAATAATTATCTTTATAAACAGTATTTAGAAGATTAAAATAATAGCAGAATATCTTTATTAAATACTTTTAATAAAGACTATATTATCGGCATTAGATTATTAGTATTCTAGGATAAAAAATAGTCTATATTTAGTTAATATAGTAATCTAAACCTTTATATTATATATTTTATCTTATAATTAGGGGATCTGCTTTAATAAATTTAAATCTGCTTTATTAAAAATATATATTATAATAATAATAACTGCTCTTAGAATAAGAATTAATATACCTAATATTAAGCATATTATTAACTAGAAGTTTCTAATCAGTTTAAATATTTATAATATCTAATAGTAAATAGGATATAATAGCTATAAAAAAGATTAAATAAATAAAGGCTATATTATACTTCTATACTAGACATTTAATTTAGAGAGTATTAATAGACCTAAAAAATAGATATTAGCTCTTATAGCTTCTTAAACTTTAAAACTATAGTCTTAATATATTTAGCTATCTAAGTTAATTATATTAGGAGATATTAGTAATATTAAAAGCATTTTATTATTAATCTCTATAAAGAGCTAAGAATCTATATTTAAAAAGAGATATTAGAATTAAAAAGAGATAGAATATTAATTTAAACTCTTAGATTATTAGAAGTAAATTATTAATAAGCCTTATTATTAAAAAATATTCTTATCTTATTTAGGCAAGAATAGACTATCTCTATATATTAATATATCTCTTATATTAGTAGAAGATTATTATAATAGATATAATCTATTATAGATCTCTATCTCTATTATACCTTTTTTAAAAGAGAGATTTATATAAAAGCTATATAAAAGAAGTTATACTAGTATTATATTAGAGTTATTTAGTTAATAGGCTATTTTATAAGTAGAATTAATATATATTTACTAAGAATAATATTTCCCTATAATATTTACTGCTTTTATAAGCTAAGAATATTAATAGTAACTTATAGCTTTATATAGCTTAAAGATAATAACTATTAATATAGAGTTTAATAACCTTATTATATAAGCTCTATTAGTTTAAAAATAGTAATATAAGAAGCAGTATAATAGTAATCTAATCTAATAGTTATAATATATAGTTTAAGAGATTAATAGGCTATATTTAATAAAAAAATTAGCTTAGAATTAGAACTAAAGCTAGTAATATAAAGATATTTATTAATTAGATATCTCCCTTAATATAAAAAAAGGTTATACTGAGTTTATTTAATAGAAGGATAATTCTTTTACTATATAGTTAGTAAGGTAAATTATAGCTAAAAAATTATAAGCTAAAAGTTTAATCTCTAGCTTATTAATTTAGATACTAATAATATTATTATAAGATATATTTTCTAAGCTATATAGACTAGGCAGATTAAATAGCTTATTAGATAAATTAATAAAAGGGGTAGTTAATATATAGGTTAAATAATTATTTTCTCAGAGGATTTTTTTATAAAAGAAATAGAGTATTTAAATATTAGAAACTCTAGTTAAGCAATAATCTTTATAGGAGCAAAGTCCTAATAAAAAGCTTATATAAACACTTATAATAAAAAGTAGAAGAATTAAGACTTTAATAATAATTAAAAAAGAGAACTTTTTTATATTAGAAAAGTAGTATTAAAGATATTAAGATAAGGAAGTCTTATTATAATATATTTAAACTTATACTAGCTTTTAAATTATCTTAAAAATATTTAAATTATCCTAAGAATATCTATTTATTCTTAATAGCTTCTTAATTCTCTTTAACTAATAAGAATATATTTATAGATAATATAATATAATAGATTTATTAAATATTAGCTTTATTTAAATAAAAATAAATAGACCTATAAATTCTTAGCTTCTCCTCTTCTTCTCTAAAATAATAAACTTTAAGATAGCCTACCCTCTTATAATCTAGATGCTTAAATACTCTACTATTATTTTATTTAATAAGATAGATATAATTATTATAGCTATAATAATATTAAGAGATATTCTCTAATTTAAAGCAGAGCCTCGCCTTCTTCTATATAATATATTAGCTCTAAGTATTATTAAATAAGACTAATATATCTAATATTTAGCCTCTCCCTACTTTCTTATTCTTACTAATTAATAAAAATAATAGTAGATTAATAGAGTTAGATTAGAATAACTAAATATATAATTTAGCCTTCTTCTATTTCTAAGTCTGTTATTATCTATACTCCCCCTACTATTATTAGAGAGCCTACTATAGGTTTTTAGTCTACTTTTTATAGTTAAAATAAATTATAATAATAATAATAATAATAATTTTATTAGGCCTATTTTAAGTAAAGATCTAAAGATATTTCTATAAATAATAATATTATTAGGAGAGAGTAAATATTAATACTTTTATAGTAGAACTCTATTCTTAATACTTATAACTCTTATTATTATAAACCTATCTTTAATAGATATTGCTATACCTACTCTTAGTCTTATATAAAAGCAATATAATTAGTCTTAAATAACTAATTAGCTATATTTACCCTAAATATAAACCCCTAGAGGTAAAATAATAGAAGTATATACTCTTATAGCTATTAGAAAGTAATAGTCTTTTAAATAGGAGAACTTAGAATATCTTAACCCTAATAAATAATATAATATCAGTTATATTAGCTATATTATAAAGACTAAGTTAGGTAAATAACTCTTTAGAGAGAATAAATATATAGCCTATTAGCTCTATAATAAGGAGTATTAGATTTATTCTATAAAAAATGCCTAGTAGATATATAGGCCGGGAAATACCTATACTTACTATTATTTAGCTGCTCGCGCTAAGGGCTATAATATAAATAAGCAATATAAATAGGCTCTCTTACTACTATTACCCCCTCCTTAGACTTTATTATTAAAAGGAGATCTTCCTTCTAGAGCTAGTAGTAATGCTATTATAGTTTAATAA